TCCTAAAGCTACCTAAGAACTGGAGGGAGCTAGAGAGTTACCTATACAGTAAGTAGTTTAAAGCTAACGCGGAAAGGGAGATATTAAACTTAGAAGCTCGAGACTATTAGAGACTAATTCCTAGGGAAGATACAGCTACCTTACCGATTCCCTTGAAGTAGGTGTTTACTTATAAGGTAGATTCTACAGGATAGCTCAAGCGTTGTAAGTCTCGGATTATAGTATAAAGTAATATATAAGACGACTCCACGATATTCTTAACCTACGCGGCTACACTCGCAGTAAGGTCGTTCTGAGTTATAATAGCACTAGTAGCTTAATTCGACTTAGAAGTAAAGCAGTTTAATATAATTAACGCCTTTATTAATATAAAGAGAGACGAGAGAAGCGCCTCAGTCTCGTGTTTCCCTCCGGAAAGCTAGAAAAGACTAGGAATAGTAATAGAAATTAACCGAGCGCTTTATAGCTTAAGGGACTTACCTATACTCTGGTACAGCGACTTTGTAAAGACACTTAGTAAGCTAGACCTATCTCTACTCGCGGAGGAGCTATATATCTTTATAAACTAGTATAAGACTATCTTTATAGCGTTCTACGTTAATAATATTCAGGTCTTATATTATATTAGACACGCTAAAGAGAGCCAGATAATTATAGATAAACTACACGAGGCGTATAAGCTAATAGTCCTAGGAGACATGGAATAGTTCTTAAGAGTATAAGTAATACGGAATAAGGAAAAGAAGATAGTATCTCTCTTATATGATATCTATATCAAGAAGATAGCTCAGAAGTTTAATATAGTAGACAGGAAGTGCCCTAGTATACCTCTCCTGTACTACGAGCTAGTCAAGAACCTTAGTATAGTAACTTTCAAGTAAATCAAGGAATATTAAGAGAAGGTTAGGTTAGTGCTATATATAGCTATTATACTCCGGCTAGACGTCGCCTTTATAGCCTCTTAACTGTCATACTTCCTTACTAACCTAAGCGCGCTACACTTAGAGGCAGTTAATTAGATTATACGATATCTGTTCGGCTCAAGATTCCTGGCTATTATCTATAGTTAGAAGAACAGAGAGACACACCTTCTTATTACCTTAGACGCGTCTTTTACAGATAACACTGAATCGCGTCGTTCCTCCTAAGGATTCCTAATTATACTATTTAGAGGAGCTATTATTTAGAAAGCCTCCCGATAAGACACTATCACTACTTCAATAACCGAGGCAGAGCTTCTTAGTGTAGAACAGACTACTAAGGAGGTGATAGCGCTTTAAAGGTTCTTTAAAGAACTAAGGCTTGATATAGGAGCTCTGTGGAATATATTCTATAATAATAAACAGACGATTCAGCTGATAGTTAAAGAGAACTAGCGAATCTTAACGAAGCTTTAGCACGTCGATATACAGAATATATAACTATAACAGGAGTATAAAAAGGGGAGTTTTCAGGTGACATATCTCCCGATAAACGATATACTAGCTGATAGCTTAACTAAAAACCTACTAAAGTAGAAGTTTAAAGTATTCGTCGCTCTTTTAAACCTTTAAGACTCTTAAGCCGATATCGAGAAGCTCGCTTAAGCTATATAATCTATATAAACACTTTCTTTTATCATGTTTCCTTTACTTTATATTTACAGTTCTTAAACGCTATTAGAGAGGAGAGAAGAGGCAGAATTATAGGACCCGATCCCAAGCTACTACTTCAGGGTTATAAAGCCGCGCTAAAATAACGCGAAGAGTAAGGGACCCGATCCTAAGCTACGACTTCTAGGTTACAAAGCCGCACTAATACGCCAGCCCGAACTATAATAACAAAGGGGTAACGTTCCTAAGCTACTACTTAAAAGTTGTAAAGCTTATACCGCTTACTAAGGAGAGAGGAGAAAGTTAATTAACCGCCGGGCAGCGCTAGTTATAACGTTAACCTCCGCTAAAGTAGAGGCATGTAAAGCTAAACGCGCCGCGGGGGCGATAATAATAGCTCCCGTAAAGCCGGAGCCTATTCCCACAGCGCTAAAAACAGGGCGAGGGGGGGGAATAGCGGTCTCTCTGCGGAGAGTAAAGGCGGGGGTAGGGGTAGCGGCTAATATTAACAGTTAGATAACGTCTAAAATCTGTAAGACTACTATTACAACTTACAGATAGCGGCACGGATCTTATCCTTATCCTTATCCTTGTCCTCCTTAGCTTCTAAGGCCTTCCGAATAGCGGCCCGGCGGACCGTGAGAGCTTATATATATTATAGAGTCAGCCTCGCTTAGTACTTTAATATTAATACCTTAACACTTCATTGTTCTAACACTATAATATAAGGAAATACTTACACGTGTGCCCTCTAGGAGGGCCCGGGCTACTAAGTAGCTAGCGAAGAGTTCAGCGGCGCAGGCAGGGGTAGTGATATAACCCGATTTATTATTTTTATAATAATAAAAATAGCGCGAAGCTATCTCTTCGTCACAATAGGAGTCACCCGGCGCACCCTATAAACTACTGCGAATATAGTAGCTATAAGGCATAGCACGGATAGCCCCTGCTATAGCAGGGCAGCGGGTAGGAGTTAGTACTAGTGCTAGTAGTAGTGATAGTAATAGTAGTAGTAGTAGAGTAGCGGCGGTAGGGGAGCTATAGCGGCTATAGGCCTATTTTACAAGTATTAGCGTAGTTCTAACGATTCCTTATAACGCTAACTACGTCGGAATCTTTAAATTAATAACTTATAGTCTTCTTCTTTACTACGCGAGCAGCAGCGAAGTTAAAGGCGCGCGAGGCGTAGGCGGCACGGGAGCTTTTAGCTATATTTACTAATATTACATCGAAGTTATTATTTAAGGAAAGAGTGTTCCGGGGGACCTACCTAGTTTATATATTTAGAGCTACTAAGCGCTTAAGACTTAACGCCGTTAGTTAGTATTAACTCCTATTATAGTTCAGGTAGTATTATCTGCACTGTTTACGTCGCTTCGCTTACTATTGTAAAGCTAAGCGAGGGGGTGTATCGTGCACCTGACGCACCTGAGGCACTCCCTAAGGCGCTCTAGCTAACTAGAGGCTGCTTATATAACTAGAACTCCTAGAGCTTCCTCTTATAAGGGAGCTCTAGAATACCTTAATAAATGACTTTCACACTACATGAAGCTCCTCCCTACAGTACACGATACCTACTTTAGGCCCCTTTTTTATATTAGACCCGCTTTCTTTTTATATTTATCTATTCCCTACTTGTTTTCCTCGTATAAACTTTCTTTATTACTATAGTAACCTTATCTTCTAAGCTTATTATAACAACTTTCTCTTCCGTGCCTCCTTAGCTCTCTCTACTTATATTCCGCTATTTCCTAATATCCTATCTACTAAATAAGGGCTCCCTAAGCCCCTTTTTTCCAGCTATTTCTTATATATCTATCTATTATTATAACTAAGTTACTAAGCGATAAAATTCTAACTCCTACCTTTACTACTAACTTAGCTATATCCTAACTATTCCTCTGCTTTACTTCTAGTTCCCTATATAAGTTACTAATATAAAGAGGTAAGGTAGTACTATTAAAATATATAGTAAGCAGGGACGTAGAGGACTACTAACTAAACAGGTAGTAAGAGTAAGAGAGAGAAGATAATATATTCGTTATATACTATCACGCTTATCTATATAACCTTATAGAATAAGCTAACTATCTTCCGACCCAGAACTACACTACCCCAAAATAATACTAAAACGCGCTCTGATTCCACCTGATTTTCAAGTAAATCTTACTAAGTAAAATACTTTTTTAAAAAAAGAGTTTATAAAGGGATTTAAGGCTAGTAAGCTATAATCTAAGTTGTTTAGGTCTAATAAGCCTATTATAATAAAAAAAACTCTATTTTATAAAAGAGTATAAAAACGCGCTCTTTTTCTACCTAATACTAAGGGAAAATCGACACTTAAGAGAAATAAAGTATTTATAAAGGGACTTAAGGCTAGTAAGCTATAGTCTAAGTTATTTAGGTCTAATAAGCTTATTATAATAAAAAAAACTTTATTTTATAAGAGGGTACAAAAACGCGCCCTTTTTCCACCTGATTTGTAAATAAATTCCTCCAAGTAAAATCGTATATATAAAAAATTAGTCCCTAAAGGGATTTAAGGCTAATAAGTTATAATCTAAGTTATTTAGTTTTAATAAGTCTATTATAATAAAAAAAACCTTATTTTACAAGAGGGTATAAGAACGCGCCCTTTTTCTACGTAGTATTAAGAGAAAATCAACACTTAAGAGAAATAAAGTATTTATAAAGGGATTTAAGACTAGTAAGCTATAATCTAAGTTGTTTAGGTCTAATAAGCCTATTATAATAAAAAAACTCTATTTTATAAGAGGGTATAAGAACGCGCCCTTTTTCCACCTAATACTAAGGAAAAATTAACACTTAAGAGAAATAGAGTATTTATAAAGGGATTTAAGGCTAGTAAGCTATAGTCTAAGTTATTTAAGTCTAATAAGCCTATTATAACAAAAAAAACTTAATTTTATAAGAGGATACTAAAACGCGCCCTGATTCTACCTAGTACTTAGAAAAATCACTCTAAAGGAGAAAAAATCTTCACGATTAACTTATCTTAGATAAACCGCCCCTGATTTTAGTGATCTTTATAGTGTTTAATTCGTGAGACGATTCTCTATAATATAGTATTATTAAAAATACGCTAGCGTTATATTTTAAATTTTATTTTTTTTCGTTAGGGCTAAGCCTTAGTACGCCCTGATTCTACCCCCTTGCTCGCACTTCCCGCGTTAACTTCGCGCGCGTGTATCGTAGCGCGTCTCTTATAGAAACTTATAAAAATTAGCGCGTTTAAAAGCCCTGAGCGCGGGGATGCGATTAGTTAAAAAATTATCAAAATCGGCCTACAAACGCGCGCGCAATCGCCGATCCGCGCCCTGATTCCACCGCGTGCCCCTTTAGGGCTCTCGCAATTGGAAGTGGATACCCTACGTCAAGAGATATTAGGTCTTGAAGCAAGCATAATAACCAAGTGTAACCGTGGTCTCAAAATAACAAATTACTTCAACTCCGCACTTGAGAAAAACTAAACTTTCAACACCATCCCGTCAATGTTGAAACATCCAGCTACTGACCACCCAGGCTTCCCTGCCTAATCTACCACAAGGTTTTGCTGCACACAAAGCCGAGATGTGCGTGGATTCAGATCGAGAAACATCTCAACTCTTCAATCTTTGCTCCCCGACGTCTAAGACTATATGATTCGTAAATTCTATCTCATTATCCTGCTCCTTCATATCCTCAAAATCCTCGATCAACTGCTCAAAACACCCTTTCCAGTGGGCAGCGCCGAAGCGGGACACTAGTCGCCGATAGCATGCGAGTTTCAGGCGTTCCTCGCTTAATTACAGGGTCCTTCCTCAGGCGATTCGCCCCTGTAAAATGTATATGTCTTTAGCAGCCGAGGGGACCACTGCTCAGTGCTTTCGGCTCAAATACACCAACAATCGCAGCCTTGATCTGCAGTGCCAAATAGCGACTATATAATCTTGCCATCCCAAGCTCACCCGTGGCATACCATATGGCAGGATCTGCAATGTCAGCGGCTATGATTGTAAGAACAAGGCCAGAACCTACGTCTTTGTGCTGCAAAAAACCCAGGAAATTCGCCTTCCTCATTCTGCCTCGGCCAATCCTCCAGTAAACCCCCAATTTCAGGCCCAACTATATCCTGAACATCAAGCCGTATATTGGTCCTGAAACCTGTGCAGAAGACAATCACGTCCGCATCCAAGGTGCTGCCGTCAGTGAATCTAAGTCCCGTAGATGTATAGCTTTCGATTTCACCCCCCTTCACCTTCACCAAACCATCAGCTATTAATTTGGAACACCCTACGTCGAGATAATGTCCACCACCACGGGTTCGGATCTCTTTGGCGAGATTAGGAGTTCTCTTTGTCTTGAACCCGACACGTTCCAATGCGTCAAATGGCTCTGGATTCTTGGTCGAAAACTCCTTGAATGCAATCTCCGGTATTGCTTCGTAGAACGGCCAAGGCAAACCCCATTCGAATTCATCTGATTCATTCAACTTGGACGCGGCGTTGTAGTGACGTGAATGAGCGGCGTTGAAGAAATCATATGGAATGACGATTGTCGGACTTCTCTGAAGCATAGTCACTGAGGCTAACTCGTCCTCGACCATGTCTTCGGCAACATCGTGTGCTAAATTAATTAGGCATCTGTGAGCTACGACTGTGATGCAACTCACCGGTATTGGCCGTTCCCACTACTACGCCTCTCAGACCCTTCCACTCTTTTGGAGATTTGAAATCAACAGAATGGATGACAACTCCCTTGAAAGCCTCTCGATTCGGATAATTCGGCATGGATGGTTTTTGATCGGCTCCTATCGCAAATACAATATGACGGCCTTTCATAGTAAACTGAGTGCCATTTTGCTTTGCATTAATCGTCCAAATCTTTGCGTGCTCATCCCATCTTGCAGACTCTACAATGGTCGAGAGTCGAACGTCGAGTCCGTAGTCTCTCACATATTCTGTGAATCCCCGTACCAAGTCCGCTCCCATGAGGAAGTATGGGTATTCATCACTTCGGAATGTCTGGTCAAACGGCATTGAGGCATACCATTTTCCTGTATGCAACTTAGCAGAATCGTACCTGGCCAACCAACTACCACCAACTTGAGCATATTTTTCTAGTGCAACGGCTCTCAGACCAAGTGCCTTGAGGCGACCGAGAGTAGCGAGACCATTCTGGCCAGCGCCGACAATGACGCAGTCCATCACCTCTTCCTGGGTACCGTCCAGATTCTGAGTGCTGTTGGCCACACCATTTGACAGCGGTGCCTGCACCTTCTCGAGCACGTCAGGATCGCCTAACAAATCGGCCCTCTTCAGGAACGTGGTCAGCATCCAAATCTTCCACCCTTCCTTAGCATCTGGAATAATGTGAATCACGCCAGAGCAACCAGCAGGTAGAGGCCCTCGAGTTTCGAATGTAAACCGTGCACTGATGAATGCAACAGGACCAAGCTGCACTGCTTTCGCGCTGCCTTCTTGAAGCTTGAATTTCTCCGGCTGACGGGTGCTGGAGAGTTCCTTCCAGACCGACATAATCTGTTCAGCCTGGCGGAAAGTTCTGAACGAATGCGTAAAGGCCAGGACATCGCGCCATGCGGCATGCGCATAGAGGTCTTGCGCGTCGAGAGAATTGAGCTTCTCTATGCAAGACTGGGCCGCTGCGGTGGCATCCAGGTCGTCTGGCAATCTCCCATAGGGTACGACGTCGCCGGTCATATCGACTAAATTCCTATCTGAGGGAGGAAACAGGATGTCAATTTATTGAAAGCAAGTACAAAAGACAACTACATACAAACCTTCAGAAAGTAATGATCTTGGATGACCACAACAGAGAAGCGCTGAAAATGAGGTCTAGTGTTTGAGTCGATTTTCGATCGTGGACGAGACTCAAAGATAAACAGATTATCTTTTCCTCTGGCATTTCGATATCCAGCTATATAAGACTTTTGATAAACTTCGCCCAGGGTAAAAGAGGGAGTCCGGATGTCAAAGTTGCCGGACTTTCCGTAGTGTGCCATGATGATCCTCTTATCCATGGAAACCTTTTACCCCGGGATCCTTCATCACATACTTGAAATCCATCGACTAACCCCGCTTCCCAACAAAGCCTGTTCTGAGCAAGATTCCATAACTGGACTGAACCTAGTACTTATCGGCAGATCCGAACATGCTCCCGAGCATTAAGATTGTGACAACAATCAATGACTTGCTCCAGAGAGGTAGATTTCAAAGAATTGTGAAAGAAGCTCAGATTTGTATCCGTTCCACCGGCACTTCTACTCCAATTCAACAAGAAAACGCCGGCATAGTGATCGAACTCCAGAAGCACCACTGGACTCTGTGTTGGGTAATATTAGGAGTCTTCGGGGCTATATCCGCGAATCTAGCAGAAATGCGTCTCGTTGAGGTGCTGCTTGATAGGTCATTCGACTGGCGGGGGCAAGAGGATCAAAACCGCTCGGATTACATCGAGCAGCGTGGTCTGTTGCATGAGATTCAATTCATTTGCGGTGATTCCCTCGTAAGGGATGATGTGAGTAGCAGGGAAAGCACCAGCTATTAGAAGCTTACCTAGGCTTAGGGAAGCATTTCTTGGGCAGCTGGGAAAGAACACCTTTCCAGGGTTCAGCGCTGAAGCGAGGTGCTAAGGCTGCCTGAACGACAACGCATCATTGAACTTTCAGCGTTCTTCGCTTAATTACGGGGCAGTTCAGGGGAGAACCCGGGACCCCACGCCAGCATCGTTGCCTGTAACACTTCATTACGAGATATATCTAAACAAATACATCGAGCATCAGGAGCTTCCTTCTGTAACGCGAAACCAAACAGCTACGAATCCACAAGCACTTTGACCTTTCCAAGACATGACCCGCACATTCTAACAGCTGTCTTAGACAACGACATGGTTTGGTACCATTCCTTCCTACTAGAATCCCAAATAACCGACTTCTTCTCGCACATGCGATACAGAGGCTGCCGACCCGAGCCAACATTATCCAGTTGGAATGATGAAGCATTGCCGTTACATACGGCAAGCATCACAACCTCTAAAAGCGTCCTCATCTTGGTGCCGATTACACCAGTGCGGGAATCGCGTTCCATAAGCTCAGCCACGACAACATCATCACCACCCAAGAGAAAGTTGGGGACATGTAGCTCATTCATCCCGGGACATGGCATATGACAGTCGCGCACAGATAGCTTCTGGCAAAAGATAGACTTTGTCGTAGGGTCAACCCGGGCAGTCCAGTACTCAGTGACTGAATACTGCAATTCCACGAAGAAGGGGGTTTTTCGTGTGTAGGAGCTATGAATGGAGATGACGTCGTCGTATGGAAATTTTACATTCCATTGATTAACAGCAAGCTGTTTTTCATCTTGTGTCGTCCAATGTTTCGTGTGGGATGACTTGAAGGCATGATGTCCGGCTTCGTGGACAGCGTGGTGGGCAAGAGTCTCGATGATCTTGTCCATCGTGAAAGTGGTACTATCGCGGTGAAAAATTTTCTAGACAGGTAGAAACAATGTATATGAGTTTCAATGCTAAGGTTCCGTGCAAAGAAAAGAGGGAGAGGAGAGAGAGCCTTTGTAGGATGTGGGCGCCTTGATATTAACCCAAAAGTCAGCGTCTAGATGCAGCGACAAGCACCTTGCTTGTCACCACCTCAGCGAAAATGTCGAGGTTAAGCGTATCGTTCGACAATATTTACGCCACCTCTTGTGTGATGTTGTGCAAGTATGTGCAGCTGACCTGAGAGATCGCATTTGGCACATAGAAAGCGGGTGTGGCTGGCGATGGGCACGTCTAGAAACGGAGCTGAATCTTCGCGCCAAGACGAGGGGACGTTGTCCCATCCTTCCATAGGATGATGGCATACGATGGGTGAAATCCGTATCAATGTCTTGTCGAGATCTCTATCCCGAGTTGGTTCTCAGAGGTAGCTGTCCAGCTCGTGAAGCTCTGTCTAACCACTTAAGTTCGGTATCCACGTCTGGCTCAGGGTATTGAGGCTCCACACAACGTCCTGCAGCGTGTGGGGCAGTGCTTTAGGGCTGATCTGCACGCCTGTAGGGGATAGACGTCTCGCTTGCAGGCTTTGTTTACAGGGCTTTCCGGACCATGCACGGAATCGCAGTTGAAGGGATACTATTCCAATTGCGATCGCGATGTGGAAGGAGACGAGAGATACGGCTCTACTGCCCAGGCACCAGCGCCCTGAAGCTTTGTTCCCTTACTTCGTTAGCTACCACCAGGAAAAGGCCCTGTGAGGCTTATCGAGCCTCTGATAAGCGAGAAATAGTGGCTCGTTTCAGGGCATGACAGCCTGAAAATTCATCACCCCTCGTAAACCTCAGCGAGGTTTCCCTGTGACTTTTCGGCTTGGCGGCACGTGCACTCTGGTTAGGTCTGGCAGCTAAGGTAAGGGGATACCTTAACAATAGCTGCTCACTGCAGATTGTGCGATTCAGGACTCTTTCTCTTGATTTCATACTTCGTAATAAAGCCGGTCTCTTAGGGGTTGGCCTTGACCCACTATGTACATCCGTGGGAGCGTAGGCGTGATTGAGAGCTTCGGCAAAGCCTGTGTAGTTAAGTAAACTCCTAATAATGGCATCTCCGGGTTTCAGGGTTTGTTTCCTAAACATCATGTACATGGAATACAGAACTTCCGCGGGACGGGCCGCGGAAAGGTCAGAATGATTGGAGTGGGGAGTGGGGAAGCTCGCACTTTGTACAACGCGGGGTACATACGTAGGTAGGTACTGATAGCTCCAGTCAAGTGGCACCCGAAGCATACCTCTCTCTTTCAAAGATGTATACGCCTTTTATATATCAATCGAAAAGATTAACAATCATTCCGAGGAGCCACACCAGACTACCTCGTCGTACCCGAAGCTGTGGCTGGTGGAGTCCCGTTCTAGATGGCCAGTATCTACATATATAAACATGACAACAATAAATGTCTCTTTGTAGAAAACTTTGGTCATAGGCCCGAAACAAAAACAACCGTTACCTACGCGCTTTAAATTTTCGAAAATGACCGAAGTGCAACAAATCAAAGATGCCGGATTCTCAGGACGGATCTTGGATGCCTCCTCTCCTGACTACGCTGCTTCACTAATCCGTATGAATGCCGCTGCACAGCGCAATCCCAAATTGGTCACTTTCCCTGCATCAAACGAAGATGTTTCCACTGCCATTCGTTTTGCAACCAAGTGAGTTTGTGAGAAGAGGATGGGCCAACAACAAACAAATACTAACCTTCAAATCGACATAAATTGGAAATCGCGGTGAAGGGTGGCGGCAAAAATCCCATGAGCTCTAGCACTGTCGAGGATGGACTGGTCATCGATATGGAGGCCATGAAGGACATCAGTATTGACAAGAAAAATGAGCGCGTCGCTATTGGAGGTGGTTGTAACTGGGGAGAGGTTTACACGGCTCTTGATGAAGTCGACTTGATGTGCGCTGGAGGTGGTGTGCATGTTGTTGGCGTAGGTGGCCATCTGACGGGAGGTGAGTTACTTTTCGGATGCGGTGTGGGTTGTTCTGAGAAATGTCAGGTGGCTATGGCCCTTACTCGTGGAACCTCGCCATGGGTATGTCCTCTTCATATCCTGTATTACGTAGCAACGCCAACGTCGATATTTAGCTTGCGATCTTGTTCTTCAAGCGACAGTTGTGATAGCCGATGGCTCGATTGTCACCGCAAGCGAAACCGAGAATCCTGACTTGTTCTTCGGCATTCGAGGTATGTTGAACCCTCTCCAGTGATACTCCTCTACCAACACTAGTATGAAGGTGGCTCTTCGTCCTTTGGTGTGATAACGCAGTTCGTTTTGCAAACACTTCCTCGCCAAGTAAGTTAATACCAAAAATTGAGAAATCGGAACCTGATCTTGTGTTAGGGGCCGTACAGTTTGCGTACTCTTGGCTTCCCGGTCTCCGCTGTGAAAGAGGTCGACGAAGCTCTACAAAAATTCATGAAACAGGATTATGCTCAACGTGGATTGCTACCATTTCTCTACATGGTTCGCGGTCCACCACCCCATCATCCAGTAAGTGCCAAGAACGTATCACCGCCGATAGGTCCGCGTTGCTAAAGATGGTGCAGCCACTCTTAATTGTCAACTTGAACGGAGTAGGACAGGCCAGCGAAATTCCCGAAGCTTTGGAACCTTTCCTTGCAATGAAACCAATTTTCGACCAGGAAAAGAAGTTCGAGACCATGCCAGAATTCAGCCATGTCTTGGACGATCTGCTACTGCTAGGCGCGCCTCGAAAGACCACTGCGTCTGCGCCGATCACTGAACTATGGCCGGGTATGGTAGAAGAAATCTTGAAAGAATATGTGGATTACACAAACTCGACGCCAGACGCTACTGCTCATACTAAAGTCTTCTTCGAATTTCTCCATGCGAAGCGTTTAAAGCCGGTAAGTAGAGTTTCCACGTGTGTACTTATCCCGAGAACATGCTAACTTTCTTCCCTCTTCCAGGAAGGTAGCTGTGTTCCATACATCGAGCCAATCCATCATATGTTAATTGCCAGTGACGAGTGAGTGCAACCGTCGACGGAAAAAGGCTATCCAGGCTGACTCTTCCGCTTCAGACACACTGATACAAAGACCGACGCGGCTGCAGATGCGTTCGTAACTAGGGTCAGTTCCATTGGCCGCAAATACCAGAAGAAACACGGAGGTAGGGACTTAGGGGCCAATGGAAATGCGACTACTCTGGTGCAGAAAGGCGATCAAATTTGGCTTCAGAATTATCCGAAACTACGCAAGGTGAAGGTAGGTCATCGGCAAAGTCAAATTTGCGTGTGCTCTGCACCTTTCCAAGATACTAATTGTACTCGCATGCAACAGGCAAAATACGACCCGAATCTTGTTTTCAATCGATACCACACTATTGAGCCAGACTTCTCTTGAAGATTCAACCAACGAGTACTTTGTTTACATTAGATATAAACGAGAATCGCGAAAATCACTCCAAAAAGAAAAAAAAAAAAAAAAAAAAAAAAAAGCCCCATCGTTTGTTTGTCTTCAGTTTTTAAGATCAGGGCGCGTGAAATTCTATGGCTGTAAATACAAAATGATACCCTAGCAAAAAAAAATAATAGTCGGTTCACAGAGAGGGAAACCGACTATCAACTTTCAAAGGCTCGAATGCTGCACATCGCGCATCCCACTACCCTCTGTCCTACAGGCTGTAGTTTCCGATGGCTGCCAATGAAAGCCTCAACTGAACAACGCGGTGGCACATTGCGTGCATTCGACCTTGCAAGACAAGAGTCGGTAAATACGAAGTCAACGATGACTATTAAGCCAACGGAGGATGGTGGCGGAAATTACCTTGTTTGTAAAGATATCTCCCCTTGATCGGCTGCCAAATTGGAAACCTGTGCGGGGATTTCTGATTGGCCAGGCTACCAAAGATTCCTTTAACCAGCAACTTCTTTCGCCTTCCAGAGAAGAACAACACCGAAAGCGACATTAGCTCGAGTTGCAACAAGAATCAGTCTTTTATCGAAAGGGTCTGCAAAAGCACTGCACCCTGTGGTACTCCCGTTCTGAGAAGGAGTTCGAAATGGTGAGCACCTCGATTCTTCAATTCCAATACGGGACGAAAGACTAACTGAGAACCTCCGCAGACTTTTCCATGCTTGTTGTCGTCTTTACACTGTGGGACATATCGTTTTTGTCTTCGAAATTGAGACTCCTCAGGAGCAATCCAGTCGGAATAGGAAGACAAGCAGACTCTGTAAAAGACAATCCACCAAACCCTTACAAATTTCGACTTATCCACTCTAAGCCAAAGAGTGGTGGAAACTGGTGCAACGGATTTTTGGGAGGCCAAATACTGCAGTGTCTCGCAATTGCCATAACCAATTTCCCGTTTCGATCATCTCTCGGAGCCTATCAAACTCTCTGTTTATCATAATTCAACTTTTGGACATCTGCAGTCTGCTTTTTCATGTTCAAATTGCCGCGATCCATCGCTAGGGTATATATGCGGCAAGGTTTAGCAACGGAGACGAGGTTTTCCAACATCGTGATTCGCGTCCAGACTCGAAAAAACGAATATCTAGGTTTGCATCCCACGACACAAGTTGGCGGCAAGTCGAGAAATGGAAGATTGATCCTTGATGACAAAAACCGCATGGCGATTCTTTCCCAGTCGTCAGTCCCATCAATGTGTCTTCCATATCAGATGTCGGACTTGTGGTCAAGTAGCTGGATGCCTGCTGTTGTGTATATTCGGAGATGCGTAAGCAGGCGAACGGTAACATATATTCTTGAGGTCCTGCGAAGAGCCACTTTCCCTAGCATAGCAGTACGCACTCTTGTAAATGAGATGAAGTTGAGGGGGAAAACGTAATGCTTGGGTCGGTTCTAATAGGAGCTGTATTGGTTCTTGTCTTGACTTTGATTTGAAACTTATCATACAACCGAGAAGCACAACCGGGAAGCATGCGGACTTTTCCTGAGGTGGTTGATTTGGCTGAAGGTTCGGAATGGTAGAAAAGAATGTATGGTCGATGTTGGTATTGAATTCTGGCAAAGAATTAGCAGGGAGTTGAATGGCACAATACCTTCTGACGATGCTCCTTGTCGCTTGATCGGGTCAAACCAAGACGTGCTGCTGTACCGTGGCTTGATTTTTGACACTAAGACTAGCTAACCTGGATCGTCGCTTAGACGTGGACCTAGGAAGAGAAAGATAAAAGGTAAGATATTTCAGGAACTGTCAGGCATAGGAGACGGTGGCAGGTGTACGTATATCCAGTACGAGGTATGGCTGCGAAGTAGGTAGGAGTCAATCTTAGTCGGGGAACAGTATTCGTACCCTCAACACGGTGCAGAGAAGCTGACTTTAAGCAAGTCCAAAACAAAAAAAACTATATCAGAAACCACTTCTATGCCTACGTCTGCCTATAATGGATCTTTTCAGAAGCCTGTTATTCTTCCTCCTCTTGAAGCAACTAAGATATTGTCTCCTGGTGAGTATCCTTACCAGTAGCGTCTCAGAAGGAAAACAAACTCATCGCTATGGACTAGTAGGATTCAGGGGCAACAAGAACAGATTATGCCTTGGCCTTGAGGAATGCATATGAAATCAAGACCAGACACCCAGGTTTTCTTATCTCTAGATAAGATAAGGCGATGACGCTGCACAGCCTCGTCGCCGACCAGAACTCGCGCACACGTGACCCACCGAACCGAGTTTTTGAGGTTATCCAAACATCGCGACCACGAAACCTCTCTCCTTCTTCAACTTCGACAACAAACACACCAGCACGCGTAGATTGCGCAAACAATCTACGCCCACTGTTGGTAAGTCAATTCCTGCCCCAAAAACCGATCCTGCCTCGAAAATTGCACACTTCCCTTCCTCTTGGGTCCTCCTTGATCGACAGCACGACCTTGGGTGGCTTCGGCGACGACGACGACACGATCTGCGACGTAGAAGAAGATCAGAACACCTGTGAACTGTTGATAACGCGACATCCCTCTATACCTACACAATCTGAGCTGATTACCGAGTCCATCCAAGTCTGGAAGGCCATTCTCCGACCCGCTTCATTGCGACCGTGGACACGCCAGCATACCCCATATGTCGCTATACCTTTCCTTCCGAGATTTGAACGAGCATAATTTACGCAGAATTCTCCACTTGTAGTGCCAGTGAGAGTCTTACGCAGTGGAGAAGTCCCTGGAGTTTGTGTGACCTCGTTCCAAGCAACCTTGTCTGAGCCTAGAATTAGGCTGGCGCCTCCACAGCGGCATGACAGGTTCGCAGATTCAAGTCCTTCTTCTGCATACATAACACGATGGCTTTCTGTCATTTATTGCTTCTGCCATCAGTCTGCGAAGGCTTGACAGTATTGGATGTCGGTTGGCAAGGCCGACTCGATGTCAACACAACCCACAAGCTTGGTTCTCCCTTCCATGTGGGCACTACTTCAGTACCATGCCAGTGGTCTTTTGCATAAGTCATCTGTTGGCAAAATTCATCTCTTCGCATTCCAGTGCTGTTTCTCCAATGTCAGTAAGACTGTTCATCTCTGTTGTTTTTCCGCCTTCGCAAGTTTCAAAGTCAGCTTCCACCATCCGATCTCGTACTTGGCAAGGACGGTACCTGGACTGCCAATACTGTCTCTTATCTTCAAAGGACTTTTTTTTCCTTCCATGCCTTGTTTGTGTTCAAACCAAGAAGCTACTTGGAGCTTTCTCAGAGACAGCCCGCATCCCAGTCGTGCTCCTGTTGGCTGACCTTCATTCATGATCTCTTGGTTGCTGGTCCCATGTTCTTTCCAGAGCCAAGTGCTCATGACCTTCGCCCTCTATCTGTCATTCTATCTTTATACTTCTTGTTCCCTCCTCCAATCTGAAGTTGTCGATCCTCTGTTCCTTTGTTGTTGTTGTCTCCTCTTCTGTCTGCTTCGTGGGGCACTCCAGAAGTACTTTTGAATAGCCACGACGTTTCCATCAGCTTTGACACTCTTGTTAAGCTTCCGACTGTCTGCATCTGCCAAGACTGGACATCAACCGCTTCTTCTATCCAACCATCTCGACGCATCCGAAATCGAACACCGCTTGCCAAGGAGGATCCAGCCCATAACTACCATACTGAACTTCTGGAGTTATTGCTAACATATCTTCTCATCTAGGCACAGCTCGTTTCGTTATCGCGGCTACCCGCCTCACCGGCACAACACTCTCGCTTGGGCTCCCCGGGGTAAAGCCTGAGAGGCCTCCGGCTCCCCCTCCTCCTCGCCCCTCTTTCTCCTCACCCTCCTCTCCTCCCATTTCCCCCCTGCCCCCGACCTCTCAACCTGCGATTTCTCCGGAAACTAAAGGTTCTCTCTTGGTATTTTGCGGTCTGTGCTTGCACGGACCAAAAAAGTACCTTTTCGACTCAAAAGCTACCTTCGGTAGCCGGAGAGTCAGGTTCGAACGCTGCCTTCGGTAGCTGGAGAGCCAGGCTAGGAAGCTACCTCCGGTAGTGGATTGGCCACCCGCCCACGGGCACCCCGCCGGTACACTTTAACTAGTGTACTGTGTAAGACGTAGGCTTCGCCACCTCGTCGCAAAACTCTTTTTTTATGTCTGGAAACGGACAAAACTCTTCCAATGTGGTCTCCGATCACAATAGAAGACCAAACCCAGCTACGGCTGGTGGAACGAAGCGAAACCCTGATATTCAGGATGGCCGCCCCAAGAAACAAGTCGAGCGGATAACTTCCGAGGAAACCAACATCCGCAAAGAGATCGACAAGTCCGAAGACCTTGAAAGAATCCTCGAGCAAACCAAGGATTGGATCTCGGGCACCCATGGCTCTGGCTATCCCAACCACAAGCTGCTTCGAAATTGGTGGACAGCTAAGGCTGCAGAGTTGGTCGTCTGTCCTGTGGCCTCTGGTTCAAATGCATATCCGCAAGCGAAGTTCTTCCATGGCTTCAAGATCCGATATGTCGCAGTCTGTGGTGCTCCGGCGCTCATGGTTATGAAGAATGGACATATGATGGTCATTCACAGCCAAAATGTTGCCCCTCCGCCAGATCAGAGCGGTAAGTCAAAGAAGGAGAAGAAGAAAGTCGCCATCTTTGCCGAGTCCGACCACCCCATCAGTACAAAGGAGGGCGAAGATAGCATCCAGCCACAGACGTTGATCAGCGCTTTCAATACTCAGCACTGTGCTCCAGGCTTGACTGAGGAGGACGCTGCTGCGATGATCGAGTTTGGCCTTGTCGAGAAGACCAACCCTCACGTCAAGCATGGTCTCATCTGTACGACCTTCAAGACAACCGAGACATTCTGGATGCAGACCGTTGGAAAGGCTCCATGCCCTGAGTTCGAAGAGCTTCTCACTATGTTGAAGGATGACCAGTGCTTCTTCACATTTGTGCAGAACAAGCGGGACTTCATCGATCGAGCTCACGAGTTCTGGCGATGTGAGATGGAAAAGTGCGTTGTTCAAGGCGTCTGGAGCTACTACAATGACATGATTGGCACGATTCAAGGTCAGTTATTCTCAAGATGGGAGAAAGACCCGAACAAGACGATCAAGCACCAGACTTGGATGAAGATCGAACAGCTCCGCAAAGATCGCGGCAAGATCCAAAAGTACGCCTCTCACGCCATGAAGAAGTCATTCGGATCCATGCGTGAGCTTGAGATCGTGCAGTCTGTCGCTCTCATCTACGAGGCCATGTACGAGAACTCCATCATCAGCATGTACTTCGCTTGGGATAAGTACCACGAGGCCACTGTTGTCGAGGCGACAAATGGTTATGTCCAGCTTGATGTTAACGTCGGCAAGAACACGGAGTATTCCATGCCAGGAGTAGATGTCGATACTCGGTTCAAGGTTCGAAAGGTCAATTACCAGGACTCGGATCTCGTTATGGAGGATGCCCCAGCTTCTGGTGATAAGCCATACTTTGCAGAGGAAGAGAAGTTTGGCGCCAACGACGAGAGCGACCCAGAGGAAGACATCCTTCCACAGGAGAAGAAGCAGAAGCCTCAAGACTTTGGCAAGCCCGTCGAGAAGGAACAGCCCGTGCCTACGCACACAGGCCAGCAGTTCGAGGCTCGAGTCATCAGTGGAGGAGAGCAAGACTTCCGCTTGAGCTTCTTCGTCAAGGACAAGGCCACCAGAGAACAATTTGTGGCTGGTGAGGTGATCAAGGTCTCACTGTTCATGACACGCAATCCGATCCCCAGCAGGCGCTCTCTGAAGGCCATCGGTAAGCTGTGCAAGAAGCCCGGCAAGAAGGATGGCTTCAAGTTCAAGTCCATGCAGACCTTCCTCAAGGGAGCTGGTGTTCCGCCACCCAGGGAAGGAGAGAAATCACTCTGGGATACTGCAATGGAGGTGATGACCGACATTGAAAAGAGTCGCTTGGAGAGATACATGTCGTCCTTCCCGATGAACGGACCTCAGCTCCATGTTTGGACTGCGATCTTCAAGTACCGCAACTTCGTTACTCAGTTGCAAGGACCACCCGGAACCGGAAAGACCAGAACTGTGGCCATCATCGCCATGACCTTCGCTCTGACAAAGGCCAGAACCGCTCTGTGCGCCCCTTCGAATACTGCCGCCGAGGAGTGCCTGAGAAACGTCCTGGAGCATCTGAAGGTCCTCTACCAGTTGGATCCGACCGCTCAAGATGACTTCAAGGTCGTCTACGTGCCAACGACAGCCAGCACCAAGGAAGCCCTTGCCAGTCTCGGAGAAGAACACATTGCCTACGACATGTTCAAGGAAGGCGAGGGTAGCGATGACGACCCCTTCAAGCAGTTCAAGCTTCACGCCCATGTTGTCAGATCATTCGAGAAGCGTGCCTCGCTTAAACTTGGAGATTACATGGAGGCCGAGTCCTGGTTGAAGGTCTTGGAGCGACTTCGAGCTGACCATCAGGTCAAGCCAAAGCTCATGAGACAGTTCGTCGATCTGGGCATGGCAGAGGGAGCAACCGTCCTCCAGGATCCAAATGTCAAGATCGTGGTGTCGACTTCCAGCAGCGCCGACCTCCTGGCCGATTATCAATACAAGCCACATGCAATCATCATCGACGAGTCTGCATCCGCCACGGAACAGGAGAGCTTGGTTCCCCTCGCTCTCTTGGCTCGATACAACGTCCTTGTTGGTGACCATGAGCAGCTGAAGCCGACCATTCGATCCAAAGGTCACAACGAGTATGGTTCCCAGTATGGAATGTCCATTTACAAGCGCATGTATGATAATCATGGCGTCCCTCTGTACCGATTAAAAATCAATTACCGCATGCACCCGGATATTGCTGAATTGCCTGGAATATTGACCTATGAGTGGCTCGGCTGTGATCCAAGCACCAAGGTAGACTCGGATGCATACAGATACTTCCAGGACTGGTACTTCGAATCTGAGCTAGGAGGTGTCTACGACGAGGAAACTCGAGATCCTCAATATGGTGGGGAGGCAGATGAGGACATCCGTGTTCGCTGGTTGAACATTGCCGACGGCTTCGCATCACCGAAGCCTGGATCGACATCTCTTCGGAACTACGCCAACATCAACGCCGCGATTATGCTTGTCCTTAGCTTGCTGAAACACCACCCTTCGGACTCAACGATTCCTGACCTGAAAGGCTCTGATATTACAATCTTGTCGCCATACAGAGCTGACTTGGAGGTGATGAGAACGCAGCTTGCTTGGGCAATCGAGAAGGACATTGGCGTCGACTTCCGAAGCATCCCAGAAGTCTCCACAATTGACAATTCCAGGGAGTTCAAAACCAAATTGTCATTTTGCTTATACCACCGCACGATGCTAGTCATCTTGGCTTCATGAGGGAGTGGAATCGCTTCAATGTGGCGCTGACTCGGGCCAAATCTGTACTTTACATCTTCGGTAACTTCGACGGTCTCAGATCTCAACTTAAGGTAATCTCGAAGGGTATGGGATGCAAGAAGCTAGCTTTGATGCTCGTTGACTATATGGACAAGGGTCGTGTGATTGATTTTGAATCGAATAATGTGCTTCCTGCCTCTCGTGAGGAGGCTTTCCAAGACGTGGAAAAGTGGACTGACCGGCAACAGCGCCCAAGTCCTGTATCCATGAGGCTTTCCCAGAAGCTTCAAGACATTCAGAAGGACTACACAGGCGAGGGGTCTGAAAGGTTTGAGCTCGAGCTCTTGAATAAGTTGCAGAAGCTTCGTGCTCAGGCGGCAGAACATCAGAAAGATTTCGAAGCCGGCAGAGATCTCGACCTTCCCCTCTCAACCTCTCTCGACACCCAAGCTGAAGGAGAAGGTTAGGAGCCAGCAAAAGATGGCGATGCTGAGCCACAAGATGTTGAATTCGGTGATGTTGAAATGGTGCATGTAGAGAGTAGATTGCTACGCCGAGGTTAGGAGCAGAAGGCCAAATCAAATAAACTACTGAACAAATTAAGTAGAAGACCCGTTGCGAGTGAATAGTAAATTAAAAGAGTCGGAACACAGTATAATTAATGTTGCTACTTGTTCACCGATATGCTCGCTGCTCAGTGATGATAGACTGAGGTACAGTCTGGCATTTATCTTCGAATCTTAGTTGGGCCACATCTGGGGTTGAAAGTTGTCTCCCCGCAGCCAAAAGCCGCTTACATAACACCATTGATACATCAGCGCGAACTTGCGATTAAGTTAGATTACACGTCAGCATGCGTGTGAACCACACACTGTGAAAGCGCGGGGCAGGAGCTTCATCTTCTTGCAAGCGACGCGACCATCTGGCTTTACTGCTCTTTGTCTACATATCGAAATACCAAGACGTAGCCATGGCTAATTCCAACTTAGCCCTGCTAATTGATGGTGACAACGTTTCGTCAAAGATCATCGCTGGTCTCTTGGTAGAGATCGCCAACTACGGAACCGCCAGTGTGAGGCGGATTTATGGGGACTGGACCAGTCCACAGCTCGGCCCTTGGAAGGCATGTCTTTTGAATCATTCTATAACGCCGATACAACAATTTGCGTACACGACTGGAAAGAATGCCACCGATGGCGCCATGATCATTGATGCTATGGATCTACTGTACACTGGCCGCTTCTCGGGTTTCTGTCTTGTGTCAAGCGACAGTGACTTCACGCGGCTCGCATCCCGCATTCGTGAACAGGGTGTTACTGTTTATGGCTTCGGGAACCGCAAGACAAACAATGCTTTCATTGCGGCCTGTGACAAGTTCATATACTTTGATGTACTCAATAAAGAGTCGGAAGAATTGGCGGTGCGTCCACATGTCGCCGAGTCGACGAAGCCAGAGGGCGGACCGGTGGTCATCCGAGACCAATCAATGAATAAAATACCGATCGACTCCAGAGTACGCGCTGGAATAGTCCTGGCAATCAAGAGCTCCAAGGGGTATGGCGATAATTGGGTCAATTTAGCAAATGTTGGAGCTCATCTGAACAAGATCTCACCTGACCTAAATGCGCGAAATTACGGGTACGAACGACTTCGCGAATTTGTTGAAGCAACCGGACTGGTCGATGTGAAGTTTAAACCAATGGGTGAAAGCCCGCCAGTCGCGTTGGTCCGCCTCAAGGAGGATAGGGAAGACAGACATGGTAGAGACTAAGAAATTAGATCTCCGAGATCTTGAGGTCGTCAACGAAGCACCAGTTGCTGTAGGCAAGTGGAATTATGGGATGGGCGGGGCTAGAATCCCATACTCAGATGAGATGGCAGAGGGTAAATATTTTGATCAGATCAAGCAAATAATATAGAATTGGTTATTCAATCATAAAGCGCTGTACTGTTCTGGTTCTGGGAAAGACAACACGAGCCGTTTCTGATCGACAATCTATTTCACTTAATTCCTTCAGGATATCAATCATCACAGCCCGGGTCTATAAACATCTGGTGTTGGATTGATGTCCCTTCAACTGTGCTCAGTCTCAACTGGTCCGTATCATCGCTTCATGAGGTCCGCGGCCTACACACGTTAGCAAATCCCAAATCACCTGGCCGCAACTCACCTTCTCTGCCACTGCATAGACCGTCGTCATCGTATGAGCTGCTGGTAGAATCGGCATCATACTCGCATCTACCACCCTCAGATTCTTCACTCCATACACCTTCAAGTTTTGATCTACAACTCCACCTTCCTCTCTCTTACCAAGCTTACATGTCCCAGCAGGATGAAACAAAGTAGTTGCAGAACTCCGGATATATGTCTCGACGTCTTGACTCCCAGGCAGAATCTCCGCCAGTGAGAAGCCTTTCATTGCCTTGGTACGTGCAAGTCGACGCGCAAACTCCACCCCATCCTTCAGAATTTCCACATCAAGCGGATTGCTCAAAAATCCAGGATCTGCTATCGGTGCAGTGAAAATATCCGCCGAAGAAGCCAGAACTCTCCCACGCGAGAATGGGCTTTCTAGTCCAAGGACAAAGACACCATTATTCCAGATAATCTCAAGCGAAGCACAACTTGTCAAACGTTGTGTCAACACGGCATGCTCTCGAGCATAACCGGCGGCTACACAAGCCGGAGTATCCGGAGAGAGAGTAGCACTCTGAGCAGCCGCCCGAGACTGCAATTCTGCAGATCGATTCGAAAACATTGGAAGAGGCAGGAAATGAAGGAAGTCGCCGGTGGGCGAGGTATAAGGGCCCGTTTTGTTCGTCTTGTATTGTGCTAGAGCTTGAGCAGCAACTGCTGGGTCTGAGAGATTCGGATCGGTCGAGGCGTTGATACTATTCAACACAAGCAGAAAGACATGATCGTGAAAGTTCTGACCAACGCCTGGGAGATCGACAACGGTGGGAATTTGGAGTGACGACAGATGTGAAGCTGATCCAATTCCAGAGACTTGAAGCAGCTGTGGGGTGTGGATAGCTCCAGCTGCCAAGACAGCCTCTTTCTTGACTCCGATTACCCGTCGTGGACTCGATGAGTTGCTTGCGATCTAGCACGGTTAGCGAGAACACTTTCGCAGGAAGCGACATACCTCTACTCCAGTTACTGATACATCCTGCGCTTTTTTGGTCACGAGCCGAGTAGCACTGGTTCCGGACATCAAATGTAGGTTCTTTCGCGAGCTGGCAGTGTCCCAATAGGCCTCTTCAGCAGATGATCGGGTAATAGTAACCGGATCTTGATTATGCGGACACCAGTATCCTCCAATTGCCCCACCATTTGCTTGATCCAGTGCGATCGGAATGTTCAGTTCCTTGGTAGCTTCGACGATATTTCCTGCTTGTCAGAAAAGAAATTCTCTTGAAGTGAGAGACTTACTTGTGGTAGGAAATATGAAGGGAGAGTAGCTGGCTTTCACATTGCCACTTTGTCCATGTGCAGACGGGTCGTAGGTGATGTTCCATTCTGCAGCAATGGATTTAGAAGGTGGTGTGGATTGCTCATTCTGGGAAACGTTAGCGCAATCGAATAAGTTTTGTTTTCATACCTTTTTGAAATACGGTAGCAAACCATCAAATCCCCATCCTTTATTTCCCAACGCCTCCCAGCGATCATAATCACATTTGGAGCCACGATCAAAGACCATGCGATTGAGCTTTGTTGATCCACCAACAACTTTACCCAATGGAATCGGGATTGATCGATTCCCAACAGTCTGGGTTGGAGCGTACGTCAGATTCCAGTCGTACTTTGTACCAACTGCACCACCTGCGAGACCAGGGATGGTTATAAAATTCTCATTGGCATCACTACCACGTCAGCATAAGATATCTATGAGGGCAAACAACCTACAAATCTCCAGCCTCAATCACCAGGACTGTGACGCCTGCCGAGGATCAGCCATAGTCCGATGGTTCCGAAATTCCACTTACTGGGGTTTTCGGACAGGCGGTTTGCAACTGTAAGCCCAGATGCACCTGCTCCAACAATAACGTAGTCATAGCTCTCGAGCAGCTCATCTGCCTGAGCGCAAACCTGACCTTGAAAAGGAGCGGCGTGCACGAATTGATGCGCGAGAGACAATGCAACTAAAGGCGCTATGGGCTTCATTGTAAAAGCGGAAGAGTTGTGTAAAAGAGTGTGGAAATGGCTCAGGACTCCGACCGTGAGGCACAGGTTCTGTCTTTTAAAATAGCGGCTGACCGGTTATATATCGACATTTGAACAACCAGTCCAGTCCAGAACATCCGGAATCCACGTGGGATGCCGGATGCTGATCTGGGGAGGCAAACAAGGACAGGGAAGTCTGGAGACGCAGTGCATCCTTTCATTTATCAACCTTTGATGCTACTTCATCAAACATCTTAGGCCACTTTCTCAGAGATCGGCAAATCTTCTAGAAGACAAACGATGCTCTTTTCAGTTGCCCTAGAATCACAACCCGTCTTCGCAATTAGAGCAGAAACTTTAGAAAGACCGCGATCCACAATTTCGAATTTAAGCCACGTTTACTATCGGAAAAATCCCATAATCTAGCGGCCTAAAAGTCGCTAGATAGGTGCCGTAATTAATTTGATGTCAAACTGCAGCTACAGTTGAATTGCCGAAAGCTAGTTCCAGGGATGCTCCATGTCCACGCGAAACAATCAGGAATGCAAACATCAAGCAGTGATAAGTCATCTGGTTATCGGACGAACAGTAGCTTGCAGTCTGCTGCATGTTTATATAGCCAAGTGAAAACGATAATTTTTATATTGTACCTGCATCGTGGCAGGTACACGAAAGTTGCGTTCTTAGTTCGCATCGCAACGCAATCGTGCCTCGGTAAATCTGACTTTTAAATGACAGCGGTCGAGGTACAAATCTAAACTTATTCAGATATGACAGCGTGGGGGACTACTGACAAAGTATTTCTTGGTGAGCATCACTCAAAAGTCCAGGCCACAAAATTTGTTGGTCGATGTACATTCTGGAGCTCTAGAGTCCAATGCAAAGCCATAGGCTAGAATATACTGTACCTGGCCAGCGTCAAGATTTGAGGTAGTGAAGGGCAAGTCAAGCGATCATGGAAGCAAACATCAAGTTTCAATAACTCAAGAAGTTTATGTTATTGAAAGGATTTCACTCAATTTCAAATCTTCAGGGGATTTACGTACCCTAAAGACAAAGTTTACAACGGTAAAGAACACGTGCAAACCAGTCCAATGCAGACAAGGGGGAAACAAGTCCACGGCACTTGTTGCCAACCAGTCACCAGATACAGGTATCAATACGGCAATGCCCTCCTTTGCAAGAAGCGAAAAAAGCCGAGATCTATGCCTATATCATCTCCAATCCCTCATTGACTTTCGGCCCCACATTCTTTGCTTGCACAGAGATGAATCCAGGATGTCCAACATTCACCGGCTCCCGCAATCCCTTCGCAGCTTCTTTACACTCGCCCTTGTATGCCTAGATCTGTGCTCATACGTAGACAACCACGAAACCATAGATCGCAAGCGTGAAGGCCTGGAAGCCCAGTCCCACCATCATCGTTTTTTTGCCCCGTGTTGGATTATCTGCAGAGGGAGCAAGCACTGCTCCGATTCTGCGGGTAGAGAGCAAGTTCTCATGACTTGAAGGGGTTGTTTGAATGATGATAGGATATCGGCCGAGATGAAACTTCATGCTTACCATTCTGGTGCGAGATGGCAACATTGGATGATGATACTGGATGAATCAGCTGTGCTTCTCAACAGGGCTCTTTCGCATACAGATGCTTCAAATTGAGATAGACTCCAGCAGCAAGAAATGCAGGACCGGTCGTCATGCAAATGAGTTGATAAGTGAGGCTACCCACTTCACTTAGACAGCATTCACTACGAGACGAATCCTGCTTACTAGGTCATATCAAAGGCGGCATTTCGAAGTAATATTCTCTCAATGTATCCTAGTCTGGGATCAGCCATACCATCTGAGAGAGAGGCAGCTTTACAAACAGTTTACAAACATTGTCGATCGTAAGAGCAGACAGGGAGCTCCAACATCGAGTCTTGATTACTTGAAAGATATGGGCCCCAGCTAAAAACCGATGACGTCCCATCCCCATCTCCAAATGCAGCACCACCTCTCAGATCACCACCACCGCAGTCACACATAAGAAATGAAGAACTTGCTAGGAGTCGAATTTTATCAGAACAGCCATTCCTAAACTCGACGGCACGTCAAATGTGTTTCGATTTTCTCCTAGACGGTCTGGACCATTAAACCACAAATGCAAAAAGCATAGCATTTTATGTGGAGAATGTAAAGCGACTTTCTATCATCCACAATCACCCACACCGTGACTAATTTATCACCCTCGCTACAAGAGACGGCCCAAGATCTGTTCACCTTCTTGAGCAAAAGACTCCCAGAGCAATGGCCATTCCTAGATATTATTCCATGGTTCTGAGGACTGCAGACGGCGGCATATGGTGGTTGCCTAAAAGATTCGAGAAAGTTTCTCGAGAGATCAGTGGGATCACTTCCTGTAACGTGGAGCCCCACCCCGGATGTAGTAGGCTATGGTAACAAGGCGATAGGATTTGTGACCAGACTGTGACTTTTATCGCCAACTTACCTGAGAACTGGATCTGATTGGAGTCGTGGGGCTCTGTAGCAGTGTTTGGTGATATGGGAATAATGACGTGATAATTGGCTACAAAATTCTATTAAAATTAAAGGCACACAGTAAAGGCCAACCTCGGCTGGGCACTGTAAACATCAACACTCGGCTAAATTCCACAGGCTGTTCCCTCCCAGTAGCGTCAGGGGTATTGGAAGCTAAAGGGGGTTTTCCGCTAAGTGCGGGGTCCGGAAGCCAAGTGGGGGGTTTCGTGTCTCGAGACTTCCAAGTTCTTCCCACTTTCAATCTCTCCAAGAAGCGCACATTTCTTCAATCAAAGATGGCAAACATTCACCGATATCCCCCATTCAGGGCCGAGCATTTGGGCTCTCTCCTTAGACCAAAGGAGCTCTTGCAAAAGCGTGCTGCCTTCGAGGCCAAGCAGATCAGTCGCGAGGACCTTACTCCCATTGAGAACGACTCCGTTGACAAAATCGTTAAAGTGCAACTCGATGCAGGATTCCGCGCTATTTCAGATGGCGAATACAGGTTAGTCAGTCAGGCGAAATCTTGAGCTTTGCTGACATAGCAGACGCGCTGTCTTCTGGGGAACATTCTTCGAGGAGCTCGAGGGCATGACCGAGATCAGAAACCCCGCAATCGAGATCTTCCGCCCATATGTACCCGACATTGCTGGGTTTCTCGAGAAGGGACATAAGCCTGGACAGTCATGCGTGTGCACTGGCAAGATCAGGCACAAGGGACAGAGCACATTGGTCGGTCAATTCGAGTACCTGAAGACTTTGGTCCCACAGGAAAGATGGGGGGATATCAAGATGACCATGATCGCCCCGCCGTGGTACCACTTGCGATACAAAGATGGACAGGCTTTCCCCAAGGAGGTCTACGCCAGTGATGATGAATACTTCGCGGATATTGCGAAGGCTTACAGAGCCGAATTGGATATCCTGTACGCTGCAGGAGTGAGGAATGTCCAGATTGACGATCCAAATTTTGCTTGTAAGCACCCACATACACAGAGACGACTCAATGCTGACCTTCAGACTTCTGTTCGGAGAAGATGTTGGCGGGTTGGGCGGAGGATAAATCAAATACCAAGACTCCTGACGAATTGCTCGATTCGTACATCCAGTGCTACAATGATAGCATCCGGGATCACAAGGACAAGATGCACTTTGGTCTTCATATCTGCAGAGGTACTACTCCTACCATCTTCCCCAGTCCATTCTAACGAGTTCCAGGAAACTTCATGGGCTCTCGTCACTTCTCCGAAGGCGGTTACGATCGCATCGCCATTAAGCTCTTCCAAACCCTGAATGTGTCCAGCTACTACCTCGAATACGACACCCCTCGCGCCGGGGGCTTCGAGCCTCTCCTCCACCTCCCGGCTCACAAGAATGTGATTCTGGGAGTCATCACTTCCAAGTTCCCTGAACTTGAAGACAAGGAGAAGATGAAGGAGCGTCTTTTCGCAGCTGCGGATGCCATTGCAAAGGGAGCTGGACAGACCAGAGAGCAGGCACTTGACCGCATGGGTGTCAGTCCACAGTGCGGGTTTGCGAGTCATGAGGAGGGGAACTTGCTGGAGTGGGATGATATGAAGAACAAGCTGGCTTTGGTTCGCGCCATTGCTGATGATGTGTGGCCAGGTCAGCCATAATTGGATACATATAGACATAGCATCGGAAAGTACGACGGCTGTGCCCTGGCTTCAACAGGTATATAAAAGCAGGAGCAATGACACGAATTGGTGGTACATACAGTCTACATATATCATACTTGATTCCAATATACAGAATACTTCCTCAGACATCCATAACCTCCCGGATGGTGATCCTTTCAGTGACTTCCTAATAACAGAGAATGAAGCACGGTAGGTCAAGAGTTCTCGTACTCATAGTTCCGGGGATAAAATTACGTCGTTTCCATTCAGGTATCTCAACGCGAAGCCGCGAATATGGACGGAACCAGAACGCCAGGAACCAACCGCGCAATTTTCAACGATCAAGCAGGTGAACTTGGAACTCTCAAAGTCGGAGTCGCCACTGTAGCATTTGTCCTTGTCGTATTTGTACCCGTGGACAGAAAAGCTGTGCTGCGCCGAAGGAAAAGTAGAAACCAATCCTTGACCAGAAGAATCTGAAGCTTCATTTTGAATTGTATTACAGCAAGTATACACGAATAGAAAAAACACAGATCAGAAGCATTATATTATTGTAGTTATGGGGCGGCAGTTTGTTAATATTAAAGATGTCAAGAATGACGCTTAGCATACCCCTGTCACTTTACCGAACCACTTTACGCGTGAATCCTGCAAGCGCGTCTCACGGAACGCGACTCCCCAACCTCCTCGTCGCGAATTTATATACAACACAATTTTGCTTTTAGGAACCACCCAGGAACCACGACTTCCATTCCACCTTCCACCATTACCATCCACCACATTTGCATCTCCAACATCGCTCTTGCAACAATTGTATCGCATTACTTGCATACATAGCATCACCACCATGTCTACCGCCATCAAGAGAAGGAAGTTGGCGCCAACCAGCAAGACAGTGTCAACAGGGAAATCTCGAGGACTTGGTGCCTTTACCACCGTCTCCAAGGCAAACACAGTCACCAGCACGAAAGAGATAATCGACAAGAACAACCGTGTCGACATCGCAACTGCCCCAGCGCAGATTAGCAATGACAAGAGAAAATTTGTCGAGGACGAGGAAAGCGCGCAACCCGCGACAATCTCACCAGCCAACACTCTTCCATCACGACGAACAAACCTACGATCTCCTCATACTCCCCAAAAACCAATTGTCAGCGACAGCCCACCCTCATCAATCGAAACACCCACCAAAGGCGCTCGCAACCTCCTCGACCGCTTCTGCATCTCCTCCACCACCAAAACACCCACGCGCTCCCCACTCTCCTTCAACAGCACCAGCTCCTCGCTCACCGCATCCACACCCTCCAAACGCTACCACGCACCATGTTCAGAAAACCTCCCCCTCGAACTCCTCGACCTGATAAACCTCCACGCTGCATTCCTGACCGCACTGTCTATACACTATGCCCACAACGGGACCCACTCTCCAGCCGACCTGCGCAATCTCTGTCCGGATGTCGCGCGCGCGTGGGGCAAAAGGAGAGTGATGCTAGACGATATCAGGCGCACGATTGGCGTGTTGAATACAAGTATACCAGCAGATGGAAACGACACGCGATTATCACGACTCATTCTCTCGGACTACGGACACGGGAAGATATGTATCGAGATCAAAACTTCAGCGAAGCAAGGGTGCATCGCACGGCCCGTGAACGAGGATTTACTGAATGAGATATTCGAGCGCGGATTATCCAGGGCGTGGGAAGAGAGGGAGGGGGATATGGCTGTAAAGGAGTTCATTGCAGGCTTGCCATTGGAAGCTATCACAACTTGTTCGTCGCTGGTTAAGATGTCGCCGTTACTTGCGAAGGGGCAGCGGAGATTGGAGGACTTGAAGGCTGGGATTGGGGTTAAGGAAGTTGTGAAAGTCAAGGCGGAAGTCGCTGGGCCGAAACTCACGCTCCTTGAACGGCTGCGAGCGAAACAGCTCGAAAAGTCGAATATGCCTCCTCCACCGTCGAAGGCGGACATCGCGAGGAAGGCTGCACTGGGAAGAATGGACGAGGTTGTAGCTATTTTGGTCATTCTCAGTACATCTACGTCGATTGGCCAGTCGCGGATCTCTTTCACGCTTCCGACTATTATTGGAAAACTCCGCGATTCTTTCAATACGCCAATGTCCAAGGAAGAGGCGGATACCTGTATTAGATTATTGGCATCAGAGATAGCTCCGGAGTGGGTCAAGTTGGTAAAGATGGGGAAGGTAGAGGCTCTTGTCGTGAATAGAGATGAGAGGCCTTCGGAGTTGGATATCAAAGAGCGCGTTGGACGTGCTTGAGAGTTGGATGTGCTGTATTGAGTGAGGAACGAAATGTATACCCATAGACGAGGAATGATTGTTGGATAGGAAGAGATGGACTGGATACACTGTATCACGGAGACTAGAAATCAATGAATAATGCCGAATGATCATTTTGCTCTATTCCTGCCTGGTGATTTCATAATCAAAAGCATAAGTCCATTGCTCAATTTTTCCCGTCGCACAAACCATAATCAATTCCCTCGCATTCATTCGTAAAATCATGCAAGAACCATCATCAGTTCGCCATCAACCTTCGGATAATCCCCACAACTCCATTCAATCGTCCCGAAGCCCATCCCCCACCATATCCATTCCCATCCCCATACCTACCCTCAAGCCTTCTACTTCTTCGGACCAAATCTCGGCTTTCCGATATCACTTCCTCTCAACTTAATGCCCAGAACTCTCTCCATCGCAGCAAGGATCTTCTGATCCGGGGCCGCAGAGCCTCTCTCAAAGTCGGCAACGATACTCTGCGTCGTGTTGCACTTGGTAGCCAGGTCCTTCTGGGTCATCTTTGGGTTCATCTGCTGCCGCTGGTTGGAGATGGCGGTGCCGACTTCCTTGCCAACGGTGGTGGGCTTGACGATGTCGTCGCTGCGGTCGACTTTTGTGAGGTGCTGGCCTTCGACGCCGGGTTTGGAGGCCTGTTGGGAGAGGGAGGGTTAGCTTTTGCATTCTTCTGGGGACGTGGAGAGTGTTTATGGTGGCTTGTTTGTCGGTCTTTTCAACGACTCAACATCTACCAAATCTTCATCCTCGCATCCACATCTTCTCCAATCCACAGGATCCGCTGTGATATGCGCATCCACAGCGGTACGACAGATGGGAGTAGATAGATGCAAGCTGTATTGCAGCTGAGGGGCAAAACAAAAGCAAGATCAGAAGGTGAGGACCTACAGAGTTTCCAGCGCCAAACTTCTTCTCCGTACCGATAACAGCACCACTTCTCTGGGCAGCATTGAGAGCAGACTTCCCACGGACGACGGTCTCACGCGCAGCACCGCCTCCGCGGGTCTTGCTTCCAATCTTGGTGACGGTATCCCAATCTTCAGACATGGTTGCGTATGGGGGTGTTTGTTTTGCTTTGTGGGTATGTACGGGGTTTTGTTGGTGTTGATGAAGGAGCGAGGGATATATTGTGTTTGTGGCGAAGGAGTATTTCTACTTAGTCGTGGGTGTATGGTGGTAGTGAAGATGATTGAAGTTGTTGATCAAATGGAATTCAAAAGAACAGAAGGTGAGGATGAGGCTATGACCGTAGTGGGGTGGGATTGCCGGTGCCACTCGCTCGCGCTTTGCTTGCCGTGTGAATCAGTCGCTCACCGCTTTCGCAACCACGCTAGGCTGTTTACAGTCAAGATCCCTGTACATATCGGATGGTCTTCTTGAAACTGAATGGTTGTGCTCGACCTCACTTTTGTATACCCTCGTTATCTTGATCTTTCTCGTAAATGCATTCAGCTGTCAGAGTAATGTTTAAGTTCGAGCTGTCATGATGCTTCGTTCACTCGATTGACCCACTTGTCTATTCCCATTTTGCCACTTTGAGAGCAGGTCATGGATTTGCTAGCTGGGACATGGGGATTGCTTCCTCTAGCAGGAGTGTTGCTGTTGGGAAAGTCTCTCGATGTCGTCTTACTGGTTACATTCACTCTCATCAAGAAGTGGGACGAGGTAAAAGACTTGCTATCCATCATCAATCCTGCGATTGTCACGATCACAATTCTCACCTCACTCTTCGCCCTCATTTCAGTATCCTTTATCTGGTATATCAGAACCCTCCAGCAACCTTCAACACCATGTACTGAATTCCCAGTCAAGCCGATGTTATTCCCATGTGAAACGGCTCATGTACGGATGTTTCCCACAAGTCATGGCTTCAAGTACTCTTACCTCTTGGTCGGGATCCCCGTTGGTTGGAAAGGATCAGTTGGTGGGATGATCTCCTCGGACATGGGGAAGAATTTGGAGTCATGGTACTCGAGACTGGCGTCTCTACAGCCAGGAGGTGCATGGTATACAGTCAATGGAGACGACTATTTGAAGAGAGGTCACGTGCAAGGGGGACTTGAAGGAAAGCTTCATCAGTATCTTGAGAGCGTGGTATGTGGAACATTCTCAATACCTTCACAAAATTGACCGAAATAGGGAATCGATCCCAATCAATACGCCTACGTCTATCTCCTCACAGCCGCCCGCTTCCTCGGCTATGCATCCAACCCAGTCTCAATCTGGCACCTCTACTCCGCCAGCAAAGAACTCACGGCTCTCATCCTAGAAGTAAACAACACCTTCGACGAAAAGCGGATTTACTTTCTCGAGCCCGGCCAATCCCCCATTGATCAAAATGACCCAGCCCACCGACCACGATACACAGGAACCTGGCCTAAAGACTTCTACGTCTCCGTCTTTAACTCCCGCAATGGATCTTACTCCCTCTCAGCCAGCGATCCTCTCGCCCCGCAGATGAGTATGAGTAGTACCCTCCCCATCAACACAACAATCACACTCAACAACTCCTCCTCACACGCGAAACTAGTCGCACGGGTGTACTCCACAGCCAAGGCATTGGATCCAATGACGATGTCCGTGTGGTCGAAAACGAGATTCATCGCGAGCTGGTGGTGGGTTGGTCTTGCGACGTTCCCAAGGACGGTGAGAGAGGCGTTGACTCTGTTGCTGGGGAAGAGTATGCCATGGGTGTTTAGGCCGGAGCCGAGGAGGGAGACGATTGCGAGGAAGGCGGGGGAGATGGAGGTTTGTATTGAAGGGCATTTCAGGCGGTATTTGAGGGGCCAGGCGGAGAGTTGCGATGAGGAGATTGTGTTGCGATATGTACCTGCTGGTCTGGCAGATGCGGATGCTGAGGAGGAGGTTATGAGTTCTTCTTCAGCACAACTTTCGTCTGGGACGGAAGCAACGGAGATCAGAGTCTTGACGCCATTATTCTATTCGCGACTCGTTCAGTACGGTTCCATAGCCGAAGCTTTGGCAAGCGAGAGTACACTCAGCGCCACCGTTTCTATCTCCCCGGATCTGCTCACTACTTTCCAATTCTTATCCAAATCGGACACAAAGAATTCAAATCCCAGGAAGATCGATTTCAGGCTTCTACTTCTCAACACTTTCAGGAAACGGCCAACTCCTATTCCCATTCCAGTCAAAGAGAGATCGGAAGTTCCTGCAATCCACTGGTCAGAGAAGAGCAATGCCAAAGATGAGGTAGCAAGTTTAGACGCTTTTGCTCTGTTGACAGCAAGCACCGAGGAGAAGAAAGTCTACTTCCAAGGAGTACTCAAGCTTATGCTAACTGATCGCCTGGCATTCGGCTGGATGGAGATACTAGATCTAGAGATCTTCACAGTCAGAGCCGTCGTGATGTGGGGGCTGGTGAAATTATTTCTGTGAGATGGGAAGAACATTCTGCGATCGCACATCAAGAACTATCAAAAAACCGAACATTGTGTTGAACGAGATATCGAACACCATCACCTCTTATTTTAACGAGGAATCCTGTGGAAAGCGAATGGAGGAGAATGGACGACGGCTGCCTTCCATCACCGTGTATTCTAAATAACCAGCGCTCTGGGAAAGGCCAGAAAGGATTCGACCTTCCAAAGAGGAACTCAGACGCAGCCCCAACAGCCCCTGCTCTAGTCCCGGACGGTGAAGTGGGGCTAGGAGCCTGAAGATAATCAATCCGGACGTATGCTCCCACGCTCGGCCAACACAGGAAATAACCTGATCAGTAGAGAAAGACAACGGGAAAGATTTGTAATGCGACTGTTGAAGTTTAGAGCAGGTCGCCAATGGCTGGAACAGATATACACGATAGTCAATAGAACCAAGCACAAATAAACAGTATAGATATAGATAGAAGGCCGAGGTTTGACTAGATAGAGAAATATAATCGCCTGATCCTCGTATTTAATATCCAAATTCATCCAACTACGCCATGTAAATACGCCAAGCAGAGGCAAGTCGCAGAAGATCAGGGCTAGCTAACCAGCTAAAATCTGTACTCTTTCCGGGATTTCGAGCTCGCCATAAATAAATATGCAAGTTTGAGATCTACTATACAAGGCCATGACTTTTCCAGTAGTCTAGTGGATGATTCGAGGTCTTTCTTTCCAAGTGGACAGCAAGGTATCAGCAAAATGTTGCAAACGGGAACGATCAAAAGTCGGGCACTGTCATCATGCGAGAAATGGGGTCTCGCTAACCTGAAGCCTTGGCATTCTGCAGCGTAAACACATATTTTTCTTTTCTCATCACATCCTGCCCTCGCGGGTTCTGATCATTCACAGGCATGGAGTCCCGGGATGAAAAAATTACAGGTTCATTCAAAGCCGCATTTATTATCGAGTCAAGCTGTCCTGTGCTAACACTCTGGCGATCAACCTCTGTAGTGTTCAACAGGTCTACTAGATACCGTTCTTCACCTCGACCATGTCCACCCGGTTCAGTCCATGCTTTTACGCCCTCCTCTGGGACATGATGTCAATGTCATCTTCTTTGACGGCGAGTGTCGCTCTCGATCCGTATCTTATCTTCGCCCTCCCATATAACGAGCCACCCTTCTGCGCTGCTCTCCAGCCCACGTTCCCCAACCACCCACTGCAAAGGTTCATTCTTCAACGATAAGCTTCCACCCTCTACCTCGCCGTCCCCGACACGACCCCCGAACTCGTCGTGGTCGTCACCCCACCCGAAACCGACATCGAAACCGACGAATTCCCACCCGTCCCAGTTCCCGTCGGCACCGCAGCCTCCGTCACAGCGGGCGGATCATAAATCGGCGCTGTCATGGTCGCCACCCCCCTCTGCAAAGGACACCCCGGATCCGCAAAAACCGCCCCACACCTCACCACCACCGTATCCCCATACTCATAACCCTCCCATCTCGTCAGATTGACCGCTCTCCCTTCCGAACTCCCTCTCCAGCTCAACTGGTGATCCCCTTGGCAGAAGCTCATCGAGCAGACATCCCATGTTCCGTCGTCGTCGTAGAAGCCCGGGATCCAGGTGAAGGAGCGGGAGTGGAAGGCCGTGGTAAAGAGGCCGGCGCGGTCGAAGATTTGGGAGCGGCCGGTAGTGTTGGAGGCTTCCCAGGTTTGGAGGTGGAAGAGCATTTGGTTTTTGGCGGGCTGGGAGGAAGAACCGGTGGGTGTAGACGACGAGTTTGGGTTTGTAGGAGAGGATGAGGATTTCAGGCGGGTGGCGAGGATACCGCCGATGGTGCCAGCTAGGATACCGGTGATGATGATGAGAGTGAGGAGTGTGAGAAGCCAGAAGATCTTCTTCCTCAGCCCGAAGATCAATTCTTCAGGAGGAGTCCTAGGAGGCAGCGAGCTCTCCTCGAGCATCTTCGGTGAGCTCTCCGTCGTCGTAGAAAGCACTAGTGTCGGTCTCGCACTTGGAGCAGGAGATGCTATTTCAGGCGCTGCACCTGGATCGACCTGCCTACCATCTTCATCAGCGACGAAGATCGGAGCTTCATCTTGATTCCAAGCTTGTGGCGCATCTGAAGCGTTCTTTTCTCTGCGTTCATTTTCGAGTTTTGAGAGGACGTCTGCAATGTCGATGGTTTCTTTGACGTCTGCTTGGGGGCTGACTTGTTCTTCGAAGGGCTCGATATGTGATTCCATGAGAGCCCAGTGGTTCGTCTTCTCTTCGGCTGGACTGATAACTGTGTCTGCCATATTGGAGGACATTTTGTATCAGTTCAGTTAGAGGAAGATACCTCTAAAATAGCAAAAATGTCAGCACACGATCTAGACCAAACTCCCCTTCGAGTCCAGCCCTACGAGACAACCCCTCTATAAGTATCCCCTCCTCCACCCATCTCATCCCACTCCCATTCCAAAATTGCAGATTAGTACCCATGTTCCTCGATCCCACAAAGTACCATGCGGCACAGTGTTCTCCTCCCCTCCCCTCAATCCCAGCTCAACCTTCCCACTTCACACTTCCCATTTCCTGCACGTCAACCCGTTACACAACTACTGCATCCCCGGAGCTGAAAAGCAAGTCCAGGGGCTCGGTACCAATGATCGCGGGTCTGGATATTAGCTGCCTTGTAGCCAAGTACTTCGAGTCAATGAACTTCTTTTGAACCCTGGCGATGTTCAGCGGGCCGGTAACGAATTATCCCGATTTCTTACTATTCGCTTATCGACCCCGGATTGTTGTCTGGGGATGTATGTCGGTGGTTGAAAATAGATCGATGTGTCGCTTAGAGATTTGGGGGAGAGGGTTAAGGGCTGAATTTGGAGGGGAAGGAACCTTATTTTAAGATCTCCCGAGGTTGAAGGTGTCGTTGCTTCTGATATCTGCCAAGATCTCGAGCTTTAGATTTGAAAAATACTGTCGCCTGAATTGATAATAAATTTTGGTTACAGTCTTCTAAATATCATAAATACCACGTGGGGGGGGGGATTTCACTTTGCCCAAGAATTCCGTAGATGCCTATTGCCAGGCCTTTAATTCCTTTCTTTTTCTGAATCCTTCCCATGCCAACCTGTACATCCATCTATTCATCTATCCTCCTACCATGACCCAGGACATGAGCTGCGAGTTGCAACCTGCAACCTGCAATACAAAGTCCATGGAACGTCACAACACAGTCCACCTTCATACCTCACAACCAAGTACAGCCAACCCACCAACCAGTCCACCCATCCGAGCCAATAACATTTACTTACTCCATCATCCAAGAACCACCACACCACACAAGAAGGATCGCAAACCCAGAACCCTCCATGCATACCCACCACCCATCAATTCTGGATTCCCAGCCCTCAGCCATAGGCGGCGTTTTAGCAGGTTACGCCACATACGCCAGCGGCCAGCCATTACAGGAACGCTGACCAATTCCGGGTGGGGGGTCCAGCGATCAGATTGTGGATGAGTTGCGAGTTGTTTCTCTACTCTTGAGAAGTAAGAAGTGTGAGTTTGCAGAAGAGGAGTAGAATGGCTGAGTGAGTACCGAGAATTAGACTTCACCACCCCAGTTACTCAAGCCCAGGTCAACATTGGGGGCCAAACCAGCAGCCCCTCCACCACACCATCACAACCTCTCCTTTCCTGGGTAAATCCCGCTCACTTTCATCCAGACTTAGCGTACTGTCTTCTACCCATGCCAAAGAGCCAGTATGCAAGAAAAGCTCTGGGAAAACCAATAAAGTCACCAAATACGAAAAACGACGAGGAAAAGAAAAGAAGCAAGCAAAAATTACTAATATGTATTAAGTCCATGCCTCGTTCATCCCATCATCTTGTACCCTGTCCATGCATCCGACCATGCATCCAACCCTAAGTACTACGTATAAATACATACAACGAAAAAAAAAGTTCAAGTCTCGCGTCCGGGGCCATTTAAGCCAGGCAGCCAATCAGCGTCATCACCACCCTGGCTCCGAGCCTGAAATGCATTCAAACCCCATAAAACAAAAGAAAAGCAGCGAGCAGGCACAAAACGAGATGCCTTGCCATATATCCTAACCTATCCATCGAAAGAGAGGCAGTATAATACACTCTAACCCCTTTCATTACCCCGACGCAGCATTTCCAAGCCGGTATATAGGCATCCAAGAACTACTCTTTCTCTATCCATAAAAAGAGGTCCAGAAAGGAAAAGGGGGAGTAATGATCATGTGCCTATTTAAAAGATGTACTTCGGCAAGTCAGCTTCGCCCTTCTGGTAAAAGATCAGGACATCCGAACTTACAGGAATGAACAAATACGGAACCAACTTCTCATACTCCGTCCACGACTCCTCATACTTCACTCTACAGCGCTGGATATCCCTATACGCGCGGTGGACAATCATGCAAGAGAAGAAGACAGGATAGAACCAGGGGAAAGGGCTGTTGAATCCGGTGATTAATCCCCAGGTGACTGCGAAGTAAGCGTCACAAGTATAGTGGATCTTGCGGGCGTAACCGTACCATCCATCGACGAGGATTGAGTCTCCCGATTTGGTCTTGATGGTACGGGGGTTCTTGACTGTTTGCCATGGGAGCTGAGGGAAAGCCTTTCTCTCGGTGAGGGTTCCACGCTCTTGCGAACGGAAGCGGTTCTTTTGCGAATTGGTGGTGTCCCAGACCCAGTACATGAACAGATAGGAAGTGAACAGAAGGACGAGGAGTGGGATTCGGAAGGGGTAGCTGTTGACGGTATCCAAATGGTTGGCCAGGTAAATGGTGCAGTGGCAGTAAGTCAAAGGCACACCAGCCAAGTTCCAGAAAATCAACATGAAGCCCCATTTCTCGTAGTACATGTCCCTGAAAAGGTCAGTCGTCGCCAATCAGAAGCTGTAGGGAACAAACCATGTGGTAGGGATGCACTCCTCTCCCTTGGAGCATGCATTGGCGTACAGGAAGTGAGCCATAACCAAGAACCAGACCTCGGCTGTAACATGGCCAAATTGCTCATATTGACGGGCGGCAGTTGCACAGGAGATTCCAAAGAGAATATACCATGGAAGACGAACTTCGAAGAACATCTTGAAATCCAAAATGTCGAATAGACGAGGGTTCAATTCGGCACCCATGAAGAAATCGTACAGAGGATAGCCAGTCATTCGGTGCTGGGCACCACGAGCCAATGCAGAGAAGTATGCAATGAACGATACCAAGAAGCCGGAGCAGATTGCAACCGACATGATAGGTCCAAACTCATCAATGATGGTATAAAGCTTGAAAAGACCAGTCCAGTGAAGGGTAGCCATGACGGCGATTGTTGTGTAAAAAGACCAGACACCCGAACAGTAGTACGGGAGCTGCTTGCCCCCCATATGAGGCAATGGCTTGCCATAAGTCCAGATACCCGGGAGGAGACAAAAACAAGCACCCTCGAAAACAAAAAAAGTCCAGTAGAGAGTCCATGCGTACGCGGAAGGGAAGGCATATTCGTAGACAAGATTTCCCATATGTCTGAAGAACTCGCCCAACGACTCTCCCTCAGCCGGGCGCGGGAGCTTGCCATCGTAGAACGTGGCTCCGATCCACATGTAGTACATGAGGAGCGGGAAGCCAATCATCATGGCTGTGACACCAAAGGAGCCGCCAAAGTCGAAATGTCCAGAATAGTCGATCTTCGGATCCTTCCCAACCTCCCACCCATCAACAACCTTATTCTCGGTGTCTGTCTTCTTCGCCACTCCGTTCGCTGCACCGTTGACGTGTCCATTGGCCCCTCCATTGATGGTTCCGTACCCATTCATACTTCCATTCGCATGTCCATTTGTTGCAGCACCACCGTTGGCATGACCATTGGTGGCGTGCCCATTGGTCGTAGCTTCTTTCACCATACTGACCTTTCGACTCGGTGTTCTCGATCTCGTCGATGGGACTTTGGCAGAAGAGTTGTCTGTCGCAGAGGAAGAATCGTCGCCCTCGTCTTCAGGGAACTGTGACTTGCGGCGGTTGTACGGTCTGCGAGCGCGCGGCGTCTCAACGAACCCGAGATGCTCCGTCTTTCTGCAGACAGGGTCAGTATGTAGGGGAGAAGGAAGTGAGCAAAGTAAAGCTGTGTGCAGGGGCAGGATGCGGTGTTACTTTGGAGTTTGGCGCAACGAATATCGTTCCGACATTTTTCAGTCTTGCGCAACAGCGACTTGTATTTATAGGAGAGAAGAGAGAGCAAGGAATCAATGGGCCAGGGTGAAAACAGGTAAAGACAGAAAAAGAATTGAATGGGTCCTCTGAGCCATCAAGCAATTGTTAATCACAGCCCGCACACACGTCTCTGGAGGAGGTGGTTGTGGTGAGAATGCTGGTGATTGCTGCCCCATCGGGACTATTTTGGCGCTGGGTCGCGAGGGAAATTAATCCGGCAGGCGCGTTTTTTACTTCCAGACAGGGGCAAATATCAATATCCGGGCTCTCAGCAAATCAACGCGCGGTGTCCGCGGGCACCGAATAGGGGCGAACATGAAGCGGGGAATAAAGTGTTTATTTGTAAACATGCGGAAACCTCCATTCCCAACGTTTACTTGTTCACCGCTTAAAATCAGACTGCGTAACACAACCTCCTCCTGTGACTTAATGAGAACCGCCATTCTCCAGTCATCCAAGAGTAAATCCGCACTTCTGAAGAATATTGACTTCATCACCTTTGCAGACTGTCTCGTCAAGGCCAAGATTAATATCGCTTTTATTGTACCATCGTGATGTGTTTCTATGGCAAGTAGCAACACAAATATAATACATGGAAGAAGCTCGCCCAAATCGCCCACCACCTAGTGTCATGCTAACTTTTAGACACCCATCATTCCAGTTGCGCCGTTTCGCTCATGCCAAGTGGAGGGATCAAGAGACCCAGAACTAGAAGCACAACCAGAAATTTCCAGCATCCACGAAAAGCTCCTGGAAACGAGAGTTGGAGCGTGCAGCAGCAATCCCGGTACAGGGGGCTCAGCCACACGTCCTAAACAGCCCTCAAAATTTCCTCCAACCTCAGATCTTCTGGTAGAACAACATGTACGCGACCTTATTGTCCTTGACTGAGAACTTCTCACCCTTAGCCTTGGGCGTAGAAGTGCCATTGGCGACGGCAGACCACTTCTTTCCAGTTCCAATTGCCTGCTTCCACCCATCTTGATCCGTATCTTCCTCTGCACCATCAATGGCAGCAAAGCCATTGCCCGAGACTTCCTTCTTGTGAGCATCCAAGGCAGCTGCAAGAACCTTAGGGTCTTCTTCACTCCCACCCTCAGCAACCTCCTCACTTCTGACCCGACGAATGACAGTGTCATCAAGTCTGATCCATTCCCGCCCATCTTGCCTCCTCACATCAACAGTGTAGTGGCCTCCACTAGCATTCTTGCCATGATGATAGACGGCAGCAATCAAGCGGTACTTGGGTAGACCGGTGTGGGCGTAGGCAGCACGCTGTTGTCGGGGGAAAACTTCCTTGGGAATTTCCAACTCCAGTGGATAGCCGACCTTTTTCCAGATCTTCTGAGTTCCACCAGCATTGTCATACTGGAATCGCTTCAAGTGAAGGATCAAGACGGGTGGGAGGGTCTCAATGAAGACTTGCTTTGTGGCTGTGACATTTGGCCCCTTGGGAGACTTGAAGTCACCATGGAGAACTTCTGAACGAGTGAGACCTTTGAGAGCGTCGACGATGTTATTGACGTTTGGGGCGCCAATATCCAATTGCAGGGGCTGGTAGGGTTCGAGAGTCACGGAGTCTTTCAACCCTGGAACTCTCAGTTCAGACCTCAAATTTCCACCAAAAATCTTGGTGAGAGGTGATCCAGTGGCGATAGTCCCAGATGATCGGGTAACAGCTGCCTTCTGCTTAGGCCCAACTTCCAACCATCCATTTTCTTTTCCTGTTACGGAGCCATGGACACTTCCGGCCTCGCTGGTTGGGGACGACGGACCATTTGTGGGTGTTGCAATCGCCGACGTATTATTAGAAGTGCTGTTTCGCATAACGTGGACGCATTCGTCGTGGAGGCCTTCGAGAAGAAATCCCAAGAACTCCTCGGCGTCTTGCTGGTGGCCACGCTACTTGGAGTCAGTACAAGCCATCACATTTAATATTCATGACACTCACCCTCATGCTAGAGAACCTTGGAAGGCGGTTGATCACGTTATAAACGAAGTCCGGTGTGAATGGGTCCCCGTATTGCTCAAGGTCACCATCCTTTAGTCTTCGTCTCAATTGGTCAACTGAGACAGCTGAGTCAATGACAGGATATTCCTGCTTGAACAAAATCCTAGAAGAGTCAGCCTGTCCTTAAAATTCTGTTCAGTCTACTTACATGGCGTCGATCAATGGAGTATCGCTCTTGAAGCTATGCGCGGCCCGCTTGCTGACTTGGTCCAAGAAGCTAAAGAAAGGAGTACAAAAAATGAGAACCTGTAAAACCTATATTTCTGTTAGTTATGAATCAACAAGGATTGATTGGCACCTACCGAATTCATATAGCACATGTTACCAGTGTTGACCAAGCCACGAGGCTTCAAGAATGCAACCTTCGAGTCATTCGTGACAGCATTGAAGGATCGCAAAGCTTCTGCGAGAGACTCCGCGTTTGATTTGGCCGCTGCTGGAGTCGTGCTTCCCAAGCCAGATTCGCTCGGAGGTGCAGTAGAATTAGCCGCAGACGGGTTGAAGAGGCCAGTCCATAACTTTGGTGTTGACCAAGCTTTTGGAGCTGGAGCTGGTGCTTCCTGCTTGACCTCTTCCTTGTCTCCTTCGGATATGGGCTTCGTCGCTTCGGCCGATATCTCCCCCACCGCAGCCGGAGAAGCTTCTAGCTGCACATCTTCCTTCTTTTCTGGCGTTGCCTTGGATTCGCGGATGAGTTTAGGGAGGGCAGGGACAACTGGGCCGTTTGCTTTGTGCTTTGGAACTGGTGTGGTTTCTCCAGCCACAGAAGCTGATGCTTGCTGTGAAGAGGGTGTTGTTGGGTTTGTTGAGTTGTCTTCGGATGCAGGATGACTCGTAGATGGGGTGTCAGGGCGCGGAACGGCCTCCTCCAGAATCTCCTTTTGCGACTCAACTGGCTTATCATCCACCTTCTCTGGTGCGACTTTGTCCTCGGCTTGCTCAAGCTTCTCCTCGACTTTCTTCTCCCCGCTTCCCTCTTGTGCGGCTGGGGTTGGTGTGACAGACTCTGTAGGTTTGGGTGTAGCTTTACGCTTTCTTCGTGCTTTTCTTGCTGGCCAAGAGAGGTCGGGTCTCGATAACCAAGGGAGCTGATAAAGGATTAGTATGCGCAAACAACGATTCACAAGAGACTTACTGGAGCTCTGAAAGGTTCACGGGGAGATTCGTCTTGTGCAGGAGAAGATGGAGCTACGCTTAAAGCCGTTTGTGGTGTGGGAGGTGTCATTGGCACAGGGACTGTGTGAGACGACTGGGTAGACGAGGGAGCTTGCGGAGGAGGTGCCTGGTATGGAGTAGACACGACAGGGGAATGATGTGGTCGTGGATATGGTTGTTGCTGCTGAGGAACTGGCGCAGGCATATAATGCTGCTGCATAGCCGGAGGGGGAGATCGTACATATGGCGGCGGAGCATATGGATTGTATTGGTGTGGAAGAGGAGCATTGTGGTATTGCTGAGGCATAGGAGCTTGGGGATAGTAATTGGCGCCATATGGTTGCATGTAGTTTTGATACATCTGCGGAGGATATTGCTGATGTTGCTGATGCTGGTGCTGATGTTGTTGGTATTGATTATGAGGCCTCCTCCTGCCCACATCCGGTGGCATGCCTTGCCCTGCCGGCAGATGACGGCCGTTCATCATGCCGGCTTGGGAGGGAGATGCTTCTCCCAACTCGACCGCGTTCAGGTCGAATTGGAGCTGCGCGTGCGAAGGTAGAACCTTGTGGGAGCTGGAAGTGGGATACGATCGCGACCAGAGTCAGCGCGCGGATGGGCGACGAGGCAACGAGGATTGAAGCCGAGGAGTCCGTCGCAGTGATGAAGGGACAATGGACAACGTTGACTCGGGATCTAGGACCTCTTCTTGAAAGAAGGGTTGGCGTTGGCGTCGAGGCTGTGATGTCGCGTGGGTGGGCGAGGTTGTCAGTCTGGGGGTCAAATCCAAAATTATGTTATGGGATGGATGGAGTCCGATAGAAATGGCCCGAGCGCCAAGAAATTTCCCGCTAGGCGAGGGACGGGGTCTCCCTTGGTGTGGTTTGCTTGGTTTGGTACTTCGAGACATGAATATTTGCCAGTAAATGGGCGTATCTGTAAAGGAGGGACAAAAGGTCGACGAAAACAATTTTATATCAGTTTGTCAACTCTCATTTACTACATTTATTTGCTTTTAAATTTAGCAGGTCTTGCTCAAACATGTCGGTCGGTGTGGCTTGCAACTGTTGTCAGAGGGTGAGAGACGTCAGCAAACCCCCAAAGCAAGGGCAATCATCACAGGTGATATTTATGGAAAATTAATAATCTTATGATCCGCTTGAGGGAAGGGAGGCTTGCCTATTCATAAATGGCTATATACTGCAATCTTCTTGAATGTGGTTCGTCCGGTAGCTGACAAGCCGGGTATCTTCTGGCTTGATCAGTGACCTGTGAAGTAGTCTTGGCCAAAGAATTTAGTATCTCAATCTTAATATCTGAAGATTTCCATATTTTTCGAGTATCGATATACGAATAGGCTCTGTAATTCTCCCATATCTGTCTGTTCCTATCCGATCCAGTTTCTTGACCTTGCAGGCATAAAACAAGCTCGATGACTCGTGACAAGCACTTGGTCTTGCAATCGTATCCCGTTGATTGTTACGTGCATAACAATCTTTTTGTCGGGTTATAACTTCCAAATATTTAAATCCCTTTGTATTATCGGTCTCACCTCTCCTCTGCCATGTGTGATGACGAGAAAGCACTTTAGTCCCTTTTGCCGAAAACTAGCGCGGATTGTCTTTGGTGCACCACTCCTCGCCCCTCATCTTCCCTGCCCAAGACCCAGCTGTTGTGACTCCCGTCCCCCCACTACAACTCCATCAGCGCCTCTGGCGTCTGTTTGTAGATTGATCATCAACAACACCATTCTCATTGTTCTCTTGTCTTTTCTTCCTTCTTTCCTTGCTCCTCTCGAAATCGAGCTGATCCTTGTTCCGGTGGTCAACGAATCCTTAGAGTCAACATCAGACCATCGATCCGTCTCTCGCCTTCATCTCCTCGCGACGGACATACGTGCCCTGGCCCCATTCTGGATATCGAGGTCAAAGACCCAAAACCGTAGCTGTAGGCTCCCTTATACAGCTTGATTGTCTGTATAATTGCCGAAGCAGAGCTCGAAACGGTGTCTGGAAACGATCATGAATTCTGCTCTTCAAAACGCGTCCTCATCTGGCGGCAAGTCGCTCAATATCTCCTCGCATTCTCCTCTTCAGCAGCAGAATCAAAGTCCTTCTCCAAGCTTCGAGTCAGGCTCACGACGCTTTGCGGGTCATTCTCTCCCAGTCAACGCGTCTCCCCGAAACACTCAAGGTCACAAGAAGCAGCACAAGAACTCGAGGAAACCGAGGCTCGCGGATGAGGATGCTATGGCGGAATCCGTACGCACGTTTCCTAAATACCAGGGGTTACTGTGCTAACAAGACATAGGGAGTCATGAGAAATGCCAACAGCCGTCGGGGGCAGACCTCGATCACTCACCTAATGAACATCACCCTTCCTCCTCGACCACAAGACTATCGTAACAACATTGCCAGAGGATCAAGGAGGGGTAACATCTATGGAATTGGATCAGGTCATCATTCTAGTGATAAGGCGAGGTACGGTGTCAAGATGCTCGTGATGAACTGTTCTGACGCTATCATCCAGGTACATTCATGCCAACTACAGGTTCATCGTCAAACCCAACGGAGATTATAAGCAGCAAGCAATCAACGCTGATCAACATCTCGATTGGAATGACGTTCTGCAGATTCTTGCATCGTCAGTATCACAGGAAGCGTCGTGTCCCATCTGCCTCTCCCATCCTGTCGCTCCACGAATGGCAAAGTGCGGTCATATCTTCTGCCTTCCTTGTCTCATTCGTTACATGCACTCCTCCGACGATACCAACCCGATACCTGAGAAGAAAGCGCGGTGGAAGAAATGCCCCATCTGCTGGGATTCGGTATACATTTCCGAGACTAGACCCGTGAGGTGGTACACTGGACAAGAGAGCCCCGCCCCACGGGAAGGTGACGATGTGGTATTGCGATTGGTAATGCGCCAGCCTGGGAGTACTCTCGCCTTACCTCGGGATGGAGCCGAAGCCCTGCCGAAATCAGAAGATATACCCTGGTACTTTGCTGCGGAAGTTACAGATTATGCCAGAATTATGAAGGGCAGTGAAGAGTACATGTTGGAACAGTACGATGAGGAAATACAAGATCTCCAGCGACAGGAAAATGAGGACGAGTTGATGTTTGGTGAAGAGCCGGAATGGACGAGGAAGGCGGTCAACGCAGTTAGAGAAGCTAAGGAGAAGGTCGAGGGCATTGGCAATCCACCCGCAGTGGCAAAACAACCGGCAGAAAAGAAGCCCAAGAAACTACCAATTCAGTTTACTGTGATGGACGAAAACGCCCCGGAGATGTACTTTGTTCAAAAAGCCTCAAATTCCGGCTTGAACCTTGCCAACGGTACGCCTGCATTGGAGACTGCTCAGACGAATGATGAGTCTTTGGGTCTTCCAATCATTCAGCCACAAGCGATCCCTGCCCACCACGAGACGAAAATTGCTCGAGTTGGCCACAGTGAGGCGCATCATCCCGATGCACCTTATTACTTCTACCAGGCTCTTCTCCATTACTATCTGGCTCCTCTCGACATCCGAATTTTGAAGTCTGCATTCGGCAACTTCGCCTCATTCCCTTCTACGCTCCTCCCACGCGTTGAGCGCGTATCCACTGGCCATATCATGGATTATGACTTACGAAAGCGAACGAAATATCTTTCACATCTTCCAGACGGCTGTGAAGTTGGATTTCTTGAGTGTAATTGGACAGATGTGGTCAGCCCTGAGATCTTGATTCAATTCAAGGATGAGATCGAGAAGAGAAGAAAACGCAATCGGGACAAGGAAAGTCGTGAGGAGCGAGATAGAGTTCGTGCAGAGAAAGCCGAGGATGATGCTCGCTGGGCAAATGCTAGGAGGAAACGACCAAGCATAACCGCGGAGACCTTCTCTTCGCAAGACTTCGTCGATATCGCATCAACTTCGCTTGATGCGAGCAATGCGTCGCCTCCTTGGCCTACCCGCCAAGGATCCTCGTTTGGACCATTGGCATCACCATCTACAAGTCCAACTGCACCAAGGACAGTATGGGGTACTGCATTGGTCGCCCCAGCATCTCCAGAGACTCACGCCCAGCGTGTGGAGCAAGATGGCGATGATGGCTGGCTGTCTTCCTGGGAGCAGGAGCTGCGGGCGGAGAATGCCCAGAACGATCTGATCGCACAGGTCCAGGCTGCTTCTCTGAACGGGCCAGAGACTCCGAAAGCTGGAGGTCAAGGAAAGGGGAAGAAGAAGAAGAAGATCACGTTAATGAGCACCACTGCGAGACGAGCTGCTTGATTTGTCGTTACTTGCATTTGTACATAGCGGGTGGATTTGGTCCGGCGTTTGAGTTGCAGATACCGAGTTGTAGATTCACAATACAGAAGGAAAACTTTGCATATGCCCTCAATACTATCTGCGGCGACAAAGTCCGATATGTCGATCGGCCTATTCTATTAAAAATCGTGTCTGCTGCCCTTTCGATACCCTATCGAACCTGACGTGCGAATCTGGCCGTGCAGGTAATGGTAAGTGACTTCCAGTTGTTGCAGGGCTTCTTGTTCATTCCACTTTTATTTCAGATGCTTGACGACAACTTACACTGACAAAAGGTTACAGATTAGAGCTGGCCGCGTCTAAATATCCCATGCAAAGACGAAAATTAAAATAACGAGCCTTACCAACCATGCACCGCCTCCAGAAATCTCCAATGCGCAAATACAATTGTACAAATTCGGCCGGCTAGATAGAACCTTCGCCCTCGCTAACATTATTGCCACCGGAACACAACCACCTCACTTTCCCAGTATACTCTAAGAGGCCACGGCAAATTTACTCTTCTTCCTCAACCTCGCCCCAAAGATAAAAATCACAAAGACACCCAAAATACAACAAGTCGTCAGCCCACCCAAGAGACTGACACCACCAGCAATGCCCAGATTGAGAAACATCGGGCGCGCATATTGGATAGATCCAGCCGCGAACATCGATCTCGCGAAATCATTGGCGGCGAAGAGACTTCCTGCGTATTTTGGGTATGTGAACGGGAGATAGATGAACAATGACTGCATGACGAGGGAGATGCCGCAGACGCTGACTGCGATACCGATCATGCTGGCTATCCAGTGGACAGAATGACGGGCGGTCCAAGCTTGTTCCAGTCAGTACTTATTGTCACTCAAATATACTTGGATGTGCATGGGTGTGCTCACCGAATATAAACAGTCCCATAGGAATAAAGAACGTCCCGAGCAGACTCGGCTGGATGCGATATTCAGGCGGGACATTCCAGAATCCGACTTTGGCCATATGCGGGTCGCCGATATAAATGAAGAAGAGGCAGTATAGTGTACAGCCAACAATCAGGCCAACGAGTACGGATAAGAAAGAGAGGCCCAGTTCTCCGAGATTGAAGCCGTAGATCTCAACGTAGACGAGAGGGAATGATTCACTTTGGCACATTAGCGGAGTCGGGGTGTCGCAGAAAGAACGAGAACCTACAAGAACGAATAGAAAATTCCATACACGAGCGCAGTATACACCGTCGTGAACAGTACAGCTGGATCCAGGATGTTGATCTCCCACGGTTTGATCAGCGCATCGATTGTGATTTGGCGAGAGTTCATGGCCGCTTGCTTGATCTCCGAATCGGACTTCAAATCTGTCCGACCTGTAAGTTTTCTCAGTCTTTGGGCACGATGGAGGAGGATCGTGTCGGATGATGTCTCAGGAAGAGCAATGAGCATGACGAGGAGCATGGGGCCGGAGATCCAGAGAAGTTCCCAGGCACTCCAGCGCCAGTCCTTGGCTTGGACGGCGAAGCCTGCGATGAGTGGACCGAGACACTGTTCTCATTAGTCCAATTCACAATTCCCGATTAGAAGGAATACTTACAGGACCCAGAGTCGCGCCCGCACCCCAGAAAGTGATACAGTACACCAAGACTGTCGGATGGAAGAAGTCACCATAACTCGCCGCCCCCGTCGCCAAACACGGCGACCCAAAGAACCCCAGCAAGAACCTCAGAACCAACAAACCCCCAAAATTATTCACCAGCGATGCTGGCACCGTCAATATCACAAAACTAATAAACGTGATGATGTACGGTGAGTTTCTCCCAATAGCTGGGATCTCAGAAAGTGGCGAGAACAGCAACGGCCCAATCCCATAGCCCACAACATACAATGAGAGGCCTAGAGAAGCGGCGACTTCACTGACGCCGAAGATACGCACAATATCTGGGATACCAGCAGTGTAGAGAGAGGAACCGACGTACACGGCGAAGGTGTAGAAGAAGATGACTGTGCCGACCCAAGCTTTCTTTGCGAAGGACCAGTTTTGAGGATTCTCGGGGTCGTCGTCGGTGTACCAGGTTACGAGGAAGATTCCGTCGTTGGTGCGGTGGGGTCTGATTGTTTTTTCTTTGGTGAGAGCTGGATTGTTGTTGCTTTGAGATGGGGAAATTGGTAGGGACGTGGTGGTGCTGAGACCTGGTTGGGTTTCGACGTCTGTTTGGGATTGGTTTTCGATGTCGCTGTTGGATTGGCCCGCGTCTTCTTTTGACTCATCGTTTTGTTCGGTTCGGAAGGAGGAATTGGGGTTGGGTCGTCGTGGTGCTAGATTTGGGTTGTAGGAAGGAGGCAGTTCGAAGGATTCCTGTTCCTCGACGTATTTTCCAACTCGGTTACTTGTCAGGAATCTGAGGACTTGTCCGATTGTTGAATCTCTGATCAAATCACGCATCTTGAATGTGTTTAGGACTTGATTGCGAAGTGGCAGTTGTGCAATTGATGTACTGATTCTTGCTCACGAACCTTACAGTTCTCTGGGACTCTGATATTATATACACCGAAACTAGTCGTCGTCCTCGGACTTTTCTCCAATTGCGCGGTCTGCGAGCCACGACAAAGTCATTGGGATCTAAGTCCGAGATCGAAAGAAGCATTCAGAAACTCACTAACTCACCTCATTCTGGCACTGAATAGAGCGAGACGTAATCCCTGACTAAGGTATGTTGTTATTTCATCAGCATCGAGAGCAAGACCAACAGAGACTACCCTTCTTACATTAGCAAGCTCCCCATCTGTCCTCTATTCAAAACAATTCAAATCAAGGATTTTCCATTCTCTGGTGTTACTCCTCTTGTCTTATCCCTGGAAACGGTCCAGATGTCGCGGTCCGGGCCCCCACATTGTCCATTTCGCACAAGTTACCACAGCATAATCCACTATGCATTTTAGACCCCAAAAAGGACTCAAGATTATACCTACTATATTCTTAAGCGGAAAATATACTCCTTGGCCGACGTGCCTGGCGGATAAGCCATTGGGTAGCCAAGTGCGACAGGGTTATGCTGATGTAAGCTCCTCGGACTTTCAATCATGTTGCCAACACCGAGCGGCCTTTGTCGGTATTTAGGATGGTGCTAAGGCACCTTTACTGGCTTTGTATACTGCAATGGAGTATTGCACGTATCTTGGACTATCCAGTGCTCAGACAGGGTTTCCAAGGATCTGTAGATGAAGAAGTTTCTGTATTTGATGTTTGTTTGGAAGCAACGAGTCTCGCTAAAACCCAAGCGAACTTGGGATGCTTTGCGCTAAACCACTCTAGGTCCTGTATTTTCTTATCCCAAAACTTCAAAGCGAGACAAGTTTCGTAATTATTGAGGACTCTGGCTGCAAGTTAAGATCATGTTCAAGATTTGTTCAGATCCTCTGTGAACTGCATTGGTCGTACTCTTAGAGCCAGTTCTGGTTTACGGCCTCCCAATTTACCTCCCAGGCTTCAACTGGACCAGAATCGGAGCAGCAACTTCTAAAGTATGCAGACTCAATAATGTAGCAATTTCCAACACTTCCATAATCTCTTCCGGCGTAGCTCCATATCCTATTGCATTCTTCATGTGAAGCTTCAATCCGGGCTTGTAGAGGTGAGTGGATGCGGCGTCGAAGGCGCAGTAGATAAGCTCTTTATCCTATGCGTGATTCAGCCAGTCCTTATTCACAGAAATTGGGTTATCTCAACATCGAATAAAAGAGCTTGGGGAGAAGAGATATAGACAAGACAAGAGACAGAAAACCAAAACTCACCCTCGGCGACAAAACACCACCTCCACTCCCATCCCCTTTCGTATCTTTCACCCACGGCACAGTGGAAAAGTCCAAATACGCCTCAAAAAATTCCGGATCAAGCCTCAAGAAGTCCTCCCAGAACTCATGCCAATATCCCCTCTTCTTCGTAAACTCCTCTCGCAAATCGATCCTCTTCTGATCCTTCGGCGCTTCAATCGTGCTCTTATGGCTATCATAAATCCCCTCCTCCTTCATAACCTCCACCAAAATCGGCACTCCAATATTACAAGCATGAATACCCAGCGTGCTTGTCAATTCAAGAACTTCAGTTACTTCAGCTATACTGGCTCCAGCTTCCAGCGCCGCGCGCATATGTGTGCGGATTCCGGGAACATAGAGGTGTGTTGCGGCGCTGGAGACGGAGAGGGCGATGAGGGATTGGAGTTTGGGTTTGAGGTGTTTCTTTTTGAGAGGGACGCTGCGGAGGTGCCGACTTGCGTCGAAGATTGAGGGGGAGAGGGTGAGGATGTCGGACCAGGCAGGGGTGAAGGCTAGGTGGCCTAGGTCGGTCTGGAAGGCGGCTTTGAGTTCGGTGGGAGGTTTGCTGGACGACATCGTTGTGAATGGGAGTGAAGAATTTTTCTGGGATCAGATTATGAGTAATTGAAGTACTTGCAAATGGTACCATGCGTTAAAAAGTGAAATTGATGATATCGGATTCAAGGGGGTTCACGTAAAATGACCCCGCGATTGGGGAAGTGTGGGGCTGCGGGGTAATTTCTGACCTCAAAATCAACAAATGGACGCGATGAATGGATAGCAGGTTTGATTCTGATGAAGCAATGGATAGAATTCCGATTCTTGATGTCTTTGACAAATTATTTAATCACTGTTGTTTTGTAGGTACATTTTTTTGTAGTCTTATGTTGACATATGTGGGTAAGCCGACGACTCGGCCAATCGATCTGCTCGTTCCTGCTTCTCGAAAGAATCTCGATTCTACCTACTGTGCAGAAAGATTTTTCCTCTAAAATATCTAGTTGTCCTAAGTTGCTCCCCAAAAGCGTCCACTATTCTTGGGATCCCTTTCCCACTCCACATCATGAGCAAAGATAACCTCAACCCCTTGCTCCTCAATCAAGCGAATCCGCTCAATCGTCCGTTCAGCCTCTTTCCTATCAGCATGTATACAGCACGTATGTCCCTCCTCATCCGTCCAAGTCCCAATCTTCTTTTCCATTCGGATGATTCTCCTGTCATGGCATGCATCACCTCCAAGATAGACACTCTCGTTAGGTCCTGTCTTGGCTAGGAGATTGATATGGCCAGGAAGATGTCCAGGCGCATCGACGATGTAAAGACTGCCGTCTTGGAAGATATCCATTACGTTTGGAAACATGGGATGAATTGTCCAGTTTTGATGAAAGTCGGGCTGTCCGGGTGCAAGTGGCTTCCTGAAGCTTTCGCCTGATGAGGGACTTGCGAGTTCTGTCGTCCTCGATTCTGGTAGTAGATCGACCTCGAAGAAAGAGTGTCCTCCTCGGAGTGATGTGGAAGTACCTTGAAGAAGTGCTTTGGCTCCGGATCCAATTATAAATTGACTCTTGGGAAAGTCGCGAGGTTCTCCAATATGATCCCAATGTACCTGGTGGAAAATTGTGAGCATTTGTTCTGTAACAACCAAGGCGTGAACAAACATGAGATAAAATAACATAATCAATATCATCCGGTGTCAGATTCCCAACAGCAAGACTTTTGACCACATCCGGATCCGTTCTCATCGGTTGTCTCGTCTCTGTGTGTTTCCTAATCGGCTCCGAGTATCTATTCACATCCCGGCGCAATCCCAAATCAAACACAATTCTCGTCTTCTTCCCCGTTTCGACATCGTCATGTTGAATAAGAAACGCGAGTGAGGGAACAGTATGTCTCGCCGTCTTCGAAGCAGGATGTACGAATTGATATTCCGGAAGCGAGAAATGGCCCGCTGAGAGGGCGTGGATTTGAACTATTACAATTTCCAATGGAGGCGAGGGAGGACCGGAGTTCTTCACGAATATAGAGGACATGGTGACCAGTCGTCGATATGTTGGGATTCTTGCATGAGGATACAAGAAAGCCCCGATTAATTAACGTTGTGGTGTTTGACTTCAGGAACTGTTCCGCTGAATTGGGGTAAGAAGCACTTGGATAGACCCCCGAAGTTAGACGCCAAGCGAGTTTTAGTTTTGGGGAAGCCGCCAACTCGATTGGTGATCTAAGGGGAACTTCTATCATATCAATGATCAATTTTAATCTGTCCATTTGCTTGAAAATTCCCATTCTATTTCCATCTCTTTGCACAGACGTCAAGATGGGATCGTCAGGGAGCGAATCCTATGAGTCCATTGGGTTCATTGGGCTTGGGGCAATGGGTTTGCCGATGGCAAGACATCTGGCAAACAAATTACCACAAGACACTCTAATATATGTTTTTGATGTCGCAGACGAAGTAATGAACACTTTCAGTGCTGAGTACCCGAAGAAGATTGTCAAGTGTGGGAGTGCAAAAGATGTTGCAAAGCAGACGGTAAATGCTACCCTCCAATAAAGTTACTCAAGACGAGCCAATCAAATCTTGAACCTGAACTCTTGACTTAGGACGTCATTCTATCAATGGTTCCAGAAGGGGCACATGTCAGATCAGTCTACCTGGACGACAAGAACGGAGTCTGCAGCACAGACATCTCCAGCAAACTCCTCATCGACTGCTCCACAATCGACACCGCAACAAGCCTCCTGGTAAAAGACCACATCGCGAAGAGCTTCCCCTCCGCCTCATTCTACGACGCACCTGTCAGCGGCGGAGTAGTCGGCGCAGTCAAAGGCACGATTGCATTCTTTCTCGGCTGCGCGAAGACAGATCCTAGCCTGCCACGCCTCACACAACTCCTCGAGAAGATGGGATCGCAGGTTATACCATGTGGCGGGCCATCATTGGGTCTTGCGGCAAAATTGTCGAATAATTATCTGTCGGGTGTGATTGCTATTTCGTGTTCAGAGGCTATGGATATGGGTATGAGAGCTGGGCTGGATCCTATCACGCTTGCTAAAGTCTTCGCGGCTGGCACGGCGCAGAATACGATTTGCGATCGATTCAACCCAGTGCCTGGTGTACATCCTGAAGCACCGTCTACGAATGGGTATAAGAACGGGTTCAAGGTGCAGCTGATGAGGAAGGATTTTGGATTGGCAGTGGATATGGCGAAGAGGGTTGGAGCGAAGAATGTGCTGGGTCAGCTTGGGTTGGAGACTTATACGGCGGCGAGTAATGATCCCAGGTGTAGAGATTTGGATTCTAGAGTGGTGTATAGATATCTTGGGGGTAAAGAAGATTGGAAAACAGGTGATACTGTGGAATAGATACCTTCTCAGTACTTTTGGTTTACTGAATTTACTATTGACTTCAAGATCGCTTAAGTTTCAGGGATTCGCTTGTTGGGATGGAATTTCAGGCTTCAGGTTCATGATTTTGGCTACGCTATCAAGAAAAATCACGATGTCATATTGAGCAACAAAATTCAGGCATAGCACCTCGACACGAAGTCGCTCCAACATTGTCGATCTGAGCCACAGCCGGCGTTGGAGAGGGTTGCAGCTTGGTGCGGGGTAAATTGGGGTAAACGAGTGGGGCAATCAACTTGAAGTCAAGGTGGGACAACAAGTTATGGCACTGTTCTCCATCAACACTCGATTTGTTATCTGAAGTCTTTGAACATAAGTCCTTCACTATCTTATTTCCAATCAATCAATCTTCCTTTTTTTCAATGCCCAATCTGCTCTCAAAGCAAAAGCAAGTCCCGTCCAGCAATCAATTGCCCCACTCAAGCTTCCATCAATAATCACCATCCTCTAAAATGTCAACCGATCCGAAGTTCGACTCCCTGCACAAGCAGCTCTTCGAAGAAGGCCTCAAGATGCGTCGCAGCGTCGTAGGAGACGAATACGTTGACCGTGCCCTTGCCAACGGCTCCACGGAATTCTCAATCGAAGGCCAAAAGCTCGTCACAGAATGGTGTTGGGGCTATGCCTGGACAAGACCTGGACTCGAGAAGAAGCAGCGCAGTCTCCTCAACATTGGAATGCTGATGGCGCTGAATCGGGCTCCGGAATTGGCGGTGCATATTAGAGGGGCGAGGAATAACGGATTGACGGAGTTGGAGATTAGAGAGGCGATTTTGCATTGTACGACGTATTGTGGTGTTCCCGCTGGGGTGGATGCGATGAAGGTTGCGGAGAAGGTATTGAATGAGATGGCCGAGAAGGGGGAGAAGGAGAGGGAACTAGGAGGGAAAGTTGCACTGTCTTGAGGGATGGATGAGGTTGCATGATAAATGAACTTTGAAAGAGAGTTTGGTAATAGGCAGCTAAGACGTTGAATATCAGTTCTAATAGATATGAACATAGACAAGTTTGGGCCAAAATCCGACAGAATGATGGAATCTGAGAGACACCAAGTTGTTCAGGTCAACATCCAAGAGTATGCATCTGGTGGTAAATTGAATGAGTTCATATGCTCACTGTTCATATCACTTCCTAGTAGATCAGCGCAATATAATCTGATCTTGTTGAGATATATGAAAGTAACGAACCTGGCTGCCTGTTGAACAATGCTCGTCGCTTCTAATGCCTATTTGGGTTGACCCCCTCGACTCCTGACCCTTGCACCCTGAATTAAGCAACTTCCCCGCATCTTCAATCTTCCCCGGATTGTCCTCTCCTGCATCAACAACACCAAGCGCTCTGATTGAATTGAACATATTGGGGCCGAGTAACAGTTGAGCACCGGCTGATCCCAAAGTACTCCTCAATTCCCCTCCTCACATTGCAGCTCATGGTCCTGTCAAGCGGAGTGACAGGTGAACAGGGGGAGGCGGCCCCGGTCCCGAACAAAGTCAAAAAGAGGTTTCAGTGTCAACACTGTCAGAGGAGATTCGCTCGTCTAGAGCATCTGCAGAGGCATGAAAGAATACGTAGGTAATTGGTCTGAGGACTAGGAGTTATTTTCACTGAACCTTTTGCCACCAGATACCCAGGATAAGCCTTTCAGTTGTCAACAATGTGATTCACATTTCAGTCGGAGGTACGATTTAGCCTTATCCCATGTCTACCACAATATGCTCATCTGACACTCGCAGTGACCTTCTCATCCGCCATCTGAGATTGACCCACGAAAAAGATGCTCTCAACGCGACTGCTAACAATCATGATAATGATGATGAACGCCAGGGTGCCCAGAAAAGAACAACCAAGCGAAGACGATTGACCTTCAATAGTAGAGATCGCCCCGCGGTAGCAGGAGCAACACCAGAGAACGACTTTGACTTCACCATCGATAATATATCATCTGGCGATATGGCATTCAGTCCTCCAATGAACTCAAATCAGAACAATGGATACACTCTCGCCACTCTGTCAATGGCTGCGGAATATTCTGCATTACAGGGCACCTTTGACGGAACCTCGGGCCAGACACCTGGAGTATCAATCGATATGCCTCCTCCAAACGATTCAAATACTTTATCGAGTAATTTTGATACGGCTCCAAATTATGGGTTGGGATTTGAAGAATCGCTAGACAACTTGGCAGCGTTCCTTGATAGCGAGCCGTTATCATCATACAATTTCTCAACTTTGATGAGTGCTGGACAACCAATGGTTTTATTTTCGCCCGAATCATTCTCCTATGTCGATGATATGGTTCCTCCGGCAGGAAGTCAAAGCGTCGCTGGGTTCAACCAGAGTCAACAGATCGAAGAACGAAACACATTCTCGCGCTTTGGCTCCCGTCTACCAAGTCTACAGCCAGAGGAAAGCCCAGCTCAAGATCCACTCACTACTGCTGCCCGGCCGCTCGCTGAAGTATCTCCTTCAGATAGACAAGTGATCGTGGTCAAACTGTCTGAATTCTCCTCTGCGATCGCTGCAGATTTCGTGCTGCCGTCTCGCTTGGCACTTTCACGGTACATAGCTGCGTACGTCAACGGATTCCACGAACACCTTCCGTTTCTCCACATACCGACAATGTCAATCGAAAACTGTTCAATTGAACTCACACTTGCTATGGCTGCCGTCGGTGCGCAATATTGTTTTGAGGGTGAGAAAGGAGTTGAGCTTTTTAATGCTAGCCAGGCTGTTGCTTCATCTAGGATACGTCGACGAGATGCAAGTTTAGGAAGGCCAAGGATGTCTGCTTCAGCTGGAGGGCATGATATCTCCACCACTTCCAGTACCCGAACAGGGTCTATCTCTGGCCCCCTTGGCCTACCGTCCGATACGGAAGTCTCACCTACTTCACAGAAGCCAGACTTGATCCAAACAGCACAAGCACTCTTGCTCCTCATGGCTATGGCTACTTGGGCGAAGCACCGAGAAATTCTCAGAGAAGCTCTTGCCATTCAGAGCATTCTGGCAACACTCGTTAGGGACGACGGGCTCAAGATGCAATCATTACCCAAAACAGCTTCATGGGAAGAGTGGGTCCACTTCGAAAGTACTAAAAGAACAAAATTTATTGTGTTCTGTTTCTTCAATCTACACTGCATCGTTTACAATATCCCACCGCTCATCCTCAACGCAGAAATCAAGCTAAATCTCCCATCCACCGCAGCTGAATTCAAAGCTCTGAGTGCGACGGCCTGGAAAGAGCTAAGGAAGAAGTCAACTCCCGAGATTGGATTCCAAGAAGCACTGCGACGTTTGTTTTCTCGCAATGGGCGAGAACTTTCGGAATCCAATTCGTCGCTGGGGAACTACATCCTCATCCATGCACTCGTACAACAGATCTTCCTTGTCCGCCAAATTGCAAACTGCAGGTACGATAGTGCGGGTGAGTTCACACAGGAAGAATTCTCGTCACTCGAGCATGCCTTACGGAGCTGGCAACTGGGTTGGAAACGCACTCCTGAGTCTTCCCTAGACCCTATGGATCCCAACGGGCCAGTAGCCTTCAACTCCACGGCAATCCTTCGACTTGCGTATATCAGACTGAATATAGACATCGGGCCTTACAGATCTCTAGATACTCGCGACCCAATACAGATCGCCAATGCATTCCGAGAAAGCCCAGATATCAAACGCACACCAAAACTCGTGCGTGCAGTCCTTCATTCAGCCCATGCACTCAGCATTCCCGTCAAGATTGGCATCCGGCTTGTTTCCAAAACGCAGACTTTCATATGGTCGATCCAGCATTCACTCTGCTCCCTCGAATGTGCTTTTCTACTTAGCAAATGGCTCGAGGCTCTCTCGCTTCCAAATCCAGAACCACCGATTACGGACGACGAATGGAGGATTAGCTCGCTCGTCAAAACGATGTTGAACGAGACTGAGTTTGCCGTTCCTTCTGACATCCCAACGGATTCACCAGCTATGATGAAGCATCTGAGCGCGGGTGTTTTGCGTGTTTGGGCTACAATATTCAGAGGGGCTCAGACTTGGGCAATTGTGGATGTCATTGGAAGCTCGCTCAATACATATGCTGACATGTTGGAACCGAGCACGTCACTGGAATGATTTGAGGTATTTTGCATTCGGGAATTGTCGCTGGTACTCTAAAACCGCTCACGAGCAGATGCTCTTTCTCGAGCTTAGCAAAAGTCTATGTGGCAAAGAGCTTTCACATCTCCTGAGACATGTCAATGACCAACTTGCCCCCACTTCCTTTATGATACTCTGCTACGAGGTCATTCAAACCCGAAAGAGGGTAGGTCTTCAACACTGCTTTGACGTCGTGCTCTGCACCATGGAACAATCAGCAAAGGTCCACCCTGGATTACGAAGAACCACAGTGGGCAAATGGTCGGAACAATTAACAAGATGAAAGATCACTCACCAGCTGCGAATTCCAACATCTCTCGCAGAGATCTATTGCTTCCAACAAGGCTCCCTATGATTGAAATATCGCGAAAGACAACATCACGAGCAGAGAAGTGAAAGCCAGCTTCGGGAAACGACACCACAACACACCGACCGTGGTTCTTTAAAAGTCGAACTCCGTACTCGAATGCCTTTTGGCTTTCTGGAAGAATAATGACAGCGTCAAGCCCCTTGTCCCCAGCTTCTTTCTTTCTATCTTCTTGGCCGAGCTCCTGAACGATCTGCTCCGCTGTTACCGTACGTACGTCCACGATCCTCGCGCCCGTGTTCAAGTCCTGAGCCAACGTCAAAGCACCGTCAGCCGAGTCGACACCGATAACTCTGAATCCCATCTTCGTCGCAAATTGTAGTCCAAGATGTCCCAGTCCTCCTCCACAGCCAACAATGCCAACTCGCTGTCCAGGCTGGAGGTGGCATCGCTTCAAAGCAGAATATATCGTGACACCCGCACACATCAAAGGTGCAGTTTCGACCGCAGTCATAGATGCTGGTATTGGAGCCACCTGGCGAGCATCAACGACTGCATATTCGGCAAATCCGCCAGGCCGACTCAGGCCATTGTTTCCTGAGTTGGGGCAGAGGACCGAGTAGCCAGCTGGATCGAAGTCGGGTATGGTCTCATCGAGACATTCGAAGCATGATCCGCAAGGATTGAAGGCACGGCCTGGGACTCCGATTCTGTCGCCTATCCTGAAATCCGAAGCTGGGGATGGTGGTAAAGAGACGATCGTTCCGGCAAATTCGTGGCAGCCGATGTGAGGGAATGATGGAGGGTTTGGCGGCATCTGTCCATCGGCTAGAACGGCGTCAGTGTGGCAATAGGACGCTGCATCTACTTTGATCAGGAGGTCATGGGCACATGAGGGCTTGGGTAGTGGCACTGTTCGTAGGACGTAAGGTGTTTTGAATGCCTCTAAGAATTGAGCCTTCATGGACATTGGTAGGCTTGCTGTTGAAGCCATCATGAAGGCAGCATTTGTCAACTTGTCAAAATGTTGCCTAATCACTCACTTCTATTGAGATATCAATAACGCCGGAATTCATCTCGAGATACGTTCCTGTGCTCGGTCAAGGAGTCGGGGATTCTTTTTGGAGTCTCAAGCCCCACAGCGGGGTCGATACCCCAAGATATGATCGACGGCTACCCCGCAAACGCCTAACGTTCCCAGAAGCAGGAGCCACTGCAGGAACAGCTCGAGAATATGTTCTCGAAAAGTCAATATTTCCCATGGTATTCTATCTCAGATCATTGCAGCCAACAACAGAACAAACACAATGTCTCAGTCTCAAGATCCACAGATCCTCGCGCTCCCACCACCATCACCAAATCAAACCTACGTTACCATCTCCGCCCTAGATGCTGGCCACTTGACTCTCCCCGAATACCTCTTCATAACCGATACCTCTCCTACAATCCGCACAACCGTCCCGTCCCTCTCATTCTTAATTCAACATCCTTCTCCTTCTCCATCAACATCGTCATCTCGCTCCAGCAAAACGACAAACCTCGTCTTCGACCTCGGCCTAAAACGCGACTTCTCCGGCTACCGCACAGCGCAACAACACCACGCCGCCCAACGCCAACCCACAATCACAAGCCCAGACGCTGCTGACTCCCTGCGTAAAGGCGGTTTAGATCCCGCGACGGACATTGACATCGTGCTGCTCAGCCACGTCCATTGGGATCACGTTGGCACGCCATCTGATTTCCCAAACTCGAAATTCCTCGTTGGCAGCGGGACGTTGCATCTTCTTGCGCACGGAGGAGGACCACTATATCCTGCTGACTTGTTCAATGAGGATGAGTTGCCTAAGGATAGAACATGGGAATTTCCTCCTGTAGATGAAGCAGATTCAATAACTGCCGTGAGTAAGGAAAGGCAAACAGACCACGAATGGAAACCCCTGGCACAGTTCCCCGCAACGCTGGACCTCTTCGGTGATGGCAGCGTCTACGTAGTCGATAGTCCCGGCCATCTCTACGGCCACGTCAACCTCCTCGCTCGTATCTCGCCCACAAAATGGGTGTATCTTGGTGGGGACTGCTGTCATGACGTGAGGATTCTGACGGGTGAGCAGGGCGTTGCGATGTATGATGATGGGTGTGGGGGGTTGAGGAGTGTGCATGTTGATACGGAGGTTGCGAGGGGGACGATTGCGAGGATTGGGAAGTTGCTGGGACGGGGAGAGGTGAGGTTGCCGGAGGGGGTGGAGGTTGAGGTTGTGGTTGCGCATGATAGGGGTTGGAGGGAGAGGAATGGGGAGAGGTTTTTTCCCGGGAGGCTTTGATGGGGCGTTTTGAGATGAAGTGTTTCTGGGATTGAGATATACGAGGGCTTTTGAGTCGAGGGAAGCTTTGTCTACAAAGTTTATCTACCTCTGTTGACATGACCACCTGCAAGCGACTCGCTAAATTACTGTGGAGCATAAAAACGTCTGGTCAGGTTTATCTCCGCTATCTTAGCAGTGCTTACTCAACAGCTACTCAGAAGTAGAATCCTCTGAATCAAAGTTTCGACATTAAATTGATTCCACCGTTTTATTGCCTTCCAATTTCTCGTACTGTGTCGCAAGTGGCTTGTGAGACGTGGTGGCGGCCATGGAGCCTTCGACCCCGCCATCTCCAACTCCATTTTAATGCGGGGTAAACGGCATCACCTTTCCGATCATCTTCACTTGACACGACAAAAACAAGACCCCACATGCAAACGACTCCAATATCCTGATCCACTTTCACTTCGAAGTAAAGAAAGAAAAAGAGAATGTGAAGCTTCACTTTAAACATAACCCTTTTGATTACCTTCGCTCAACTAGATCTATCTACCCATCGTGAAGAATTGCTGTCAATTAGCAAAAGCATACATTCCAATCAGATCGGCACGATGTCTTCACCTGCGAAAACAGTAGCCTTTATAGGTAAGCAGTCAATGATTCATTTCCCAAAGTTTCTGGTCTAGAGTACAAATCGTTCTTTTCATGGATGTTGGAGCGTAATTGACACCTTCCCCCAGGCCTGGGAGTTATGGGCTACCCAATGGCTGTCAATCTTCGCAACGGACTCAGTCCAGATTATACCCTTCTCATCTGCGACGTCAATAAAGATGCTCTTTCTCGATTCCAGAAACAGACAGAAGGGAAAGGACCAGTTGGGATTATTGAGACGGGGAAGGGGGCTGTTGAGCAATCTGTGAGTCTGCCTGGATCATCATCGTGGTTGGGCGTCCTGGCGTTGGAAGTGCTGGCAAGCTGATCAGGTAAATACAGAATCTCGTAATAACCATGCTTCCCAACTCGCCCGCTGTAAAAGCCGTGTACCTCGATCCTGAGACTGGGATCGTAGCAGCAGCAGCCAAGAGTTCAACATCCTCGACCCACAAACTGATCATGGAATGCGGCACCATCGAAACAGCAACCATCCTCTCCGTCGCCAAAGCAGTCGACACCGCACGCTCAACCCTCCCCCAAAACTCCATACTATCATTCGTAGACGCCCCCGTATCAGGAGGACCAATGGGTGCCGAGGCCGTTACATTGACGTTCATGGTTGGCGCGAATGATTCTTCCTCGTTCGAAAAGGCGAAAGAAGTTCTTGCGCACATGGGCAAGAAGGAGAGTATATTCCATTGCGGAGAAGTCGGAGCCGGCACAGCGTTCAAAGTAATCAACAACTACCTCTCGGCCATAACATCTCTCGCCGCCTCTGAAGCGCTCAATATAGGCACGAAGATGGGATTAGACGTCAAGCTCCTCACGGACGTGATAAACGTCTCCGGCGGGCAATGCTGGGTCACGAGCCATAGTAATCCTGTGCCAGGCGTGCAGGCGAATGTGCCGAGCTCGAGGGGGTATGAGGGAGGATTTAGGCTGGAGTTGTGTGCGAAGGTGTTGAAGATGGGGAGTGAGCTTGCGGAAATGGTGGGGGCGAGGACGGTGCTGGATGGGCCGACGTTGGAGGCGTTTAGGGAGGCGAGTGAGGATGAGAGGTATAAGGGGAAGGATGCTAGGGTTGTTTATAAGTGGTTGAATGAGAGTGAGAGGAAGTGAGGGATGTGGTGGAACGTGAATGCGTAGCGATGTATATTTCAAGAATGTGTTTTTGATCCTCAGGGTCTCGCATTTCTGAGGACGGCTTCGTTCGAAAATCGGCATGCCGCAGCAGGATTTGTGACTTCTGCCCAGATGCCGATGGGATGTCCGAACATTGTCTATACGTTCTGACAGTGATGACTACCAATTCACCGTGTTCGGGTCGTGATCCAAGTCATCATTGGAGTCTCAATTTTGAGGGTCTCTTTTTTGAGCATCACCATGCTGTTGACAGTCGGAAAGCTTCCCATGCACCAGGACTCGAAGCATTAGCTGACTATGAATCGAAAACGGATTTTTGATTATCTGGCAAAAAGAGATGGGTGTCACTCTTTCTCATATATTTCCAGTGCTACAGCGCATACTAATGGAGCTTGAATGCAATCTCAGTCCTTTGATTACGCCAGCAGAGGCGGCAAAAGTTAACATCTCGAGGTCACGATCAGCACGTTTCGTTGCAGCACATCTGGACCTACCTCATCGTGCTGTGTACCATCATGATAAGGCAGTACTCTGTACGCTGTATACCTAGGTAGCTCACCTTTGCTTATGGCTGTCCACATGTGATACATGTGTAAATCTGCAAAGTAAGCGTACCAAAACTTGGCGATGAGAAATATGTGAGGTGACGTCGGGGGCTACAAACCATGCTTTCATGCTGTGCAACATACCTAGACACAATACCGGTTTTACGAAGGACCGACATGTGCAAAGTTATGATGCTGTCCAGAGTACCACATCCACCAGGGAGGTTTTTTTGTGTCTGACGCTACAATGCCACCTCTAGCTTTGTAGCTTCGATCTGTATCGCATCTATCAGGTGGGCTCCGTGATACATAAAATGCACTCCGTTTAGAGGTAGGAGCTAGTGCATGGGAATGTTTCTTCATAAATTTCTCGCATTGGGAGGTGAAGAGGGATCATGGTGCGATGGTTACACAACGCCGTTGATCGATTGATCGCCATCCTCGGTGCCTCGAAGCAGAATTACTGCATCGGTTTCTTTGAGGTGAGTACCTTCCTGCTGTCATCTCTGCATACTAAGCTTACTTCCAAGACATATTAAAGACTCGAGTCCCGCAGGAAAGACATACCTGCGATATTCTGAGTTCGTAGCTCTGCATCTTAAATATTTTCAAGAACAAGTTTTATTTTGCAGACAACATGTACTTCACACTCTTTCTCTTGCCAGCTGTGGCTGCCGCCGCCACCATACCCGGCCTTTCGCTCAATTGCGCTCCAAAAGGAACAATAATGCCAACTCCAAAATACGGTACGCAAGGAGCAGTTTTCACAGTCTGCGCACAAACCTCCATCCGCGGCACAGCATCCACAATCTACAACGCCCTCCTCGAATTTCCCCGCTACCACGAATGGAACACCTTCGTCTACGACGTCAAGGTACCCGCCACAGTCACTTCCGCCCAAGACGTCTACATCGGGATGCCGATGACGTTCCATACATACGGGCTGATACCAGTTCTCAACAGCACTTCGCAAGAAATCATTTCCTATTTGGAGCCGGGCTATCAAACGCCTTTTGCGGGCTGGTTTTCGGACGCTGGGTTGGGCTTGGCGGGGTTGCAGGCTCAGCATATCAGTCTTTTGAGGGATCTAGGTGGGGGATTGACGGAGTATGTTAGTTGGGAGACGTATTATGGTGCTGGAGCGGTGGTGGTTGCTGGGTTGAAAGATAGGCTTCTTACGCAGTTTGAAAATCAGGGGAGGGATTTGAAGTTGAGGGTTGAGAGTTTGGGAAAGTAGGCTTGGTTGTAATCTGGAGGAAGCTGGAGGATGTGCCCTGAAAACCTAGAGAATTGTGATGGAGAACTTTGAAGATAGAAAATTTTCATTGGAAAGCCTGCGTACTGTCTCGCCTTGACCAGTGCTTCTTAACCTATGGCATGATGATAATTTCTTACCTACTATCATGTCGCAAGAAAGTTTCCTCTATCTGTAGGCGAATCAACACAGGCATGATGTGGCCATTGTATCAATGCTCCGGTAATCTGCTGGACGAAATCCTGCTTCGCCAATTGGTTGTCCTGTTCCCTGGAGATCGTCAGCAAGAATTTTCATCTTTGAGCACGACAAGAATCATCTCTGATGCGAAACAATAATCAACCAATTGATCGCATGGCTTCGTCTTTCAGACCATTTATTCAGAAAGTCTAACGTCTCTCGTTACCCTGGATACCTATCTTGTTGCCCCATTAATCTTTAGCGAAGATTAGTGCAGACCCCTATCTCAGGGTGTTGGCGCAAATACACAGCAGTCACCTTCTCTTCCCATCGTCAGAACCACCACAAGTCATTTTCAGAAGATCATATTATATCCTATTCCTCATCGCAACTTTCTCTCTTCCTTTTGTTGATTTCACCTCCAGGTTGTGGAAGCGGCATTCCCGAAAAATCTCTGTCGGCTAAAAATAGCATCTCCAGCCACGATCTCCAGTTTTGGCGGAGGCGCAGCCATTCGTCAACAACATTCCGATCTGAAACCGCGTCAGCCAGCCCTGTGGCCCGTCAAGGGGGAATATCTAAACACAACCTCCATCACAACTTCGTCTCTTCATACACTCGTTCAATTCTCCTCACGTAAACGAATATGGCTCCTATTCATATCGCGCGGACTCTCTTTTCTTCAGAGTCGCTTTCAGGCGGGTTTCGCCATGCCAGGATGGCTGTTAGGGCTGCAGGGCCTGACATCGCGAGGCTCTCGGCTCATCACCTTCAACGTAGGGCCTTGACGGTAAATAGCACGCAGAGGGTTACTTTGGGTGTTATTGCGGCGTATACTGTCATTATTGCGCTACTCTGGAATATTCCATACATTCGCTGGTCTCTTTGGCCTTTCAAGGTGAGTGCCAAGAGTGTCGAGATCACATGACACTTGACTGATGTATACAGATGCTGGTGATTGCTTTCCATGAATTCGGACATGCTTTGGCAGCTTGCTGTACAGGAGGACGCGTCAAGTCTATCTCTCTTGACCCTCGTGAGGGAGGTGTGACTCATATGTATGGCGGTATGAGTGCAATCACACTCCCAGCCGGATACCTTGGATCCTCCCTGATCGGAGCTCTCCTCATCTTCTGCGGCTTCAACATCGTCGCCAGCAAGGTCGCGAGTATAGTTCTCGGTGTCTGTTTCTTGCTTACTCTCTGGTGGGCCCGACGAGATTGGCTTACGATTGTCACGGTTCTGTTGGCGGTTGGATTACTCGTGGCTTGTTGGTTCATCAAGCATGCTGAGCCTTTGAGATTTGTGGTCCTTTTCATCGGGGTCATGTCTGCTCTGTACTCGGTCTGGGATATCGTAAGTTCTTCTATCTTTCTGTCAAATTTTCCATGCTAAGCAGGTAGTGCGACGATCTCATCCTTCGAAAAGTCAATGAATCCGATGCTAGTGTTTTCGCTCAGCGCTATGGAGGATCCTCTCAATGCTGGGGAGTCATCTGGTCCATCATCTCGCTGGTGTTTATGGTTGGAGGAATCATTGCCGGTATTGCAGCTTTCCCTGAGACATTTTCCGAGCAGGAGGCGGATTCGAAGAAGTTTATCCCAACCTAAGCAAGCATCTGGTGCGAACGTATTCGTTGAAGAAGATAGAGTCATGAGGGTTTGTTAGCACAAGTTTGTTTTATTTTGGCGTTTCGAGGCCGATATCCTCAGACGCTTACAATCAGTCGAGGGTTGGCACGGGGATGTGTTTGCGCAGGCTTTTCCCCCTGGGACTTCTTCCTCTGTTTTCACTCACCTATGATACCCTTTTCATTGTTCATTATGGCCGAATTTCAATGAAAGGACTTTCCAGCCCATGCGTCAAGACTTACTGCGTTTTGACATGGTGCCACTTTCTTGTGTGATATTTTTTTTTACGCCTCTCGTCCATACTCGATTCGAGTCATCCATATGAAACCAAGGATGATCCAGCAATTCCTTTTCTTTTACTCGCTCTATGGGCTCGTAAACAAAGATTTGAGACAGAAGGTCGTATAGCAGGGCTGCCTCGTGATCCGAAATCTTAGGCAACGGCGCTAAGAGGTTATCAGACTCATTATCATACCCATGCAGATAAGCATCCCCTACTTCAACAGCCGTGGGCTTCCAAAACTTGTGCGAGAAGCACCGAGGGTAAGGCTTGTGACTTTCCCAGTCCAAGGTCTGGTCCACGTTCTCTATGTGATTAACCATCAGTGATTTCGTCGACTTGCTAGACAAATTGCTCGGGTTGTCCCAAATTCTATAAATTTGGTCTTTGAACGGCCGTTTGTCCGTAAACTTCCAGACAGCTTCACCTTTTGCCAGATCTTTGGTCGGCTGACCGTCTGAATCAAACAGTGAATCCTCCCAAGAAGCTGGCATGTCCGAGAGAGCTTGAATAATACCCCGTATTAAATCCGCTGGTGAGGTGATATCAAAGGCTGAGAACAGACCTTCTCCAGATCTCAAGCGGACAATAGAGCAGCCCAGAGCCCAGACGTCGCTCGCTGGGCTAGCTGCCCGGCCGACAGCCACCTCAGGAGCGAGATACTCGATTGGTGTAGCTAACATTTCCTCTGGGGGTGACGATGCGAGGAATGCTTGGTCGAAGTCTATAAGACTAATTTCGTTACTGATGAGATCGGTCTCGGAGGAGAGAAAGTCAAGAGACTTCACGATGTATCTTGGAGCCTCGGCACCTGGAGTTTCTCCCGACTCTGTTTCCAGAGGTCCTGTCTCAGGTTTTCCGAACAGCCGGTAGATGTCATTCTCAGTGTAGCGATCAAAATTCTCCACTCGAAACACAATGTTGGCTGTCGTTAGACCTAGAGGATGTTAAAGGAAAATTACCGAGAACAAAGAACGTCGAGTAAAAGTTTGTTCCTTGCCTCCATGACATAGATTCTGAGCGTGCAGACCAGCTAATGCTTTCGCTGTTTGGTAACTGGCACGGCGAGCCAGCCAGGGTTCGATCCTGCTATCCATGTATTGAGATAATCTGGATGCCGAAGGACCTAAAACCGGGAGAACTAAACATAAGTGGCGACCATTTGGGCCCTCGATATGAAAGTACCGAGAGTACGTGACAAATACTGCATCACTACTGCATTGCGAAGCTACACGGTGGCTTAGGATCGTCTTGGTTTCCACTGATGGCGATTCATCGGCCAGAATAATTTTCAGGGCCACCCAATGCCGCCGCATGAGATCTTGCGCAAGCCAAACGGTAGAAAACCCGCCAGCGCCAAGCTTGTGGATGACTTTATACCGGCCACCGTCATATTCATCTCCAAGGTGGACTGGGTGGAACCCCCCAGGTTCATATCTCTCCAGGTCTTCCGTATCACCGATGCCTGCCGGAAGGAAACGCGGGGAGCAGGACGTTTCCTCAATGTCTGGTGAGGGGGACATCTTAAGGCTGCGTGGAGGGAAATCTGAAAAGCAAGAATCAAGCCGATCGACGCGACAAGGAATCGAGGTTACCGGAGTGTTCGTATTGCGTAATGCGCACGGCCACAAGAGGCGATATTTTGACTATGTCTGTTCATAGGATAGAATTATGTGCTTGTTTCTGTCTTTACATATTGTTGCATTCAGATAAATCTTGGACTATAAATAGGATATGATGACTAAGCACAAGATTCTTCGTAACGCTGTTGAACGTAGCTACCTTACCTTACCTTAGGTATTGATTCCGGATGAGCATTCACGTGACCATCATATGGTAGAGTTGAAGGTTGAATAAGTAAGGTAGTAGGCTTCGAGATGTTCGTTTGTGATTACAAGCGAGCTGTGAGTCTCGGGGTCCTGCTCACGCTGACGAATATTGGGGGTGTGGTTTCCGGGCAGATTTATCAGAGTAGGGCGGCGCCAAAGTATACCCTGGGTCATGCGTGGAGTTTGGGGTTTTTGGTGCTGGCGTTTTGTGGGTGGTGGGTGGTGAGGGGGATGTATATGGGGAGGGAGAGGGAGAAGGACAGGTTGCTTGGGGAGGGGCGGGTGAGAGAGGGGGAGGTTACGGATCGGTCGCCGGAGTTTAAATATCAATTTTGAAGAGGTGTGCCACATGGAACTTTATTTTGTTTCTCGCTTGGGTGACGCAGGTCTTAGAGAAAGAGTTTGGAGAGATTCTTTTGCTGTCTTACTCCGCGTGTCGCTCATATATGTTGATGCCACAAATCCGTTCACTACTTATATACCATCGTTAGCAGGAGTTTAATTCACCTTCGCTTCTGGAGCACGGCCCAGAGTATCCACCAGCCTATTCAGATCAGCACAAATTCCGAGATTTGATTATCTGAGAGATGAACAAACCTTCTCAGTCCTTCGGCCAGTGTATCCCGATCTAGACTGAACACTATGCGGAAATGGCCTGGACTCTCACCGTGCTCTTCACAGGGATGAACTCCAACACCAGCATCCAGCAGTTTCTGGGCAAGTGCGAACTCTCTCTCGTGGTCCGGTTGGTCGTGGTGAGTCTTTGGAGGAAGCCATGGGCTGAGATCCACATAGAGGAACAATCCAGCATTTCTACAGTTGTTGTCAGAGCCAGGTTGTCTTTGATAACGAGAATATTAGCGCATACCCCTGCCCAGCATACTTGATGCCGGCTTTATCTAGGACCCCAGTAGCGAACGCACGGCATTCGGCAAGTCTCTGTCTCGACAGCGCTATGAACCTTTTCACAAAAGCGCGGTCTTCTAGGATCGCGGTTCCAATGGCGATGGATGGTCCTGATGGGCAGTGAAATCGCATGTTTGCCGCTACTGCTTTTCTCAGAAGAGCATTGCGGGAGATCAGAGAGCCGAGACGGAGCCCAGCTGCAGCGAAGTCCTGAAGAATATTGTCAGATGCCAGTTCGTAGGGGCTGAGAGAAGGTTGAATACCTTGCTCATCCCATAGAAGACGTGCAATCTCTCAACATTGATTAAGCCCTCAGCGTCGATGGATAAGACCGAGGTAAATTCTGGTAGGTCTGGGTCGCCAGTGCCGTACACGGTGAGAGCATACACTTCATCGCTGATCATGTGGATGTGATTTTGCTGGGAGAACTTCATCAGAGCTGCCAAGGTTGAGGGCGGATAGCAACGACCTGGACTCAAATATCAGTAAATCCACCTTGCAAGAACGTTGGTGCCAACCTAATGGGTTATGGGGGTTCACAATCAGAAACGCCTTGATGTTTACACCATTGGCTGCTGAACGATCGAAAGCCTTCTGGTACTGCTCAACAATCTCCGGATCGAATGGATCGATTCCATCGTTGTCGGCATACACAATTTTCAGTCCAGCGGTGTTTCCAAAATCTAATTCAAATCGACCATATACCGGTCGACTCGCGAGAATCCCATCTCCAGGATCAGCAAGACTCATCCCAACCATCTCATGGATTGAGGTGAGTGCGCTACCAGTGAGGATCTGAGAGGGCTCGATTGGTGTATGGGGCTTGAAGTACTCGTTCATGTGAGCGGCTAAAGTGACAGGAAACCGCGGTCCTCCCATGGTGCTGTACGCGTAGGTGAAGGCGGATGCGGGTATTTTAACCTACATTTCGTTCGCGTGAGCGGAATTTCACATCTCGTAGACCGAGACAAACCTTCTGAGCTACAAAATCCTCCAGCTCATCTTGTATAAGTCCCTAGTAAATCAGCTTGGAGTCTTTTCCATGACCGATTGGACCCCACATTTTCCGCCGTCCCGAAGGAAATGACTCCGGACGGATTCGTGGTCCTGTTGTAGCGATTATTGCCACCAGGAGCAAATCGCCATGGAATCTCCTGACTTGCAGCGCTTTTTGTTCCTCGATGAGATAGCATCTTCAGAAAATGTTGATTCCAGAAATAAGATAAATTCCACGATTGCTGAGTGGCGGCAGACTGACTTACGCTTCTCGCTAGACACTGTCTTGAAGCACAGCAAAGTTTCAGATCTCAAAAAAGCATGTTCTGCAATAACATGCCAGATTTGTGAAGGAAGAAAGCAGTCATGAGTCACAAGAGAAGAGACAAAAATAATCGCTCAAGATGCTCCTTGCTCACTTCGGTAAGATATCAACCAGGGCGTGAAGGCCCACTTAGCCATCGATCGTGAGCAACACCATCTAGCATCGTGAAGCCCAAAATGGACAATGCGGTGGGAGATTAGCAAGAAATGCACTCAAATGGCCTCTTTTCAGTGCGTGATGAGTTTGGCGAGGCAGAAGTGGGATAAGGCACAGATGGATGAAGTTGGTGATGAAAACTAGTCCCAAATGGGACAATGCACTGATTGGACAGTTGACAACCAGAGACACTGACGTGAAAGGACGACGGCTAGATCTCTACTGACAATGGAATATACCTTCAGAAAGTTACTTCCAGCTATTTTGGCATTTGTGTCTTTGAATGCATGTGGAAGTGTAAGTGGTAGGCAAGAGGCAATGAAGGTAAAGCTAGAAAACGCTGTGTTTCTTTCCGGATCTCTTGTCTACCTCACAATCTTCACCGCATCTGCCAACTAAACGCCTATCGTCTTTAGACACTTAACAAGATCGACCACACTCTTTTCAAATTCCAAAAACTTAATCCCCAGAATCTTTGTGCTGTTGTCATTGCTGAATCCGTACGGGCCCTCTTCCGGGTATCCACCGCCTGTTGCTCCCTTATCCGGCAACTTGTCCTCGTACTCAGGGAAGTTCTTCCGAAGAACCTCAACAATCTCCCTATTACAGAAATGACTCGCGACAGTGAAGAAACGCTTCCCAGCAGCTTCATCGACTTCAAAAGCACGCACGTGAGCAAGTGCAACATCGCGGACGTCGGCCCAGAGATAATTGCCTGTCTCAGGGATGATAGGTCCTTTGTATTTGCCGGTGATGAATTCTAGAATGCGGAGATTGGATGTGTTGAGTTTGGAGGAGTCGTCGATGCAGGTGTTGATTGGGCCGACCACGAGAGGTGGGCAGATGGTTGCTAAGGTGAAGTTTGGGTGTTCGTCCGCGAGGAATTTCCAAGTTGCTTTCTCGGCGAAGACTTTGCTACCTGGGAACATATTATTGAGTAAGAATAAAATAGTGACGAGGGCGTGACAAACCTCTGTAGCCATTTCGGACGTCCTTCAGAGCAGTCTCGTAGCTCACGGGGTTCCAGTCTGCCTCGGTGTAAACTTGCTTTGGGTCGTTTGGCTTAATGCTGTCTACGATTGATGCAATCGACGATGTGATTACTACCTTCTTCACAGTAGGGGCATATGCCTTGATTGCCTTCAGTATGCCTGCTCACGCTTTCAATATCAATCTCGAATTTTAGACAGAGGGGTACTTACTGGTTGTTCCATGGAGAGCAGGGTCCAGAAGTTCAGCTTTGATATCTTTCACCGTGAAGTAAAACTACCCGCTCAATCAGCCGACCAAAATATCCTGTCGGTTCATTCAACTTACCGGAGAGGCAGTGTGTATCACGACCTCGAATGGAGGGTTTGAGACCACAGCACTATCAAAAGCGCCTTCCTTCCCGACATCTTCAACAATGACAAAGTCAAGTTTTGAAGTCGGGATATTCGGGTACAAGGTTTGAAGCTTGGAAACCTTTGATTGAGACCTCACTGTTGTCACGACTGAATGTCCATGGTCTAGCAAAATGCCGATGATTTGTGATGCGATGAAGCCGCTCCCACCTATGCCAAAGTGTCAGTTAATCCACCAATGGTAGCACGGGTAAAATGGGATTGTACCTGTCAAGAGAACACGAGGCATTTATGGAAAGTTTGGACAGTTGGACTAAACTTGTCGTCTTAATGGTGGATGTAAAGTGGTATTAGAATGGTTCTTCCGTATGGACTGAGTGCTGTAGACCAGGAGTGTGCTTGTTGTGTTGTTATGATGGAGGGGTTGCGGAGAAATTACGTTGGTGGGGGAGGTCTTTGTGTGGGGCAGGCATGTCGGCGTGCGAGGCGAACCATTCAGTGAGATGCATGTAAGCGATCGCATCTTTTTCGTCTTGCAGTCAAATCAGGTACGAAGGGTACTGTACAGAGCACTGGTGGAATTCAAATCTTTATAATTTTGGTCCTATCTGCATGAGATCTTCGTTAACCTCAAAAATAACCTCGGCATACTTCTAGAGTCAATGTTGCCACATAATGTTCTTAGCTGAGGGCCTTTGTCTGTACAGATAGCACAAATGGATCTTAGGAAGGATTAAATCAATTTTTGGGTATAGATCTTTCTTCTGTGAATTGGTGGTGATCTCAAGCTGGGTGCAGTTTTTAAACCAGAGGTGAGCGTGGTCGCTTAAAAGTCAACACCCCTTTCTCGGGCGCTTCAAGGGATGGCGAATGCATGACCAATTGGCAGCGAGACCTAACCTGGGTGTCAAATTGTAAGCTGAGATATTGCATTGACAATTCAAATCAGGATTGATCCGAAATCGTGCTTTCATCGAAAGCTGGCACTCACCAATCTTCCACTTCGGTGTACTTTTCAAGCATCGTTGTGGAAACACTCTATTTGCCTTTGGTTTTAAACTCCAGCAGGATCCACCACCGCTTTAGTCTGCGGGTCCTCATGACCTTGAAACACATTCATCCGATTTACCCACGTTGACAGGGATTAAGCGAAGAATTGGACGTGGAGAAACTCGATGTTTCATGTTTTGGACATCCATCTCGCCCCTCTTTAGATGCTTCGTCTACATTACGGAGTGTGAATCAGATAGAGACTTCATATATATAATGGAGGAGTACCCGGATTTGGTGCCCTGATGACACTCCCGATTTCTTTAAACGCGTTTTTCGGCTCAAGTCCGCTCGCATTGATTGCTTGAGCTTAACGTTCGCTTGTAAAAATGAGATACTCACATGTCTGTAGAGACCTTTTGGTGGGTGCATTATTATTTGGGTCCGCTTGTACGTATGCTTGCAAGTGATTCAATATAAGACTAATCAGATGAAGATGCTTTGCCAACTTACGAGGATGAAGAAGCGTCAAGTTCGGTTGTCCTTGAGTCCTCAGCCAAGATCTCCACCTCAACAGCCCTCCGAATCCTCGCCCTAGGTGATAGCATTACTTACGGCTTCAACGAGAACCCGTCAAACTCCTACCGGAAATTCGTGCAGTGCTCACTCCACACATCCGGAGTGGCTGCAACCTACATCGGCACCACCACCAGCGGTGACTGGGCCAACAACGCAGTCGATGGCTACGTAGGGCAAACCATCGAGCAGATTGGCTCATCTGCTTCCTGGATCTTGAGCCAAATCCCACCACCGAATCTGGTACTTTTGCATGCTGGCTCGAATGATATCTTGCATTCGGTAAATGTGGCAACTGCGCCAGAGAGGTTGGGGACTCTGATCGACAAAGTGATCAAGGCGACCGGGGCGTCGGTATTGGTTGCGAAGATCATCAGACTCGGTGAAGGATACACGGAATATAATACTTTGGTCGATAAGTATAACGCTGCTATACCAGGTGTTGTCGCTACAAGGGTGGCGGCGGGAAAGAATGTCAAGGTCGTGGATATGAGTGGGCAAGTTAACGCTAATGAGCTTATCGATGGGATTCACCCAACTGCGAAAGGATATAGGAAGATGGCTGCTGCTTGGCTTGCTGGGCTGAATGGTTTGACTGTCAAAAATGTCACCGGCACTTTTGTTGACTTGGGAGCGAGTGCTGTGCCGAGTAGTGGAAAGTGTGCTGATCTCGCAGCTTGAGGGCGAGGTGGGAGTGTAACCTCTTGTATATATTAAAAAGCTTTTGGAAGCACTGAAAGGCAGGGAGGCGACCTCCATATTCTAGACAAACGTACCTTGCCTCCAAATACATTTTCGAAGACCTCTCATGTTGTGGCTGATTGGCTAACTTCGGAGGCCATACTCGATGGCTCGCCTTCAACCGATGGCTTCCATGGCATACAATCCGCTTCACGTGGATTCATCGACCCGTCTGCGAGAAGGCCCCAGATGACCTTGTGATCGTCCGTTTTCATGTCTTCTTGCACTGGCAAGGTATTGAATCTGAAAAGAGGAGACTTCATTGAACCAAACCAACCTCGAACAATCAGAGCAACCTGGGAGAGACGCGACGCGGTCTTTGAGACCTTCTAACAAATATCTTCCAGCAATTACGTGTAGAATATGAGAATCATAGGACCACCAAGTGATCACAGGACTCCACAGCATACTAAATCTAAAGCGAGGTGAAGGCGAACGTTTAGTTGTTTTGATTGAAGCCTGAGACGCTGAAGCCTGTACTCGAAAGAGTGCTCAAGTCAAGGTATCGCGCTAACTATATTAGGCTTAGTCATCCGAAACCAATCAGCGCGAGAATTACACCCATCGCGTCCCTCCAACTCTGACTTCATCTTTATTGCTCCTCCAACACTCCCTCTACCATCACCACCAATTCTCACCCACCATGGCGGATATCAAGATCGACAAGAACCTCTTCCATGAACGTCTGTCGCACTTCATATCAGCATGGAAGGCTGACAAGAGAGCTGGGGACGCGCTCTTCCATGGCGCCACCTCGATCTTGGTGTTGATGGGCAAAACTGAGGATGCCGCGCAATTCCAGAAGAACAATGCCATCCACGTACGTATATCTGACCATGCTACAGCTTTGGGGTCAGTTTCTGATGTGCGCGATAGTTCTGGCTGCTTGGCTACGAGTTCCCGGCGACCCTCTTCCTGTTCACCCTTGATGGATTGTACGTTGTCACAACTGCGAAGAAAGGTTAGACATATCCTCAAATCTGTCTGCGACCTTGCGCCGAAGCTGACTGGCATTCTAGCAAAACATTTGGAGCCTTTGACAGGCGGGAAGACCCCTCTACACATTTTGGTCAGGGGCAAAGATGCGGAGCACAACGAGAAGTTGTTCGCTGATATCAACAATCACATCAAGGCAGCAGGCGTGAGTCATCCCCTCCATCCTGCCTTCAACATTAGGCAGCTAACAGATTGGGTCTGCAGAAGAAAGTCGGAATCCTACCTAAAGATACCTCCGTTGGACCTTTTATCGACGAGTGGAAGAAGGCATTTGGCAATATTTCGAAAGATGTGGAAGAAGTGGATATTTCCGCAGCTCTGTCCTCCGGCGCATTGGCTGTGAAGGACGAAAATGAGTTGGTATGTGAAACCCTGCAAGATTTGACAGTGAGGAAGACTGACGCATTATACAGCGTGCTATGCGAAACGCTTCGAAAGCTTGCATCGCCCTGATGAACCCATACTTTGTGGAGGAGATGTCCAACGTATTGGACGAGGAGAAAAAAGTCAAGCACAGCGCTCTGGCGAACAAGGTGGACAGCCAGCTGGACAACACTAGATTTTGGCAAACAGTCGAACTTCCCAGCAAGCAAAAGATGCCTTCCGATTTCGACCCATCACAATTGGACTGGACACATGGCCCAATCATTCAAAGTGGTGGAAAATTTGACCTGAAGATGAATGCCCAAGTTGACGATGAGCTTCTGCATCCCGGAGTAATTATTGCTTCGATGGGTCTGCGATACAAGTCTTACTGCTCGTTGATTGCTCGCACATACCTGGTCGATCCGAACAAGTCGCAAGAGAGCAATTACAAACTTTTACTTCAAGTCCACGGACTTGTTATGAAGGAGGTACGGGACGGTGCAAACACCAAGGAGATTTACGCCAAGGCCGTTGCACTCGTCAGAAGCAAAAAGCCCGAACTTGAGAAGCACTTCCTGAAGAATGTCGGAGCTGGTATCGGTATCGAGACTCGCGATGGGACTTTAGTTCTCAATGGCAAGAACACCCGTTCTTTGAAGGACGGAATGACCCTGTGCGTCACGACTGGATTCAGCGATATCGAGAATCCGAATCCACAGGACAAGAAGAGCAAGACCTACTCGATGGTTCTGTCGGACACAGTTCGAGTATCAGCAAATTCAGACCCTGTTGTCTTCACTGGAGATGCGCCATCGGATCTTGATGCTACTTCGTTCTTTTTCAAGGACGATGAGGAGCCTGCACCAACTCCTAAGAAATCGAAAAAGGACTCGGCAGTTGGAGCTGTTGCTGCGAAGAATATCACCAAAACGAAATTACGTGCAGAGCGAACAACGCAGGTAGACGAAGGCGCAGAGGCAAGACGTCGAGAGCATCAGAAGGAGCTCTCAAGGAAGAAGCAAGAGGAAGGTCTCGAGAGATTTGCCGAGGCTACCGGAGACTCAAATGCGACGGCTGTCAAGAAGTTCAAGCGCTTTGAATCGTACAAGCGAGACAACCAATTCCCTCCTCGAGTCCGAGATCTGGCCATCCTGGTTGATCCAAAGAACTCGACTGTCGTCCTCCCAATCATGGGCCGTCCAGTTCCTTTCCACATTCAAACGATCAAGAATGCCAGCAAGAGCGACGAAGGCGACTTCTCATATCTCCGAATCAACTTCTTGTCGCCCGGGCAAGGTGTTGGCAGAAAGGACGATCAGCCATTCGAGGACGCTTCGGCTCACTTCGTGCGCAGTTTGACCTTCAGATCTCACGATGGAGACCGTCTCCAAGATATTGCCAATCAAATCGGAAACATGAAGAAGGATGCAGTCAAGCGAGAACAGGAGAAGAAGGAAATGGAGGATGTCGTTGAGCAAGATAAGCTCATCGAAATCCGAAGTATGATATCCTGTTGTTGTGTAAAGATTAACGCTAACATTTCTAGATCGCCGACCTCCAGTTATGGACAACGTATTCCTTCGTCCTGCTATGGATGGCAAGCGTGTTCCCGGCAAGGTTGAGATCCATCAAAATGGTCTCCGATATCAATCACCTCTCAACACACAACACCGTGTGGATATTCTATTCAGCAACGTCAAGCATCTCTTCTTCCAACCTTGTCAGCACGAACTAATTGTCATCATTCACGTACATCTTAAGGATCCAATTTTGATTGGAAAGAAGAAGACGAAGGATGTTCAGTTCTACCGCGAAGCAACCGATATCCAGTTCGACGAGACGGGAAACCGCAAGCGCAGGAGATATGGTGATGAGGAAGAGTTCGAGCAAGAACAAGAGGAACGCAGACGCAGAACCCAGCTTGACCGAGACTTCAAGTCGTTTGCCGAAAAAATTGCTGAAGCCGGAAAGAACGAGAATGTCGATGTTGATGTTCCCTTCCGCGAACTCGGCTTTAACGGTGTCCCGAACCGTTCAAGTGTCTTCTGTCAACCATCCACGGATTGTTTGGTCCAACTTACTGAACCACCATTCATGGTGGTCACTCTTGAGGATATTGAAATTGCCCACCTTGAACGTGTGCAATTCGGTCTCAAGAACTTCGATATGGTCTTTGTCTTCAAGGACTTCCACCGTGCTCCATCCCACATCAATACTATTCCCGTCGAGTCCCTAGAGAACGTCAAGGAATGGCTGGACTCCGTCAACATCCCCTTCTCCGAAGGTCCTCTGAACTTGAACTGGCCAACTATCATGAAGACGGTCACGGCCGATACTCATCAATTTTTCGTCGATGGTGGCTGGTCCTTCCTTCAGACTGAGACTGATGATGAGGATGAGGATCCAGAGAGTGAAGAGAGTGCCTTTGAGATGAGCGACAGCGAACTGGCTGCATCCGATGAGTCCAGTGACGAGGACAGCGACTTCGATAGCAATGCCAGCGCAGAGGCAAGTGATGAAAGAAGCGAGGATGATGCGACTGATGGTGAGGATTGGGATGAGCTTGAGAAGAAGGCCAAGCGCAAGGATAGAGAGAGTGGATTGGGCGAGTCGGACGACGATAAGCCCAAGAAGAAGAGAAAGCATTGAGGCTGAAGGCTTCTGATTCAGAACTCTCCGAATACATGGACACGAATATGAATTGGAGCATTGGTACGATATTAGGGAGTGAGTAGGAGGGCGGATAGTACGATATGGTATTTGATGGGACGTGGCAGAATGCGGAGACAGTGAGGCGCTCGATATGCCAAAGTATCTTCACTTGCAGCGTGGTCGAGAGTTCTCATCGGCTGCAGAGATGTATTTTTCTACTCTCGTCTTTCATGGACGCATGGCGTTTCGGTTTAGCAAAAAGGGTGTGCTGCGCTGCTCTGCATTTACTTTGCCTTGATAGTAGTAGTGGGGATGACTGTGGTCGTCTTACTTACGAGTGGAAGCGAATAATCGAATAAAATAACCACATTATGTATATCCGCTCAATGCGATGCCATAATATCGAAAGGCTTGCTTGCATTCTTCTCCTTTTCAATATTTCCTCGATGAAGGTTTCCGCTCAATTGTTTCTGCAACTAAATAACTAGGTAAAACCCATCTCAATAACCAACTGGCATCTGTTCTCTTGTCCGCGTTTACGTGGATCCAGGCAAAGTAACGAATTCACGCAATCAAACGATCCATTGATCCGTTTCGAACCATTCCAATTCAATTCAATTCAATTCATCTCTAGTAAAAAAGTAAAGTAGATTCAACATTTCAAAAAATCCCATTTGCAATAAACTTGTTCCCTCCTTCCAATCAATCAATCCATCATTCCTCAATTTCTCCATCAACCTTGCACCTTGCTTCTACATACTCCACTCACTCCCCTAAGCAAGGGAAGAAGATATCGAAACGGAGGAAATATCCTTCCCCTCTGCGGAGAAGACAAACATGAAGAAAAAGCCCACGCCGGAACGCTGAAACCGAAAGCCTTGCAAGTAGTAGGAGAAAAAAATCCCAAATTCGAATTTGAGCAGGAAAAAACATCGCGTCTCGTCGCGTCTCGTAGCGTGCTTATTGTACATCCTCCCCTCCACTTTCCATAGCCTGCGTACCGACTGCTGTCTTGCTACCCATGCTACTGCACCTCTCAGCCATAACATCCGAGTAACTCTTTATTTCCATAGTTCAATTCCGATTCCAATTACCATTCCCAGTTCAATATCCGCACCCGGTATCAACACATACACATTCCATCAATCAAGCAAGACATCTAAGCATGTCCCTCACCGTTACCCAACCCACCATCCCGACCACTAGCTGCTGCCGCCGACGCACCAGGCTGCTCGTTGTTCCAGCTGAGGTAAGTGTGGTCGCCGAGCTTGCGGGGCTTAATAAGATGCGTGACGGTGAAGAGAGTGCCGAGGACGATGCAGATGCCGCCTACGACGACGTATGCGATGCCTAAGAAGGGATTCTTGCCGCCCATGACGGTGCGGGTGGAGATGATGATGGATTTTGTGCCGCCGTATTCGGTTACGTTGAAGTCTGGGTGGTATTAGCTTTGTTTAAAGATCATTTCGGGCTGGATTGAGACTTACGGTGGTCAATGTCTACGGTGTAAGTTCCGGTTCTCATGGTCGCAGTGTCGTTGCGCTGGGCAAGCTTGCTGAATGTAGGGAGACCAGCAAGACGCATCCAGACCTGGAATGTCTCATCCTCCTTCAAGTTAGGGTGATAAGTATCCGAATACCCATTTGGATATCTCTCGACCCAGTTCGGGGGCACCAAAACATCCTTCCAGTTGTACTTGCTCTCTCCGTAAAGCTCGCGATCACTCTCCCATGAGATGCCCTTCTTACTTTCCATGACGTAAGTCTCGTTGTCGGTAGAGCTCCCTGGGACGTTCAGAAGCACTGGGTTGTAGAAGGTGTCGTTGAATACGGAGTTCGCGGCAAGACCGCAGGGGTAGTAGGGCTTCTTGACGCCATCTATGACTTCGACTGTGAGCGGTTCGCAGTCGCCTCCATCGATGCTGTCTGCGGAGACAGCACTTCCAGACAATTGGTTGGTGTTGAAGGACTTGGCATATCGGCGATGGTTCTGGTAGAAGTTGGTGAGGCGGTAGTAGAACAGAACCGGGGGTTTCATATCATTCGGAATCGTGAAGTTGATGGTACAGCGGGTGGTTGGGAGAGTGACCTGCTCGTCGCCTTCCGGGCCGTATGTGACGTTGACCTGTTTCTTGCTCCATGTCGGTTCAGACCTGATTGTATTCGAGGAGTTCTTGTTGAAATTCAGCGTCACGTCCTTATCTTTCATCGGGCCCGTCAAGGGATAGTCCGGTGCATCAACGAAACATTTCGAGTAGTCCAGTATGATCTCTTGTACCTAGTTCGTCAAGCATGTGTCAGCCTCCCTGTCCTCCTTCCTGAGCACCTCAGTGTGTCTCCAGCAACTAACCTGCGCGCTCGCATATAATAATCCGCCTCCAATTGGCGCAAAGATGATTCCGATGGCGAAGAATAAGGGGAGGACAGTCTTCGGTGTGAGAATCGGTCTATAGTTGCGCTTGTCAGCTTCCATTCAGGTCGCGGAGTGTTTGGCGCCACTCACTGCCATGCCTTTAATCGCTGTTGACGAAAAGCCGTATCTGCATAGAAAGTCCCGTCAGTCTCCTACCGTCTACTTCGATGCGCGTATGTGGAGAGGAATTCTCACTTGCTGGCCTCCTGCTCTTTGTCTTCGTAGTCTCGTTCTGGGTGTTTGGGTCCTGCGAGGAGATGGAGTCCTCGTGGACCATCCCCGGTTGTGTTTCAGCCATGGCAAGATGTTGTCGAGATCATGGGCCGGCTCTATCCGGTATTGAGTCTCGTTGTGATTGTAGTGTTGTTGGGGAGAAAGGGAGGTTGCTGGTCGTTGCGAGGATGGATTGACGTTCCTGCCGTTGATCCCGCCGAAACCCCCGTAACGTATAAATTTAGCGCGTTGCGCACAGCCACAGGAAGGATTGGCGAGGATGAGAAACCATTGAATCCAGTCAGCAACACAAAGCGACCTGCTGAATAATCGAATGACACAAATTCTTCTTTGATGTCCGAGTTACGAGATTTCACAATCTGCTTGAGCGTATAGCAAACATCCTGCCGAAAAGTAAATGGTTGCCAATAGAAAGTAGAATGCCATGTTGATCAAGTCACGTCGTTGGACAGTCAGGGGTGCAGCCGAGCTCCGTGTAAATATTGGATTATGCACCAGCTACATGGTTTCTTCTAGATGATCATGGACAACCAGTACAGTCCCAGAGCAACCCTGGAGCCTAATATATGTTTGAATACACTAGTCCCATCTGCACCTCTAGCCAAGCAAGACCTTAAACACTCCTATGAAACCACACCTTAGCGCCAAGTCCAGGAAACAATCTAACTTCATCATTCATCACGGAACAGCCAAGCACCGCCAGACCTCATTGCATGTCGATACCGTTGCTCCACCTCCTCTCTTTCTTTGTCTTTCGCCCTTGCTCTGTCCTCCTCGTCTTCCTGGGTAGTAGGAAAATCAGTTCTCCAAAAACCAGACGGACTGGATTGTCTGTGATAAGCATGTCTATGCCGACCAGTCTTGTTTGCAATTTCCCTTGTTTTTGCTTGGATTAGAGTTTCCTCTTTTTCCGCTTTGCTCATGTACTTGAGTTGACCGGCACCAGCCCCAAGAAACTCCTCCATAAGGGTCTCATCTCTCTCTTCCTGGGAAAGAGTCAAACGTCTGATATCCAGCTCTGCCTTGGCCAGTCCACGGAACTTGTAACCGCAACACCTGGGTTTGATGCAGCCTTCTAAACATGCACGTGCTTCCTTGCCACGAACAACATCGTTGTATGCATAGTCGTAACCCTGATTGTAATTGGGATTGATCTTGAAATCGCTGAGACTAAGCTTGCTCACTGGTCGAGAACGGAGAGGCTCCTGGTTAGGATCCATCTCGTAATCTTCTTCCGTTTGTATCTGCTTCCTCTTCACAGTACCAGATCTGTTGGGCCTGACCGGCTTACCGACGGTAGGCGTCCGAGGGGAAGCTTTTGCAAGCTCCTGGACTGTTCTTGATTTGAATGCTGAGGCAAGATCCCTACGAGCAGGGAGCTGTGTCCCTAATAATGGCGATGGAGATCGTTCTGCGAGTGTTATGTCTGAGACATGATGTTCCCTAGACGAAGTTTTGGAGCTTGGTTGAAAAGATTCCGCGGAGCTTCCAGGTTGCTGGCCAGAAGAAGGCTTGAAAGACTCTACGGCACCTAGGATTATTCGCCTAGTCGATAGTGCTGTTAGATCAAGTGGCTCACGACTAGCTCTTGTCGATGAAGGCCTGGAATTAGGCGTAGGTTCTCTACTGAATTTCGGTTTTTCCGTGTTGGAATATGGAGCATCAGGCTCTTTGCGCGGAGTTACCCCAAGAAGCTCTTGGGCGAGGGCTGAAGTCAAGGCCGGATTCGGACGAGGTTTTGGTACTTCAGTACGAAGTGCGGACAAGATTGAGGTTTGACCAGTAGACCGAGTTTGCTGGGGGCTGATGACTCGCCTATTTGGAGAAGGCTTTGAAAGCAGCTCGATCAATCGCTCATCGCTGTTTGGAGTCTGCCTTCGTAGCTCTGCTTTGCCGATAGGTATTTCGCCGTCCTCGGTCAACTCTGCCATATCTCGATCACTTGCAATCCGCCGTTTCTTTGGTGCTCTGCTATCATCGGAAGTTCTTGGCAAGACTTTTGTGTTCACGCTTCGTGGCTGGAGAACTGACCTTTCCTGCTGGGCTAGCTTATGTGCCGATGGTCCAGAAGTGTTGCTGCGGCCCTGAGATTGACTCTGGCCGGACATTTGGGAAGTGCTTGTGAGTCTAGAAAGGGCGGCCACTTTCTGCACTTTTCGCGGCGTACTGACCTTTTCCCCAATGTCGTCCAGATCCATACTCTCATTTGTATTAATATATGGCGGAATCGGCGTGTGAGGAGAACTGAGTTCAATAACTTCATTCTTGATCTTTGGACCAGGAGTATCGTCGACGTTCTGGTCACGGCCTTTCCGCTTCTTGACACTTCGCGTGGATACAAACACGGGTGGAGAACTGGGCTGCTTGTTTTCTGGTTCAACATCGGCGATAGGATCTTCGCCTGCTGTGATTTCCGGTAAAATAGGCTCAGAGTCTCCTTCTGTAGAACTTGTGTGATGGACTTCTAATGGTTCGAAGCTTGTGTCTCCGACATAGCTTTGTTCGTCGTACAGAGTAGGAAGGTCAGCCTCTTTCTCGCGAGGATGACCATGGCTGTCATTGGCCATCAGATGACCCGTCGGTCTCGTTTCTGATATATCCGTCGCAATCCCTGGGTGGTGTTTTGTAGACGGACTACTCGCAGGAACCTGGATGCTATCACCTCCAATATCTTCCGCGGACGGCAATTCGTTTCTCGGGGCTTGTATGGCCTCTGGGTGCTGATTTAGGTTATTCTCAGCTTCTACCTCGTCACTGTTGTCGAGAAGCTTTGATTTCAATCCGCTGATCTCTTCTTTTAGCTTTCGAATCCTCTCGTCCTTCTTTTCAATCCTCTCAGCCATCTTCTTGCCCCAATCGTTCCATTGTGCACTCTTCGACTTCTCTTCTTTGGCCACATTTGATGCATATTCCTTCGCGTCCTTCATTACATCTAATTTCTGGCACACTTTGTTGTATTTCTTGGTCAGGTCATCGTACTTCTTCTGTATAGCTTGATTCGATTCACCAGGTTCGATTCGTGCAACAGAGGATGGCGGCTCGCTGGATCCAGGAGTAAGGTCGAGTATACTGCCATAATGGACTCGAGCAGTAGGCTTCGGAACTGGTGTGACATCCTGCTCCAGCTTCTTCTGCAATTCATGGGCCAGGCGTTTGTTCTCCTTCTCCAACTCCTCCACCTTCGCAGCCGCCTCCCGACATATCTCCAATTCGTCTGTTAAACGACCATGGGATTCTGCTAGCTTCTGAACGCTGGCCGAAGTCTCTCGTAACATCCGCAACTCCTCATGGCTGATATGAGCAAACTTGTCGTTGTTAAGTTCTGGGGGGAAGGTTTAGTCGTAACAATAGCTTAGATGGGCGGTTCTATTTCCATACCTGAGGCAATATTCTGTCCTATCTGGTTGCATACATTTTCAAGTTGCTCCAGTAATTCACTGCGGCCCTGCTTCCAGCTCTCCATCGCGCCCGTCGCATCGACTGTCACAGCATTGCCGGTTGGTGATGGGTGAAGTGACGCGGTTGGATGCGCGGGACGCGATTTTTGGAATCATCCCGGCCCGATGATCTTCCGATCTGCCCCCACCTCTCTGGGACACCTCGACCTGAACTTCAACGTCAGGCGGTCATTGTTTCATACCTGCTCATATTTTTGCCCTGTATGAGACGGAATAATCTGCACAGTCATTCTTGTGATTACTACAATTCATTCAGAGTGGCCCCCCCCCTATTTCGTGAAATGCTCTCATGCGGCCACATGAACTTGCCACAACCATCCATTGCTATGCGCGTGGCCAAAGACATTCAACATTCACTACGCCCCCAAGATCTTGGAGCTCAAAGTGCATTTTCTCCATATACATACCGAAGAAATCAATGCCTGGAATACAACTCTTTGACGGCTTCATTTAAGGAGAGCTGGTGCAGATGAGCACCTCGCCCCCAGTTCTTCATTGCCGATACCTACCAAATGCTTCGTCTAGCCCTTATTCAGAGGGGGCTAGTATGCACCAAGTCGCATGAAGTTCAGGTTACACTTGAGCTATGAGCTGCTCTCGGAACCATGGTCGAACATCATCAATCATTGCCGGCTCTCTGGTGAGAAAATAGCGCGGTCGTGTCCTCCAAGCGATAGAATGCAAGCACCGTCTTGTGCAACCTATTCGGTGCTAGAATGCAGGTTCTACAGCAAATTGGATATCAGTGTCTATACTCTCTATCCGCAAGTGCTAGGGGATTATTAAAACGAAGCTTTGGTTTTTGTATCACCTTCCTGATTCGATGTTCAGCTCGCTCGTGTCTGCTTCTCAGTCAGCGACGAGCGTTAAGTGCTACATCACATTTGCACCTTTGCAAGTTCAGTAGTCAGCCTTGATTGATCGTTACGACCGTAACGAGTTATGCGAAGCACCATTTGTGGTAAATGATCAGATCATGAAGACACATAACATAGCTTACTTGGTGAGAGTTGCAGCAAGCTAGAGTTACTGTCAGTTATCTTTCTATATATGCTTGTCTTTTCCTCCCGATTCTAGGCGATAAAATCAGCAACAGCAGTTCAATACAGACAAGACTTCAAAATGTTGGCTATCCTCGCTCTCATCTCGGTCGGACTTCCTTTGCTTGTCCTTGGATCACCAATCAATGCCGAACAGCACTCTACAACACCAACTCGAGCAAGTTCTTTCGCACCTGCTCAATGGGTTCATCCAGGTTATGTCGTCGACAAAGATCAACTTGACTTTGTGAAAGGCCAGGTCGCCGGCAAAGCTCAACCATGGACCAATGCTTACAACCAGATGCTCAAGGATAGCGATAAGTACGGCAAATACGTGTCTGGTACTCGGACTTCCGAGACAGTGTCAAGCGTATCATGTGGTCCCACGACAAACCCTGATATTGGATGTACTGAGGAGCGTGGTGATGCTTTGGCAGCTTGGGCGAATGCTCTTGCTTGGTACGTGAGCGGCGACAACAATTATGCAAAGAATGCAATCAAGTTGATGAACAAGTGGTCGTATGCCATCAAAGGTCGGTTGCCTGACCACTCCTGTTTTCTTCCATTGACGACGTTCTCAGGTCATGCTCTCAGTAATGAGATTCTCCAGACAGCCTGGGCAGGTGGGTCTTGGGCACGAGCAGGAGAATTGATCAGACACACCACTTCCGGACTTTGGGCTGCGAAAGACATCACTCAATTCGAAAATATGCTTCGCAACGTATATCTCCCAGTCGTCAAAAATGGCGAACCAAAGGCTTCAAATTGGGACGTCGGTAAGTTGATTCCAGCCTGTCACTCCACCAATGCTGACAAAATAAACCAGCGTGCCTCAACACTGCTATTGGCATTGCTGTTTTCCTTGAAGATAGTGACGCGTACGACAATGCCATGCAGATTTTCCAGCAAGCTGTACCGTCGGTCATCTATCTCGAGTCAGATGGATCGCTTCCACGCGCTGCACGAGGACAAAGTTCAAGTGCCTCAGCGTTAAAGTCTCGCTGGTTCGACCAGCAAAGCTTCGGAAATTCTGGGCAGAGCGGACAAATACAGGTCCACTAGCCACCTCCTCGATTCCCTATATCGCGTGCTAACTCAATATCAGGAAACCTGTCGAGATCTCACGCACACCGGCTACAGTATCAGCAGCATCTCTCACATCCTCGAAACCTCTCGCATTCAAGGTCTCGATCAATACACCACCGAAATCGGCACACGTCTTCGCTTCGCTCTAGGATTCCACGCGCAGTTTGCTCAGGGTGTTTCTCCGCCGTCTTGGTTGTGCCAGAATAAAGGTCTGACAAGGGATCTATCGAGTGTGACGGAGATTGGATTCAATGCACTTTCAAATCGCTTAGGAAATAACATGCCGAGGACACAGGCGTATACGGAGAGGATCCGGCCGCAGGGCACGAATTCTTTGTTCTATGGGTGGGAGACTTTGACGCATGCGGGAAATCTTGCTTGATTTCATAGCAGTGCTCATATCACACACTGGAAGCGTAACGATTGCGCTTGTGATGGGACGTATCTAGGTAAAGTCGATATTCCACAAACCACATTCTTTTGGGAGGAAAATGCTACGTAGAGCACAGGTAGATTTATATGTCTCAAATTCGACTACATAAAGAATATGTGCTAGTACTGTGGTTCCCTTCCATTCCCTTCCATATCAGACACACAAAGATATTAGCCTCCATCCCAGCATTACATCGCCGTTTTACATGAAGAGCAATTTCTTTTTTACCCAAGGATGGAAAACGAAAGCTCCTAATCCCCAAACCAAACTTCAGCGTAACAATAGGTGATATCGCAATAACCAACGAATTCGCTGGGGGAACAGATAGCCACCAACACCCCTTTCCTCCCTGAATATGACAAAGGAAAAGCATTCTGACGAAAAAGTCATGACCACACAACCAAAAAAATGAAAAGTCTCGCAAGAGAAAGACAGATTTGTGCTCATCACCCTAAGCACACACCCACACCTCCACAAACAACATCTCACTTCCTCATTCGCAGTCCCATATCACCCTCAATAAGGATCTGCACCGCCTCATCCCACCCCCTCGACGCCGCCATCTCCACAACCGTCCTCCCCATCTCATCCCTCACCTCGAGATCCACCCCGGCCTTCCTAGCAAGCAACCTCAACACATCCGCCTCCCCGTTCTCCACCGCCTGCATGATGCCGTTCCAGCCCCGATACATCATATTCGGATCCGCACCATGCTCCAGCAGCAACTCCAGCACCTCCGTCTCAGTCCCACGATGCGTACGCAGCGATTTCACGATCGGGAGGTGTTCCCCGGGGGAATTGACATCCGCCCCTCCGTCCGTGAGGAGGTATTTCACGATGTGGCGATGATCTTCGCGGATGGCTGTTGTGAGAGGGGAGAAGACCCCGCCGTTCTTATCTTCGACGCTGACGCCTGCGGCGATGAGTAGTTTCACGCTTTCGAGCTGGTCGGCGTGCACGGCCATCTCGAGGATTCCCTTGAAAGCTTGTGGTTCTTTGACAACGGCGAGGAGTTTCTTCAGAATGGGAGGTTTCGCCACAGCCATGCAGAGAGGCCAGTTCTCGCCTCTGACGTGTGGGTCGGCCCCGCGGAGAAGCAGCAGATCGACGAGTTCGGGGCGGTTTTCGCGGATCGCGGTCGTGAGGGCGGAGTGGCCCTTGGGACTGCGATCGTTGGGGTTGACGCCCTGCTCGAGGAGCCAGTTCAGGGCTTCGACGTTGTTGAAGTTGACTGCTTCTTCGATGATGCCTTTGGGGCTGTTGAGGTTTGCGCCGGCGGCGACGAGGAGGGGGAGGAAGTGTACGCGGTCGTGGGTTACGCATTTGAAGCAGGGGTATTCGCTGGCGGGGAGGTTGGGGTCGGCGTTGTTGGCGAGGAGGAGCTTGAGCATGTCGGCGCGGTCGTCGCGGATGGAGGTGCAGAGGGGGGTGTAGACGCCGTCTTTTTTGATGTCTGGGCTGACGCCGGCGTTGAGGATGAGGCGGACGGATTCCATGCTGTTGATGCTGACTGCTAGTTCCATGATTCCCGGCGCTTTCTTGTGGTCGGCTCCGTGTGAGAAAAGTACCTGAAGGCATTTGGGGTAGTGAACTGAGGGCCAGAGCATGTGTTTTGGTCCAGGCAAGTTGGGATCAGCTTTGTTCTCTAGCAAGCTGGTGACAATGTCAACTCGGCCAAGGTTGATGGCGTCGAAGAGAGCGGTGTGGCCTTCTTTGGTCTTCGCGTTGGGTTTGGCGCCGTACGCAAGGATCATATCGATGAACTTCTTTGGTGTCTTCTTTTTGATAGCGGCAGTGAGGATAGGAGCCCCAGCAGTCGTAATATGGTTGGCATCTCCGTTGTATGTGAGGAAGAGATGTGTGAACGAGATCATGTTACCCGTAGCTGCAATGGCAAGAGGCGACTCCAACTCAGGTCCTGCAACAAGGTTGGGGTCGGCACCGTACTTCAGAAGCAGGGTGGCACCAGCGAGGAATGATCTCTCCACGCATACAAAAAGAGGTGTAATGCTATCTCTGTTCGACTCATTCGGATCGGCACCGAAAAGAAGCAAGAGCCTCAAGCTTTCCTCATCAAGCGAGAGAATTGCTTCTCTCAGAGGATGCATGTTGAAGCCGAGATTTGGCGAAACACCCCTGTGCAGCAACTGCTCGATGAGTTTGTAGTTCTTGTTGCGGATAGCAGAAACCAATGCGCCCTTCATGTTTGCGGTGTCGCTCTCCAAGCCATTACGAGGGAATACACGAGGCATGTTGCTGGGGTCAACAGAGTGACGCACCACTTTCGCTGGATCCAGGTCCAGAAGCGCGAAATCCTCTGGCAACGAGTCTGGCTCTGTGATGTTCGTCATTGAACGAGCGTCGTCCATGGCGCTGTGTCGACCGAAATGGTCATATGGCATCAAGTCCGAACCACTGGTGTGGGCGGTGCTTTGATGTCGCTGGTCGGGGCTGCCAGGAGCATGAACGTGAAGACCATTGGTGTATGTCATACGGCCGTTGCTGAGTGGGCTGTCATGATGGATTGAGGAGGATCGATTGGACCATGGTGCTTGTGGCTGCTGGAATGATTGATGCTGGTGCTGAATACCATTCTGCATGCCATTTGTCATACCGTTCGACAGGCCGTTTGAGAGACCATTTGACATGCCGTTTGAAAGGCCATTTGAGAGGCCGTTTTGCATACCATTTTGCACATCAATTGCCCCGAATGGGAAGGCAGGGGCGAGATCTGGTGGCGGAGCTGGGAATTGAGGAACTTGAGAACCCGGTTCATATTGACCTGAGAGGTGCTGCGTCGGAGTCTGAGATTGTTGATATTGAAGCTGTTGTTGTTGATGTTGCTGGGGGATTTGTGGGAGAGGTTGAGAAGGGGGTTGTGTTGGTGGAGGAGTAGCTGATTTTGGTGTAGCGGCTGGAGTCAAGGATCGTTCCTTGGGCGACGCAGATTTTCTTTGTGGTTCCTTTACCTTTCCGGCTTTGTGGTCCATTCTGTCGAGTGCTGCCGCCTGTTCAGATAATCAGTATGTTGATCACGCGCTTCTGTTACTCGCTTAATGGAAAAAGCAAAACTTACAAGGCCAGTAAACCCAATTCCTTTCTCCTTCTCAGTGGTCTCTTCTCCCAAGCTCCACTGGAACATCAAAGAGCTCATTCTGAGACTCTCTCTAGTTTTGGCGAGTGCCATGGAGATCTTCTTTATATCATTGTCACCGAACAATTTTCCCCAGCTGCGCGCCAGCTTACTTGCTGGCGCGATCATCTTGACCAGCATCTGGTTCAGGATGTTGAAGTCGGCTTGCGTGACGCGGAATTTGTGGTCCAGCTCCGTGATCATTTCTTGCGGCAACTTCTGGCCAGAGCGGTTGCATTCTCCCAGGCCAGCCTCGATGGAGAACAAGATCTGGCAAGTGTCGAGGAAATCATGAGCCAGGGGCTCGAAGCCGTAAGCGACTTGTTTGGCGGTTGTAAGATACTCGAGGATGTGCACTGCGATGAGGTCGATGGACAGCGTCGTCTTGTGGCACAGCTCTAAGCAGTTGATTTGCGGTTTTGAGACAGATGGCGCCATCTTGACTGTCTTCTTCTCCTTTACTTGGTTCGTTTGACCGTTGCTCCTCGTAGCTGTTCGCTTCAGAGTATTGGTGGTGGTTCTCACCAGTGTGGGGGTTGGCGTTCTTTGCTGGAAATGGGCGGTGTCGTTCTTTTCTGGCACAGCTGGTCTGGTTGGATACAAATTGAGATTGTTCGACGCCGGGAGCTGACCGAGATCAGTGATATTCAGAGAAGGTTCCTTGGAATCGAAAGTCAGCGCGTCAAGGAAGGAAAAGTCTCCAAAGTCTCCGTCGTGTGAGGTTGTCAACGGGTGGAAGGAGCTCATACTAGGACATTGGAAAGAGAAAAGAGAGTAGGAAGAAAAATGAAGTGCGCGAAATTTGGAGCCAGAGAGTGGGGAGGACCGAAGCTATATGAGTGATAGTCTTCTTTTCATTCTGGACTTAACCTGCTGGCCTGTGGAATCCAGACATGTTTACAAGCAATTCAACCGGATGAGACATGGCGTCTGTGAGCCCACTGTAGTTTGGATTGATAGACCTCGACGCACGGCCTGGACGACGCCAATCAATAAACCAAGAAATAGAGTTTGCTGCCTCCGGACTGAGCTTGACGAACATCGAACTATCGCCGGCCACTAGACAGGGAAGCAGCTGCTGTCAAACCCAGCATGTTTCTATGTGCAATTTACGGCACTGGCTCCTTCTGCATGTGAGTTTGAAGATACCGAGACAGAAGCGTTCAAAGTTGCAGAAAGCCCCTCTACGCCTTGACATTGAGTTCTTCCCCTCCTCTTTAGACTTTGTGGCCCGGTTTTGCCCCAATGGTAGTTGGACAAGACTCTCGCATCATGCAGTGACATATCTCCGATGCTGGGTCCTATGCATGCAGATCTTCTGTCATTGAGGGCCATCAATCCGACAGTAAAAGGGGGTCCCAGGTACATGACTCGAGACGTCTATGGTTGGTTACTGTCTCCGTGAGGCGTCTTTGAAATAATGCTTCAAGGGGTTCAGCAATCAGGAGTCATCACAGCGTCGTATACGGAGTAGCCCGGGCATTTGAGCCTGACATCAAGGGTCTCGAATCGATTCACCGTGCTCACTGGGCGAGATGCGAAATTGAGATATGATAGCCCTGTGGACGGGAACCGGGTCAGGCCTGACAACTGCAATCATCTGTGCTCGGTGGTTGACGTCTAGCCATCGTCTGGCTGTGGCTGGACTCCAAGTAAATTAGAAGTCGTCAAAACCTTCACAAACTGCTTCCAGTCAGGATCCGCTGTCGGGATATCCCTTCAAGCCTCTGGTTGCGGATGCCAATTCGTGTTAAAGTCTCTCGACGACGCCTGTTGGTGCCCGATTGTCCAAACAATCGCAAGTTTCAGCAAATAGTCACCCCGAGTCACCGTAAATTTACTTGATAGCGCTACAGTAAGATGCGCCCGAAGAATCCCAGGGTTCTGGGATCCAGGGTTCATTAGTTCTCCACAGTTAGTGTTCTCCGGCTGATCTTTCCTTTCCCATGCACCCTGCCTAGCCTGCCCTATCGAGCCTATCCTATCCACTCCCCTCGATTTTCCCCGCTATTGTGTTCACGCCGCAAAAGGTCCAAGCCCTCGGGAGACCATCCGATCCTCCAGCCGACAATCCATCGGACGCCTCTTCATGAGCTGCATAAACCAGGCACAACAGTACTGTTGCAGTTGTGAGACAGTGTTTCGGATTTCCCAGGGCCAGACAAGATCTCAACGATGCAGAAATCGTGGCTTTTGGTCTGACAAGTGACAAGTCCACTACTGTGGCTATGAGCTGCAGCCTGCTGCACCATGGCGAATCTGGATCGTGTTTTTGGCCCCGTGGCTTTTTTCACACAAGCGTTGAAGAAGAACAGAACTTCACCCCTATTATTCCAAGCGAACCGTGCCTTTACAGTATTTTTTCGCCTAGCTGGTGCTGCCAATCATGTGGCCTGGGGAAGTGGCTCCGATTTTCCTGCTAACAGGGACTTTCGACCAGGGCAGACCTGACCTTAATTCTCCTCCTTGACTTATTTCAACTCAGAGTTTTAGGGACCAAGGCAGTGTTAACGTTAACAGTAGTCTTCAAAAAATCATCCCATAGTGGCAATTACACGTGTGAACTAGACTGTTAGTTCTGTGCTACGGGGACACCAACTCTACGAACCGGACCGAGCCAACTCATCCAACGTCTCCACGTGAAGTCAGTCAGAGTCCAACGTGGACATTATTCAGGTTGTCTAACGTTCATGTAAAGTGCAAGACAGATGAGGGGTTCAGTCGTCGACCTGCAGAAAACAATAAGCGGGCCCTGTAAATTATGAGGTTGTCTGCGTCTGAGCCTGGACTTCAGAGTGAGACCTCCCCGATCCACCACCAAGCTTGTTTTTCCACGACCGTGCCATCGGAATTCCCTTTATGGGCCTCTATGGAGCGTTTTAGGGGATTACCTCGGTGGTTTGATGAGGCGTATGATGAGGCGTACAGTACAGTAAACGCACCTGGGCATCATCCATAATCTATTTGGTCCGCGGGAGAATCGAAACAAAATGGGAGGGGGAAGACGGACGGGTCAATTACTGCAGTTGAGTCGGGACAAAGATGTCGCCGTCAGTGTTGGTGGGCACGGCTCGCTGAGCAGGCCAGGGACGAGTTCCTTCGATGCGGCACGGCGGCTTGACGGATGCAGCTGCAATTGCAAATAATGCAAATGCAAGTGTCGGAGATGAATCTCGGTCCTGGCAAATCCCATCGCCGATAAGCCATCTATCCACTGTTGTGCTAGGCTAGGAACTACTATTTTTGAGCTACTTTAGCTTGGGTATGTTGTGCAACGTGCATTCGGCGAGAAGGGTTCTCTAGCTTGCTCTAGCTTCTCAGCCACGAGGTCGTGATCGTTGCTCAGCCGCAGTTTAGTCGCGTAACATTCAGTCTCCTCATTGGGTTTGTGTAGGTTCGTCTGTGTTATTTGAGACTATGAAGGATAGGATATCAATCTATTTGAGAAACTATCTAGCCACCGTATGTTAGAATACATTCCTTTTTTTCTCATATTCCTCTGAGGAATTGGAATTCACACGCCTGCAGCCACACTTCCTTCCCCGATTTCCCCGGAATTCGCTTAGATTGATCGAGCGCGTATGATAGACGGAAGCTGTACAGATATCCTGTCTCGAGTCGCAGATCCTCTACTCGCAATGCGGGGCAATTACTATTCTAGGAATACCAAAATTCCAGGAAGTGCCGAGCCAGCCAACTCTTGACAGCAAGTCTGCAACGCATAATGTCGTTTGATATAGCATACAGCTCGCCTATCAACATGTCTGACCCAAAACACACACGAGATTTTGCTACCGACTACCATCTATCCGAGGTATCACCATCTCTACCACCAATAATACTGCTAAGCGAGTGTCTCACGCGAGGAGAGACCAACCAGTCATCGCGCCCGCATCAAAACGACAGCAACAAAAAAATCATGAACCCCAACAAAAAGAATGGATAGGAAGAAACAAGAAACCTTAACGAAAGTGAGGGTTGAATCAAACAAACGCTCAAACAAACACACCTCCAGAGTCTCGCTTAGCGCAAACAGCGCAAACAGCGCAAATAACTCACACTCACGACCAGATCTGGTTATCTGGTGTCGTACAGGCCCCCTTCGTCTTCTTCTCACCACAACCGACGTTGCCGATGCTATCGTTTGTAGGTATCTCGTATACCGAGATAGGGCTAGAAACCTCCGTGCCGTGGAAATGCTCGCCGTCAAAAGGCAAATGATGCTGCGCGACGACTCTCTCCAAACCGCATTTCAAGCACACCTCAAAACGATCAAGGTGATTCCATTTGCTTCCTGCATCACCAAAACCAAATCCCCACGCGTCGTTGTTTCCACCACTTCCACCACGTCCACCAGCAGTAAACCCATCGCCCCACCTCCCACAATAAAACCTCGCACTCGCCGAGCTCCAAAGACTACTCTGGCTATTACTCCTCGTCACACCACCCTCAGCCCCTCCAACTCCCACTTCCCCTCCATGCATCTCAATCTCAAGCTCCAACCCCTCCTCATCACCCCCCACTCTCTTGCTCTTTCCCTGACGACCGATCTGTAGAAAAGGGACGAAGACAAGAGATAGTGAGGAGATGATGATGGTGCAGAGGAAGACGCGGGAGAATGGGAAGAGGGTGTGGGTTCGTCCTTTGGGGGTTTGAGCCATGGCGCCGTAGATGGCGGAGGTGATGGCGAGGCCGATGGAGATGCTGAGCCGGAGGGCGGTTTGGAGGATGCCGGCGCCGAGGGAGGATTGCGAGGGGTGGAGGCGGGAGGAGATGTAGAGCTGGTGGGGGAGAGGGGTGTTAGTTGGATTTTTCTTTTTATTAAAAAATGGAGAGGTAAGTCGTTGAAGTGAAAGGGGAAGGGAATGGGAATGGGAGAAGGAAAGGGAAATGGGAAGGGAGGGGAAAGTAAACAGAACGAGATGAGATAAGATATGGTAAGCGAGGAACAGACAGGGACGTACATTCGAGACAATGAATTGGAAATCCGCCCCAATAACCGTAACACACAAACTCGGGAACAACACAGCCCAATAACTCGTCTCCGGCCTCACAAAAAACATCAGTACCGCACCAGCCAGATATCCCAACCCCCCAACCCCCATCAGCACCCTCCCACTAACACAGCTCACCAGTGCCTGTCCAAGGTAACTCCACACCACACCCGTGATAGCCTGTGGCATCAATCGGACTGCTATATGAAGCGGTGCCAGGACTTGGATGTCTTGCATGTACATGGAGATCCAGAACTGGTTGGTGATGAACGACATGTAGCCCAGCCCGGCACAGATGATGCTCATGGTGAATGTGGAATTTTGGAATATGGATGGGGGGAGGAGGGGGGATGGAGCGTGGTGTTCCCAGATGGTGAAGAGTGTTAGAGAGAGGAGGCCGAGGAAGAGGAGGATGAGGACTTTGTGGGAGTGCCAGCCGAGTTGGGGAGCTTCTCTGCAGAACCAAGATATCAATCAGCATTCCGATTATTCTCAAGGAGAAGAGTGAAGCACGAGGGGAGAGGTGAGAAACGTACGTCAAAGCAGCAGACACACACGCCAACCCAACAACCGTCAAGCCCGTCCCCAAATAATCAAACTCTTTCACCAACGCCCCAGGATTCCCCGCCCTCTGAATCACAGGCACAGTCCAAACCGCCGCCCCCGCCATCACAAAAAAGAACACCCCAATAACCACAAAGCTCTGCCTCCAACTCGCATACTTGGTCGCCACTCCCGAACTTATACTCCCCAGAATGAAACCCAGGGGATTCCCGACCCCAAGCGCACCAGTGACTCGATTCCGTCTCTTGCCTTGTGGGTACGTTGCGAAGAGGGTGCCGATGGCGGGGGGTGCGATGATGGCTGTTCCGAGGCCGAGGAAGCCGCTGAGGATGTTGATGCTCAGGGCGGTGGGGGCGAAGGCTGTGAGGAGGCTCGAGAGGGAGAGGAGGAGGAGGCCGAGGAGGAGTTGGAGTTTGCGGCCGAAGAGGTCGGCGGTTTTACTGAAGAAGAGCATGAATGAGCCGCTGGCGAGACTGTTTACAGGAAGGCATCAGTACTGTGTGGATGGGCGAGGACAGAGTGAGGGGATGTAGATACCCTATTGCGGCTGCTATCCATGTTACTTGTGCTGGTGTCATGCTGAGATCTCGTCCTATGGTTCCGGTGTTGATGACGATTACGCCTTGTATGAATGTCTATCGAGAATGTGTCAGCTTGACCAGGATATCGAGATTATGACGATAGTGGTTCCTACCGTTGAAGCAATCGCAATCATAGCCGTAAACACAAAGATGCACTCCTCAAACAAGTTTCTGAACTGCTTGGGCCTTGCATTCGGATCACTCGCGACAAGCGCGAATGCCATCTCAGCTTCGACATCAAAGGCGATGATATCGGAGTTAACAAGAGTGGTGCAGGAAGGGATCGACGTATGTAATGATCGCGATGATCGATTCGATCGTGATTGAGAAGACTGCGTGGAGTTTGTTGCAGTCGAGTTGGATCGTGTTGGCTGGGTGTTGGAGGACTCAGCAGGATATGTCGCCATGCCTGGAGGAGTAGTGATACAGTTTAGTGTAACAGTAGATGTAGAGCAATCCATAGCTTTGGTTAGGCTCCAAATATGCCGGAGAGTTAACTGTCGAGGAGAGTGTGAGTGGTAGGGATTGGGTTGAAATAGACTCTCCCAAGTGTGGTTGTGACTTGTGATTCACAGGACCTGGCCTAGGTCACTAAAGCCGACGGCTGATTTCCTGAGAGACAGTCATGACATCCATTCACCTCAGAAACTGAAAAGTGGGATACATGGGTGACTCCTTGATGGGGAGGAACGTTAGACTGGAGATTGTGCTGACGAGGCGGGTTAAACATTCAGCTCATGGAACAATCAAGAGCAATTTGACCGATGGATCGAGCGGTAAGGAAACTGAACAGTTAAATGCCCTCAGAAAACACAGGATTCTCTAGAATCCCGAAAGTGCATTCATATAATCCGCACCGAATCACAGAAAGCAGAATAACCTGGAGCGTGCATTTCTTACAAGATGAGGAAAATTCTCACAGTCTTTGGGATGCTGATTTGGAACTCCCAAAAACGAGAGCTTGCTGAGCTCGCAAGCTAATGCAGAACAGATGTAGAAAGTTTCACGCGGAATAATGTATGAAAACGTTGAAAATACGTAGCGGAAGTAGGTAAAAGTCAAACTGGTCTATAAATTGCACAGTCCGCTGACGTTAATCATTATCTAAACACCTCTTTGTCTCTCCGCTTCCGCGACAGCTTCAAGCATCTCGCCTCTCTCTTGCAGCGCTCTCTCGGCCTTTGTCCCCCTCCTGGGCAGATACTTGATTATAATCGGCAACATAACAGCCATAAGCGCACCACCACCAAGGAAACCCGCAGTGACACCCCATCCGAGTGTATATTTGGGTGCTGAAGTAGAAGGCCAGATCTGACTTCCGTAGACGGAGGAGAGGTTGCCTACAGCATTGATCATAGCGATGGCAATAGCCCGCTTCTCGGATGGGAAGGAGATGGTCTTGGATGCCCATGCGATGATGAGCGGGAGGGCCGACCAAATTCCTGCTGCGACGAAGCAAAGCATGACATAGCGGACCATGGGAGTCTGTACAATTGCGCAAACGAGAGCGCAGACGAAACCAAGTGTCAAAGAACCGGTGATATGCCATCTTCGCTCCCCCATGCGGTCAGCGGAGTATGCACATGCGTTCAAGCAGACAGCTGCGACGGAGTAGACTGGCACGGTCATGTACTGGGCGGTGATGGTGGTGTAGCCGAGAGACTTGGTGATAGTTGGAATAAAGTAGGAGATTGTGCCGGCACCGAGATCGAGCACGAAGAGGAGCATGAATGCGTAGGTGCGAGGATCGACAGCAGCAGCTTTGAATGCTTCCCAGTGGGAAAGACGTTCGTGGTTGCCGCCATTGGCTTCCTTGCTATCAACGATGATGCGGACAGCTGCGAGTTGTCGTTCTTCGAGGGTCAGTGCCGAAGAAGAGTGGGGGAAGTCGAGCAAGATGAACTTTGCGATGACTGCCACGCCGACAGTTGCGACTCCTTCGATAATGAAAAGCCATCTCCATCCGTGGATACCATGAGCACCATCAAGACCGCCTGTGATTCCACCAGCAAGGAGACCACCGAATGCTCCCGACAAGACCGCGGCACTGTAGAAGATGGCGAAACGTTTGCCTGGAACATGTTAGTAATTGGCTCGTGAGAGATAGACTGGGCTTCGTACCAATTTCCTCAGTCTTGTACCAACATGACATCATAAACAAGACACCAGGGAAGAATCCAGACTCGACACAGCCAAGGACGAATCGGAAAGCAAGAAGTGATCCATAGTTCTGTACACAAGCCATAGCAGCACTTAAGGCTCCCCAAACCAACATGATTGCTGGAAGGAAAAGAGATGGTCGAGAGCGGCTGAGAACCATGTTTGATGGTACTTCCATAATCAAATAACCGAAAAAGAAGATTGATATAACCCAAGCGTAGCCTGTGATTGTATTAGAAGTGTAAGAGTCGTGAACTTTAATAGGAACTCACGAGAGCTATCAAGGCCGAGGTCCTTGTCCATGCCAGCGGTTTTAGCATTTCCCTGCAGACTTGTTAGGTACTAGACCCCTTTTATTCGTTTAGCGAAGATAAAACTTACAATGTTGGTACGATCAACATAGTTCAAAACATACATGATCCACAGAATGGGAATCAAATGCATGTCAATCTTGCGGACCAGCCTCTTCTCCGCTTCGGTGTTTGGAACATAATCTTTGATTGCCTTTTGGAGTTCAATCTCCTCCGCATCGATGTCTTCTTTTACTGGGATTTCGTCCATCTCGAGGTGTGAAACTTCGTCTTTCTTCAGATCAGACATTATTGTTGAGAAGTCGAACGTATCCCAATGGATTGTGTAGTTGTTATCGAGGCCCCGAGTATGAGTTGAAGTTGAGATGCTCGTTGTTGTCTGGGATGAAAAATCTGATGGATTTCATCATCGTCTTATATGCTATTAATGTTGAGAGTGGATCCGGGGAGCAACTGGTGAATCTCGGGGGGTCGAGGAATGTGGAGAGCCAAGCGAAGTTTGACTGGGGAACACGGGGCATTATTGGTGGGAGGAGGTCTGCGGACAGAACACCGCGTACCGGACACCTTCGCGGACGCCCACTTAGCATGGAGATCCAAGCCACTTCGGGTTGTTCTCCAGTATCAACTATTTTAGCCTTTGCAATGCGGCTGGGATGCCGGTCTGATGGCATTGTAGAAGCTCAATCGAAACGACAAGCGAAGGGAGGTTTGAACAAGCTTTGACGGGTATGGAATTGTGTGCGTGACTTCGTAACTTCTGGACCGTCCTTGGAGTGTTCTGGGTACTGTCCAGAGTTTTAATTTTGTATCTGTCTTGCTGCCAATTCAGATCGAACCATAATCAAACATCCCGGCTTTTGACGACTCATTAATCGGCAGAAGATCTGCACGCAATCCATACGCTCAATGCCCATTTCCTGCATCAAAAGTGGGCGCCATGACATCGAAGAAGCCCATCGGGAAATAATTCTGATCGTACAGAGGAAGCGAGCTGTCGAACATGCCAAATGTTGAGTAGTCAACTGGAAAATCAAACATGGCTGGGTCAAGATGGCTGTTTTCTTGCTTTGCTTCGTTGTGCCTTTGGACATTTGATGGGTTGTTATGGCCGTGGTTTTCCCATGCCGTATATCGATCCAGCATTTTGGTGAGACCAGCTGCTATGTGGCCTGTTAAATGTCGCTCGCCGGCTCTTACTTCGCTCAAGAGACTAATCGTCCTTGTGACAAGATCTCGAACCAGAACTGGATCTGTCCCAAGCTTGAATGCTCCCCATTTCTGCTGCACTTTGAGCAGAAATACCGTTGAGTACGTTATCATAGTCGAGAGATAGATCGGAACTCCAACAACTGAGTTTCGCACGTCTGTGTCTTCCAATACCATTTGGAGGATTCCCAATGCACAATGTACAGCTGTTCCCGCAAGTTCTCTTCGGTCTTGCGTAAGTTCTGCGGGTTGTTTGATTCCTCGGAGCGCCAATGAGCCCACCTGTAGCTTGCCAAAATTTAAATGGAGGATTACGCCTTTAGCGGGGTATGAAGCAACATATGTGTTCGGTGCCAGAAGGGGCTCCCATTTGATTCTCCAAGAGTCCAGGTCGACATTGAAGTGACGAAGTCGGACGAGGTCTTGTTCGGAAAGGACTTGCTCAATATCTGGTCCAAACGCATTGTAAACTTTGGTCAGGATCAGAAAGACGGCGACTTGGCTATGCAGGCGTAGGTCCGCCTGCGTTATAGTTGGTAATTCTAAGAATCGTTCGTGATGGGTGATCGTTTCATTCTCGTGAATGACGGGCGGCCTGCCATATGCAATACTGAAGTGGTGATCACAGACATAGAGAAAGTACCACAGTCTGGCTCCTTCAATGTGCTCTTGAGAGCCTCTAAGAGCACGAGAATAGCTCTGATGGAGATTCAGCTCTGTTGCTATCCTTACTGCATGTCCTGACAATTTCCCTTGGATAATTAGTGTTTGCCTCCTTCATCGCCTCTGGTGACTTACAGCTGACATCGGATAGCCAGAATGCTCCAATACATAACCCTCGGATCCCGTCCAAAACGTGGTAGCGCTCGAACATCGAGTCACAGACCAGTGCTATGAACTCTGCATAGCATACATCAAACGTCTGGCCCCTTCCTGGGATGTGCAGGGCCGTCACCGTAAGTATTGCAGCCAACAGAAGCGAGGAGGATTGGCGGACGGATGCCAAATTGTCATGAACAAGTGCAATGCCGCCCCATAGGTAGTGGTTCAGCGATCGGCTGAATATGCCAAATAACTCCTCTGCCTCGGCCTCGGAAATTTTGCCCTTCGATATAAAGTCCTCGACCACCACAGGTCCAGCATTTGCAGTAGGATTACTCCTTAGGTTTCTCAACTTAGTGACTTCGTACAGACTCCCCATAGGTGCAGAGGCCAGAGCATCATCGATCTTATTCGCTTCTGGTTCCAGGGAATGTTCTCTCGTCATGGCCATAACAGCGGTGCGTGAGGCTCTTGGCTCAGGGTTGGCTTGCAACCGTTCGGCAACAGCTTCAGGCGACACAACTTGGACAATGGTTTGTCGTGTGAACGTTTCCAAAGGCGGAAGCTCCAATACACTCAGAATTTTGGCGACGGCACGCTGCAGACATTGCGTGTTATCCTCCATGTTTGCTTTCCATCTAGGGCAGGTCAGCAGATGCCGTCTCGGCACAATCATCTCACTTACTCTGTCCCTTCTTCCAGCAGCGACTGGAGACTCTTGTTGACGATACATTTCAAATTCTTCCTCGAGCACCTCGTACACACAGACTTATCAGGCCCAACATCACACTTGATCTTCCTCGCCTGACATTCCGTACAAGCATGCACTTTCCTCGAGATCTTTGGCAGCCTTCCTTGATCTGCCAGCCCCACGTGACCAGTCGAGGAAGGCGACTCGATGTCCTGGCGTGCTCGTTTCATCCCCACAAACCCCAGGAAATTCGAAGCGCAGTAGTCCCTAGGTTGTGAGTATGGGTTGGCAACGGTAAGATGCAGACAGCAGGGCCATCAATTGGCTTCAAGTGGAGCAGGCAGTTGCGAGAGTCCAGGCTCTGTGTCTCTGACAAGCTTTGAGCGGCCACAAACCCGGATTGCGATTACGAAGCTCACCACATGCAGCAGAATTGGCTTTTGCGGCACCCAACTGACTGCTCGGTAGGATGACCGCGAGGATTAATCACAACTCCGGGCTGTTCGCGGTATGCAAGACAGTTGTCGATTTCCTCAAATTCTTAGATGCGTCTGTAACTTTTTGGTGTTGAAGGAGAAAGTATGAACGAGGAGAAAAACGCGGGAGAAGTCCGAGGTTGAAGAGGGGGAATAGGCTAGCAGCCCCCACGGTCAAGAAATCCCTTGGCATTTGCTAGTCGGGCAGAACACCGTGATGTCTCCTCGACGACCTCCACTACCTACCATCCACTGCAATCCGGGGAGGACAGACTCTCGGCTTTAGAGATTTTCAAAGAAAATGCTGACTCCATATCCGGCCCGAGCGGTCGTTCATATAAGTCCCCGAGTCTTCGTGGACATTGAATTTCAAACCCATTGATACCCCTCTCTTGCTTGGACTCGCAACTCCTCTACCATCACCACCGCTATCCTCCACAACCCTTTAATAATAGCATCCCCTTATCACCAACCTCGGATACGACACGATGGCCACACAGACCAGCGAGAAGATTGCCTTCGCTGGCTTAGGAGCCATGGGGCTCGGAATGGCCTCCCATTTACTTGGTTTAGGCCACCACGTGACCGGTTTCGACGTTTACGAACCTTCACTTGAAAAGTTCAGAGCGCTGGGAGCAAAGACAGCCACTTCACCTAGAGAAGCCGCACGGGATAACGATTTCTTCATATGTATGGTTGCGAACTCGAATCAAGCCGAATCCGTACTTTTCGCCCCAGAAACTGGAGCTGTTCAAGGTATGTGAATTCCACAGACTTTACAAGTCGCGGATCGTCTAACTATGTGCAGCTCTCCCACAAAATGCCACAATTATCCTGAGTTCAACAGTACCATCGAGTTACTTGAACTCTATACAGTCTAGCCTAGAAAAGCTGGGCAGACAAGACATTCTTCTTGTCGACAGCCCTGTATCAGGAGGAACAGTTCGGGCTGCCCAAGGAAATCTCACAATACTCGCTTCTGGCACCCTAGCATCCTTAGAACGCGGCAACAGCATTCTATCCGACATGTCAGAGAAATTATACATTATTCCTGGGGGAATTGGAGCGGCCAGCAACGTCAAAATGATCAACCAACTCCTTGCTGGAGTCCATATTGCAGCAGCCGCTGAAGCTATGGGCCTGGCAGCAAAGGCAGGGCTCAACACTAGACAGGTTTACGATATCATCGTAGGCGCTGCAGGAAACTCATGGATGTTCGAGAACAGAGTTCCGCATATGCTCGACAACGACTTGACGCCGTATTCTGCCCTTGACATCTTCGTCAAGGACATGGGCATCGTCACTTCATCTGCTCGTCTTCAAGGATTCCCTCTTCCTTTATCATCAGTGGCAGAACAACTCTACCTTTCCGCTTCAGCACAAGGCTTTGGTCGTCAAGATGATTCTGGACTCGTCAGGACGTTCACTCCTGGATCACCCACACTCGTCCACGATCAAGCCAAACCTCAACCCGCATCAGACAAACTCACTCCATCAGTAACGCCACTCGAGATTATCAAAATTGGATTCATAGGTCTAGGAGCAATGGGAATTGGAATGGCAATTTCACTTGTCAAAGCTGGTTTCCCTGTTTGTGGATATGATGTCTACTCGCCTTCAACAGAGAAATTCCTCTCCCAAGCAGGCGAGAAAGCAAGCGCAGCTACATCCCCAGCTGAAGCAGCAGACGCAGCTGAGATCTTGATTCTGATGGTTCAGAATGCTGCGCAGGCAGAAGATGTCCTCTTCGGCTCTGGCAAAGTAGCTTCCACGCTCCCCGCAAACGCAATCATCATCCTTAACTCTACTGTGCCTCCTTCTTTCGCCAAGGATCTCGGACAGCGACTTTCAGCTCTGGGTACAGGACTCGAGCTCATCGATGCTCCAGTCAGCGGAGGTGTAGTCCGAGCTGCCTCCGGTAATCTCACCATAATCTCCTCTGGTGCAGCACTCGCCCTTTCAAAAGCCTCTCCCGTCCTTGCAGCGCTCTCGGGTCCCTCTTCCAATCTTTTCACCATCCCCAATGGAGCCGGTGCTGCTTCTTCGGTAAAACTCATCAACCAGCTACTTGCAGGCGTACATATCGTCGCAGCAGCTGAGGCAATGGCTTTCGGCGCCAAGCTCGGTCTCGATACTCGCAGTCTATATGAGATCATTAAGAATGCTGCTGGTGGAAGTTGGATGTTTGAGAACCGCGTTCCAGCTATGTTGAACGCGGATTGGACGCCAAACAGCCAGCTTGCAATTTTTGTGAAGGATTTGGGAATTGTGCTTGATGAGGCCAAGCGTTTGGGATATGCGGCTCCATTGAGTGCGGCAAGTCATCAAGTGTATCTGAATGGTGCTGCCAAGGGATGGGCGAAGGATGCTGATTCTGGTGTCGTGAGGGTTTGGGAGTTGATGACGGGCGTTTCTGTTGCTGAAGCTGCGAAGGCAGTTGTTGAGCCAGCTGCAGAGGTCAAGACTGAGCCTTTCACGCCCAGCGTGTACGAACCACTCCCACTTGAGGAAACAGTCGCTTCTCTTCCTCCAATCACAAGCACAAATACCCTCGCAACGATCAAGGAACACATCGCATCTCCAGAAACCCCAGCTCTTATCATCCTTGACGACGACCCAACTGGTACACAAACATGCCGTAAGTCTTACCAAACCCATTAGTACACAACGTCAAGCATCTAACATTAATCTAGACGACATCCCCGTTCTAACAGTCTGGGACATCCCCACCCTAACCAAAGAACTCACTCGCTCCCCTTCCGGCTTCTTCATCCTCACCAACTCTCGCGCCCTCCCCGGCCCCGAAGCAACCACTCTCATCACCGAAATAACAACCAATATCTCCCAAGCCGCCTCAACAACCAAAAAGACCTTCCAGATCGTCCTCCGCGGCGACTCTACCCTCCGTGGCCACTTCCCCGAAGAGCCTGACGCAGTGGAATCCGTGCTGGGTACATCAACGGCTTGGATCCTCGCGCCTTTCTTCTATCAAGGTGGTCGCTATACTATCAACGACGTGCACTACGTCGCCGAAGGATCGTCCTTGGTTCCAGCGAGCCAAACACCATTCGCTCAAGACGCAACATTCGGCTACAGATCTTCCAATCTTAGAGACTATGTTCTTGAGAAAACATCCTGTCGCTTCAAGCCTGAACAAATTGTCTCCGTAACGCTCAACGACATCCGCATCGGCGGACACCTAAAAGTCGCTGAAGTGCTTGCTGGAGTGCAAAAAGGCAGCGTCGTAGTAGTCAACGCCGCCTCAGAAGAAGACATGCACGTCTTCGCCCTAGGATGCATCCTCGCCGAGCAAGCTGGCGCCAAATTCCTCTACCGCACCGGCGCGGCATTCGTATCCTCGCGTCTCGGGATCCAAGGCAAAGCGCCTATGACGGCACAAGAGCTGGGTGTTGATACGTCTGTAGGGAGTCCCGGCGGGTTGGTCATAGCGGGGAGTTATGTCCCGAAGACGACGGCGCAGTTGGCGTTTTTGAGGGAATTTAGAGGGGAGAAGTTGAGGGTTATTGAGCTTGATGTTGAGGCTTTGTTGGCTGAGCAGGAGGTCCAAACTGCTGCCTCATCTTCGACACTGAGTTCAGCAGCTGAACAGCAACCCTCGAAGATAATCAGCACGGCTATCTCCACAGCCACACAATCCATCCTCTCCGGAACCGACGTCCTCCTCATGACATCTCGATCCCTCATCCGCGGCACCACACCCCTCTCCTCCCTTCAAATCGGCTCCGTAGTCGCTAGCGCACTCGTCCAGTTCCTGCGTGGGATTGAAGTCAGACCAAGGTATATCATTGCGAAGGGTGGGATCACAAGTAGTGATGCTGCTACTAAGGGGTTGGGTATGAAGCGCGCTATGATCCTTGGACAAGCTGCGCCTGGCGTTCCGATCTGGGGCTGTGAGGAGGAGGATGAGGGCGTAAGGCATAGGGGGGTACCGTATGTGGTTTTTCCTGGGAATGTGGGTGGGGTGGAGACGTTGGGGGAGTTGGTTGGACGGTGGGCTGCTGTTTGATGAAGGTGGGATAGGATAGATGAGTTGATGTGTTTTGCTTTGAAAAATGAACAGCAAGTCAAGGCATTGGTTATGGAGCTGGAGTTGGGATGGAGCGTTTTGCGTGTTTGAAATGCATAGGATTTTGGTGTCGCTAGATTGTGTATAGGCAGGAATGAGAGATAAGAGCAAGATATCAAAAATAGATGAATCAAAAGGATTTCATCGAACGGCAGATCAGATCGTATTTGTGCCTCTCCTAAATCCTAGTCCAACACCCCCAAAATGCCGTGTACCAAACGTCCTTGGCATCCAAGATGAAGTTCCTTTTTAACAGACGGACAGTGCGAGCTTGGTATGGTAGCTTTAAGCGAGAGGGGATCAAACACGTGGAACTGTACTTCATTACATTGTGTGACAAGAGAAGTAGAGGTATTGATGGGGAGGTGTAAGTTTGTGGGTAGAACAAGATGGAAGGAACTGACACTGCTTTAGTATCCGCCTGACGCTCCTAGATGGGCAAGCAGCCTTGTATGGATGGTTGGAGAACTTCTAGTTGGAATGGATAGAAGTGGATGTGCCTGCGGGTGAGTGCGGATTTGTGCGGAGCAGGGTGGAAAGTTGAAATGGCCATACGGTATATCAATCACCAGTATCACGGAATCAAGAACATCAGTGTCAATGTGGGCAAGACTCAACACATCTCGCCGAGTATGTTTGGTATTCTCACTCAATTGCTTGGATTGAGTCTCTGCTCTGTCTGCCTGTTTGCCTATCTGTGTGTCATGGTCCGTCGTAGCCCGCATGAATCTGATACCCCGAAAAAAAAAGGGGACATCAATCATCCTCGTAACTTCTCCGTTTTTCGTCAAATCGCTAGCATCGCATCGCATTGTACTGCATCACATTCGTATCGCATCGTATGCATCTGTCTGTCTTGTATGATTGCTCCGCTCTATCATCTTTCCGTCCATCCATCCCAGCAGAGAATACAAACAAAAAAAGGCAGAAGAAAAAGAACTTTTGGAGGTCCCATTCCCAAATCCCATCCGATTCTAAAGAAGCTTTGAAGCTGAAGACTCGCAGCAAAAGCAGGATGGATGGATGAAAATGATATCAGACTCTTTGAGTACAACAAGAGTTTGGTGTTTATTTTTGAGGGGGTCGCAATAAATGAAAACATCGTGAAGGAAATCGTGAAGGGTAATGTTTTGTTATACAAAGAAGGCCGGCTGTTTGGTGAAAGCTGGTCATCGTCAAATCCTCAATCTCTGCAAGCCACCCTTTCCAAAGACTGTTCGGGGTATCGTATCTCGTCGTCGTTCTGCATGCATATCTTTCTCGGAAGTTCGGATTCTTGTCGCTCGTCGTTTCATTCGTCGGTCCTTAATGTATCTTTCCATGCCAGTAGCTTAGTTGGGGCATTGAGCCTGGACGTGACCTGGCTGCTTGCACTTGTAGCAAGTACGCTCGTTGTTGTTCTCAACGGGGCAGTCTCTTGAGAGATGACCGACCTCGCCACAGTTGTAGCACTTCTGTCCCTGGGTGCAGTCACCTAGAACGGTTTAGAAAGAGTATCAAGGCAAGGATACTGTAGACTTACGGGACATGTGACCATAACCTCCGCAGGAGTAGCAGGTCTGTCCACCTTGTCCACCACCGTATCCGCCACGTCCGCCTCCATATCCACCTTGGTTTCCACCGAAACCGCCACTGTATCCGCCCGCCTCAGGGCAGTTACGGGCAATGTGTCCGATCTTGGAGCACTGGTAGGTGTCAGAGTAGATCATGAGGATATAGACAATCGTTCATACCTTGTAGCACTCTTGGGATCCACCACCAGATTGGAATCCACCGCCACCACGTCCAGCACCCTCAGCAGCAGGGTTCTGGCAATCACGGGAGATGTGGCCAGGTTGGCCGCACTTGTAGCAAGTCTTGTCCTTTGGTCCATCAGGGCACTCACGGCCTAATGATTGTCAGCGAGGGTCCTCTCTGCGTGGTGCAATCGGTGGCTCTTACTCATGTGTCCCTCGCCTGAATAGAACAATTCGCATCAGTCTCATCTCTACAAAATCAAGTCGACGTCACTCACCACCACAGTTGTAGCTGCAATGCTGTTAGTGTAATTCCTACGATTGCAGTATTGGCTACTTACCACTTGGCTGGGCCACGGGTTGGGCAGTCACGGGCCTAGAAATGTTAACAACAGCAAGTAAAAATTCGACAAGAGTCCGTACTTGGTGGGAAGCATCGCCACCTAGATTATGATTGTTAGCTGAGGCTCTTCTGATAGTGTCTTGCAGAGTATAGTGTGGGCATGTCGGAGGTCATTGTCGTAAAAGAAATTGAAGCCTGGCGTTCCAACGGCAAATCTTCCATACTCAAATTCAGACCTGACAGCTGAACGAACAGTTGGCCGATCCCGCTGCCACAGATTGATCGAACAAAGGCATGACCAGTATCTGCCATTGGGACTGCCGTGCGAGGTTGGGGAATGTGTGGGGAGGATATCCCGGGATTTAGAGGTTGGGATAGAGTTGAAACAAAGGCGAACAGATCGAATGTCGGTGTCACTCACAGTTGTAGCATCCGCGAGCAGGGCCAGCTCCGTAGGAATCCATGATTTCGGTTGAAGGGGTTGGTTTCTATAGAGAGAAGTAGTGTTAGCTAAGAGGTCTACAGCAGAATTCCTATGGTTGCGAAGGTGGCGGAGAATTTGAAAGGTACCAGAGGTACTTGGATGGTGGGGTCAAAGAGGGACGGTGAACAGCTCTCGGACGTACTCTTGGAAGAAAATTTGTTGTTTGAGGAACTGTATCTGGTACAGTTGAAAGGGTTTGGATATGGAGAAGAGCCGGTAAGAGTAACTGCGGATCTTTTCGAAGTTGTTGGAGGTAAGGTTTGGAGTTGTAGATTTCAAGTGGGAGGGAAGAAAGTTCGCTCGAAAAAGTTCTGGTTTAGGTCAGGCTTCTGTGTGGCCAGTAGCGTGCCGACTAGGCCCGAGCTAGCGGCTTCTTTAGCGACCCTCCCTGTGGGCTTCCACTGGACAGACTACTGGCTTTTCGCCCCTGTAAGAGAGGAATAATAGGGCCCTGCAGACATAACGGCCACCACACCACACACCACACCGTTCCTTGATGGACTTTGGATCAAATCAGAATGCTGGAAGTGGCGCAGTGGGTCGAGTCAGGTCCAGGTTCAGGTTGGTGAAGTGACGGGAGGTGAGGTGAAGGGAGAAGCGGACGGCTGGCGGTGGCACAGACATCTGGTGCTGGCCAAGGAGAACAGAGCAGAGCAGAGCAGAGCAAATGCATATCATGTGGGCAAGGGCAAGGGCAACGGGAGAGAAAGCGAAGCAAGGAAGCGTGAAGACGGACATCATTTGATACAGAAGGAATGGCGGAAGGAAGGGCGAGGCCAAGGAGATCCTAAGGTACCTTTTACCTTGGTGTGTAATTTCATCCTCCTCAAGTCGAGGATTGAGTTCACCCCAGTGTCACTCGATACAATCATCTTGCTTCAGCTCTCCTCTACACACAGCACGTTGCTCGAATGGAAGAACGGGCGGGGCAAAATGCCTGGGTATAGATATGGTAAGTTACTAGGTATCTACATTGCTCCTTTCTCCCCTATCACCTCAATACCTTGCCTCCGTGTGTACTTTACCGGATCATATGTACCTGGGTACGGCAACCTATTGCCATGCGCCGTTGGACATCTCCTTCACATATCAACATGCACGACCACCAATCTTACTAAGATTCTACCATTCACTGGCTGTTGCGACTGGCTAGACTGTATCATATCCGACTGGGATCGTCTTCTCTCTCGCTCACTATGCAGTTTTGCCCTCCCTTCCTTCTGCTCAGAATTGACTTTCGGTATGCTCGCACCGGCACGCACCGTTTGATACGCCGAGCCTGTGTGGTGCAGATTTTGACACGTTTATTCCGTACCATAAATACCTTGGCCTTTGTATCATTCTACTCTCCATAAAATCCGACACCGCCATTAACTCCCAAATTCTGAATGGGCGGTCAGTTATTCGATGACCCCTCCACTCCCAGGTTGCCTGCATACCGCAGGGTCACAGTGGCCCGTAAGGAACAGGAAAGGTACAACCACCAAGATCGATCAATCGGAAGTATCGACGCCACCTGGAACCGTTTCATTGCAGATAATCAGCCGGTCAGATCGCCAATCCAAATGCAGATATCCCACACGATCCTACCACAACAAGCCTTACGAGCCTTGACACACTCCACTCGTCCACCACGTCACGTCTATATGCTCCTATATTGACGGTCTCTATACCCTTATCAGCCGTCTGCTATGGTTCGTCACCTCTGGATAGGTACCCATTCATATGTCAAGCCCGGGGCAATACTTGGGCAACCTGTGACTGCACGTTTCTGGCATTGTAATATCCATATTGCCACACACTTTGGTATTGGCGGGGCTCATGATACGTGTACCACCTCACCTGGCAGCGTCTTGTCTTAGGCCAATGCCTGCCATACGACTACAAGTCTTGACATACAACATTCTACGCCGTCTGGAATGCAATGCACTGTATCTTTACTCGACTGGGCAAGCCGAGGATCTTTTGTTCTGAAGGCCCTTCCGTACATCATACATATTCTATCGCTGCCACAAGCTATGATGCAATAGAAATTATCCTTTCAGTTTCAAACATTTATTTCTCATTCACTGCTCTGGGTTTGCAGTGTCAAGGACAACTCGCACAACTTTTCCCCATCCGTACATCTAAAGCAGAATTTGTTCAACTAATTCTGGGCGAGGTCTGTGGCTCGAGATCAAGTTTTGCATCAGGTTTTGGATTCGTTGGGATCCACGACTTCGCCGTCCGAGATTGGAAGATTGGGTGTAAACGATCTAGTATTGCACTCCGGTCCAAAGAAACGAGCAATAGGGGCACCACCTCTTTCACATATGGATAAATCAATGCGCTTCGTGTCCGAGGCTGCCGGCAGAACGAGTTACTCTCGCGATGAAAGAACCCCTACATGATTTTTCAAGCGCCAATTATCGGATAATCTCAAACGTGGTTCCTCTTTTATGTCTACAGGGACAGTTAGTCACAACTCAGATGACCAAAAATCAGACTCGATGCATGGTTCCAAGTACAGGTGGTGCTGATGAGCGGCAGTCCGCGTCAAGCTTATATAAATGGAATACACCTCTCTATTTTTGCGATGCCCAATCTCTCTGTTCTTGCTTAGGTCATATTCTCTTGGTAATACATTAACCAAGTGTTGTTTGTGTTGTGTTCAGTCCCCAGTGTCTCGCCTCAAGGAAAGTCTGGAGATACTTCTACAACATCAAGAGATTTATCAGCGACGGAGATGTTCAACCCACTGCCTTTGAATTCAAGATTCCCTTCTATTGATTTTAATTTTGACTTCCTTTCGAGATCGGTTCGCATAAGTTGATTGAACTTGAACTCGGCTCTGAAGAATGGTTTTGGCATACTTTATTATGAAGTGTTCCCGACAAAGTTGAAGTCTGCGTTCAGTCCTCGAATTTTGTGCTCCTCAGAGCATGAAACTTCTCCAAGCCAACTATCGGCTAGATATATCTCAAGAATCTAAACAGAGCAGCAAGATACGTTTTCAATCCCAAAATCTGCCCACAACTGGAAATTGCGTCGAAGGCTAGATGGGTGCACGTGATCGTCCGTTAGCCCCCGGCATCCTCCCATTCAAATGCCACTCCCACTCCCACTTCTACTCCCACTTCCAATCCCAATCCAAAACCCAGGTCTCACCCCACATCAGCTGTGAAGTCTATCAAGAAGAAAGCCTTCTCTTGCGACCAATGCCGTGTCCGAAAAGTACGGTGCGGCGGGGAACAGCCAGCCTGTCGACGCTGTGTTGTCAGGAATGATAATTGTAGGTATCTGCTTGCGCCGACGATTTCGTATACGCAGAAACTCGAAAATCGGGTAAGGGAGTTGGAAGGATTGCTTCAGCGCCAAGGCGAGAGGGTTCAAGGAAATGAGGAGTTTAGAGAGGGCGGCGATGGAGATGAGGAGATGATTTCTGGACCTGGATCAGGATTGCAAGGGGCTTCTGGAGTCGTGAAGGATTTTAGGTCAGGCTTGGAAAAGGGTATCCCATTGTCACATGATGGTATGGGGACGTTCGATGGCTTGAAAAGGGACGAGAAAGGTGGGATTACCTACCATGGTGCGACGAGCTTCTTCCAGCTACCGAATCCAGTGAGCAGGGATCCAAGTGAGGTTCCTGGGAGAGACGGAGGTGTGTACCCTGGGTTCTTGGAAGCCGCTGGAGGAGGGGATAGGAAGGAGAGGTTAGTGAATAATGCGTGGCAGCAGAGGGCGAAAGAGACGTTTGCGGAGACGCCGGTAGGTACTTGAGAAAATCTGAAGAATCGACGGATGATTAGATAATTATTTCTGTAGGAGCCATTCCAGTTTCTCTTGGATGTCCATTGGTGTTGGATTCAACCGCTTTTCAACTTTGTGTACAGGCCAGCTTTCACTCGTACGCTTTTCCTATTCAATTCAAAGCAAGACTAGAGCTGACTGTTTACAGGTGACATGGAAGTTCTGGGCTCGTACTACTCCCATACTCTGCTCAACGCTATGCTCTCACATGCGGTGAGATGGTGCAAGAACGACGCCAAGATCCGAAAATTGCTTGAACCTTACGAGAATGGGCAGCTTTTCTGGCGGCAGACACGGACGCTGCTGTTTGAAGAGCTGAGACAGGGACACAGCAAGATACCCACAGTTCAGACACTGCTTCTGCTCAGTGCACAAGAATGTAGTGCCGGGAACCGAACGCAGGCCTGGCTGTACAGCGGCATGGCGTTCCGGCTTATTGAGGACATGGGCATTACTATCGATGGCCAGAGATATGCAGGTGCTGTACAGTTATCGGATGAGGATATTGAGATTAGGCATCGGCTGTTTTGGAGTTGTTATTTCTGGGATAAGATGATTAGTCTTTATCTTGGGAGGTCGCCTACCTTGCAGCACTCAAATATCAGTCCGCCGCAGATCATGCGTAAGTTTTACACTCATAGATAGCCATGAGCCGTGCTGACAGCTTGCAGTTGACGACTCGGCCGAAACCGAGTTCTGGAAACCGCACGGTATAGTCTACCCAGAAGGTTTCGACTATCCGCCCACACAAGCGCATTCAATTTCATGCTTCATGAGGATGTGTCAGCTATCCGAGATCTTCAACCAGATCTTGATCCATATTTACGATCCACTTGGTCGAAACTCCGAAGCTGAAATTCAGGCCTGTCTGGCTACGGAGAGTAGAGCTTTGGGGAGGTGGTGGGATGACCTTCCGAGTTTTCTGAGGATTGATGCGAAAGAGCTGCCGGCTTTTTGTCCGCCTAGTCATATTGTTACCCTAAAGTACGTCCTATTTTCTCCACAAACACATCCTGTAGAAAGACTCATTGCTAACAGCATTTAGTTGTCTCTACCACACGTTCAAAATCCTCCTCTTCAGACCTATGCTCTTCCAACGATCTTCCAACATCGCCCAACAACGACCTGACCCCAACCACCTCGTCGAGTGCATCTCCTCCGCTACATCCATAATCGCCATCTTTGACTTATTCTGTCGAACGTTTGGAGACGATTACTGTATTTTATCGCTGTCGTATAGTGTTTATATTGCCGCTTCTATCTTCCTGCTGCAAGTACAAGCTACATCTGGACCGGTCGTGGGTGAGGAGATGACGTTTAGGAGGCTGGAGTTTTGTATTATGGCGTTGGAGAGGGTGGGGAGGATTAACCCTGGTGAGCGAATTCCTCTTTGAACTGCGTGCTTTGTGGTTTATCAGCAGCACTGCCTTTCCACTTTCTCGACTAACTCAAGCATACAGTCATCGGCAGCTCCCTAAACCTCATCACCCAAGCCCTCTCCAAACTCAACATCCACTTCCCCACAGATACCACCTTCGCCGGTCCTAGTCATCCACCAGTCAACAAATACCCCAGCAATATACAAGAACTCCGATTCTTACCACCCACAGCTGAACCAGTCCCCGCGCCACAGCTCCAGAATAATAACAATAATTTTGAGATTGATGCGAGTGCGTTCCAGCATCCAGCTGTACCGCTGCAGGATTTTGGGCTGGAGAATTTTGAGATCTCGCCGGAGATGCTGGATGCGTTTTCGTCGCTGGAACCGATTCATGCCACTGTGGGGGCGCTTTATGAGTTTAATCAGAGGTGGGATGCTGAGAGGGCAAGTACTGGATTTCTCGAGGCATATGGACCTGGCCGAAGGGATTCTGGATTCTGGACTCTGGATTCTGCGCAAGACGGAGCTTTGGGTTCCGACGACAAGGATTCGTGACTTCATGTCGGGTTGTGGAGATGAAAAGGTCCTTGAGAAGTGTATGCTGGAATGACGGTGCTGTCTGTATGAATCGGTCAGAGATAGTGACAGCTATTCCTGTCTATCAACATCCTTCTCTTCGTGACCAACATTCCAGAGGTTCTGGAGAGCGTGGTTAATGCGCGCTTCGTGCGAGTGGTAGGAAGGCGGGAGGGGTGTATACCATAGTGTAGTGGGCATGGTGTTTTGACTTGCAGAAGCGAAGCGAGGTTTTGGTATTGACGTCGATTTTGCAGTTGACGCTGTAGTGACTTGTACTGGGTTCCTCAAGAACTCAAAGAGACGGACGGACGCGTATTATGCTCCTGAGAAGAGGTTTGAGTGATGAAGGATACATGGAGATGGTCCTCTTCTTTGGGATTGAAGTCAGACTTGATACGCTGTAAACCTATTTTCAGACCATGAAGTTGAAGATGAACGTCTCTGGGAGCAAACTCCGTCTTTTTCCTGCTGAACTGAATAGCTTAGAGGTCGTGGGCTGTGAAGAAATCTTGGGATGATGCTTGGCGGGGGTGGAACAAATTTCGACAATGAAGTCGAAAGCCCCTCCTGCTGTCGGACTCCTATTCCTGCGTGTAATGGTTTTGAAATGCTTAAAGGTACATTAAAGAACCATCATCTCCCTCCACCTTCACAATATAACTCCCCCCTGAATCAACTCATCTTCCATCACTGCAAAAGTACCGCCTGGGACATCAGCCAAGACACAAACAATTAAGCGGGCACTAAAGAGCGTACAGTAACTCGCGTACTGTAGCTCCAAAACACAAGGCTCGGCCAGAATCCGACTTCAGTCCAAAATGGTGCGACGGAAAACCCTTTCTCCACCATTTTCATTCCTGCATCACCCGACATCTTCTTCTTCTGGCCACCTCTTTTACAAACTTCATCTCATCCATCTACTGAGTGCGAAAAGGCTGAAGTACGGATAGAGAACGAGGACTTGAGATTGAACTGGGTTGGCAGGAGGTTTTGTTTTGTTTTGTTTTGGATAAGGTAGGGTCGTATTGTACTGTGCTACTGTACAACCCCGCATTGAGATTGGGGGTGCGTGGGCGTGGGGTGACGGCTATTCTCCACACCTGAGTGGGTCAGGAACTGGTATATTGGGGAGGAAAACCACCGGGCAGTTGATGGTCTGTGAGAGATCATTGGCTCTGGTGTGTAAGGACGGCGAGGTGACGCTTTGGAATCCGGATCGCCAGTTCTGATTGGAAGGGTTGGATTCCAACGGGTTCATCATGTTTAAGGTTGATGTCAACTGGTATTATGCTTTTACCATCTTGGTGATTGCTGCAGGTGGTATTCCAAAAGGTAAGAACTTCTCTCTTGCGACAGTTAAAGTCTGATGTCGATTGTGATATTTGTAGGCTACGATGAGGGTGGATTCAGCGCCTCAACAGGCTTGACTTCCTTCAAGAACGACTTCGGTCTCGCCACCTCTCTCTGGAAGAACAACCCCTCAGGACTCGCCGATCGCAAAGCCAACATCTCCTCGTTTGGTGTCCTAGGTGCAGCATTCGGCTCCTTAATCGCACTCACGGTGAACGATCGTCTGGGTCGTCTGCGGTCTTGGCAATGCTTTGTCATTCTTTGGGCGAGCGGTATCATCATGCAGATATTCTCGTCGGGGATTATACCGTTCATGCTGTTTGCGAGGATATGGGGAGGTCTTGGAGCGGGTGGTTTGACGGTCGTGGCGCCGCTGTATTTGTCGGAGATTGCGCCTGCGAAGTCGAGGGGTATGGTTGTTAGTATGTATATGGTGGTTTTGCTTTCATTTCTTACGCTTGGTAAGTCTTCCATTTTTATCTTTATCTCTATGTTAGAGAATGGGTAATCTGATATGAACAGGTTTCTTCATCAACTATGCCGCCAACAAAACGATGGCATCAACAGCTACACAATACCGTCTCGTTCAAGCCGTACCCCTCATCCCTGTCGGCCTCGCATTCGTCTCCTCATTCTTCCTCTCCGACACACCTCGATACTTCGCTTCCAAAGATAGGGGAGATGAGGCCTTGGCAGCGCTTGCTCGTCTTCGGAATTCGAAGAGTGTTGATGACAGCTTGGCGGAGGAGTACGAGGAGATTCAGGAACAGATCAAGAACAAGAGACAGAATCTTGCCGGAGTTAAAGTAACTACTATTATCAAGGAAATTGCCACGAACTCTTCGTATAGAGAACGATTTCTTCTTGGAGCAGCTATGCAAACTGTTGCTCAGTGGTCGGGGGGAAATGGAATTACGTATTACATCCCACAGGTAAGCTAGTCGTCTTTTGAAATTGAGCACTTGCTAATATCGGTATCCAGATCTTCGAATATGCGGGTATTGTAGGCACAAATACATCACTCATCACTTCCGGCGCATATGGAATCGTCAAACTCGTCTTCACACTCGTCTTCACTTGGGGTCTCGTCGACGTCTTCGGTCGTCGCCGCTGCATGCTCACAGGACTAGGGATGCAATGCGGCACACATATTTACATGTCCATCTACATGGCGCTATTTAGATCATCCGAGAACAAACCCGCATCAGACGCAGCCATCGCATCCGTCTTTGTCTACGCAGTAGGCTGGTCCATCGGTCTCTGCACCGTTCAATATCTCTACGGGACAGAGATATACCCCACGCGAATCCGCAGCGTGTGCTACGCCACGAACATGGCACTACACTGGTTCTTCCAATTCGCAGTTGTGCGAGTTACGCCGAATATGTTTGTAAGCTTTGATATTTGGGGCGCGTATGTATTCTGGGCTATGGTTTGTGCGTTTGGTTTTGTGCTTTTGGGGGTCTGGGCTCCGGAGACGAAGGGTGTGCCGATGGAGATGATGGAGGAGTTATTTGCGGGGAAGTGGTGGATGGGGTGGAATGCGAAGGTGGATTTGAGGAGGTTTGAGAGGAAGGAGGGGGAGGACGTGGGTGAGAAGGATGGAGTGGAGACGGAGGTTGAGAGGATTTAGATCTGTATTGTTTTTTGGATTCCATGATATCACTAGCAAATAGAAAATTGCCTTTGAGTTGACTGCTGCTGGTGATGAGCTGTGCGGATTTCGTTTCTATGCGAGAATGTGATGTTTGATCATACCAGTCTCGAGGGATTGCGTGAGGTGTCGAAGCGACGCTTGACCCCATGAATAAACAGCAAAAGGAGGTGCACATACCTTAGACACAGTGGTTTTCCTTCTCGGAATACAGTCAAATAATGATTCCTCGTACGAGAACATGTGATGGCGGGCATAATGGTTGACCTTTTCTTCACTTAATCGAGCAAGATCGAAGATGTGATCGCTACCTGGCTTTTCTGTACTATTTACTCATCGCTTACAGAGGTCAATAATGGGCTCGTGCTTTTTTGACACCATCAATCACGTATAAAACCGATGCCTAATGAATTGGCGAGCTGTTATCGGACTTTCAAGATAACAGATCTGGTTTTTCGTGCAGTCTTTGAGGTCAGTGGGTCCTTGCAATTGGTCGAAGGCCTCACTTTAAATTAGGGGTAAAAAAGTCGTTGAAATAGTTTTGTATTAAGAGATTAGAAGAGAGACAGAGCATATTCAAATCATAAGAATGGACAAGATAATCTCAGACAAGCTCAAAAATATTTTACTTTTCCAGTGCAGAGTTGACTGGGTCAGCGGGTTCGTTGGAAAGTCCAGGGCAAGAGCCGAAGTTATCCCGTGCACATGACAGCTGGCTGACGTAAATCTGGCTGCATGAATGACAGGGGTCTGTTCATTTGAAGCTCGGAAGAATCTCAGGATGTTGACTGGCACGCGAATGTTGACGCGACAGTTTCTCAACAATTAATCAACATTCGATTTCAGCTCACAACGGCTATCTGGTCGCCTTAACCATATAACTACATATCCCGAAGCATATGCACCATATTCTGACGTCGCCCTCAGCCCAGGACGCGAACGGCAACGTGGGCAACCCGGTGGACACAGGACTCATTTCCCCCTGGACCCACGGACAACGAGGTCAATAACATGATTCTCTCGACCTGAGCAAATCTATTTGCATACCTCCGATGACACGAATACGAACCGCAAATATTGTACAGCCGTTGGGTCAAATATTGGATAGCAAACACTTTCAAGAACACGCGGAGACTAGAGCGGTCAAACGGGGCTTGATGATCGGGGACAAACTTGGGGTTACTGGTAGACATCAATACACGAAAAGATGGCGCCTCAAGGTGGAGGAAACATTAAGGTGGTGGTGAGATGTCGTCCTTTCAACGGCAGAGGTATATTTCCCAGGTTCTCTCGAGGGCAACCCCTCATTCTCTGCCCCCCCAGTACTGACTCTTTACTGCAGAACTCGACCGCGGAGCAAAATGTATTGTTCAAATGGAAGGCGCGCAAACGGTTCTCGTACCACCTCCAGATGCCGAAGAACGAATGCGAGCTGGGAAAGGAGGCGCAAAGGATGTTGGACAGAAAGTCTTCGCGTTCGATAAATCATACTGGTCTTTCGACAAGAGCGATCCAAACTATGCCGGGCAGGATGATCTACACGAAGATTTGGGGAAACCTTTACTGGATAACGCATTTCAGGGATACAATAACTGTATTTTTGCCTATGGACAAACTGGATCTGGAAAATCGTACTCCATGATGGGATATGGAAAGGAGGCAGGTGTTGTTCCGAAAATTTGCCAGGACATGTTCGAGAGGATTGCGCAGATGCAGACGAAGGACAAGAATGTCAAGTTTACCGTGGAGGTCTCATATCTGGAAATTTACAACGAGAGAGTCAGAGATCTGCTGAATCCATCTACGAAAGGGAATCTCAAGGTCAGAGAACATCCGTCTACTGGACCGTATGTGGAAGATCTAGCGAAATTGGTTGCGAGCAGTTTCAACGAGATTGAACACTTGATGGACGAGGGAAACAAGGCGAGAACAGTCGCGGCCACAAATATGAACGAAACGAGTAGTAGAAGTCATGCCGTTTTTACCCTTACTCTTACCCAGAAGCGATACGACACGGATACCAAAATGTCTCTGGAGAAGGTCGCGAAGATTAGTTTGGTGGATTTAGCTGGTTCCGAAAGAGCACAGTCAACAGGTGCTACTGGAGCTCGTCTGAAGGAAGGTGCTGAGATCAATAGATCGCTGTCTACGCTTGGTCGAGTTATTGCCGCGCTGGCAGATCTGTCAGAAGGCAAAAAGAAGAAAGGCGGGAAAGCTATGGGCCAGGTTCCATACAGAGACAGTGTTTTGACATGGCTGTTGAAAGATTCGTTGGGAGGAAACAGTATGACGGCCATGATTGCAGCCATCAGTCCTGCGGATATCAATTTCGACGAGACGTTGAGTACGCTCAGATACGCGGACAGTGCGAAGAGAATTAAGAATCACGCTGTGGTCAACGAAGATGCCAATGCCAGAATGATCCGAGAGCTGAAAGAGGAGTTGGAAGCTCTTCGAGGGAAACTGAGTGGTGGCGGCGGGGGACCAACAGAGGAGGTCTATGCGGAAGGAACACCACTGGACAAGCAAATCGTCAGCATTGTTCAAGCCGATGGATCTGTCAAGAAAGTCTCGAAAGCAGAGATTGCCGAACAGCTCAACCAGAGTGAGAAGTTGTATTCGGATCTTAACCAAACCTGGGAGCAGAAATTACAGAAGACGGAAGAGATCCACAAGGAACGAGAAGCTGCTCTCGAAGAACTGGGAATCAGTATCGAGAAAGGTTTCGTTGGCCTGCATACGCCAAAGAAAATGCCACATTTGGTCAATTTGTCCGATGATCCTTTACTAGCAGAATGTTTGGTGTACAACCTCAAGCCTGGAACCACGACGGTCGGAAACGTTGATGTCGTTGGAGAACACGTCTCTGAGATTCGATTAAATGGAACTCGTATCCTTGATGAGCATTGTACCTTCGAGAATACCGACAATGTCGTCACACTGGTGCCCAATCCTGGAGCAGCTGTCATGGTCAATGGCAAACGGATAGAAGAGCCCAAACGACTGCGAAGTGGATATCGAGTCATTCTTGGAGATTTCCACATTTTCAGATTCAATCATCCTATGGAAGCTCGGGCGGAAAGAGCTGAGCAGAGCTCGCTAAGACATTCGATAATTGCAAACCAGATGGGCGATTTTGAAAAAGTATCACCCTCGCCAAGTCCCAGACCAGGGCACGAGAGATCTTTCAGTAAAGCAGCTTCGGAGGTTGATTGGGATGCAAGTCAACCAGATTCACCAATGTCACTTCAACGAGGTCGAGATTCTGATTGGTCGTTTGCAAGGAGAGAAGCTGCTGGCGCTATCCTCGGGCCGGATAAGCAGATCGCTGGTTTAACAGATGAGGAGTTGAATATTCTCTTCGAAGATGTGCAGAAAGCGAGAGCTGAACGTGCAGGCCAGAATATGGACGACGATATGGACTCGGTCACATCCTATCCTGTGCGAGAGAAATATCTGTCGAATGGGACGTTAGACAACTTCTCGCTCGATACAGCTCTGACTATGCCATCGACTCCAAAACAAGGCGAGGTCGAAGACAAGATGCGAGAAGTACGAGAGGAGATGCAGGTTCAGCTGGACAAACAGAAAGAAGAATACCAAGACCAACTGAAATCTGCTGAAGCTGCCAATGTGGAAGTGGAGGAGATCAGAAAAGAGAAAGCCCGCATGGAGGAGAATCTCAGAGAAGTCAAGGAAGAAATGCTCAAGCAGCTTGACGCACAACGGAAAGAATTCGAGGAACGCCTTCAATCTATGGCTCCGAGGTCAACAGAAGGCCCTTCACCTCTTAGCGAACGCGAAATCACCATTGCAGAGAAAGTTGTCGAGCACTGGAGGAGTCGGAGGTACGTGAGGATGGCTGAAAGCGTTCTGCAATCTGCAGCAAATCTCAAAGAAGCCCAGATCATGAGTCAAGAGATGGACGAGAGTGTCGTGTTTCAGTTCACGATCGTTGACGTTGGTCACGATATGTGCTCGTCATATGACATGGTTCTGAATGGTATTTCCGGCGAAGGCGATGACTTCTTCCTCGAAGATGCGACGAAGCCCTGTGTCGGCGTACGCGTTATTGACTACCGAAATAGTGTTGTTCATCTCTGGAGTTTGGAAAAGCTACGGGATCGAGTTAGGCGGATGAGACAGATGCATCAGTATATCGATCGTCCGGAATACCTCCAGCATTTCCAGCTCGATAACCCGTTCATGGAGACCTGCATGCCCCAGTATACCCATGTCGGTGACGTTGATGTGCCGCTCGCTGCTGTCTTTGAGAGCCGAGTCCAGGATTTCAGCCTTGATGTTCTCTCACCATACACTTCCCACGCCATTGGTATGATTAAGTTGTCGCTTGAGCCATCGTCTGCTCGCGCACCTTCGAGTACCCTGAAGTTCAACGTGGTTATGCACGACTTGGTGGGATTTGCGGAGCGAGAGGGCACAGAAGTACATGCTCAGCTTTTCCTCCCAGGCGTTTCAGCAGAAGGTGGTGTTACAACAACTCAGATGATTAAGGATTTCGACGAAGGTCCAATCCGTTTTGAGAGTGTTCACAGTATGAGCGTGCCAATGTTCGGCCCAACCAATGTTTGTCTCCGTGTCGCCATCTTCGCTAAAGTTTCGTCGATGCACCTGGACAAGCTGCTAAGCTGGGATGATATACGGGACAACGTTCCGAGACCAAAGCAGAAACGAAAGAACGCTCGAATAGCAGAATCTCAATTCTACACGGAAGAGAAACACGATGTTTTTGCTCGGATACAGATCCACGAGCTGGCCGAAAATGGTGAATACCTTCCAGTCGAAGTCCTCCAGACAAGCGACCTGGACAAGGGATCTTTTCAACTCCACCAAGGTCTCCAACGACGCATTGTAATCAATCTGACGCATAGTTCTGGAGAAGCTCTTCCTTGGGAAGATGTTTCTGGACTCAGAGTCGGCCGTGTACAACTTGTTGACCATGTGGGGAAGTCGCCAGATCTCACCTCTCCCTCTCCAGATATACCATTGAAGCTTGTTTCGAAGCCAAAGGTTCAGCAAAATGCCAACGGTACCAGTAACGTCACTATCATCGGGCAATGGGATTCGAGTGCGCACGAATCGCTGCTTCTTGATCGTGTTACAGCAGACAAGTACAAAGTTCAAATGTCTCTTACTTGGGATGTATCATCTCCTAAGCTTGCTGATCTGATGACATTCTCGATTGATGTCTGGGGTCAGATTCTATCACGTTCGTATGTGCGGTCAACATCGATGTTTGCATCGCTATGGCAGACAGTACGAATCGTCCATGCTACCTCTGGCATTTTCTCGGTTGCTGTTCGTCCAACGCCCGTCAAGAGAGCAGGTGATTTGTGGCGCATGAACACCCAGAACGATTTCGTGAAAGGTGAAGAAGGCTTGACGAATTGGACGCCTAGAGGCGTAAGCCTGATACGGGACTACATTGCCGCGAAGAGGCGAAAGCAGCGGCATGCCGAGATTGAAGCAGCACAACCACTGCTTAGTCGCATTACTTTCCCAAAAGCATCTGCTAGCCCTGCCACAAATGGCGATACCCCACCAGCAGAGGCAGAAGCCTCTGGGCCAACACTCTCCGACCACGACAAAGAGATCTTGGAGAGGTATTTGAAGCTATGGAAGCTTTGCCAAGATCCAATAACTAATATTCTCACTCCCACGAACGTCGAACCTCCTTCAACCGGTGCACCACCTACGCAAGCTCAGGCACCAACATCACCTCATCTCCTCGCCACCGTCTCTCAAGTCACCAAGAACCCCACGATCCTCAAAGGTGGTTACCTCCTCACTCCCTCCGCCGACTCCTCCCGATGGGTACGACGGTTTGTCGAACTCCGCCGTCCATACATGCACATTCATTCCGTTCCCGACGGAGAAGAAGTCTGTGTCGTCTCTCTTCGCAACTCTCGCGTTGATCATCAGCCACAAATTGCTCGGCTGTTACGCCGTGACGGTGAGAACGGGGGTGGTGCGAATGGTCGTGGTAGAGCCCAGACGAATGATGAGGATCGTGTGTTTGCTGTCTATGGCACAGATAATACGTGGCTGTTTAAAGCGAGGAGTGAAAGGGAGAAGGTCGAGTGGATTTTCAAGATTGATCAGAGCTATTTCGGCGGGAGCGGAAGTGGGAGTGGTAATGGGACGTCAGATGATGACTATTACTAACCTCCGTCACACTGGATTGACTGAAGAACTGGACGGCGAGAAGCATTGCAGGTGTCGATAATCGGAGCAAGCGAGCGAAAGGGCGGTGGTAATTTTTTCTTTTTATTTTGCTTATGCATTTTGCTTTCGATCGCGATCCTGATCCTTGTTGTCGACCGATTTGGATCCCATAACGCCTTAATGTATGCTGGTGTATGAAATGAGTGTATGATACCCATGTTCAGCTAATTCTTACATATTCACTAATACCTTTTCTTTTGTTTACATCTACATAGATGGTTGGGGAGGTGGGAAGATTTGAGACGAGTTGTTGGAAAGGATGAACGAGTTGTATAGATCGGGGAGCTTGGATAGGTAGGAGAGGAGAATTCGATGAGTTGAACTCAGCCAGGCTTTGGCCTGTCCTTTTTTTGTCGCTTGCTTCAATTGTAGATAGTTGGGTAAGAATTCGTTTATGTTTATTGTCTTGTTCGTTCTGCTCTCCATTACTCCTCCTCATTCCCATCCTTCCCTTTCACCTCATCGTTTACCTCACCCCGACACTCACACACCCACCCATCACATCACATCACTCCTCCCTCCTTCAAACCCACTTCTCAGACTGCCCATCCACATCCCCCTCCATACTCCAATTCTCCTCAGCACTCCTCTCATTGCCACCATTTCCCCTCTCCATCTTCTCGCCTCCTTGCACAGCCTGGTAGTGTCCAGCGGGTGCATATTCGACCTGGTAGATGGTGTCGTAGGGACTTTGTTGTTGAGACTCGTTGAGCCAGCGGGATAGAGGGTTGTGAAGGTTGGGGTTGCTGTGGGTGTTGGTGCTGGTGCTGGTGTGATTGTAGTGGTTGGAGCTAGTGCTTGAAGGCTGGGAGGCTGGGTTAGAGGCTTGGGTTTGGTGGTGGGCTTGGGGGTGAGCGTTCGTGTAAGAGCTGGTGTTTGATTCAGAGGTGTGGCCTATGTGTAGCTGTGGCCAGGTACGATGGGTGGTAGTATATGTCTTGGGCTTGAAGGGATTTGGTCAGCGCTGTGTTGATGCCTCAGGGGACGAACGTACTTCTTTGCTGGTTGAGGCACTGGACTGGTGCGATGTGTGGTCTTGAGAGATGTTGGCCATTTTGGTGTCGGTGATGAGGGATACCGTGCTTCTTGGAGATTAATGGAGTCAAATTTTCAGGTAGGAATGTCAATGAAGTCGGGCTCTACGGAGTATGCATCGTTTCGAAAGGTTGAGGGTTGGACGCTTTATACTTTCGTGAAGTCGAAGTCATGGCCAGCATCCACGAGGAGATCACAATATCATGGTGCGAAGTTGTCTCGAGTGCACGAAGCTGGTGTGTTCAGTCCCCAGTACATCTCGCTGTAGGGGACTTTCGGACAAGAACCAGCACCGTCATTTCTGAGAAGGGCAGAGACACTTTGCTGTGGGGGACCTTTTCGCTCATTTTCGGGACGCTCACTGGCTCGGATGCTGTCTACTATTTTGGTATTCAGCACATCATCCCGGGTTTATGATCCGTTTACAAATGCGCCCATCTACAAAGGAGCATGGAATTCTGGGCAAGACATGAAAACAATTAGACGAAGTCAACAACTTGATGCGGGGGACTTTCTGCACCACATTCGACGAATGAGAAGAGCTCTCAGTATCTCCATAGGGCTTGTCAATATGGTTCAAGGTGTAACGCAGGTACATAAGCTTGAAAGCCTCCACGGCTGTCGGTCAATAGACGCGCTGCAGCCTTGCCCATGCTGGGGACTTTTGGAAACGAACATAACTGGGTATGGATCGAGATAGGATCAGAGGGATCTCGTGTGCCGGTTTAAGATCCTGGAGCAGATCCGGGTAGTTTGATGGATGCCGTCACCTTCGGTCACGGTACTAGGCGAATTGCTTAGACTGTATGTTGGGGACTTTCGTCAAGCCACACGTTGATGCTGCTTTCACGCCAGGGTCGTTCACACCTAAGGTACGTGCGGATAGGGATAAAGAATGCGCGGATTGGTGGACATGGCGATGGGCACCCACACGGAGCCTCTTTGAATCCCTTGTGGGAGAGCTGGCAAATACAAGGTTGTACGACCGGCTGGTGCCGGCATGCAATGTCCCCTGGCTCCAGGTCTCTCTGGTTGGCTCGGATTCGGTAGATTTCAGCCTCGCCAGCAAAAGCAGCATGCTGCCATGCTGGGGACTTTTGTTGATTGGTTTGCTACGGTACACCACATGCAAGCCACCACAGCTCTAGACTGTGAGAGACTTTCAGCACCTATCTCCAGGCGGTCGTGCTAGCCAAATATCTGATTGATACATGAGTGTGTGATGTTCGTGTGATGGTCTTGGAGACATCCACATCTTGTTCTCCGCGACTTTGTCATGTCGAGCTAAGAAGCAGCTCTTCCCTCCCAACTCACCCAAACTATTATTCTGATTGACTCTTCTCCAAAGCTCTCATACTTGGTACATACTGTCAAAACACCGCTTCCGCCAAAAACGGTTGCTAAGGATGGATGAAATTGGTGTTCTGCCGATGGCAGCCTTGCCTCAGGAGATGAACCTGGATCACGAAAGCGGTAAATCCGCCACTCATATCAACAACATACATTCGCGATCGGTTGCTCCAGCTGGTTTAAAATGGAAGGAAGTCACCAAGGAGCAATGGCCGGAGCTAAAGCCCTTCATTCGTCGCCTGTACCTCGACGAGAACATGACCCGCCAGGCTGTCACAAAACATATCGCCGAGGTGTACAACTTCCGACTGACGTATGTCAGACAATCCAAATGGCCCCTGATCATACTGACCTCGTTGTAGGAAACGACAATTCAACCGAAAGATTTCGGAGTGGGGCTTCGAGAAGAATACGAAGAAAGCTGAGAGACTGTCTGTGCTTGAATCGGTCAAGAGAAAGCAGGCTTTCGAGACCACGACGATTCGAGGACGGATGCTTGACAAGTCGAAATTGGAAAGGTGGAGCAAGCTTGATGGAGTTCCCCTGCAGGGTGAAATGAAGAATAGTGATATCACTGGCGCGACTTCAGGTACGTTTGATTGGAGGTATACGATATTTTGACGTATGACATGAACTGAAAAGCTGCAGGTGCCACATCCAAGATAGCTGAAGAGTCTGGAACAAACGGCGGACCAAATATTAGTCCTGGTTTCGTGGTCATTGAGAAAGGTCCAATCATTCCAGATGCCTCGATGATGGATGGTGATGCACCGGATAGCTTCCTCCCAGTAGACAGGAACAGTATGCCAATTAATATTTGGGAATCAGTCAATGTTATCGATTCTCCTCGACTCACAGGACTTTTAGGAGCATTAAGCCTCTATGAGTGCGAGTCATTTTCTCTTGACCGCTCGCTTCTGGGAGAGGGTCTGGACGTTGACGATGCTCTCGCGGAGATGGAAAGGTGTCCAGCTTCGAACTCTCAAGACGAGGAGAATGACCCCGCAAACTCGACCGCTGTCGTGGGGTCTGATGTCCACCATCACAAGCACAACCCTTTGATCATACCGACTTGGAAATTCCAAGATAGACCAACTGCTGGATTGTCTCCGTTCGCAGCACCAACTGCGAAAACGATGTCTCGAATGTATGGATTCTCGTCGCTAGACGATCTGCAACTTTCTGAGGCCAAATGCATGGCTAAGATGCGCAGATGGAGCAAGATGGCGCCTGTCAATATCCTCAATCTGGCGGATAGTATGGCGTTCATTGCGAAGCATTACCATTTTTCAAGAGATTACCATTCGGCATTGCTTTGGTATCGTCGGATCATAAGAATGAAGAGGCATGCGCCCGTTCGTCACCTGAATCCGAATCAGATATTGGACGCGAGTCTAAATGTAATTCTGTGCCTCTTGTTTAAAGGAGCTTGCGTCGAAGCTCGAAACCTTCACCGAGACTTTCATAAGACGATATTAGACCGCTTCGCCGATCAATACATAGCTATTGGGTCACGAGATACACTAGCCGTCTTACTCACTCAATTTGGGGAAAATAAAGAAGCAGAAGTAATATGTCTAGAACTACTGCAGATACAATTGAGCAGATTTGGAGTAATAAGTTATGAGGGTATGAAGAGTATATGGCGGTTAGCAGATTGTTTGTTCCGAAGAGAACTGTTTTCTCAGAGCGAAAAGCTAACCCGCACGTTCCTACACCTTTGGTCTCAGCTTCCAGGGTACTCTCATGTGGATACATTTCAGAGAATCACGACTTTCGACAAACATCTTGGTCTTGTAAGAGTGCTGAATGCCAGAGATCAACACCAAGAGGCTGCACAGTTGCTCCAACACCTCAATGGGGCATTCCCAGACCTGAGCGCGATTGAGGATAGAGGATCTTTTTCATACCATTATGAGCTGGCAGAGTCATGGAGACGTCAAGGCCGTCTGGCTAAAAGTGAACAGATATTGCAGGACTTGCTTCACTACCAAGAGGTATTCATGTCTCCGAGTTATCGAGCTAGCGTGTTCCACACGCTGGCGTTGATATCAGAGCAGACCGGCCGTAAGAGAGAAGCTGCATCTTGGTATAAGAAAAGATATGATCTGTATGTTGAGACATTTGGCGTTGAGCACAGGTATTCCATGGCAAGCTGCAAGTACCTCGGATATTGCTATGCGGATCAAGCACTTTTCGATGAAGCTATTTCACATTATGAGCGCACGATATCGGACATTAAACTGCTTCACCAGGGTGAAGAAGATGGTTCTCAGAACGAAAATATCGAGACGATACGAGGTTGGATGGTGCAAGTGGACACAGACAAATGCAAGGCAATCGGATTCGAATTTGCGGACCGAGGGCTATTTGATGATGCCATTCTGCATTTTCAGCAGCAGCGCACAAAGCTCACTGAAATGAAAGTGGATATTACAGGTGACCCTGCCATCAGTTCGGCTGAGGGAGGTATCACGAGAATTACTAGGTGGATATCAATAGTGCAGATGGAGCAATGCAAAGCGATCGGTTTCGGTTACGCAGACCAAGGACGTTTCAACGAAGCTCTTTCCCATTTTCAGCAGGTCGAAGCCGAACTCGTCGAAGCCAAAAGGAGCAGCAGTGAACCTGTTGCTGGTTCACACACAAAATCAATCGAACGAGTCCGCAGGTGGATTTCGAACGTGGTTGAGCGGGAGATGGCGAGTTTGGAAGAAACGGGATTTGATTTCGTCGATAAAGGTCAGTTCGAAGAAGCGATACTGTACTTCCGACAAGCGATCACGAGATTCACCGAGGTAGCAGCTAGAGAACCAAGTATCAATATATACCACGGATGTGCTGAGAAGGTGCAATGTTGGTTATCAACGGTATATGCTCTGATGTCCTTGGACAGCTGCTGGGAGACTGGAATGGGCTACGCAGATGACGGGCTATTTGACCAAGCTATCAAGCACTTCCAGCAAACCATGGATTCGATTAACCCAGCCGTAGAGAATGGTACCTATGATCCCAAGGAGTGTCTAGAGATCCTGCACTACTGGATACAGAGCGTAGAGGAACGGAAGGCACGGGCGTGCGAGGAGAGCGCTTCTGAACAAGACTCGGATGATTCTGGCCACGATATGGAGATAGAAGAGGAGATGTTGGCCTAGAAGACACGATCTGACTGCCAGACCTTCTTCCCCGAATGGCGTTCTTCACCAATACGGCCATCTACTCGAGTATTGTTTGGCAAAAGGTTCAAAAATCAAAAACATACAACAGTGGGTATTCGCTGGTGGTCACCCACCCAACTACTAATTCACCGATCAGAAGCTTGGGTTTGGCAGAGCGGACGGGATGCCCCATTCTCTTCAGTCTATGGTCGTATGTGGCATGCTTCCTCTTGTTTCGTTACTTGTATCTGATGTTCTCTGTCTAGAGATATGCAACATGAACTGACTTGGGGTTGTTATTAGATCAAGATTCCCTTAGCGCTCATTTACGCAGTAAAGGAAAACCTGTATTACAGGGAATGCGATAATAAAGTGTTTCGCATAGGTTTTAGCGTATGTTAGCTCAGGGTTAGGCAAAGAGTTAAAAGACCGGTGTCTGTGTTTCGACAATAGGTCTTTTCTAGTGAGCGAGCTTCACAAGCACTTTCCCACTCAACTGCCGTAGCGAGACCCTGTAATTAAGCGAAGAACGCTGAGATTTGAATGCTGCATTGTCGTCCAGGCGAGCCAGATAGTAACATTAGCGGCTCGCTTCAGCGTAGTGCCCTGGAAAAGTGTGGTTTCAGCAGTTCAGGGCCATTACTTTTGAAACCGTGATTAATAATTAATAAAGAAACAGATAAACAGAGTGCTTTTGTATTGTAAAAAATCAGGACCCCTTATCCTTATCATCTTCAAGCATTCACTGCCTCTTCTTCTCTGAAATGTTGAGGCACCCGCCTTGCTTGCGGGTAGGTGTGTTGAATTCCGTATGTTTTGTAGACGCACCTCCCCCATTCCGTCGCTTGAAAGTTGACACCACCTCACCCTACTGCCCGCTTAATACCACCCCAAAAGCAGGGAGGTTTGACTGAGGTGAGGTTTGTCGGTGGGTCCTGAGGTGAAGGCTACTAAACGCAACCAATAATCAAAGCGGCGGACGTTTTGTCAAGATCTCAAAGAGGGCAAAACTTGGCACACGTGAAATTACCGAAGTAAACATTGGGTGGGAGGGGATTCAAGGGGGAAGGGGCCAGCCCCCCTCCCTAGCCAACCGTAAGATTCGAGAATATACAAGTCGAAGGTTTAGCGGGTAAAGTAAACTTGCTTTCGGGTTTATGCCTTCCTGGCACACATAATATTGGGCGTGGCTAGGAAATCAATCACATTCGCACGTGCTCATCAATCACAATGTCTGCAAACAATTCTAGACATCCAAGATGACCGAGGTGCGCCAGGAAGAATTCAAGGTGCTCGATATAGGATCACAAGTACAAGCTACGTTGTGCATTAACCATGGGATTTGTCAGGGAATCTGAAACGGCTTGATAAACACTTGGTATCTGGCTGTTACCTATGTTACCTAGTGTATCTACGACATTTGGTCTGAGCCCCCTAGTGCTGCGCTTCTGAAGCATGTTCATGCCTCAACGCATCCGGGTCATTCAGCTCGAATGCAAAGTTCCAGATCATTTCACCTGTGGTTTTACCATATAAGTGAACGACTTCTCCGTCCCACTGCGCGTCTCCTTTACCTGTAGGTAGTCATTTTAGTAAGGCGCCCATTTAAACAAGAGGACGGTGAACATACTGCTTCTCCCACCCAAGTGTTGCACAACGCTCGGTGTCAATGCCCATCTTCCCCCCATTTCATTAGGGTTCTCGTCGCCAAGCTTCTCCGCAAGAGTATCAACAAATCCAATTTTTTGGTCGCCATACCAATTCGCTAACCTGTGTTTCCAGAGTCAGTCACTACCTATTCGGAGCTTGGCACTAGCGATCCTGAACAAAGGGCATCTTCACGTACATTGAGACTTTGTTTCTTGGATAGACAATCGCCTGCGCACAGCATCCATACTTATCCATTGGGTTGACCCCGACTTTTAAAGGTAGCACGCTGACCCGCCCGGCGGCCAAGAAAAAAACGGCCATCAAGGACGTAGTTAAAACACTAGCAGAGAGAATTATTCTGCTATGACGCGATAAGAGGGGTGTTCCTTGGAGGATGTGACGAATGACAAGATGGAAAAGGACTACAAGAAGGAAAAACGGAGATGCCCAGTACAAGTATACAGGCCATTCTTCGCTGTTCCAGCCTAGTTGTGCTTCGGTGTAGAAGAGTCTCAAATAAAAAACTATACGAAATGTTAATATAAATGCAAAATATAAAAGAAATTTCCAGGTCGACTCACATCCATTCTGCCCGTTTATCTTGGTCTGACGTTCGACCTCTTCAAGCGCGTTGCTCGTCCTGTGCAGCCAACCATCTAATGCTAGAACATCATCCTCAAAGACCGCAATATACCTCGCGCCAACGTCTTCGCATTCTCTCAGTACTCGAATGTAATCAAACATATGCTTCTCCCTGTCGGGAAGGCCTGTTCGCTTCCTCTCATTCTCCAGGTCCTGTATGTGAATGTATTCTTCGCTGGAAACGAACTTCGAATTATTATACGTCAGAACCTTGTCTGCAACATTCCGTAGCCACGGCTCGGTAAACACAGGATGCTCGCTTGCATTTGTATGGCCGATGAATGGCATCAGATATATCGTATCTCTCTCATGAGGTGTGAGACCTTCCAGGATTGACCCAACTGTAGCTCGAAGGTAGACATCGCCGCTGGGTCGAGCGATAGAGGGAATGCCGATACAAAGTAGAGGCGTGCTGTTAGAGTTTCGGATAAAAGTCTTGGTCGCAGACGCAGAAACAAAGGCGTCTGCTTCCTCCCGACGTACATGGCTGTAGTTCTGTTCATATGCTCTTTTGGGATCGAAGAATTTAGAGGTTGGATCGCGATAGAAATGTGACACGGCATAATTCCTGGCAAAAAAGCAAAAGAGTGCTGGCACTAGAAAGATAGAGAGGGTTCGCTTCGATAATAACATTGTTGACGCAAGTGCGACACTAAGAAAGTGTAATTGAGCTAAGAATTCTTAGCAAACGACGTCGAGTCGTCGTGCCGATTCTCACAAGAACGCTTCCTATTCCCAGATGCGAATAGTGCTTACCTTGGCGACTTTTGTTGGAAGTTCTCAGATAACACTTCAGCCTAATAGTCGGTTCCCCTGTGTTATGCTGTGAGACGAACGGGAACCAACTCGGCCCGTGGTCCCGCACCGGGTCTCGCTACGGAGTATGCCCGTCGGTACCTAAATCGCCGTTCACCAGTGTGTGCGGTCAACAAAGTGGCAGTACTGCCCAAGATAACGTAGATAGTGTTTGCCATTGCTAACCTATCGTGGTAAGTAGGAGGCGACTCTTAGACTCAGGATTCATTTTCCTTTTTGCTGGTTCCGTTTTAGTCTGCGAACGTGAGCAGCTGCTGCTTTAACCTGAGCCAAGGGTGAGCAGCCTGAGTAGAGCCTGAGTAGAGCCTGAGACGCTCGTCGCCTACAGTTTTCTTATCGAACTTGGCTCGGAACCCTTTTTGCTACCTTACAAGGGTTCTTGCTATTGAACGATCTACGGGATAAGACTTTGAGGTAGGGTAAAGAATGATTGATTGCCTTACAGAATAAACTCGGGGGGGAGCCCTCTATCCCTTTAACTGCTATTCGGAACACACATTTTTACAGGGTCAATGTTAGTGCACGTGCCGTGTAGTACAAACATCTATTAGCACTTTAGCGACTCGCTTTAGCGGCTATGCCCTATCCCCTTAACTGCCAGAAACACACATTTACAGTGCACAGCGCTGAAGCGAGGCGCTAAAAATCTGGTGGTTGCCTGTACAGCAAGGCACGTGCACTAACTCCGATCCCCGTAGAAAGTGTATTCTGAATAGCAGTTAAGGAGATAGATATCGCCTGCCTAATTTTGAGGTAGGTACCTTGGGTATGTAGTTTTTGCTGCCCCATTTTATCTTATCTTATCCATCTCACATCTAGTTTTCTGATAATTAATACCAGCAGATAGAGGCTGCCGATACAGTTCCTTCCTTCATGTAAACTTTTCCTATCCTTCCACGTTAGGACTCAATACGGAACGGTCGTATGTCTACGGATAATGATTCGCTTGTTTATTGGCGGTTTTAGGGTGAGCTAAACATCTAGGGAGTGGATTCTCTCAGGTCAAGGCAATGCTGGGTAAGGAAGTGCTGAGTGTGGTGGCTGGGCTGCTGGAGGTAGTCACGTACGAAAGGCTGATCCTGGCAGCAGGCCGGCGGGTTAAAAACAGAATAATCTCCCGCGCAACATTGTTCGGGGTTTCTTTGCTTGCTAGAAAAAAGCCTTGTATCAAGTAACAAACTTCAATGGATTGAAAGGTTTTGAAATAGATTACACGACGATAGATTGCTTTCTTAAGTATTGTATTGATCTTTAAAATAGCAAAGTGTGGTTGTGACGGATCTTGATATATCGTCGGGTTTATACATGGAATGACTGGAGGATAAATGGTCTGTGGTATGAGCGCCAGGGTGAGGTTCTAAGGAGACCGAGCTAGACGATCAAATTCAAGGGTCCAAGACCCCTTTGGCTGAAAGAGAAGAGTTCAAGATCTTGAACCTTGCCTTCATCAACTCAATCTCTCCGCACTCAACTTTAAGAAGATCCGACTTCACAATGGTGTCCTTTTCAATTTGACTAGTATCCAGTGAGACCCTTCAATTTTGTTTTGCTTCAAATTTCATGTCCTAGCCTCTATACTACTAAATCAATAATCAACAATCAATCTCAGTCAAACACACTGTCTACTCGTTGGACTGCTGTCAGGATCACCCTGATCCGAGCGCCTACGCTACCAACACAATGGTCTTTTCTTCGTTAAGCGACAGCCTGTAAGCGAAGGGTAATCCTGACAGTAGCCCAAAGGATATGCAAGTCACCCAAAGAAGCGACCGATTGAAACAGGGCGTCAAACTCAAGGAAATCCAGTGCTGCTCTTCTATTGCGATGAACCGCCTTACAGAATTCTCATCCTCAATATTTGGTTCGCTGACCTACCTCCGGCGTCGCGTCATTTAGAGTTCGGCTACCCATTTCATGTGTCCAAGCACCCACCCTTCGCTGTCTATCAACTTCAAACCCATTATTCTTACTAAATTTACGTGCAGTTCTTCGTTCATATTTCTGCGAACCATCGTGCCGTGCCGTGCCACCCCCGGCCCCTCCGCCACCTCGTGTCAGCCCTCCACCGGATCCCCAGAGCCGGACACAAGCCTCCCTCACGTCTTTGTTCCCTCCTCATGTAGATGAATTCGCTGAGTAAAAATAACACAACTACATCAAATATTTGGCATCTTAAAAGAATATTCCCGAGTCGTCCAGTACTGTCGTGACACAGATGGCTTACCCACCGTACGCCGGAACCAGTTTCGATTCGCGAGGTTATGGTCCTCCCCTTCATTATGATCTCCAATGATCTACAATCAGCGCGGATATAGTTCGTACCTGTCCCAATCGGAATCCTTGCCACTAGCACCGGAAGAAGTGGATGCGGAGGGTGGTGTGGAGAGTGAAAACGTGTAAACCTTACTTCAACGTAAATATACTTCCGCCGTTGTTTTGTTTGTTTCCCCGCATTTTCGCTTGCTGTACCTAGTTAACGTACATTAGCGAAACATCCTTGGCGCCGGCCCACCACCCGGATGAAGGGCTACCTGCAAGTGTTTCGAAGCTATTGACGTTAGACGCGCTAATTGCAGCGATGAGACGGGTAGGAGAGCTTATGTCGTTGAGTTAGACGGGTCTTTGTGATGGACAGTTTTTGTGGGTTCTGTATGCACCTGTTGTGGTTGGCAGGTCTTGAGTTGATGGACGCACAGGGACAGAACTCAAGTCTGATATGGTTTGTGTCAATGAATTGATGTTTGGACTGCGTATATTGGGAAATTGCAGATTGTTTGCAAGAGAGGCAATTGAACACTCGTCCCTTCAAATAGATTGGGCGGGATGGATGTGGGAAAGTGGTTTACCTCGCCAGTAAACTCTGCAATGTCTAAGCCAGATTCTAGACAAAGACCAGTTCCTAAACTTCTGTCTCACAGCCGTTATACGAACCTATGTGTGGCGTACGCCTCTTCATGCTGAACACCTGAACATCGCTTTTTTCGTGTTAGGTTGAGAAGCTGAAAACCTACAGGGTATCAGTGTACGCCTCCAGATTGCCTTCAGCCAAGCACCCCACAAATCACGAGTTACACTGATCAGTTCCAGTCGAACCCAGATGCCGATCTGTTAAGGTTCGGCGATCGATCTGCAGAAGTTTGATGCAATCTCCCGCTACCCGTTCTGTTATGCAGTTTCTCTTCTAGGGTAAACGACTTGTTCGTGCTGACCTACGTTTGCCATATTTTGAGCCATTTTGCTCTCGAACTTTGGAAATTTGGGAATCTCACAACGAGTCCTGATCCCTCAGGGCAGGGGCGAAATAACTTCACATTACATCATTACATGTGAATAAAAATCTATCATACAGGTCTCAGTCATATCAGCCCTGAAATTCTTCATTAGTTTCCACACTCTCCGGAGAAAATACCCGAGAACAGCTTCAGTTATTCCTCCGACAAAGATCGGCCCGCCGCTTTCTGCTTTATTCCGATTGCTAAGATATCTTCATTTGTGAGTCAATGATATTTCCCGAGACTCCTTTACAATTTTTTGCATTTGTCTTCGCAATTGACGACTGACGTGCGAGCAGACTCCTGATCCAGATGCGTCATATATTCCAGGAACTCAATTTCCCCGTATCTTCGCTGGTGTCATCTTGCCCTTTGCGCTGTCCTCGATCTGTGTCCTTTGCCGTTTCTATTCTCGTGGGATCCTGCTGAAATTCTGGGGCATCGACGACACGCTCCTCCTCATATCATGGGTATGAATGGTCCACCACAACGCAACAACCTTTGCAGATTTCCTACCCTCACAGCATCAGCACGAACTAAGTTCACTAATGTATGCTCAACGATCCAGACCTCAGGCGGTATCGCTCTAGGCGCCCTGAATCTCGTGCTGGTACATTTCGGACCTAGCAACGAGCTTCCCAATTCCCCACGGGCTTCAGAAGCACTGAAGTTAGGCTTTGTGTGCAAGGAGCTGTACACCTTCACATTGATGACCACCAAGTTGGCTATATGTGCCGCATACATTCGGATATTCCAGGACAAAGGAGGGAGACTGTTTATTTGCAGTGTGATAAGCTTCGTAGTGCTGTCGACGATTCCCATCACGGTCGCACATTGTCTGAGGTGCAATCCTCCGGCCGGTAAATTGATCTTGTCCTAAGCCATATCGCTGGCGACATTACCGTATGGGATGCTAACATAATTGTCCTAAGGGCCTGGTCACAAGTACCAGCGAAGTGTTTTGCCGAACCTCCCATCGTCATTTCTCAGGCAGTCTTCAACATCCTTGGCGACTTCGCCCTGCTTGCTTTCGTACTACCCAGAATTTGTAAGTCTCATCCCAATTCTACAACACAAAGCAGGAATAAATTCACTAACACCTCTCACCTCTCAGCCAAGCTGCAAATAGCTCGGCGACAGGAAATCAGTCTCATGGAAGTCCTAGCCCTCAGTCTCCTCATCATCGTCGCAGCAATCGCCCGCGCCGTCCGCGTCGTGCATGAACTCGAAGCCTCGGCAGTCGAGAGCCTTCCGTACGAGAGCTACGGCATCGACATCACCATCTGGACATCGGTCGAGATCAATACCGCGCTGTTCTGTGCTGCTGCTCCGAGTCTGAGACCGCTTGTCCAGAAGTTAATTCCTGGGATGCTGATGTCTTCCCGCTCGCAGCTTTCGGGTGGCACAGGATCCAGCTTCTATGGAACTCGTGCAGGTAATAAATTGACAAATGCTGGTGGGAGGTCGACCGTGGAGGTGTTGGAGTTGGTGAGTCATGTTAAGCTAGCGCCCGAAAGGAGAATGGATAATGCTTGGAATGGGAACAGGTATGAGCGGGCAGGAACTTTGTGTGAGGTTGGGAGAGCTGTGAATAATGTTGGACGGTATTGTAAGAATGAACAGGGAAGAAAGTTCGTGACGATCACTACTTTGGAAGGACACTTCGATTCCGATTTGGAACTTGGAAGGACTCATGGGGAGAGTTTCTGACTGAGTGGAAGGATGGAACCAAGCGAGAAATGCTCCAAGTCATGAGATTATTACCCCACATAAGAGTGAATGCTTCTATGATCATGTGAAATATGACATCGGCGACAACAAGAGGAAGTACTCAATCCCTAAACCTCTTCTCTGGGGTGCCCTGGCTTCTCGAGACTGATTTAGACACGGTGGGTTCTCTTCATCGACCTGCTCGTCGCCCGATGGCCAGCCCGCTATACAGATGCATATAGCGACCGGCACTATAACTGCCGCCAAAACACCTGCGACGATGAGAAGCTTCAAAACCCATTGCTTCATGGCGGGCGTCAGCTTAGATGGGTTGTCGTTATAGCCGTTGGTCTGAAATTGTGATCCGTAACCAATATTGGTTGTCTCTTGCTGTTGGCGACTTTGCTGTATGCGAACTTGTACTTGTTGCTGGTACTGGATGTCTTTTACCAGTGCGATTAACTCAGAAGGATGTTTGCTTGGAATGATGCTCAAGCAGAAAAACTGAACATTTGTGGGCAAGGCGAGTTAGTCTTATGTAGCTGGATTCTCATTTCGACTGGAAAGAAGTACCTGTGCCCGTGACGTAGGGAAGGTACCTTAGCGTGACATAGTAAATGGAAGATACCTTAGCTATCCCTTTAACTGTCAGAAACACACTTTTACAGGGCATAGCCGCTGAAGCGAAGCGCTAAAATGCTAGCAGCTGGTAAACTACAGGGCACGTGCACTAATCTCAGGGCTGTAAAAACGTGTGTTCCGAATAGTAGTTAAGGGGATAGAATCCAGCAATTACATATCACATCAAATCAAATCAACTAAATAAGCTACAAAAGATCTAAACAGAAGCTCAAGTCGCTCTTCTTAATGTATCATATGATAACTTTACGCAGCCATATCGGGCAGAATATTGGTCTATTCAGCTTCAGCTTCGGTTTCGGCTTCGGCTTTGATATTGATATTGATATTGTCTCTCATACAAGATAAGATAAGATAAGATATACGATATATCTTCTCCGCGCACCTCCTCTCCTCTCCTCTCCTCTCATCGCCTTATCTCCCCACCTCCCCTCAAGCCGCAATGAATTTTACTTCGAAGTATGTATGTAAAGCTCTAACAAACCAAACCAGATCCAGATCCAGATCCAGAGTCAAATCCTTACGTACGTTCTGCTCTGTTCTGTATTCTGAAAAGCAAAGAAGAAGTGAAGTAAGAGAAGAACGACTTTCAGGACTAGGACTAGACTAGAGAAAATAAAATAAAATAAAAGGAAAGGAAAGGAAAGGAAAGGCTTACTTACTTACCGCTGAGGGTTTAAGGTTTGAGTTTGACTTTGTCTAGGCGTGGATTTCCACTTCCTCTTCCTCTACTCAGCAAGCAAGTAAGAAAGGGCGATTTATTTGTTCTTGTTCTTGTTTTTCGTAACAATGGATTTAAGAATGGAAATGAAAAGAAGGGAAATAGAGGAGGATGATGATATGGAAGGGATGAGATAAGGAAGTCGTTCGGAAAAATTGTTTTGGTTTCTTTTGTTTGTTTAGACATATTTGTCCAACTAGATACTGTACAGGAAATATGTATACAGATCCACTCGGGTCACCACCCACCTCCAAGATAAAAACTCGCTTCCCAAACTCCAATCCCGCCCCGCAAACAATGCAACACTTCCAAAAATCATACACAAAAAAAAACCAACTTCTCTCCACTTTCTACGCCCTCACACCACCACTCATAGGCGGCGCATTCCTCCCCGTCTCATCCCTCACCTCCCCCCTCCCATCCCTCACCTCCCCCCTCCCATCCCTCTCTCCCACCCCCAACCCCTCATCCTGCACCACCCCCCCAACCCCCGCCTCCCTCTCCTTCCTAATATTCCTCCCCTTCCCCTCCAACCTCATATTATCCGTCCCAAGTCCCCCCTGCCCAATATTCTCCCTAGTCTCCTCATCGAACTCAAATTTCCCACTCCCAAGGGGTCGGACATGCAAGAGATACATAGCATCGACCTCCTCGAGCGTCTTACCGGAAGATTCAATCAGGAAGAAATACACCAGGAAGAAAGCCGCGAGGTTACACCCCGCAAAGACGTAGCCGTAGGCGAATTCGATCTCGCCTGTGATGAAGGGCGTGAAGAACGCGAGCATGAAATTCCAGATCCAGTTCGCGCTAGTAGCGAGAGCCATGCCGACGGCTCTATACCGGTAAGGAAACATTTCTGCGATGCAAGCCCACACGAGTGGACCCCAGGTCATAGCAAAAGAGACGATGAACAGGCAAGCGAAAACGATCATGACTGTGCCGGCTGTTTTTGCCGTGGAGGATTCCGGCACGGCGCCTTTGAAGATGAATTGGCCTACGGAGGCGAAGATCAGGAAACACATGCATTGCCAGAGGGCGCCGATGTAGAGGGATTCGCGGCGGCGGCCGTTGCGGGCGAGGTAGACGCCAGCAAAGGTTGCGCCGACGTTGACGCCGCCGAGGATCATGGCTGTGACGTAGGAGTTGTCCAAACCGACGCCGGAGAACACGGTTGTGCCGTAGTAGAAAAAATAATTGGCTCCTGTCAACTGTTGAAGCATCTGAAGACTCATGGCGAGGGCGATGCGGTAGAACATGCGTGGTCCGGTAAGGGCCTCGTACCAGGGGTGGTCGCCTTGGGTGGCCTGCATGACTTTTTCGATCTCGGCGGTCTCGTTTCGGATGAGAGGGTGAGTCTCTGAGAGTCCGTAGAACTTGGACATGGTGGTTGTGGCTCTGGAGGAGCGGCCGTGGTTCCAGTCGTGGCGGGGGGATTCAGGGAGGAAGATGATTCCGACGCCGAGGATGATGGCCCAGATGAAGCCGATTCCCATGGGGATGCGGTACGAGCCGGTGTTGAGCATGCCTTCGGTGCCGAAGTTGATGCAGTCTGCAACGAAGATACCTATGGTGATGAAGAGTTGGTAGCAGCTGGTTTGTGTTAGATGTGGTTGAGAAGGCCGGGAGGGGGCAACATACGATACTACGGCTCCTCGGACGGGGACGGGTGAGGTTTCGGACATGTAGAGAGGGACGAGGACGGAGAGTCCTCCGACTCCAAGACCTGCTACCCATCTGCCCATCACAATACCAACCCACATTCCTTGACCGACTGCCATTTGAACGACGACACCGATACAGAAGATCAGACACCAAACGGGAATGCACCATTTGCGTCCATATTTGTTGGCGAATGGCCCAGCAATTAGACAACCGAAGAGAGTACCGATAGATAGCTAGAAAAGTTAGCGAGCGTTGTCATTTGAGCGTCTATTGTCACTTACCAGAGCTACGATCAAACCAGATCGAACGTTGGTGAAGTAGAATCCATGTGGATATTTTTCTGAAACCTCTGTCCTCTCACCAAATCGCTCAAGAAAGACTTTCATTTCGAGGAATCCGGAGATTTGTCCGGTATCGTAACCGAAGATAAAACCTCCCATTGCTACCAAGATTCCCATAATAACAGTTCGAATCGTGATTGCGGGCACTTTCGTGTTGGCACTGCTTCCATTGCCATTGTGGAAATCCTTCTCGCCCAGGACGGCTTGTCGTGCTCCTGGGTTGTCTATCGAGTTGGCTGCAGATGGGACAGCAGTACTACTATTACTGTGTTCCACATCCTGCTTCTTGGAAAAGAACTTCATTGTTGCGGTGATGGTTGAGTTTGAGGCTCAAAGTAGAAGTTCATGAAGAGAGAAGTAGAAGTATACAAAGGAAGGGAAGGCTAGATATATATGTATGGGACCTTTCCGCACTGGCAGATTGGGTGGGGATCGTGAAAGATGAGATCGGTAGGGTCAATTGCCTCTCCCTTACTCGCTGTGGTCTGCGGCACAGGGCTGCCAAGTTGCTTAATGATCGTGAAAGGAGCTTGTACCAGTGACGGAGTGGGCGCTTCACGCCCCCTTGTTGCTCTATCACCGGGCCTGAATGGTGACGCTTGTCTCCCGTTTGCCTTGGTCTGCACACCAGCCCTTTTCAGCAAGCACATCGTCACCGGTCTGTGTCTGCGAGGCACGCCAAGCCCCAGCTGGAGAACGCGGAATCCCCAAACGCTGACAGATGAGAGGGGAGGGGGAGGAAGTGGACTGATGTGGGTTGTGTCACTTGTACAACGCCGCGTTGTGAGGATGGAAGTTCGATGCGATGACGTCGCTGTGAATATCTCTGCACGCAGAAAACAAGCAAGCGAGTCAAGGGCGCGGCATCTCTTGCAGGAACCGACGATCCGGAAAGGTCCACCGCGAGAGCCTCAATGGTTCCACCTACACGTGAGTTCTCCAATTCTTTTGATATTGACGAATGAAACTTTGAATTTTGATACATACGGTGCTTTTCGTGTCGGTCCGACCAGGGAAGCGGAACTCACTGCCGGGGGCTCTCTCGGTGACTTTCTGGGTCCGCGCATAAAGTTTATCTTCTCGAGAAAATTATCGAATTGGTCAGATTTGCAGTTTGACCGGAAACTGTCGATGGGGATTTCGTGGTATTTGGAGGCGTCGACTCGTGGAGGACGAAAATGGCTGCAGGAACTGGTGGCGCGATGACGATGATTTGCACCTGGTGCACATGGAGACCCCAGAGCTCAAAATCGGCCGGAAGAAACGCAGTCGAAAGTTTTGCACCATCACACGATGTGAAGATAGCTTTTCACGTCAAACTCCCCGTTTGGGATGAAGTCAAAACAGACTTGACAGATTGTTTAGTTCGTATGCCCAGAATCTTGAGCTCTGAATTGCCGCATCTTGGGAAAAGCTTCGTCGATCCCTCGGTTGTGGCTGGTTGACAATACTTGATTGAGCCAATGATTAGCCGGAGGTTAACTTTTTTTGTGGATTTTCTTGGGAGCTGTCAATGACGTGTTGGAAGCTGGTTCGGGATGGTTTGGGCTTGAAAGGGTTAATGAAAAGTGCGAAATCCGGGGAAGCCGTTGATGTTGAATTAGCAGATGTGGAAGTGAAACATCTCGACTCATATGTTTGGTCTTTGAAGCTTGTGGATGTTGGCTTATTGAATGCCGCCATTGGATCTCAGAAGCTGTGAGATAAAGCTGTGAGAGGAAAGATTATTGCCAGTGGAACAGCCAATTGCGAAGGTCTGGTTATGAAGAGACGGGGCAAGTGCAAATCAGATAAGTTGGAGCGGCACAGCACGAATCCGATTAGGCGGCATCGTTCTTCAGCGTCGGCGAATCGACTGTTGAAGTGCAACGAGTGCACTGGACAGGATGGCTCACAGTGGAAGATGCTGTGTGCAGCTGCAGCGATACGGAAATGCGTCACATTTTGTTCTCCAGGCAGTGGAAAGTACTGTCGTGGTATTGAGGATATATTCGAAGCCCCGGTTAGAGATTTAATATCCACTATTCAAGAAACTGGTGTATTGAGAGTAACTTCTCTCAGCTAGACAAATAATAGCCAGCGCCCACGAGAATTTTCACTCGATTGAGAGACTTTTACACGGGAAGAAAGACGGGGGTATGATGAGTGATGGCCCTGATGGGAGGTAAGAGGTAAGAGCGTCTCATGACATTTCTCCGTCAATAGCCGACAACAGGCTGCACAGGGTGTTCCTTCCCAACCGCAACCGAACATCTGCTCGATAGAGACGGATGAAATCACTGTTTCAGAGGGGTTCATAAAATCTTCACAGAGTGGGCGAGCAACGTAACCTTCCCCAATAATAAATAAACACTTGAAACGAAACCATGATCTTCAAGCGGATGAAACATTTTACCAGTTCCGAGTAATGCCTCAGATTATCCGACAGCTTCACTTTCCAATAGGCTTGGTTTGTTTACAAACATCCTTATCTCGCAGAAGTGCATCGTTCGAAGGATGAATGTTCATCCTTTCTTATCTCCCAAACAAATATCGTTTGCGTCAGGATTCAATCAAAAGTCGTCCATCAGCTGAAAGACTTCTTGGCCGCCACTGCCCAGCAACAGATGGAAAAATCCCAGCGTCAATGGAATTTCACCGCGCAGCGCCAATGTTCAATGGAGAATTGATGGCGAGGCAATGTAGCATCTAGACCAGTATCCAGACGAGAAATCACAATTTCTGCACAATAGCCGGGACAGGATAAATAGTCCGCTCGCTGGGTGTCACGTAAGGTATGGAGGAAATGTGGTGGTGAATTTAGGAGGATCTGCACTGGAAGATACCAGGGCGGGCAATAAAAAAGGGCTGATATATTGTATCCAGCAGTCCCAAATCTGGTAGGCCGGTAGTGCCGAGCCCGCTGGACCAAATCAATGGCATTGCACGATGCTTGGCTGCTGGGACGTCTCGTAATAGGCGAGACGTGAAGCTGTTGAAGGGGGAAATTCAGCAGCTCATTGGTGGAAGTTCTTGCCCCCTCCCCTCCAGCGGACGCCGCTCTCCCCACATCCCTCATCTTCTGACTTTCCGACACCACGGCCCTTGGATGCCCTTGGTTGCCCTTGCTCCATGGCCGCCCAAGCTCATCCCGCCTAGCCAAGCCCCACGCTGCAGGACGAGCCAGACCCTATTCAGCGCTACGCCTGGGCCGAACCTCCAGGAATTGCCGTTTTGTCGCTGGAACAATCTGCCCCGAGCCTCCTCCTACGCTGGATGTATTTTTCCACATACGCTGTTTGGCACCCTGCCCTGCCTGTCGCTCTCGCTCTCCTCCTCCTCCTCTCACTTCCCGCCGTCGCTCGTCCCGCCGCCGCACTGCTCAAGATTGGTTGGCTGGGAAAATGAGAATGCAACCCCAGGCCCAGGTCCTGTCCTGAAAGCTCCACACTTACTGCCTCTGCAGTGCACCTCAGACTTTCTTTTCCTCACGCACCTCAACCTACATACCTCACCTCACTTCGAACTCCTTTGAGCCCTGCCCTATCCTCCCCAGGGTCACAGACGAGACAAATCACCGCCGGCGGAATTCCAATGTACCTGCTGCTGTCTGGCATTCCACATCCAGCCTCGACTCGACTCGCAACGGAAACATCCCCCTCTCGTTCAGTGAGCCTCTCAATCTAGAATCCTCCCCCACTACCCACCACGCATGTCTGCGACTGGCCTACGACGCAGGATCACGGGTGCCATGTACAGTAGCAGATATCACTATCAGACACAATCGACCAGGGAGCCAATTGTTAAACCTAGCTTGCGATAACTGGCCACTTATAAGTGTGAAGCGGCAGACCTTCAACTGCCCATCCTGTATCGAGGGAGCGAAACGCCCATTACCTTTTGCGCCGCGACCCTCCCCCGCCCAAGTAACCACCCACGCAAACTATCCGACACACCGACTGGCAGTCTGGACATGTGAGGAGGCCGCTGGACTTTCTTTCCTCTCTTGCGACATCGTTCTCGAATACTAGCTCCCTCTCCTACAACAGAGGCGGAACTTTCAGAGACTCGAGATATTTCTCCAGAAAGAGTAGGGGTGTATACTGGCAGTCATGGCGACCAAGCAACTCCAGTCCATGCCGACGCCGGCGAGGCCAAAGAGCACGAATGGGGTCATCAATGTGGCCAAGGCGAGCACAGGAGATAATCGCATTGTGGTCATCATCTACGGGCAAGGCCAGGAGAAGATCGTCGCTGTCTTTGCCGATGTACTTGGGAAACCGTTTCGGCTGGCCCCAAGCTTTTCAGATGTCGGAGAGGACGACCATGGGACCGTCATAGGAGTTGCGACGAGCAATGCAAAGGCCGATATTGGCAGTAGGAACAAGACGCTCATGGTGGCCATCAACGCGCATTGTGTGAACTTGGGAATGCCGCCAGACGTCGATCTCTCAGCTGCCTCGGACTACGAATTCTTGTATACAGAAACACCATTTTTCCGGAGAGATCTTTCACGCTTCATTGCATTTACACTCGGTCAGATCAGTCATCATGAAGCGCTCATCACGAAACCGAGAACATATTTCATTTCAACTACGTTTCCCGATGTCCGGACGGCTCTTTCGAATCTGGATATTCTTTCTGTTGGATCTGATGCTGTGGAGATACGAGTTGATCTCCTGAAGGAACCTTTACCGGATGGAACTTACAGCTCTGTTCCAAGTATGAGTTATGTAGGGGAGCAGGTCATGCTTCTGAGGCAACGGACTGAACTTCCCATTATTTTTACCACACGTTGTACACGTGAAAATGGACGATTTCCGATGGATAACCCGGAACTGTACTATGAGTACCTTTACCGAGCCATCCAGTGGGGTTGTGAATACATTGATGTGGAAGTCTGGTTACCAGAGGACATCAGACGGAAATTATACGAGCAGAGAGGCAACAGTCGTATCATTTCGGCCTTTCACGATTTTTCCGGGACTTTCAAATGGCCCTCACCTCAAGCTCAGTCGATTTTCGAGGAGTCAAGGAAGTACGGAGATATTGTCAAGATGATCACAATCATCAACTCAATGTCTGAAAATTATGAGCTGGAATACTTCCGCTCACAGATCAAAGCAAATAATCCAGATGGACCACCACTATCGGCCGTCAACATGGGTCAACTCGGCCAACTCTCACGAGCACTCAACACAGTCTTCAGCCCCATCACCCATCCTCTACTCCCCATTGTAGCAGCCCCAGGTCAAATGAGCGCTTCAGAAATCAACGGAGCACTTAGCACAATGGGCCAACTCCCCAAGAAGAACATCTACGCCATCGGCTCCTTCCGCTCAACACCCCAAGCGACCTTCTTCGAGAAATGCTTCAACGAGCTCGGCCTCCCCCACAACTTCCAATCCGTCGACCGAGGCGTCAGAGGCTCCGTCGAAGCCTTCTGTCTCCAGCCCAACTTCGGCGGCGCATACATCAACCCGCCTCTCCAAGCCTCCCAGCCCTACATCCCGCACCTCACCGACGCCGCGCGCACCATCGGCGCCGTCGACACCATCGTCGTGCGAGGCGACGGCGCCGCGTCATCCAGCTTCGTCGGCGACAACGCAACGTGGAAAGGTATCCGCGCGACGCTCACCCGCGACTTTGCTCCCTCCGCGTATAGAGACCGCGCGGCCATCATCCTTAGCAGTAACGGCGAGGATGCCGCGAGCATCATCTTCGCGCTCCGCAGCCTCAATATCGGCAAGATCTACACCGTTGGGTTTAAAGCCCACGGACCCCTCGCGGCTGGTATCGAACCATTTACATCCATCGAGTCGGTCTCGCGCGTCGAGCACCCCTTTGCTATCATCTCCGCGCTTCCACCTGAGAAGAGCCATCTTGTTCAGCCGCTGCTCAGACATTTCAGTAATGGGAAGAGTTACCAGAATGGTTATGGCAATGGGGGCGGGACTGGGAGTGGGAGTTCGTCGCCGGGGAGGGATGGTGGCAAGGGCAAGGTTTTTGTGGATCTGGCGAATGGGCCGAGGAAGAGTGATCCGCTGGCTGTGGCGGAGCAGAGTGGCTGGACGGCGTATGGGGTTGCGGATACGAGTGCGTTTACGACGGTCGAGACGCTGAGGTTGTTGGTTGGGCAGAATGTGCCGTATAGTTTTGTTAGGTTGGCGAGTGGGAGGGGGTTGTATTGAAGTTGGTGAGGTGGGTGGACTAACTAACTTGGCTGGCTTGGTGGTATTCGGCGAGGATTGTTGGAAGGAGATGAGTATGGGGGGTTGAGATTCGGATTGGGATGCCTCGCTGTGCCATGTCTTGCCATCAACATATACTTGGCTTGGTGGTGCTTGACTTGGCGATGGAACCTATCTTATCCACGTGTGGCGTTTGTATCTACCCTTGCTGGCGTTGAGGTTGGTTGTCTTTTTTTGGGTTGCCGCCTGCTCATTCATGGATGGTGAGGAGGTAGATTTGTCTCTGCTTTTACTCTTTTAGATGTGGACTGGTTTAGGGGCGGGATATGTGTACCTTGGCCTTGGCTACGGAGCATGTTGATTAGGTGGGGAAGTAGCGCAGGGAGGTGAGCAATCTAATGCGATGCGATGGGATGGGATGCGATGCGATGGGATGTGATGTGATGCGATAGGATAGCAGGTGGTAAGTAGTAAGTAGTAAGTACTAGGTAGCAAGTAGCAGAGATATATGGATATGGATAAGGATATGGATACGTGTATGCAATGCAATGCAATACAATGCAATACAAGAACGCAAATGACTCAACTAGTAAACACTCAATTGCATCTTACGGAGTATGCCATCGATTACATCTCTATCAATTCATCTATCCATCCATCTCTCCACTCCTCAATCCAAGTAAGTACCTAGATCCAGCAGTCTCTGAGGTAGCAGCTAGCTATTCAGACCTTTACCTTTTTATTTCTTTCTTTTCATTTGATTTCATTTGATTTCATTTGATTTCATTTGATTTCATTTGATTTCATTTGATTTCATTTAGAATTTTCTTTTTCTTTGACTTTTGAGATGCATGGATGCATGCATGGATGGAGACGACGCAGCTCAGGGGAAGAAGGAGTGGAGTGCTCTGAGGTAGGGATTTATGGTGGCTAGATAGATAGATAGATAGATAGATAGATAGATAGATAGATAGATAGATAGATAGATAGATAGATAGATAGATAGATAGATACTAATTCCTGTGAATCTAGTATTATTGTGAATTGGAACTTGTGATGATGTGGGTTCTTGGAAGACCGATGGTGGCACGGTTATAGTTATGGATGTGGTTGTGGTCATGGATGCGGAAATGAGAGAAATAATAATCGGTTCCCCTGTGAGGCTGCGGGCATTGTCAGCGGCTAAGCGGAGACAGAAAGGGAACAGACTATTAGAGTGTGGGTGGAGATTACCTAGGTACCTTACTGAGGAAAGTGCTGCCCTGGGTACACTGTCCTAAAACAGTCAATTCAAAATTAATTGCCAACAGTCACCTAGAAAAAAGTTAACAGTCCCTAGACGGTGACTTAGCTGTCGACTGCGCAACAACTGTAGGTATGATAGTGTACTCGGCCCCGCGCTCCCCTCTATTGGTACTGAGGTATTGTGCTGGTCAGGTGGAATAAACGACCAAAAAAAAAAAAAAAAAACTCCCATTTCATCCGCGGCCGGCCCGGCTGGGCTTGACTCACTCACTCAAAATTGGGAAATACTTACTTTCGCGTAGCCTGTGAGAGTCTGGGAGAAATCAAGTGAAGTGAAAGCGAAGCCGGGTTCGGAAAGTGGCGGCATGGCGATGGACAATGGAAAGAATGTCGCTCGCTCGCTCTGTCTGTTACTCGCTCACTTGCGCGCCGAAGTAGAACTTGATTGGGCAGAACTGTAACTACCTCCACATGCCTTTCTACTTCTCCTTCTCCTCCTTCTTCTTCACTCTTAATGCCCTGAATCTTTTTTGGGGGAGATTTCGAAATCTTAGTCATATATTATACAGTATAGTATTATTTTCTCTTTGATCTCTCTGTTGAGTGCGCCGCTACGTGACATTAACTCGGCCTGTATTTGAGTGCGGAGTGACGTGATATCTTTCCAAGAGTTTTTTTTGGCGCTACATTGTGGTGTCGGTTATGAAAATCTGGAAAAATTGTCAAATCTCAAAGCTCAACCCCTGGTGGTCAAAGTTCATGATTGTGTTTATGTTTATGTTTGTGAATGGAATAGGTTTCTTCTCCTACTGCTTCTTATACCCAATCTGAGCAATGAAGTGGTGGGGGGATGTCACTGCGCACTTTTAGACATTTCTTTCCGGTTTTCATCTCAAGTAAGTCAATTAGTAAGTTAACTACATATGTGTTTGTGTGATGTGCTGTGATGCGTTGTGCTGTGAGGTGTCGGGGCGCGGGTGTAACATGTTCTTTTTCAACCTCGCCTCCCGAGCAATAGGATGTTGATGGGATGTCACTGCGCTATATTTAGTGTTAAGCTTTCAGGTTGTTTTCGGTTGTCGTCTCAAGCAAGTGTGTCGACGCGCGTGCTCTTTCTCTGCGGAGTCTGGGGTGGATTGTTGTGATGAAGTTTCATGTCTTGGGAATATGGAGATGGAGAGGCGAAAACTTCCCGCTGGGTGGGATAGTCTAAGATGGTCTTGCTTTGGTCTTCTTTCCTACTCCTACAGTATGATGTGTTATTTATAGATAAATCTTTGTCTAATGCCTTCACGGAGCAGAATCCTCTTGTATGAGATAAGCTTTCTGGGGCATGATATCGAGCTGGGAAGAGGATGAGGGGTCGGTGATAAGTCAAGAAGGGGAAAAGCTTGGCTTTGTGTCAAGACTCTTGGCTTGTCTTGGAGCGTACAAATCTGGAATCAGTGTGGAGCTTTGATGGATTGAGAGGGAGAGGGAGGATATTGCGATGGTATTGACTTGGCTATTGACTAACAAGAGATATGGTAACGAGATGATTGTTAAAAGTGAGAAATATCGTGAGATTGACTTACTCCGGGGTAGACGCTGGCAGTTCTCCCGGGCCGCCGGCACTCGCCAAGGCCCGAAACTTGCTTTACCGAAAAGGGAAGCGAGTAAATAGAGTTGGGGCTAGTCATGTCAAGAGATATGTATAGCCCAGCCTTGAAAGAATATGGATTAAGATAAGGCTATAACGGTGTTACAGATGGATCTGCGACTTTGCCAAGAGAGACGAAACTCAACTCTAGGTTTGTGATACTTCTGTTCATTGAGAATTATTTTGGGCCGTACGTGGGTTTTGTAATAGAAGCCCTGTTTCCATATAGGCTGCACCTGATCCCCGTCGATTGAAATTATCATTGTCTACACTCCATCTTCAACTTCTCGCACCTCACCTCCTATCAAATCCAACAATCCTCTTCACCACGCCACGCCATCAAAAATGCGCCCCTCAACAACCACCCTCTCAATCATCAGCACAACCATCCTCCTCCTCAACCCCATCCTCGCCGAAGAACTCGACGCGAAAAACGTCCCCGCAGCATGCACCACGATCTGCGCTCCCATTATTTCCCTGACCAGCACCTGCGACGTCGACAATGACACCGACAAGACCGAGTCCGACGACGCGATAGAATCGACTTGTATATGCACCAATAAATCCTTCGACGTGGCTTCGATATCGGCGCTGTGTGCGAGTTGTATTGGTCAGAATGGGGCGACGACTGATGGTATGTTTATTTGCTTCCTTTTTGCTTTCTTCTTTCTGTCCTCGGTTTCAAGTTTGAAGATTGAAGCTCGGGGTTTGAGCTAAAGGGCCAAGCTGATGATATGATTTAATACAGATATGGTGGAGATAATGTCAGCGTGCTCGTTTACATCAATGTCTTATGCGCCTTCTGCAACGGCTCTGGTTGCGTCGGTGTCGGTGTCTGCGACGAAACCGACTGCTACGGGGGCGGCTATGGGGACAACGACTGGGTCGGCGAGTATGGAGACGTCGACGCCGAGTTCGGGGGCGGTGATGGATTGGCAGGTTGGAGGTTTGGGGTATTTTGCTACAGTGTGTGTCGCGTTGGGTTTTGGTTGGGGGATTATGTAGCTGTAAGGATTGTCCGGATGTAACTTTATGTGTTCAACACAATGAAGGTCTTTGGAAGATTGAGTTAACATCTCTGACTTTTAAAGAATCCGTTAAATCTTTTGATCGTTGATGCGGTGAAGTGGAGTGCAAATCGATGAGCGATCTCTGCTGAGATTGAATGTTCTGGAGCCGGCATCTGAACTGGAACATATTCCCCTCTGTTAAAATGTGCTCTCAGATATTGTTTTGTTTCAGTGTTACTGTTCTACGTACATTGGACCTTTTTAAATACAAAAACAGAATAGCGAAACTCGGCGAGTAGAAAACTCGGTGTATCCATGCTGACGGGAGTAGTCAGCGCTAACTTTTCAAGACAATGGAGCTCTTTGGAAGGTTGAGTTAACATCTCTGATTTTTGAAGATATCGGTTGATTCTCTTGGTTGTTGATGTAGCTAAGTAGAGTGAAAACCGATGAGCGAATCTCAGCATTGGCTCAAGATTATGGAGCCCCCATTTGAATTGGAACATATCCTTCTCCATAAAAATGTGCTCAAATACCTTGTGTCATTTCAGTTTTATTGTATTCGGACTTTTCCAACACCAAAACAATTCAGCGAGACTGGGAGAGGATGGAATTCGGTGGTTGCCATGAGCGAACCAATTGGGGAGGATCTCGCGCTTTAGAGTAGTCAGCCCTAATTTTAACCTTACCTACAGCATCACCCGTGGGGAGTTCTGAAGTAAGTGCTGCTAGTTTTCTGAGCAGTGGGACTGGAGATGTATGGGACAGTTTGGTTACTATTGCCTTCCGATTTAGCTTTAATCAATGCTGCTGCAGTCACCTATGGGATCTCCCTTTGCGTTGACATCAACTTTGGCGGAGAAAGCGGGTACAGTGGCAGTAGTGAGTCATCCATTAACTTGTGGTAGTGGTGCGGGAGTGAAGCTGTACTAATGATATGATTCCGTTGCCGGTGTCTGCTGTGAGTTATCCTCGAATGCCCTGTCTTTCTGTCTTTTTCTTTTACATTCGTCGACAGTTGCTTCTCTTTACTGATGATATGCTTCTCATAATGCAGATAACGTCCCAGCTCAACTGAACGATAAAATCACTTCCCTCCGAACTCAGCGTTCCTGCACTTTCTGGGTGTATGTAGCAGTCATACCCCATCTTCACTTCTGTACCCAAGCTAATGTAATGCTCTGCTAGTGACGGGGGATGTCGTGGAAAGTAAGACCAGAGAACTTTGGTCTCTCTTGATTTATACTGACATTGTTCAATGTAGCGCACTCATCGTCCCATCTGCCGGGAATTACCCCCAGCTCGAGCCACGGTGGAATGATGTGAACTCCTCTTTTATTTGTAACTAGAGTTCGTTCAAACATCGAGTGCCCGGGTTCATGTCGATAAGTAGTGTCGACGAAGCTGGGATCTTGGAAAGTAGGTGTTTGAGAGACTTGATTGAATCTGTAAACCGCATGGAGATTTTGGGAGTGGGGGGAGTACGAGTAGTGAGTGCGAGATATCTGATTTACTCTATCGTTTGAAGTGGATCAGCTTCGATATTTCCCATACCTAGGCCGTTCAACACGGCGACGATCATATACTTTTCCGAATACTTTATGACACTCTATTGATGGGAAGTTGGTTGAGAGTGAACAGGCTCGCGATGGTCTTGCCAATAATCAGTCTAGATTATGCTCAACTCCCTTGTCTCCCAGTCTTCCCTATTAAGCAAGTCATCGGCCACTCTGGCAATTCCAACTCTTCTCCATTTCGGACTCTCTTCACCCTTTTCCTCATTTGGTAAAGCTGGCACTAGAATCAACGACCAGTTCTGATTGAGCAGTACTCCTTTCAAAGGTTTTATGAAAGCTTTCCCAACATTTGTGCCACGACTACCACACAGCGTCGCAACCCTTGCCACCACCGCACCAGAATTACGCAAACCTTCCGCGTCCAATGACTGCATTTGATTTTCCTCAAAGAGTGGCTTATCCAACCAACACAAGATAGATCCGTCGTCAACTAGAGCTGCCGATGGATCATCACCGTAAAAGCGCCTCTGAGAGGTATCTCGGTGGTAAGGAAGCTTGACTTCGACTTTCTCAAATGACACGATCGATAAGCAAGGAGCTTTGAGACGTAAAGTCGCCGACTTGACTGGTCCAAAGATATCATCAGTTGTATAGACGATATCGGTTCCCATGACTTCTGCAACTGGGTCAAGTCTGATGTCGATTTTGTCAAAAATGTGTACGAATCTGTTGGGTCCGAGGCCCGCTGCTTTCGCCGAGCCATACTTTGCCCTGCGTGATACCCAACTCCAAGATGGCCCAACATAAACCTTAGGACACCTCGTAAAGCTGTCGATCGACCATAAAAGTCCATTGAAGAAGTCTTGTGACCATAATCCAACAAGATAATCATAGCCCGTATGTCGCCTCACTTCTCTCGCCAATCCCGAAATTGCGGGCAAAGAATCAATCTCGTATGTGATGTTGCGCCGCAAGAACTGTTGAACTATGAGGTACCAGATCTGCAGGGGATCGTTTATATCACGAAGGCCTGGGGTTGTGAACATCGTCTGTGGCGTTGCAAGTTCGAGTTGTTTCTGAGACAGACAGATCATCTTGGTCGAGTGGTACTGATTTGGCGGGGATTCTGGGTAGTTCAATCCTCGAGCTTCATCAAGACAACGTACATCCGAGGGGCGTTCTTCCGACAACGTGGTGTGGCGACAGCTCCATACTAACTGTAGTGGAGCCCACTGTAGAGTTCTAGGGGAAAGAATCTGTTCTTGCAGAGCCCAAGCTCTTGACGACAACATGCCTTTTGATATGTCTGCGTGGCCCTCCGCTTGGAGGGAATTCCCAAATTCTTGACCATGATAAGTATACATCTTGCTTTGGAATCCATATTTACTGCTGTTGCATCCCTGCTCTGTATAGTTTCGTACCCGAGCTGTTGAAACCGGCCCAAGTATGCTGTCGTTACTATCTCTGCAATTATCCGCAGCAATCGTCAGAACGGAGTTCTTGTATATTTCCCCCATCTGCGTGATCTCTTGTGCTCTATCTTCTTCGCTATCCTGTATGATACAAAGAGAATCGATCCAGAGGTAGCGATATCCAAGTTGCCGGGTGATCGTGACAGCGTCACGGAAGAGGTTGGGAAGATTACTGAGTGGCAGAGCCTTCTGATGAGCAAGAAATGTCTGTTTGGTAGTCTGGAGAGGTGACTTCTGGCCCCAGCAGTGACTCACAGTCACCCATTCCTGTACTTCATCGCCTGAGATATGAAGAAATGGGTCCTGACGACTATTTGGCAGCCCGATATCTATCACTCAGGTTGGAGGTCTGAGACTTAAAAATGATTTGGGTGAACAGGCTTCATGGTTTTTCAAACAGTCAGAAATCCAACGAGTGGCAAAAGAATACCATACATCGTTCTTATCATCACCTTCTACAAATGGCCTCCTGGACAGGTACTCGGCACTGCGGTCTCCTAGATACACCGATTAAACTGGTCTTGAAAGACATGCGCTATCAATATCCACAAAAAAACTAGTCTGTACGAACCAGGTTGCGCGACAACGGACAAAAAACTCCATAAGTAGGGGATATCCGGAAACCTCTCTCCGGTCACATTCTGGAACCTTGCTTCCTGTCCGTACCGAAGTCGAGCATAGTCCCCTGCATTCTGGTGGACTGATCGCACTATGATTTGTGTATCTTGAGGGCCTGAGTCAAGTTTTATTTCAGACAGTTGTCCACCAACAGCCTCCCATTGCGAATCCCATATCAGCGTGCATGAGGCACATCCATTTTGAGATGATTGATACAAATCAGAGCAACTCGCGTGGTGTTTGTAGCCTTCTGGTGAGGAAAGTGCGTCGAGATCAAAGTTCAAGCAGAACCGGCAGAGCATGATGTTTTATTTTTCCTATGTCCTTCTTCGACGGTGAAAACTAACGAAAAACCAGTCTCTGATGAGTAACGTCGATTGTGAATGTCTCGATGGCTGCCTGAAATGATGAGATGAGGGGAAAGCTGCGGTGTAACATTACCAACCAACAAGCTTATCAGATCGAGATATTCGGAGCAAGGCTCTAAATCATTACTTGGAGAATAAGAGATCAAGAAACAAATAAGCTTTACAATGTGCTATTAGATTAATATCGAAGGAGCATCTCGTAATACCAAATGGAGATTATTTAGGAATAATACAACTTTCTTATGGATCGCCTATAGGCCTTGGCATATGCACTAGATCCAATTTTTTTTTTTGACTTACCACACGATACCGGGGGCGGATGCAAAGACGGATCGCTTCATCATCGTCAGCGGGGATCTTACGTCAAAAATAGTGCTACTCCAGCGACCAGGAAATACATAAATAATTGAATCCATCAGTCTAGAATAACTCCCTCAGCATTGCATTCTAAAGAAAACCTTTGTGAAACTACTTCTCCACAACCTCACCTCTAGAAAAACAAATTTATCATCGCATCCTTGAGGTTACGATGTCCCAACCTATCAAGATCTACGTCTCTTGTAAGGGTTTCTATTCCATGTTCAATCAAATTGTCATGAAAGAAAGCTGATATCAATATAGCAACGGGTCCAAATCCATGGAAGGTATGTTGCGAGCCTTCCATAAAGCCTTCCTGACGCCATGCACGCGCCAAGGACAGCGACCAACTTGAAGAGAAAAGTACTGACAGACTCACAACAGCCTGTGATAATACTAGAAGAACTCCAAATTCCCTACGAGTTGAAGCTCCTCTCATTTCTAGAGCTTACCGGTGAAGAATTCAAGAAGATCAATCCTTGCGGCAAAGTTCCGGGTAATTTCCGGCTATTTCCATCCCCTCTCTCGAAAAGCACTCAGTTTCTGATCTTTCCACCCAGTTATGCACGATCCCAACGAAGATGTCCTACAATGGGAGTCAGGAGCCATTGTTCTGTATCTTATTGAGCAGTACGATAAGGAGAAGAAACTCACTTTTGACTCGGTGAAGGAGAAAGCTTTGCTGTATCACTGGCTCATGTTCCAGATGAGTGGACAGGGTCCATTCTTTGGACAGCTTTCCTGGTATATTTTTTGAAATTGATTCCTCGCACTTGTATTGCTTTGGATACTAATACGACATAGGTTCAACTATCTCCACAGCGAGGTCCTCCCCTCCGCCATCTCGCGCTACACTGAGCAAGCTCATCGTGTACTTCGCATTCTAAACGGGGCTCTAGAAGGCAAATCTTGGCTCTTAGGCGACAAATGCACGTATGCAGATTTATCGTTCTTCATGTGGAATGTCATCTTACCGATATCTTTGAAGTGTGAAGAGGGGGAAAGTCCGTTTGATGCGTATCCTAATGTGAAGGCCTGGCATGAGAGGATGGCGGAAAGGGAGGCCGTCAAGAAGGTTCTTGGCATTAGACAAGGCATGATTGATAGCGAAAATTTGGGCGATGATCATTTGCCAAAAGATCTGAATATGGATGAGATTAGGGAGAGGATTTGAGAGGATAATCGGCGCAGTTAATGGGGATTTTGACGACTGAGCTGCGTGAAAAGATTATAATAGAGTTGTCAATTGTGGCTGTGTGATCTCATCTGTGCTACGATTCCTTAGGAAAAGACGTACTGGATATATCAAAAGACGTGCACCACAATGTTTAAAAGCCATTTAGTAGTTGGTGGGGTCCTTCGGAAGTGCAGGATAAGCGAGAGGCGACGTGTAAACATTCAGCAGCAGAAGCCTTGATATTAAAAAGCAGGTTGTTTCAGCCCTAAGCCAATAGCTATATAAAGGTACGAATATGATCTCTGTCTATGCTTGGAGAACAGAGTTAAGGACGGTAAAATCTGGAAACATTTTTTGCCTTTCACCTCAAAAGGGAACCACCACAGCAGCATGAAAGGGAGTGCTTGTCCCAAAGCGAAAGAAACAGGATCCCACTGTGAGTTCAGATATTGTCGTTGCTATTTGTCATGACTCATGGATTCTGAGTTCCTTGGGTGGTAGCAATCTTGAAGTTCTGACAATCGAAAGAATGATGACAGCTACGACTAAGGCAGCGAAACCGCAATGACAGTCGAAACACTATTGACAGTCATGAACGAGACTGTGAGATTGTGATGAACACTGCACGGAGTGTACTTACACCAGCGGTACAACGACGATTTTGTCCCTGGAGAGTTTGCATAACGTATTGTTCGCTGGAACTGCTCTGACCAGCGAGAGCTGCCAAGACGCCCAAGTATTGGCACTAGGATGCTTCTTCTAGACCCAGTGAAGCTGAAATCAGAGAAGCCGGCGTTTATATAAGAAGAATCAGAGAAAATCAAAGTGATTGATGAGAATGAAAGGGGTGAATTAGAGACGAGAACGACTGAAAGCGAAACAGGGATGGGAAACTCGTACAAGTACGCATGGGCACACCATTCACTACCAAATTAACTAGACGGAAGTCAATCTATTTAAGGATGAAACCAAGAATGTTAGATATAAGAGATGCATGTCAGCCCACTCTGATGACATGATGCCAGAAAATAAATTCCAAGCCAGTAATGCCACCCAAGAGTGAGATGGATACGTACCATTTGAAGTAAAAATGCTTTAATTCTTATTCATATCTAGGAATGCGAATATAGCTTAACTTGTCTCTCGAGCCTCTAAATCTATCAAAACATGAGAAACGAGAAGGAGACGTTGACAACAATCAGCCAAGCGACAGCAGACGCGTTGAATCAGGTGACCCGAACATGCTATTAAACTAAACAAATAAAGTTTATAAAAGTCTGGAAACAGAACTTTTTTGTGTTGAGGATTTCTATCGCACTTGCAGGCAAGATTAGCAAAAACAATCCTTCGCTGCTGTCTCGTACTCAAAACTTGACCTTGGTAGCCCGAAAAGAGGAGCATGATGAAGGTCAACTTGTTCGGAACACTGACATGAATACAAGCTCGAGTAATCAGCAAGGCTCTTGGAGCTTCGAGGACATGACGTTCGTTCTGAAGCATTCGTGTATAGCAAGACTTGATGAAGGAGATACGAGAAAGGCGGACAGCTATCTAAAAACGTACCTTCGTAAGAAGAACAACTAGGCCAAGCTACTTGTCAAATCTGAGGACGACCCATGCTGGTTTCTGGTACTGAAATGTGGTGATAGGCATGAGATACACTAATAATTCTTTAAATGAAAGTAAAGAGTTCGAAAGAAGTAAGTAAAGTTGACAATGATCAAAACTCAACTACAGATAGTAACACAGGACGAAACTCTCAAAAGAGGAACACACCCCAACTACACCCGCGGAAAAGACCCTTAGGCTAGCCAGATCACGCCCCGGAAAAGCACAAAGCATAAGCTATTGAACGGAAAACTCTCCTCATGATACACCTCGGCCCGTCCCTTGTAAGCTCGCAACACGGATCCTTACATACGATTCTGTCATGTCTGTCATGTCCTGGCCGGGACTTTTTCGCGTCAATGCCGACGGCAAAAGGTGATGGGAACGAGGAGTCTATACTCCGAACAACCAACCCAACCCACATTATTGTACGGTGTCCGTAAGTGTGTATGGTCCGTGGAGTGTGGAGGTGTGGGGTGTAGGTGAGGCAAGGCATGTTGGCTTACTAGCTTACTGGCACACACGTCTGAAGTGTGTGAGAGGGCAAGGTAGCCTGGAAATGCCATGTGCCATGTGCCATGTGTCGTCGCGTTGCGGTGTAAGAGACCAGTCTCGAACCAGGATCGATCCGTAAGGCCATCCATCCTAAGAACGGATACGACGAAAGGAATAGATAGCAAGGGAGAAGTGATCATGCGGTCCTGTCCGTCGTATCCCAGCACTGTCGTATTCTTATCTGACCTTGATATCGGAACTCAATCGGAAGGGAGAGAAAAGAGATGTCCCGATCGTCGGGTCAAGGGAAGAGAAAGAAGGTTCAACGACGGATTTAAGCTTGATTTTTCAAGGAAAATGGATATCAAGAAGCAGAAAAAGAAAAAAAGAGAGGGAGGACAGGAGATCTGGTATGGCCAATCGGTGAGGATCTGCAGGGTGGAATGATGTGCGTGATGGGGCTTCACTTGGCCACGCGAGGAAAGCATGGCATCGGACCCTGAGGTATGTTTTGGGAAGGTACATAGGTACATATCGGTATTTTCAGTGGGCGATGAGTGGAGTGCCGATACGGCAGTGCATTGATAACAGAGTGGGTGAAGATTCTGAGAAAGCTACAGTGCCATTCTTTGTGATGGGACTCACCATAGATTTCCACGATTGGAAGGAGGTATTTTGATATGGAGTTCGAGGTCACGAGTAAAGTCAGTTACCTAGAAGTGAAGCGAGGATCCATTGATCTCGGCCCTTCTTTCTTGCACTCCTACACTTCTAGCTTCGAGAGGACTGACTGATTTACCTTGCTGCCCAACCTAGTTTCCCTACCTGTCTCCTGTCCCTTGTTACCCCATATTTCTGCACATGCCAAACCTAAGCACTGCGACGCTGTCACCTTCTAAAGTGTGGAGAGCATAAACCTTCTCTCTCTCCATGCCTGCATAGCGCGCCAGTCGATCCCCCCAAGAGAATTGGCATTCTTCCACCAGCCTCGGAATCCGGGGAAAAAAGGGCCGTGAGATATACCCAGCCCCTCCCCAAATTTCTCCATACCCCGATTCCCCCATCTTCTGTTTTCCTCTGTCTCCAAAGTTGGGAGGAAAAGAAAGTTCTCTAGTATCAGTTTCTCGAGTCAGGCAAATTAGGTTCGGGCTATCTCCCTATTCAGCACACCCCATCTTCCCCTCATTCGCTTCGGACATTCTACCGCTTCGAGCCTCCGGAACGTGGGTGGTCTCCTCAATTTGTTCCAGAACCCATACCTGAAATGTGACATTTTTCGGATTATCGATACGCCGAAAACGAACTGCGCTCCTCCGATGAAAACTTCCGTGCATCTCACCTCTCGTCTGTTCTCGATGGCCCCTGCCCGCCTTGGAACCGTTCCTTCTGCAGATCTTCTGGTGGCAGTCTGTCTCTCTTCACTCTTGAGAGCGAGGCGGAGGACGGGTCCTGAATGAATGACTCTGAAGCTTCGGCGCTGGTGAGTTCAGCAACCTACAGCTACCTAACCTGAGCCTAGATCCGTCTATTCCGTATTTGACAGACGAGGAGGAGCAGAAGTTGTTGAGCTGCTGGCACGGACGGACATCCAGCCTCCGAAAATACCTACTGCTGTACATCCCGTGGTGAACCCATCACATCTCACAAGTACCGGCGGTCTCCAGACCAAGTCAGCCACAGATCAATCGTGTATAAATATGTTGAGCCATCATGGCCCATAGGTCGGCAGGTAGCGAGGGAGCTTGTTCCACCACATCTGCAAGATTCCAAAAGCGGAAGTGCTTGCGGACTCTTTTTTTTTGGGCCGTCCATGTCAGTTTCTCGCTGGGACATGAGAGAAAAGGATAATAATAAGATGGATTGATGTGATATTGCGGGGTGAATTGTGGCGGGGGTTGTGTTGGGGGAGGCGGTTTCATCGACCAGCTCGCCAGGTAAACTGCATGGTGGTAATTTCTTGAGAGAGGTGGGGCAGGCAGCATTTAAACTCCCATGTCAAGCGTAGCCGCTTCAAGCTGGGGAAGCGATGCGATGATGGATAGGATGGGATGGTGAGAGGGGAGCGAATTGATTCGAGAGGTTGTCGAGTCAGAGGGCTCGCTTTCCGAGATCCGAATGTGGTGTCCGATGAAGGCGAGCGACAGGAGGGAGTTGTTCTCCGGCTCTGGGTTCGGGATTGAAAGAATGGCGATGATTGGCTTTGTGGAACATTTTGATTGAAATAAGGATTCGGGAAAGTGTTTGTGCAATGCGTTGTACGACCGTTTTGACACATTTGTTGTCTCTGAAAGATAGAATGGGGCGATGAGAAAAGGCGGAATGACGAGGAGGCGTTCTTTGGAAGTAGATGAGGCTCTTCCAACCTTTGATCTTCAAACACAACTGTGAACACAACATAAAGGTCCCGAACCCGACAAGCTCTCCTCTCCTCGCTTAGATCTGCACTACCAGCGGCGGAAAACTTGGTTTGGAAAAACACATGGCGTTTTGATTGAAATTTCAGGGTCTTTTCATCGTACAACGCACCTAACCAGGTATCCGGAGCATAATCCCATTGAGTGATAGCTGCAGTGGGTTTGAAGCACGACTTTAGCCGCGGACAACACGTAACTTTGCCGGTACGATGATCTTCAACCTTGATTATTATCTTGAATTCTGATCTCGAGATCAAAAGTTTGAGAAGAGTGACAAAACGGTGATCTTCAACTCCGCGCGATGGGACCTTCCGCAATCGCGAGATCCGGAGTGATACCGAGCCAGACTGACTGGACATTGCAGGGCTGAAATGTGAGATGCATGCGCCCCAATCATAAATCTTACTTTTTCTACACAGTTGGACGCCTCCCATGAAGGCTTGATGCTCGAATTCAGGCACATCGCAACCCTCAACACCAGACGGCAACGTGGACCTGCTAGGCCGAGAGATGTCTACTTTTCAACAAAAATAGTATGTATGTGTATGCCTTGAAGAAGAACCTAATTGCTGCTGACGAGTAAGTAAGGCAGTGAAGAAATAGCTGAGGGCAGTATGCATAGAGCGAGCAGACATGATGCTGCAGCCACAGCGGCTCCTCTTGTGACTTGCAAAGAAATAGATTAAATTTTGTACACCTGTGCCTGGTTCTCGAAAGGTACGTACAGGGGAGAAAGCCAAAATTGTATGGATGTCTCTCCGTGGCTGGCCTGTCACAGAAGGTTGTTCTTCGGTGTCGGATCGTAGGGACGAGAAGGCTTCTAGAGCTTGCTGGTAATCCCTGTATTTTCTAGGGAGCTGCAGAGAGCTGCAGCTTCTTTTCAGTGTCTACCACTCCAAGATCCCTACAACCACGCCCTTACCGCTGGCATGCACCCAGTGGTTTAGTGATTCGAACCAGCGCTTCTGTTCCTTCGTCTCCATAAACGAAAACCCAATGACCCCTACCGTACTGCACCGCATTGGGAGCACGAAAATCGAAATGCTGACCCTAGACCAGACTTGCTGCAACCATGGAGCGGGGACGGGGACTCGCAGCTGAAATTGGCATCTCGTCCGCAAGGTACAGATTGCAGGGTTTGGGCGTTTTACAGGAAGAAGGAAAGGATGACGGGAGCATCACTGTCAAGAAAGTGTAAGCATGACTTGGGTAGAGCGATTAACTCGGGAGTAGAGCAGGAAGCTTACAGAGGATATATTGACAATGATTCGAGGTCTGGTGCGTCCATCCAAGGAAGACTCATCTGATCAGACTTTGATCTGCCGGTTGTCCCCTTTATTTAGTTTTCATTGCTTTCATTTCTTTTCAACTCATTTGCCTCCTCATTATTCCCCTTTCTCTCCTCTCATCAAACATCCCGCCTCGGTACCAAAGAAAACATCGAATGCCAAACCGACAAGGCAGATCATCTCATTGACAGCCGGCGCTTTGATCTGCGTTCCCTGCTTCTTCGTACCGTACCGTGTTGCTCTCGGCCCCATATCATCCATTGTCATCTTATCTGTCACCGCCATCTGGATACCCAAGGATGGAGCTTTAGCAAAACAAGACCAGACGGCCCCCAAAAAAGCTCCAAAGTCAAACTTCCCCAAGCGAGCCAAACCTTCATCCAAGGCTAGCATCCACTGTACCGTGTCATAAGCTGCAAATCCCTCCCCTGGCACTTCCACCCCGCAATCTCATCTGGAATCAGCGTAAAACGGAGCGGAGCATGGCATGAGCCAGGGAGGTGTACGACTACTGTCCTGTCCTGTACTAAACCTAGACCTTGTAGACCACTACTACTACCACGGGTACTACTCCAGGTCTCCTTTCCTGGGAAGATACAAGATCAAGCTGTTCTGCCTTTCGGGAACGAATCTTATTTTGCCTTTCCAGCGACTTGTTCACTCAGGTCTTGCTTGCTTGCATTGCATCTGTCGTCTCGTCTCATCCCCTCGTCCAGAAGTCCAGGTCTCTCCCCAGCCGCAATATCAACATCGACAGCGGACCCCAAACATCCCAAGGTACTTCGGTACTTACTTAGGTACATCTCGACGCCTCATTCATCGCTTCAAGCTTTACAATTCCCTCACCTACCTGACACTTGACGGACTCATACGAACGCCACAGGCAACCTCGGCATTTTTGAACCTCCTCTCAATCTATCTCCCCTTCTTTTTTTTTTCTCTCCCCAGGCCAGGCCGGTCCCTGGATCCCAGCTCCCACACACAGCTGTCAGTTGATCAGGAGTGGATCAATTGCCCCTTCACAAAGTCACAACAAGGCCTGCAAAAGCTGGGGCAGACCAATCCAGCCCGAGCATAGCCGTTCTCCCAGTGCGGGCAAAGCGTACGATTGGCGCCCTCATCGCCCATCTCCAGCATTCCAAGTCTACCAAACCCACCGAAACCCACCAAAAGAGTCCACCCTGCCCCGAGTCAACTGCAGCTCCCATTTGGCACTGCACTGGACCGCACAGCTCCAACGGCAAACCTTTCTCCCCCATAAGCTGTGCCACTGCGACTACTGCCACTGCTTCCATTTCCATCAGACTTCCATCCCGCCTTTTCTACGCAGGCCCCCCAGACTTTATTACACTTTCCACAATTCCTCGCCTTTGCCTGGACGAGACCACTCACGGCGTGCTGAGAGCGCCATGCGCCTTGGTCAGCCTTTATGATGTAACGGAACAGCTTACTCCTCACACACCCTCTTCCTCGGTTTAGCTTGCTCGCGAGCCCATTGGATTTCAGTTCGATCGCTTCGTCTCGTTCGCGCCGCTGCGCTTGCTTCTTCATCATGTCAGTCCGGCCGCAGGTGGGCATTGAACGACTCCCAGCACGTCGCATGAGCAACGAGCCACGAGAATCAATGAATTGCAAGAGCTGTCGGAAGCGCAAGGTCGGAACCCTTCTCAAGCTGATCTTCCGCAGTGCTGATAATTTTTCCAGATCAAGTGCAATCGGCTGCGGCCGACTTGCGAGGCTTGCCAGGTCTTCCAGTGCCCGTGTGTTTATGGTGGGGTGGCCCGCAATCCCCCCAAATTCTGGGGATACACTTTTTTGCTTCTTTGTACTGACGAGTCTGGCGTGTCTTAGATGCCGTGCCGAAGAAACGAGGACCGAAGACTGATGTACTGGAGGCGTTGTTGAAGCGCGTGGATGGATTGGAGAGGCGGTTGAAGGATGAGAAGAAGTCGAGCTCGGAGAGCAATGAGGGTTCGGCCGGCGACAAGGAGAGTCCCAATAGCGATACCAAACCCAAACGGCCACAACTCGAGACGGCAAACATACCCAACGAATCGGCTGTATACTCTCCTACTCCCATAAGGTATGCTTTTCAATCCTGGATACCAAAAATACGTATTTACAGTTGTTAGTGAACCTTCGCCTCCAGCGGTCCAACCGGATGTTCTCCTCGACACATACTTCTCGCGATGCCATGGCAAGGCTTATTATATACTCGACGAAACAACAGCGCGGCAGCGCATGCAATTGAATCAGATCCCATCATATCTCGTCTTTGCAATATATGCTGTTAGTGCAAGGTAGGACAGCCAACCGAACATGCGTGTTATATTGGAAGCTTATTGTCATGCAGATATACGGCGCATCCGAACGGGTACCATGCTGCGGTACGACTCAGTGAGGATTACGCGATACGCGCGAGGACGGAGCTGGATATCGATGCTCCGTCGGTAGACTGCTTACAGGCTTTGTTATTGCTAGCGGTTGCATTTACGGCTGCTGGGAAGGGCAAGAAGGCACATATGATGCTATGTATGTCTGCTGCTAACATGTGTGGGAAACTACTGACAAGATACAGCGAGTGGAATCGGAATGGCTATGGCACTCGAATTACATCGAGAATTTGACCTCAAGACTAGGGTGACACCAGTTGAGAAGGAAATGCGCCGAAGGTTGTTCTGGACTTGCTACCTGATGGACCGATTCATGGCCTGCGGATCCAAACGCCCTTCATTAATCGCAGACAAATGTATTCTACTTCGTCTCCCATCTTGGACGCCAGGACCTACATCTCTCCCTGTAGAAGGAGAGTTCTTCCAGAACGGGTCCAATCTACAATACCACTCCGGATCAGGGAAGAAGAGCCAAGGAAGCAGTGGGATGCTTATTGACATCGTCCGCATCCTCGGCATCACAAATAGATATCTCGCAGCTGGGGGAGTGAAAGGTGATAGCCACTTTCCTTGGCACTCATTATCGAATCTTTCCAAGATCCGTCAGGATCTGGATATCTGGGCGTCTGGGACACAAGACGTCTTTACCTCTATCGACACTCTATTCGGTCAGCCGGATAGCACGACTCTAGTGCTGAGCAAACTCATCTATCATCTCATCCACTGCCTAATATACAGACCTTTCCTACCGATTGATCTAGCTGAGTTGGCAGGAACGGGACAACATCAGTCGTGGCAGATAGAAGCTACGAATCTGTGTTTCCTCCACGCCAATGCCATTGCTGAGTTAGTGGAACTCGGTACGCATCCTTTCTTTTTTTCCCGTCGAGAATCTAGCTAATTCTGTTTCAGGCAAACAATCAGCTACAATTGAGTGGCCCGCATTTGTAGGCTACTGCATTTGTACCGCAGGCACTGTTCATGTCCACGGAACGCACTACAACGGGTCGCGAGAAGGCGAAGTATTCTCTGCCTCGGCGGAGTTCCTCTCCCGAGAAATGCAACAACTCTCAGAACTCCGCTACGCCTGGTCTTCCGTCCAGCACCAGCGAGACACTCTCCAAACCATTTACGGATGTCACTCAGAACTTGTCAAATCCCTAGCCAGCAACCCGATGCGCTACAGTCCAGTCTTCCACCTTGAGGATTTCTTCGATCGGTATTCAGACCTCGGCCAATTCTTTGACGGTGCACATATCTCCTTCTCCGACATCCTACCTGAATCACTGTCCCAGGAAACGTATACAGGCCACGATCTGTACGCACCCCGAGGCAGCAACGCCTCTCTCGACTTCAAAAACTCCACCATGAACCACAACGGCAATGGAGCCATCGACCCAAGCCACATCGCCAGCAAACGCAAACAATCATCCGCCTCCCGCAAGAAGCACATCGATCTAAAACTCGCCCACCGAAACTCCACATCCCATCCCAACACCGCATCTTCCGCCGGAGGACACCCAGAAAACACCCTCATGTCACCGAACGGCGCATTGAGCGACCAGAATCTCGGGATGTTGCAGCAGCAGCAGCAGCAGCAACATCATATGATGGACCAACAACCCCAACCACCCATGACCCCGTTTCAAAATCCAAACACCAACGGCACATCCAGCAATAGCAACGGCAACAACAACGGCATCCCCACCCTCTCCCAAACGCCCTTCTCCCCACCCTACTCATTCGCCACCCTCGGCTCCTCACAACACCAAAACCAACACCAACACCAACACCAACACCAAGTCCAACACCAGCACCAACAAGCCCTCCCGCACCAACAACACACCAACCAAAGCGACTACGACCCCATGTTCGGCATGCCCAACATGGGATTCAACTACAACACCAACTCTGCCCTCACCGGCGGCGGCGGCGGCGGCGGCGGGATGAACAACCCTGCTGCTGTGGGAGTAGGAGGAGCCATGCAGCAGGAGGGAATGACGCCCGGGGCGAGGAGTGTAGGCGAGCATAGTAATGGGACTGCGGGGACGGATGAGAAGGATCCGTTCTTGAGCCTGCTGGAGCAGTTGGCGGAGAATGAGAATAGTATGCGGGGGCCGAGTGAGTTGGATTTCTTTTTGAGTGGGGGGACGGTTTAGCTTTTTTGTGGGGAGACTGAGGGGGGAGGAGGGGGGGGAGAAAATTGGTGGTTGGGATGGTAGTGGTATTGGAATTTGGGACGGGAAGGGATTATATTTGCGTATATGGTTCGAATTGGTTCGAATTGGATTGGAATTGGATTGGGTTGGAATTGGATTGGAACTGGTTTTCTCGCGGTATGGTAAGATATGATATGATAGGGAGCGCACGGCGTTCTGGTCTGGTCTGGTCCTGAAATGGTTTTATCTCGGCTGGGATGATGGATGGATGGAAATGAACTTTGGTAGGATTGGATCTGGCTTGGAATCAACGCGGTGGAGCTATCAAAGCTACTTTTAGCTAAGCCCAGGGACGCAAGAGTCCCGAACGTAGTCTTCTGTTCTGTTCTATTGTATAAAGTTTATTTGGAGAGGAGGGTCAATGAATTGAGTTATATGTATTTGTTCATATCCCTGTTTGTATTTGTGTGTGTGTGTTTGTTGTGAGATCTGGATTACGGTTTCTTGTTGAGTTTTGTTTGAAGTGCAAGGGAAGTATCAACAGTCAGGACGAATATCTTAGTCGAGAGAGTGGCATGTAAGAAGGAACTGTGGGATATCTGTCTACCCGATCTCAGCACCTTAATGCGTCTGAGTTCCCATCATCACCATCGTCTTGTTGGTAGTTGGACTTGTCGCTCCCATCTTTTTTTCATGCCACTCGTTTACAAAGCGTTCCTGTTTCTGTGTCCTCTCATCCGATCTCTTTCTATCCTATCTCATCCCATTTCATCCCATCCGATCTCATTCCAATCTCATCTCCTCTCAATTCACCACACTGACTAATCCACACCTCCCTTCAAAATGCCTTGTCTACTTATCAGTAGTCATGAGTAGTAATGTGAATAAGCAAAGACCAACCCCCCTCTTTCAAGCACCAGCACCTTCTCTTTACCTCTTCGCCCCCACACTCCGTTTTTGCTCTCACATTGCTCCTCCTCGGCTTCACTCTCTCACTCCTGATCTGCTCATCTGCTCATCTTACGCCTGACGCCCTCACTATCTTCATCACCCTGTTATTCTCCTCTCTCTCCCACCCTCTCTCGCCATCCCAATCCTGGCCACAATTGCTGAAAGGCAAGACTTAAGCTCTAAGTCCATCTTGCGGAGAACTTCTCTGGCAGATCTGCGGGCTTGGATTTGGACATGGACAGAACTAACAAGTTCACTCCTTGCACGGCATCTTCGTCCTGGTCGTATCGTATCAGGGAATATACGTATTGGGATACTGGGGATGGGAGGAATGGAAAAGATGGAAAGGAAGTAGGAGATTCTGAGAAACCTTTAAGCAACTTTTGCGTGGGAGGGAGAGAAGAGAGTGTTGACTGTGCTGCGAGATAAGGTTGAGTTTTCAGTGGATGTGCTTCTTCTATGCTTTGCTCGTAGAGGGAGCGGAAGGGGTGGGGAGCTGGAGATTGGATGGGATGGATGGAGGTGCAGGTGGGTGCAGGGAGGTGGAGGGAGAAGAAGTGGGAGATGGAGGAGATGAATAGGTACTAGAAGCGGATGTGGAAAAGTTGCTAGATAGCGCGTGTAGGAGGTGATTGAAATTATTGTGGATGTGGCAGTAGAGAAGGAGATGACTTGGCTGGAGGAGGAGGTGACTGAGATAGCAAAATGAATTGTGTAGCGCCGAGAAGGGAATTAGTGAGCGTCACACGGGGAGTGTATTTTGGGATATGGATATGTAGATGACTATAAGCGGGAGAGTGGATGAGGATAATGAGAACAGGAAGAGCAAGAGGAGTGGCGAAGGGAATAGAGGCGAAAATCACGGAAACGAAGTGAGATGGTATCGTGGAAAATGTCGAGCTCGACAGGGGTGTGGTAGAGATGATGGGACCTCGTCATCTGGACCTCGACACTGTGCAGACTCTGACGAGCGCTTGGGCTTGGTAGGCTGACAGAGCCAGGCAGGTCTCAAAATTGAGGAAGGGGAGGAGGGTATACATTCGAGTATTCTTCATTACTGACACCTTGCGAACGTTTTTGAGCCTGATGATCGAACTGGGATCACAGAATGCATTGATGAAGACCAAGTATGAGGCTTGAGTACGAGAGTCGCATTTGAGAAATGAGATTCGGAAAAGGTGCAAAATACGAAACGAAGAGGTTGCTGTGTAAGGATAAACTGAGGGGGCTCCGTAGAGCTCTCGAATGTAGCGGCAATGTTGGTCAGGTATGGATGGAGTAAAAAGGGAGTTTGGGGCCTGGTGGATGATTGATTAAGTGATTGAGTGATTTGTAGTACCAGCACTATCATAAAAGGAAGGAGGTTGACAGGAGAAGATTCTTAGTGAGAAGGGTGGAATCCAAGTTACAAATGCAGCATGACCCTTTGCTAAGGTAGGTACACTCTGCTCTAACCGAAGAGCAAGATCCCAAAGAAATCAAAATCAACAAAAACAACCAAAAAAGGCAGAACATCCAAATGAAAAGAAGCAAAACGAAGCAAGATAACCAAAGTAATCAACAACTAACAAGCGAGAAAGAAATCATCTACCCAACACGTGACATTTCATTTCCCTCCCCGAATCATCTCCCTCCAAAAAATCGGTCCGACACAAAAACGCCTCTTCAAGCCTCATCCTCAACCCCAACCATCCGTGCCCGCAAAACCCCTCACTCAAGCGGCGGCATGGAATTGCTTCTTTCTTTTTTTCGTGACTGCGGGGTAGAGTAGGCAGAGACACGGCACACGTACAGTACGCCATCGGGTCGTAGCTTTTCCCGCTTGTGTGGAGGATCTGGGGTTGAACGGTGAGGGAGATATGGGGAAATGTTCGCGGAATCTACCAAGGTAGGGACTTTGTTTTGTTACCCTGCCATTTTCACTCACCGCAATTAAAAGGAGAAGAAGAAAAGAGAAGAGAGCGGGATATTTGTCGCTGTGATTAGGAATCCAGAGGGAGGTCAACAAATGGGGTGTTTTTATGGGTTGAATCTCGGGGGATAATTATTGAGGTAGTGGAGTAAGAGAGTGAGGAAGAGAGGAAGAAGGATGCAGGAGGAAGGGCGTAAGAGAGTTCGTGGTTCGCGTGGCATGCAGTATCTGCTGCGTGAACTGTAATGTAAAGTGTAAATAACTGGAAGGGAAGACACGTGGGAAATACCTGGGCAGGAAAAGTCTAATCGGATGCGATTTTCTTGACTTTCCGAGTATTTTCGGAAGGTTCTTGGGATCGGTCGGGGTTATAAATTTACCTGTCCATCACACGGGGTCCATCAAAGATTCCAAACCCATCAAAACTTCCATGCTACAGTATTACTGTGGTGGATATCACCGACAATTAAAGCAGCTCCCATCTACAACCAAACCCGTAACTCAGCCGACCAACCATTGTACCAGCACAGTGGTTACTCAATGACCTCTGGCACTTCATCAAGCCTGCCTCTGCCTCTCCCTCCCGTTGAGCAATAGATTCAAAGGCCGACCCCAGAACAGGAATAGCAGGGGTGGGACTCGTGGCCTGCGCACTGAGGTCATTGGTCAGGGATGAGGGACGGCTCGGCTCCAGGGTAACAAAATAAAGTGGGGAGTGATGATGAGGGAGTACTAAGTGGAGCGGGGGAGGGAGGAGTAGGCGAATGAGGGGATAGGGATTGGAGAGACTTTTGGAGACTCTGAAGATTTGACTCGTTAGGTGAGACAGGGCAGTTGAGGGAGGGGTCTGGAAAGGTGGGGAAGAAGGAAAGCCCTTGGACCCGAGGATCTGGCATGGTTGTGCAGGGAGGAGGAGGAGGAGGAGGAGGAGAGGCAGCCAGACAGATTTGTTGGGGCCGTGGATTGATTTGGACGACTTGATTATGTATGGCATGAACGGGGAGAAACTATGGAAGTAAAGTGCCAAGGTGGAATGAATCAGAGATGTAATCGCTGTCAGGCAGTTCTGGGTTGACAATTATGGTTCCGGCTAACCCAGCCTACCATTCTTGTGGGGAAGACAAATCTAGTAAATTCTCTGTTGAAGATCCATCCATCCATCTGGGCTGGGCCGAGCGGGCGTAATTGGACAACCACACCAAAAAAAGGTTGGCTTGAGTCCTCGGGCATGATGAGCTAATGGAACACCACACATCACTCGTGTTCAACAACCCGAACCTCTTCCTTCTGCTGCTGCTGCTGCTGCTGCTGCTGCTGCTGCTGCTGTCAACCTTTCAACATAACAGCCAGACGACAAACTCGACTCGACACCTCCGTCCCAGATCCACAACTCGCCTGGAGTCGCAGACGTTCTTGAGACGACAAAGGAGCGAGCGGTCTGTAAGAGTCAGATGAGAGGCAGCCATTGTTCGTCCGAACTGCGAAACGCCGCGTGACTTGCGGTCCATACATCTTCGCCTACACTACGGGACTTGAACTCTGCTCTCGGGCTGGAATTGGGTACCTCGAGTTACAGCCGCCGGAATTGCTGTACCCGCTAGCAGCGCATCGCAGCCCTGGGTGACAAAGAGAGAAAAGCGGAAGGGAGAAGAGGGTGCGAGAGAACGACATCGGAGCAGAGAGGAAGGAATTCAAAATCAATGGCTTGGACTTGGACTTGGAATCGACGACAACCATGACCTAACTTTCCGACCCTGTAATTTGGAACGCTGCGATTGCGACTGCGACTGGGACTGCAACCGCTGCGATGGACCACGACCGTACGATGCCCTCGCGCGGGCGATCAGTATTCGTCGTTACGACCGTGACATTTGTGCTGGCTACTTTCTTTGTCGTTGCGCGAATCTTCAGTCGATTTGTTATACTGAGAAATAAGACATGGGATGATTGGATGATGCTACTGGCCTGGGTAAGTGGACCTGCAATGGACACAAAGAACCGGCTGAGCTGATGCGAAACAGTTCCTGGCTTTTGGACTATCATTTGCGATCGATTATGGCACTGCGAAGGGCTTAGGGAGACACGATGTCGACATCCCCAGCTCGTGGGTTGGATCACTTCGAGGTGCTGAATATGCATTTACGATTATCTACGTAAGTTCTAAGTTATCCAGATCTCGAGGCGGGGTAAGACTGACAGTCGCAGAACCCCGCATTGATGGCGACGAAGACATCCATCCTGATATTCTACCTCCGCATGTCACGCAACACACAGAAAATCCTCCGAATCGCATCCTACGTCACACTAGGTGTGGTGAACATTGCAGGCGTGGTTCTCACGTTCCTCAACGCCTTTCAGTGTAACCCCGTCAGCGCCGCGTACGACCCTACCAAGTCCAACCAGAAATGTATCTCCATCGTTACACTGTACTTGTGTTCGGCGCCTGTCAACATTATTACCGATTTGGCGATCTTGGTACTACCAATTCCAGTACTAACGGGCATGCGGCTACCGCAACGACAGAAGACTATTCTGATTTTGACTTTCGCTCTGGGTATTTTCGTTACCATTGTTGATGTGGTTAGGATTTACTATTTGCAGCAAGCGGTGGATACTCAAACCATCGCGCAATCGAGACTGGGAACTGGAGTTGATTTTGCTTGGACTGCCAGTACAGCTTTGATGTGGTCTGCAGTAGAAGTCAACGTGGGGATAATTTGCGCTTGTATTCCCACCTTGAAGCCACTGGTCAAGCGGATCTTACCATCCATGATCACAGATCGGTCAAGGAGTGGAAGTGGAAGCGGTATTGAAGAGAAGTCTGGCTCGTTTTCTTCACAACCTCAAAGAGACTCCAATGCTGAGCAGCAACCATCTGTTGCGGAGTCGCATACACAGCTACGGCCATTGCCTCAGGCACATACCGGTGCCACCCAAGAGGAAGAGATGGATATGATGGATTTCCTGACAACTCCAGGAGGAATGGGATCAGGGATTGGACCGACAAACACTATCAATCGAACACAAACAGCACGAACGACTCGAACGGCTATTACGGAAAACACCCTGTACTTCGGATTTGTGAACATGAAACGGCCGAAGAGTATGCTCAAAACCAAAGGAAAGGAGGCATTCAAGTATTGTATCACCGTTACGATCCTCTTCTTTCTCTGGGGATTTTCCTATGGTCTTCTCAACACACTCAACAACGAGATTTCACAGATCGCACATCAGACGGTAGGCCAAACACTTGGCTTGACATCAGCGTATTTCGGAGCCTATTTCTTTGGCGCCTTGACAGTCGGACAATGGGCACTCCGTGTGGGCGGTTTCAAGGCAACATTCATCACAGGCCTTTGCATCTACGGGACTGGAACATTGATGTTCTGGCCTTCTGCAGTACTGACATCGTTTCCTGGATTCATCATTTCAAATTTCGTCGTTGGCTTTGGACTATCCGTCACAGAAACTGCTGCCAATCCTTTCCTTGCACTTTGCGGTCCTAGCCAGTACGCCGAATTCCGTCTCCTGATGGCACAAGGCGTGCAAGCGACAGGCAGTGTCCTCAGTCAACTTCTAGCTGAGAAAGTCTTATTCCGTAGCGTGGCCAAGGACGCAAGTCTCATCGACGTTCAATGGACCTACCTCGCCATCGCACTCTTCACAGTAATACTGGCCCTCTTCTTCTACTACATGCCACTCCCCGAAGCCACAGACGAGGACCTCGCCTCCCAATCCGCCAACCTAGGCATCTCCCCCTCCCAAAAAGTCTTCAGCACCCCCAAGCTAGGACTCAACCCCACCCTCCTCTACACATCGATCATCCTCGCCGTCTCCGCCCAATTCCTCTACGTCGCCGCCCAAGAGAGCCTCTCCATCTACTTCGGCGCCCTGCTCGACTCCCTCTCCCGCCCAGACCAGTTCACCATCACGGCCACCAACTACGGCATCCTAGGCCACACCACCTTCGCCCTCGGCAGGTACATCTTCGCCGTGCTCTGCCTCTACATCCCGCCTCGCATCCTCCTGCTCGCCACCTTCCTCGGGGGCATCATCTTCTCCGCGCTCACAATGACGCTCTCCACCAGCGCGAACGGCATCGCCGGCCCGGCTTTGATCTTCTTCTTCTTCGAAGGTCCCGTCTTCCCACTTGTTTTCGCGATCGGTCTGCGTGGTCTAGGCCGTAAGACGAAACAGGGTGCTAGCTACCTCACTGCTGCGGCGAGTGGTGGTGCGGTCTTCCCGTTCGTGATGCTCGCTGTGCAGAAGGTGGATGGGAGGAGCGTGCAGTATAGCTATTGTGTTATTGTGGCGCTGTTTGCGGTCGGCACGCTGTACCCGATGTATTTGAATTCCGTGCCGAGGGTTAGACGTGTGGTTGATCCTGTAAGGGAGGGGAGTTTGTTGCCGAGGGATGAGGGGGGCTTGGGGTTTGAGGAGGGAGATGAAGCTGAGGGGAGAGAAAGTCCGGTTAGGAGGTTGAGTCGGAGGTTTAGTGTTATTTTCGAGAAGATCAGGAGTCCGCGGCCGGGGAGTGGGGGCGCGTGGGTGGAGCATAGGGAGAGTAGGAGTGCGGGGAGCGGGAGTGGGAGTGGGAGTGGGAGTGGTGGTCCTGCCGTAGGAGCAGCAGGTGGAAATGCAGTGGATAAGGGGTGAAGGACAAGGTGTGGAGAAATGACGATATAACACGATTTAATGCCTTTCCATGGGTGGGAAACTGCAAGAGCCGCAGAGCTGAATAAGAAGTGCGGAATGGAAACGAGGACAACGGGAAGGGAATCAGTACCCGCACTGCTCGATACAGTACGACTTCGCAAAACCCCACAACAGAAGGAAGAGAAGGACGACAGTACAGTACCGCAGTACAGCAGTACAGTACAGTACCACAGTGCCCTGACGGGGTTTGGACGAACCACAGGACGTCCATCAACAGCATCAGTGTGTTCGCGGACGGGGATCCCGTCGCCTCTATGCGATGTAATGTGGATGTGGGTATGTGATATGTGACCGCACTTAGCAGGCCCGAAAATGGTAATGTCGAATAGTGAATGGTTGAATATCGAATGGCTATCAGGCCTTTGTACGAGGAGAGAGAAAGAGAGAATCAGAAGAGATGAAGAGAGTGACGTGTGTTTTGTATATGTTTGCATGTATGCATGTGTCTTGTATGAATTGTATGCTTGTACGTTCTGTATGAAATGATCTTGTATGAGTTGATATCTGTATATACAAGACAAGATCCTCTACCTACCTTAGTTTGACAGAGCCAGGGAGGAGAAATGGCGGTATATAGCATCTGATCTGATCTGATCTTTCTGATCTGCATAGTATATACGTACCTGGCCTAGCAGTTTCCAAATCCTCTATCTATAGCACATAGCACAGGAGAATAGGAGAATACAATACGATACGATACGATACGATAATATAACCAACCCACTCAACAATCACTACCACTACCATCACCCACATGTTTATTATAGCTTAGCGTAGCGTATTGTCAAATACCTGAAAATCGATCGCTCGCTCACACTTACCTACCTACCTACCTACCTACCTATCACCTGGTAGATCCCTGTTGTTTATATTTATGTTTACTATATATATATATATATATATATATATATATATATATATATATGTCCATATACGTCATATGTAAACACAAACACAAACACAAACATGAACAGAACACAAACACAATCTCAATCCTGTAATAATCTTCCACACACACACACGCACGCGCGCGCGCCTGCTAGATAATATAGCTTACGGAGTATGTAGGTGAGGATCCACTTTCCCATCCATCCATCCACTCATCCATCCATCCATCCATCCATCCATTCCATTCCATTCTATTCATTCAATCCTTCCCCCCACCAGCCCCCACCTTCCTTCGATAGCCTCAATCACAAGAAGAAATGGGGAATCTACTTGCATTTCTTGCGTTGGATTTGTTGCTCCCTGTTTTTGGGGGTAATGCGAGGTAGGTGGGTAATGCTAGGTAGGTAGGTAGATGATTGTTACTCGAATTGCAGGCGAGTAAGTGAGGTTGTCACTTTTGCCTTTTGAACGGAGATTGATGATCGATTCATTCATTAGTGTGTTAGTTTACTTTATGAATATATTGGTGGTCTGGACGGTGAGGTCGGATGGGGACGGGGAAGGAGGGGGGAGGGGAAGGGGAAGGAGGGGAAGGGGAAGGGGGAGGGGAAGGGGAAGTTAAACGGGGAAGGGGAAGTTAAACGAAATGAGATGAACTGAAAGTGGAGCGGATCGGTCCGGCCGGGTGGCTTTGTGTTTGAAGGAGGAGGGGAGGGAGGAAGGATCTGAGGAGGCGACGGGAGTGGCAGGATCAAGCATACCGTGGCATTCATTCATTGTATGGCACGGAATCAACGAGGTTTGTAAATTCATGATCGCCACTATTGCAGGCGAGGTACTACCTTCGCGACAACGAGAATTGGACACAAAGAAGGGAGGTAAAGCTAAGGTTCATCTGATTCTGGATTCAGTAAAATTAAGTTCTTACTCAAGTAGGTTGGTATGCTCGTCCGCACGGGGTAGTGAGGAACGTGTTACTGGTATTAGTATTGTTGTTTATATTTGTCTCTGCAAATGGAAGTGGAAATAACACTCCCAGCCATCTAGACGCGCAAGTTGGACTGATGACTGATGCGCGAAGTTCCCATACGTATTTAATTTACATGGGAGAATTTCTCTTTCGTCAAGTTCAGGATTTGATTTATGGTTTTTTTGCTGGAGAGGGAGATGGTGATGGGTAAAATGGCAAGTTCGATGTCGATTCCAACTGATTCTGTTGATGATGGTGGTGGTGCGGTGTTTAGCGAAATGGATGGGGAAGTGATGAAAGTTGAGGAGTACTCATGCGACATGCTTCAGGTGATTGTTTGTACAGGGAAGGGAAAGGAAGCAAGAGGCAAAAGGCAAAAGGCAAGCAAAACAAGTAGGTAAGTAAGTAAGTAAAAGTACGTTTCGAATTCTCCTGTCTCTGGTTTCCATAAGGGATGCAGTGGAATGCCATGGCGTGGGGTGAGGGTGGAACTGGGTGGAGTGAGGTGGGTGGGGCGCAATATTTCCGGATCTTCGAATCGCGCGTTTCGATTTTCTCAGTTTCTTGACCTTCAGCCTTGAAGGAAGGGAAATGAGAGGAGGTGCATCGATAGCATGAACATGGGAGGAAGAAACTGGCTTGGAAATTGGGAAGGACAGAGGGATGGGGCAAGATTATTAGGCTTTGGACTTAGACTTTGGGGTGAGAGAGCCGGTGAAACGAGGTGCCGTGATGGAGGGGGATGTGTGAAACGGGGGTTGGGGGACGGAGGGGAAAGCTTATTTGAGCTTGGCTTTAGGTGATTTTTTGTCGATCGGGCTTGGGTGGTGGTGTTCGTTTTGCGGAGAGATGGGGAGGGAGGAAGGAGATCATTATTGCGTGGGATTGTTGCGTGGTGATTGAGATGTTTCGATTGATTGATAAGGTGGAATTATCATACTACTCAGAGTAAGGGAATTGTGGGTGCGGAAATGGGGGGAAGGGCGAATGGGACAGGAGCAAGAACAGCAGTGAAACTTAAGCGAGATTTTGGGAACGACTGACCGTGGAAAGTAACCGTAACTGTTGTGCCAAAGTCGAGCTTATTTCTTTCATTCCTCGCAAAAAGCCTTCGGAAAGAGAAGCTTGCATTATTGAGTTACGTCTTCCTGGAGTCAAAACTGAAAGCTTGCTTACCTACAGCACCGAGAGCAGCTCACACCAGGGCAGCGGCAAGGCAAGGCATTGAAGCCATGGTTGCGAGAGTATTTGCCTTCTGTCAAACATTAACCAAAACCCTCCACTTTCCGCCCTGTACCAGCTCTACACCACCCCTCCATCCATTCAACGTAGCTTCCCTCGGCACAAACCGACGGTTCTCAACCTCGAAACCTGCACATCCAAACACTCACGCATGATCTAGCCCAAACCGGTACCACGACCGATTCATCCAAAGCTTGAGCGGTAGCTTATTCTCTTTAACGGTTCTTGGAGTTCTTCAGACGAAGCTTGTAGCCAGCGTTGAGTGGTTGGATTGGAGAACCGTTGTGTGTAGTGCGGCGGTGCAAGGGCCAAATCCCGAAGCTAGATGAATAAACTTCTCCTCAGACCGCGACTGCGCTTTGTACGTCTCACGGATGCTGGGTGCAAAAGTTAGTGCTGTGTGAGGGTCATGCAGAGTTGCTGTAGTGGCATATGCAATTGATGAAGTCAGTTTTGCCATGGGTTGGTTGCGATTGTGCATGTGGTGATGGTGGTGGTATATATGAAGAGACTTCCCTTTTTTCGTCCCGATTTTGCTTTTTGTTCTAACTAGCTGTTCATTTCACTCGTCTGTTTGATAGATTGATCCGTCATTGCCGCTCACTCCATTCTATTCTGTGGTCAGGACCAGTTCATCGTCGATAACTCAACATTTCAATATCTTCGTTCTCTACCCAAACCTTCGGTTCGTCAACAACTGACCACCCACCAGTTCCGCTATCCAGCCAGGAACATCAACTTGAGACACCAGTCACATCCACAAACCGCCTCCCACAAACAAACACCACCATGAAAATGCAACTCCTTACACTCATCACCCTCGCCACAGGCACTCTCGCCCTCCCCGCCGCAGGCACTCGCGCCCTCCCCCCCACCCCCTCCCCAACCCTCACATCCCACCAATATGGCACCCCGCACCAATTGGCCGCCGCCGCCGCCTTAGGCTCAGGGAAACCCTCCTCCCCCGCCGCACCTGGAGGGGGAGCCTCCTCCTCAGGATCAAGCAACGCCACCGCCGCCGGCGGTGCCTGCTCCCCTCAAATCCTCGCCCTGGCTGCTGGAATTCAATCCAACATCGACGACCAGAACAACGAACTAACGACCGTCAACGCCCTTGGCATGGTTCTGGGTCAAAACCCATTGGACATGACACTGTATGGTGCTACGCAGTCGAGTCTGATGGGGTTCGTGACGAAGGGCATTTTGATTAGGGAGAATAATCAGAAGTTGGCGCCGGCGGGGAATGCGGCGTTGGATGGGTTGGCGAAGGTTGCGGGGGCGCAGGCGGAGGAGTTGAATCTGACGATGAGCTTGGCGATTCCGGCGAGCGGGGCTATCGATACGGTATGTCATTCAGTCTTTCTCTCGAAGCTCTTTGCTATTGGGAAGAATGAGATTCTTGGATTGTGAGCTGACTTGTGATGATAGGTCGCTGCTGGGGAGACGGTCAAGACTCTGCAGAAGGATTTCGCTGGAGGCATTGAGCAGAATAAGTTGAATTTGGCTGCTGTAAGTTCCTTCTCCCTCTTCATCTCGATTTCTATCTCCTCCGATAGAAAGAAGAGACATCTCCTGTATTAGTCCATGATCTAACGCTGTATCCCCTTCAGGCAATGTCAGGATGTACAATGGCTGCTGCTACACCAGATAAGGCACCAGAGAAGGCATCAGGAAAGTTCGTGTTTGTGAAGGGATCTCAGCTATGATGAGCTATTTCTTGGAAGAATACCTGGAAGCGCTTGTATCTAGTTTGGTCTCCAGGATGAGCATGTCTTGGATAGAATATGCCGTGGGAGAGGATGAGGACTGGCGTAATTGATTGAGAAAACGATGCTGTGCATCACATAAACAGACTATCTGTGGAGTGGGTTAATGAATACAAATGACGAATCGAACTGGTACAAAGGAATATGAACTGTCGTTAGTCTTGTGCAATCTTTGTGGGTCTGTTTCGTGTCTCTGTGGAAGGTTGGGACACGGTGAGGTGTGGGCAGAGATACCCTGGAGAAATTGTGGTGCAGTGCTACTTATCCCTTTGAAACAAAGGATGATGAGATGAAGTTGAGAGGTGATATACTGCTTATATCTTGTACCGCAATTCTAGATCATGTTTGCGAAGATCTGATTTCTGAGTGAAAAGGTGAAAGGGTGACGTTTTCTCGTACGACTCTGAGTTCTACATTCCGCAGTTCTAGCTAAACAGAAATGGATAGCTTTATACCTCATCAAAGTATCTTTGACTGTCATAAATTAGTAAATAAATGTCTCATTCGAGTTTTGCAGTGATTACGTGTTGCCATCTTCAAGTTCAATTGAAGAGAAGGAAAGAGGAATCGACATTCGTAAGCGAGCCCCTTTTCCCTTCTCGCTTACACCATCCAACCCCAAGTCAGCATTGCATGTGACCATCAATTCAAACCCTCCACACGGCAATAGCAGCTGCCATCTTCTCCTATAAACAGGCAAAGACACCACAGAGACTCAAAACTCGGAATGGCCGAACCGACATCGCCCCTCCGAAAGTAGCGAAAGACAGGCACCAGTGTTTCGTGCTTTGTCGCGCGACTCGTACGCTGAACTTTAAATGGTTCGAGTCAGGTGATAGGCCACTCATATTTACTGGGTGAGTATACGAAGCTGTGGATTTGGGTCTTGCAAATTGCCTTTTTTCCATTTCATTGTCTTACGAAGGGTTGATTCCCTTGAGGTAGGTGAGAATGCATCCCGGGCTTAGGAGTCCTGAGGGTCAGCACGCCATTTGGTGACTTACACTGTTCGTTCAGTGGAAAGGGTTACAGTATATATATACATAGGCACGACATATCAACTTCAGTGGAATAAAAGTTCAAGTCCCTGAGCTGTCAACTGGCAGGAAGAAAAAGACGAAGAGAACAATCTTGGCGCTCTTGAAAGACAAGCCCCAGTCACAGAATGTGGAGCGGATCTTTGTGATTCTCCTATTGTAAGCACAGCCCCCCGGGTCCAAACTTCAGATGAAATATTGGCACTTTGACAACTTCGGAGAAACGGCGATGTCCGTCACAGCGATGTGTGTTGGATTCGTGGCAGCAATGGACGAAGCCAAGTACGTGGAACAGCGCCATATTGAGAACACAGCCTCGTGGGAGTAACATTGAGGACGAATCAGCGTCGTGGCAAGAACTCGCATGAAAACAGCTCAATCGCGCGGGGTCATCTCATAATCGGCAGAGGGATCCGAGACGGCTGAGATAGTGTTGCGTTTCTATCAAATATACTTTCAGAAGCTTGGCAATGTTACGATCTCCTCTGGCTGGCTGCCTTTAAGCTTACTTGTGGAGAAGCTTAGGACAGTGTGTATTGTCCAGATATGGACGAGTACTGAATTAGCTCATTGCACATTTAGCTTTTGGGCTTGTTTTCAATATAACACTAGCCAGATAAGAGTATCTATTGAATGTGAATATTCTAAGCACCTCGAATATAGAGCTTGCTTGGAAATAGGCTGTGCTCAACATCTGAGCAATTTCGGGCAGAGGTCTTTGAACCATGCACGCAGATCATAATGACGATAGACGTATCGCCTTTTCGATCGATCTGTAGACCTCCATCTCGCTGCCCGTGGGGATAGATTTCATCGTCCCAATTCAGTCAGCTTGACTCGCCGACCCTACCGAAACGATTCCATCGACCCCATGCATCTCCCATTCCCGAAAAAGCTGTAACGTCTGTCAAAGCCTTGTTTATTTAACCTTGAATATCCACAGACCACTAGCGAACCAATGAGTGGCGGTCAGTAGATCTTCTTTGCCTTGGCGTCTATTCAAAGCCACGAACCCCTCTCGGTTTTCGCGCTTTCGCTTCGCCTCGCTGGGACGACCCAAGAAGATTGCTCAAAACAAGACTTCGAGATGTCAGCTAGAGGGATGAGATGATGGGAAGCAATCTACCTGCCAAACCTTCGAGGAAGGACGCCGGTTCTTCTGTCAATGTCTTGGCCTTGAAACAAGACGATGGCATACGTTTGATTCTGGTAAGAATTCTGCCAAGAAAGTTTCTACAGAGGCTGAGAGAGTGTTCTGATAGGCTCGACGAGGGAGGCTGGAATAGAGTTGTCCCAAAGAATGCAGGTACACGTTATCTGGTGGATCTGCCCAGGCATTGATGAGAACACAATCGAATCTATCGGTATGTCTTGCTGAAAAAATGGCTCAGCATCTGGAGTGATGAACCGAAATAGATGAGAGGGAGTAGCTTTCCACGGATGCCTCGATGATTGTTATATAAGTATCATCGTTGACCTCAGGTCTTGGTTTCTTCACTACCCAACACCTTCTCTTTGCAACCGTCTCTTTCTGTTTCTATCTCTCTCTTTCTCTTCTCGAGACTTCCTTCGCTTATTTTATCTCTCAAAGATATCCTCAATCTTCAACTCAAGCAATATGTTCCGTACATTCGTCACCCTTGCTGCTCTCAGCAGAGTCCTCGCATGTCCTGAGCACGCACCTGCATCATCTGCTCTCAGTAGACGCGCAGACGAACACTCAGCTGAAGCAACATGGACATATGCCGACCAGGCTGCCTGGGCTATCGGTCAGTACTTTCTTCCACTTCAGGACCAGACATATCTAACAGTATACAAGAGAACCCCATTTGCGCTAGCGGCACAATGCAATCCCCAATCAACCTCAGTGGGGATTTCTCCACAGTCCATGTTCCCACTTTCAACTACAAGAACCTGGCTGCTGGGACTCTTTCGAACTGGGGATACGGGCCGTCATACGCTCTCAATGGGACCGATGGTGCTCCAACATTCACCGATAATGGGACGACGTATTACCTGATTGGCTTCGTAAGTTTTTCTTCCCTCCACTTTCAAGTGGAGACACTTTCAGAGTTCATGGCTAACTTTGCCCCAAGCATACACACACTCCATCCGACCACACCATCAACGGCAAATCCGCCCCCGCCGAACTCCATCTCGTGCACGGCGATGCTAGTGGAGCAGCAAAGGGTGTTGTCGGATTCCCATTAGCAATTGGAGCCGAGTCGAAGTTCTTTGCTCAGATTCTGGGACCGTCTGGTGCTCCCAACACCACGTCCACCATCCAGATTCCCAACCAGGAGCTGGATGTGAGCAAGGCATTGACGGACAGCGGGAACATGAAGAACTTTTGGACATACAAGGGAAGCTTGACAACACCTGCTTGTACTGAGGGCAAGAGATGGTGGGTTAGTGGGCAGAGCTTGACTGTCAGCAAGGAGCAGATGGCTGAGTTGATGTTGATCAGTGAGACTAGTGCGAGAGATGTTCAGACGATTCAGGAGCATGGTGTTGGGGAGTTGTAGAGGTTGGCAGATATGTAGAGGAAGACAGATTTGTAGATGAACGATAAAGTGATTCAGCCATGGATTGAATGTGTGAAATAGAGCCTTCCTATCACATTGTGCTTCCTGAGGAACAAAAATGCCAGATGGTGCATCGCTACACTCGTGGCGTCCACCTGCCAATCTAGGAAAGTTTGAGGTAGCCGAAAGGTTTTGAAGGTTGTAAAGCCCTCCATACCTCTCAACTCTCAAGTCATGTCTCTAGTCTGAATAGAAGCCGGCATTTAAGACCCAGCTAGTAACATGGTAGGGATGCAATCCAATACACAGCTCGACGGAGCTAGGTTCCTCCTGGCGACATTGAATTGAACAACCCTGCTAGGTGGCCTTCACCAGGTTTTGGCGAACCTTAACTATCCATGATGTTCAAGCTGGACCTTTGATCACGACTTCTTCAAGTATGACCAGGAAAGGAGCAGCTTCTTCCAAGACCGCTGAACCAATTCAAGAAGGAGCAGTCGTTCCAGTAGGAGGGAGGCGTGAATAATGTGGGAGACTCGCTCATGCAATTAATATATATATATATATATATATATATTATTGCTCTGTTCTTAACGGCAAGCAGCGACCTTATGATCCCATGGTTTACCTCAAGTCCACTTTACATCTACTTACACTTCCACCAGCTGAATGTTCACAGGTTCTGCTCGCATGACCAGCATCCCGTACTCGATTCCGTATCTCGTTACTCCGGATGTAATACCTTGAGTAACGAAACATGTTCGAGCTTTGATAGCCTATCGAGATAGGAACCTGTTGAGTGGAAGCAATATATAGTGATGAGAGCCAAGGGACAATATCAAAAGAGGGGGACAGCGAGCCAGAGAAGAAAAGTAGATTGAAGTGACGAAGCCCAACTGGGATAATTGGAAAACCAGAGACAAAGACTTGACCTGCTCGACCTACACCAACCGCTGACGCAAAGCCTGGATACCTTACATGAGCACTTTTTGTACAGCAGGACAGTATCGACCGTTGCCTCGAGGTAAAAGTGCAGTGGAAATACAACACCACCGTCTACTCGTATGCCACGTAGCGTGTCACACGCAGTGGGTGCCTCTTCTAGGCTAATTGTATCTCGTTCACCATATCTTCGGTATGCATAAGTACTGAGCGCTTGCTTTCAATGTCGGCAGGAACTGAGGGCGTTCGTACCAAGTCGGACAGGTAGGAGGTACCGTATCTTTACAAATGTTAGTTCGACTCCAGCCAACAGGACACTGACATCGCGAATGAAGAGAGGTGAAAATTCAGAGGTGCATTTGCATGCTTGGTATCTCGCCATAACGCGGTTCTTGAGGCCGCTCAGTAACACGGACCAATGTTGCTCATCATAAAGGGTGGGTGTTGTAGTGAAAGAGCTGTCTGGGGTGAAGCCAGAACAGCTATCTGGGAAGTTGCACGCAAAGGCAAAGATAGAACGTACCAATTACAATGGAAGCAGAAACATCTCGCTGCTCTGCAACCGTCAAGCTGATTTCAAGCTAAACAGAAGTCTCCACCACTCAGTTGTTTCTCCGCTTGCCACGCGACTGTGGATGAAGCTGGCAAAACTTTCAGGAAGAGAACATAACTCCGCTTCCGCAGCTGGAGATGGCACAATGCAATTGACTCAATTGGCCGCTTGTGTTGCAACTTACTGCAGATGCTGCCCCATCGTAGCGAGAAGAGGAAAGTTTGTTGTTGATTTCACTGGGAGAAGAAAGAGAAATCTGTGAAGTAGGAAAAATGAAGCCGGGTGGACCTGGAAAAATCTTAGCGCGATTGATCCACCACGTGACCGTGTCTCCATTTAACCCCACTAACTCGAAGGGGAAGGCCACTGGTTCAAGCAACCTCACCAGCTCTCTTTTGAAAATTCCACCATTGAACCGGGTGTCCTCGGCTCAATAATAAGGCAAAGTCTCTGCCCAAAGTCCATGACTTCGCTGCTCTCATCTGTGAAAGCTGCTGTTACTTCTGCTCTACGATTGCCTCTCAGAACCCCGCCAACACCAATTACAACGCTTGTTCGTACCATGGCTTCCGCTACGTCTATCACGATGCCTCGTGACCCTACAACGGTCTCGAATTATAATAATTGTAGGTAGAGCTTTCTTGGAAAGTGGGGTGGTTAAGCTTCAAGCCATGTCTTGGAGCCATGAACCGATACAAGATAGCTTCATATTGATCCGTCATGGCCTGTTTCATTTCTTGGATTATCCAGGCTTGAAGCAGTGCTGAGATCTATGAATTGTCTGATGGCTACTTCTCTGGCTTTGACTTATTTTTCGAATCTATTTCTCAAATCATCAGAACAGCCTAACAATTCCCAGGGAAAACAAAACACACCATTGCCGATTTCGCCATTGACTTCAAGAAGCAACGGTTGACTGGAACAGTTACTCTCTTCTTGGAATCTGTGACTGAGAAGGAATCAGAGGAGATCATTCTCGATACTTCCTACTTGGATATTAGCGAAGTCACCGTCAATGGCAGCAAGACGAAAGACTGGAAGCTCGCCGACCGATCCGAACCATATGGCAGCCCACTCTCGATCAAAACCCCAGGAGGTGCATCCAAAGGATCTACAGTCGAAGTTAGCATTTCCCTTGCTACCACCGGGAAATGTACAGCTCTTCAATGGCTCCCGCCATCTCAGACAGGCAACAAGAAGTACCCGTACATGTTCTCCCAATGCGAGGCTATCCACAACAGATCCATCTTCCCATGTCAAGACACCCCTGACGTGAAGAGCACGTATGATTTCCGCATTCGTTCTCCTCTCCCGGTCGTTGCGAGTGGTCTCTCGACTGGTGCTTCGGCTTTCAAGCACGGAGCGGATGGAGAGGCCGGTACACTTCTGTATACTTTCCACCAGGAGATACCTATCCCTTCATATCTCTTCGCTATCGCTTCAGGAGATATCGCTACAGCTGCCATTGGTCCCCGCTCGCTTGTTTCAACTGGACCCGAGGAACTCTCGGATGCCAAGTGGGAACTTGAGAACGACATTGAGAAGTACATTGACGTTGCAGAGAAACTCATCTTCCCTTACAAATGGACACAGTATAACGTTCTTGTCCTGCCCCCGAGTTTCCCGTATGGTGGCATGGAAAATCCGATATTCACCTTTGCAACGCCAACCATTATCAGTGGGGATCGAGAAAACATCGATGTTATTGCCCATGAACTTGCTCACAGCTGGAGTGGGAACTTGGTTTCGAATGCCAGTTGGGAACACATGTGAGTGCCTTATCCTCAACCATGATGTTTACTAATCTCGACTAGGTGGTTGAATGAAGGTTGGACTGTTTACCTTGAACGTCGAATTCAAGCTGCTGTTCATGGTGAACCTCATCGTGATTTCTCAGCCATCATTGGATGGAAAGCTCTAGGTTAGTTCTTTCATTCACATGTCTTTTGCACCTATTGACATGACATCAGAGGATTCTGTAAACAACTTTGGTGCCGACCATGAGTTCACCAAGCTTGTCATTGATCTCAAGGGCAAAGACCCTGATGATTCTTTCAGCAGCATTCCCTACGAAAAGGTAAGCTCATAGCATTGCTACTAAAATACAACTAACGAGAGCAGGGTTTCCACTTCCTCTACTACCTCGAGAAGCTCGTCGGCAAACCTGCATTCGACAAATTTATCCCCCACTACTTCACAACCTGGTCTCAAAAGTCCCTCGACTCCTACGACTTCAAAGCCACCCTCCTCGACTTCTTCGCCTCCGATGCCGCCTCCGCTACAGCCCTCCAATCCGTCAACTGGGACGCCTGGTTCTACAAGCCCGGCCTCCCACCCAAGCCCAAATTTGACACCAGCATGGTCGACCGCTGCTATGCCCTCGCCGAGTCCTGGTCCTCGCCCTCATACAAGCCCTCCCCATCAGATATCGAGGGTCTCACGGCCAACCAAATTGTCGTCTTCCTCGAGAAAGTTCAACTCTTCGAGACTCCTCTCTCTCCATCTCAATCCCAAGCCATGGGTAAGGCCTATAATCTCGCTACATCACGCAACGTCGAACTCAGCTTCCGCTATTTCGGCGTTGGATTGGCCGCTAAGGATGAGACCGTGTATCGACCTACTGCTGAATTGTTGGGCACGGTTGGACGAATGAAGTTCGTGCGGCCATTGTATAAAAAGTTAAATAACGTGGATAGAAAGTTGGCGCTGGAGACTTTTGAGAAGAACAGGGATTTCTATCATCCTATTTGTAGGGATATGGTGGAGAAGGATTTGAAGGTTGGGCAGTAGGGGTTTATGTAAGAGGCGAGAATAGAATTGCAGAATTGGCTCGTTACTCTCACTTAATTGAACAGAGAGAGATGTTAACACTTCCTCTGCAGTCAACTCGCAACATTCCAATTTCCAGTACACCAATCAGTGCTTACCAGGATCCAAAGGCATTCATGAGGAATGGAGTTTCACAGCTCCCTTTCGGACCACCAAAAAAATTGTCACCATTAGCACAACCTGGCAGTATTACCAGGCCGCATGCATTATTCCATCGCCAGACCGAAAGACTTCCGAAACCAAAGTACAAGTCTCAACTTTGCTCCCAGCCAAATCCACCTCCTGCAACCTGGTGACAGCGCTAGTATTCCCTCCGTCCAATGACAGCGGCGCCTCCACATATCTTAGAGCTAGCGGGCGCGCGGCCGCACGAATTTACGACTCTCCGCGTCCAGCTTCAGCCTCGTCCTTAACAGTTCTTATGTCCATTTCCTCCGTGGGTGGTGGGAACACCAGGAATTAGCTGGCTGGCAATACAAAGCAACACTGGCATAAGTATATCTCAATTCCCTCATCCCTTGATCGTCTTCTTCCCGGTTCATCTTTTTCTTCCTTCTCTACAACCTCTCTCGTCAATAACCCATCGTATCCTCTACCTCGTCCCCATCTTTCCTACCAACACCAAAACCCCCAAAATACACATAGTACCCAACACCTCACAGTACAACAGCATGCATCTCGTCCTCACCGGTGCCACCGGGCTCGTCGGTTCCGCCGTCCTCCAGACCATGCTCACCACACCCTCAATCTCCAAGATCAGCATCTTATCACGCAGACCAGTGGCACAGGCAGAGGGATATGCGAAAGCGAGGGTTATACTGCATAAGGATTTTGAGGTGTATGGGGAGGATGTGATGGAGGGGTTGAAGGATGTGAAGGGGGTGATGTGGGCGTTGGGGATTAGTGCTACGCAGGTTGGGAAAGAGTAAGCCCTATCTCTTTACTTGTGGCATTGGTCCATCGCTCTCTGGTTTCGGGTTTTTGTTTAGGTATGGGTTTTGTGAAAGGTTTCTAGGAACGAGACCATGCGCGGAGTGGGAATCTAGAGGCCGTACTGGCAGGATGAAAGAGCAAGTAACGCAGATTCTGGAGACACGGTTGGCTAACGTCATATCTCACCTTCAACAGAGAATACGAACGTATAACCCTCACTTACCCCCTCTCCTTCGCCCGCGCTCTCTCCAAAGCAACCTCCCCTGCCCCTCTAACATTCATCTACGTCTCCGGCGAAGGCGCCACTACTACCCCCTCCTTCCTCACCGCACACTGGGCACGCACAAAGGGCATCGCTGAATCGTCCCTCCTATCTCTCTCCAAGGACCCATCCTACTCCAACCTTCGGCCCTTCACACTCCGTCCAGGTGGCGTAGATCCGAAAGAACATACTGAGATCCATGAATTTCTTGGACCAAGGACCTGGATTGAGATGTTGCTATTGCCGCTTGTGAGGGTGATGCCTGGTGTAAAGGGGTTGATGAGTCCGACGAGGGAGTTGGGAAAGTTGCTGGTGCAGCTGGCGATGGGGAATGGGGAGGCGATGGATGGGACGGGCGTGAGTGGGGAGGGGAGGACATTGAATAATGCTGCTATGAGGAGGCTGGCGGGTATTTGAGAGGCGAGGATATGAGCAGAGGCGTGGCAGGTAATGATTGTGCTTAGGATTGATTAGGAAAACGGGTGTCGGGCATGACTGGTGATGTAAGAGTCTTAGTGGCTGCTTTTTGGTGGATTTTGGAACACTTCGACTGAGAATCGAACGGATGATTCAGTAAATAGTTCCATGTAGCACTTTAGTAAAACCGCATAGCATCAATAATTAATGCAGAGACATCATCCAGTCAACGAAGTCTATCATGTATTCCTAGACCCGATTTGTTTGACTGGATATGAAACATAATCGTTGAGTATCTTCTCCAAATTATCTACGTACAGACCTCAGATGCCTCTTATAAATCCATAGCCCAGATCGAACAAAGAAGAGAGCCCAAGCTAGCCAATAGTCATATTCACGTATCGTACTATCACTTCACACAATGGATGCAGGAAGAAGCTAAGTAGTGTTTGTTGATATTTTTTCTTATTCTTATTCATGATGTTCTCAGTCGGATATCTGGATAGGTTTATATCTAGCCTCGATCTGTATCAAGACCATCCTATCCATCCAATTCAATTTCTACTATACAAGAACCAGTCCAAATTCCAGCACCAGCACCAGCACCTCGCATCCTCCCAAGCGGTGACCCAACCAATCGAAATTACACAACTTCAGAGAGCAAGCAAAGCAGGAATGGTATCAACTGCCGATAAACAGACCGGAACGGGTTTTAGCCCCTATTCCATTGAGACTGATGATGATAAATGAATACATAGATCGCCCAAGCGCCTGTAAATGTTGGTATCGAACAGCAACAACAGCAGTAAAATAACAATGCTGATAAAATATGTAGAAGTATATATATAGAAGAACCAAGAATACAATAATATGCATGCTTTATGCAGCAAAAAAGGTGTGTTTAATGAGAGTAGAGAAGGTAAAATGCAGTGGGCTCAGTAGCCAGCGAGGAGTAAAAAAAGTTGAACAATAGACAAAGTGTAAAAGGAGATACAAGAAAGTAGCAGTGTGCGCTATGCAGAGGGAAAACAAGCAAATAGACATTGCAGTTCAGGGTAACGTATTGTGGTCGTTCGTCCAAGTCGTGTGATATGTGGTTATCGTGTGATGTATAAATGTATGGTAGTAGCCGTTTCGTGAAGCATCAAGCATATCGAAATCGCAAGGAATGTAAGAATGTAGATAGTAAAATGACCCCTCCTCGCCATTGCATGAAACGTGTATATAGCAAGGCGAGATAGTGAAGGGCAGTTGATGTAATGTTGTGAAGTGTGTGTGTAAAGGAGCGTGAGTGCATTGAGCCGTAAGCCGTAAGCGTGCTGCAAGAAAAGTAAACAGATAAAGAAACTAGAAACCTTGCGTCGTGATCGATCCAAGCGTCAGGACTCATATCAATTCAATTCTTCAACTTCCCCGCGCTCCTCTGCTTATGCAATGCCATGCCCTCGAAGGCAACGGCATTCAGCAGCATTGGGAGCGGTGGCTCCTCTGCCTTCTGCTCCGCAACTGGCGTCGTGGCGTCAAGAGAAGGCTCTTCACCCATCCGCTTGATCTCATCCTCAACATCAGCCATCAAGGCAGAGATATCGCTATCAGCGTAGATGCGGATACTCTCCACGCAGCGCCGACTCATCCTCAATGGTGCCTCAGGAGAAGAGACCTTGACTTCCTCCACGACGCGCTCGAGACGTTCGGGTGACGATGACTTGGTAGGCGACCGAGGCGGCGTGTTAGGCGCGTGAGCCTGACTCGTAACCTGCGCCTTGACATTCTCACTACCAGCACCACCATTACCCAGCAACAAACCAATCGCCTCCTCGGACGTCGGCGACGATGCAGGGTTCATAAGCAGCGCCGCAGCAACATGCTCCAGCAGCTTCTGTCTGACTCTTGTACGTCTATTCTCGGCTTGCTCAAGCTTCGATACCCAGTCATCGATACTAGTATCTAGCTCGCTGAGGGCTTCTTCCTGCCTCAACATGCTTTCGTGACTGAAACGTGCCACGCGTGGACTGCGCAGGTAAGTACAGATGCGTTCGTGGAGGTTGCGGCGGCCGGAGCGGAGAGAGCGGTGGGTTTTGCGAAGGTATTCACAGCGCTCGTCGAGGGCGCGGAGTTCGCGTGAGAGACCCTCAACGTCTTTAGTGCAGAGGACTTGGAAGCGGGAAGCTTGGCCGATGGCCTGTTTGCGGAGGGTGGCAATCTCACTTGAAGGGAGATGCGTGTGAGCTGTGGTTGCGGAGTGCCCGGTTGGGAGGTGCTCGAAGGCGCGTTGTTCTTCGGAACGGTCCCTTGGGGAGTTAGTTGGGGATTGGGTTTGTGTCCGAGAGGGAGGGTTGCCTGTTGAGGCTGGTATGGAAGGCGAGCGTTTGGAACTGGAACGCTTGACGGGGGAGCCTTCAGATGGGGAACGCTTTTTGGGACGACCTCGGTCCATGATCGATGCTGAGCTCTCGGATTCATGTCTTCGGTGGCCCTTGAGGGTTGGTCCAACGGGGAATGATCGTTGGTGAGATAGCGAATGCTGGGCGGCATCTGATGAACTCTTAGTGTGGCACATGTGACCTAGAGTTGTGCTGCTTGTCACTGGGGAGCAAGACGTCCCGTTCCATGGTCTGGGTGATGAGCGGCCCTCAAGCGGGAATTGAGGATTTGGGAGAGGCTTCGGTGAGGAACGTCCTTCCTGCGGGAATTGAGGAAGAGCGAATGGAGTGTTGGGTGTGGTTGAAAGAGACGTTGCAGCAGTGGAGGCGGATAGCAAACTACTGGATGATCCTGACATGGGAGTATATGGCGAGGCCCGTGGGTGTGGGGAACCCTCCTTCATCCTCGCAGATTTGGGAGGAACATCTGGAGGTGTACCACAGCTTCCACTTCCCGAGCGCGAACGCATGCGGGAGTTAGATGATTGCCGCGTCAGTCTTTGGGATTGCGAGGAACTCGACTGTGGGATGACCAGCGGTGCCAGGGATTTGGGCGAGAGTGGCTGTTGCTTTGGCGAGGCGGATCGAGACTTGTTGCGAAAAGAGTATGAGGTTGGTGCTGGGAGCGGCTGGGAGGTATCTTCGTCGTCGAAAACCTGGCTGTCTAGCTGTATATTCGCTTGAGCCTGTCCATTACTTCCACTATCCGGGGATATAGCCATCTCAGCATTCTCATCCAATGCAGGTCCGGATATGCACGAGAGCATGCTTTCGCCAAACACATGCTGGCGCCAGCTGTTACCGGGTGCACTAATAGATCGTTCGTGCAGCGGTGGTCGGCCGGGTATCGTAGCTGAGACATTTAATCAGTTTCATGAAACAAAACCAGAACACCTCCATCTTCAAAGTTTACTCACGAGAATCCATGGCAACTTCCTGTACCGTTGTCATCGGACCAAGTTCCGTTGGCATACTTGGTTTCCGTCGACGGCTAAGAGGTTGCTCCTTTTGTTTCAGTCCGAGCCGTAAAGCGTTTGTCAGTAAGGACCGGTCCTTCTCATTCGTTCCACTTTGTCCCATCGTTGTCGATTGTGACGACTCTGTATCCCCATTCTTCTGTCCTGCAGCTATCGACAGCTTCTCCTTTGCCGCCGGAAATAGTTGGTACTTTCGAGGCTCTGTTGGTTGATGCATCCTCCACACATACTTCTCAGAGTCATCGTTAGATGGAGTATCGATTGTCTGTGTAAGTTTCAGTGAACGTGTCCGACGAAGATGTTGCGCGAACATACTGCTGGTGATGCTTCTTTGGGAGAATGCGGTGATAGCTCTCTGGCTATATAATTGTTCAGCCCCAAGCTGCTTGGTGGTCCCACCATTAAATCCGCAATATGAGCCATGGACGTTTCACAGGCTACCATCAGCTGGGCCTGTCTTCTCCAGTGCAGGATCTCCACAAAAGGAAAGATGGAAAGGTAATGCACTCGTAATTAGGTATCCTGACGAACTGCTCCACAGACGTAGGAGGGGGATATTATGATTCAGATAAGAATTGGAATTTGAAATAGTCAGCAGGATCCTACATCAAGATTGCATGAACAGGAATACCGATATACTTAAGGACGAGTGAAGCAACATGGACGGACCCCGGACCATGAGAGCGATTTGACTATCTTAACACCAAATCCCTACATCACATAAGAAACGATGCAGCAGGGATGGTTCCTCCACCAGCTCAACCATGGTGCTGTTTGCAGAGCACCCACTCATGAACGCTGTGGCGTCCGAGACACCGCAGTCAGCTTTTTCCTGTCTCTCGAGTGTCCCCTCTGGACTGGCCCCTCGACCCTAGTAACTGAGGCGTTATGATGGAGGGGTGGTGAGAGGTGCTGCGGGCTGGGATGCAGAATGAAACCGCTTGAGCCCACGACAGGCAAGTTTGCTCCGAGATCAGCCAGGGTCAGAGTGCACCGTGCAGACCAGAAGCTGTGGAACGGTGATTACGGACCAGGCTATGGGAGGTACGAACTCGGGTACTTCTCCTGCATACGGCAAGTTTCTACTGGCCGGTGTAGCAGTGAGGTACCCTCGTACCGCAGTACTCGAGCACTTGAAGCACGTTGTTTTGACATCCCTGACTCCTTAAACGATGTCGGCTAATATCTGGGACCACTGGCTTGGCTGCAAACTCTGTTTGTTGAGTTTAATTCTGAGGGCATGGTGGTGCTTGTGCAAATCCCGTGTGGGCTGCTGGATACGGGGTATAATTGGCCCTCAGAGGGAGACAGCTGTAGGGGGAGGCCTTCCATGACTTGCACGGACGTTGCTTTTGGGTTGCATCCTGACGAGCGAAATTGCTAGTATGTGGGGGCAGTCTGTGCTTTGCTGGGTGCTGGTGCTGATGCTCGCCTCCCTGAGCCCCTCGGTTACACCACCACAACACCAGATCCAGCCAGCCCTCGAGCATCAATGTCATCAGCAACTCTATCGACGATCGGGTTGACTTTGGGAGAAGTGAAGCATAAAGGAACCACAATCATAGCACATTTGCATGAGAAGTCCGAATTAATCAATTTCATAGCAGATCTTAATCATTCGGTCGATCTCCGAGCAAACTGCCGGACACTCCAGGAAGGAGTTGTTGTGGGTGCCGGTTGATTCAAACGGGAGGCGTTTGTGTGAGGTGCTTGTATCTATCTACCTGGTCCTGCTTTGCTTCTTCTTTGTGGCAAGAAAATGAGACTTGTAGGAAGCTCAGAGGATTGACTTTAACTTCTTGACTCAGAAGTACAGACTGCGTCAGTTGAGAGTTTTTGGTTCGAAGACTTTCAGCTCACCTGAGTGACGTGACCTTCGATCCCAAGTAGGTTTCCAACTAAGGCAAGTCATCAAGTCAGAAGAATCATGCACGCACGCCATAGGACAAACAACAGTGGTTTCGAATCATCGTGCTATCGTCACAATCGATAACACCCGCCTCGCCCGCCAGATCATTTATACTAACACTTTAGATGAAAAGTGATTAGTAGGGTTTGCACTTACAGTTCATTGTCAACAAAACCATGGTAGTAGGGTCCTCCCGAACTCTGGCATCCATATCGTGGCAAACGAAGAAAGTCGAGACCATGATCGCCCATATGTCCAAATCATCAGAACCCTTCTTCTTCATGCATCAGATTCCGACTTCCCAGCTTGAGGGCGGGGTATTCACCCATTACGGCATTAAAGCCGGGTTGAAAGTCTGTGCGAATACAGGCATCGTTGACTTTTGCGCTAACACGTTCAACCGACTATTCTCAAACAGCACAAGTCTCGAGTGGCTGGAATTCCCGTTTCACCGCACGATCCAGCATGTTCGGCGTACTATTCATACTGGGAGGTTTTCCCGCTGTTCCTCGAAACGACGTCCTTCCCATCGAGTGCTCGAGCAGTCCTACGGACTCGAGACTCCAACCAGCCAGCCAGCTTATTTATCACCAACTGGAAAGTTGTCCTGCTACGAGTCGCCGACTACCAAAGCTATGATCGTATACACTCGCCCGACTCACCTAAACCTCCAGCCAGTGCAGAAGAACTCTCGAATTGGCCTTCTCTCCCGGTCGCCTTGCCCCACGCCGTTCATCCGGCTGCAGTCTCGAAGATCCTATCACAATCCCCGGGGTTCCATGCGTTTGGGCCCAGATCATGACCAGCCGTGACCAGGGCTGAAGACTCTGGTACGGGAGGAGGCCAGAATAGAAACCATGGCCAAACGAAACTAAACGCAGCCTCAATATCGGCAAGCCAGCCCGCAGCTTTTCGATTAGACAGCGGCAGAGCCTTCTGAAAGATGCATCGAATGCTTATGACAGTTAGCCAAGTGCACCGGCTTGCTTGGACATTTTTGGCTACTTTTTAGAGCATTTCTACGAAGTTCTCCTGAATCCTCCAGACGACGGGCGTTGAGCTCAAGCAAGTGGCCCGCTTCGCTATGGTCCTGCCAAGCCTGCCCGCTGCAGTCAATCAACGGGCCACATCACCGAGCTCTTGTTTCACGGCCCAGATGTAAGCTTGTTCTGGAGGTTAAATCCCTCCACATTGCTCCCTGTGGCAGGCACCAGCACGATGGGAGCTTGATAAGCTGCTTCACGATAGTAGACCCTCGCGGTGGAGAGCTTCATCTAATCCTTCTGGCATCAACCCTCGATTGCGGGTGATCTCTCGGTAGCAGCGGGGCAGCGAGCATTGCAGAAGGACAAGGGACAAGGACCGTGTGAAGTCGTGAAGCTGTGCTCTCTCCTGTGCTCCTTTTCGAACTGAGCTTTGTCCAGCACCGAGTCAACTGCTGCATAGTCAATTTACCCGTACCAAGCCCCGGAGCCGCATGCACAATATTATCGCAAATCTTCTCGTTCTATTTCAGGCAAGACAACATGATCAGGTTTGATTTGTTTCCTGCAAGACATACCAGATTTCAATACGTAGCTGCACATCTTATGCAGCACGGAGAATTTAGCCTTGCACAAATTCTACGTGTCACCGTAGCTCACACAGCACAGAGAAACAAATCTTCCGACCTGCCTCACGTTGCCGGGAACACTCCAACAAAACGTTCAGTCTCTTGTCAAGTGAAAGAAGTGCCGGCCTAGCTCCACATCGCTACACATGTTCCTGCAAGTCGAGACATGAGGGGTCAGTCACTCCTCTCAGTGTTCTCCAGCTCACCACGTTCAGATGGTCGCACGGATCTCTCCCCTATCCTATCCCCCGAGATCTTACCTGGATTGCACAGGAACTTGCCCTCAAATGCAACGATCTCCGTGGATTCCTTTCCGCTTCCTGGACTCGAACGTACGATTTCTATTTTATCCTTGCTATGCCCGCGTGCTACAAAGTCACCTTCACGAGTCCAGATTGAGTTTCTCGACGTGACGGGTGCGCTGATCCCATTCTGTCAGTGCGGCTCTGCTTTTGTGTTTTCGCGAGATAGCCGTCGTAAAAGTGGAAGAAGGTTTACGGCCTCTTTTCCTAACTGAGCTGTGGATTTGCAGCTTTAGGCGGGCAAGCTTTTCTTGCTGTATAAGGTTATATTTTCTTAAATTTCTTTCCCACTTTTCTCTGTGCAAAATCTAAGGGTCTTCATTCTGACTCGCTCGAACTCTGAAAGCTGGGGCCGACCAAAGATCGTGTTGGTGGTCCACAGTCTCGAGACGAGGCTGTTCCACCACTGAAATTGGCCGCGGAGGCGAGCCCGGTGCAACATGACTTAAGTTTGTGCGTACCCTAAAATTCTCCGTAGTCCTATATCGGCTCAACCATAAGCAATATTGGCCGTTCAATATGAGTCGATCATTTGTTGATCCCACCGGGTGTCAAACGTGCACAGAACTCTTTGGTCTTTATCTGAACTTCTGATCAATATGTGTGCATATGCAAGTATTGTGCACGAAGCACAGGAAAAGGAGTGCAGCATCATGGATTACACCATGCCCTTTATTCCTTGTGAGCCGGTCGCTTCACGAATCATCGCTTGCCAGAAATGCAACTTTGGTACAAGTCACGCAGGCCTGGTGGACCATGGCGCAGCAAGTCTATGTGATTCAGTGCGATCATAGGTCCGCCCACATACCGAGCACAAATGTTCCCCTCCCTAGCCAACCATATCCTACCTCTGTTCCATAGCCCTATATCAGAGCCCAGGTATAGGGCAGTTTGATATTGATAGTGGGATCGAAGCCTAGGATTGATCCATATCTAAACTGGAGATCTTATTGGTGCCCAGCCAACTGTTCGGAAATCCGAAACTCTATTCCTCACGATGGTTGCGTTTGGTGAGTAGCTTTCCGACTCGTGGTTGACATCTCCCGAAACTTTCTTGAGTGGTTACAAATTTTCGGAATGTCCGTTACGCTACAACTCTGGCAGACAAAGTCTTGGAATGGAGACTCGATATTTCATACTTGATCACTGCCCGCGGCTTTGGGGAGATACTGCATGACTCTGTTCCACTATCGTACAGGAATTCCACCTCACAAAGACCTGGTTTCTGGATTCTGTTCGGTCATCCCGTTCATGCCCGCTGGTGGAGCAAAGATTGGATACAATTCTCCAATTCTTGCCTCGATTTTTCCTGCGACAGATAATCCCAGACAATTGCAGAATCGCGAGCATCAAACTCCCGATCACGCAACAGCACCTGGAAACATTGAGTTCGTCCCAAGTTTCATTCTCTCTATCTGAAGGCCTGAAGAATCCGTCAGACTGAATTACAAACATAAACCAAGGATTTCAAACAAAACCAAACTTCTCAGTCCAGGTCTGAACCCAAGGGTCCCCTCATTGGGAAAGCCCATGTTTTAATGACCTCCACCGACACCCGCGTAGCCGTTTTTTGTCTCACAGTAATCTGGAACCCCATAAGTAATCTATTCTTAAACCCCGCCCGACCCCAGAGTCCGGCTTACCCCTCCCTATATCAGAACCCTTAAGTTTTGTTCTCATCAGCTCCGATAATTCATCTTATAGTTTCCAGGCATGAAGTTGCTCATCACGGAATCCATTGTCAAGCAGGAAGTAGGATTCGCACGACCCCGCATCTGCTGTGATTTTCTCGTATGGTAGAGGCTGGAAACAAGAGTGATCCTAGCATTTTCCAGCCAGTGAAGAACCGTGAGCAACTACAAGAGTCCCTGGCCGTGTTTCTTCGGTCTCTAACCAAACCCGGACATCACCGCCGCCAAACCACCCCAGAAAACGGGAGAATACAACCCTGTTCCCGTACAAGCTTGTAACTGCTCGCACAAGGTGTGATAGCGCTGTGTGTTGACATGTTGGCAGAACTGCCATCCATCCCCTATTATTCCCTCCCGCCATGTGCGAAACTAAACTTTGTTTTTTACTTTTTTGGGCCTCTACAGTAGTACTGTAGCACTGTAGCAAACGGCGGCAGTCTGCCGACAAGGTCAGCCCAAGATAAGCGTTCCTCACCAAAGGATTTGAGACAACGCTACCAGCCGCTGTCATTGCACGGGGGAAGCCTATCCAGCTGGCCCGTTTCACTTCCTTCCAGAACACCTTCTCCGAATACCGTCAACCTACTCAAGCCACCAACTATCCACAAAATCCTTCTCTCTCACTCCCTTTCGTTTCGTCCCATGTCCAGACTTTTGTTTCGCCGGATCCGCTTCCACGCGAATAAAAGGAGAATTTATGCACTTCGTGGCTTTTTTTCCCTTTCTCTTGGGACTCGGTTAGCCGGGGATTATGTGCTGCAGGGGCGCGACTGTGAAACGTCGATGTGCAGGGCAGTGCATTGGGATGAAAATGCCCGAAGCGAGCCCACGTGATGCGACCCTGTGTAATTAATTATCCACACACCAAAAAGGACTGCTGCACAGAACTACTTTTATATTACAAAAATATTAATAAAACATAAAACAGCAAGACTATAGTAATATTATAGCGCTGCTTCTTTTGAATAAAAAAACACTATTCTTATGATTTTTGGTCTGTAGTTGACGTTTTAATCGGACGATCAAAACAGGGTCTTTAGCAGGATTTCGACGTTCTCGGTTGTATGGTGTGCGGATAATTGCGTACACCGGGAGATTGGTAGGGAAGTGGGGATTCTCCTTACCTACGCAGTATACACCAGGTTGTTTATTTGGTATCAGTTGTGGGGTGAGGTGTGATCGTTCTTTTTAATATATCCTCAATGCTTGTCTTTAGGCGTTGTGACGGTGATGGTTCGGTTGCTCGGGTGCGATAAGATGCCTCCTTTTTCGTATCTGAGACCCTGAAATTGAGATTACGACCCTAATTTCAATGCGGATGATGTGCAGTAGGTCTTGATAGCACGGAAAGTACCCGTTCATGCTAACATACGAACGTATATCTAAATGAATGTCTCGGGACTTGACTGTGACCTCACGCGGCTGTAATTTATGCTTCGTCCGAAGGTCTCTGTTGCAATGGCCCCTTTTCTCCCCTTCTTGAGTACATCAAATCCTGCTCACATGTGCGAACAAATCTCACCCCGTGGCCTGTAGGTAGCAACAATGTCCCCTCGATCAGGTGGCGCAGCCACTGTCTGCTGCAATCCATTTCTGATGTTCTGTTCTCCATCTTTTAAGCGGAAGTCCGCGTGAGACATCCTTCGCACAAATCCCATTCTCCTCCCTAATTTCTCGTCCAAAGGATTCTTGTCTATCTTGCCCTGGATGTTATCTACAGATTTCTAAGGGCGGCTTTTGTCGGAATCAAGCCCGGAAGGAACGGAGCAGGAGTGACAGTCTTGCATCTGCTGGCGTAGCTCCATGTCTGCCTGGACTTGTTTAACCTCGATGTCTCAATCTGAGTGTGTGTCTGAAGGATAGTGGCAGAGTAGTCGATACTGCTCCTTATCAAACTCAGGAACTTTTAATCTCATCAACGTTCCACAAACCGCTCTAGTACTTTTCATTGCTATTTTCTCACTTATCGTTCATTGTCGGCAGACTATCGACGTCTTGCAAGTAAAGTACCTGTAAAGCAAATCTTGAAAGTCTTCTAATCCAGCAAATAAAAAGTTTCCTACAGCAACACGACACTCTGCATTGATAACACGAGCCTTTCGGACGAGCTAGCAGCAAGTGTTGACATTTATGTGATTCTCTCGGTTAATTCCTTCATGGATGCGTTCAAGCCAGCACGAAATTACTCGACGGCATGCCAAACGAAGATGCTTTAGTTCATGGTACAATGAGTATCAGTTCACTTTAGTGTCTGGAAATATAATAGCGCATTGTCAATTCAAGGATTCTTCGCCTCTGACAGCTTGATGGTCCGAGGTGTGGTCTACAATTGGATCTTGCCCTCTTCATCAGAACACTCCCTGTGCTACTTAGGACACTGTCAGAATTTAAGAAAATCTCAGCGATAGCATCTTTCCATTGTATGTATACAGCTTGCATATGATATCAGCTGCACATACTTCAGACATTTGATCCAATTAGATCTGGATGTGGTTTCGCGAAGTGTCGATGTTCGGCCATTTCCAAATGGGCAACCATTCGATGAGACTCGAAAATATGAGTCGAAAAGCCGCTGTTCCTTCCAGATTATAGGTTTCAAAACTATATATCACTAGTGGGCATTAAATTAGACAGCAGCTGGAATCCAGGTACAAGCAAGAACGGGGTTGCCTGATAATGCAGTTCCCACGGCGGGTGAATTTCTGGCTTTATCTGCCTGGATACCTCGAAGAGCATTTGTAGACTGCTAGATTGTACCTGCTGGAAAATCGCAGCTTCATGACCAGCTCCCTTGTCCTAATCTCTTCGATGTTCTTGTGATAGCATCGGATCATGATCCGCTACCTCCCCATGTCATCTTATCTCACTTTCCCTTTTTCTCAAATAATAACAATGCCATTCAACTCTGATCTGCAGCGCCGCAAATACTGGCGCTGCATTAGTCTCTGCAGTTAGTATTGAATTGACATACCTGACTAGGTCATCTTTTCAAATCAGCAGAATCAATCAATTGGAGAGACGACTTGTTTCACGTTTACCATCCACTTTGAGAAGATTCCTAGATTGACCTGTCTCCCATGCCTGAATTTAGGTGTTAATATTGTTACAATCTAAAATCTCAAAGCCTAGAGAAAAGTTACAGATCAGAAATGCTCTCCTCCAACCACGGGTTCCCTGGCCAGCGAAGTGATGCGGAGTCTGGACATCCATACTCGAATGAGTCTCTCAGCACAAGTAGTGCCCGATACCCTTTTTACTCTTAAATAGTGAAAGACATCTTTCCATGTAAAGCGTGAGTAGGGGAGTGAAGTCAAAAGCTACGCAATCTGTCAATCTCGATGATCAGCAGCTCATCTAGCGTGGGAACTAACAACCAATCAAAACAACACACAATCACGTTCAGCCACAGCACTTCACCGTCAACATTCAAACCTCAACAATTGCAGAATTCAAACCACCTCCCATAAACTCACACTAAGGAAACAAGTCACCACGATATCACTGCCTCCATCTAAGCCATGACCTTCCGCACCGAGCCAGCGTTATACGCTGACCTTGACACCCTCTTCGACATCTACATCGAAGCCTCGGCCTCACATCCTCTCTCCCCATTCCTCTACAATGACCTAGCTTACCAAGAAAAACGTAGTTTCGAGTCCGGTGGCCCAAAGAAAGTATTCCTAAAGCACCCAGGGGTGAAATACCACAAGATGGTCGAGGTGGAAACTGGGTGCGTATTGCCAGCCTTGCCAGCCTTGCGAGTCCTCCATCAATCCACTGCCAGAAGCATACTGTTTGGACAATGAAAATTAATGTGGGGGATAGTCAGGAAATCGATGTTGAGCTGATCTGGGGACCAGGCAAATCGTAGCCTGGTCTCGCTGGCACTTTCCCCGCACTTTGAAAGAGGAGGAGAGAGGAAAGATGGATCCAGATTATTTCGACGATATACCTGCAGGAGCAAATGTAGCACTGTTAAAGGAGTGGTTTGACAAGCTTGAAGAGGTAGAGACCAAGTGTATTGATCGTGAAAATGGATTTTGTATGTCTCCCTCACTCCATTATTTCGGGCATCGTACTCTCTCTCTGTTGTTGTTGCCACCTCTGTTTGCATTCCGAGGATACCTTTTTTCTTTACTCACTGATTATAACAAGTCATGAATTACCTCGCTGTACTTCCAGCGTATCAACGTCTCGGTCTTGGGAGACATTTACTTGATATCGGGCTCAGTGAAGCCGATAAGTTGGGGGCGGGCATCTTCTTGGTTGCCACAGAGATGGGCGCAGGACTGTACAAGAAAGCGGAAATTGAAGAGGTCGAAAGATTTGGTATCGACGTAGAACCTTGGGGCGGAGAGGGAAAGGCGGTGTTCAGGAGTATGAAGAGAGAAGCTGTAGCGAAATCACCAGAGACGTGAGAAATGTCAAAGTCGCAAATATGGATCTCTGGCATCTCACACATTCTGAAGCACCCTTCAACCTTGTATTGAACAACTTTGATCATATTTCTAGTAATGCATAGCTCTTTTGTGATAAAACTTGAGTGAATACGGAAAATGGGAAGTCGCTAAACTACCCGATGTGGTACCAAGTCAACAAACGAAATCGCGGCAGTCGTCACTTGCGACTGACAGGGAATCCAAAAAGATGCATGCATCCATAATTGAGGTAGTTCCAATTGGTATCTAGACTCTACAGTGAATATACTGAAAAAGACCATGCAGTGATACAAGCCATAACGCCGTCCGTACTCCAATGGTCCAGTGCCCATTCTTCCCTTTACCCAGGAGACAGTCTCGCCATAACTCTATACTCACCACAATAGACTCTTCGGATCCTTAGTATTGACAAAGGTATACTGTAACAATAGTCAGCACCATCCATCAACCTCTCAACCCTCCTCTCCCTTCTCAACAAACAAAAAAAGAATAAGAAACTCACCTCTGCCAACCTCGGCATCCCATCAGAAAGCCCCAACGTAACGGCCAACAAATTAGGTTCCGTCCAAGCAGGCCTAATACCCCTCTCCTCCATCGCCTCCCACCAATCCAGAAATTGACCCAGCGTATACGGCTCCGTCCTCTGAAATGCGTTGCCGAATAGGTGGATTTCCATGAGCATCTGCCCGATCGGAAAAGCTTGCGTCAGCGAAGCAGTGTGTTTGATGAGGGAGGTCATCGTTGCGAACTCGGCGAACTCGACGTCGATTTTGAGGATATCGCTAATTAGAGGACACTGTTTAGCTCAAGTAAATGAGGGGAGGAGACGTGAGTGCTTACATATAGGTATGTCCATTCTTCACCATCAGATCTTGTACCGTGTAGAATGGGGGTGTAGCGGATTTATCCGTCGTTCCTGCAATTCCAGCTTTCATGAAATGTGTCCGACTAGCATACTCATCCGTGATGGCTGGGCCGAATGCCTCGACCGAGAAATCGTATCCCCAGATCTCGCAGTTTGTACGTTCTAGCATTTCCTGCTCTACAATTTATCACAAATTAGCTCCCCATTCGATCTGTGGGAATGAAACAGAACTCTTGAGGAAGAGGGATATCTACCAAAACTCGACTCATTCTGCACACCAAACGAGTACACAATGCAAGGCCGCGATTTCTTCTCGTACCGACTCATTCCACACACCCATTTCCCACCATCACCCATTCGCCCGATCCTCTCCACTTCATATGGACAGTTCCACGATGCGGGGACAAGATCCCATACCGAATATGGAAAGCTGAAATACGTTACTGAGTCTTTTGCTGGGAAGCTACATTGGGAGCACTCGAATCAGCCCATTTCGTTCCAATTGCGCAGCAAAATCCATCTTTTTGTGGAATACATGGGAAAGTAGTGTAGTGGTAATGCAAAACTCACAATCCCATCTCCCCAAACTTCTCTCTAACCTCATGCCTCTGCCTCACCGTCTTCATCCACAGCACCTCACTCTTCGCCATAATACTCTTCACACTCCCCCTCGTAAGCGCACCCGAGATATTCGAGGAAACGCCAGCCAATCCATCGGGAGCGCTGAAATGCGTGAGAAGCACGATGAGGAAGAAGGCCGCGCTGGAGGAGAGGAAGATCTGGAATGTGTTGAGGCGTAACATCGTGTGTCGTAGGAATTACTGAATATTTCTTTTTTAAATTCGATGGATGTTCAGTCTCGGTGTGAGAAAATTCTTAATAGAAAGCCCGGAGGAGAGAGTTCAGATAAAGTTCAGATGAAGGAAAGTTTGTTATGCTGGAGGTGTTACTGTCAAACGAGCGATGGATGCTCTCCCTTGACAGGGGCGGACAAAGATAAAGGCAAAGGCAAAGATACAAGTCCGAAACTAATATAATCAACAGACAAAAGTACCAAACAGAAAATAAGTGTCAATCTAAGAGCCACCTGCAGCGCAATTCAAATATCATTCAACCTCCACAAGAGTCATGTGACGCGCCGAATGCAACGCGTCGAGGTCGATCACCAGCTTAAGTAGTCTTGTATGCGACTCGAGCTGCACCAGATATACATGCCAAGGACGAATCGAGCAATGCACATTCCTCCCAAGAATGCTAGACTGCACATGCCAAACGATTTCTGGATACGGAAGCGAAGGGACACAAGATCCGAATGGTCATGTCTTAGTTGCTGGAATGTAAATCTTTAGAACTATTGCATGTATTACTGTAGTTCACCCAAAACTAAACAGACAGTAGCAGTTTTATGAACATGCCAGAATTCGAAAAACCCATGTTCGCGAGACCAGAAAGTTCGGCGACATACCAGAGCAAAGCTGACCCGCCATTGAAAAAGTCAAGAACGTTCCAGAATAACTGCTACAGTACGACACTCAATCTATTTCCAGCCCATTTTCTGGAACCGTGCAGCCAGCATTCTGCATTCTAAGTCCAATCGAAACAAAATCCCTTCAAACCTCCAACCAACCAATCGTACGCCCACCCACAGTCCCACCTTTTTCCAGAAACATCAAAGAAACAAGCCACTCAGCCAACCAGCCAACCAGCCAAACAGCCAAACAGATCCTCAAATCCTAGTCTACCTACAGTAAGAGCAATGTTTTAAAATCTGAAATTCGAATCTAGTTGGTGCACGCCTCGCACGCATCGCTGCGTGTTGTGTAGTGAGTGCTAGCCCCGAAACGGCGAGGTGTTTCACATTCAGCCTGTTTGAATCGTCGAGTGTGTGGCGTTGAGGCTTGGAAGTTTGAAGCGAGACAGACGACACAGACAGACGACTTTGTTACAGTTGAAGAGGAAGGAAAGAGGAAGCGAGCGACCGACAGTGGCGAGTGTGTTTGTTTGTTTTGGGAGTGGAGTGGAGTGGAGTGAACTGCGATTTTGGGGAGGGGAGATTTTGAAATCCCGATGCTGGTGTTGGATACTGATGCTTGATGTTTGTGAATGTGGAGGATTGGGAAGGAGAAAGCTTCACTGTGGAAAGGGATGAGTGGATGCGGTTTGTTGGATGTTGCGTGAAACAATTGCTTGTTCGAGAAAGTTGGTTTTCAGGGTACATAAACAATTATTATATATCATGCACACTTCGAAGAATGAGATTTAAGCATAATTATATCAAAACGCCGCGAAGAACTGTATATGATCTCATATTGATATTCCATTCCCATGTTATTAATCTCTCTATAACTGACTGCTAAATGCTTCCCTTCATGCCCCGAATCTATATGCTATTACTTTGAATCCAATTCTATGTGGGTATCATGTCTAAGTCTAAGTCTAATGTCTGTCCCATCTAGTCTATTCTTTTGTTGCGTGAGTAAGCTACTGTAGCTACATGTACTGTAGTCTTGGGGACTCTACGGTTTTTTTTCTTGTCTGTCTGGTCTTTAGCTAGATAGATATACTCTTCCCCCTCTCTCTCTTCATCCTTCTCCTGCTCGTTCCCAAGCCCACCTGTCTAGAATCAAAAACAAAAATGAATTGTGTGCAGCGTTCCTGCGCTCGTACGTACTGTATGAATTATCGAGGGTGTTGTGTTTCGGTAGCGACAGGAAGACCCCCACGTGGTGGCCTGCGCTGCCTCCCTTTCCCTTCGCTCGTCCCAGTCCCCGTCCCAATACCAGTGCCAATCCGTGTGCCCAGTGTCCTATCCGATCCAATCTAATTCCGTCTCTTCCCATCCCATCCTTTTCCTTCCCATCCCATTGTCCCATGTTCCAACCTCCCGTCTATTGTCTATGCCGATGACAGATTTAATGGGCATCTTCATCACGTCCAGGCCAGCAGATCATATGACCGAAGAAGGCCTTGATATGGCAGAAGAAGACCAAGAGCCAGGAGAAAAAGAGCACGGCCGCCATACCCGTTCCGACGAGTAGGATGGCGGGACTGTCGAGCCTCTCGCCGATCTTGATGGTGGCGATGGTGAAACCGACGTTAGGGAAGACTTTGGCGTACCAGTTGAGATGGAAGTCGTTGTGTGGGATACCGTCGATCATGGCGATGAAAGCCATGACGAAGAACCAGAATGCAAGAACCCAGAGGAAGATGGCCATGGTGAGTGCCATGATGGAGAACAGGTCTGAGATGAGAGCTTGGTTGGCAACGCCCTGAAGCTTTGTGTAGCCATCGAAGATCTTGGTGACTTGTAAGTCTTGAGCCATGTTGATGAAAGCGAGAGAAGTGAAAGCGGGTGGACCGACGGCGATGAACATTGCTGGACGGGAGAGGTAGGCTGGAATGCCGGATGTGAGGAGACGTCCAAAGTAGAGAGGGTACATGAAGATTGCCATGAAGAAACCGAAGCCTTGATATGAAAGGCCGGCGACGAGCATTGGGTAGGCGTGCTCAGGTGGTTGTGTCCTTGCGATTGCACCTGCGAGAGTTCCGACCAGCATGGCAGGGAACATGGGAAGGACCCAACCGGGTAGAACATTGGTGATCTTGAGTTGTTGGTTGACGAAAATGATCTGATAGTAAATGATGACATGAAGTGTTGCACAGATGGTGTAAATCCAGAAAGCAATGCGTAGAGCTTCGATCAGCCATGGACCTGTGTTGGGAATACCGTAAGCGACGGTGTTTGTTATCATGGTGGCACATGAGAGCCAGAAAGTGGCGCTGAAGACACCCTCGTGGAAGTTGGTGAAGGCCCTCGTGAAGATTTCGGGATAGATTATGAAGCGAGCGACCATAGCAGTGGTAACGCAAGTAAAGAAGAAGATATTCAGAAGAAACATGAAAGTGCCGAGTCCAGTAAGTCCAGAGAAACGATTTGGAACAACAGAAAGAGTCAAAGCAGTTCCTCCAGTCGCCATCGTGAAAGCATACCACCCGAATGTGAAATGCTTCAGACGTTCCTTCAGTGTATGAGGCCCGGCGGATATGCCGTGATGGTCATCGTGGTGGTTGTCGGCTGGCTTGGCCTCGATGTCAATCTTCTCGCCCTTGTAGTCGTTGAAGCGATTGGGGTCCTTTTCCATATCGTTGTATTCATTGTTGAATGAGCCAGGTTGCTGTCCCACCATTGGGCGGGAGATCTGAGGATATGACATAGTGTTGGAAAGTCCTGATGGTCCATGAGTTGGAGATGCAGACCGGCTGGCGAAAGGTGGTGGAGGAGGAAGAGGAGGAGCAGAAGTCTTTGTTTTGAAGTACTCAAGAGTGGCTTCGATGCTACCGCGAATTCTGGTATCCCTCCTGTCGTCGCGGAGCACAGCCTTCTTGTATTGAACGAGGTCGTCGATGGGATTAGGGCCGGCCTGATAAGACATAGTGAAAAAATGAGCACCGCTGGGCAGAAAATTATAAGAGGGGAATCATCGCATGATTAAGACGTCGTTGGGAGTGGCAGGAATGGACCCATTAGATATCAATAGCAACCGACCTGTCCACCTCACGGCCATCACGCAGTCTGATGAATCACACTCAAAACAATGTCAGAGGGATACTCATGGTTCTGAGCACTTAGTGGGTCTGTTTTGAATGACATATAACAGCCAAGTTAGGATGCAAACGCTGAAGAGCCTCAAGATCGAGCCCTAAAATGGAAGCTCAAAGATAACGGACATGGGTCGATGTACGCAAGGTCTTGTGGCAGACTTCCTATTGGCCTTCTGAGTGGCGACAGTGCTGCCAAGATGCGCAAGGAGTGTTTCTCTCGTTTGCTCCCGTTAGAGAAATTGGCTTTTGCAGTGCTCGAAATAGGACCAGTATCCACTCGAAGGGGCGTGCGCGAGGCTGCGAAGCTCTCGGCCAAGGCTGGGCAGTCAAGCGACGGTCAATACCCATGCACTGTGGATGTCACTGAACAGCAGCACCCTGCCACAGCCTGTGGGAAGTATCGATTGGAGCCGCAAAGTGGCAGAGGACGGTGGAGCCAGCTTCGAAGGCTTTGTATACCAAGCCCTGGGCATATGTTCGTGGGGGCGTTGATCGACCGGTACTCGCGGGTAGCGTGTGTCGTATGCGTGGGTCTTCCTTGGCCATCACCAAAACCACCTCAATCCGACTCTCTCCGACTCTCTCAGACTCTGCTGTCCCCCACCTGTCATCGGGCCAAGAGATATACTCACATGCAACTGGTTTGGAGTTGAACACCAGTGGATCTCTTCATGGCTCGCACCGTCGCCGTCGAGGACTGATAAGACATATTGGGCAAGGCCCGACCCACTTGAGTCTAGATGTATAATTACAAAGGCACGTATAGCCAGGGGATTGTTCCATAGATCTGGCAGATCTTCCTCAGTAAGGCAGGCAAAGAGATCGCCCAGCACTGTGAAGCTGACAAGAGATCGAGGTCGTGCTTGCTGTTCCAAAATAGCACTTCGCTTCCGCCAACCGCTTCGAATTCTCATGTTGTGGCCAAGAACAAAGATAACAAGCAGCCGCAGCATGTTTGTTTCATTGCCTAACCGCCCAGAGGTGGTAACGGTCTCGACAGCGAGTTTGAGCATCTCGCAATGAAGCTCCTAGGGTTCCACAACTCGATCGCAAGGAAGACGCAATGTCGTCGTAATCTATCGTCATAAAACAAATACCACTCCTCATCTCTTGCACTCGCAAAAAATGAGACTTTCCGTTCTTCAAGACACAATCGGGCATCAACTGACCCCCTTTCCACTGAGAATGATCGGAAATCTCGCTCGGGAGTACGCGGACCCACGAGGACCCACGCAGACAGATGGGATCTGACAGTCGAGCGCTGCACGGACAGAAACGTAGATAAAGACCAAATTCCAACCTAACTTCCATTTTTTTAAATCATTATTGAAAAAATGCAAGGAAGAACAATCCTGCCTGTGCTCTTAAAACCCCGAGATCTCGGGCAGAATCAATAAGCTCATACCACTGGCATGGCAATTTCCTTCTGCAACCTCATAGAACTCATCTTCAAATTCCTCCATCTTCAACTGTCTCAGCGTCAAACCAAAAGACAAAACGACTGCAGTTCAAGATAAGAATATGCCGATGCTTGGAAGTGCCTCATCAAGAATCACAGCCAAGTGTTCTTGTTCTCCTGGATAAAGGTATCAAGGTTCTTGGGGGGTCGGCCCGTGAGTTGCTCCACAACGTCGTTTGTCATCGCCTCGCTTCCACCGGCAGTTTTAGATTCGAGCCAGGTCATGAACCCGGCTGCTGCTGGCGGAAACCCAATCTTTATGTAGTGCTGGACGTTCTGATCCTGATCGAGTCGAACATGCACGATTTCTCGTCCAAGAGCTTTGCTGAATTTGGCTGCAGCCTGCAGGGACGTCAGTATGATCTGACAGATTTGACTAAAGTGCAGATGCGCACCTCATCATAGGTCAATAGTTCTGGTCCTAAAACCCTGACTGTCTCGCCAGGCACTTTCGCAGAGGTGAGCGCATGAACTGCCACGGCGGCAAAATCCTCAGCACTGACGAAGGATATCTTTCCGTCCCCGCAGGCAGTGTAGATTTTGCCTTCGTCCTTGATCGTGGCGGGGTACTGCCACTCAGAAAAGTTCTCTGCAAGTCTGTCAACCTCAAGAAACTATGCTATAAATAATTGGCTTTACCCATAAGCCAAGTGGATCGGAGCACGCAATATTCAACACCGATCTGATCCAAGTGTTCCCAGATCTTGCCAAATACTGGACTTCCTTTCTCAGCAGTGGTCCCTGCAAACAGAACGAATCTCTTGACACCGTGTTTCCGTACGGCATAATCAACGAAGGCGTTGGCTGGTGTAGCTGGATCCTCATTCTCCGGGATGACAATATAGAGTGCCGTTACCTCTTCTCCCTTGATAGATGGATGCTGAAATGGATTCTCATATGTCGATTCGTCGAGCCAGTCACTGGGGAGGAGTTAGTCAAGGGGCCAGAGAAGTCTTTCCACCATGCACGTGATACGTACAACTTGGCGACTGGCAGAGCGTCTGAAATCCGGTGTCGCCCTTACGAGACGTCATGATGAAAGGGATCTTTGCATCTTTGAGGATACGAGCCATTCGGATGGAGGTCTTGCCCTTGCCGCCCGTGAGTAGGATTGCCATTTCTAATGATTGGGTTGAGGTTGAACTTGAAGGTAAAACTTGTGAGAACTTGTCGAGGTGATGTGTTGAATGTGGCTTTCCTCGATGATTCAATGAGTTAATTGTCTGTTATATAGTTCCCTCTTGTCCAGGCTCGGGATTGGTGGCGTTCGGCCTGAATGTTTTCCCCGCGGACAAAACAGAAAATCGTCCCATAATCCGGCTCCCGCCTCCATCGACTTATGAAGCATGTACGAATGGAGCGGTCATACCTGGAAGACATTCGAACCAGCCAATGGGCAAGTGTGCTGTCACTGTCTTGTCGAGACTTATCTGCGCAAAATCCGAAGTGATGTCGAGAAATCACGTGAGCGGAGCGACTGAAGTTTTTGCTTCTTTTGATACCAGCATGCGTGGTACCTATTATCCTGCATTGCCGCTCGCCACCTGCAAGGGAGGTGATGAGCCTTTGTAATCCGCATCGTTAGAACTTGCTTCCAAGACAAATGACAGATGTATATGATTTCGTGGGATCAACCGGGTCAAGGCTTGGAACAGTGTGACCTGTCTTCATGCTTGATCAGTCTTGTGGTCGGTATAGACGCGTAAGTAGTTGAAGAGAGATAGTCCGAGAGAAGTATCTCCATAGAGCCTGGTGGCCAAGGGATACTCATCCATGAGTAGGGTCAGCGCCGCAGAGCTAGCCAACGCGCTGTGGTGTCTCGACTCCATCGTGGAACCGAATGTCGCGTCCTTGCTCGTACATGGATTCCGTGGTAGTAGTGTTGATGGATTCAAAGCAGAGAGTGAGTTTAAATATCGAGGAGAGGGACGTGATGGACGTCAACTAGGTATGTACGAGGAAGGACAGAAATAGATGAGGGAGGGCAGGAAGTATTAAGGTCAAGTCGCCCTTCCTCCTCGTACCATACCAAGACACTAGCGCCAATCTGTAACCGGGGTTAGTGTGTCCCCCACACATTTCCTTCTCTCTCCAGGTTTCATGGTCCGATCTTCACACAATTCTTAAACAACACGAGCGAGCCATCCAAAGTCGGTTCGAGACAACTTTAAATAACTCTTTCTGCGCAGCTGGAAGTCTGCTAATTTTAGGAGTATATCTTCATAACGACAGAACAGTTTTTTCGTGCTCTTGTTCTTTGTTTTCGGAGAGAAAGTGAGGATTCGACAAGTACCAAGACGTTTCATATGTTGTGATGCCTAGCTATTTGACACCTTGGATTCGATTGACATGACATGATATCGACTGTTGCCAAGGGATTGGTCCAGATTAACTTTTCTGCCAATGCGTGTGAAGGCTTGGAGATTCCGGTTTCTCGGAGGTCTTTCGAGCCCGGATTGCGATGGACTGAGTGAACACCTTGAAGGTAGAAGTTCATAAACTGATATTATTAGCAGGCTTCAGTTACAAATTGGAGATAAGTAGACCTGGTTGGCGGTGCTTGATGCTGGAAGTCAACTTTACACGAGTTTCTTGGAACCTCTCAGGGGCTCGCTTGCGCAGCCTGGGATTTTCTTGGCACGACATCTTGGAGTCCGAAAACTCCACGTCAGCTGCTCCATCGCGGACACAGAGTGGCCAGATTATTCGATTACTCTGACAAAGAAGAGAAGAGAGCTCTTGGAACGCGTTTCAATTCAACCCGAAGAAAGCATGTGTGAGAGAAAAAAAGGCCTTCGCTAAACGCCCGCTTCCTAGTTGCTGCAAAATCTTACAGTCTGTGGAGATGTCTGACCAAAAGAGCGCAAAAGAAATACCATTTTGTCTGCCTCATCCTTCAAATCAATGACCGGACACCGATTGCCACGAAGTATCAGAACAAACATACAGAAACTAGGCTCCGACCAACTGCCAACACGACCTCTCGCCGCCATGCCGCCTTCGAGTCAACTCCTGAAGTCAACTCCTATGCTTTCTGACTCTACCGTCCAGAATCAACTCCTGAAATCAACTCCTACGCTTTCAAACCATACCCACGCCGCAGATCCTTCCTCTCCAACTCCAACTCCCCATCCTGCATCTCCATCACCGCCGTAATATCCGGCTCATTCTTCACCACCCAATGAACCACCTGCCTCAACCTCCCACCATCACACCTCCTCCCCAACTCCCCCTCATCCACCCCCCTCCCCACCAGAATCCTCCTCACCTCCTCCCAAACAACCGGATCATTCGTCTCATGCGCCGCCAAAACAGCCAAACTCCTCCTCTCACCCGCCCTCTCCCCCCTCACCTCCTCCACCAACAGCCTCTCCACCATCCCTAACACAGGCTCCTGTCTCCCTAATGGCGAAAGTCCTAGACTCTCAACGAACATCTTGATATCGCTTACAGCGAGCTTGAGGTCTCGCTTAAGTGTTTTGAATGAGGTGCGTTTGCGGCTATAGCGGAACCAGCGCGTCCAGGCTGACATGCAGGACCGCTTCATGCTATCCTGAATATCACAAAGCGTGTTTCCCAAGCTGTCAACAATCCCCAGCCATTCTCTCCTGCGGTCGTGACATCGCTGTCTAAGGATAGAGAAGGGATTCTTGGCTTGTTTTTCAAGCTCATTGAGGAGCTGGCTGAGAAATTGTAGGTTTGCTTGTAAGTCGAGGTATTTCTTTGGGGCAGTGCGCGTGCCGGTGAGGATGTTGGAGACGAGTTGGTTGGCGGCGTGGAAGTCTTCGGTGCTGAAATCGGGCATTTTGGTGAATCCCAGAGTGGTGGTGGTAGTATTTGTCAGTTGATAGGTAATTTGAAGTCAGCCAGATCTTGTTTGATCTGGTTTTGATACACTGACACTGGCAGCCTGCCTGCCTATCTCGATAAAATCAAAATATCGCAAACAAGAAACAGCCTGCTGTCATGTCAGGAAAAAAAAAAAAAAAAAAAAAAAGCGCATTACAAAACAGAAAGAAAAAAAAAGAAAAAAAAAAACAGCACTCCGACGACTTTCAAGTCTGTAAGAGTATGAGTAAACTCTCATCGGATCCACCGGGGAGTTTTTCTGACATCAGCCACTGAGATATCGCGATATCGCGATATCACAGGACGGATTTTCAAAGTCTGCTTACGCGGCTTTCGGACGCTCGGTGTAGCAACGGTGAGCGGTATGGGGTCTCCTACTCATCATGATGTAGAGAGAAGTTTAGTTGTCTTACTGGATGGCTGATATTGTATGGTTGGTGAGTATATTGTGGAAGTGAAGGAGCGGAGATAAAGAGAACACAGAATGTAGGTAGAAGAATGTTGACGGAACAGATAAAGTCACGTTTCCCAGACTCAAATACCTACCTACCTAGGTATCTTCTATTTCTTCGTGGCATACCTACATACCTTCCAGGAGAACCGAATCTGATCTATCGTAGGCAAGGTACGTTGCTCGCCCAAAAATTCCATAATCCTTTCAATGCAGAAGGAATCGTCTTTGGATTATCCAAGGACGAGCGTCTCACTGTTCCTCCCTCAAGTAGGTAGACAGTCAAGTTCTGGAAGTTGAGCAACACACGATGGTAATTGAAGGAATCCGATTTCGCCTTTTGAGGTAGGTAGCCGAAATTACGAATGCGGTCAACAATACCCTTTTTCATCACACACAAACACACGCACTGTATTCCGCAATTCAATTCAACCGCATTGTAACACCAAAAGACTGAGCCTCAATTCATTCGCGTTATTCCAAATATCACCACGTGGTCAACAAACACTCTCCCCTCCCATCAAAAACAAATCAATCGTCCAAGGTCCTCAGCCACACCAGACGGGTCATCGCCATCGCCATCGCCATCACCATCACCGGCAGTCAGTCAGTCATGCCCATATCATGATGTCAGCCGAGGAACATCCCCGTCATGCCAATGGAATAAGGTTACCGCCCAAGCCCAACGCCACCATCTGCTCTACTGTACAGTAGTATTCTAAAATCCAGCCCTGCTAACTGGCTGCGATGCCCGTCAAACTCTGGAGATAAACAATTCGCCAATGCAGTCCGTCGCATCTAGTTATGACGGCGTCGTATTTGATATCAAAAAAGTGGATAGCTCTCAGCCACAATCGCAGCTTCGCACCACAGTTTACAGGGTCGGTTTCGCTACCTACCTACCCCGCCAAGCAGAATCAGCTTCCAAGTTCACCCCCAAGCATTGCCAAGCATTGGCCGCCCCGCCGTTTTGGGAGGCAGTGTCGTCAACGTGATGTGGTAACCAGGCTGTTGTGTCCCCCTCCGTATGCGATGCTCCGCTCGGGAGAGCTTAGCCGGCACTGGGCACTGCTCACTGCTAGGCTGGGGGTGGAATTTCGCAGCTCGTCATTCCATAGATACAAAACAAGGTCATATCCCCACCCCACCTCCACCTCGTCCGACGTCTCTTTGTTTGCACCTACATAGTCGTACTTGACATTGGATTTTTTTCTCGACCTGAAACTTGAACCTGCATCTGCATCTTTCAAACCCAAAACTGAAAATCCAAAACTCAATTTGTTCTGTGCTTCAGAAAAGATATTTGGGTATTAGCAACAACAGCTCTATCAGAAGCATCGACATCAGAAGCAGCTACAACAAAAAATAATCATGATTCTCCCAAGAGGCGTACAGCTCCCCAGAGCAGAAGACGCTCTCAACCTCGTCGCTCGTCAGATTAATTATGGTCGTCGATGGTAAGATCACTGACTCTCAATCAAACATCCCTCTTTCCTCTCACTCAATTCATTGCCTCACCTTTCCCATTTCTCTACCTATACTATCCACGCAAACTAACAATATCAATCAACAGCAACCCAGCGTATCAAAACTGCCGCCGCACATCATTCAGCCGTTGGGGACGATGGGTCCTAGCTGGAATCCTCATCTTCATGGGCATTCTACTTCTCTTCCTCGTCCTGTAAGTTACACCCTTTACCCTCCCCCTCCCCCTTCACCTCCCCCTCCCTCCCATCTAACAACCCAACTAACCTCCCTCTGCCCCCACAGATGCTGTTCCAAGCGCCGCAAGCGCCGCGCCGCCCTCCGCGCAACACCCATGACTGCTCCACCCCCAGCAGGCCACGGCGGACCCTACAACAACAACTCCGCCGGCTACAACGCAGGCTACAACAACGGCGGATACAACCCGAGCCAGCAGTACGCGCCTCCGGCTGGTGCGCCGCCGCCTCAATACGGGAATGCAGGGTATAATAATGATTATTATGGGCAGCAGAATGGGGTTGCGCAGCCGCAGAATGCGTATGTTAAATAAGGGATGGGAGAGAGAAAGCAGAGGGGTGGGTGGTGGATGGAGGGATGGGGGATATGATATGCAATTCAATGATTTCGATTGGAAGGGAAGGGAAGGGAAGGCGTTACGGGTTGGGGACAATGTGTAAATCTGATTTTGAAATTGAGACCGGACCGGACCGAGTAGAGGAGAGTAGAGGGGAGGAGAGGAGAGGGGAAATTGTATGATATACAATGTAATGTAAAGATACAACGCGATGCGATGCAAATCCAATTACAACAAATTCCTTTATCAAAACTCAATTTTTCCCTTGAATGAAGCCCATTCTGGGCCTGCCTGCCTTCACTTTCACTGACTTCTTCAGAGGGTCTTGATCATACGTACCCTTCCATTAGTGTTAACGCAACCCCCTTTCAGCCTTTTCAAGGGAGTCTTCGTCCTTTATCTGAAGATCGTTTTATCTTTATCTTTATTTTTAGGTGCTATGCAGAACGGAATAGCAAGTTATACGCAAAGTCGTGTGGTGCGAATTGGGATATTCCTCTCTTTTTTTCTTTTTGCAGAATCTCTCCTCTCCCGATATTGAATTCCCAACTTGTTCGTTTGCAGTTGAGAGGTTCAATCGAGAATCAGTGAAGTCGATTTCTGACGTCATGGCCTGCTCGTTCGTCTTTCTCTTTGAGTCTTGAGATTTTTGGCCTTCCTCAGATAGATAGACCTCTATCCATGGAATGAGATGTTCATCCATACATGTCTACAAACCTGCGACCGTTGAAAATCAACGCGCTCAGTATCAGAAGTCTTGGGTTAAATAAAGCACAGCTGCGTGTCCGTCCTTTTCCTTGAAGCAATCGTGGGGAGTTGATTCGGTCCTGGTCCTGCGAGTCTGAAGAATTCGCGAGGCAGTCCCGAAATCACAACCAAATCGGCACCGATTCAACAAAGGACAAATTCCATTTGACTATTATACAGTCCCGCAAGGCAAAATCGCTGTCTATTTATATCCACGAACGCCAGGTCTATCAATTTCTTCTTTTCTTTATTCGTCAACCCTTGTGTATTCATCAGCCTGCATACCTCTTCTCCAGTCCATCACGTCTCATTCGCCACCGCCGGAGCCGCACCACCATTCCCATTCCCATTCGCATTCGCATTCGCATTCGCATTCCCATTTCCACTCCCTTTCTTCGCCTGCTCCTCCTCCACCTTCGCCTTCACCCTCTGCCCCTCCAAATCCTTCAACCTCTGCACCTCCGCCTTCCTCTCCGCCTCCTTCTTCCTCTCCCTCTCCCTCTCCGCCTCAACCCTCTTCCTCTCCTCCTCAACCTTCTTCCTCTCCTCCTCCACCTTCTTCTTCCTCTCTTGCTCCACCTTCCTCAACTCCGCCGGACTCGGCGGCGGCTCCACCCCCGTCGCGTTAAAGACGAAGTTCTCCGGCATATTATGCCCCATCGTCTTGCCCAGGCGGGTATTGAACCTTGCCTCGTCGAGCTTCTTGCGCGCTTCGGGGCTGAGACTGCTTTCAAAGGCGGTCCAGTTGACTCTGTTGGCTTGGGCTTCGGGGCTGAGCCAGGAGGGGCGCTCGATGGGTGTGCCCAGGACGCTGGCGGCGTAGTCGAGTCGTTCGTAGTGTGCTTCTTGGACGCGGCCTTGGTAGTCGAGTTTGTGGCCGCAGCGGTGGGAGAGGAGATCTTCCATTCCAGCCCCAGGGGCACAACATCCACCGTAGCAATCCCCGATGAAACTGATGATACTGGAGAGCTCTCTCTGGCGTCGAGTCTGGTCTATGATGTGGAGGATGGTGGGCACGGCCATCTCGTGGAAGACGGAGTGCGCGGCGAAGGTGTAGGCGAGGTAGATGTAGTCGACCCAGAGGTGGCGCGGCACGTAGTAGATGTCTGACCAGCCGGTGCACCACTCGTCCGGGTCGAAGACGTAGTCGGTGTTTGCGGCGGTGAGGGAGGCGAGCGCTTCGAGGAGTGGGTATTGCCAGTTGTGGTTGGGGGACATGCCGACCCAGCTGGAGAAGCGCTCGCGTTTGGTCATGCAAAGGAAGGTTGGGCCTCCGCCGGCGCCATCGTTGTGTCGGCTGACGGCTATCCACATCTTGTTGAAGTCTTCTTCGGCGAAGTCCATGGGGTCGACCCAAGCGTCGCTGGGAAGGTACGGTGTTAGTCAGTGTCCATTATTTTCAGCCAACGACACTGCGTAGAAACAGAACCCAAACAGCTGTGGCTTTCCAAGCGAGAAAACCAAAACAAACAAAAAGAAGCGAAGCGAAGTCCAAGAAAACCAAAATCAAACTCACAAATGAAACTGCAACAACCCCTCAATCTCCCTCTCACTCTCATTCCTCTGCATCTTCAAAATCCACTCCATCGTCCTCGCAATCTGGACATACGTCACCAACCCATCCCCCCAATTATCATGCGTCAGATTCTGATACTCCGTCTTCAACGGGGCATCCACCATAGCCGGCATACTGAAATGCAGGGTATGGAAGAACGGCGCGTATTTTTCTATAAGAGGCACGCGTTCGGGGCGGTGTCCGTTCCAGCGCACGAAGGCGAGCGTGTTGTTGAAGGGGGAGGTGAGGATTGGGAGGTCGGGGGTGAGGTCCGAGGGGGAGGTGAGGTCCGGGAGGGACATGGTTTCGCAGAAGGTGATTATGGTTATTGAGAGGAGGGTGGAGATGAGGAGTATGGGGTTGTTGTATTTCTGTGAGGGGGTCAGCTTAGTTTAGTTATAAGTGGTGGACCGTCTTGGGGAGTACGTACGGGTCCTGAGGGGATGAAACTGAATAGCCGATTGCGTGGAGCATCGTGCTCATCCGCGAATGAAGCTGGTCGTTTTGGAGCAGGTGATTCCATGTACAGCCACGAAGTAATGAAGACGATCAAGCCGCCGGGAATAATGAGCGGTGCCATCGTGGTTCCGAACAAAATTGGCGAGATATACAACAGAATGCCTGTCGCAACTGCAGTAGCGAGACATTTGATGACAGCATTGGCATCTAAGCCGTCCGATCAGTACATCTCATCCCCAAGAGTATCACAAGTGAGATGGAAGTAACAAATTCCAAAACATGTAAAGGCACAACTCACATTTATACACCGCCGTGATCGCCAGCCCAATAAACACATTACTCACAATCACCAAATACGCCGCCGAGTTATTATACCCCACAAAGAAACCCGGCTCATCCTCCGTCACATAGCTCAGCGTGACATGCACCAACCCATTAATAACCACACCACAACCATACAGCACAGCATTCTGCGCATGCAGAGATGCCTGATCGCTTTTGAGGAGCGATTGATTGTACACGCCTGCTACCGAGCTGACGAATACTTGGAAGAGGAGAACCATGTAGGTGGATAGTGGGTAGGATGTACCTGTTTCTGGGGTGTATTGTGTTGTTACGAGACCGCAGAGCTGGGGGTTTGTTAGTTAGATTTTTGTGCTTTGTTTATTGTGTAGGTGTGGAGTTTGAGATTTGAGATTTGAGATTTGAGGAGGAGAGGAGCGTACTTGGATTATGATGGCTGTCCATTGGACTTTTGAGACGTCCGCTCCGAGAGCAAATACCATGATGAGTGCCGTGATGAAAATAACTCCCGAACGAACGAGAGCGATTGTTCCTGGATCGGCAAGTTTATATGCCACGAAGATCTATTTATCTCCTGTTAGTACCTAAGTTCGTTTTTCATTTAGTAGGACTTGATGTTACCGTATTGTTGATCAGCGCATACAACAACGCCAACTTCGCAAACCCATACCTATTCTCCACCCTCACCATCCCCAAACTCCTCACATAATCTCCCACCAAATTGCCCCTCCTCCTACCCACTCCAACTCCAACTCCACCCCCAGGAATCAACCTTTCATCCTCAAACCCCACCCCAGCACCCGCACCAGCATCCTCATCCCCATCCCCATCCCCATCCCCATCCCCATCACCCACCCTCACCTTCTCCCCCACCTCATCACCAACCCCATCCTCACCACTCACCACCACCAACTCAAGCCTCCCCGGCGAATCCCTCCTCGCCCTCACAGCCGACCTGACAATCAACGCGGACGAAATGAGGAATTTAAAGAACTCCGAGATGGTCACCGAGCTGGATGTGGAGAAGGTGTATTTCCCGCTCGTTTGCGAGGATCGCATGATGCATCCTATGCCGACTTGGATGATGACCAGGGAGAGGGCGGAGAGGTAGGCGGCGTTGTAGGAGCGGAGGGTGGAGAGGGTGGTGAGGAGATGCATTTTTTTTGGGGGGTGATTGTGAGTTATCCTTGAGTTGTTCTCCAGAAAGAAAAGTCGTTTGTTATCACTCCAGTTGAAGTCTGGAGCAGATGAAGATGAGCGTGGGATTGTTATCACCAGCGAGGTCGACCAGAGCTGAAGCCAAGTTACAAACTGAAAGGAAGTCCTACTGCCGTCCAAAGGACAGATTGTCGATCAAATGGATAGCAAGATGGCTGGCTGGCTGGGTGGCTATTACGATTTCCTCCAAATCGGCGGCGGTGGTTGTCACCCCTTGCTGTTGTGTTCTGAAGTAATCACATTTCTTGTCTTTGTGGCGTTGTGATGATCGACGCGAACTCCTCGAATGTCTCACCCCCGTCGCGAACATAACATATCCTGTACCTTGCATCAGGTCGAACGCCCAAATCCTGCTGCTTTTTATTGAACCTCTCCAATCGACTGCAATTATCATACAGCGTGGCGAGTTTCAGACGCGTTGAACGCGATAGAGTTTCTGCCAAAGGGAGGGAGGGAGGGAGGAGGAGAAGTGGTTTTGTGATGGGGTGGACGAATTGGATGGGAGGCCGTCTGGTTTGTGTGTCTTATTGCTGCGCGGAGAATGTCGCCAGGGAGGGATGGATTGGAGACATGAGTGAGGAGGGAAAAAGGCCCATGGTGGCGAGGAGGAGTGAGTGAGGAGGTTATTGCTGGCCATATCATCAGCTTCATTCCCACTCTCCATGTAACTTCGCTCCACTTCCCAGGCAACACCAGGATCCTCTCCACACTCCCCCACAATCAAAATTGAAAGGAAAACCCCACAACAGCTACTAAATATGCCAGGGCTCACCAATATCGACGTGCGAGTGGAAGCGCCGAAAAGTAGCAATAATGGCAGTAGTGCTAATAGCCAGGCTCTCAACATCATTATCCCGATCGGAGGGATTGGGAGCCGTTTCTCGAAAGTCGGGTACAGATATCCTAAGCCTTTGATCAACATCATTGGTCGACCTATGATTCTAAGAATCATTGATAACTTGTCTTTGAGGCCAGAGGATACGCTCTGGATGGCGGTTAATATGGAGGTTGATGATGAGTTCCGTATTGGACAGTTGGTTATGAAGACATTTCCCAGAGTGGATTTTCGCTTGTTGAGGTTGAAGCATCAGACGAAGGGTGCTTCAGAGACGGTGAGTTTCTACTGAATCTCGATTGTGTTTGGACAATGCTGTAGGATTGAATGCTGACTTATCTGAAGCTGTATATGACCGCCCAAAGTATGGGAGCCGAACACATGGCAAGACGAACAGTGTCACTTGACTGTAAATTCGCTTACCCCGATCAACTCCAAACAAACACTAACCACTCCAGGCGATACCATCTACTGGGCCGATATCCTCCAAGACGTACGAAACATGCCCGTCCAATACGGCGCAGTATTTTACTTCCCCGACGACGGCATCAACCCCATCTACTCGTACATCAAAACCGAAGAAGGCACCGACAAAATGCCCCTCATAACCGACATCCGCGAGAAGAAAGCCATCAGTAACAAAGCCAACACAGGGGCCTACGTCTTCGCCACCGCCTCACTAATGCACACCTGGGCAGCGAAGAACATCGACTCGCACGCGCTGCGGCCCAAGGGCTCCGACATAGGCGAGTACTACACTTCCCAGATGATCGGGACGATGATCCACGATGCGCAACTGCCGTTCCTGGGCTTGCCGCTGTCGAAGAAGGACTTCAGCTGTGTGGGGACGCCCGAGCAGCTGGAGGATCTGCTGATGCAGATGAAGGATGGGAAGAGGCCGAATCAGGTCAAGAAGAGGAGGTTTTGCTTTGATTTGGATATGACGCTTGTGGGTGTGCCGGCGGTGTCGGGGGATTACTCGACGTGTCCGCCGATCTGGAAGAATATTAGGTTGGTGCAGCAGTTGCATAAGGCTGGGCATTATATTATTATTGTATGTTGATATTTGGTACGTTTGTGGAATGTTGACTGACAGATTTTAGCAAACTGCGAGAAGGATGAGGACTCATAATGGGAATGTGGGTGCGATTCTCAAGGATGTTGGAGTGATCACTTTCCAACAGCTGGCAAGATATGAGATTCCGTTCCATGGTGAGGAAGTTTCCGCACATATACCGAACCGTGCTGATTTTCAGATATCCATTTCGGCAAACCTTGGGCTGATGTCTATGTCGATGACCTCGCTGTCAATGCCAATCTTGACACCATGAAAGAGATTGGCTGGCTGCTCGATGAAGCAGATCCATCTTCTCTCTTAGAACCTGAAGCTGAGGGCACAATGTCGAGACCCCTAACGCCTCGTCCCAATCAAACAACCAAAGCAATGGTGGCAGCCCGTGACTTCAACACCATCCAAATCGTAGGCGACAAGGTCATCAAATCCTCCAAATCAGACGCCATCCTCGGCGAATTGTACTTCTACGCACACATGCCGACCGATCTCCTCCCAGTCTTCCCCACAGGATTCGCGGTGGATTTCCTCCCAGAGACAGGCAACTATACCATCGAGATGGAATACCGCCAGGGACTCACCTACAGCCACCTCCTCGTCGGCCGCTCCATCACCTCCGGCCGCCTTCTCACCCTCCTCACCGCGCTCCACAGCATCCACACCACAACCAGCACTCTCTCCCCGCGGCTGCCCATCTCCCCCGCCCTCGCAAGCAAGTTCTCCCAGCATAGCATCGAGCGGTCCAGCGGGGTCAACATCTACGCCAACTACGGGATGAAGCTGCGCTCGCGGTACTACAACAACACCGCTCGGTACGCGGCGCTAGGCCCCAACTCCGCAGAATGTTTCTCCCGCCTCAGCGAGTTCCTGGACACGTACGAGGCGGAAGACAAAGGCGTGCATGTGCCCATCATCCACGGCGACCCGGTCTTCAGCAACGCCATCCTGAGCCAAGACGACAAATCCGTCTCCTTCATCGACGTGCGCTGCCAGCTCGAAGACACGCTCACGATGCAGGGCGACATCCACTACGACCTGGCGAAAATCCTGCAATCCCTCGTGGGCTACGACCACATCCTGTTCATGGACCTGGACGCGCTGCCTTCAGCTAGTCAGCCGCTTCTCGAGGAGGCGGATGAGAGGATCTTGATGGGGCTGCAGGAGGTGTTTTGGCGGTTCTTGGAGGAGAAGTATGCGGTGACGGTGCATAAGAAGACGCTGTTGAGGATCACGGCTAGTCTGCTGTTTAGTCTGATTCCGTTGCATAAGGTCGAGCTGGGGCCGCTGTTTTTGAGGATGTGTATGAGTACGTTGGAGCTGGCGAGGGGGATTCCGTATAAGCGGACCACGGCGGCGGGGGCGGGGGCGGGCGTGGCGAGTGGGGTGAACGTTAAGGGCAATAATGGCAATGGCAATGGCAATGTTGGGAAGGAGCAGAAGGTTGGGGAGGGGATTGAGGTTGATTTGGCGAGAATTACTGTTTCGTAGATAGGTAGATTTGTGAGAGAAGGTTTTCGTGGTGTGGTGGGTTGGCTGGAAATGATTGATGGATCAAATTTGAAAGCGGTGTTTCGGCATTCGGTAATCCGTAGTTTGATTTATTAATGTTCGTTAGTGTTCCTAATGTGACTTCATATACTTTGATTTTCATTTCATCTCGAAGAAAAACTTTTTCGGTGGTAGCTACGTACGAGTAGCTGGACAATGCTTAGATATACTTTTGGTTTTCCCTGCTTGTCATTCCAGCGCTGTTGAATAATGGCCAGCAAACTTGCCTTGCCCTATATTGTATTAGCGGTATCGGCTCGACCCTAGGTAAGTCACATATTGTCTAAGACATCCTGCCGGGGGAATGTAAAAACTTCAAGGCATGAAGAATGAATGACTGGGAAGAGTGAGTTATTCAAGATCAAGTTGGTAATTTACGGACAGTATGAGCACTCTCGCACTGCAAGAATCCTCGGTGGGAAGTTCCATGATCAAATAATCATAATATTGACTTCGCCCCTGAGTGCGCTGGTCCGTGCCCAGGGGCGATATTCCCACTTCTTCCACTTTGGGACATGAGTGAACTTTAAGGCCAACCATTTTCGCCATCCTCACCATCTTTTCTCGCCAAGAAACCTCCGGGGGGCTGAGCTGACCCATATTTCTGTCTCGTTTACGTGCCAAGTAGTCCATCGATTGGCTGGCATCTGGAGCTAAAGCAGGAACTCGTATCCCATGAGATCATTTTGATCGCAAGCGCGCCAAGCCCCATGTGGACCGGCGGAAATTTGGGCGAGCCCAGCACGCCCAGCACGCCCCAGCAAGCCCCAGCCAAAAATAGGTGGCCGTTTAAAAGAACGCGGTACCCCAACCCCAGATTGTTTCTATTCCAACAACATTGTTCACGACAACCACCGCCCTTTTTCCCTCTCGTTTCTTCCAACGACGACTCTTTTTCGTTTCTGTCTTGATCTCATCTCTAATATCAGCAGAACATCACATTCGCTACTTTCCTACTTGCACCTTTTGTCTATTTTCTAAAATAAAATCTTCTGTTCTAATCATGCACGCCTCCCTCATCGCCCTCGCGGCATCCCTTTCGGTCGCTTCCGCCGTCACCAGAGGATTCAACTATGGTGCTGTCACCCGTGAGGGACAAATGAAGAACGAGGCCGCTTTCACCGCCGAGTTCCAGGCCGCAAAGGGCCTTGCCAACACAGATGGTGCTTTCTCCAGCGCCAGACTCTACACCATGATCCAGTCTGGCACCGACCGAGACCCCATTACTGCCATCCCCGCCGCCATCGCCACAGACACCAAGCTCTTCCTCGGTATGTGGGCTTCAGCAGGCCAGACAATGATCGACAACGAGATTGCCGCCCTTACAACTGCCATCGAGAAGTACGGAGAGGAGTTCACAAGCCGTGTCAACGGCATCTCTGTTGGATCAGAGGATCTGTACCGTATCTCGCCTACCGGTCTCAAGAACGATCCTACCGGAGTCGGAGCCCGGCCTGAGCAGCTCGTCAAGTACATCCAGCAAGTCAGGAAGGCTCTCGAAGGTACTGCTTTGGCAGATGTTGCAGTCGGACACGTCGACACCTGGGATGTCTGGAGAAACGCCACCAACAATCCCGTTATTGACGAGATTGACTTCCTCGGAATGAACACCTTCCCATACTTCCAGATCACTGAGGATAACTCCATCGAGAACGCTCCTACGCTCTTCAACGCCGCTTTCGAGATCACCACAGCTGCTGCTAAGGGAAAGCCACTCATCATCACTGAGACTGGATGGCCTGTTGCCGGAAAGGACGCCAAGTCTGGCCACCCTTCCACTGAAAACGCACGATCCTACTACGAGGCTGTTGGATGCAACACTCTCTTCGGAAAGATCGATACCTACTGGTACACTCTCGTCGATGCCAACACCGCCGTTAACAGCCAACCTCAATTCGGTGTTGTCGGCACAACCGTCTCCCGCAATTCTCTCTTCGACTTGAAGTGCGACGCACCAAAGTCCACATCCTCCGCAGCATCCAAGACTGCTACCTCTTCCGGTCCCAGCGGTTCCGCCACCGGCTCAGTAAGCGGCTCAGTCCCTGGTTCAGCTAGCTCTGCTACCGGCACCACTCTCGCCCCAGTCAGAACTCCCGGCGCCGCCTCTCCAAGCGGAACTGGATCCGGATCCGGATCTGGCTCTGGCTATGGCGCTGCCTCAGGAACTGGTACATCCACAGGTTCGGACTCCTCCTCCCCCTCCCCTACATCAAGCCCATCATCCACTCCCCAATCCACATCAAGTAGTCCTTCAGACTCTTCATCCTCTCCAGCAGGACCCGAGCCTACTCCCACTACCACCACCATCACCACCCAGGCATCCCAAACTGACTCCCCCTCCCCTACAGGTCCAATTTCCACCGCCCCCATCACCACAAACGCAGCCGGCCAGATGAAGGCCGCCTCATACGTGGGACTCGTCGGTGCTGCCGCTGCTTTGATTGCTTTCGCATAGACATCGCGGGTCAAGGATACCGATAATCAATCCGTGGGGAATATACAAGCAAGCAAGCTGGTTATTTTATGCTAGTAGGACATATAGACGGTAGACGGACCCCCTTGAACGAATGACTGACTGGCTGTATCATAATATTAAAAAATGGTTTCAGGTGCATTGATGGGGCATAATTGCGATTGCGATTGCTATGATCGTGGAGCGTTGCTCTTTTTTTGTGTGAAGATTTTGGAGATTGGTGCATAGAAATATATACACAGACAGACATACACAGTATTGTACATCTCAAATTACGTTTCATTGAGAACATGCTCCCTTCCAATAAATACCCCTTTCTACCAAGTGTTGTATTTGTGGTATTTCGTATTTCCCATCCCCGTTTCAAGCTACCCTACCTCACCACCGCGAAGACTTTTCTCGTCATTTGAACTACCTACCTACCTACCTATCTCTGAATCCTCAAGACTTTTTCGGATGATCTGTGGGAATTACATACAAGTCCTCTCTCTCTCTCTTATGTTTTGTTTGGTTATAGAACTGCTCTCCTTCCCTCACCTATTATCAAGGAAGTAGTTCTTAGATGAAGATGAAGAAGAACTCTCCTTCTCCCTTGTGCGAGTCCTCAGACACTCAACTCAACTCAACTCAACTCACCTCGGCAGCCTGCCTCCCTTCACTTTCACCACGCACGACAAACACATCACTATAACAAACACCATCCTCATCCTCATCCTCGTCCTCGTCCTCGTCCTTGGAGCCGGCTCCGAAACTCAGCACGCTTCACAACACAATCCGAACCAACATCTCCCCACCCATAACCAACCTCTCCCAAACCTCTCTACCCACCACCGAAATCTCTATCCTCCTCCCCTCCCCTCCCATGCCCTCCCCACAATCCATCATTTCAACTCATTTCCAACTCATCCCATCCCATCCCCTACAAAACCCACCCACCTCTCCAAGATCCTTAAAATCTGCCTCCTCCATAGCGAACTCACCAGGCTCTTCGCATAAAACTAATGGACCTCATATCATCATCTCCTGTACAGGCTCAGCCTCACAGATAAAAACCCACACAAGCGAAGCTGTTCTAGACGCTAAAGTCAAGTCAAGTCAAGGCAAGTGGTATATTTATGTATGTATTCCCTGGTAGTTCAGAGCGGATTATGATGTTGTGACGGGGAGGTGTGGTTGTGGTGAGCGGCCTGATGGTAAGGTGGGGAGTGGAGTTGTTGATCGGGTTGGAAGAGGAGGATGAGGAGGGGGATAAGGAGGAGGAGGAGGAGTAGTGGGTTTTGGTGGTATAGGATATTTTTATGAGGTTTTTTGTTTGAGTCGTTTGTTGGGGTTGTGGATGTTGATCTTGATCTCGATATCGGTATCGGTTTTGAGAGTTCGAGAACGAGAGGAATGGAAATGGAAGTGAGGCTAGGCATAAGCATGAGCAGAGCATCACTGTCCACGCACTTGGAAGCTAGGTAGGCTTGGAAGGAAAATCGACTTACAGCCACAACGCCGGAAGAAATTGGCCGGGTAATAGCTATGATTGTTTTTGCTGAGCCGAGACTATACAATCAAGTTCTTTTCTACATGTTGCAGGGGATACAGTCACGTATGGAGAGGTGGCGGATATTGTTACAGGGAAGGCACTACCTGTGGCAACGGCTCTCCATTCTAATGGAAATATTTTATACTCGAGTTGATTTTCCTCTATTTTATATATTCAGTTCTATAGATAATATTTACGGTTTCCTGCTCCTTACTTCCCCACCTTCCCACCTCTTTACCTCTTTACCTACTGTGGAGAGACTTACCGATCTACCGTAGAAAGATCTATCGAAAGAGGCCTACTGAGGAGAGATTGGAGAGACTTACCGTGGAGAGATTGAAGAGACTTACCGTGGAGAGATTGAAGAGACTTACCGTGAAGAGACTTACCGTGGAGAGACTGAAGAGACTTACTGTGAAGAGATTAGAGAGACTTAGTGTGGAGAGATTAGAGAGACCTACCGTAGAGAGATAGGGAGAGGAAGAAGAGAGAGGGTAGAAGGGGGATCATATGGAAAGATTAAAGTTTAAGTACTCTCACGCGAAACACGCTTTAATAAAGAGAAAGTAAGACTAGTAAGTTCTATAGGGATGGAAAGAATCTCCATGCCAATGGAGACTCTTTCCATGCCAATGGGGCCATTGCCACCGTAGTGAGGAGGTTAGGCGGGAGGTGTGGAGTGTGGAGTTTCTGGAGAGGGAGTTGCAGGCGGATTTGGAGAATTGAGGTGAGGAGGTATAGGGCTGTGGTTTTGCTGAGGGGAAGGAGAAGGGGAAGGGTGTTATGTGTGGGTTAGAGAGGACTTTGTAGTGGGAGAGGGGGTTGAGGGTATTGATGTTGAGAAGAGAGTTTCGCTTAGAGATTCGTTTAGTGGGAAGAGGTTTGCTGAAACAAGTCAATAAGGTGTTGGTCAATCGTTCGGCTTGGATTTTGATCAATGATGTTTTGGTCAACGGCATGAATCGTAAGAATGAGATTACAATAGAGTGGACATGTGTTGTGTCTCAAGGTTTGCTTTTGATATTTTCAATCCCTAGCAATGCTGTATCTGGACAAGATTATCACAAAACCCATTCAATTCCTCCCTCCCAATGATATACAATCTCAATCCACTCTCCATCCTTGCACAATAGTCACAGGACCCTTAAAGGCTTTCCTTGCTCTGAATATAAAATCCAACAAGCTGATAACCGCAACACCAACAAACATGACGACACTCCAATTGAAAGATTCTAAATCAACAGGCGTTGAGTTTGGCCAGAAACACCAGAAAAACATAAAGCATGAATACAAGAATGCTCCAAGGTTGATCGGGACACCCCATCTCCCGAGGCTCCATCTCGCTCTAGGTAAAAGTTCTGGATGCGTCCAACGTCGATACAGGACACATCCAATAGACACGACATACGTGATCATCAGAGATGTCAAATTGAGAGAGATGATGGCGTTGAAAGCCGCATTAGAACCAATATTGATCAACGAGAGCAAAACAGAGATGAGGCAGGTGACGGAGACCGCATTAGCAGGGATCTGCAGCTTTGGGTTGACCCTCGCGATCCATCGCGAGAATGGCAGTCCTCCGTCTCGAGCAAATGCCCATGTCTGTCGAGAGGTGGATAAGTTGAATGAGAGGGTACCAGCGAAGATGAGGAGAATGACAATGGATGAGAGACCGTTAAGACCGGATGTCGAGACGGTTTGGCGGAATACCCAGATGAATGGGTAGCCGGTTGCGTCGTTTAGGGCGTCGGTAATGTTGGTCATGCAGAACATGAAGGATATCAAGAAGACGAAGCCTAGTCCTGCGTTCAGAAGGTAAGAGCTGAGCATGGCTCGAGGTACAGTTGCTCCTGCATCTTTGATCTCTTCCGACATGTGTGCAGCTGCATCGGAACCTGCTTCCTATTAGCGAATGTCATGGAAGTCCCAAAGCCGAACTCACAGATCAACCCATAAAGCGCAGAAATCTGTCCCACCATCAAACTCAACCCCATCGTACTCCAACCGCCGTCGTTTGTAAAATTTGTAAACACAACCTCAGCCGTATTATGTGGAGCCAGAACCCAGAAGATGATAAGAATCGCCAGAAATCCACCAATATGCACAATCAACATCAAGTTCTGAAGTAACGGCATGGCTCGCGATCCCCAGACATTCATTAGCCATACGACCAGTGTGACAGCAAACACAAATAATGTCCCCTGCCAGTTCGTCGCTTCATAATCAGGATAGTTGACAGATATGAGAGACTGGATGAGCGTGCCGACAAGGAAAGGGCCAGATGCTGTACCAGCTTGCCATGAGAGCGTAGACATCCAACCCATGGAGTGACTGAGAAATTGTTGATAACGCGGTGGTGCGAACTCTGAGACCCAGTGGTACTGACCTCCAGAGGTCGGTGCCATGGAAGCCATTTCTGCCAGGGAAACGTTGACAAGGCCCATTCCGAAGAACGTCCATACATAGGACCAGATTAAACCCGCTGTACCGCCATCGACAAGTCCTTGAGTCGTTGCGCTGACGATTTGTCAACTTCCGAGTACCGTTGTTAGTTTGTTGACAATACTTACGTGAGGAGAACCTCCCACGTTCCTTGTAGAATCACCACAAAACTCAAAGCGGACAGTGGACGAAAATTCCTCTACAGGCGAGTCAGTAGTGATTCAGATCATGAAATGATGGCAAAGTGGAATGCAACTTACCCTTAGCTCTTGAATCTTCCCCATTCTCTCCATGTCAGATCTATCGTACCTCGTGGACCCAAGGTGTCCATGATAGTGATCTTCTTCTTCTGAAAAGGCTTCTGTGTGGACGTTCCCTGGGAAGGTCTCCTGTTTGGGGGTCACTTCCAGGGAGTGTTCTTCAGGGGAAAATCGATCCATTGGCTCGTTCATTGTTGCGAGTTTGTACAGATTCCTTCAGACTGATAGAGACAAAAGAAAAAATATAGTTTGTAAGGTAGTTCGATATGCGAGGGAATGATGTGCTTCAAACGAAGACGTTCGAAAGTATCGGAGGTCGAGGTCACAACGATATTGACGAGGGGCAAGCTAAATCCAAACCTTTGGTGATTTTGTGAGGTAAGGCTTTCTCATGCCACGGGAAACTAATGTCGTCCAATGCAAGGGCAAGGGGTCCCAAGTTCTTCAATCCTTCTTAGAACGATACGATACCTGATCGGTCCTGACACCTTCCGTCTCTGTTCTAAAGCTGCTTTCTTTCCAAGTGTCGACAGGCCTGCCCGTAGATACCCCCGCGCTTAGATTCCCTGCATGGCCATTGGCTGATCGATCCCGAGTCTTTTGTGGCTGAAAAAATACCGCTCAAGAAACTTGAGATGCTCGCAAGACTAATGACTTCCCCGCTCTGCATTGGTATGATGAAGGCTCGACGACACGGAATGTCCTGCTGCTGCGGAACGGAAGCAGCCTTCACGGTTGGCTGTGCGTTTTTGCCGAGAGATGCAAGGTTTTTCTGGCTCGCTTGCACTCAAGAACAGCGGTTGCTTTTTTAGAGTTTGTTTTGAGGGAATGGCGGGTTTGGCTAAAGAATACACTACATTAGTGGTCCAGACTTTGGGATACGTGCCGAGCTGAACCTTGGCTTTGGTCGGCAAGACGTGGGTGGCTTCATTATTCGCTGTTGAACAAGAGCAGAGTCCACATGGAATTGCTTCTTTCCAAGTAGATTTCGGATGTAGTTGAGACTCTGCGCTGAAGCTTGTATGAAGAACAGTTCTAGGGGTCCGCTTTTGCACGACTGCCGGTTTCAATAAATAAGGGAGACATCAACCGCGATTGAATATTATTCGCTCGCATAAAATCAAGGAGGATCTCCCGCATTGGAGCGCAGAGCCTATGGCGATCCCAGCATTCCTCATCCGCGGGGGGAATGAATGCCTTGATCCGGTGCACTGATGGTGTACGCTAGGCACGACTGTGGAATCTAGACAAGCACGCCGAGCCGCGAATCTTAAGAAAGTAGCAAAAACAGACGAGACTATTAGCTTCTTGGGTATGGCGTAGGTGCAGTTTAACCTTTGGGCGAGGGGCATCATGGAATGGCTGCTTGAATTGATAGTGTAGCTTCCGAAGCTTGAAGCACGATCGAGGGGGTGGTTTCCGCTATCTTCTGTGCATCTTGGAAAACTGTTCCTGCATCTGAAAGGGGAACTCTGCTCATAGCTGTCTGTTACAAGAAGCTTCGAAGAGTATTGTGTGAAGTGTTCATTGTAAAATAATTGACTTTTGATGCTATCCTCACATTTCGCTCAATCCGGCCATCGAATTTGCATTCGCAATGGCGAACCTCACGATCATTCCCCCTGCATATGTGATCACGGACACGGATAAGGCTGGCTTGGTGGTTGTTGTGACCACTTTTCTCCTGGCATCGATTATCCTCTGTTTTCTTGTGCGCATCTACATTCGATTCACAATCAACGGACCTTGGAAATGGGATGATTGGTGTGTCACTGTTGCGACGGTATGATCGACTCACTCCAGCAATCAAGGCAAAGATGCTTCTTGGAGTGCACATTACTGACAAGCTACAAAATATTAGGTTCTCTCGATCACAAGATCTGCCTTTGTCTATACAGGTGTCGGAGATGGATACGGCAAATCTGCGACTCTCCTTGGTCAGGACAATTTTGACGAAATCGGACAGGTACAGACCAATTCTCTCTTAACATACTCCCACGCAGAACACTAACACATGCCAGACTGTGTTCAGAAGTACCATACTCTATATTGTCGGCCTGTTCTTCTCCAAAGCAGCAGTTGTATTCCTTTGCAAGCGTCTCACGCCGAATGCGAAGCATGCAAAATTACTCTGGATGGTGCTGGGCTTGTCAGCTGTGTGGGCAGTGATGGCAATACTTCTTGTAACAATCGGGTGCAAACCAGGGCACGCATTAATTGACCTCCCATCTAAATGTTACAATATCGTAAGTTGAATCCGATATTCTGAATTGTAGCTTTTGGACCACAATCTGACACTTCATAGTCGGCACGAGCAAAAGCCATCTGCGCAATCGACATCTTCACTGAAGTGACCATATTTGCTAGTTGTATATCTCTCGTCTATGGTGTTCGAATGTCGAGGCTTTTGAAATGTATTGTTATTCTCGCATTTGCGATTCGCCTACCGTAAGCACTGCACTGACCTTCTCGTTGTTCCTCGCTTACACCCTTTCCAAATAGCACGATAGCCTTCTCGGCCGTCCGCCTCGCTTCTGTACTTTATGTTCTACGGTCAGCCGATCCAACTTTGAATGGCGTGTACAGCTCTGTATGGGCCCAAGCAGAGCTCGACTTCAGTATCATGGCGTGTACTTTCTCCCTCTTGGGAGCCTTCCTCAAGCCATTCGCCAAGGAGATGGGGCCATCACGATCGAACAGCTATCCATTGAACTCTTTGAGCAGCAACAGCAAGAGGAGAAGTCGCATGGGCATGGGTATGCCGTCTGCTGGGGAGTTCAACTTCTTCAGACCTAGTGGCGAGGGATTGAATGAGACTACAGCTACAGGCAGGAGTGGCAATACCAGAAGAGGAAGTTTGGAGACAAGCGAAAGTCAACAGGGAATAATTGTGAAGAAGGTACAGTGGTCTGTTGCCAGAGACGGTTCAACCCCGGATCCGGGAGCTGGAGGGAGCGAAAGCTTGAAAGGTACGAAGAGTCGACTTGGGCCTAGTGGCTCTCACATAGCTAACATTTCAGGCTTAGACACGTGAGACATCAACACTCGTGTATCGAAGCCATCCAGCACGATCGGGAGTAAGAGCTGTTACGATGACCTAGAAGCCATCGGAGCCCGCGTCAGACAGATGTTGGCGCCGACCCCTCAGCTCTCGCAAGTTGAAGAGCGATCCGAACGGAAACACTCCTTTAATCCAACCATCCAGCAGCTGGAACATCCCAAGCTCCAGTTGATGCCAGAAGCTGTGTTACTTGGGTAGCTAGTACAAGAAGCTTCGTTTCGGAAAGTGCTGCTGCGGATGAAGGGGCCAGCACGCCAAGAGAAAGTGAAGTTGCTATGCCAGACTGGAATGTGTCTGCTGGATTAGCAATGAGAGCATAGAAAAGAGATTTCGAGTGGATGGGTCACCGTGAAAATTCGTCTCAGTTTTATTTCGACAGCCTTAGGACTAGACCAGAATAAAAGTAGTCAAATCACCAGCGGACGAGCCCTCGACGTACTCCCCATACATGATCCCATGAACATATGCCTCACCAACGAAAATATAGGTACCATTACCATTATCTCTCAAGACATAAGGAAACTTCGCTTTCTCAAAGAGAACAATCACATCGCCCGCTAGTGCATGAAGTGGTGCCAGTCCTACATACCCCTTTTCGGAGAGGTAAGGTCGTCGATCACGCTGCCAGTTCATCATATTGCTGTAAGAAGCTCTGAGAGGATGAGTGAAATGCTGCGCTTGCTCTGGCGTAATCTCAGCAGAATTACCTCGCATGACGATATCGCAGTGCTGGGTGACATGATCGTACCCAGTATCAGCATCCAGGCCTGCTCTTCTGATGAAGCCAGTGCCGTATTCCTCCTGATCCGCAACAGGGACGCGCTTACGGGCTAATACGCGGTCGGAGTCATTGACGTAGATGGATTTCTGACATTTGGCAATCTTCTCTTCGGATTTGGTGCAGAAGTTGGTGATGTCGGTCAGGTAAGCGGAAATTAGAGGAAGGCTTGATTCTCCGGAATAGCCTTCAAGGTAGGGTGGAGTCCATGTTTTGCCCACTTCTTCAAGGACATCAATTGCATACCCCCGGAGTCGCAGCTGATTGGGTGAGATCTCTTCGCTCACGGTGAGAGTACTGAGATCAATTGATTCTGTTGCTAAGGAGAATGCTTTGAATGCCGAGTCCCATGGCAGCTGTCCAGAAGGTGTTAGAATCCATTCTGCACGCCAGTCAGGAGCCCATGAAGGCATGTCCTCATCTCTACCTTGAGGTTGAGAAAGGGATAGGAGATCGACGTGGCCGGACTGGATGATAGCACGAGCTACCTCTGTGTAGATATCAGAGCATGTCCTAGACTGGGTATAATCTGGCTGGATACCAAGTCGAGCCCTGTCGTTTGCTATGCCGAGGAGAGCAAAGATTCTATCCCTGGGGTTTGTGGCTCCACAAAAGGTTTTGTTGGCACCTGAGACATGAATTCTAGCTAACAATTCAAACATGCTGCTACCTAACTTCGAATATTGAGACACTTCCAAATCCTTAGCGGCGTCACCTTGGTACCTCAGTCTGGCACCAAAGAGTTTGGTGGAATTCGAAATACGATCAGTTTGTGTGCTCAGAGAAATGGCAAAGTTGAAGGTGGCTGTCGATTCCTCGTCAAGGTTCTCTATCCCTCCTATTCTTCCCAGCTCGCGTGTGATGATCTGAGTGCCGAGTAGATGCAGGTAGCACAAGCTCGCATATATTGTCGGGAAGTCGCTGGTAGACTTCCCACACTGAAAAACGACGTGAGGCGAAACGATAAGTTCCTGTAGGATCCACACACGCTTCCAATAGTCTCGCGAAAGAATGCTACAAGCATTTTGAACGAAGGTCAGTGTCTGGGACGTGTTCTCGACCGCCTGAATGACCAATGGAGCCACTCCATCTTTGATCTTGCTTTCCAACACCATATATCGCTCCACTTCGGCTGGATCGAGCCTGAAGAACTCCTTCATTGGTTCAATGAGCTCTTTCTCAATGAGTAAGGAACCGATGCGATTGAGCTCCGCCATGGCGCCGTCGGATCCATCGCCAGCTGGACCCAACCATGATCTTGTGTGCTCAGCGGTATTATAGATCTCCCTCATCATCTTCACTTGTGAGGACTTTTCCTCGTCGTCTTCTTGATTGATACAGATCGCATCGATCCATAATGTGACTGGTGAATCTTCTGCACGAATATGTTCCAGAGCTGTGAATAGGTTTGATGTAACGTGTAGCGTACTGTCATTTACTAAGATGGGAACTTTGACGGAAGCATCACCCCAAGTGTATGATAGAGCTTTGTAAGGAGGGCTCTGATCTCGACGATAAGATCTCAAAGTGCAGGAGACAGGCTGTTCTTCTCGTGAGGCATCTTGTGGAACAGAGAATCGAGGGTGGAGGGTGAGGAGACGAAATTCATTCGTGCTGAGTCGGGAGTACTGGTACTCCATCTGGAAAGGTGATGTTTAGGCCAAGTTGGAAAAAGGACGTTGGCACGTTGCTCAATCAAGATGGTGAAGTAGCTGAAGAAGAGCTTCGGATTATCTTGGCGATTTTCCGCAGCTGCCAGCTGTATCACGAAATTATCGTTCAGCCACCGCCACGCTTCAGGTGCATTTCAGCTTCAAGTCACGGAAAACTATCCAGCATCTCAGTCCCTATGACCAACGGTCCGTCGACCTAAAGGAACACAAATATTCCTAGGATGCACAAATTGCAATGTTTTGGTGTACGGATGGCCTTTTATACCATATTGATAAGAGAAAATTTGTAGAGCATGATATAATCGCATAGAGGCGAAAATAGCCGATGATTATTTCTCTTCTCGGGAAGGCGAAAATTTGGATTGCAGGTTAATCAGATGTTGACAACACTGTTGAAAGGCTATGACAGTGATGATGTTGACTCCATAATTTAGCGACGAACGCTGTAATAACAGGCAGTTCAGGTAAGAGCGGGGTAATTTTTACCCCGCTGTTGCCCTATCTCACCTGTATCGGTCCAAATCACCACACTGAGCGACTGCTGGAAGGCTATACCTTGGTACTGTTGATTTTTCTCGATTGATCTATGACTTTCAATGATACGTTTACGCCTCTGCGAGTACGACTTAATGTGATTAGAACGAGACGATGATGTAGTCCATGTAAATGAACGAGGGTGCCGCTGGGACTATTCAACACCTGGTAAATTCTCTTGTTTCGACAATTGTGAGGTGAAGTGGTGAACTGATCACGATCTCCAACTATCTAGAAATAACCTGTGCTTGACATAAACTAATGCTTGCCATACGATGGTGCGGGAACGTGGAGGCTAGATTCATCTCAGGGGCTCGCTTACATTGTTGACCGGCGCAGAATGTAGCAAACAAGATTGAAAGCGCTACGAAAGAGGATTATTGAAATCGTGATTAAGACCAACAGACCTATGCCAATCGATACAAACTTTATGGGCTTGGCTACTGCCAAAGGTTAGTTTACGAAACATCCTCAAAGCAGCGCAGCGCAGCTGTATTAGCGCCGGGCATGTCATTGGCGGGTAGCTGCAGCTGCAGTGCCAGCAAACACCAACATCGAGAGACATCGCGGACAAACAGACCTCCATCATTCTTCCCCAATGATCGATATTAAGGATAGCGACACATTTGAGGATATTGCGACAAAACTCTGAGCTCACCAAGTGAAAATTGGACATACTTTCACCATTGGCTTTGAAGAAAACCTGAATCAAGATGCCAGCCTCTTTCGAAGAGTAAGCTCAATTTCTCCGCAGATATCAAGTATTGCTATTCTTAGGTTCCGAAGCAACTAAAACTTTGTTCTCGACAGAATCCTCAGCTCTCGTATCTTCAAATTCACAGTTGGTCAGAAAGTCGATGGCGTCGCTACAACATTCTCCGTTCACGAAGAAGCCATGGCAGCGCTCTCGCAACCTCTCCACACACTGATGAGATCGGGTTTGTCCGAGTCAGAGGCTGGAAATGCGACTTGGGAGGATATAAGCAAGGACACATTTGTGCGCTTTGCACAGTTTGCATATACTGGGGATTATTCCGTGCCTTTCTTGGTTACGCCCTCGCCCGCGCCCGCGCCCGAGCCTGACCTGCCTGTTGATGCGGTACACGAACGTGAGGATTTCCGGGTAGAGGAATTAGCTTCTAGTAACGAGTTTGCAACTATGGATGATCCTGATTGGGGCGGGTTCCCGTTCAAGAAAAGCGTAGGTAAAAAGTCGAAGAAGCAGCTGATACGAGAAATGAAGGGCTTGGCACTGTCAGCCCCCACTCCTCCGCGTAATGAATCTCGAGGGGAATATGAGCCGTCCAGTACATTCGAGCCGTGGATGGACTATTCAGTGTTGTTCATCTGTCACGCATCGCTCTGGACGCTGGGGAACTATCGGCATGTCGCATCTTTGAAAACTCTTGCACTCTACAAGCTTCACAAAACCTTGTGCGCATTTCAGCTCAACAGTGATAATGTCGGGGCTGTGGTCAACCTTGTGAGATGTGCTTACTTGGAAGAAGGTGCTGGATTGAGAGAAAGTATAAGTGGGCTGAGGAAATTGGTGTGCCAGTATTTGGGTATGAACAAGACGCTGCTGTGTGAGGATGATGGTTTCATGGACCTTTTGGCGGAAGGAGGACAGTTTGTGAAGGACTTCTTCAAGTACTCTGCGACCTAAATATCGTTCTATCATACCCATTCCTCTGTCAAGTCCCCTTGGGTTTGAGTCCTCCCGTCAATCACTCGGTCAGGTTCATCCCAAGAATGTGTACATATTCAGCCAGAGATCTTCTGCAAATATCTCTTCCTTGTAGGTCGTCTTGGAAAGGTTACTCCGGGGAACAACCACTATTTCTCGCGACAACCACATGTTCTCAAACTTCCTCATGACAAGCGCTATTCCAGAGTTTATCTCGATAGTTGTTACATCTTCTTGAAACAGCTCCTCCTTCATTTCCTTGATATTGAACACAACATCCGCCTCTTTCCGGAACATCATACACCTAGCCTAGCCTGGAAGATGCAACATCCAGAGCTCATGGCATTTGGTCATATGCTGACCTGAAGTAACGGTATCTCAAAACCTGGGCCAACTGGAACGAAGCTGCGTGACCAATTAGGCAATCGTATGCGTCACTGACGATGATGGCCCCTGGTGATATGGCTTCAGCATACGCATGTGAGGTGACGCCTTGTTGGGAGTCGGATGGTGAGCTGGGAGTGCTAGATCAATAGCAAGACGACTTAAGAGAAACACCGGTGATCCGTGTCGTTTATTTTGCACAAGTTTCTTGATTTGAGATTGCGCTCATGCCGGGGTGGAAGTACGTATTCATGCACACAGAACAATGATGATGCTGATGACTAGACAACTGCAACAATGCGTGGTAAACAGTTCCATCCATCAGCTTCCGGGCGTGAGAGTCGTGAAATATCATGTGATAGGGAGTTGTTGATGTGTCTTCTTAGCATCCCAGGAACATTGCCTGGACTTGGGCTCATGCTTTCAAAGAAACATGGAATTTCGCAATCGACAGCACATAGAATGCCGCAAACGCAGAAGTCAGAACACTACTCGTCGTCACAAGTTTCAGTTGAAAAAGAAGCGCTTGCTGCACTTCCGAGGCAGAGATCAGGACATTCATGGTTGTGAGGCCGGTTGGTGGATGCCAGGGGAAGGCTGTGAAGCGAGCAGCAGTAAACAAAGACAAAGTCGCTCAGCGCAAGGGAAAAATTACTGCGAAATAGATATCTTGGCGAACTGAAAGAAGGCCATGCAAGGAGGAAAGGCACGAAATTACATGTACTGTAAAAGGAAAAAGTCATTGACGTCATGTAAACCCTTTTTGGGCAGTGGAAGCGAGATTTTTTGCGTAAGTATCGTCGTCGTCTCATCGAAGGATTCGGACATTCGGAACAGGCGTGTCCGCGGCGGGAATCTATTACGCCTCTCGGATAAATGCTGAAATTATGTATTTGCTCGTATGCTTAGCAAGAAGAGAGCTGCGAGCTTCGGATTTCAACGACTTAAGACGTAGTTCACGTGACCAGCAAGACTATCGAAGGTTCAATGGTGGTGAGAGCAAAACTAGATATTCGCAGTTGTGCATACCTAAGAATTTTCGACAGCATTGATCATGTCTGAGAATCTGGCGCTACCTTTCAGCAATCTTGATATACCTTTGATTATCTTCAAAAACAAGGGTATGAAATTCAGGGCAGGTTCAAACGGGCAAAGCATTACTCGGCACATCTATGATCCTAATCATCACGTTTCGTAAAAGATGACAAGATACACCATTGCACTTGTCTCAAAAAGATAGATTTAGAGAATGAGGATTGCCTGCTCACATTGCTGTTATGATTGTTGTGATTCGACCTCAACACTCGCTTAGCTTGTCGGATCGTCATGCTACACAACTTCACTTTGACTAGTGGCAACAATCCCGACGCCACTCCCGCACTTACCTAGGTACCCCGCATAGGCTAACGATTACTCCGGGAGCTCCAGCTTTACGAGCATCACGACATTTCTTAAATCCTATTTCTTTGCCTTTCAAAACTTGTTATCATGTGGTGTTTGATTAAGATGGTTTCATCCGATAGTTGAATGCGTTTTAGTTCCAAGAGGCCTAGTATTCATCATGGTGAGTTTCGTTCTCTCTGCTCGTTAATTTAATCCTACCTTTCGTCCAATCATTTGTCGATACATACTCTAACGTATTCCTTGCTGACGAAAGATGCAGTCCGGAGATCAAGAAGGTGGAGCGTACATTCGTGCAAGCACAATACACAAGCGCGTCCAGCTAGGAGAAGGAACGACTTTCCTTCCTGGCACCAAAGATCCAGTGCGTTTAAACTTCCATATTCTCGTATTTCCCCTGTCCTAAGTCAGATCTCCTTCTATTCTATGAACATCTTTCAAAGACCCTGCCATGTTCCAATTTAATTCCCTCAGTCCATCGACCACCTAATAACCCACGTCCTCGAACACGGCTACGTAATCCTCCCCCGAATCTTCACACCCCAACAAGTCTCCCTCGCCAACTCAGAACTCGCTCGTCTCTCCTCCATCCCATCTGGTCCAGCTTCAGCCGGCGGCCGTAATTCCTTCGAAGGATTCAGCACCAAGCGAATATATTCACTATGCGACAAGAGCCGCGCCTTCGACTGTTTCCCGATCCATGAGACGGTGTTGAAACTCAATGATTATTTCCTCCAGCCGGCATATCTGTTGACAAGTTTTCACACGGTGGTTATTGAGTCGGGGGAGAAGCAACAGGAGATTCATACAGATGATGGACTGATTGCGTTGCCGAGGCCGAGGCCGTTGATGGGGATTGTGAGTAGAACCTTTCGTACAGCATACCCTGATCGGTTTGAGATGTACATTAAGTGCTAAATCAAGCTTGCCTAAGGGAACAATGATCGCCCTCGACGATTTCACCCCCACCAACGGCGCCACAACCCTCATCCCAGGCTCCCACCTCTGGCCCGACACCCGTCGCCCAACCCGCTCCGAGATGATCCCCGCCATCATGCCCTCCGGCTCCATGGTCTACTTCCTCAACACACTGTGGCACTCCGGCGGAGCCAACACATCACCTTCCCCCCGCCGGAGCATGACAGTCCAGTACTGCCAGCCGTGGATCCGCACGTTTGAGAATTTCACGGTGGCGCAGGGATGGGAGGATTTGGATGCGTTGCCAAAGAGGTTGTTGCAGTTGATGGGCTTTAGTACGCATGATTTTATGGGGTATGTGGATGGGAGGAGTCCGAGGGCGGGGGTGGAGATGAGGAAGAGGAGGTTGTTGGAGTGGGGGGCGAGGGAGAGGGGGAAAGGGGATGGAGGGGATGAGGGGAAGGAGGAAGATGAGAGAGAGAAGTCAAAGCTGTAGAACTGTGAGATGTACTCCGCATTCAGGATTGACATTGATTTGAAAGAGTAATCAAGTCATGAGAGCAGATGCTCAAATATGATATACGCACTCAAAAGGCCAAAACAGGCAAGTTCACACTTGGTCAATGTGATTTTGCAGAAAGGATAGCACCTCAGCCACTCACGCCTTTAAATAGCTTTTGCGGAAAGATTAAACTAAACTTGGTGACTTCAAGCATCGACAAAGAGTTCAAATCAAACCAAACCACTCTATGCATCTGAACTATGTTCGCTCGCTCGCTATGCCTCAGTCAAAACAGCCGTCGCCCAGCCCGTCAAACTGTAGATCCCCCCCTCCACCGTCGTGGTCCTCCACATCTTGCCCCCCGTACTCAAATCCACCACCTCCGACAATCCGCTCCCAAACTCCTTAATATTCACTTGAGCCGTCTCATTCAACTTATTCACCAGCAACACCTTCCTCTTCCCCTCCTTCGTCACAAATGCTTGCGCATGCACACTAGCACCAAGATCCTTGCCCTTGAAAAGCGTCTCGACAACCGTATCACCCGCCCCAAAACTCTTCTGCATGAGATGCAAGACTCGTCCTCTGGCGTTGAGTTCTCCGCTCCAGTAGTCGACGAGACTGACGCTGGGGAATTGTCCTGGATAGCCGACAAGTTGGCTCTCGCCTACGACATCAATACCCATGGTGACGACCTTCGCGAAAATATACGCGAAGATACCACCGCTCCAGACGAAATACTCAGGCGGGACTTCGTATCCCGGGTAGATGATCGTTGCGCCTTGCGGGTCGAACGTCCCGATCTCATTCAGCGTGCTCCGAGTATTCGGTGACAACCGCTTGCGAATCTCCTCAATACTCTGAACATCCATAATAAACTGATCCGTCTGCGCAAACGCCTGAGCCGCCTCCCCATCAGAAGTCGAAACACTCGGCATGCCATAAAAATGATAGCTGACAAAATCAATCGGAATCCCCGGCTTATGGTTCGCCGGATCCAAAAACGTCTCGAAGTAACTCATATCCCTCGAATTATCTCCCAGCGCCAAACCAACGAATTTCGTCTCAGGAGACACTTTATGCACCGCCTCAACAATAACATCGTATACCTGGCTGTAAAACGCAGCAGACATGCTATGCTCGGCCTCAATCTCATTCAGCACCTCCCAGTACTCGATCGTATAGCTATGGCCAGAATAATGATACACACCACACTCATCCGTGAACCCACCTTTGACATACCAACTCACCAACCTCTCATAATAATCCGCGACTTCTCGCAACGACGCATCGCGCAGTTCCGTGCCTTTGTTGTACCCGAAATCAATCTCGTTGATGTCACGTGGGTAATCGTATGTCTGGTCCTCCGGGATCAGCCACATCCAGCCGGGCGTGGTGCTGAAGTTGATCATGTGCGAGACGTTGGGTGTTGCGGCGTAGAAGTCGGCCATGAGCTCGTCGGCGTAGGTAAAGTTCCAGCTGGTGATGCATGTTGTTGGGGGGAGGATGACGGGGGCTTCGATTTCAGGGACGGAGAGCAAGGGATAGGGAAACCAGGGCACGAAACGGACGTAGTCGGCGGAGATGGTGGAGAGGGATTTGTAGGCTTTGTCGTGGATGCTGCTGTTGCGGAGGAGGGGTGGGTTGACTACTACTTGGAGGGTGTTGGTTGTTTTGGAGGTTATGATCGGGACGTCCCAGTTGATTGTTATTTTGAGAGCGGATGAGGATGCCGGGTCCTCTTCTTGTATGGGTTTCTGGATACCGATATTGGCTGCGGAGGCTGTTGATAGGAGGCCGAAAATGACCGTCGTTAAAGCGTAGAGTACCATTGTGACCCTAGATGCTGTTGGTGTAACATGTACGTAGATTGGATGCCGTGCAAGCTCTTTTATCTGAAAAAATAAACTTTGCGCCTCGGCGTCGTGACGTTTCTTGCGTTTCAAACACGAATGAAACGCGGGGAAAGAGCAGAGCTGAACAAGATACGAAGAATGAGGATGCAGATATAACAAAACACAATTGCGTCTTGATCTAGTCTATGAAGACAATGTAAACAATATGCTCCGTCCACCTGATAAAACTCTTCATGCAAGTGTTAGAGATGACTGTCGGGTGACGTCGCCACGGGGACCTCGCTCCAGGGTCTTGTTCCTGTTCTGGTTACCCCGCACTTCGTCTCCAAGACCCCTTTTAAACGAGGGCAGCTGTCTACCTTTGAATGCTGTGTGCTAACAAAGTAAACAACATTATACTGCTTGCTCAGTTTAATAGATGTCGACTTTGTTTCAGATGCTTGTATAAAGCCCTGGTCGCTCTCTAACTTCAATAAGAAGGTTCCTTTACCCACCTATCACCTGTTCGACGGCAGGAGACTCACTCATATCCTCACATGTATGCTAGGTTTACATACCGGATTCAAGAACCGATTAATGGCAGCTACCTAGAAGTATCTCTTGATTGATCGTGGTTGCATGACCAGTACATCTTTCCAGAAGCGAAATTGGAGATATATTCGTCTGGCCTTGTGGTGGGCTAGTGCAAGACTTCCCCAGTGTATCGTCAACAGCGATAGACAATTCAACCTGGCCATTTTATCAGATTCCCGCCAAGTGCAAGTGGATTCCAAGTTGATTTTAGATCACCTGAGGACAAGGCAGGAATAGTGAGATCTTACAATGCCACTAGGGCGATGGCGTCGACCCCCCCTTATGTGCTTCTCGCTTGTTGAGCCCCACATCCTCTGTTGTCAACCTTAAATGTTGAAAGAAAGATATTGAAAGTTCTTGGTCGATCAACGTTGTGAGCTTTAATGAGTTAGGTTCTAAGGAGCCGAGAAATATCTACTGACTCTATCAATTGCTGCTTCTTGAAGATCTCGAGATGGTGGATCAACAGGGTGTATCCCTGAAGTTGATCTGGCTTTGTAGCTCGTCAGCAAGCGGCTCCACCAACGTCAGCACTAGGAAATGCCTTAACATCACTTCACTTCATCTCACTTCATCGTCCAAAATCTTCTGCCTATACGATCCAGAATTCTCTTAGACGTAGGAAGGTGCTGTATATCAGACAGTTGTATATTTGTCCTGATTCTGTCGAATTGCCAAGATGTTGTCAACAGCAGACCTGCCCAAGAATTGGGTTTGGATGGGCGTCAGCACTGCAGGTCTCTACCTCATCTACTTCATCGTGAAATTCATCAACCATCGAAGATTCTACAAAAACTTGGTACGTGTCCATCCTCAGTCTCATTGCACCAATCTCCCAGCTCTCAATGAAATAGCTAACAAACAAAAGCCCACACCACCGCACTCCATGATCCTCGGTAACCTCAAAGTTGTCGGCGAAGCCATGAAGCGCTACCCACCCGACATCCACCCCCAACCCATGTTCACCGAAATGGGACAGGAGAACAACCTCCGCGGCATCTTCTACGTCGACCTCTACCCGTTCTCGGAACCCATGGTATTCATCACCGACCCCAGCGTCGCCAACCAAGCGCAAACCTCACCAAACTTCTTCCGACACCCATTCGTCAACTCGTTCCTCCGGGGCGTCGTAGGCACGAAAAGCATCTTCTCCACTAACGGCGCAGAGTGGTCTCGTCAGCGATCGTGGTTTGCGCCGGCGTTCTCGCTGGCGCATCTGTTGAAGTTGGTGCCGGGGATGATTGAGGAGAGTTTGGTGTTTAAGGAGAAGTTGACGAAGTTTGCTGTTTCGGGGGAGGTGTTCTCGATGAATGACGCGACTATGAAATTGGCGATTGATTTCATTGGACGCACGGTTGGGGATATCCATTTGAAGTCTCAGACGCAGTATAGTCCTATCCAGGACAGTTTTGCTAAGGCGTTGAGCTGGACGGCAGGACAGACTGATCCGATGTGGAAGAAAGTGCTGAGTCCGTTGATGATGGATTGGTATACGAGGAAACTAGACGGGATGCTTGGCGAGGTTATCAAGGAGAAGTATAGAGTTGGGAGAGATGATGGTGTTGAGAAAAGTATCTTGGACTTGGCGCTGAAAGGATACTTGAAGGATACAGGCAAGTCCGGAGGAGCCGAAGCCGTACGACCAGATCTTGATCCCGATTTCATGAAAATTGCACTAGACAAGTAAGTCTCCATACCCTTTCTAAAACACCAATTTTGGACCTCGACTAACAATATCTCAACCAGCGCCAAAACCTTCTTCGTAGGCGGCCACGACACCACCGCCTCCCTCATGACCTACCTCTTCTACTACCTCTCCATCAACCCCACCTTCCTCTCCCGCATCCGCACAGAACACACCACCGTGTTCGGCCCCTCCCTCTCAACCACCATCTCAACCCTAACCTCCCAGCCTCACCTCCTCAACAAACTCCCCCTCACCAGCGCCCTCATCAAAGAAGTCCTCCGTCTGCACCCCGTAGGCTTCACAGTCCGCAAAGCCGCCCCAGGAACAACGGTGACGTTTGAAGGGAGGTCCTACCCCATGGATAATCATGTTATCTGCGTGCTGGCCTCGGCTATGCATCGCGATCCGGAGATTTGGGAGAGGCCGGCGGAGTTTGATCCGGATAGGTTTTTGAGTCCTGAGACGCATTCGATGGAGGCGTGGATTCCGTTTGAGAAGGGGAAGAGGGATTGTATTGGTCAGCAGATGGCTACGCTGGAGGTTAGGGTTATGGCTGTGTTGACGGTGAGGTATTTTGATTTTGAGGCGGTGTTTGGAGAGCATGGGTGGAGTGTGCCCGGGTGGGGTGGGAGAGCGTACCAGGAGTTGAATATGAGTGCGAAGCCGAAGGATGGTATTCCGATGAGAGCTTATTTGAGAAGCGAATAAGAGTTTAGAAGTAAAGACTTTTTCGTAGGAATGTCATTAATGGTAGATTTAGCCGATGCTTCAAATGTGTCAAATCACGTGAAAGCTTTCTATTTCACGCTTCCTCTCTATTCTATCGATTCTTTCTTACATATCGCTCATGCAGGACGAAAAGAAAATATCCAACGCTATCTAGTACCATACGGTGATCGCTGTGTTTCCTCCTGGCACCCCAGATATCGTAGCATGGCCAGTAGATGCATCGTAATCATCAACATCCAACTGCTTCCCATCCGAAGTGACTGTTGACCTGCCAGTCTTGAGTGCGGGCAGTACAAGCGTTCCATTCGTTCCAATAGGAACATCATACGAGAGCTCGTATCCTCCGGGTATCAAAGTCCATTTGGCAGAGAACTTTCCAAGTGGCGTAGTAAAGCCTCCCTCAACGAACGTCAGATTACCAAATTGAGGGGCGAGGATCCAGTCCGCACCGCCAGGGGAGATGAGCTGAAGTCCAAGAACGTAATTCGTAAGCGCGTGAGTCGGTCCTGTACTCCAACCATGTGCATGAGAAGTATACGAATAGTCTTTCTCGTATCCAGAAAATGCTCGGTAGCCAAACGATCCATCCTCCAGGTACCCTTCGATGAAAGTGCTTTCTGTGCCGTAAGGGTTGTTGAGGTACCAGCCCCAGCTACGGCGAATGAGTTCCAACGCTCGGTTTGTACGTCCAATGGCGAAATGACCTTTGATCTCCATGCTCTCGATAAAAGGAACGATGTTGTATTTCAATTCGGGACATTTTGCTCCAATCGGTCCCCAATTGGTGATTAGTCTGTCGCTAATGCTCTTCTGGTGGACGGAAGATGCCATTCCATAGTAAAGGGCAAGACTATTTCCGTCTTCTGGATAGATTGATGAGTCGACGTTGCTGTCTTTAAAAGCTCTACATAATATCAGCAAGTGTCCATTTGTGATCTACCGCCCAGCGCTTACCCCACATTTGGATCCCAGTTGTATACAGCAGAGTTCATGGCGGCTTTCAGAACATAGGCTTGCAGCTCCCATCGTGATGAGATCTCATCTTGAGCCCAAGCAGCCATCAGACTTCCAGTAATCAATGTCCTGAACATCAATGCATTTGCTGCCGTATTGAACCCGCCTTGAGAGGATCGTCCCCAGTCATTGACTCCCGTGACATAAAGAAGCCCGGATCTTTCGTCTAGCTTTCTCTCCACAAAATTTATTGCACGTTTGATCTTGTTCCAGTTGGTGGTGAGGAAGTCCAAGTCGCCACTGTACAGGAGATACTCATATGTGCCGATAAGGGAAGACATATGATATGTATCGGACCCGTAGAAGTTGAGGGGAGGTCCAGCCATTGGAAGCTGACCTTCCCTGGACTACAAATTGTCAGGTCATACTATGGAAGAGTGTCCATAAACTTACCTGAAGGTCATATTGCAATTGCAATGCATTGCGTGCACTTTCGAAATCCCCAGTGCTGACAAACGCGCTTGGCAAGGCAATACCCAAGTCTCCTGCCCATGTAGCTCGATCTCGCTTGCTTCCGTCGACTAGAATAGAATGCCCTTTTGTTCCCAGCCAAGCATCATTTCTCCATCCCTGGCCAATCAATGGGTACACCCTGCCAGTGTTGGGTGGAATCGCACTCGTCTGCAGTGTATACGCCCCAGCATACCAGATACGATTTAACAAATCGTCACTAGAATGAAAATACCCACTATAAGCTCTTAGATTAGACCAAGTTGGCTGGAATGAGAGCTCCAGCGAGACTTTTGTGACTTCGATACTGATCATGTGATCCGTTTGGGTGAAGATTGACAGGTATCGAAATCCACCTCTCATGCTGGCGTCTGGCATAGTGTATGTCCCATTGGTCGTAGTCGAAATAGGTGTAAATAGTGCTCCATCTGCTCTCGGAACATATCGTCCATTGGACCCATCGGATGCCCTGCCCGTCCAATTCCTCGCCTCAGAGAACGCCAAGCCCAATTCTCCAGAACCAACTGCCTTGTACTGAACAGTCACGATGCCACCAACCTCCTTTCCAAAATCGTAGATCAAAACATTAGAGGATAGGTTTGCTATCGTCGGATGAAAGCTCAGTAATGTGAAATCTTCGGTAAATATGCTGATTGGTGATACGGTGCGTGATGATGGAGAGTAGTTGTATGCATCCCAGGGGCCGGCAAAGGATGCTGTTGTTCGGGCGTCGCATGGTGTATCTCGCCAACACGAAAATGATGGAGATGTTGTCGATGATATCTGGGGTGATAAGAATGTTGTAATGATTGACACGAGGTAAGGAATAAATAAATATTGTGATAACGAGTGACTTTGCGGCTTGCGCATCTGGGAAGATGGTTTCAATGCCCACATTGACGGCCATCGCTGCGTAATCGAAGGGCGCCATTGTGCTTTCTCGTGGAGAAGGAACAACCAAGGCGTGTAGTGCATGTGATCCTCGTACGTCCTCAAAGTTGCTGGCCGCTGATGGCCTAGTTGTTGATTGTGGGAAGTCGCAGGTCGCGATGTCATGGATCCACTTTGCGAGATCTCGAGCAGGATTGCCCACGATTAGATCCGTACAGACCAGGTATGTGAGGAAAATAGATCCGCTGAAATTGGGGGACTACTCTGACCTCCAACATGTTGTTGACTCCATGATTTTACCATAGATGTGATTCGCCCCATTCCTGGATGAACCGAACAGCTTGAAGTCGAAGTTGAGTTTGCTCCACTGTTTTGGTTTGGCGAGTTTCACAAACGACTATTGGCCAATTCTCTGCCTACTGAACGGTCACATGGTGCGTGGTTCAATTGATGATATACGGATATGGAAAGCAAGTGAGAGAAAGCACTATTTTATTTCAGAGGGGTCGATGAAAAATTCTCTTTTCCACCATAGCAGGTAGGTGCTTCTTTCTTTCCGACTCCACTTTAACGGACAGAAGTCACATGACACCAGATGGACCGGAGCCACAGGAAGAAAGCTGTCTAGGAGGAGAGTGTTTGACCCAAGCGTGAATGCTCAATTCATACATCTAGATACGACAGTGTTCCTCTAGATGTTATGTCTAATTCAACGATTGATCGAAAACCCTCCCTCGGATTTCCCCTCATTTCGGGACTTCAGCTTCTCCTTCAACCTTTCTATCCTCACCGGACAATTCTCGAAATGCCTATTGATCGCACTCGGATTATCCTTCCAACTCCCCAGAAATCTTCCACAATCCCCGCAATTCCACCCACTGCCCGTATGCTCATAGTTCCCAGTCCACGAATCCGGCAGCGTCTCCAACGTGAATTTGACATCAAGATGTTCTTTCTGCAGATGTGCTTTGAGGAGATCCCAACGTTGGGTTTGGAAAGGCTTGAAATGGCAGATTTGGAAGCAGGGGAAACTGCAGGCTGAAGTGCAGGCGTCGAGGAGGCAGGTGAAGTTGCCTTTGTATTCGTGGGCTGTTTGCTCGTGGCGTTCTCGAGAGGCGTCATCGGAGAATGTGTAACTGCAGTGAGGGGCAGTGCAATGGATAGTGTTATTCGGCAAGTCTACACCTTGGGAACCCGGTGATGGCGGGCAAGTCTCTTCTATTAGTCTATGAGATGCTGCTGAATGTCTTACCGTGTTTTGAGGATTGAAATCCGAGAGGTGACTGAAGCGAGTGGCGATAGTGGATGTAGAAGATCGTTGACTCTTCAAACTTGAGTCCGTTTCAAACGAGCCCAGTGAACTCATAGATTGGAAAGAGTCACGGTTTTCACCGATCGAATAACAGGTTCCAGATGTTGAACGCAAACTCGAGTCCCACGCTGGGGATGGTGTGATTGTATCGAAATCTGCTTCCTCCTCTAACTTCCGCGAGCGTTGCGATATACTGGTCGGTGTCTTTGGAATGGATCGTGGGATATTCTTGGTGGACCGATACCCGATCCCTAGCTTTGTAAATCTCGGCCCTCCGCGTACCTCGTTGATGTTGATGGGTTCTGGCTCCGACTTTGAGTTGTAGATCCCTGAGGAACGTTTAATGGTCTCAACGGAATCGAGGATGATTTGGAGATCCGAAGTTTTGATCTTTGGCAAGAGATCGAGGATCGCGGATAAAGACGACTGTGCAGATGGTACGAAGTCCCCAATGAAGTTACCCGGGTGCTCGATGGTATTGCTCTTTCGCCTTGGTCCGGGTTCCGAATTGTTTCGCTGATGGATGGAATATGGAATGGCGGAGCGCAGGACCTGATGTTTTTCTGGTAGCAGCACTCGATTCTCAGAGGTTATCGGTCCAAGAGATATTATGGAGGGATCTTGTGGGAGGTATGCTGCTACGGAGACTGGCAGTGATATGATGACAATTGTCGAGTAGCTGTCAAACGATGCTTCAACATTGACTTCATCTGCGATAGTTGGTATGCAGCGCATCCACTCAGCGAACAGCTCGACCATATCCTCTCCAGGCTGAAAGGTATCTCTCATTCGAACAGCGAACAGTAGTCTTGGCCCTCGTTGGTGTTTCAGCGCTTCCGATATGCCCTGTATTGGATCTGTTGTGACCGACGTTCCCATTGTAGAGACACTATCTTGGTTTATTGAGGGACCCGAAACAGAGGAGTGCCTGCTGTTGGCTGAAACTGATGTACCTGAGTCGAAAGATCCGAAATTGGAGCCATTGTAGCCCCAAGAAAGAGGAGGTTGCCATGAACTTGTTGTCAGTACCTGCCTCTGTGGTCCAACTTTTGCAGGCAGCTGAATGCTTCTGGGTACTGGACCACCCTGTGTCAATACTAGATGAATCGGCGCGGGGTGTCTTTCTCTCTCAGTTCCATCCGCATAGAGCTCTTCTGGCATTCTGCACTGGGTACGAAAGAATATCTTCTTGTACAATTCTCCGACACTGAACGATGGTCTGTTGCCCAGGAGTCGAAGTTCGGTCACGAGAGCGCTGGTGAACGAGAATGGCCCCACACCATTTGCTGTTTCGTTGAAAGCGCAAGCCGAAATAAGCTCGTTTACCCCATTTCCTTCACTGGCATTTGCGGTCCCGGAAGCACAACAGTCTAGCAAGATAAGGACATCATTTGGTGCTTCTTCCAAAATCGTCTGGATGCCACCCCACTTCACAATCGGGCATTTTGGCTTTGTGTAGTTTCTCACGCTGGCAGCAGACACTTTAGTCGAGACCCTTTCAAGGTCCTAGTGTATATTAAAGATCATACCTAGTCCATACCAGCAATCTTGTCTCAGTAAGTCTTGCATGTCCAGCATAATACACAATCTTCAGATGTGTCTTGCTATCCTCCGCAGGCTTGACATAATCCATAATCTTCTCCGTCAACTTATAATGGCAATTATCGTCCGGAATCGTCCAGCGATCCGTCTCATACTGGTATAAGTTCCGGAAAACGTTGTAAAGCTTGTCGATCTCCTGCGAAACAGGTAAATTGGGATCTTCGTTCTCCCAGCTCAGCATCAACACCGAAACCTTGGTGTATCGCGATTTGGTGTCATTAGGAAAAACGGCGTTTGCTGCGGCTTGAAGATCACTACTGAACTTCTGAAAGTCGATATGATATCGCCAGCGATCGAGGTCTGAGAATGTGGGAGGAGGTGTAGAGTTCGCGCTGCTAATGTAGCTCTGCGCTGCGATTTCATGGCGGCAATCATCACCGTTGGATGAGGTCTGGCTACTGTATTCAGCTTTGGGGAGATTTTGCGACATCGAGAGCGGAAGATAGGTTCCAGGAAGTAGCTCAAAATACGATTTGAACAGAACTTTGGGATGAAAAGAATATGATATGAAGAAAAGGAAAAGTAAATGAGACCAACACTTGGGGCTGTGAAGCTGAAATATGCGTATTGTTCAGGGGTGACGCCTCGCTTAAGGCTGTCTTCCCCACCTGAAACCTTTACTCGGTGACAGATTAGGGAACCCTGTACGCCACAGCGTAGCCTGGCGAGGCAGACTGTTCCAATCACAGGAACAGTCAACTGGTCCAATTATGTCTGTTAAATTGAAGACGGCCAATTGTCGCTGTGACAATATCCATTCTATCGCAGGTAACATGCTACTAATCGAATTTTGCTCTCTTCCCAGATTGACCGGAATGGGCGGAGTATGGGGTGCGAGGTCTCATAATCTCAGCCAAGACTCCAAAATTCATTTATGTAAAATATCTTCAATCCTAGAAGCATGCCAAAAGGTCTCTTCCACTCCCCTCTGCTCTGCAAGGCTACTTCATTGGTCGTCAATTATTTCCGGGCTCTTTATCACCAGTCATGGCGGGCAAATCCTCACCCAATCCTTGCCCCCCAACAACAACCTTCTCCGCAGAGATAAGGGTAAACAACATCCTAGCCCATCCGTCATTCTCCGTGATGTTCTTCCAAGCATGCATCGTACCCCTCTGGACGCATACATCTCCCCTCTTCATGATCCGTGTCTCCCCCGAGTCGAGGATGAGTTCTAGGACACCTTCCAAGACGACGCCATAGTCAATGGACTCGGTACGATGCATGTAAGGATCTTTGGATGGCGCGAAATCGACGTAGCGGAGCACCGTTCCTGTTACAGAAACATCAACATCAATCTCACCTGAGCTTGCTCTGACTGAATCGAAGAGAGATAAATAGACCATTCGTGAGACTCAACCCTTGAGGCGGGGAGTTTAGATCCTTCTCATAGCTCTGCACATCCTTCGGCACAGCATCTGCACTCTCCGCATTCAAATCCACTGGAAATCCTTTCGTAGTGTATCCAAGGAAGAAATTGGCACCAAGGCCAATCTCACGGAAGGATGATTCCGAAGGGATGTCTTTGGAAAAAATCGCTTTTCCAGAGGAGTTATGGGTTGTTATCAGACGTCTGGGAGACCGTTAGAGAGGATTTCGCGATCGGCCATTGTTCTGGTGAATCTGGAATTTGGAATATGAAGGTTATACTATGACTAGTATCGACACTGATCTCTGAAACGAAGAAGGGGAGATTCATAAGTGAAGAAGATGAGGAAGCGGGGAGACGAATTTAAATCGCCGAAGGTTGTGACACGGAACTTCCCCAATTCGGTAGTCAAGTAGTACAGATGATTCGGTCAAGACTTCGATCTTGCCTCGATAGGGTTTGACTGTTCAGGGTTCTGTAAGACCAATCAATACTTCAATACCATCATCAGCAACACCATGGCACAATTCATGATAATACCTAGGTATGCTTCCAGCTTCGTGAGTGGTTACATCGCCAAACTGAAATTGTAACGAAGTTGCGGGGTATTTTACCCCGCTATTCTCCCACCAAGAACAATTTTTGGCCATGTTCCTTAGACTTAATTTAGAATCTAACTGAGACTTATGTTTCCATCAATAGTGGTGAATATCCTGGTTGACTACATAAGCCAAAGATAAAGCAAAAGCTGGCTGCAGCCTGCTTGATTGTCCCTCTCATGTGAAGAATGATCTTTGGAGAAAGCAACGGAGGTATGATCCCGGCTGTATGACAATATTCCATCAAGCTTCATAAGATCGACTCTCTATGGAAAAATTTCCGACCAAAATATTGCTTCATTCAACAAATGCATGTTGCGAGCATGAGAATGAGAGTTTAAACGCATGTAATGATCCTAGCAAGTGAAGAGGAGACATTTGGGAACAGGCCGTTGTAGCCAAGCTCTCATGTGATTTCAGGTCCTCGGTCAGACAAGTAAGTTCGGATTTTAGATCTCGGACCTTGCGTATGTCTTCCATCCAAGAATTCATACCGCGGTTTTCAAGGTGAACACAAGTAAAAATGGCTTTTGAGAGAGCGATTAAGAAGGAGGCGAGGGCGCCGAGATTTAAATCCGGAGCTCGCCGGAGTGTAGCTAGCACCTAAGAATGAGCAATCCCGGGGTAGGCACCCTTTCCAAAGGTGCAGTGAGCTTTATCTCCGGCGATGGGGTCCTTTGGGAGCCTTGAAATCAAGCTGTGCCGGCTGGTAAGACCAGAGAACCTCGAGCTCCATGGGCTTGCCACATCAAATAGCGTTGTAGGTCGAGTTTCTGGTCAGTCAATCTCATTTTAAATCAACCCATGGGTTTCTAGACCGACGACTTTCGAATCGCATCTTCCATGCCTCCATCGCCGCCATGCAGCCAGCATCTATATCCGGGGGAGTTGGCCAGCTCGTTGGCCCACCCGTATGCACCATCCAAACTTGCCTCTTTAGGAGTTTGAACCCCTACTGTACCACAGATTTTCATGTGGGCCCTACATACCAAAGTTGATCCGGCTCTCATGATTCGACTCAAATAAGGATGCTCACATGCGAATGAGGGGTCATTCCAGTTCATGGTGATGCAATTGGCTAGTGAGCTTAGCAATTGTCCCGACTATGCAGGCGAGATTATTAATGCTCTTGTAGTAACAAACGCTGACCAATGATAATTGGATCTATTTGAGAAAGTAATCACAACGAACCAGATAGGATGACCAAAATCAGCCGCCATGTTTCCTGCGTAGTCAGTATTTGAGCTATAACGACGAGGATACAGGTTCGACTCCTATAAAGCCCGAGGAAAGGAACCTCTCCAGCGACTACATGCCAACAGAGAGTCGCGCATCGAACCCCAACACAAAAGTTTCCAAGCAAAAATGCCTTTCCCAAGTGATGAAGTTTTGATGAAGACAGCTGCCGATATAGTGGCTGGATTTCAATCTGTGTTTGGAAAACACGCTGGTTACCGACCAGGTAAGCATTGTCCAAAACTTACTCGTCATCACAGATCTAACAATTGTTCTAGCTCATGCCAAAGGAAAGATCTTCAGTGGAATATTCACGCCATCTGAGGAAGCTAAGAAACTGAGCATAGCACCACACTTCAACAAACCAAGCACGCCAGTTTGGGTACGCTTTTCCAACTCCACCGGAATCCCCAACATTCCCGACACAGATCCCAATGGCGACCCACGAGGAATCGCAATCCGTTTCCATCTCGGAGACCGCAAACACACAGATGTTATCAGTCACTCAGTAGACTTCTTCCCAACTCGTACCGGCGCTGAGTTCCTCGAGTTCCTGCAGGCTCTGATGGGAGGCACTGCCGGAGAATTTCTCGGCTCTCACCCACCTGCTATGGCATTCGTGCAGGCTCCAAAGCCACCCCCAGTCAGCTTCGCTACACTGAAATACTTCAGTGTTACAGCTTTCAAGCTCATCGATGCTGCTGGAAAAGAGACTTTCATTCGCTACCAGTTTGTTCCGGACGCGGGTGTGCAGAGTCTGGATGCCGAGGCCGTGAAGGAAAAAGGTCCAAACTATCTTCAAGAGGAGGTTGAGGCTCGTGTTGCCAGTGCACCTATTGGATTCAAGCTCGTTGCGCAGGTTGCAACCGAAGGGGATGTGACAGACGATGCGACTGTTCACTGGCCTGCCGACAGGCCTATCGTTGAACTTGGAAAGTTCACACTCGACGCTGTTGTTCCGGAGAATCTGAAGGAACAGAAGTACATTATCTTCGATCCTATTCCGCGTGTGGAGGGTGTTGGACCATCCGACGACCCACTTTTGGAGATGAGAGCTGCGATTTATCTGATTTCGGGCAAGCAGCGTAGGGCTGCCGAATACGCAGAATAGAGGGTTCCATATGAAGGCTTGCTTTAGTTGGCTAGGATAAATGAACAGACCCTAAACCATTCCCACCTCACTAAATTTGACATTGGAAAGGTGAGTGGGCCTCGGCTAAGCGCATTTGTTGACAAACGAAACAAATGGCACCACCCTGAGCTTCTCGGGTGACAATTATTTCCCCCAGTTCTCCTGCATGCTTGCAGATCACTATCCGTTGCCCATGCAAAGGTTTCCTATGCATTTTTTCCACGAACCTGGACCCGCAAATTTCTTCGGTTGTTGAGGCGAAGTCAACACAGCATCTACTTTATCTCGATATCCTCCTCGGACTCATCCTTGATCAATGCACTATCTGAGAAAGCTGCAATGCCAATTCTGACATGTTTTTCTTCTTCAATTGAAGATTTGGCTAGTAATAGCCCGTAAGCCTCGAAATGAGGAGCAGTGGAGAATGTGACATCGCTCAAGTAGAGGAAGAACACACGTTTATCTTCCTGATTCTTGAAAACCGATTCACCGCGCTTCGCATCATCAAAGACTGCCCAGCCAGAGGGCTCCTCGTCGGTATCCACGATCTTAATATAGTGACCTAAGTGATGGTTTGCTCTTCCTCGGATAAAACGATGTCCATCCTCCAGGTCGAATTCTTGCAACATGTGCGCTTCAATTTCCCGTTTCCTGGCCCTGAGTTTCAGTACCCCGGTCTCCATATCGGCCCCTTCAACATGACAGCGTGACGTAAAAGACTCGCAGTCGCGTCTTGTAGCCGTCTCTCGGATTCTAAACCAGATCTCACTTGGACAACTCACCCAACTCCAAGACGGCCTTCCGTCTCTATCCCAAGCAAGCATTTTTGGGCTCCATAGTAGGTGCAGCGGCATGTCGCTGCCCCAGATTCCAGCAGCGTACCAGTCATCCTTCGGCTTGAAATGCCTAAACTTACTCGCCAGTCCTTCTAGCGACACAAGACGGTCTCGCTGATATGTGAACAGCCGAGCAGAATGCTCTTGCACAATCTGTCCCCATGCGTTGCTGTATTCTTGAATGGGGATACCGCGGCCGACCACGAAATACCCTGTTTCTGCTTCAGCAGTAGTCTTACAGACCCATACCAGCCCGCGGTCGAGGAAGTGAATCGTACGTCGTGATAGGATCCATTCCTGGGTTGCCCAACCGCGCTTCGAGAGTGCCGTGTCCATGGGGTCTAGTTCTTGCATGAAAGGCTCTTGCCTCCATTCAAGTCCGATGGAGTATTTGTCAAAATGCTCGGAAGCGTTTGTCACCGGGTCTTCAAAGGGGATTGAAACAGTAGGGACTTTAAGATCGCCGTACGGTCTGGGGATAAATAGCCCTCCTCTTGAGTCTGGGGCAGATGAAGCTGCGATGGTGAAGAATGCTTTCTCGTATACACTTCCCATAAGTTTGGATTCGGCAAGCCAGTCTTCCTCGTCGTCTTGGATGATACACAAGGAGTCGATCCAGATATATTGAACACCTAGCGCTTTAGTCACTGCCATAGCATCAAGAAAGGTCTTGGGCATCAAAGATAACGGGATTTGGTTAAGTCTCTGCTCGAAATTATATCGCGTTGTTTTAGGTGGGTGGTTCTCTGGCTTGCCCCAACAGTGGCTTAGTGCTACCCATTGCCCTTCCGGATAGCCCTTTGTATTTACTAGTCGTGGCTCGAGATTTGACTCGAGTGGGCCCAGGTCAACCAGGCGAGTAGGAAGCTGGTGAAGATCCGAAGTATTCATATTTTCGCCGGATATTGCCTTCACGCAATTAGGATGATCCTTTTGGCATCTATTGACCCACTCTCTGATGAGATCGAGTGCCTGGGTGGAGCCAGAATCGTACAATGGCTCGCGTGATGATACATAAGGCGTCAGTTTTGGATATGGAGTGGAGTTATCTATTGGAAGATGAGCTTCGGAGTTCCATTGTTACCTTATAAGAACAAACCTTTTGAGTTGAATACCTGAAGCCTCGTGAAGACTGTCTTTCGCTCTATCTGAAGCACCTCCTCTGGTAGTCTCTTCCACAACAGCCGAATGTAATCCAATTTGTATCCACCAGTAGAATATCTCTGTCTTGGATTAGATTGATTCCATAACATCAAAAAGATTGGCTCATCACTTTGGGCAATTTGATTATTGATTCGATCGAATAAAGCGCTCCCCTTTCCTCTGTTCACGCTGCCAAGAATTTGGGATAGTGGTTCTCTCGAGTGATCGTAAGCTTTTTCTTCTCCTCGCTCTCTAAATGAGTCCATGATACAGGCCACGCGTAGCAGTTCACATAGAGGACAGGTTTCAGCAGACTTGACAAGCTCGCGAGCTGATTGGTGGTGTTGAACGACGTTGTACGGGAGCATAAAACCGGGATTAATATCTTCGGGTGGGATAAACCTATTGCCAACGATATATTGTTCTCGAGTCATATCGCTTGGCATAGGGCGTGGTGGCCAGTATTCATTCACGTAAGACTTCCAATCTAACCCGCTGTTGAAAAGAAGCAAGATACTCGATATCTGCTTGGCGACGTGCAGACACACACCGCATAGATCTTTCCGCCGAGCAAGCTTCGAAGAGAATGCAGCTACATGTTGAACATTCGAGCTTATACCGTCTTGATCTTTGAAATATTGCTCATGCACCTCGTTGAGATATTGTCTTTCGGCTCCGAAGGCAGCCATTCGATGCAATCGTGCTGGATCAGAGACTTTTTCGAAAAGATCAGCCAGCATGTTAGGGACACGATCAGGCTCACCAGGCGATGAAACTGTGTAGGCATCTCGAACAGCTGTGTACGACTTCGAAAGCTCAGCCTTGAGCGAGTCGTACAGTTTCCGAATAGCTGCTTCTTGATAGCTCTCTTGCTTTTCTGCTAGAGAACACACCGAGATTTCCATGATTTTATGTCACAATTCACAGAAATGTTTAGAGCTTGAAGGCTGGCAGCCGATTTTCTGGGAAGGAAAAGCAGAAAACGGTGAAAATGGAGGTACGTCGACATGGGCCAGCTGAAACGTTAGCGGCGGGCTGTTCTACATGCAAGCTTAGTCAGTAGGCACTCAGAGACACTACCAGGAGCACAATGGCGGTGGGAAGAGAATGTCAAAACATGGGCCTAAGTCTGGAAAACCAACTTGTTATACATTCTTGTCAGCATTCAATAGCAACTGCAGGAATCTCCGCTAAATGTGAACATTGAAATATTATATTATGTTACACCTGTTGTGCCAGTCGACTTCGTATCGTCCTCAGGGTCAGTCGCCATGTAGTTTGTACTTTTGTAGATTATGTTAGCATCACCCTGGTTTATCTCCGTATCTTTGGGACGGACTCTGTAAGCTCCTCGTCCGTGTTATCATCTAGATCTCTGGAGATGCTGTCCAAATTGATCACCCGATCATCGTTCTCACCTCCTCGGGATGGAATCCATTCATTCTTTCCTGTGCCGGCGTACCCATAGGTACCATTGTTCGAGCGAGGATCTGAGGTGTAGGATGTTCCGTCGATGGTCTTAGGAGGGAAATATGCTGGAAGGAGGATTGTGAGTGGAAGACGGCACATGGGTAGACAGGCACAGATGATGCCGACGTTGGGCTCAATCATAGTCCAAAGGGAAGAAAGAATATCGTCTGTGATTGGAATTAGTACAGTTCCCTCGACCGAGTCGCGTTGCTACTCACAAGTCACATCTGGAGTCTTGGTTGAGAAGTCTAATGTTTGCATCCTGAATATGCTCGTCACGACAACACTTCACTAGTTATTAGCGACCGTCCATATGTAAGGGCAGGAAAGAAGACACCCACAAAGCTCCGAGAGCAAACACAAACATCAAGGCTCGCTTTTGATTTGAAGGCAGCCGAGACTTGTGCAATATTGGCATTGGCAGAACCAGGATTATCACATCTGTGGCAATCGAGAAGCCTGCATTTGCGTACCAATTCACCGTAATGTCAATACATGTCCCAGGGATACTTTTATCCCATGCTCGAGGTATAGGTGTGCATTGGAAGATAGTTGCGAACCAAGTAGCGATCATGTAACTTAGAACAAGCCCTAGCATGGCGTAGCAAATGATGCGGAATGGTCTCTGCACAAAGATGCGGAGATATAGGAGCAGGATGGAGGATTTCGTCAGGTTTATGGTAAGTTTGTAGAAGCCTTGAGCTATCCAGAAAGTCTGCATTTATCAGCTTGAAACACTCAAGAAAGGAAACAGACGTACCATCAGAGTGATTTTTCTATTGGCTGGAGTCAGATTCTTAATATGCTGGCCGAACCCATAGTGACAAGAAACCATAATCAGGATCGAGACTGTCATGGAGAAGAGCTATCCGAGTAAGTCCCTTGGCTTGTATAGTTGAAATGCTGAACTCACGAAAGAGACAATAATGGTCCAGTCATCGTATTTCAGGCCAGCTCGCATCTGTATCCGAGACCATACTCTGATAGCTACGAAAATCGGTGTAATACCAAAAAACACGATGCATGGAATCTGAACTTGGGGAGCATTGCTGTCTCCTGGGATGTTGCCACCCCTTGGCATGATGTTTGCCCCCTAGCCTTGAGATGGGAATTCACGAAGAATGTCGAGTGCCAGAAAATGGTAAGAAGCGAGAACAGCCCCACAGGGAGAAACTCGACTGCAGGCGTGACTGTATATGAAGCAGTACTCAGTAATTCTCTTCGAGCACAGGGCCGCACCAACCATCTTCTTTGTACGACACCACTACGTAACAAGGCCGATCAACAGAGACGTTTTATGCAGAGTCGGAACAAGTCCTTCCCTTGCTCGCCTTGTAAAGTTGCCTCTGCCAGAGAATCCAACTTAGCCACTGTGGGACGGAAAAATGACAGACCTAAGTTGTGACAGCTATCGCTGCCGCAGATCTTCAAAACAAATAACGTGTCAGTTGACATGAAATATGACAATCCTGTCTCCCTGATCACTTGCAGAGTTCGCCATGATAGCTCTTTTGACAGCCATGTCTAATATCAAGTGTATCACTATGCTGAAATTGACAGCTGACGATTTATTTTGAGCTGAGGTCCATCTCCGTGAGGTGATGGATTTCCAAGGGGTGCGTCCCTGCCCCAGCCCGCCCGCCAAGGGAAGGTCGGGTGGTTCGGCCTATGGGTAAATACTTGCATATCAAGCCCAGACATCACTTTCGGCCACTTTCCCAAAGTGCGGCCTCCTGCATCTTACATACACTTGGCTCAAGGCGATTAAGATGGCCGAATTGGACACACTTGGATGCGTAGGGCAGAATGGAAGCCATGGGATCTGAACCAGTAGTATTCTGAACTGTGAAACAGCATACTGTGAGAATATCCGTTGCTCGAATTCAAGTAGGGAACCCAAATGGACACACTGCCATGTCCAGTATACACAACGTAGGTGTGAATGTGCTGTTAAATACGACTGGTTGGTGTTCGGAATGATGTTCCACAGAGGGCTGTAATTTTGGTTCAATAGCCTCTTCTAAGTACTCTCGCTCTGAGTTCGCTTACGCTGCCTTCTTTTCCGGATGGACAAATCGTACTAATCCAGGTCCTCCCGCGTTCAATATGCGGTTGTGCTTCTTATTGGTGACTGTGAGCTTGGCTGCAGTGGTATGGAATATCCTTGCATCAATATGATGATATGCCCCGCATGCAAATGGCAAGGTGCAAAATAAATACGACTCATCATCTTCGTTTCATTTTGTAGGCCTATTTCTTTTGACTGTTTACTACTGTTCTTATCCAGCTCATAAAAGTTATCGGCTAGAAGGAGGGTCTGGCGGGCAATTTTTACATACTCTGGTGCTTTTGTTCGGGTGGTTTCTTCGGCTATCAATACCCGTGCCTATTTTCCGATATTTGATCGGCTGGCTAAAGTCGAGGACATTATGTAATTTGAACTTTCTTCGAGCTGATATCATGGATCTAACCTGTGCAGATTACTGTTATTCTTCAATTGGTTGCAGCTATGAAGTTTTTCTTATTTTTGCTTATTTCGAGCTTCTGGCTCCTACAATGCGTTTTTTGCACTTCGCCAGATTTCATTAAGGAACATCATATTCCCGACGATCTCAATGGGTCCAACTTCACCTACCCATGGCCGGTCAAACTGTTCCAGTTCAGCACCCAAAAGGCTCAGACTCTAGAAATGGCCTTCATGGATGTCGCGCCAATCGGCCCCGCGAATGGCAAAACGGCAATCCTTCTCCATGGGAAAAACTTCTGCGGTCCGACGTGGTCAGCTACAGCTATCGTTCTTGCTAAGGCTGGCTATCGAGTCATTCTGCCTGACCAAATTGGATTCTGTAAATCTCAAAAGCCCGATCGCTACCAATTCAGTCTTCAGCAGCTTGCCGCAAACACGTATCGACTCATTGCAAAACTTGGGATATCGAAAGTCACTGTCATCGGCCATTCGATGGGAGGGATGTTGGCTGCGAGGTTCTCTCTCATGTACCCAGCTAATGTTACTGAACTCATCCTGACCAATCCTATTGGGTTGGAAGACTGGAAGGCACTGGGTGTGCCCTATATCGACACAGACATCACGTGGATCCAAGAGAAATCAAGCACTTACGATTCCATTCGTGGGTATGAACAAGCTACATATTACGTTGGTACTTGGGATGACAGCTATGATATCTGGGTCAACATGTTAGTGAACATCTACAGAGGAAGCAAGGCCGACAAGTTTACATGGAACCAGGCTTTGATTGTGGACATGGTTCTGACTCAGCCAATCGTTTACGAATTCTCTCTTCTCAAGGTGAAGACGCTGCTGTTGATCGGTGCAAAAGACAACACCGCAATTGGGAAGCAGTGGTCCCCTCCCGATGTTCAGGCAAAGCTCGGACATTACGATGTCCTCGGTCCACAGACTGCCGCTGCAATTCCTGGCTCCACGTTAATCATGTTTCCTGATCTTGGACACGCACCTCAGATCCAGGCACCTGATCGATATCATGAAGCACTTATGGGATGGCTCAAGGGATAGATTACGCGAGGTAGAAGCCTTGGTACTTTGTCAATATTGTAATAGTGTATATAATTCCGAGAGATGGCGAATACATGTTTCTTCATACGCTCGATTTCACAGATCGTCCATCAGTCAAGGTTCTATCAAAGCCGTAGATTCGTTTATATATTATCTTCGCTCCATCAAATGGCACTCGAATATGCGAACTAAATCATAAGACATTCGCTTGTTTACCGGACTGAGTGCCTAGCGAGAAATCCTCTGCACTACCAATCCACGGCGACCTGACGCCAACTTGTCGAAGTAGAATCGCTCTAAAAATATGTACTAGTGTCTTAGCCGTGTGCTTGTCAAAGAATCCAGAAAAACCTTGGCTTAGTTGATCAAATTATCAAGTCCAAAGCGCAGCGGGTGGCTCGCCGTTGAGGTCGTGCCTGTCCCTTAAAAGTCCTATTGAAACAATTGAGTGCTGCTAAATCGCTAGATATCGCGCATCCACAAGTTAAAAGGCAACGGTGTTGGCCCAACATAGGACTGATCATAAGGAGAAAGGGCTGTTATTCTCGTTCCCAATCGAGTATCCCATCGGTAGTCCTTCGTGCTCTGCCTTGGAATGTTACTTCTCGCTTAGCACTCAAATTACCAAAAACAGTTGGTGTATCACGCGGCGAACTTTGGCCTCGTTGTCTACTTATATCATGATATGTATTTCAACTTTGCTTTAAACTCATATTCAAAATGGCCAGAACCTCAAGCCTCTCCGCCCTAAGTCAGTGGCATGATTGACAGGAAGTTTGACCTTTCCCACCTCTGCTGGCCTTCTCCGGCAGCTTTTGAAACAAGAGTCACGGCGATCGTGATTGATCTTAGTCCATGCCCGGGGAGAAATTTGCATATACCAGACAATAGTAGATAGACTCAAGTAAAATATGAATCGTGTTCTCAATTTCCCTTGATTTAACTTGTCCAAGATTCTGTATCGTCCGTCGCGGAAGCGAAACCGACAGCCATCCTCTAACATCAAACTTATACAATTTTCGCCACGAATCTCATTCGACGTCCTACCATCCACAATATTTCGCTCTTAGGATTTATAGAACAACAGCGACATGATTGTCCAAGTATTCTACGACGCTTCCAATGCACAAGGAAGCAATGCAAGCAGTAACTCCGAAAGCTATCGTGATTAGATAAAGACTATTCAAAGACTTCATAAAACATGCGACGGAGGCTTGCCGGATAAGTTCAATATTCAACGGGTCTGAGAGCGCTGGAACTAGGGAAGTCCACTCCCGAATGGGTTGCGCTGTAAGACCGCGCACAAATTCCTCAATCTTCTTGACGTTGAAAACGCCGAGCTCTACAACTGCTGGAACAATGGTGTCGTAGGCGTTCTCGGTGACTTCAGATACGAACCGGTTGTAGAAGAGAGCAAGCCCAATCACCTGGGCTTGAGCACGAAGTCCGACGGTGAGCGCTGCGACTGAGGCGATCAGATCATCTGGTGTGATGACTGTGATGATTACCTGGTTGGGGACCAGACTCCGCCAACACCAATCAAGGCCAGAACGATAGGGGCGAATGCTGTTCGTATGTCGTTTCCATTAATCAGAACAAGACACGCGCACCCTACAGTGATGTTAGCCAAAGGTGAGACTGCTCAAGAAAGGTCCCGTTTAAACCCACCAACTGTCTGCACTATACAGAAAAAGGCCATAATGTAAGTCACCCATCTCTTGATAATCGACAGGAGGAGTGCTGACAGAATGGCGCCAGTAAGAATGGACATCCCAATCGGCAGGCAATCAATACCAGTCTGGTGCCGATCTGACTGGAACACTGCGATTGATTGTATTGGCCAGAAAGCAACAAGAGGAACGAAGTTGACGCCTGCGGCGAAGATGACATAGAGCATACAGAAGAATGGTCGTGGAGCATGCACAATTCGCCTAGGAAAAAGTGGATATGGAGCGAACATCTCCCATACCGCGAAACCGAGAACCATAAACAAACCCAGTGTAATAAATGTCAAGACATATGCTGAAGTCCATCCGTGATCTTGGCCTCCATTGATTCCGATTAGGAAGAGAAGAAGCCCTACAGTGATCAGCAGGCCTCCGACAAAATCAATCCGGCGGACCATTTCTCGTTTAGTTAATCCTAGAGAGTTGACTCGTGGTGGAGGGTGGTAGAAGATAGCAATAATTAGGAAAGTCAACAAGTTCCAAATTACGGCCACGAACCCGACCCATCTCCAAGAAGTGTCGGCGATGAAGCTAGCGTAGAGCGACCCTGGGGACCAGGGAACAAGTGCGCAAAGTATGATTGCCGCATACAAGCTACGTTTGGCCGTAGGAACACTCTCTCCAACAATTGCAATGGCTAAGAGCTCTTGGACGATTATGCCAATTCCGAGCAGGACTTGACCACCGATGAAGCCAGCAGCGTTTGGCGTTGATGCACAGGCTATCCCACCAATCATAGACACAACTAAGCCAGTGAGAAAGATGGGCTTTCGTCCACAGAGGTCTGCCAGAGGGCCAATGAAGGGAGCGAGTGCACCTTGGGACACAAGAATGCAGGTGAACATCCAGATCGTAAGTTCGACGGCGTTGAGCTCGAGGGCTATGAGACTCCCAAGCGTCAGGTACATGAGAGGTACCATTGCGCTGCCGGCCAAAGCAAATGCGCAACCCAGTATCGTCATTTTAAAAGCAATAGCTCCCTATCCAGGTTGGATCAGAGTTACAGGACGTCAAAAAAGCTAGCGAGGCAACAGATTGCTCACGGTATTGTATTGGGTATGATCCTGCCCATCACCCTCAATTCTCAACCCATGCTTTTCATAATACTTGGAGCTTTCAGAGACCGGAGAGATGGTAACAATGGGAGAAACCATGGGTATGTTTTCAATGTGCATTTCGTCCACAATCGATTGAAATTTTCTCGACATGTCGAAGTGACCGCCTGGGCTGTTTTCAAGAAGGTGTATGAAAATAGTCTATAGACTGGCAGATAAGACGTTTCAGCAAGTAATAGGAGGCTGCCACATATAGACTTTTTTTTCCAGGACTGGGAGAAACACGCAGCCATGCATGATGCACCCTGACCTGTCGACGCGGTGGAATCGACAACGACTTGCCCATCCTATTCAACGTTCCTTAGAGCATACCTCAATTTCAAGATGACTGCAGTCGTACGCCGTGAAGATCAGCATTAAAAGGCTCCATAGAACAGACCCAGGGTGATACAAACCGCCGAGCGGCACCACCACATAATGCTTCCGTTCTCGTCCTCCCAACTTTGCCAGGAACCTCGCCGTCAAATATGTTGTGCCGAAGCTTTGAGCAATTACTAATCATTTCAATCGAATTAAGAGCTGAAGTAAACTTAACCCCGCCGGGAATTTATAGATACTTCCATCGACCGTTGCGTGTCGGCCGACCAGGAATTTTGGTACTGATGTATCACCAGGATGCAAGCGAGTTGCCCGGTCACACATGTCTCAGTGGCATGATCTGGCGGAGTAACCATTCTCAGTGCTGATTCGCTCTTAATTTGAGGACTGTGCGATGCAAGAACATGTAAGTGTTCCATTTGGCAATTGATGATTGCTCCACGAAGCTGTGTTGCCGGTCAACTGTGTTCTGCTACAATACAACTGTCCACACTCTCGAGTCCTATTCTACAGATAAATGAAGCTTTCAAGGAATCGAGATACGTGGAATAAAAAACACATGAATGTACACGCGAGAAGGATATGGACCCCCAATTAAAATCTTTGGAGAGCGTGCTTGGCTGAGAGTACGAATGTCCCCATCTGTATCGCATGGAGGCCATGTCTCATACACCAATCCTGTGTTAATTGAGTAGGTGTAGGGTGTGACCTGAAAGTAAACAAACCCGGTTGACCCGAGATCACATGAGAACTCGCAACAAAATTGTTTGCTAACTTCTAGGGTACATAATTCCACCAATCAGTGTTCGGATAAGAAGAGCTGTTCCACCGATCTCTAATTTCCTCTCTTAAGTATGCGATTGGGTTTTATTTCTAGCTGAAGTGGCTAGCGAAGTGCTACAAATGTTACCCTTGGTCACAGACAACTCTCCAAGCTTATGATACCAAGAAAAGTTTACTTGTCCGAAATTTGAGTATTTGCCATTTCCACGGAACCAATCACTTCACTCGAACTCAGGAAGAAGGTTGACGAACGATATCACGTTCCCCACACCACGTGACAAGTTGAGTCCATGCCGGTCGAAGTGCAGAGCCGCGTCAGCCAGAGAGAGGATTTCAAACTTGTGGTCTGTACATATTCATCTTCTTTATATGGCTTGAGCAAAGATCAAATTAGCCAAAATGCCTTCCTGCAAATCGTGTCAAGAATTTGACATTCGGTCTTTGCTGTTAGAGTCAGCTGGTCAAGATGCTTAACCAACAGGACTCACTGGCCGACTCTACTCCGACACCAATGACTACAGACCGCCCATCCCATTCTTCCACACATTATATGACAGTATCGTCGAGCTGAAGAGATCAGGAGAGCAGGGATGTGAAACGTGTGCTTTGCTTTGGGTTACGTGGGTCAAGACCGTGCACAAGCCGGATATGACTGAAGACTGGCTTGAAAAGACATTCCAAGGAGAGGTGTACTTGGGATGTAGCGGATGGATTGTATCTAGGCAAGGCTCACCATATTTAACCCTGGCACAGAAGACCGTCAATGGAACAGCTCGTACACTGGCATCTTTTGAGCCCTTTGCGGATCGAGGTATGTTTTGCTCCCCATGTGGTCGACACGAAGTTGACATGCCCCGGATGAATTACCTAGCGACGGACTGAATCTCTTGGGGCGATCAATTTATAAGGATCCGGCCTCAAAGGGATGCTTAGCTGTCGCCGCAGCCTGGCTTGCGGACTGCCTGGATGAGCACGAGAAGTGCAGCACGCTGGCAGACACTCAGAAACCGCTTCCGACCAGAGTAATCGACGTTGGAGATGAAATCACCCCACCTAAGCTGATTGATACAGGGGGGAGGCTTGGGACATGGATTGCACTGAGCTATTGCTGGGGTGGAGACTCTGTTTTCATTCACAATGATTCCACTGTTGCGGATCTCAAGGCAGGTATTCCTTTGCAGAACTATCCTAAGACAATGCGAGATGCCGTTATCACCACTCGCGCCCTCGGGGTGAGATACATTTGGATAGATGCTTTATGCATCAAGCAAGATTCTCGAGAAGACTGGGCAGCAGAAGCTGCGAAAATGCGAGAAGTGTACAGCGGAGCCATTGTTACAATCTCTGCTGCAAACTCGCCTTCGACTCACAGTGGTATATTCTCGACACGAAAACTTGGTATTTCCAGAGTTGGATCCATTTGGAAATCCGAGGAAAAATCCGGGAATGTGTATCTTAGATCAGGATCAGAGCTCTGGGATCATTCTTTGCAGACTAGCGCACTTCAGACACGAGGTTGGACGCTCCAGGAAGGCTTACTGGCTCCACGAACACTGTCTTTTGGACAACAACAAATGATGTGGGAATACCTTGAGCACCAAGCAGATGAAGGAGGAAGGATCACGCAGCCCACGCAGGAGTATAGGTCCAAGGCGTTCATCCAGCAAATGCTTCGGGTAGGGCGTCAGAAAAATGCCAATCCAGAGCCGACTTTCCTCGAGAGACTCCACATTCGGACATCCAGAACTGAAGAATGGCGGAAGCCACTTGCGATTGAGAGTCCATATGATCGGTGGTGGGAAATTGTAGAACAATACATGACACGGTTCCTTACCAAGGATTTCGACGTACTGCCAGCGCTCTCAGGGCTCGCTCGAGCATTTGAGCCAGTCTTGAAGGACCGATATCTTGCTGGCCACTGGAAGAAAGACCTTATGCCCAGTCTGATGTGGAGCAGAACCCCACGATATCCTGCTGACAATTCTTCTCGATTCGACCCAACAATTCCCTCAGAATATCTTGCGACGTCATGGAGCTGGGCTAGCATCATCGGAAATTTGTCTGCCACGGCTACGACATGGAAGACTCGAGAGGCCTTGGCAACTTCGGCCCTGAAAGTGGCTGAAATAATTGATGTCCACACGGTCACTAAAGGAGACGATCCTTTTAGCCAGGTTATTGGCGGGCAATTGAAGATGCGTGGTCGGCTCTTCCCGATCAAAGTCTTGGCCCCCGTTTGGTCACTTGACAACCAATTCCCCGAAGAACCACCTGATCTCCCAAACATGTCTTCGTTTGAACGAAAAGTCTATAACGAAGTAAGACTTGTCGATGCACACATCTATGAGCGGTATCAGAATCACAAATCGCACCTTGGTCAAAGCTATGGAGCATTTGAGATCGTACAATGGAAAGGAGCACCTGGCAGTGGGCTTCCCGGATCTGACTTCTTGATCTTGGAGTCGACTGGTAGTAGGGAGGACGAATACAGACGTATTGGGACTGTTAGTGTAAGGAATAATCCCACACCAGATAAGCAAGAAATGGCTCCGGACTCGTATGAGGGATTGATACTGGAGAATGAGGCACATGAGGAGGTGGGAAAATCGAAGGTCAAAAAGAGGACAATCACTATCGTGTAAATCAATCGATAACCTGACAGATGCGAAGCAATAATTCGCATCAGAATTCCACGTCTCTCCAGCTTTGAGCCAAATATATGAAATTGCTCTGGGCTGGAAATGGTGAAAATAAAGATGGGCGAAGGCCCAATGTACCGCTTATGGGGATATGTTTTCAAGTACTGGCCAAAGCATCTTGACATAATTCCCTCCAGCAATTGTACCCCTCGATCACGCAGGCAGCTCTACAAGTTTTCGCTCATGGCACTCATACTCCTCTGAACATAGTGCGGATTCGAGATCCGGACAGCTCTCTCCAGCGGCCGAAATGGGATAGATCAATAGACAAATCTCTCTGCCATTTTACTGTGCTTGTTTTGTCAATGCATTCAAACTTGCTGAAATCATAATAGAAGCAGGTCATGCCATGCCTCGATTATCGAGGAACTATTACCCCAGAGAGTCAGTATGTTTTTGCATTACAAGCAGCTGTCCCACATGGGCACGAGAAAATCTTGCAATTATTGCTTAGCAAGGGTGCTAATGTGCTAAGACTCTGCTTGTGACTGAGACTGGGCTGGCGCCATCTAGCAACTTCAACAATCACCTGGTGAACTGGCTACCCAGCGTAAACAAACAAGAGAGTGAGATGAACCACACCAACAACATGAGCGAGACAAATAACCCAGACACCAACAAGCTCAAAGCCCCAGAACAGTTATTGGGAAGAACAAACAAAGTGATACATGTTCGAGCGAGAAGTCCAGAAGTCCAAGACTGGAAGTCCATCGCCTTGGCCTGCTTAATCCAGCGTCAGACACGAAAATCTTAGGCAAGCCCGTGACAATCAATAATCACCTGCAACTACTAACAGCACACACAGCAAAAGAGTTCTAGCTGCACTTGGCAAATCTGTCGACTCGATAGCACAGAACTTGGTACTTCCAAGCTTGATGAAATTCACTTGAATACAATGTACGGCTGCAGATAGGTCGCTACATAATATACATCTATGTAACTGTCTCAAGCCTTAATCTCCCTCTTCATATTGAACAGCCTGTGACCCTCCTTCTGCGTCGTCTGGCCTAACTTACACAACTCCTTCCATACATCAGGATAGAGACCCTTCGCCCACTCCTCCACCAGATCTTTCCTGTGCTGACTCGGGATGGAATTGTAGAATGTTCCTAAGCTATTGAATCGAGTCAGTAATGCCATCTTGGAATGAAAAGTGCGGGATAACATACGTCAACACATCCAACTTGAGTGAAAGATCCTTCTCCATAACCTCCAGCATGTCCCTCGCCTCTTCGAACTTGGCTTGACCAGACAGGGCACCAATGTACGCAGCAAAAACCTTGCCTGTGACCTCAATCTCCATTCTGCGCATCTTGTTCCAGATGTCCCGTGCCTTACGATCGCCGAACGGCTTGCGGCCACAAGCCCAGAAAACAATTTCTAGAGACTTGTAGCTGGGCCCTTCATCTGTGTTGGTGATGTCATCCCAGAAGTCAAGAGCACGGTCTGCATCGTCGCAAGCTGTGTATGCCAGCATAAGGGAATTGTAGAGCTTCGTGTTAGGCTCGATTGAGCTATCCATCTTGAGCATGTTGTGCACCATATCCAAGCTCTCCCGGTCCTCGCACTTTGCGATGCCTTCGAAACATTGAACATATGTTTCCAATATTGGACGACGGGCCAAGACTGAATGTTGGCGCATGTGGCCAAAGACGTGGCAGGCCATGTCGCAGCGATTGCGGGAGAAGAATTCGTTCATCATCTGAGTACGCTGCTCCGTGGGCGTCTCGTCGAAGACCTGGCGCATGATGCTATACGACTCCCAAGCTCTTACTGTGTTTATTTGAGGATTAGTGGCGAATTGTAACATGATGTTGATGATTCGACTTCGTTCCTCAACTGTGTAATGGTAAGATTGAGTTTGGAGAACGTCAATCATCTCCTCCAGCTCATCCCGATGGAGGTACATGTTTGTCAGTGCACAAACTGTATCAGCCTCCAGCCTCTTATTCCGTTCTTCCAGATCGCATATGATGGAGGTAATGCGTGTATAATTGTCATTCTTCGAAGCGCAGAGAGCGCGAAGGAATTTGTTGATTGCTGGAAGGTCTTCGTCGTTCTGAACTTCTTCTGCTTGTAACAAGTCGTAGGCCTCTTGAGCGCCTCGCAAGTCATTCGCATCAGCGCGGTACCTCATCTGTAGGATGAACGTATTGGCGTTCGGCTTGATCCCAAATTTTTCTCCCAGTGCAATGTATCTCTCGGCGAGATAAGAGTCATTCAAGGACATGGCAAGTTCCACCAAACCATTGATCGTAACTATATCAGGTTCAACTGAGTCCTTGCCATTGACAGAAGCACTTCGTCGAATCATGACCTTCATCATTCGTTCGACATCCTCGACACCCTTTCCCATGACCCCAGCGGCCCACTGCAAAACGATATCCCACGTAGCTTTGTTTGGATCTGTCTCAAGAACATCTCGAAAAATGGTCCTGCACCAATCCAATTCATTATTGCGGATACAAAATTGCAGCACAATAGCGAGTGTCTCGGGTTCAGGACTAATGCTCCCTTTCACATCTGTGCTGTAGACCACTGGCTTTGAGTACCACATTTTGGTAGCTTCGACATCGTCCCTCGCCGCGTAGAACTTCGTCATGATAAGCTGTGTCTTGAAGGAGTACACAGAGAGCCCGCGTTTTTGAATATACTCGAGAATTTCAAGCAATTCTGCTTCGTTGTTCTCCTTCGCATATCCTCTCAGTACGAGATCCCAACACCATCGAGTGGTCACCTTTTCGTGTCTGTGCCATTCCGGACCAAACGTGTGGGCTTCAATAAGCTCTTTAGCCTCCCTTGTATGACCGGTCCCTGTCAAAACACTAATCAAAAGCCGGAAATCCGATTGGCGCCGAGACTCGTCCTCTACCGGGTGTTTGAGCCACTCTGTATGTAAAAGCTTCGCAAGTTCCGCATGCATATCCCCATTATCCTCTGGTAGCTTGTAAAGAGCTCGAATAGGCAATCTAAGATCCTCTACATTCAATCTGCAATCTTCGTCCTGGCTATCAAGCTTCTGCAGATGCTTGAAGACTCTCAATACATGCTGAGCTTGAATGCTATTGAAACCCTCCGGTTTTGACGATTTATGTCCAAAAAATGTTCTCCATGCTTTGACCAGATCTTTTGCTGGCGGAGGTCTAGCCTGTATCTTATCCATCAAGCTCAAATCCAGCATAGGTTTTAACCCTGGGGCAAGAGACGGTTCTTTTTGCTGCCGGGGCGGCTTCTGCGAGAAGCCAAAGAGTGTCCTCCGAGCTGAAGGTCGAATAACATACGGAGAGGCATGGCGGTGGGAATGCCGAGAAAGCAAAGCGGTTCGAGAGGGACAGTGGAATATGAGGCCTTCGTTTGACAGGAGGCGACGAAATACGCTCCGTGTCAATTGGGATCGCATGGCTGCCAAACGAAGTATTATGTACAGAAACTGTAATTTCTCAAATAAGTAGATGGCAATGAAGCTCCGCAGATATGTGGGATACGTACAAAACCATGATGGGGAACGCTATTGACTGAATGTGAAGCTGTTGATACTTTTGGCGTATTTCTTGAAGCTTGATTTAGCAGCTCCCCACTAGGCGCTAGTCCGAGAATATGAGCATGACCACGTGATCTGAATACTTTCCTAGCCATCCTTTCATGCGATATTCGCCAACTTGATGTTTGACTTTAGGCAGGCGTCATATTACGGAGGCAGGATAATAGAAACAAGAAGATTTCTGGTAGAAATTATCAAAGATCACGCACGCGGCCACTCTGCCTCAGCTCCACACGCCATAACCGTAAACCATCTCATATCATATACGTCGTTGGAAAGGAATAATTTATTATCACAATAGCTCTCCTTCTTCATCGTCATCCACACCATTTGGCTCGCTATCCCAATCAATATCACCTGCAGCCGCTTCTGCTTGGCGCTGAACCTCAGCTAGTCCACTGAGCTCAGTAATGTAATCCTTCTCAGTCAACGCTCGCTTGATGAATTCCCACCCCGATCGTTTGTACTCCTCAACAATCTTTGGAGAGCAGGCTGAGCAACAATCGTATGATTGTCCGCTAATCAAAATGTTCTGGAAAGTGGCCTCAAATCCACGAATTTGATGCGGAATAAGACCGAGCGGATGATTGAGAGGATCGCGATCATATTCAATTCTCCCATTTGATGATTGATTGGCGGAGACCTTGGGAGCAGGAGCTCGAGCGCCATCTGGATGTTGCAGGGCCGACACCATCAGCTCGACTAATTGAGCGGATGCCGTGGGGGCGATTCCTGGACGGGTGACTGTGCACTGTTGATCCAAAGTTTGATCCTTGACAGACTGAGAGCTCATATTAGTGGCATTCCAAGAAATAATGTGAGTGGCTTACATCTGCTGGCGCTACAACATCATTGCAGAAATAACACCCTAAAGCCGCCTGTCCTCCGTCTTCTGCAAACACACCATGTCTCATGACCACCCATGTATCAAATCCAAGAGCGGCATTCAAGACAAGCTTATTCTTTGCCTTTCCCATCACAGTTGGGAGCCATCGGCTTTCGCGTGTATCCATGAGTAGAAATATGGCATCGTGATCTTCCATCAGCTTTTCTAACGTCTCAAAGTCGAGGCGAGTATTATGTTCGTCGGTAATTGGATGGCCTAGCATAGGGACCGACATCACAAAGCCGGTACTGTCCACTCCAGGGTAAATTTCCTGAAGCGCTTCGGCTGCTCTGTAGGCTTTCTTGGCGCCACCATCGATGCAATCTTTGAAGTCGAACAATGGCTGCCGGACTGGATTTGAAAATGAAACCGAGGCATTGTCGATAAACGTGATTTTCCTGACTCCCCATCCCATTAGAAGTCGACTAACGTATGTACCAAGAGTACCTGCGCCAAGGAGGAGGCATTTGGTATCCTTGATCTTGTTGAGATTCAAATCAGGAGCGATTCGCCACTTCATAAGCTTCAAGTTTAGATCGACTGCTTGATCTGCGAGGCGCGAAGGGTCCATGTATTGTGCCAGATTAGTGGTCTTTGGCGACAACTTTTGGTTGCTGTTACGCTCCCACCCAGTCACTTTTGGCATAGTATCGGTCTCAGCGGCTTGTCCCTCCGTCTCCAGAACAATGATACGACTTCTAGCTTCATGCCTTCTTGAGTGGATGTCTCGGTAGCACAGTATTTGGACTTTGTTGAGCTTGAATCTCCGCTTGATCAACACCAAGAGATTTCGGAGCATCCATCCTGGGTTCTCAGGATACGTCGAGGGATCTACAAATGCAACGAATTGGTTTTCAAGAGGAATGCCGTCGAAGAATCCACTTTCAAACTTTCTCAACGATCCAACAACCCATTTGTAGTCCAGATCATCTCCCGTCGGGCCAGGAGTAGCAGGCCGGGTTGATTCAGAGGATGGAACGGGGACCTTCTTGGCTAGGAAGAACCCATGCTCCCTCTTGTCAGTCGCATACCTCCAAGTACCCACCTCGTCAGCAAGTGCCGTGGTCTCCTCTCCAGTCAGCTGACTCGGAGGGGTAGCTTCAACTTGCTTCCAAACTGGCTCAGAATGGAGAGCCGGAAATGCAAACCAGTAAGTGAAAGTGTATTTCTTGAGATTTGCAAAGGAGAGGATTGTAAAAGACGAGAGAAGAGAGGGGATGGAGTATATGGTCCCATCATTTATGGCATCCCAGATCTAGTCGTATAAGCTTGGAAACCTGAAAAATTTCACTCCATTTCTACACACCTGTTTTGCTGCCGTTTGCAGCATGGCTGCTTTGTCCGTGTTTTTGAAGTCTTCGATCGTATTCACATTTTTTATTTTCCCCTCAGCCCGAATGTAGCCGGCCGGAACGCTGCACTTGTCAACATCAATCGGTGTAAAAGGCCATGATATCAGGACTCACTCATCACTTGTGAGGGCATTCCCAAGCACTTGCATACGGCAACTTTCTTCGGGGGACGAGGTCACACGAGGCTCATATAAGCCAAGGACTGGTCGCGCAGAGTCATCGAGCTTATCAAAATCGATCTTGAACTGGGATAGAGCCGTGTAGAAAGGGAGTTCAATCTCAGAACCAAATGGAGCGAATTTGAGGGTCATTCTCAGCAGGTATCTCCAACTGCTGGAGGCGGGGTGAGGCGAGGGGTCGACGGAGCGAGTCTGGCGATGCTACTTTCTGATTTGTATTTCCGACGTGAGGTTCTGACCACCTTTTTCCGGCCAAAGATCCAGGCAGAAATGATGTTAAAGTAGGAAATGGCCAGGGATATGAGAATCTGGCGTCAAGAGTCAGATGGTCCAGGCAATGATCATGGGTTGGGTTGTATCAAGTGCGCAGCGCACGTGAGATGCATTTAGGTAGTTCTCGGAGAAATATCGGCCCGAGACGCGATCTGGCTTGGAGCGCGTTCAGTGTGTGGAAGGTCAACATTTGCTTCTAGTGCAGTACATTCCGGGAATCTGATTGAAGAGAGACAATGTTGATCGGACTGTGCGGAGGTATATATCGTTCTTGGTTACAACATATGAAAGCTAACTTTGCCAGGTATCTGCTCTGGGAAGCAAACCATTGCAGACTACCTTGTCCTGCACCATGCCTTTACGCAACTCCATCTTCGACAAGAGCTCACGAATGGGAACTCTTTAAAGACTTTGGATATCTCCGCGGAGAGTAATGGAGCCAAGAGCAACAGTCTGGAAAGGAAAGCTCTGGTCAATGGCACGAATTCGAAGTCGGGGGGCACGTTTACCTTTGACACAGCAGACGACCTACTAGACTTTGTCACAAAGAAATGGCAGGGCTTCTATGTCACGACCGACGTACACTCGGAGGAGATACTAGATAAGCTGGACCGAAGACCTTTCTTCATCTTGGTCAGCGTGGATGCGCCTATTCACGTACGGTGGAGAAGATTCCAGGAACGATTGCAGGCCACATCAAAAGATATCCCGAGCCTCGAAGAATTCGTGCTACAGTCCGACGAACATCTGTATAGCCCCGACGGGGGCCTTCTACCATTAATTTCTCGAGCTACTATCAAACTTCTGAACACATCGTCGGATTTGGCTCATTTTTATGCGCGGCTCTCTGGAGTGAATTTGCTGAACAATGACAGACTTCGGCCTACGTGGGACCAATATTTCATGCAATTGGCGTCCCTTGGGGCACAGAGGAGTAATTGCATGAAAAGACGGGTAGGTTGTGTCATAGTCGAGGACAAGCGGGTGATCAGTACAGGTTATAATGGTACGCCGAGAGGTTTGAAAAATTGCGCAGATGGAGGATGCCCACGATGCAACGAGGGGCAAGGCTCTGGGGTAGGACTCGGAACATGTTTGTGCCTACATGCAGAGGAAAATGCACTGCTAGAAGCTGGGAGAGGGAGAATACGGAAAGGCACTATCCTTTACTGCGATACTTGTCCCTGCTTGACATGCAGCATCAAAATTGCGCAGGTGGGCATCAGCGAGGTTGTATACAGTCAGGGATACAGCATGGATGGAGAGACAGCAGATGTCTTCAAGCAAGCTGGCGTCCGGCTTCGGCAGTTCATACCAGTACGTATCTCGCATCATATTTTGACCTTCAACACTAACAATCTCTAGCCTGCAAATGGCATGATCCATTTAGAGAGATAAGGAAACGATTTCCTTCTATAGTTGTTCAATGATACCCCGATGCTTGGCCACACTCCGACACGAGCTACTCGACCCATACTCAGGACTCAGTGATACTAGGTGGCTACGCTTTATACTCATTTCTCCTGCATTTACTTGAGATTCAGACGAAACAGAAAATGTTCTCCAATTCCTAGTTTTCACTGCTTCGTCTTGGCCTCCGTGGCGGTGCACAAATTTGTACACATTGAACAGGCTCTTACAGCTTTTTCCTGTTGCCGAAACGTTCCATATGCTGGCCCATGGTGATGAGGCTGTGCAACGCAAACGACGTCAGCTGTCTTGCCAAATGGCATCGGTGGACACTGATCTCTTCCAAGTTTTTGGTTTTTCTTCAACCATGTCCAAGCCTGCTCTCCAATCCGCTTTCCCACTTGTGCTTTGTCATCCACAAACCCGGAGCGTCTTCTCGCAGATTTATTGACATAGAGTCTCTGAAGTCAGATGTCTAACTTGAGTGAGCGTCGAGCTGATAATAGATGGGAGAGTCTGGGAAAAGAGATGTTGCAGGTTTATATCACCAATCAAAATACTGTTTCTGCCAGAATGAATCTGATGGAGCAGAGTACGTACTCATGGCTTCCAAGCGATGATGGAAGATAATGCTCAAAGAATGGAGACACGAACCAGTCAGTGCTGGACAGGCAGATCCTTGTCGTGAAGTATGGAGGCGAGGGTTTCAAAGAAAGACAGCTGAGCTATACTTCGAGGGCTGAAGAACGGAAATGAGAGAATCGAGAATCTCAAGAAGAGAATATGTGCTGAAGAGCATCTGCTGTTGCCGAGCGCAGATATCTGTACAATACTAAGCCGTGGCTGAATGTCTTACTGATAGCTTTCCCAGAGATATCGGAGTACATTAAATACAAGTCTTCGCTGTCCGATGTAGCCAGTTCGAGAGATGTCGATATCTAGTCAAAGAGCCAATACCGTACTGCAAGTCCCGTGGTTTACTTTGATTCATATTCCAGCTTTGCAGCAGTTGCGGCCTGCAATGCCTCGAATACTTGAACAGCCTCGTATAACTCCAATATTTCTGGCACGCGGAAGCCACATATCGTACGCCCCTCAGACATGAACTGTCAAGAAACAATACCTTCCTCTTCTCAGTCTCGATCCTCGATTTGACGACGCCCCTTTCTCAAAATATATACGGAGCTGGACCTCTGTCGCTTGGATGATTGCAACTCCCAGAAGCTCACATTCCTTGTCCAAGGCTCCGTCACGACTATTACGAAAAATCGAGTGTATTCGACGTTGGAATTATCCAGTGAGATTGCTACCAGTCTTAAACGATGCAGCAGATGCCAATACCTCCCAGATTTGGCAGAACGATGGCCTTTCTACTGAGAACATTTCTGTCACCCACACTTCATCGTGAGACCACCATTCCTACTACTTGGGAAGTGAACCTCCGTGCCTGGCTTGAGGAAATAAATCAGACATGTGGTAATGCAATAATAGAGGCATCGAGTTTATTTAGTAGGCGCCAATGGACCGGTTTCGATATTCATTCGCAAATGGCCGTATTTGGCTATACGCTTGGACTGTAAACAATCGTCAGCTGCTATCCCAATTCGTAGCATCGATTTCATTACTTGTGAATATACTCAACAGCAATAGTCGTGGGATGCCTCGCTCAAAATTCTTGAGTGACTGCAATGGCGTGGACCATGAGAAGACAGGCTGCACTCAAGGCGTAGGGTTACTTTCGATCCAAAATATCGGTTCAAACAAAATGCAAGATATTCGCTATCTGGAGGGCAAGATTTGTCCAAAAAAGTACGGAGAAGAATATATTAGATCAGCTTTTTAACATTACGCGTAGTTATTGCTAGATAAAGAATGAAAGAATGCCAGCCCTAACTAACTCCCAGAAGCTATCACGTGATTAATATCACCAGGAACAACGAGCAAGATCGAAATCAGGGGGCTCTGCCACAGTACTATTTATAGAGAGCCCAACTAGATCTATACTAAAATCAGCGTCTTTAATATCGCATGATCTTTATGAAAGCATAAGCAGATTTTGAAGTCTTGGAACAAGGCTCTGGCTTTGTGATATTGCCTCTTGGGTCCCGTGACTTTGTTATTCTACAACGGTGACCCTTGCCTGCGGTCGTACTGAATCGACGACTTTGTAACAAAGAAGGCTCTCCGTCCTATGGATATGATCTAAGTCTCGTGAATAGTTTATTTGGGAGTCGTATTCCAAAGACTCTTTGTTGATAACGGCACTCCTGTCCTGTTCGTGTAACCAGGCGCTCTCAAGATTGATGATCTTAGGGTAGACTGATTTAGAACATGGAGCCATTCTTCAAGGATGAAAGCAAAGTTATTTCATGGGGTATTGCTTGTACCTCTCCCTGATTCAGTGTATCTCTTTTGTTAAACTGTATAAATACCAACGAGCGATCCCGAAATTGATTCAGTCTCAAATTCATCAGAACTACGGATCAAATTCAACCACTTCCAAACACTAAATATCAAGGGAAAGAATCCACAAGAGTCATTCAAATCAAGATGAGCGGTCCCCCACAAAACTACATCAAGGAATTTTTAGCAATCGCCAGACCCGCCATCCTAGAAACCTGCAAGAAAAATGACAGAGACTGGTATATCGGAGTAGACCGTATCACATATCGAACTATCGCCGATACTCTGAACATGAAATTCGGGCTCCCTGACTCTGGAGGCTTCTTCCTCGATGACAAGTTTGTAATCGAGCAGATCACCTCGGACCCAGAGTACTACTGTAGAGTTGGAGTGCCGGCGGAAATAGTGACTGGAGGGACGGAGCTTGTGCTTTTCGACCCTTATGCTCATACTACAGGGTATGATACGATTCCCATCTCTGCCGGTGGAAACCAGTCAGATCAATTGCCAAGACACGTGCTGGACGCTTTGGTGCGACTTTTGGAAGGACACGGACGTTTGCAGATTAACTCTGAGGATCATCCACGAAATAAGAGGCAGAATCTAGTCCAAGAGATGACCTAGATTGCACAAACGCGAAAATGGCCTCGTTATCCTAGATTCACCGAAGTTTTTATGATAGATCTATTAAGGAATGGCGGCTGGGATAAAGACCTGGCCTTTCTGAAAGCTGAGGGTGTCGTTGAAGGGTCAGTATACTGTTTTCGTCAGCTGAGATTTCAGGATAGCGGGAAGACTGCTGATCGCCTCCACTGGACATCGCTGACTTGCAAAATAGTTTATCACCTTTGGACGATCCGTACCTCTGGCAACGGCCGATTATTCCTGTTGCTTTCCACCGCCAATTCGAAAATCCCGGCTATACCCAAATAGCCCCAGGGGAACCGAGTGCTCCATCACGCAGTTCGTACAACAACCCTCACGACAATCGACAAGCACAGTACGGCCCGAGTTTTCAACAAGGCAATCCGTATGATCCCAATGCATACCCCCCCTACCCGCCACGACAATAATCCTTCGAAGAATTTTCCTCCTCAACAAAGTCACTCCCCAACTCTGCCTTCTTTTCCTTCTCTTCTATTAATATCTCGCGTTGCTATTGGTATTTCGGTATAAGGTTGTTCGGTATGGTTTTTATAGCAAGTACCTTTAATAATACACTCCTTCTGGTACGGCACTTTCTCCCCAGATCATCTTTTAGTGTTCATAGGTTCGATATAGCGTGTATTCTTAAAATGTGATATTGGATTTTGTATTTGCGGCTTTTTTTACTCCACTCGCTAGATAGCCCTTCCATTCCATTGTTTTGATTCCTTGTAATAAGCGAACACCTTACATGGCTGGCCATCAAACCAGCTCTTCCAAAGCCCACCCCCTTCCCCTTCGCCACGAACACCGAATGAGTATGAAAATATAGACATCATCACCAAAAGAAGAAAACTCCATCTTCTATTCACCTAATCAGAATGGAGAAGTGAGTCGTGAAGCGACAATCCGAAGTATGTGACGTTACCACGTGACTAAAAGGGGCTCGCTTACCTTACCTTGCCACTTCCAGTTTCCATTCCCACTACAGTACACTACATTACCATTTCCATCGTGTTCTCCTCCACTCACCGCTCTAGCAGCCTTTCGCTCCTTACGTACCTACCACTACACACCTGCCGCCATTTAATCCGTCCGCCGTCACCATCACCCACACCGACATGGACATCGACATCGACACTGATACCGCCATCAAGATCTGCGCACTTTAACCTCGCATCGGGCGTGTCTACACATTTATACATATATACCTAGACGCTTACACCCAACCTCCGGGCACTTCAACATCGACATCGACTTTCTTGCGCTCAAGTTAGCTTAGTTATCTTCACTCTACCTCAAAACCCCTCTTCACCACACCTCAATACACGTCACTTCACTTCACCGCATCGGAGTGGATTGCATTACTTTACTTCACATCGACTTTCAACTTTCAGTACTCTTTTTTCTTAACTTTGATTCCTTTGATTTCCATGTATCCGCATCTGTATCTGTAGCTATGTAGTATTATTCAACGAAGTCTCTTCCCACCGCGAAAAAAAAAGTAAAGAATAGTAACGGAAAGCAAAGGTCATCATAATTTCGTCATTTAGTCGTTCATCAAGTATCGTTTCGTTGCTCTTCTCTTGCTCGTTAGTCGTGAAATGCGCTGTACCCGCCTGCCTTCAAAAAAGATCTCGTGAAAAAAAAAAGATGAAACAAAAAAAAGGCAATTGCATCCATGCTCCAACCATCCATCCGTTCATATGTGCTTCTCATCCTCTCCCCGCAATGCCAGCAACAAAACTTAAATATTCGTGATTGTCCCGTTCACTCATTACCCGTATTCCTCCCAACCCACCAAAACCAATCACCTCTCCCTCCTCCTCCTCCTACTCGACGATCCCCTATCAGAACCACTCGAACTCCCCGCCGCACCAGCACCACCCGCCTCCTCCACAAACCCCCTCAACAGATCCTTCCACGTCTTCCTCCCCTCCATAACATCACCAAAGTCCCCCGCCAGCTTTTCAACCATCTCCTTCTGTCCACCCTCGCTACCAAGTAATCCGCCCAATCCCCCACTTCCTCCTCCACCAGCACCCCTCTGTCTATCCCTAGCACTCGCTCTAGGATTCCGATACGCATTGCCGAATCTATCTAGTGGCCGTCCATCACGATCGAATCGATCGGGTAGGACTTCGATTTCGTCTGATAAGGTAGGGGATGGCGAGCGAGAATGCTGCTGATGTCTACGGCGGTGTCTAGAGGGTTGGATGGGTCGGTCAGAAGATGGGTCTGAACTCCTACGACGGCGTCGCCGACGTCGAGAGGGGTCTTCGCCGCGGTCGTAGACGTGGTCGATATCTCGATCTCGATCTCGAGACTGAGGTTGAGAAGTGCGAACCAGAGCTGAAGGACCAGGGTTATCGGAGTCTGTAGGAGAAGGTGTGCGGTCTGGGTGTGCGACGTCGTGATTATGCGTATTGGAGTTTGATGACGCGGCGTTCTCGTGAATATGTGCTAGGCGACGAGAAGATGTTGGGGAGAGGGGTGCGAAGTTGACGGATTTGTTGTGTGGGCGGGTGGGAGAAAGTGGTGGCGAGGTGTTAGGCGAGAGAGTTGATACGGTGGAGGGGGCGCGAGGCGTGTTTACACGGGCTAGCAAAAGCATTAGCTTATCTTCTTATGGGACGCTGGGTTGACGAAATACAGACGCACCCTCCTCTGCATGAAATGGGTCGCGAGTAAACTGCTCGTCTTGGACAGGAGCGACAGGGGGCGGAGGGAAATATGGCGTTGCGCCACTTGCGGTAGGCATAGGCACAGGAGCAACAAAAGGAGGCTGATGAGATGTATTGTCTTTTGCACTCACATTGTGACCTGTTTGAGGTGGGTAGCCGAAAGGGTCCGGGTGCGGTGGTTGGTTTGCATAGTCCGCTGGATTGTATGGAGGGATACCCTCCTGGTGTACTTGTGTTGTGGAGGTTGTGGTATGCGTTGTGAATCCCGGTTGTGGTTGAGGAGGTGGTGGGAATGCATTATTCTCAGGATAATATGAGCCACCTGAAGCGTGTGGAGGAGAGGGAGAATAATCATCTTGATAATCGCGAGCGTAGTAATTTTCTGGAGCAGGTTCTTCTTCATAGCCTGCCGCGGGAATGTTAGTCTTGCAGGAAGATACATGATGCCGTGACTGAAACATGATATAAGGAGAATCCACATCATTTCGGAATCAGGTTCGACAAGCGTCTTGTCAATCTGCTTCTAATAGATGATGCGGACCGAGAACGAGATCTTGAGTGCTGGGGGACCTCACGTCTGCGTTCCCTCTCCCTATCCATCTCCTTTTTCTCCTTTCGCTTCTTGTATTGGTTGATTCCAATCGCCGCTGCAGCAGTGCCCGCGGCAGCTCCTGCAATGTTCCTAACTCGACTTCTACTACGACTTCTTGACCTTCTTCGATCGTCTGAACTCGAGGAATGACGACGACGGTGCGATCGACTTCGAGATCTGGTGGCGCCATACGCGGCACCAGCTCCGCCCGCGGCAAGAGCAGGGTCATAGTCGTACCCTCGTTGGTAGGTAGTGGTTTGTTGGTGGGTGTATACGGGTTCAGTACCGTATTGCACCATTCCTAACTCGGGGTCAACACCAGGATCAGAATATGCGCCTATAGATCTGGCTCTCGACCTGCTTCTCCTCCGCTCTCTCCTATGTTCTTCTTCAACTTCCAATTCACGATCTTCCTTTGCCTTGCGATTCTCATATAATCCTGCAACTGCCGCTCCTGCCAGACCAGCTCCCGCGATTTCGGCACCAGTCCTGATGCGAGACTTGGATCTTGATCCGCTTCGTTTACGTGACTTGCTTCGGAAATGTTCAACAACACCTGCAACCGCGGCCGTAGCAGCTCCAGCTTTTGCGATCGTCGCTGCGCGATGTTTGGGGTCGGCATGTTTGCTTCGGCTTCGACTTCTTGCACGATCATCGTCATAGGAGTCGTAAGAATAACTCCTACGACGTCTCGAAACACTTCGAGTTCGACTACGTCCTCTGCCCATCTCTTCTCTGTTGGCTTTGCGATTAGAGACGTATTTGGCAGCGGCGGCCGCGGCTAGACCAGCAGCTGCGAGGCCTAATGCGGTCTTGATCTTGCGATGCGAGTTTCTACTGCTTGATCTTGACCTTGAACGAGATCGACTTCCATGACTCTCGCGGTATCGACTTCGTGCTCGTGTGAGTACTTCAGCACCAATGGCTCCGAGGGCGGCTCCTCCAACAACCTTTCGTCCTCGGTGCCCATCTCCATCTCCTTGCTTGTTTCTATGATTTGCAAGCAGAGCAGCTGCTCCCGCACCAGCCAAAGCACCTTCTGCGAGATGTCTTCTGTGGTGTGGACTCGAGCTTCTACTTCGCTCTCGTCGGATGACCTTTCTCTTCACAACATAGTTCTCGCCATCACTATACTCTCTGTCGCTGACGGAGTCTCGGGGCCGAATCTCTCTACGATCGTACGCAACGATTTCCTCGTCGCTTCTTCTCACAGGGCCAACCTCACGCACATCTTTCCTGTAGTAGTATTCATCTTCTGCCCTTCTCGGCTCCGGTCGTGCAACTTCTTGTGACACCTCTGTCTGTCGAACGACTTGAATTTCTTGTTCGCGAGGCGGAAGGACAATCGGAGGCGGAGGTGGTGCTTCCTGGACGATGATCTGCTGAGGCTCTGGCGCTCGTTGACGAATAATAATTGGCTGCGGAGGTGGTTCCGGACGATCGTAGTACTCAGTTTCTCGCTGGTATCTCTCAAGCTCATATGGTTCATCTCTGCGTTCTGTCGTCCGCTTCTCAACTCTAACGATATCCGTCTCCCGAACGTCCCGTTCCGACTCCCACGGCCTAGAAGGACCGCGGTCCCAAGGACCCCGTTCTGGCTCGCGCCGGTCCCGTTCGTAGACTACCGTTCTTGTTCGCTCACGCTCGCGCTCGGGTTCGCGAATGGGTTCACGCTCAACGTATCGCTCGCTGGTGAAGGAGGATCGTGGTGGTCGAATGTCGATGGCGCTGCGCGGTCGTTCGGGCTCGACAAAGCGCTCAGTGCGACGGTCTATTTCGATGCGCTCTGCTCGTGGGATGTCGAGTCTCGTTGTTGAGCGGCGATCGATCTCGATGTCTTCTGTTCTGCTAGGTGTGACGCGGTACCGTTGAACGGTACGATATGAGCCGTCAGCAACCCTCGAGCGGCTGATTGTTGAGGAGTGGTCGTCGTCGGAATCGTAGCCATCGCGATAGCCGCGTGTAACTCGAGTGACTTCTGGCATAGTGACGTTTGTGGTTATTATTATTTGGTAGTGATAAAGAGGACGGGAGATGCCCGTAGGCTTTGTACTTGTAGACTTGAGCGATGCGATGTGGTGTGGATGTGAAGAGAAGAGAAGAGTGCAAAGGTGACAGCGAGGTTGGGCTGGATGTTGGTGGGGTCGAAGGCTGCTTTGTACTGGGAGGGAGAGTAAGATTGGTGCTGGGCAGGCCTCGCCAGGGGCGTACAAGTCTGAATTACCCCCTGTAATTTAAATGCCCCAAGTAACCTAGCCAGCTATGAAAGCGGGCAGAATAGTTTCAACCCAGCCAGCTATGCAAAGAAATCGAATTGCCTTCCTGATCTCTTGTCTTCCCCAGCCTTACGCAAGTCCCAATGCCAAGTCAGAGACGTTGAACTATGGCGGTGACAAAGCAGCAAGCAATTGGATAATGTTTCGCTTCGATGTGAGACTGTTCATTGGAGGGGAAGACCCGGACTCGGATGTTTTGGTGTGCGGTGCAGTGCTGCAGGTGATGAGATGCAGCTCGGAATAGGGAATGGATGGTAAGTTGCGTCAGACGGCGATACCTCGTGGTCGGGAACTCGCAGGTTAGGAACAGAAGGGCTGTGAGCAGAGTTCATATTTATTGTGGCACTTGGTGACGACCGACGAGGGAAAGGATAGAGGAGGTTGAAGCTTGGTTCATTTAGCTTGCTGTGAACCCGCAGATTTGTACATTACATACAGCCTCAGGAGCGCCCATGAAAGGGGCGATTGGTTTTGAGATAGAGTTTGATACAGAGGCAAGTGATCATCAACTCGGTCTGAAATGGTATGTGATGAATGATGCCAATTGTTCGCTCTCGGTATCAAATGTGACAAGGTCACTCCCAGCAAGACTTTCTGCTCCTAACTTACAGAGGAATTACCCTCACACTGAGAATGTATCGTTTTGATGTACTGGTCGTAAAAAGTTGGAAGAGCAACAAGAATGAAGGTTCAAGCTAGTCCTGATGGATATATATGTGCCCAATTATCGTTTCTGGAACTTGGATATCCTGCACCACAGTTTCGTGGTGTTGGAGGTATTTATGGGGCCAGTGGACACCACCCCATCATAACTCCATGAAAAGAAAGCTTCATTTGAAGTGCCGGGCTCTGTATGAGAACATCACTAGGTAGTGTCGTATAGTTCTTTGATAAGTCCTGTTTTATAAGTTCGTCGTGGCATACTAGTTGCGATATATCTCAAAATACTTGGCCTGGTGGCCCAAATCCCTCGCTTCCCTCCCAATCCCAGCCACCTGTATTCTTTCCCTGCCCCAACTTCCGGCCCAAGCAGGGCATCCTAGCCACCATCCCCAAGGCTTCATTTGTCACTAAACGCTGCTGTACAATGACGTATTTTCACTCAACTCCATTCCACAGCGACGATAGCTCTGCTTTTCCTTAGAGCCGCATGTAACAATATGATATGAGATGATAATATGTAAACACATATATAAGGCTGCGCCACCAGAACCATCAAATGACTCTTCTAGTCAGTCAACTGCGCCCGACTGGAGCTGGATGCGCTGTGGTTGAGGAAGGTGTGACGGGAAGGACAAGAAGATGACGCAGCCAATCGCTCGGTGGCAGAAGCTCGGATGCGGCCGCCGGAGGTTGGAGAAGCGAGACCGACGACATGGAAATGGATCAGCTCAGCCTCCACATCAGAAGTCTCTCTCGATGACTTGCGCTGGACTTGATCTGGATGCCTGCCTGGCCAACATTTTTGCGAGTGAGGGCCAGACCACAGCCTCATGCATACTATACTATGACATGCATGTATTTCATGCTGCGAGGTTTCGGATTTCCAATTGGGTTTGCTAGCCAGTCATGTACGTCTGGAATCACTGGAATCAAGCTAGAAGCAGTCGAGGCTGTGAAGTTAGCTACTACAGGACCTAGGTAAGGAAGGCGACGCCCTGGTAAGTGGTTGCCTGATCTCCCGTGCATTTGCCTGCACATGCAGTGTAGGACTATGAAACTCTAGAGCTGCAGCACTCGATAATGGTAAGGCTGTCTCGCAAGGTACATTTCAGCTCTACCCCCTCATGGAGGCGCTGGATACAGCAAATATTGTTCGAGTTTTCGGATCTACGTTATCGAGAGCTGAAAGAGATGCCTAATATTACAGATGTCGAGGAAATGATATCGATTTATCGAACGATCAGGTAGTGAGGCTTGTAAGTAGGTCGAGGTGGTCTGAGAAACACTGCTTAACCATTGAATAAAGAGGAGAGATATTGAACCTCTGCATCGAAAGGCATTTCCCTTGCTGCAAACATCTACTCGGACAGAACCACCGTATGCCCTGCCCTGTGGAGTCAAGAGACAAACAGCCAAACTCCGGGCCAGGTCTCTCCGGCCCTCCCATCCGACGCCCCAATACCTCGGTCACCACAGAGCCTCATCCGACACCAAATGCACCAATCAACAAAAGTGAAGGTTGAAGGGCGAGTGCAGGGCATTCCAGAAGTCCTAGCCTACACACTTGTGCAATCTACCGACACCGAGTACTTGGTAACTGGCTGCCTAGCAAACTAAGAATGAGGTGTGGCAACTAACCACAAAACATGCCGAACCGGTAGCGTAAGGCTGTCCAATAATCACGCTTCCACAACTCCATGTTCATATCACGCAAGGGTACATGGCACAAGAGATAATAACAAGGGCATTTATTCAGAGCCTTGTACGATATCAGAAGTCCATAACAGGTCAAAGCATATCTACAGCCACACCAAAGTTCGGACCATGCCACCACTACTCCTCAATGCCACAACGCAAAAGCTCCCATTCGAGTAACTGAAACACAAAACATTTTTGTATTATCGCCGAATCGCAGTAGCAGACAAGAAATTAGAAGCAGGAACTCATCCGCTCAATCCCTAGCAGGCTGCTTTCCCTTCCGCCTTCTTAGAGACAACGGGCTCGGAAGTAACAACCTCCTTCTCAGCATCAGCTTCTGCAGCAGCCAAGCCACGCTTGTCCATGTGGTCGAGAAGCTTTGCCATTTCGGGGCCGCGGGGATCTAGTCCAAGAGACTTCATGTTCTCGAGAGTGTCGTCATCAAGAGCAGCAAGAATCTCGTCCGTGGGGATCTTGGGAAGAGTCTGTAACGGCTGTTGTGGTGGAGCTGCTAGCAGCATTGCTTGTGCAAGTCGGGACTGGTTGACTGGTACTTGTGTCAACAGAATCAGCAGTCGTCTTGTCGATACTCAACCGCTCAACTGCATGTTCCAAAGTCTCGTTCTCGCCGACCTTGGCCTCAATCGTATCCTTGCTCAAAGCCTTGTGAAGCGAAACCTGGGTACGACGGGGTGTAGCAATGCGTCGCTGATTACCAGAGAACTGAACCATATGCTTAACAATTGCTGGCCCCTTATCCACCTTGAAAGCCTTCTGGCCGTCAAACTTTGCAGCCCATCCCAAAACCTCCTTCACATCACCACCAAGTCTCGTCTTTGCAATCTCAAAGCCTAGAACCCAGTCCCAGATCTGCTGATCCGTGAGATCATCAAAATGCAATTGTCCGGGATCACCAATGATCTCAACGAGGAACTTGTAATTGGTCTTAGCGCAGAAATCCTTGGGGTTATTCTTGACGATCTTGTGCAGAGCAAGCAACTCCTCGTGTATAGCCTCTCGGAACAGCTGGATGACTTGGCCGAATTTATTATCTTCCTCGTCCGCGGCAATCAACATGAGCAAAGCAATCATATTGTGCATCTCCTGGTCCTTGATCAGGATCTTCCAGCCAGGTAGGATGCTGGCTGGGTGAACCTTGTCAACATACCAAACACTCAACATCTGCTTGTACTTAGCGACAGGATCATCAGCCTTAGCCTTGAGGAGGTCGTCGATATCGCGAGCCTTCTTGATGATTTCGAGGTACATCGCCGCATTCTTCTTGTTCATCGTCTCGGTAGGAGGATCACAGGATGCCAAGCAGATATACTTGCTCTCCATCTGTTTCTGCAGCGTAACTCCATCGCCGACTTCATAACGAAGCTTTGTGATTCCACGCCACGACAGATCCGTTGGATATTCGCAGACTTTCATCGAGAACTCCAGACACTGCTTGATCATACCCTGCAACTTCTTATCCTCGACCCGATTACGCTTATCCTTGCGCTTCAAGACCGGAAGCTCAGTATCGAGATTCTTGAACGTCTCGTCGAGAAGCATAGCCATCTCGATAGTCTTGCTCAACTTCTCACTCAGCGTCTCCTGCATTAAGCCTCTGTTGATGGGAACAGCCAGCTTCATAGCCTGGAAAAAAGTGCGGCCGCCGAAATCAATAGCCTCCCATGCCTTCCGGATAGCTGGTCTCGTCTCTTCACTGATAGTCTGTACGCTGACCAGATAGATGTTTTTGCATAGCTTGTCCAGAAGATCGTACAGCTCGAGACTATACAGAATCGGGAGATCGTCGTCGTCAAGCGCGTAGCTAAACTTCAAGTCCACATCGGAGATCTTGGCCACCAGATCAAAGATATTCTGCGGCTCAGGCGGATCATCAATCTCCTCAAGTAGACGCTGAGTAGCGCGAAACTTCAACTCCCAATTGACATTCTGAAGCTTTCTATTTTCATGGAGGAGCTGGTTGGCTTGCATGCGGAGAGTCGCGATCTTGATGTCGTCTTCGGCGACAGAGTCCATGAGGGCTTTGTAACGAGCTTGATCGGCTTCTTGTTGGCGTGCGAACTCGTTGAAGCGGCGGTCCCACTTGTCTTCGGACTCAAAAGGTGCCTTGCAGCTATGTGCTGTGTCGTCTTCTCCAGCAGGATCCCCATCGCTGCCTTCGGCTGCCTCGTCGGAAACAGGCTGAGGGTATGTGTTATCCTTGATAATAGGAGCTGTGGTGGCAGGGTGGGAGTAGACCTTCGTCTTTGCAGTGGTCGCATTGCTGCTCTCAGCAGATTGTGCAGTTGAAGTCGAAGCAGCTGCAGGAGCAGTTGATGATCCACTTGCAGCATTTCCCTTATCTCCCCCAAAAGCCTGTAAACAAGTCAGCACTCTTCTACTCTCCTCCCTCTACATCTCTAATCCAAAAGGGAGTAATCAAAGTAGATAGGTAGACTAACCTCCTTTCTCCATCCCCCTCCCTTCCCACCCCTCGCAGCTCTCCTCGCCTCCTCCCACTTCTCCATACACACCTCCACCTCATCGCTACTAACCCCCTGACTCTGAACCTCCTTCCAGAACTCCGCCCGCGCCTCCCGATACTTCGCCTCTTCCAGATAGATCTTGAATGCCACCTCTCTATGCTCCTTGGTCTTGTATCTGGCAGCTTGGATCACCTTTCCATAGTAGGATTTCCAGCCGGCGGTGAGTGTTTCGGCGAGGTTGATGTCTTCACTTTCGAGAGTGGAGATGAAGCCGTCGCGGGTTTTGGGGAGACCGTTGATGTATGGTATGTGGTTTTGACAGTGGCAGTGGCTGTGGCTGTGTTTGGAGTTTTGACAGGTGGAGGAGGAGGAGCTGCGGTTGTCGGTTTGGGTGGTGGGGTAGGTTGATTGGACGTAGTGTTCGAGGGCGATGTTGACGCGGCCCGTGGAGTGGAGGGCGATTTCTCCTGTAAGTAATGTCAATACAGCTCTTCTACAATACGGCTTTGTTTCTGTCTTGTGCTGTTTCCCTACCCCTCACTATCCATCTCCACTCACACCAAGCAGAGACACAACCCAGTCACCAATCACGCATTTTCTCAGACAAGAAAAGTAAAGACGGAAGGAAACAGGGTAAACTCACTCGCATCAATATCCGCCTTGATCTCCTTGATAGCAGGAAGAAGCTTATACTCATTCTGCTGCAACATCTTGGTCGCGTAAGCCTCTGAGACAAGGTAGCCATCTTGTTCGGACTTTGTCATAACGAGCTTGAGGACCTTGGGGTCAAGGAGAGGATCGCTTCTGCGCGGGGGGAAGCATGTTAGCCCTTGTAAACGAGGGATGCAGGGTAGGATAAAAGGAGGAGAGTATTGGGAGGGGAGGGGGGGAGATGATAGAGGGAGGGACAGGAGGGAGGTTGAGGGAAGTAAACAAAGAGCCTCACGAATATCCAACGACGTCCCTACCCTCGATTCCCCCTCTCCCTGAAGGTCAGTAAATAGCTCAGTACGCCCCAATCCAACCTCTTCTTTCCTATCAATCACACCCATCCTCAAACAAACACCAAACAATCCCCAAAACATAAAAGTCAAGCAAAAAGAAATCAGCACTCACAACTCCGGCATCGCCGCAACAGTCTTCGCCATCCCCATTCCCGCAATCGGCGCATACTTATGCTCACACAGCACATTCTTACACTTCGGCGGGCCCTCACAAGCCTTAGGAAACGTTTTCTTCCCTCGCTTCATCGTCATCGCGTTGTACTGTGACGACAAAGTCTTACCAGCAAGAGAGGAACGTGACGAGGAGGCCGAAGGCGCGTAACTCATGATTGCTGCGCGCTTGGCGGGATCATCCATTGTGCTGGGTTAGGTGGTGGAATTTTTGTTGGTCGGAGTGCAGGTGTTGGGGTTGGGGTCGGTGGTGGTGTAAGGTGGAGGAGGAGGAGCCGAAGAGGAGGAGGAAGAAGAAGAAGATGCGGAAGTTGTAGACGAGAAATTGGTAGACGAGAATTCTTGGTCGTGATGCAGACTTTCTAGCCAATCAATACACCACTCTTGGGCAGTTAGTTCACCGGCTGGTAGGATGTGGCCTGCACTTTCGAAGAATTCACGCAATTCGCGCTCGATTTCAGGTGTGATGATGCGCGCGAGGAGGAAGCCGTGTTCTTCTGCGGTCCAGTCCGTGTTTACAATGAGGTATTCGTCTTCCTGTTTAGATTTGGTTAGCGCATTAGATTTTTATTGTGTTTGTCTTAGAGGGCGGGCTTTCCTGTTTGGTTGTTGAGGAGCAGAACGAGAGGGGAGAAATAAGGTGAGGTTGAAGGGAAGTGGGATTAAGCGAGAATTGCTTGTTGACTTGATGGGAAAGAAATTTATTCTAGGAATTTGGAGCATCAATTGTATGATATATGGAATCTCTGGACTACTAGAAATCGATACATACTCCAGTGTCGTGAGACTCAGAAGCCTACTGAAAATTCCAATTGTCCTTTTCTACTTTCGTGACATTTGTTGTTGTTTTGATCTGGCATGCCAAGAACAGCTATCCTGACAAGAGTGTTCTGATCGAGACAAAGCTTTGCTGGGGCTTAGTCCCTCAAGAACAACCCACAAACTGGCAAGGCAATGACAGAGTCGTAAATCCATAAATCAGTAAAAACACAACTATTAGGAACACGTATTCTCTGAGTTAATTCATGTCTATAATATCTAATGTCCACCTGTCTTTGAACAAACTTGTCTGCCCAGCCATGAAATATTGTAGGGTTAGAGACTAGACATCACATGTTGCTGATTTTCTGACGCTAACAGCCACGATCTGTATACAAACAGTCCATTTACAAAGTTTCTTTGTTCGTACAGGTCAATAGAGTAGCACATCGTCTGGTTTTAGACACCTCTCTCACCTACTCAGTGCGAGCTAAAGCTTCATCGCTTGGTTCACGGATGGGAGGATTCAAGAGACTCGTCAATAACCATAAATTCTTCGTACATATATGGGGTCGAATGCAAATTCCAGACTGTAGAAGGCAGGTTAGAAAATTAGGCTGTTGGTTTGTTTACTTAATCCTAAGCTTCACGAATTTAGCGGGATAGCGAGGAGACGATCGGCGATGGACATTCAACATGGTAAAATTGGTAATGTAAGAAGACTTTCTTTCCAAACATTCAGCATCTCCTGTTTTTACAAGCTCAGAACCTCCAAGGACTAATGCGTAGAGCTGGATACAAAGGATTATAATCCAGGTTTGGCTGGGGAAACTTCAGCCAGAAGCGGTGGCCAGTCACCTGACCTGCGATTGGACTAACACCTTTCTACTTCCTGCTTGCCCCACAGGCTTCCTTGTTTTAGCAAAAGTTATCGCCAACAAATATATTCAAACGATTCATATATTCACTGGAGAATGTGTGGTTGGAAATTGTAACTAAAGTACCGCATGCTTCTTTCCGGAGGACACGAGGATGCCCTGCCAACAACGTTGACCTCGATTCCGGAATGATTTATGCCATTAAAGATAGTATCAGAGACACTAATAGAGAAATAAGAGTGAAGACATCTCTCCCTACGAACTGTTGGGGACAGTTTCCTGTGGTGGCTTGTTGAAGAAAATGCAAAGCAGCCATACAAACAATTCTTGTTAGTTGAAATATTCCATGAGCTCCAGAGGACATTTGAGAGACGAATTCACAGAACAGGCAAAACCTTGCGGTATGCCATAAGAGGACTGTCATATCAGATGACTGCACATACAAAACTTGTTCTCTTCGATCATTGATCAGATGAAACCCGAACTCCACCTTGCATACCTGGCTTACCCTTGAGCAATTTTTTTTCGATGCTGATGATGGTGACCATGGTCCCGGAAACTCGTTTTCTCTCGCAAAGAAGTGTGGAGCAAGTGGTCCAAGACATGAGACACGGGGAGCAGCCTCTTTCGGACAGGGCCGAGCTTTGAGGTGGAGGGCCCGACAGCCCCTTTGTATCCCTGTTTAATCTATTAAACATCAATGTATTTTAATTAACGGGAGAAGCGTATCTTGCTCAAGCAACTGGTTTTGATTGATTGCATGAAGCTAGTCATGAAGTGTTGCTGGTTTAATTTATTTGCTCCAGTCAACATCCGAGGCTCGATACATCCTCCGTGAGCTGTCAACGAAGTCAAAAACTCGCAACCAGACCTAGAACGTTGTCGGCCAAACTCTAATAGAAGCAGACCAGCCCTGTACTGTACCAAGACTTGCTCGTTCATCACAGACCATAAATGACAAGTTCGCCGAGTTTCTGGGATTTCAAACGGGCCAAAACCGTTTCGCCGATCAGGGACTCGGCTGGAACTTTACGGTCAGCACAAGTCTTTGACGGGGCTAACCCAGTTGATCGCGAAAGCTGGATACGTGTTGGAGGACTTCTCATTTTGCCAATGTCAAGATGCTGTAAATTTATGGAATAACCCTGATCCCATCTGATAATATCCATCATTGAGATAGAAAGTCACCGATCGAATCTTTGCCTCGGGATTTCCAATAAAGGCCTTCAAGAGCAGCTTTAACAGATTTGAGATGAATCTTGGCCAAGCGTCCTTGAAGGGCCCATTTGCCGACCAAGTCCATTCAGCCTCTTTCGTTTGATCTTGCGAGAGCGCATTTGCGCAAGAGATGAGTTGAGATGACAGGGTTGTTGGAACGGAAAGTACCTCGCGTATCATGGAACAGGAGGGTCTCAGCCTCTCAGGGCAACGACACAACCCCCCCCCCCCCCCCCCCCCCCCCCCCCGCCACTGAAAAAGCTTTTTCAGCCATTTTGTATTTCCAGAACCGTCCATTTCGATCCACACTATTGGCCCATTATAATCGGATTTCGGTAACAGTTCTGGACAACATTTAGCGATTGTTGATCATTCAGTAGCACGGCCGAGGTCTCATCATTTCGGAGGACCATGTATTCTGCTCAAATATCAGATGAAACTTATGCGGATGATGCGAGACCAGGGCATTTTGTTTGAGAGTTCTCTTGCACAGTGACAAGGAGAAGTGGGTTTGAGTTTTGAAATGCTTGATTCCATCAATCAGCGCCTTCGGCTGGAGCCGACACAACCCCTGACCTAGCGAATCGTAAGCGACAACCCTCGCTTAGCTTCACGTCGCGACAAATCGAGTTTCCAAATGTAAATCATACAGCCATCATCGTGAAATTGAGGTTACCCTTACCGAGAAGTCAAACGAGATCTCCGCCAAGATGAGTCGAGGCGCCGTTGAACGGATCTTTCAGGCGAGGGGGCGTCGTCTGATGTGTTACCCTGGCTAACTTTCTTGGGTGATCGATGCGTGACAGGGCTGCTAGGAGGCAGGGCTTGGATGTTTGTTGGCCTGTCCACCTTGACCGCTGGACAAAGCTCAATGGAGACGAGGCAGTCGGATGGCACATATAAGCTCTTCTTTCCCACGACAGTTTCTTTCCTTCCTCATCCCATCTTCATTCTTTTCAGTTCACTCTACACATTCTTTACAGTTCTGCGAACTTCACATTCTTTATACACTCATTCTAACTTTTGAACAACCCGGCCGGCCCTTTCACTCTTCACTTCAACTTCCCAACATACAAATTTCGGACTTTAGTCAATTACAAGCAAAATGTTCTCTCAAACCGTTCTCGTTGCCGTTCTCGCGGCTGTTGCTGAGGCTCGTTTTGGCCAGGAGCAAGGCAATGGTGCTATCACGGCCATTGGTGCTTTGACCAACCTTGGTAAATCTGGACAGGCTGCCACTCTCGCTGGTGGATCCATTCAATTCCTCCTTGCTGCTGCCAACCCATGTGGAAAGCTTACTCAAGCTGACAACATCATCTCCGAGCTTGGAAACTCCGCCGAAGCTGTTGCAGCTGCACGTGGACTTGTATGTATTCCTTGCCGAAGTTCTTATACTATTCTAATAGTACTAGGTTGCCGCTGAGCAAAACTTCAACCCCTTCGTTGTGTCCATCCCATCAATCTGTAGTGATCCTACCCTCCCTAAGTCCGCCGAGCTTCGCGGCGTTGTTCCTCTCATTGATCCTGCCGTCGGGGGACAAGATGTTGAGAACGCCAACTCCAAGACTTCCATCACCACGCCATTCGATGCCACTGGACTCAGTGTTGCCCAGGTGATGATCGCCCAAGGCTTTTCCAACTTCACAGCCGTAGATCTCGCCGGAACCAAAGTTGCAGCTTCTGCTTTGGGTGGAGGAGCCACAGGTGGTGCATCAGGTGAAGTCGCGAGCCCACCTGCCGCCGTAGCAGACACCGATTGTGTTCCATCCACAACCATGACCACTGTACGTCTCCCTTCACCAATATCATGAGCTCTATCTAACACATATCAGGTTACCCGGGCACCAACTCCAACTAGCTCTGATTGCGGTCGCGTTATTTATGTCACAGTTGAGCCCGTAAGTTCTCTTTTAAGTTACAACCCTATGATCAAGACTAACACTTCATTAGTCCGCCGTCGCAACCCCATCTGCTGCTGGAGGCGTCGCAGCCATAAAGCCTGCCGATTTTAACGCTGCACCAGCCGCCACTGGAGCCGCAAGCGGTGCCGCCGCAGGAACATGCACTGGCTCAGGACAGACCATGGTCTGCTCTTCGCCAGCTGTTGGAGCCGGAAAGGTTTCTGACCCAGTCACCGGAACTTTCGACGGTTTCCAAGCTTCCACCATTGCCGGTCTTGACTTCGGTCTCTGTGTTCCTACCATGAAGTTCGAGCTTGGCTTGAACGGTCGTTCCGCAACCGCAGGCACATTCCAGGCTCAAGACCCTCTCTGCAACAAGGGTCAACAAGAGGCTCTCAACCCAGCTATCATCACCAACCGCATCCACGACCAGATGACCAATGTTTGCGGTGCCAACCAAGCTGCTAAGGATGCTATCACTGCTGCCCAAGCCAAGATCGTTGCCCTTGGAACGCGTGATGCTTCAACCGCCGAGGCTTTCAACGCTGCTCTTGGATTTGCTGGTGTGAACATCAACCCAGATAACGCCCCTCAGACTGGCCTTGTTGGCCACGTTTAAATCATTGGCTGCCAATTATGGGTGACCTGTTTGTATGATTGTTTTGTTGGAGGTGGAATACTTTCCTATTTTCTTTTTGGGGAGCTTTGAGAATGAAGATGGCGATGAAGTGAAGACGATGCCAACATATATAATTATTATGAATTGTATGTATCGTAAAGACAAGGGGAAGAATCCAAGTAAAAACTGGGTTACATCATCTCTATTCCAGGGACCTATCTCCCAATGTCGGGTTTTTTTCCAAAAAATTCAGGTCTCAGCAAATCTCTCCAGCCTTGACTTAATGAATCAGTTGTTTCTGATCCCATATCTGAGGAACTCCCCGCTTGTGGAAGTCTGCCTTACTTTCTGCAAGCCCTCGGGCCTGGGTGACCGTAGCGAGTTTGGTTCAGCCACAGACCAGCCTCCACCGCAACATTGTCCTATTCATAGGCGAATGGCTTGGCCACGCCCCCTTGAGGCTGATGCCAATCATCCTTTCAATAGAATCTCCTCTGCTTCATCCAGTCAGCTCCATCACCTCAAGCCCGAATAATTCAAGCCTTATCGGAACCATCCGTGGGCCTTGGCGGGTATTCCCCGCCGGGCTTGGGGCTGAGGTCACTAGCCAGGACTGGAGGGCCGAGGATTGGCTGTAGGATTGTGTCTTTGAATTGGGTTCAGGGACTTCTCGTGTTTATGGTCGTGCATCTTAGACATTGTTCATAGGATTGATCCATTGGGTCAACAGGTTGTAGGAGTCTATGTGGTGGAGAATGTAAATTGTGTCTATAAAGATGCCCAACCCGACTCCATTCAATTTCGTGCGACCATCTGAAGCTTGAGTCGTGCAACAAAGTATACTAAGTTTTCTGTTTTGCCTCATTCTTCCCTAAAATGTCGGATTCATCTCTGGTCTACGGCTGTGCAGAGGTAAGATCTTCCGATAGACTCTGAATGATGAATCGCTCACATACTGATGAGTCTTAGTCCTATCTCAGCAGTCTTGCCGATCAACACTGTGCATCTCTGTCTTCCAAGATCCCAAATTGTGGGTTCACGGACGCAGCATGCTGTAGTACCGCTTACAACTTCATGGCTGAGCAGGCGAGCTGTCTCTCTCCGTATGCTGCTTGCATGGACTTTACTTGTGAGTTTCCCATTCCTATCTTTCTCAACTTCCAGGAGAAGTATCCATAATTATTCCACACTTGGACGGCTAATTTTTTCCGATTCTGGATAGCATGGACCAATGACGCCTCGAGTGGCCTCTCAGCTTGCACAATTGCTCTATCCTCTGGCACCTTGACAGATGCAGCTGCTGTCCCTACAACGGATTCGCAAGCCTCTACAGCCAAGGGAAGCTCCCCGACAATTACACCTGGGCCGACGGCGACGGGAAGTAATGCCGCTGTGACCGGACAAAGTACGACCACCAAGAACGATTGTGGTAGAGTGGGTGTAAGCGTATATAAAGTTGGGCTAATTGGCCTTCTGGGGCTCTTCGTTTTTTTGTGATCATGGAGTACCATGAAACCCGGAGTATGCTGTGCTCGATGGAATTGGTTGAGTTCTGGCTGACATGAAGCATTACAACGAAACGATTTTGCGAAGGAGTTTGCATTCATGAATTTAGGAGCGCTAATAGAAAATTTCCTAAGATTACATGTCAATTGCGCGATGCTCTTCATCGCTCGTGATTTCCCTTCCCGCGTTCCCACCACTAGACCAAGGTGACCAATATTGAATGGTACAAACTTTGTTTGACTTTAAAATAACTCAGCTACCTGAAGTAAATATAGCGGAGTCAGACGAAGAATGTAACAAGATACTGATTAGATAATAGGATAATAGAGGATATTTTCCCAGAGGTGCAAGCGGAATCTGGATGTGTTTACTAGGCAAGGCATAAGCGAAGCGAATTCGAACGTGCTACACGAGAAAGGGTTCCACCATGCTAGTCTCCGGCACATCTAGCTCGTACGTATTCCTATATTTCGTGTAAATCTAATGCGGGGTAGGTCTCAGGAAAGCATCTGGCACCACCACTTTACGTAAAGTCTCGGATTCCTGGTGACATGGTGCAATGTGCTTCGGTTCATCCTATCCATTTCCAGAGTTCGCTTACCATTCCAGAGTCATTGACCAGGAACAAAGCACCCTTGTATCTCCTGCCAATCTTAGAACCAGTTTTGTTGTGACACAAATACTAGGAAGTCCTTTCCGAGCACGAGATAGACTGAGGCTTGTCGTCCCCCCTCTCAATCAAGGGATTTGGAAATTCCCCCATCACACGGTTGTATCACTTAATCGAATATAAGATGGAAATACCGAAGGGATTATAGTACGAGAAAACTTAAAGAAGTTACTCCAAGTTTTCATGTCATGATGATGCAAGACTCGTCGACAATCGCAACATGTTGTCCCTCGAAGTGCTGCTACAACCTCGCTACTTCTCGTCTCACAGAACATGAGTTCTTCCTAAGGTCGGCGAGGAAGCGGTCTCTCTACTGAAGATTTCTTATAAGAGCAAAGACTTCTCTCAGTTAAGATCTCTTCACTCCTCATATCACAGAAAGAACCAACATCCACAACCCAAACAAACTTTAACATGGTCAAAGTAGAAGCTACCGGAAACGCCCTCAAAGCTGCAGTTGCAGCTGTATGTTGGGCCAGTAACCGGATTGATATCTTTCGCACTGGAGATCGTGCTTCTGATTTGCAGCACAACTGGTGGGATGGATCTAAGGCAAGTCATAATTTACCTTCGAGATCAATGCTCCATCACACCACGACTTTGGAGCAGTGCTAATATCTCGAAGTGGGGAGGTTTTGAGTCACTTGGCGGAGTCTTGACCAGCGTTCCCACTGTCGCAGCATGGGGACCCAATCGTCTCGACGTCTTCGCTCTAGGCACCGATGCAGCTGCATGGCATAAATGTAAGTACAATTGTCACTCTTTTAAGCTCTCCGCTAATAGAAATCCAGGGTGGGACGGAAAGTCTTGGTCCAAGTGGGAGAGTCAGGGCGGAATTTTTACCTCGAAGCTTGATATCACAAGCTGGGGCAGTAACCGTCTTGATTACTTCGGCTTGGGAACGAGTTCTGCTGCTTATCATAATTGGTGGGATGGAAACAAGGTATACAATCCACTTTCGATCGGGCAGTGACAATAGCTGACAACTTGGAAGTGGGGAGGGCACGAGTACCAAGCGGGCGTCTTCACTTCTCCCGTCAGCTCCGTCGCGTGGGGCCCGAACCGCCTTGACCTCTTTGGCCTCGGGACAGACTCTAGCAGCTATCATAAATGGTCAGTCTCTTTCCTCAGACAAGGTCATCAAATGGGTCAGGGATGCAGTTCAAGAGGGAACAATTTCTCTCATAGATACCTGGAGGTTCCAAACTTTGTCATTGGCCCAGGGCTCGGTATTCATTGGTCTAGCAATAGATAAGCTGACTTTGCGCGCCCTCGTCTAGGTGGGATGGAAGTCGTTGGGCAGGATGGGAAAATTTGGGTGGAATATTCACCTCGCCCTTGGCTGTTGCATCATCCGGAGTCAATCAATTGGACGTAGTTGGACGTGGTACCGACAGTGCATTATGGCACAATCTGTGGGACGGCCGTTCTTGGAGTGGCTGGAAATCACTGGGAGGGATCTTCATATCTGAGCCAAGCATTGTTAGTTGGGGATCTGGCAGATACGATGTTTTGTAAGACCTCTCTTATCTTTTCACATCGGATTGCGGCAATTCGATAAAATTCACTGACTTGATAATCAGCGGCGTTGGGACGGATGGAGCACTATATCATAAGTACTTCACTGGAGGCTCTTGGTCTGGAGCTTGGGAGAATCTCGGCGGTATACTCATCTCTGCACCAACCGCCGTGAGCGTATGCATACCCTTCAAGGTCCAACCCACCCGCAAGCAGATGCTGACTTCATAATGATAGTGGGGAGCAAACAGGCTTGATATTTTTGCGCTTGGTAAGTGTTGGCCCAGCTTGGAGCTACAGATGTCTAGGCATCCTCGAACTTCACTCCGGTATGTGACTTGAAGATATGTGTATGCTGATTGACTTGCCAGGAACCGATGATGCAGTTTGGCATAAATGGTGGAATGGAGCCAGCTGGGGAGGATGGGAGCGACTGGGCTAGTCTCAAAATAGTCTTGAAGATTCCCACAACCAACCCGGTAAAAGCGGGGTTGGCGGGGCGAGGGTGAAATGACAGGCTTCTTGTCAAGAGGTAGAGCTTTTGAGGTTGTGTTCATACTCTCCGTGTTCCCTCAGGAGCCGCAATAGCAAACGTCTTGCTTCTCAAACCCTGGAAATCAATCTAAGTCGAATCCACACGTGACTCGCTTAACATTGTTTACGATGTTGAGGATCCCCAAAGTAACAATCATGCTGTGCACTTCATACATAGAAATTGAGATACCAGGGCCAGAAACTTTCGTCTGTGCCTGGTAGGAACAATGCTTTGGTTGGAGCAGCGAAGTCACCGCACACATACTGCCCCGACGCAAGTGGCTGAGAGACCCCCATTGGGACGGTCCTGGGCTCAGGCTATTCCTTCCACGCCCGATCAATACTTACCATTCACCGACTCTGTCATAAATATCGAAACCACGCTAATCGATCCTTTGTTTAACCGCATCAACTCGCGTTTCTGACCTTCGTATATTTATCTTTCAAGTCAGCACCTTCCAAGTCTTCCAAGCAATAGCCCCATCGCCTTTCCTCAACACTTGAACCATCCACCTCCGGCCCTTACTACTTGCAGCTCTTCAAAAGTACACCCACTCAGCGGCGCGAGAGTAATACCCTCTGTTACTATGGCTCGCAAAGTCATGCAGTTGGTACTTGCCTTGCTTGCACTCCTGATTTACCTTGTCTCTGGCTCTCCCGTGAGCAGAACTTCAGACCTGAACTCAGTTGTACTTGAGCCTAGCAAGATTCTCGATACACAACACCAAAACGTTGCTCACAGTTTCGGAGACCCTGATATCGCGGGCCTGCCTCCCACACCTATTACAGCTTCCGTTCTCGACCATGTCAACAAGCATGCTCTTCATCAGCCAGCTCATCCTCAAGAGACTGATGGGGTCGGCACAATTTACATCGCTAGAAATGAGGCAGGAATTGATCCCCCAGGAGGTGGAGATGGTCAGACCTCAGGCTGTGTCATCTACATCGCCCCAGGTGGCAAAGTCAATACGTCGACTCCACCGAGTGGATGCGCAAGTCCGCCTGCCCAGAGAGTCCGAAACCTCAACATTCCACCACAGGAGACCAAGTCTTCAATATTTCGTGTCGAAAATCACTTTCCAGGACAACAAGCCCAGCGTGATGTTGAGCACAAGCCAACTTTCACTACTTTGGTCTCGCCGGGTCTGACAACATTGACGGTATCTGCTTCGACTGGCCATGAGACAGGTGGTGTTGTAGTCATTACTGGACCAGTGACTCATAAGTCACACAAGACCTGTTCGACGAAGACAAAGTCCTGGGTTTCGCCTGGCACCTTTACCGTCACTAGGGGAAGTGGTACTTTCACAGTCATCACCACACTTCCGAGCCATCCTGAACACACTTACGTTCGTAGTCAGATTCCTCCCCCAGAATGGCTATCCACGCATGTCAAGACTCACGGTCGACAGACTGATAGGCCTCTGCCCATGGAGACCCTCCAGTTAGCAGGACGCGTTCCCCCACCTGAATCCGAATGGCTCCTCGCCCCCAGCCGCGCACATCCCTACACTGGAACCCACGTTCGCCCAACCGACATGCCTTTTGCATGGAGAACTTCGACATCTGCCAAGTCCAAAACTCACATTCACACGATGGATAGGCAGAGTTATTCCTTCAAGCACAAGTCAGAGACAGTACTGGATCCAACTCATGTTCGTCCTACAGACAAGCCAGTTACTTGGGGATTGAACAGACGTGACAATGTCCCACCTGGTATTCCAACATCTTTCAAGCCGGTTCCAAGTCCGACGTGTACCCTCACGGTCAAGAAACCCACTCCGACAATGAAGGGTAATTTGAAGACTGTGTACACCTCCACAGCAACCGTGACCCACTATCATGTTTGTGGAGGATGCTTGCTCGTGACAGACCAGCCCCGGACAATGGATCGCAAATGGGAGGCTACTAGGACAGTTCATGGTGTTGCGACGGTGACCGTTAATGTATGCACTGGTGGTCCTAGACGACCAACTCATGGCCCTGTTACACAGAGAGATGAGTATACTGGTGCCTCATCGCCAGTTCCAACGTCCAGCAATTTGCCAGCAACTCCTTTCCATACCCACGGTCCGCCTCCTAATTTCACACCTCGACCTTCGAGATCGGTTATCGCCAATCCAATTCATACGCATGGCCAACCACCGAATGTCACGCCTCGTCCCGAGACATTAGTCACTGCAGTGCATAGTTCTTCGCCTGCAAACCCAATGCATACTCATGGCCCACCACCATTGGTCACTCCTCGGCCGGCGAACTGATGATACCCGAATCATGGGTGCTGAGATTAGTTTCTTCTCTGAACACATATTGAAGCTGGCGTTTCCTTGGGGCCGGCGGGTTTCAGAAAAGAATACAGACGTTGAGCTCCGGCGTTTTTCAACTTCCATACATCCTGGCATTGATCTTGGAGAGACAGATTTCGCGATAGTGCCTTCCACTGACTGGGCAAAAGTAATGCAATGGATTTTGAATTATCTTCATTCTGGACCATGATTTAGAAGTGTACATACCGAAACGCTCGCTGATCGAACATAACTCCTACCCATGCTGGCCTTTTAGGATTTCCCAACGCCAGCAATGCATCCATAATCCGAACTCCAAGGTCAATGACCAAAACCTTCCCACTTTAGCCCTATTCACAGTAGGTCGAAATCATCCAGCTTCTCCCTGTACTTCAAGATGTTCCTCTTGATCTTGCTGCCATCCACCCACGTCACGAAATCCTCCATGTTTCTTGTAACCAGGAACGCCGTATCGGTGATGGTTTCCGTACCAACTCTGACATGACCTTGCTCGATGATCTTTGTAGCGGCTTGAACAGTCTCTGCCATCCGTAATCTGGTCAGGACAACAGGCAACCTCCTTCTGCAGAACGCTGAGACTGTGACGTTCTTCTCTACTTCGGATAGCTTTGCATTTGCGGCGTTCGAGGGTAGAATGCCCATATCGTGCAGTTTGGCAAGGAGGAGTTCTTCATGTTTGCGCCGGAACGAAGAATCGGGCGGGAGGGCGGCGAGACGGTGTGCAAGCTGTTTGAGGCTCTGTGTATACATCATTAGTACTCTGTAGGATGTTTATGGAGTAAGAGGCACATACACCGCATATACGATTGTATTTGGCATAGTCTGCTGGCTTCTGGATGTTGTATCGTCGAATCACTGCCGCATCGCGATGGTTGTTGTCGCTCTTGTATGTGGTGAAGTCGACTTTCCGGAGAAGCTTCTGCTCATGATGCTTGAGTTTTCTGACCATCTTGTCTCTTTATCGCTGGGAACGGATTGCCGTTGAGATTGTGAAGACTCTTGAAGTGTCGCGGGGGAAAGTCAAAATAATTTTGGGGTCGGCAGAATATTTCGCCGCTCCGAGAAGGCCAAAGTTTTGTAGCTCCTATTAGCAATTGACGACAACATCTTGAAGCTTAACAGTAGCATTGTGGCATTCATAATGGCGCCCCCACGACTCCAATACCTCAATGCGACGAGGCAGATTGCGAAGAATGGATTGAGTAGTAGGGTTGCTTTCTCGACATCTCGAGCCTCGAGATCTGGTACGTCGATTGCGATATTTATACTCAAGCTCGAACTAACAACCTTGTCAAGATGAGCCTCCTTCACGCTCAACAACCTCGGAACTGTTCGACCTGTTACCGGGCTCGAGTCCCAAGTCTACAGAGTCCCAGCCTCGACCAGCTTTCAGCAACCCCATCCAGACTTTCGCCCAGAAGCAGCCACGAGAGATAGGGGCAGGTAATGCCAGACTTGTAAGCCTTGTAAGACGAGGCGTCGAGAAGAGAAATCGGGACCAATCACGAGTTCGAGGTGCAACTACGGCGGAAGAATTGCAGAATCGTAACTTGGCACAAGATTTGAGCAGGCAGATCTCACGGCGTTGGAGAGCGGGAGATATTTATGCGCCTCATGATTTGAGCGAGGTGGAGATGGCGAAGTGGAAGAAGAGAGGCCAACCACATCACGATGCGTTCGATATACTGGATTTGAACCCGGAGGAGCATTACCGAGTATGTTCTGCCACAACGCCGCTTGGAGTGCTGTGGGCTAATCGTTATACTAGAACTTCTCACTGATATCCGAATACATGACACCTATGGGGCGCATTAAGCATTCAAAGGAGACAGGGTTACGGCCTGTGAACCAGAGGAGAGTTGCAAGGGCTGTTCGAAGGGCCATCGGTTTGGGTATGCACCCAAGTGTGCATCATCACCCTGAGATTCTCCATCTACGGAACCAGAGGAACGAGTCAAACTCACCCTTCAGGCCGTTGTCAGGCCCTATGTACTAGACCTGTACTTCGTGTAGGACATGGGCCGATGTACAATAAATGTAAAATGTTTCTTTATCTGGACGGCCTAGATGAGATATCTTTGGAAACGTTAGATTTACATTTCGCGCTGGGCAACATCCATTCAGATTCATTTCTAAGTCACATTTCATGCCTCTCCGTCCAGGATTAAACCATCTTCACCTCGAGTTCTTCGATTTCGGCAAACAAGCTCTTCGGAGTCAAGTGATGACCTCTTCGGTGTCTGCCTCTTCTGCAGCCTTCATCATAACACCCTCCTCGACACCTATCCCAATCCTGAAATACTCTTTCCCCACTCGCAATGGGCACCAGGTAATTCTCCTTTTCGCTCCGATAGGGACGAATAAGGACCATACAGCTTGTCACGCTATGGTCCATTTCAAAACTCTTATGCAAACAGTCGCATCCAAATCCAATCCCTTGTCAGCCAATAAAACGGCAAACGGTGGGAGCACATTCAACAAGACGAGACGGCGTAGTGGTGTATATATTCACACGAGCTCTGCTCTCACTACTCTGCCTCCAATGAACAGACGTCCTGACTTTACCGCGCCGAGAGGACTACCGGAAGAAAGCTCGTAGAAGATATACCAAATGCTAAGCTGGTTTTCCAGCTGGTCTTAACCAGGAGGATCAGCGCCATCCAACAGTGGGTAATGGGTCTGCTTTGGCGCTCTTGATATTCTTCCAACTCTATGTGGGCGCCGTATGCCCCTCTCCAGACTTCGGACCTCCGAAGACCTCCCAGGCCAGCCAGGCCAGCCAGAGACCAGCGACGAATCCACCAATTTTCTTTCTCGGCGAGGACACTGCTCAGACTGGATAGTGCTGGGAATTTGTCACGTCACTTGGTCAAGAAACAGGTGAAGTACTGTTTAATGACTCGATCTCTCGCTAGAATCCGTCTTCGCTGGGAATGGTCATTCGTTCTATCCTCCCAAAACACTACATCTGCACGACGGGATGTCTTCTTTGCGCGTCGCATTCAGCATGCATAATGTAGCCATCTGCGGCAGAGAGCGGACTGAATCGAACCCTTTGTCCTGATAGGATTTTGGATCGTGATGTCTTCCTCCTAGTTTCGGATACTCAAAAAAAGATCATCATTCAACGTTGACGGTATTAATAAGTAATGCTGCTCGGATCTCTACAACTTTCTTTGTATGACACCGTTTTGCTGATGATTGATATTACGACGCTGACCTGCTGAAGTTTCAGCTCTGCCAGCTCGGCAGCAGATTCTTTATCTACAACCAGTTGTCGATTCATCATTTTCAAGAGATGTTTGATGGAGTTCGTGATTTCGGTACCGATGCCAGGGAAATGTGCCTCCAAGCAGTTCTCCAAAGCCCGAGCCAAGTACGAGAAGCAGTCCAGATTGTTGCCTCGTTGGTGGCAGTGCATGGCATAGTCTCGGTTGGCGATCGCTCTGTCCTCGAAAGTAAGTGTATTGAATCGTTTCCTGGATGATTCCGAAGTACTACTGAGCACAAGCTTGAATATAGATTCGGCGATGCCGAATTCGCCAACAGCAGAGTAAGCAATGGCCAAGTTGATGGCAGCTTTGACGACATCCGGACCATGTATAAATCCTGGTGTTGGCCCGGGGTATTCGTGGTGTGAAAGCAAAGACTCGGTCTCAGCCTCATCTAGATAACCTAGACGATCGCTCACCTCGCTCCATTTCCCGAAAATATTCGCCCGTATGTGTGCTTTGCGCAAGTACATGGCCGAGCTACGCAGGGAGATAAATTGAGGAGAGTCGAGTGTCAATGAAAGAGCGATGTCGAGATATTCGATGAAAGATGACATGAATAAGGAGAATGCATCGGCGACGCGATCCTGCTTCTCGAACACGCCGCCCAGAGTGAGCTGTGCCTCCAGCCGCTTCTCATCGTTACCCAGAAAACGCCATCCGGCTATCACTTTCCAGTACAAGACCGCTGCCTCATCATACTCATGGCGGCGCACATGGAATTCAGCCTTGGTTTGCGTAAGCATGATGGCTCGCCCGTCAGGTTGTTGGTTCCGATGGAGAAGCTCGTTGGGACGTCGAAAGAGCAAGGGCGAATAAACTCTTTGTAAACTCTTGATGCGAAGTGAAGAATCGAAATTGTTAAGTGGTGGATTTGGAGCTTTTCTCAGTGTTTCCTTTCCAAATCTGTTGCCGACAGTAATCGTAGTGTTTAAGCCGCTGTCTGGTGACAGGATACTTGAAGCCGACTGATTCGAAACACGGTTTTCTAAGGTTGATGCTGTCGACCCATCGACTTGAAGACGTTCTCTGATGGATGACGTGGATGAAGAGGACTTTCTGGAACCAAGGCCGTTGTTACCTGCTTCGATGACATCTGGAGTGTCGACGAATTTTGCTGTGTCCTGTATACTTTCCGGTCCAGGACTAGACTCTGATCTTGGAGTGCAATATGTGATACACAGTGGTGTTTCTGTAGCTCGATCTCAGCACCCGCTATAGTGACATTCAGAAGATACTTACCAGCTGAAGGAGATGCTCCCTCGGAGTTTTTGAAAGTCTTCCTCCTTTTAAAATTCTCAATCCTGCTCGGTTGTATGAAAATACCATTGTGGAAAAATTCTGTCTTCTTGCCATCTTCATAGGCCCTTCTCTCAGCTTTCGCAGCCACGATCTTCATGTTGCATTCGGTCAGACGCTTTTCATAACCCCACTCCTTGAATTTCATTTTCCATTTGCGAGGGCTGAGGAATCATCAATGTGGAACTGCTCAAAGGGCTAGGATTTCTTACGATGCCCGAAACCCATGCTTCTCCTGTATAAGCTCCATTGTGTTTGGTAACGTATTTCCCTCAAGAACATAAAATCTGCGAATATCTTCCTTCATAGATTCCCATTTCTTGTCATTCTGTGACAATCGTGAGCTTCTCTCCAAACCTCCTCGCTTGGAACCCTGCGATCCAATTAGAAAGCTCTGTTCACGATTGCTTGATTCCATTCTTGTAATATCTTATGTGAAAGGTTTTGCGCAATGATGTTTGCATCGAGAGTCTAAAATTTAGACAATCAATTTGAAAATAGATATGTTTTACTGAGCTGATAGAACGCCGAAATATGGCACATATATATACTCGAGAGCGCCAAGCCCATGGTAGAGCTTCATCTGGACACGGGATGAACAAGTGCCGGGCAGACGGGCCAGAAAGCCAAAGGTGCAAGAAGGCATATTCTTTGCATAAGCCTTTGAGGCTGACGCCTGCGGTCCTGTGGATAGATGCTGGCGCTGACCAGGTCCCTTGAAGGTGCACGAATTCCTGCCGGCAAATGTAAAGGTGCAATTAACCGGTTGGTCCGGAGGGCGGACCGACTCATCCAAGCTGTAAATAAACTTCCGAGTATAGTAGATGCAGCCTCCTTGTGATCGAGGCTACGCCATTCTCAGACAAATGAAAGACTTCAATCTAAGGTAGCATGTGCAGAAGTCTCTCTCCAGGTTTTCAAAGTACCATGTTAACAAATTGGCATGTTCCGTTGTGGTCTTCTCGATATTCGTGGATCATTGAAGATGTGTGAGACTTCTCGGGATTCCGACCACAGGCTTTGGTACTGTAACTCGATGCAGCTGGACCACTGGGCGAGCCACTCGTGAGGTTGGACAAAGGCGGATACCTACCACCGCCACACTATTACAACAATCCTTTGCATTTGCTGAAATCAAAAAAGTGGCAAGCATTGCTTTTTCATTTTACGTTCTCCCGTCCTTTCATACGGCCCCAGTGACAAAGAAAGAATGGTTGAATTTCCAACCATGAACGCCATCGAGAGGCACACCCCTGCCAACACCGAGGTCGACTGATATGCACGGGCTGATTCTGGATACAGGGCCTTATAAAGGAAAGATTAAAACAAATAAAAGCATTGCTCAACATAATAGACATGGGTGGCAAGGTTCATATCCGATAAAACTGTGAGGCTTAGAGACGCCTTCATTTTACCATTGGGTATTGGCATCCACAAGAGTTTTCTCTCCTCGTCATATCTCCAGCCGTGGAGAGGACACAGAGAAGAGAAAACAGGCATACCTAATGATGGACGGCCCGGGAATACCTCCCCTCCGTAACTATCCAAGCAGCCAAGGAAGCCTATCGCGCTAGTGACCATCACATGACCTAGCCTCGTCTCAACTTTAAATCTATCAACAGCGAATTCTTGCCCCTCGCAGCCAGGAACAGCTCCCTTACGACGCAATCATGTCTGGAAGACGAGACTTCCTCAATCAGCCGGCCCCCGAAAACTACGTTGCCGGTCTTGGTCGAGGTGCCACCGGTTTTACAACACGTTCAGATCTTGGTCCAGCGCGAGAAGGCCCCAGCGAAGACCAGATCAAAGAAGCTCTCGCAAAGCGCGCTGCACAACTCGGAGCAGCAGCACCCACAGCATATGGCGCAACAGAGAAGAAGGAGGAGGAAAACGACGATGATGAGCGCTTTCAGGATCCCGAAAACGAGGTGGGCTTGTTCGCCGGTGGCGCATACGACAAGGACGACGATGAGGCAGATCGCATATACCAGGAGGTAGACGAGAAGATGGACAGGCGGCGGAAAGCTAGAAGGTTGGTTCACCCATTATTTAAATATCCCTTCAATACCCTCTGTGCAGATGGTTTATCATATATGCAAATAGATGAGCAGATTACCGACGTTTCTACCTACAGGGAAGCTCGAGAAAAAGCAGAACAAGAAGAATACGAACGAAATAACCCCAAGATCCAACAACAGTTTGCAGACTTGAAGCGCGCATTGACGACAGTAAGCGACGAGGATTGGGCAAATCTACCAGAGGTCGGCGACTTGACTGGTAAGAACCGGAGGAACAAGCAGGCTTTGCGACAGAAGTTCTATGCGGTGCCTGATAGTGTCATTGCCGGTGCGCGAGACTCCTCGGAGCTTGGTACCACCGTCGCAGATGATGGTCCGTCGGGAGATAACGAGAGTGGCACGATGACCAACTTTGCGGATATTGGAGCAGCAAGAGACAAGGTTCTGCAAGTCAGACTGGATCAAGCGGGTTCTGGAACCGATTCTGTTGCTGGAAGTGCGACAAATATTGACCCCAAAGGATACCTCACGAGTCTGGCCAAATCACAAGTCAACTCTGGCGAAGCACAAGTTGCGGACATCAAGAGAGTTCGAGTTCTACTCGAGTCGGTCATCCGAACAAATCCCAAGCATGCACCGGGATGGATTGCTGCTGCTCGATTGGAAGAATTGGCTGGGAAAACTGTTGCGGCGCGAAATGTCATTGCGCGGGCTTGTGAGTTTTGTCCAAAAAGCGAAGACGTCTGGCTGGAAAATATCAGACTGAATGACAACCATAACGCCAAAATCATTGCCGCAAATGCTATCAAGAACAACGACCGCTCAGTGAACCTCTGGATCGAGGCTATGAAGCTAGAATCCGAAGCAAGGGCGAAGAAAAAGGTCATTCGCCATGCACTAGACCATATTCCGCAGTCAGTAATGCTCTGGAAAGAGGCAGTAAACTTGGAGGAAGATCCTGCAGATGCCCGCCTCTTACTCGCCAAAGCAACTGAGATTATCCCGCTTTCAGTCGAACTATGGTTGGCACTGGCTCGCCTTGAGACTTCTGAAAATGCCCAGAAAGTTCTTAACAAGGCTCGTAAAGCTATCCCTACATCTCATGAAATTTGGATTGCTGCTGCGAGACTGCAGGAGCAAATCGGCAATACGACGATTAATGTCATGAAACGTGCTGTTCAGGCACTGGCCAAGGAGTCTGCTATGTTGAAGCGAGAAGAGTGGATTACGGAGGCTGAGAAGTGCGAAGAAGAGGATGCTGTGTTGACTTGTGGCGCCATCATTCGCGAAACGCTTGGATGGGGACTTGACGAAGATGATGATCGGAAGGACATCTGGATGGAAGATGCGCGGGCTAGTATTGGCAGAGGAAAATACGAGACAGCCCGAGCAATTTATGCATATGCACTACGAGTCTTTGTCAACAGTCGAAAGCTATGGCTGGCTGCTGCCGATTTGGAGAAGAACCACGGTACGAAAGAAGCCCTTTGGCAGACTTTGGAGAAAGCTGTAGAAGCATGTCCGCAGAGCGAGGTCCTCTGGATGATGTTGGCAAAAGAGAAGTGGCAAGCTGGTGAGATTGATAATGCTCGACGAGTTCTTGGCCGAGCTTTCAATCAGAATCCAAACAACGAAGACATTTGGTTGGCGGCTGTCAAACTTGAAGCTGAGAATAAGGAACCTGAGCAGGCCAGAAAGCTTCTGGAACAAGCCCGCCAAGAAGCACCTACTGATCGAGTTTGGATGAAGAGTGTTGCATTTGAGCGACAGCTCGGTGATGTTGATGCAGCGCTTGATCTCGTTAATCAAGCACTTCAGCTGTTCCCAGGATCAGCCAAGTTATGGATGATGAAAGGTCAAATATATGAAGCTGATGGCAAGATACCTCAGGCCCGTGAAGCGTACGGTACGGGTACCAAGGCTTGCACAAAATCAGTACCTCTCTGGCTTCTCTACTCACGACTTGAGGAAAGAGTTGGCAACGTGGTCAAGGCTCGAGGTGTTCTTGACCGGGCTCGCTTGGCTGTACCAAAGTCGCCCGAGCTATGGACTGAGTCTGTTCGATTGGAAAGACGAGCAAACAATGTCAGCCAAGCAAAAAATCTCATGGCTCAAGCTTTGCAACAAGTACCTACCAGTGGACTCTTGTACACCGAATCAATCTGGCATCTCGAAGCGCGTACCCAGCGGAAACCCAGAGCACTGGAAGCTATCAAGAAAGTTGACAACGACCCAATTCTGTTCGTCACTATCGCGCGCATTTTCTGGGGAGAGCGAAGATTGGAGAAGGCACAGAACTGGTTCGAGAAAGCCATTCTACTGGACAGTGATATTGGTGATGCATGGGCTTGGTACTACAAGTTCCTTATGCAGCATGGAACTGATGTAAGTTTGCCAACACGTCTTGCAAGGTACCGTACTGATAAAACTACGCAGGAAAAACGAGCAGATGTGATCGCAAAAATGATTCTTAGTGAGCCGAGACATGGAGAAGTTTGGCAAAGCGTTGCCAAGGATCCCAAGAACGCTGGGAAGAGCCATGAGGACATCCTCAAACTTGTTGTGGGTAAATTGGAGTAACTCGGGCTAGAGGCAGCGTTGTAACATAGGGAATGGCGCAGGGAGTTATCAAAAGAGGGTCCTTTGCAACGTCTAATTCCATCGATGAATTAAACTCCCGAAACTCGGCTTGAGCAATCCACTCGTGATCCAAGGAAGGTCGCTCTGTCTTATACTTGTCTGTCTTGCTGCGACTTGCCAAATCAATGTTCGCCTCGCCGCATGCGAGTTTTCCAGTGTGTCCAAAACATAGCTGTCAGTTTGCTAGGTATTTCTGGCAGTTTTTGTGTCTTGATTTCGATTTGGATCAGACGATACAGATAATGTTTCTTCGTCCGTTCATGGTTCTTCTCATGGCTCATATGTGCGACCGGAACCGGCATTCATCAATGGTACAAGTCCTTGTTTTGGCTTGTTACCCTTCGTTACCAGTCTCATCTCCATAAAAATTCGGATCCTGTATGTAGCGGCTAGAAACGATTGTTCGAGCTTATCCATGATGTCAGATGCAACATTCAACGATCCCACGCAGCAGCTCCTCCCTTGAGGTAAAAATACAGGCAATTGAGTCCACAATGGCACTCTGCTAATTCACTGCAGGCCAACGCCGAACCAGCCACCTCACGAGACTCGCGAGATCATATAGCCACCCCGTCCGAAGAGTCAACGAGCAGTCCCACCGCATCCTCAAGACGTCTGGAAAATCTGGCTTCACACCATTGTCGCCCTCACGATTTCCCACTTCATTTTCAAGTCCCTTCTCATTTCTCACCACGCCAAGAACTCTAAGCAAACGCGAATTACGTCGATACCGGGCGAGGAGATGGTGTGGGTCTATAGCCGAGGAATTGCATTCGCTTGATGCGATCGCTGGACTGGATGTGGTCAAAGTCGAAGTTACGCTGAACAGTGAGATCCATCCCATATTTGCGAGGAGGCAGTGGGAGACAGCGGTACAGATGGGAGCTCACATTGGTCCCCTGCCTATAGGAGGGAATGTTTTGGGATTTTGGCTTGTAGGTCTCGCCTCTCGCTGTGTCTTACTAGGATGGCATTGTATACTTATTGATTGATTCTGGCAAGTAGCCAGAAAATGATATTTTATGGAACGCATTACAGGTGCCATTGAAGCTGGCATCACAGCTTATCTTCAATGCGCATATTTACCCATGGTATGTTGATTACTGTCGGGCCCCTGTGAGCTGGAACTGATATTCAATCGGTGGGACGCTCCTTGGTGAATATCGTGACATAGCCCTTGAGCCGCTTGATCCACTGTACACACATCTCAAATACAAAAGGTTTCATCAACGAAATCCTTCTGAGCGTGAGAAGCCTACAGAAAGGCTGAAACTTAGAGCACAATTCCGTCTTGCCATGGCAAGAATACGATTCCGCTTATCAAGTGGATACACTAATCCAAATTCTGGTCTCGTGGTGAAGAAAATATGGCATGCTGGACTGACCGAGATCGAAACATCCTCGTACTTCATCCGAGTCAACATCTCGGTAGAGATGTTACAGCCGTTCCTTAACTTGACACTGACGAGTTCAGAGAGGTAAGTCAACTCGCTCGAGATGAGGAAGGTACAGAGTTATGTGAGCTAATAGCGAGCAAAAGAACTGGAAGTCAGTTTAAGATTGCGGCCAATCTTGTGCATGAGCTTGCTGTAAGTGCACCTCAAACTGCTTATCCGATCCCGGTAGCGTAAAGTTTGCTGATTGTCTTCAGCATGCAATGTAGCTCCACAAACGAGAGACAACTCCAGAGCTTGCTGATCTGGCGGCAGAGCCATACGTTGAGGACGAGGTTCTGTCTGAGCTGGGATGGTCACTCGAAGACAAGGTAGGTTAACATCCCTGTACCAGCTGTTTGCCCTTTAGAACTAAACTGATCGCATTCGAAGCTATGGAACGGTGAGCCATTCGAATTACTACCCCCCGAATATAGCATTGGTGGACCTGGTCTCACTCATGCAGGCTTCACGAAACCCAATGTAGATGTCATTCACGAGTTCTCAGGACGCGGTCTTCGCTTATTTACTCGGGGACTAACTTGCCAACGACAGTGGTTCACGGATAAGCACCAGAATTACAGCGATGCGCCAGCACTTGACAATGCGCACTACATCTCAGAACATGATGACCCCTATTACCAGTTTACCTACGATCCAGTCCCAACAACTTGGTTAAAGTTACTCTGTTCTTCGAGTCTGTGGAACGTTCATGTTCATCAGTTTGGACTGGACACGACAAGGATGTGGCCATGCTATATCGGTACCGTGACTCAACATGCACCTGGAGACACGTCCCATTCTTGCATCAAATTGATCCGAATACGTCAAGATCTGAATAGTATGATTATCAGCAGATCTATGAGCCAAGCCGAAATATCAGCGCGAGAAACAGAAAATTGCCGGCAAGCTAAGGCCAGCTCGATTCTCAGTCGAATGAGCTCTTTGATAAAGCCTGACACCCCTGGGCCTGGACCACCAGATACACCAAATGTGCCAAGTCGACGCGCCTACACTTGTTCAAGATACCAGGAGATTACTAAATACTTGTTCGAGAATCAAGCACCTGGGGAGTGGCTCTCAACACCATGGCCTTCCAATGCCTGAGCCAACTTTTTTGCGTTACATTTCAAGTTGTGGATTTGAGATCACACCAAGAGGATTCAGGGAGTTCTTACAGTTTTGTCATCAGGAGAAAATTCTCTTCAGATACCTACTCCGTTCTTTTTTTTTCTCAGCACTTTCCGGATTCTGATTCCAGCAGCTATACCCAATTTCCCAGCCTCGGCACAGCTCGTCGTCTCCCAGTCGTATGGCCACTAGCCCCTAAATCTCGTATTGGGCGCAAAACACCAATCTCACAGAAAAAGATTGATGCTTTCAGAGACGTAGTAAGAGACGAGCACTTCCAGCAGAGGATGTACGCAGAATATGGCGAGTTCCGGGATATAAATTTCGAACATCTGAGAGCGCTCTTGAACGAATACTTGATTGAGAAATTGAATTATACTGATGTGGAGTTGATTTCGACGCATACTGCAAGGAAGGAACAGTATGATGCGCTGAATAAACATTCGCTTGTAGGGTGAGTCTGTACTTATCAATTGTTGTCGGATGTTGTCCTACTAAGCGGGAAGCATTAGACGTTGGTGCTTTCTAACATGGTTTAGACTGGGACCAGCAGGTGTAGCGCGAATGCTATATTCTCTCACAGAATCAATCAGATCTGACTGCCAGAGCAACTACACGAAAGAGGAACTCGCCGAGGATGAGGCTGTGAAGCGGGAAGCTACTACAGCAGAAGAACACAGAAAGAGGCAAACGAGAGGTAATGGAAGAAGAGAAAGCGATGCAGAAATTTTATTTGCAGATTCGGGTATTGCGCTTGATTCAGATGACTTGGATATAAGTATGTTGGATATCGCACTTCCAGCAAAGGGCGATGATGAAGAGGAGCATGCGGGTAAATAGGAGGGTTATTTTTGATCCAAAACTACTTGTGTCTGTCTCTTTATTTTATGTTATGATATATTCACAGCAGTCTAGCTAGGCCTCTGAAAGAATCATGGCTTCATGTCATGTCGAGATGTGTCAAGTTGCGATCTGATAGCACACCTTGCGCGATTTCTATACGACATTCCCTAATTATGATCATTAGTCGTGTGTAATTTATAATTAGAACCTTATTCTTTGTTAATGATTACTCTATAGCAACGGTCCTGCCAAAATGACCAGATCATTCAGAACGCAAGTCGTGTTGACATTGAAGAACATAAGCGAGGAGTCAAAGCCGGCGCCTTGGCATGTTTTGAGACTTATGCCCAACTGTCCGAACAGTTTATTGACTAATGAATACATATGAGACAAATATATCCTGATACTACAATCTTACATAACCTGGCTTCTCGCCCCCTTCGAAGTGGGTGCTGTGCCAAGGGAGCTGGTCACCGAACAAAATATATTGTCAGACGCCTATTCAAAACTAGAAGAGGCGACCGAAATAACTTCTGTGTCTAGAACTTAGACCTAGCTGTGACCCAACCACAAGGCTGTTGGTCTGGCATGCATATGCAAGAAATCAAGCCAAATCGGACTTACCAGGAAAGCCCAAGCAACATCACAGCCTATTTACTTGTTGGCGGGACGTAAGACATGTCGCACCCGGTAGAGTATCGCAACGAGGTTGATGTAAGAATTCAAATATGCGCACTGCAGTTAATCAATTTCTCAATATTTGTCCACATCGTAACGGTTCATTCCTTTATTCATCGGTCATGTATGAATTAAAATTCAGAGGCGCAACTACATCTCTTGCGGTTTACGATCAATCGATAGGTGCGGGGTACCTGAGGCTGACTCAAGAGGAGAATATTGAATAAGGCTGGAACCAAAGTCACCATGGACCAGGTGTCGTCGGGCTACAATTCACATGGTTTTCTTTTCCCTTCTAACCATCCTCACTTCCCGTTGTCATCATGATGGCGGAACAGATAGTTTCACCTGTCGAAGGATATCCAAAGCTTGCCTGTCACATGGGCAGGTATGAACAAAGCGCAATCTACCGCAGATTCGGCAGCCTGAATTCGCAAAATATTCTCTACTTGCAAGCCGAGCTCGTGCATTTAGAGAGAAGGCTTCGGCGTGCCGAGAATGAAGATTCTGCGTCTCCAGACGGTAACAGAAGCAAATACTCGCGGGATTGGTATTGGTTGAACAGCTACGCTACTGACGAGGGAAGTGATCAGTGGGAAATTATTCTCAACATACGACATATGTTGAAAGATTACAGTTTGTCTCCAAGGCGCCACCAAAGACTAGCTGACAGCTCCTTGTACAGATAATGCAATTATTCAACAGTCAGTAATGAGCCATCTGGCAGATCCAGGTCATCAGGACTTGAGGTGCCTTCAGGAGTGGCTCGTAAGACCAGGTATGGGGAATCTCGCCCTTATTGGGAAAGATAGATCGACCTGGGGAGATAGTGAGCACCTTATAGATCTTCATCACGACCTTCTTACCATTTCTTCATCCGAGAAGAGAGATGCTTTTTCAACGTGGTTCATACAGCGATTCGTCCTGTGGATTCACAAGCTGTTCTGGCATCGAGTGAAGAAGGTCGATGACCCAGAGTCAGGAATTGCATCATACGAAAAAGATACATTGCATAAATACACATCACACATTACGACGATAGTCGCGTCGTTGTTGCCAATTCTGTCAATTGTTGTGTTGTATTGTGTAGGCTCGATGAAAGCTCGGCTTGGACTTGTCGCATTCTTCACTTTCACGTTTGCGGCTGCGCTGTCGTTCTTCACTGGTGCGAAAAGAGGGGAGATCTTTATTGCGACTTCGACGTGAGTTATGGAATGCTCGTCATAAGAAAGTAATCGCTGATGTTGGTTGCAGGTTTGCCGCTGTTCAGGTTGTTTTCATCTCGACTGGAAATGAAGGAGGTTCGGTTGGAGTAGTAAATCACTAGAAACAGTTTAGAATGTGATTCAGATAGACTTATGGCTTTATAATGCTGTGGATGATCAATTGAGGGTAAGTGGGACAGTGGTAGTTGTAAATAAATTTGTTTTGTCTATCTTTCAACAAGGATCTAAAGTGCTAATTGCGTCCCAATGATTTCAAACTTTCAACAGGCTAAGAGCTTCCATTCCTGTTACTTCCCCTTCTTGAACTGCTGGAAGTCTCTGAGCCCGAATTTCCCTTTCCAGTACTGTCTCGGCCACACGCGTCTTGCCTCCCCCGTATATCTGTTTCAACGTCGGCATCATTCGCAGCTACCTCCTCCTTGTGTTTGTCATGTCTGCTTTCACGTCCCTTCTTCTCATCTGTCTCCTACCATTAGCAGTGATCGCTCAACGAGGTACAGTTTCAACCCACCCTTCGTTTCCTTCCGCAAAGCTATGATACTCTTTCCACCAAATCCAGCGAACTTCACAATGCCATGTTCTATGATTGTCTGTGAGCCGAGAATACTTGCCAAGGTATGGACTCGCCATCGATGACGTGAAAAGTGGTGGTGAAGATCTTCCGGAACCGTTTTCCTTTCCAACGGAGCGTGACGGTCCCGATTGATGGGAGTGGGCTGCCATTTAGACAGATTCCGATGTTCTCATGGTGATGAACCAAGCTATCAAACATGTATGTGTCGCGTAAAGTTTAAACGGTGATCCAGTTGAGGTCAGATCCAGTATCGAGGGTCATTTTGCACTCGAAGGGAGTGTTGCCGCGTAAGCTGAAGAGCTTCACAGTTTTCAAGAAGGGATTTCCTGGTTCCTTCAAAATTAAGTATGCAATGGGAGACGATACAGCATATGTGGAAAGATTACCTTATCCTTGAAAGCTCGCCGAAGCTTCTTCAGCCAAATAGTTTCCGCACGGGACAATCTTTCGAGGAATACTGGAGGCATTGTGATTCGTAGATAGTAGATCAGGGCGTCGAACCAATATTACACCAATGTGAATCGGGCTCGTAGAACAACGGCTTATAAAAGTGAACTGAAGACAGAGCAGACATTGACCCTGCAATAGTTGTGGGAGAAATGTTCTGAAAGGGAGAAGAGAAACAACGGCTAGAATCGAGAATATATAGAAGTTGAAGCTTCCTTTCTGACCTATAATCGATCCTGCTAAGATTTTGAAATTAGAACAATTATGTCACGACACCTCAATGGTGTTGCAAGATTTTGGCTTCGACCAATTCGCAAGTCCTTCCAGCCATGTTTTGATAATATTTTGGCGTCGACCAATCACGGACAACTTGAACGCAACCTGCCATGCATTTCGGTTACAGATACGGTTGATCCTGGTTTGTCTTGCATCAGTTGACTTGAGCTTTCAGGTTATCGAAAAAGCCAATTTGTCTGAAGAGAGCGGGTCCTAAGATTTTGGCAACGACGCACCAGATGAAGAGCCAAAGCCGGGTCCCGTCGCGAGCCTTACGCCTCATCACTCAGTATGCGCCAGGAATGGGCATACATACACACCGCATCAGCTAGACGTTCATGCTGCCCTGCCCTGCTTAAGATTTCGGAACGAGCGAATAACTACAAGAGGGCTGCGCCAGGATACCAGATGCAGGGCTTGGTACAAGCAAGAGTTGGTGCATGGGGCCCCAGTAAGATTCTGGCAAAAGAGCCTACAAGCTGGGCGAGTGTTTCACTGCAAGGGTGGTCGTGTGGTTTAATGAGCTGGCGAGAGCAAAGGTATGGCTGCGGCTGAGCGTGCAAGATTCCGGCATAAGCCAATGGCAGAGAGTCTGTATCCAGTCTGCTTCCGTGACAACACAAGGCTGGAGTGGCAATTGACCACTGGCCAACTTGTCATACCGTTTTTTTCACGTTCCTAGTATTTTCTTTCATTCTGTTCAGTAATACTCTCTTTTTCAAGTGGGACTTCAGATGTCCGATCGAACTTCTCTGCTGAACATCCAAGAAAGATTGACAACGCTCATTACAGGCCATGATTCCCTCCAAGAAGAGGAGAGAGGCTATCAAAGGCCCTACAGAAGGCGAATGGAATGCCTGCAAGGAGTTGTTGCGAGGCCTCTATTTCAAGTCGACACTCCCAAAATTGATGGAAGACATGGAGTCGAACCATGGATTTATCGCATCGTATGTGGCCTACCTGTATTTGGCGCACAGCTGACGAGAATTCCCTAGCAAAAATCAATATATGAGGAAGTTCAAAGAGTGGAACTTCAGAAAGAACCTCTCCTCTGCAGAGTGGGAACATGTCCTTCGCAAGAAACGCAAGCGAGACGAAGCGAACAAGGACACTCGAGTGGTCCTTCATGGTGTTGACATTCCAATGAAAAGATTGAAGAAGGAGGAGAGCAGATATACTCTGTCGGATCTGAACAGTATCTTTTCTTCGTGTGAATATAGTGTGTGGAGGTCCAGGTGCAGGTCTGACGATATTATAGATCCAGTCGCGCCATCCCCTGAAGGCATTTCGGTCGCCACACCACCACCAGCAATGGTTGAATTATACATGAGAACTATCCGAATCGACAATCTTCCATCATTTGGACTTGGAAGTTTGTTCGCAAGTCAAAGTAGGTTGAAGGTGCCGTCCTTGAGCTGCTGGTAAGAAGCTTATTTATGGTGTGGTTTAGCTAGCTCATGGCAGCAGTCTTCTCTAAAGGATACTTCCTTCGAAAGTCGCTCTTCGTCGACTTCAAGGGCTTTTGTTTCCACCCCATTTACACCAGCCACTTCCTTTGCCAAGATGTTGGGGAATCCTTACAATTCTTCCACCACATCAACGTGTGAGTGTCGCGACAGGATGGTTCAGCAATTTCATAATGCGACAATCGAGAAATACGAGGGCGAGATCGAAGATCGAATATCCAAACTCTTTGGGCCATCGAGCGCGAGTGCACTGAAGGAGTTCTTGATCTTCGTTGCACAAATCGGATCAAACAATAAGTTTGAGTGGGGGCAGCCGAGCAGGATCCTCGAATGGATCTCGGAGCAGAATCAGACATTCCTGGAAAATCTAATCGATTTGAGAAGTCCAACTATACAAGCATGCCTGGATCTCTTGATTGGAGATTGTAGTTGGGTCGGAAACCAACGAGCATTCACAGCGCTCATTAGAGCTGACAAAAGTGGACAGTTGTATCATGGACGGCGAGAAATTTTGCTATGCTTGGCAATAGAGCGTAACTTGAGTAACGTAGTCAAAACTCTAGTCGACGAAGGGATTAATGTCAACTGCAAAGTGTACAGGTACACTGAAGACGATGATCTCGTTCCAAGCACACTTCTTGGCGCAGTTTCTAATGTTGAAATAGCGAAGATTCTCATTGACGCTGGTTCTCATGTCAACACCCCGATTCACGATAGTACAGAGCTGGAAAAGGACAATAATCTCAAAGCTGAGTGGTACAGCCCGATATACTATGCTGCCCGCGATGTCAACTCGGATTTGTTTCAGCTGTTTCTCGACGCAGGAGCACACTTTGATCCTACGGACACTGAAGTATTGTGGGACACCACAAGCTTTCTAGCCCATGCTATAGAGAATGAGAGTATCTCAATGGTAGACATACTTCTGAGACTAGGCGCAGAGTCCTCGGTGTCTTCTCTACAGTACTGGCAGACAGAAGATGAGAAATTCGTTCAACGCACTGAGATACAACAAGCATGCTTCATGGGATATACTGAAATTGTTAAAGCTCTTCTGTCCATCAGATCTGTAAGGCATGTCTTGCAATCTAGCAAATGCAAATGGGGCCCGCTACGAGATGCAGCTATGCAGGGTCATTTGGACATTGTCGTGTTGTTGATTGGGGTTGGTGCAGACGTCAACGCCACAAGCCAAGCTGTTCAAGAAATGGAAGTTGACGACGAGGGTTCAGACTACGAGGAGGGCTCAGACGACGACGAGGGTTCAGACGACGACGAGGGTTTAGACTACGACGCGGCATCAGGACTCGAGGATCCAAAATGCAGTACTCTTATGCAGCTCATACCGTCTACTGCATTGATGGCGGCAGTCGAAGCAGGCCACAGTCATGTGGTGACTAGCTTATTAAGTCATGGTGCTGACGTTGATGCTCCAGCTGTTGGCGTCTACGGCACTAGCGTACTGGCCGTGGCAGAAACACTCGGCAATCATGAAATAGTATCAGTCTTAAAGGAGGCAGGTGCCAGCTCTCAAAGGGATGGAAACCAGCTCATCGCCGACCTCCAATTTGCGGCAGTACGAAATAACCTGCGAGAAGTACAAAGGATACTTGCACTAGGCATTGATGCTAGCCATATCCTTGACACAAGTCAAGCAATACTAGAAAAGACGGGAGGTAATGTAGGAAATGTTCTCTGCATTTTCATAGCTGTATGTGGCTGGAGTGTCAATTGCAGGGGACCAGTATCCAAATTTAGCGCTCTGGAGATTGCCATAGACCTTGGAGATGTCACCCTCATCGACCAGCTTGGGGATGCCGGAGCAGATTTCAGTGGAATGACATCAACCGGGAAGCATTTCCTCCAGCAAGCTCTTCTCAAATCGGATGGCTCAAGGTTCGATTTAATTGACAGCTTGGTGCGATATGGGGCAAGAGTGGACACGCCCTACAGCAGGACTGTGAAAATGCCGCTTGAGATCGCAGCAACCAGATATGACCACAAAATTATTGAACGCTTGCTGTTGGCAGATACCTGCCTACACAAATCTGCAGCCGCGAGCTCCATCTTACTGATGGCCATTGAGAACGCAGAACTCGATCTTTCTTCGATTCAGCTCTTGCTTGACCAAGGAGCAGACGTCAATGCTATGGTCAGTACCACAACAGCTCTTTACGCGGCTGTGTTCCACAGAGGGATTGAATGTGTGAGGCTGTTGCTAGATAGAGGAGCGGATATCAATGCCCACCCGTTAGGATTGGCGGGTAGAACAGCCCTTCAAGCAGCTGCCGGTTTCGGATCAGTAGAAATTTTCAAGCTGTTGCTAGACAGAGGAGCGGATATCGATACCCGCCCATCAGCATATTACTGTGGTAGAACAACCCTTCAAGCAGCTGCCAGTTCCGGATCATTAGAAATTGTCAAGCTGTTACTGGACAGAGGAGCGGATATCGATGCCCTTCCAGCGCAGGAACTTGGCATGACGGCTCTTCAAGCAGCTGCCGCTTCCAGATCAGTAGAAATTGTCAAGTTGTTGCTAGACAGAGGAGCGGATTTCAATGCCCTTCCAGCACGGAGGTGGGGCAGGACAGCACTTCAGGCAGCAATCCACAAGGAGTCACCCAGCTCTGAAGTAATCCAGATACTCCTAGAACATGGTGCTGACATCAACGCACCCGCCGCAATGGAAGATGGTGTTACTGCCTTACAAGAAGCGGCAATATGCGGCCACCTCAAGATAGCTCTCCAACTACTAGAGATGGGGGCAGATCCCAACACTCCAGGCTCACCAAAGGAAGGCAGGACAGCACTGGAGGCTGCAGCAGAGCACGGCAGACATGACATGGTCCAACTTCTCCTCAACGCTGGAGCTGAGCCCACTCAAAGTGCTGTTAACTTCGCTGAAAAGAATAGGAAGTGCGTGGTTGCGGATATGATCAAAGCGGCACTGAAAGAGACAGAGAGGGAAGCAAACATGCAGGGTAAAGGCAAAGGCAAAGAAATAGAATGGCATGATGAGCTGAGCAAGTAAACAACGAACGACAGAACGCGAGATAAGGTAAGAAAGAGATGCTCACTTGAGCGAAAGAGATCTTGAAAGGGCGTGGTGTGCTTGGCTGACTGGGTAAATAGACTCTGAGAACTGATACTGGAAGCGAGAAGGGGGGCTGGCCTTGTTGATTTGGTGATTGATTGATTATGTTATATGTTCCTACCGCTTGGGGGCACGACTGTACCTCATGTATGCAGCTAAAAGAATCCAACTCCATCTGTTCATCCATCCATCCAACGTGCAGTGCATCATCCGACTTCCCAACATCACATTACATAACATCAAACACATCGTTTCAAAATGGTTGGGTCCAATCCCACCATTCCTAATCTCTATCTTTCACTTTCCAATCTCGATTCCAAAGTTTCTCTTTCTCTTTATTCGTCAGGATTACTCTTGAATACTCTCTCCCGCCACTTTCTCCTCATCCTTCTTCCCAAACGCCCACCCCATCCAACTCGCCCTCTTCGACTTGTTATCCTCATCCCCACTAACCTTCCTATTCTCCGGGTGATCCTGCACCAATCTCAAGGGCCTCGGCTTGTTCCCTGCAAAGGTAGTCGCCTTCTCCGCGCGTGGAGGACTGTTACTCGGCGGCGTCGAGACGTCGCCGCTGTCGCTTGTGCTGCTACTCTCGCTCTTCATGCCTGGGAAGTTACCTGCTGTGGGGACCTGTCCAGCGCTGGGGACGCGGTGTGCGGCGTTGGGGTTTGTGCCTGAGACTGGTGGAGGAGCGAAGAAAGACTGGGAGTGTCGGGGTGTTTGGGGACCGTGGAGCGGAGGTGAGGCGGGCCCGCCTTTGTACATCTGGTTGACTACACTCGCGGCGCCGCCGGTGTATTGCTCTGACTTGGGGCGTCCGGTTCGGAAACTTGATGAGCGGCCCAAGCCGAATGGGATGCTGGGTGCGGTGTCTGGGTCTGTGAGGGCGGAATGCGTGGCTGGCATTTGGGATTGAGGACGTGGTCGCCTGGCTCCGCCCATAGCTACGGATTTGGCACGTTGAAGTATTGATGCACCGGTTGCTTGTTCTTTCGGGGGAGGAGGTAGATCTTTGTCCGTGTTTGCTCCAGGCTTGAAGTCGGAAGACTGGTCGAGAATGGCCTCGAAGTCTTGGTGTTGAAGGAGGCGCTCGATAATCTTGTTAATATATAAAGTTAGAGCCTTGTTGGAGTCTTTTGCGGATTTCAATTCGGCTTCCAGACGTCTGTAGTTCTCGCTTTCTCCCTCGCCTGCCTCGGATAACTCATCTGCCAGGCTTGCTGGCGCGGATCGGCCTTCCAGAGCGCTCAGCGCATCTGCATTGTGGGAAGCTGATCCCATGAAATCGCTCTTGGCGAAATCTCCTGTCAATGTTTTCTCGGAAAGGAGCAACTGATAGCTCTCGTTGTCCTCCATCAATCGAGCATTTGTCATGCGGGCTTCTAATAATAGGCGTTCAACCTCTTGCATACGTCCACCTCCCATATTCTCGGATTCCACCAGCTTGATCTGAGCTTCCGCCAGCTCTAATCGGAGGGACTCGATAAGGCGATCTTTCTGGAGGAGGAGTTTGGAATTGTTTCGAGAGTCGCTACGGTTCAATCCAGAAGGAGGAGCGAACTGGCTATCAATTGGAGAGGAGTTGTTTGCTATTATGATTAGTTATCGGCTTTTGAAAAATGTAGCTCGACTCACAGCGCCTCGACATCCTGCCTTCCTCGTCCACGTTTGACCTGGAGTTCAGAGAATCTTTCAGCCGCTGAATGATGGTTTGCATCTCCTCTTCCCGATTAGAATTCTCTTCTCTCTCCTTTGTCATTGAACTCCTCTCTGCCTCGTATATCGACTCCATCTCCCTTTTTTGTCTGAGAGCATCTCTCTTCTCATTCTCCAAAGACTCTAAGCGCTCATCACTCTCATGTAGACGATCCTCAAGCTTGCCTTGCTCTTGTAAAGCTTCGTCCAATCTCGACTGTAGAACCTGGGTCTGCTTCTGATATTGCTCGGACATCGCTTCCATTTTGCGTAGGCGCTCCTTCAAATCGTCTAATACCGCGACGGTCTCTGCCCGAGCGTCATCATCTGCATCAGGAGTCGTACTGCTGGAGCTCAGATGCGACGCGCCAGCGCCGGGTCGTTGCATAGACGCTCTTGCCGATACAGGTGTGCCTCCGCGCACCGATCGACTGCGCGCGACTCCATTCGAGGTTGCTGATGCTGGAGCTGGGGATCGAGCTGGTCGACTTGGTGGCGGTGATGCGGTCGTTGCGGTGGGATCTGTTGAGGGCCTGCGACCTGGAGTTGAGCTCGCCGGCGGCTTTTTCGTAGCTGCAGACATTTCTACTGCGGTATATACTGACGGAATGTAGTCCTCCTGTTGTGATGAGAGGAATGTTGTGGTTCGTTCCAGTCAGGTCAGGAGAAATCAAGGCCCGAGTGTTTTGGCGTAACGACGCAATAATTCCTTTGGTTCGCAACCTTATTTAGACCTCGTGATGGATTATAGGTAACGACTCCTGATGACTGTTTCTGATTAATATATGATAAGAATGTCACGGATTTATCGATTGTGGACTTGTGCGTGTTGTTATCATAACATTCATGTGTCCTCTTGAGTTGTTGACATGGCCATATAATAAGGTCCTCGCGAAATGATTTGCTTGTAATCCCAGTCGCATGAATCTTCGCGTCGGCACCTATGAGATGACAACGATAGGGGGCAACGGGAAATACATTTGATCTCCGGTATCATGCAAATTGAAACGCTTATCCAGGATCATGCTGGTTCATGGGGAATTGAGTTGAATGGTTGCACGTTCCAAAAGCTGTCCAGCTCTGATATCTGAATCACTTATTGAGGGATTATCCTACTCAAGTAATGGTTGCCAGACCTGAAATACTTCAGGACCATCTAGTGAGCCCTATCAGAACTCAATTACCAGATGAGTGTTTCGAATACGAGTACACAAATCCTTAATAGTCCGATGTGAGCTTCTAAGGTACCTTATTTAGATTTCTGTGATCACGTTGGGAACGACACGTGATAAGAAGTACATCGTGAGCCAATGACGACACATCAATGATGCATATCTATTTGAGGATGAACTATGAACGTAGTAGAATGAACTTATGAGGTGAGATAAAACATTCCCTTAAATATGTAGATTTCATTCCGCGCTCAGGTTAGCCTCAAAGTCACGATATTGTCCTTGCTGGCCTAAGCTTTGGCCTGAGGCGCACACACTTATTCCACGCTAAATTGGCGCGATACACATTTGGGATGCGAACTTTCTGAAATTCAACTTTCTTCTCTCGAACAACGACGCCGGAGCATCAACTACCACATTTCAAGAACAATCCAAATCTTGAATCAACGCAAAGATGGCACCCACAAAGAAGGCAAAGAAGACTGCTGACTCCATCAACTCGCGCTTGGCGCTTGTTATGAAGTCAGGAAAGGTCACTCTCGGATACAAGTCAACCCTCAAGACTCTCCGTTCCGGAAAGGCCAAGCTCGTCATCATTGCTGGCAACACTCCTCCTCTTCGCAAGAGTGAGCTCGAGTAGTAAGTTTACTTCAGCTGCAAAGGTGAACATCTGCTAATTGATTTCCAGCTACGCCATGTTGTCCAAGACCAACGTCCACCACTTCAGCGGAAACAACGTACGTCCATAATCTTCTTTGTCATATTATGAAGCTTGCTTCATCCTCAACGACCAGACTTCACGTCTGCGAGAGACTTGCCTAACGATAAAGTCTCTCAGACTTTGGAGGGCCCTTTACTTACTCTTTTTTCTTCGTACAGATTGAGCTCGGAACTGCCTGCGGTAAGCTCTACCGTTGCTCGACCATGGCCATCTTGGATGGAGGTGATTCCGATATCTTGAGCTCCCAAGCCGAGTAAATGTCGCCAATGGAGATGAGGTGACGGATTGAAGGATGACGGACTGGGCACAATGCATGTATCTTTTGTGGAGCTTCTAGCATAGCGAATGATACCATCCGGTTCTCAAGGAATAATTCAGAAGTGAAGATTTCGAAACATCGATATGATTGCGATTGCGATTGCGATACGCGATCATGACTGTATGCTTGTGAATCGAAGAACATATCTGGCGGCGGAGTCGAATCTCCCCAGGACCACGGAGCTTCAGCAGATTCTTGAATACTATACGCGACATGCAATGGTGCCACCTAGATTTGAGGCCGGACTTACGGGTACACCAAGATTAAATCTGCTTTTTGGTATGCCCAAACAGATGTCAGTTGCGCGCTGGTGAACAAATAGGACCTTCGAAGCTTCTTGGTTCGAGGCAGGTGACAAATCACAGTCCTCAAATTTTGCTTGCGACATCTCTCAGCAGAATATGAGTCATTTCGAGTCATCGAAATAAAATTGCCTGTTCCTGTTTCCTTCTATGGCCATGTATCCGGTCGCTTGAAACTCGTTATCTAATGTCCCAATATGGCCTGATAACACTCAAAGAATGACTCCCCCGGCATTTATTCTTAACTTTTGCCTCCGAGTTCTTAGGGCCCCAGCCCTCTTTGTGCCTCCGAGGGGCGAGTGGGGCAGAACGACTGTGGTAAGCGAGGCATTAGCGTCTTTTGCTTTGAAATCGATTCTGAGGTCAACCGCCTCAAAACCGCGAACTTCCCCAGAAGACCAGCAGCAACAACTCCACCCAAACGACAACCATCTGAAATCATTCGAGATGGCACGCCGCCCAGCGAGATGTTACCGCTACTGCAAGAACAAGGTCAGTCTGCTGCGTCTGGCCCTTTGGTCGCGCTGGTGGATCGAGGAGGCGTTTGAGGGACGATGCCCTTCGTGGGCTGCATCTCCAACGTCTTCTCTATCTTCCAGGTGCTCAAAAATGCCTCCAAGAGCGTGAACTGACAGGTCTGTAGCCGTACCCAAAATCCAGATTTAACCGTGGTGTACCAGTAAGTTTGGACTCTGCGATCTCGACCTCTTCCAACGCTTTTAAAGCTTCCTCGACACATACTCGCACAAGAATCTCAATGCTAGAGAATGGCAGCTGACTGGATCACAAAGGACCCCAAGATCAGAATCTTCGATCTCGGCCGAAAGCGCGCAAACGTCGACGAGTTCCCCCTCTGCATTCACTTGGTTTCCAACGAGTACGAACAGTTGAGCTCCGAGGCTTTGGAAGCTGCCCGTATTTGCGCCAACAAGTCAGTATACCCCAAGGAAGAAGTGACGTAGTTGGGTCAAAGGGCGAATTACAAATCAGAAGATCCGATGTTGGACATTGATACAGAACACCTGGAGGACATACTGGGATGATGGTTATACAGAAGCTAACAATATGGTTCAGGTACTTGGTCAAGGTTGCAGGAAAGGAAGGTTTCCATCTCCGTGTCCGCGCTCACCCATACCATGTCGTCCGTATCAACAAGATGTTGTCTTGCGCCGGTGCCGATAGACTTCAAACTGGAATGCGTGGTGCTTGGGGAAAGCCAAACGGAACCGTTGCCCGTGTTAACATTGGCCAAATTATCTTGAGTGTCCGCACCCGTGATGCTCGTAAGTACAACTTGTCCTGTGTGCAAAATTCAAACCTAACAACCTACAGACCGTGCTACCGCTCTCGAGGCCCTTCGTCGCTCCCAATACAAGTTCCCTGGTCGCCAAAAGATTATCGTTTCCAAGAACTGGGGCTTCACCCCTCTCCGCCGTGAAGAGTACATGGAGAAGAAGGCTGGAGGAAAGGTCTTGGTTGATGGTGCCTATGTTCAATTCTTGAGCAACCACGGAAAGTTGGCCGACAATATCCGACGTTTCCCAGCTGCTTTCCAGGAGGCATAAATGGAGATTTGTCGATTTGCTTGGTTCGTGGGAGGATGAAAGGCGTATTCGCAATGGCAGGATTTTCATGGTGTCCTTTGACATCTGGTTCTAGTCCCATTGCAACTAGGAATTGATATGGCTTTCGACTACAAATTTGGTCTCGGGATACGCTTGATGCATGGGAGAGGATTCTCCGTCTTGGAGAGAAGATTGAGCTGCAACATGAAGCTATGTTGAACTGGTGCTTTCACATTCCAAGTGGATGTGGCACATATCTTTCTTTCCCACACTCTCCAGCCTGCCCCCTTATTCTGAAATCCAGGACCTTGGGCATGGGATTCTCTTTGAAGCGTTGTAATTTTCATTCAATCGTGACGTCACAATGTTGCTGGGACTGTACTCTTGCTATGTCGAATGTACTTGCGCATACAATGCAGTTCTTACCACCAGCAAAGCGCTCATATGACTCGAGAAGTTACTGAGAGGTCGAGACAGAAAAATTAGTGATCGTCAAACGATGAGAATGCTTTAACAAAGCCTTCAAACCCATCTTTCCAGTTTCCCCATCCGATCCTTTTCCTCGTACCACCACGACATCCATCATATCTCATTATTCAACGAGCTTCCTATACAGGAGCAACATGCGTTCTCCATTCTTGGCTCAAAAACACATGTCCCTGCCCTCAACAGCCTAATTGGTTTCCCAAAATGACATCCTCCTCAAGCCAAGGCCTGGGCATGCCGTCTGACCTTGGCTTGTATTTAACCCCTCCAGCCCCCAGCAGCAGCACCCACGTGCCTCGCATTTATATTGAGATTTTCTCTGCCACGGCAGAATTATGGACTGTTCTAGCACCTCTCGAGATGTACCTCCGAGATATCTGCAGGTGGAGGAGGAGAAAGTACGGCATGTACCTACGTATGTATGTATATAAGTACGGGTAATGTGAGCTGGAGAAAGGAGCACCTTGTGAGCCAGCCATTCTTCTCCCTCATTCGCTCTCTCTTCTATTATACCGAGTCCGAAAAGTATAAGAAGTCAACATGCGCGTCTCAACTCTCTGGCCCGTTACACTTCTCGTCTGCCTCGCGCAGGCTCAGACGACTGGACCGGGTGATTGGCAAGGTGCAACTGCGAAGAGTTTCATCTACATCGTACCCGATGGATTTGGAACTGCATCGCAGACTTTGGCAAGGGATTATGTCTCTGCTTTGAAGAATGGTGGGAATATCAAGCGGCCCGTGACATATCAGTTGGCCGCTGATGAGATGGTACGTTTCTTCCGTCAATTGGGAAGACGATGATGGCTGACATAAACGAAGGTCCTTGGGAGTGTGCGAACTCAATCAAGTGATAACTTGATCACCGATTCTGCTGCATCCGCAACTGCCTTTGGCTGTGGTGTCAAGACTTACAACGCTGGTATGTCCATGTTCTCCGCACAGTTGACTATCCAAAATCTAACTCACAAAAGCCATTGCTGTCGATGACGACCGTCAACCTGTAGGTTCGATCTTGGAAGCGGCAAAGCTTGACGGTTTCAAGACAGGCTTGATCGCTACCTCTAGAATCACCCACGCCACACCAGCCTGTAAGTACTTCAATTCCCCCACTTCCAAATTACTCACAGTCCCTAGGCTACGCTGCTCACGTCATACACCGTGACTCTGAAGCTAAGATCGCAGAGCACGAGATTGGTTATGGTCACCCACTTGGTTCAGTTGTTGACGTCTTGCTCGGGGGCGGACGCTGCTACTTCAAGCCAAAGTCTCAGGCTGGATCGTGCCGGAGTGATGACATTGATTTGTTAAAATTTGGCAAGGAGCAAGGTTATAATGTCTTTACTGATCGTGCCGGCTTTGATAAGTTGAAGGGTGGTGAGGATGCGAAGTTGCCGTTTGCGGGATTGTTTACTGAAGGTAAGTCTCATTTTGAGCAACAAAACGACGAGTAGTGAGAGGTACTGTACTGATATCCCAAAGGTCATATGTCTTACGAGATTGATCGCCAAGATAACGTCGAGCCATCGCTTGTGGAAATGACCAAGACAGCACTCACATCACTCGAAAAGGCAACCAAGGGCACCAAGAGAGGTAAGCACTACTTCCTCCTCATCTCACTATTTAGGCCTCAATAACAGTCTAACATCTCTTTCCAGGCTACTTTATCATGATCGAAGCTTCACGCATTGATCACGCCGGGCACTCTAATGACCCCATCGGCCATCTACACGATACAATCCAATACAACGAAGTGATGGACTTTGTCCGCACCTGGATCGACTCGCACCCAGACACAACCATGCTCTCCGCCGCCGACCACGAAACCGGAGGCCTCACCCTCCAAGGCTACAACCCTCTCATCCTCCAAGCTGCCAACGCTTCAACAGAAGCCCTCAGCGCTCTCTTCAGCTCCTACACTGGCCCCGATCCCTCAACCTTCCTCAAGACAGTCGTTTTCCCCAGCTACGGCCTACTCAACCCCACTGATGCAGAAACCGCCAAACTCGTTGCCTTGAAGGGCAAGAGTTCATTCCAGAATGAGATGGGCATTATGTTGAGTTCGAGAGGTGGCATTGACTGGTCTACCGGTGGACATAGTGCGGTTGATGTCACGCTGTATGGATATAGCAGCGATAAGGGAGGCAAGATCTTGAGACAAAACATGGCAGGCAATTGGGACAATACGCAGCTGCCACTTTATATTGAGAAGCAATTGAAGGTCGATTTGGGAGCGGCGACTAAGGCTTTGAGAAATAAGGGGACTCAGTGGGTTGGACGGAGTGTTGAGAAGAGATTTGGGGGTGAGGAGGAGCATCACCATTAAGAAGCTCTAAAAAGGAGGTTGGATATGATTTCGATTCTCGACTCATGTATGACACACCACTGCCTTTTAAGTAAATAAAACCACTGAAAGCAACTTCATTCATACCTGTGCCTGTTGCCAAGATGTGGCGTCTTGATCATTCGCTGGTGCTCTCCTCTAATTCTTAGCGAGGATTGAAAACAACAACGAAATACTCTAGATTTCATTGCCTTCCAATGCTTTTCTCCCTTCCACATGTAGCACTTCCTTCTCCAGTAGTAGCGAATTCGAATACACAACCTGTATAAAAGCAAGACACGTTCTGATTTAACATTAGACATTTAGAGGAAGATGGGCTGGAAGATTCCCATTCGCTAAAGAAACTCTACTGTGCCACGCCAACCCCTCAAATCTGTTTACGGTATCAAGGACTGAGTAATGCCAGTTTCGGACCACAATCTTCCATAGCTTAACTCCTTAAACCCGTGCCGGCAATACTGTCTTCGTGCCGCCCGGCTCCCAGACTCGCTTACCACCGCTTCCACTGTTATCATCCTTTGACACTCATGTTGATCATTGCCTTGCACGGTTGATATTTCATAGTTGATTAAATCACTCATTTTGTGAGCCCGGCCCTCAGCCGTGTTGGCCTTGCTGATTGTCCTTTCAGAATTTCATCACGGGGAACCAGCAGAGACTGTATCAGGTATTGATTATTTAGAAGACTAGGCCACCAATTTCCATAGTCCTTGGTTCAAGCAAAGCCATTCTGGCATGAACTACCAGTCTTTGCGCGTAGACTGAGCACCTGGTTCTTGACCCAGACATAGAGAAAGTGTGTGGAGGAGGGTTGGGAGGAAACGAGTGTATGAATGGACAGAAGAGGGATGAGGTCGAGGGGCCGTCAAATGCTGCAGATGCCCGATTTGGAAGCGTCACTTTCTTGATAGAACACCAGTTATCTCTTTCAAATGGCAATTCGGCCTCCCCTTTTAGGTGCTTTCATGACGGTTTTCTGCGGCCAAGTTCACTTACTAAAATCCTCTACCCTGATTTACCACCCCTGACCTAGCCCCCAGCAACCCGCTGAGGAAATGTGGGCGGTGCAAAGACGCGTCTTGGACCTTGGTCTACATCTGCCTCAGTGATTTCAGCCTTGGGCCTCCAAAGAACACATCTGGAAGCGAAAGCCAGCGAGGACCTCCGTCGCTACCGGCGATACATCGAAAGTGGCCCGCAGGGCAGCTTCGACCTTCTCACTCGTTGGCTATTTTTGCAACATTTGCTATTCGCTCATGAATTCGTCCATCAATCGCTCAGACTCCGCAGTGCGTACATAGGTGAAGCCTACATTGAGCTTCCTCTCCATGACCATGCCAATTGCACCTTCTTCGTCTTGCATCGCCTTCCATTCTCTCCAATCGCGATCATCTTGATCCTTTGTTCGTAAAACGGATGACCCAAAGTCTATCATGACAACGTTTGGCCGGCTCGTCTGCTGATGATTCGTCGATGGATGATGACGTACGATAAAGCTCCTCGTCTTGACATCTTCATTGCGGATACCTCTCCCGCCAATCAGGTTGATAATCCGAATCGCCTCGTCGCATATTTGTTGCCAGGCAGCTTTGGGTGCGAACTTGTCGAGATCGTTTAGGCTGAAGCCTTGGACGTACTCCAACAAAATACCTGGGCAGTCGAAATATTCATTGCTTGGACCGGAGCTTGATGGGGATCTGAGCAGGATTCGGGCTGCAAGATGGGGAATACATTCGCCTTGAAGGTCGCGGAGCTGATCGTACACCAGGGTTTCCGTCGAGAAATGTTTTCGGCAGCAGAATTGAAGATAGGCTTCGCGATGCGCCGAATCCCAACCCGCCTCCGCCTTTGGGGTCCATTCGTCGTCGGTCTCTTTTTGAGCGTACAGCGCGAAAAGGGAAGCCATGTCGGTGCTTTCCACAAGGGCGCGATATGCTACTTCGATATCGACAGTCCAAGCGCTGGCTTGATTGTCTCGTCGGAGTTGTGTAGCATAGCGTCGATCGAATAATTTTAGGACATACTCCCCTCGCAACGTATGCCAGTTGAGTCGAACGAATAGAGCGCACGAAAGAGTGAAAGGCTCAAACGCCTTGATGATGGTTACATCAAGGCTTTCAGAGGGTTGACCATCGATTTGAACAGGTACGGTCTTCTCCGGGAGATATGGACCCCTAACAGCTATTAGTGGAGAATGACTGCTGAACGTGTCGAATATACTTACCGAGACATTGTTGGCTCCATCCGTGTCGCTCGCGTTCACAGTGTCTAGTTCCAGTTCCAGTCGGATCTGGAGAGACAAAAGAATGAAACCGCGAGAGCGAAGCGAACTCACAATTTGTGATCCTAGCTGCTAACGTAGCCTGCGCCATCTATGCTTGGTCTTCTGGGGCATGATAATTGTTCGTCGAGGGGTTGGAAGTTTGCACCTCGAGAACGCGGGCCAGTTTAAAGAAGTCATGATGGTAATTCAAATCGCGTGGTGGATTATGATGTTCGGATGTGTTGTGGACCGGCGCAGATCGTGCATGTTCCCAGATCATGGAATGGGATGCCTCGCCTCCAATCCACGGCCCCTCAAATCTATTTTGCAGCTTCACCATTGGCCACCTCGTAAATAAGCGAGCCGGCCCCCAATCCTCCCAGGTATGTTCTACGTCCGTAGCTAACGTCACCCTGCATCCCTCGGTATATATCCTCTTCTTTCCTTTCTCCTCTGTTACCATCCTTTCAATATTGCTGTTCACCTTCAATCTCTCTAATTTCAGTAACAGTTCTCAGAACATTGACCTGTTAATGTGTCTTTACGGTTCTGTCGTACGCGACCTCAGCCTTGTGTGACTTCACGTTGCCAAAGAAGGGCAGCACTTTAATCATAACAGAAATCTTCACTGCCAGAGCGCCATCATGAGACTCATCAATTGTGAAACGGGAGAGCTTGAGTGGTTTGCGGTCCAGCCACCGCCATATTCAATCCTGTCCCACACTTGGGATGGCGAGACCGAAGTCACGTACCAAGATTACATGAACTTTCTCTCTGGGCGAGGCAAAGAGAGTCGAAAGAACTGGGCAAAAGTCGAGAGGTCGATAGAGATCACCTTGAACAGCAGTGAACGACTGAAATATATCTGGATTGACACATGCTGCATCGACAAGACCGATACCCCGGAGTTGAGCGAAGCGATCAATTCCATGTTCAAATGGTATGCGAGGGCCACTGTGTGCTACGCTCAAATCGCAGATTTCGAATCCGACTTCTTAGCTGCGCCAATGATGTCCGTCTATCAAATCAATAATAGTAGGGCTCCGGGACAAGGGCAAAGTCACGAGATGCCTCAAATACACGCCAGTCCTCAACTGACGGACATCGCGAAGAGGGAGCTGAGAGGTTGCCGCTGGTTTACCAGAGGATGGACTTTGCAGGAATTGATAGCTCCACCAACAGTCGAATTTTATGACGTTCACTGGATACATTTCGGAAATCGCAATGAACTCGGAGATCTTCTGACGAGTATAACAAGCATCGACAAAAAGATCTTTGAGAACACCGGGACTACTCATCGTGAACAGAATGTTACAAGCATGCTGAGCAGAATGACAATTGCCAAAAAGATGTCCTGGGCAAAAAATCGACAGACTGCTAGGACGGAAGATATAGCGTATTCGCTTCTTGGAATCTTCGGGGTGAACATGGCCATGACATATGGTGAGGAAAACAAAGCTTTCATACGGTTACAGAAAGAGATTATGGCGCAGTACAACGATTTATCAATCTTCGCCTGGGCTGCAAACCCGACAGCACATGGAGTCGTCCCCGAGTTTCGTGGAATTCTCGCTCACTCCCCCGCGGAGTTTGCAAACGCTGGTTATTTCGAACCCTCGAGGAACGCCATTGCCAATCCAGATTTCACATTGACCAACAACGGCGTCAAAATCAACGCACAGATCCGCAATATCCCCAATAGCAAGTATCTCTTCCTCAGCTTGAATTGTTACGACCAAGCCGACGGACCTCATAATATTCAAGGCATCACATTGCAACTCATCGGCTTCAACAAGTACAAACGTACCAACCCATCCTGTCTGGCTATCGAGCTGAACTCATGGCCTCTCCAACCCAGAAAAGAATTTTTCATCTCATCCGACGACACAGATACCGATACGGAGCATCTCTCCAGAAGCGACAACCAGTCCTTCGTGTTCGATTTGCAGGGGCTGGAGTTCTACGAGAAGATGCGAGTTAGTCATGACATGGCTTGGGACGACAGCACGACTACATTCAATACACACGGCCTGTCGAGTTTTAATGGCTGTGTCTGGTTCAGGACACGAGGAAGAGCCAGCGAGAAAGTATCAGAGTGTCTCGTTGCCTGCGGAACCGCAACATCCGCTCAAGAAGGGCCCTGGCTCTGCGTCGTGACACGAGATCACGCAGTCTACAAAGCGGCCATGGACCAGAACTGGGAGGCGATGGGCTCGCTTGGCAGGAAAGCAGGAAGAACACCATACACTGGTGAGGGAGCGAGCACGATGATGAGTGTTGAGATCCCGTACGATGGGAAAGATATTTACGAGCAGAAGAGTGGATTGCGCATCTCAGCTTTCATGGTAAGGGAGACGGGAACGAAATTCAGGATTCGAGTCCAGGCGGAGCCCTTTGATCATGCCAGTGGATGCGATAATTGCTTGATTTGTTGTTGTGATCCGAGAGCGGCGGATTGTTCGGGTAACAATGGAAGCTGTGTTATTTTGTGATGGGCGAATTGAGGTCGAGGCCTGTAATGATTTGAATCTTGAAATTATTTCAGGTTATTGGAACGTGGATGAAGGATGTGCAGCAATGCGACGAGAAACATAATACCATAATCAGGCGAAGGGTGTGTACAAAAGGAATTGAATCAATTGCCATTATTTCTATCCTGCAATACGGTTTCAATATCGTCTCGAAGGAAGGCATGTTATCGAGGGGAAATCTACGCCACTACCGAGACGCGTTCCTGACCAGTCTTTGGACCCCTATTTGCACATGGCCAAATGCGTTCTGTGCAACCGCGGAAAAGTGACAGAGTCAAGGATACACGTTTCAGGTTGAGAGCTCCCCACAACCTAAAATTGTGATATTCAGCTGAAAAGGCCCTGATCGACGTGTTGATCCCTTAGAAGACATCCCAATGCAGATAACAGAGTGCACGGTTCCCGCGATAGGGGGAACATCACCAAAACAACACTCCAAAGACACTTCAAAAATATGCGATGCAAGGCGACAAAGGCTTAATTGGTCCTATTGAAGTTTATCTGAGGAAACTATGGCATTGTACCGAAAATTACAGGTGCCTGCAAGAAGTATCAAGCTCCTACGCCTTGTGCTGTGGTTCGTTTCAACTGCCGTACCCATGTCACCCGAAGATCGCAATCACATCTCACGGCCCTTCTTCCCCACAAGAAACCAAAGCAGATATGACAGGCAGTTGATCGATGCTTATCCTTTGACGGTGAGCTGTTTTGCGTGCTGAGGGATTGGGATCTTCTGCTGCTCTCTACGTCATTTGATCGAGGGGCTGATTCCATGGGGCTCAAAGGGGGATTATATACTCCCTCGATGGAGCCGAGGGATGGAGTTGCCTTTTTTGTCTTGCATCCACGAAAAACCTACCGAGTCATTCATTTTGTCCTATAATACATAATTCATAGCCATCAAGGACAGCCCAGAGGAAAAAATCTTCCATTCCAAATTTCATCAAATCTCACTTTTTTTGCATCCTCTCCCACGAAAACAAACACATCTTCCGCAATGCAGATTTCCACCATCACCATCCTCTTCGCGACCCTCACACTCTCTACACAAGTCCTCTCGGCGCCAACACCATATATCAAGAAAGTCGACACCCCATCCGGACGTCCCAAATTCGTCTGCGTCGACTCAGATCTCTCGTGTCTCACGAAGCGAGCGTACAATACCGTCACGTCTGCTCCAGTAGTTGGAGGATTCATCGGCCATGTCCTGAGTTCGACGACGGGGGAAGTCAGTCATGTTGTGGAGTAATTTGAAGGGCTGATGGACACTCGATTACACTTCGATGTATTGAAGCACGTAGGTATGTCCTATCTCGATTTGAAGATTCCGTCTAACATAAATTCAGATCAGGTGCATATGACTTGAGAAGAAATTTGTCTTGGACTGAAGTCAGAGGCGAAGTCTTCACATCATCGTCAAACCCGCGATTCAGGCGATGGGACGTCGTTTCGGGCGGGTAGGACTAGGCTCTTGAGGGCTTGAGGGGCAACTCGGCGCTCCTGCGGAAGCTTGTATTAGTTTATGATCAACTCACCAGAGGCCACCGGCGACATGATACCTGTCTAGAGATAATATTTAATGTATATCACTACCAACCACCCCATACGGATCATTTTCTTGAACAATTAGAATACAAAGTTGGCCCTTGGCTTTAGCTTTGAACAGAAGACAGCTCGTCTATTTGAATGTGAGCAGCGAAATGAAGTGGCTTTTTCTGGTGCCATTTCACATTTGGGATTGAATTCTAGGCTTCTATGTACAAAGTTCAAAGTCGTCTCGCTCGCCAACGTCAAGTATGGAATATGACTGAGCAACTTATGGTGCCTTTGCAGCAAGTTGATATAGCTGTCAGTTGGATGAGTTCAGTGTTACAAGGAGGTTTTGTAGCGAAACAGTTGGTTCTCCATTTAAATAGTCTTTGAATGTAACAAAACCTTTCTACTACATGCCTTTCTCATGTCTTATTCAATAACAAAATGATTTCCTTCAATCATCCCCTAAACCCTCCAAAAGACTTGCACTCGGCGCAAAGAACACATTCCCGGTCGTAGCAGTTGAATAATCCAAAATCCGATCATGCATCCCCTCCGGCACACCAATAAACATTCTCTGCAGCATTTTCTCAACCACCCACAGCCGCCTCGAATACCCAATGAAATAAGTTCCGTACTCTCCACTCCCAGGACTCCCAAACGGCATATTATCCCTCAGGATATCGTGCTCATTCCCCTCCGCATCCTCAACAGTGGCCAAGCTCTTATGGCTCATTTGCTGACCCTCAGGTGCATCGTCTAGCTCGATGTTATCCAGCTTCGTACGTCCAATCACAGCTTCTTGTTGCTCTGTCTTGAGACCGCGCCAGGACTTGAGATTGTGCAGGTATTTCTGCACGACAATGTAACTTCCTCCCACTTGGGCAGTCCCGCTCTCAGTAGACACATCTTCCTGCGCAACCAACACTGATTCTGTGACAGCTTGACCAACTGGGTTGGCAGTGCCGTCTACAAAGCCTAGAAGATCTCTCACGTCGAAATACCTGAAGCCGGTCGTCTCATCTTCGACTTTCACGGAGTCTCCAAGCAAATCCATAAGCTGTCTCTCGAACTCGAAATTCAGATCCCTCCGCTCAGACCGGATGTGGAAGAGCAAATCGCCAGGAGTGGAAGGCGCCGTGTGCGTCTTCCCTTTGACTTCCTTGAAGGGTGTCAATTCGGAAGGACGAGGGAGTCCAGTGATGGTGTCCCAGACTGAGGATCCGATGCCGACTGTGCATGCGAATGAGGCATTCAAATCTCGAATTGCGACATTTTTGGCGAGGCCGCTGATGCCGGAGAGGACGGAGCGGATTGTTTTGATGGATTCGGGGGTTGGAGTTGCGGAGAGTACGAGGAAGGTTGCTGAGCAGGTCAGAGGGGCGTCGACCTGTTGCGACTCAATTGGGACACGTCGGGACATAGCTCGAAATCTTGTTGAAGAAGAAATACTGTGATTCCGAGACTGAGTACTTAAGACGCGACGATGATAGCGATGCGCCTGAGATGAGATGCTCAAGTATCGAGGTCGGAGCTCCTGCACTGCTGCGAGTCGGGTGGCACTTCGTCTGGTTGCTCCAATCTTCGTCTCCAGAACTGATTTACTTCCCAGTCTTATAAAGACTCTATTACCAGCACAGCTCATACTTGAACCCTCCTGTCCAAGACACGAGCCGATATTTGAAGTCAGGAGGTTGAGTATGTAAGCTTTGGCGTGCCGAAGAACCCCACATTGTCATGCAAATGATTAGTAATGAATAATCAACACGTTATCACAGGCCGATACCCGTATGACGCCAAATCAGGACATTTTCATTCCTGAGCGACAGAACGGGTCCGGCTTTGATTATATAAGAAGTTCGGGCCCGAAGGTTAATCAAGACGAGGAGGCGGGGTAGAAATTTTAGTTTGCGCCTAATTTCGAGGCGAGATTAAGCGAAGGTCAATACAAAATATTCATTGATTGTTGTCTTTCGCGAAAGTACTTTGAGCATAAAGGAAGAATCGCTTACCGACCCTGAAACTTATGTTTCAATCTCTTTACGAAGTTGGTGACCCGGTATAGTTACAGGATCATCAGTAAAGTCTCTCAGAGGCGGCAATGACCTCACCTTGCCCCCAAAACTCGAGATGTCGAGATATATAATGCTATAGCTGATAAATGTTGCAGCTTATGCTACTCAGATAACGAAAACATAGCGCTCCATGAGTTCAGTAATCTCATTTGCTGATATCATGGAAATGAGCAGTTCTATGGACTTCAACCGCTTCTCCCATAAGTCCCGGTTAGGCACTGGTCGTCATTCTTTCGAGACTTGCAGGCGTTGAGCGAAGGGTCAACACGAGTAAGAGAATAAATTTAAGAACGTCATGTGTGCAAGATGATTGATATCACGATACCTCAAGTGGATATGCAGACATCACAGTCACTTTACCTGTAAACAGGGCCGGCACCAAGCGAGCCACCCCGTAGTCAATGCCGAGAGGGCTGTTTCCACTGCCAACCTCGATGTCCTATTCGTGGATAATCATATAGACTTCAGATTCCACACCACTCCAAGCCAATGCATCCACTGTATAATGTAGTGTACCCCCGGCTCCAACTTAAAGGGTCGGGCGGGCGTCACACTTTCCCTAGCTACGTGTAGTCAGAATCCAACGCTGCCTCAATGTACTCAGGAGACTTAACTACATTTATTCAGAGGATTGCACAGCGGGTGGAATTGATATATAGGAAATGGTACTCAACACCAAAACCTGTGCAAACTGGAAAGAAACTCCAAGTCGAGAGGGACGGCGAGGTTTACAAAAAGATGATGGCCACGAAAGCAAAAGCTGTTGCACAAATCTCGCGCCAGCAAGAAGCGCACGCTGAGATAGTAGAGTCCATGTGTTGGAAATTGGGTCGTGTCAGAAGGCGGTATTTCAAACCAGAAGAAGCCCGTGTCGTCAAAGTCAAAGAAACCAGAAGCAGCAGCAACCGCCCGGCGGAAAAAGACTTGCGATGACTCGCTGAAATTTGCTATCTCCATGAGAACACGCATCGACCTCTATGCTGATCACTATGACTCCCTTGATCCACAACCGACCGCTTGATGACTGAGGAGCTCCAAATACCACTTTATATCAAAATCTAGTGGATGTTTAGGGGCTGCGAAACTGCGGTGAGAATATAGTGCATATTAGTTCGATGCCTTCGCCAGGACAAGGGTCGCACGGGAAGTGATGTCCGGCGGCAAGTGATTGGCTCTTTTCACGAGCATGCTGACATAAGCAACTGCCACCTCCGCAAGTTCGCAACAGGCATATATTTCGTGGCATGGCGTCCTTCATCATCTAATCATGTTCTGACCTTCGGCATTGACTGTTTTATAAGGGCCTCCACCGCAGAATGGAGACAGGTCCCCAGCCGAAGCGCAGGACAAGCGCACCGAAAACTAGGAATGGCTGTTTTACATGTAAGCTTTGTGGGGTATCTCCAAGCTTATTATTTTGAGTTCTGACGTGTCTCTCCAGGCAAGTAGGTTACTTTGAAGAGCTGATGAATTCTGTTTAGAATAAGTAATTTAATTGAGTCAGAATCCGCCACGTCAAGTGCGATGAAAGAAAGCCGACAGTAAGTGATGGTGAAGAGGGTTCGGACACCGCTGGCCACTGGACTAATTTGCACAGTGTGTTCGATGCGAAAAGTTCGGGGTCGACTGCGATGGGTATGTGGTACGAAAATCAGCTTCACAGGTCCATACGCAGACACAAGCCCCGTTCTTGCTACCGAAGCCAGCATCAGTTTGCTCGGTGAGGGGCGCCGGATCACAGACGTTAGAGTTCGTTCACTATACCCCTGTAAGTCCCTGTAGCCCGAGAACTTGATATCAGTAGACTTGCTCATAGAAGTCCTCCAGAGAACAATGGCACCTCAGAAGCTGCATATTTCTTCGCCAAGTCCAGCCCTCACTTTCAGTACAGAGACTGAGCATATGTACTTCAAAGTCTTTCACGATCGTGCCGCTATGGAGCTCTCTGGATACTTTGACACTGACTTCTGGGGACGGACCATTCTTCAGATATGCCATGAAGAGGACTTCGCGCGGCATGCAGTAATTGCTCTTGGGGCTCTCAGCGAAACGATGGAAGAGGTGCAAGCCGACAACCTACTCTTTCCGAACTCAGAGGAAATCCGAAAAAAGCACCATCAATTTGCCCTTCGACATTATGGAAAAGCACTGAAACTGATGCGGGACATACCTGGCCAAAAGGGTCGGATATGGACCAAGTATGCTCTACTATCATGTCTCCTGACGACTTGTTTTGAGAATTACTTGGGCAACCACGACGGGGCGATTGCAGCAGCTCGGGCTGGCATTGAGTTGCTGTATCAGAAGTCCACTGGAGGGTGGTGCGAGTCTGAAACCGATTTACACGGCGCCATTCGGCAATGCTCGTACGACGACATTGATTTGATGAGTACTTTTGATCGTCTAGAAGCCGTGGTTATCTTGGACAATCAAAGAAGACGGATTACAAACCCGCGGGTCCTTTCTCAGCTTCAACAACGGAGACCATTTAAGTGCACCATGCCCACCCAGTTCAATACTGTGAGGGAAGCCAGGATGTATTGCGACTATCATGTCAAAAGAGCACTCGCATGGCAACCGGTTGACTCTCAATGGGCTAGTTCGGCGGAGCTAATGAATTTCGGAGTGGATGATCCAGAAAGGCGGAGAGTGAAATGCGAAGAGTTTGCCCGACGCGCAGCAGCAGAGTTTGAAGAATATAGTGGCGCCAGAGCAAAATGGCATCAAGCTTTCCTACCAGTCTTCGAGGCGACGAGGGAATACCCCGGCAGCAAGGACTTCCTTGGAGCATCAATGCTCATGATCCAGTACGTCAGTTCAATCCCCATGTGTGTGCCGCCAGAAGAGATGTCCGAGTTGATATTTGATCAATATACTCCACACTACCGCTTACTCGTTGAGTTGTCGCGTGAGTTGCTAGAGATGTACCCTCGTACCAAATCTCGGAAGGCTGTGTTCTCATTTGACGACGGCTTTGTGGCGAGCTTGTTTCAAACTGCAATTCGCAGTCGGGATCGGGATATCAGGAAACAGGCACTTAAATTGCTTGTTGAGCATCCCCGCCGAGAAGGCCTTTGGGATAGTGCGGCTGCAGCAAAAGTAGCTTGCTGGCTCGTTAATCTGGAAGAGGAGGAAATGGTGGATGGCTTTGTGCCAGAAAGTTCGCGGTTGAGAATTGAAAAAATGGACACGAACATGATGGACAGAAAAGTCGCAATTCGATGTTCCAAGTGGGATGATGACCTCCAAGGAAGATACGATTTGGAGGATGTAGTTTTGTCTTGGTAAGGGTTGGGAAACACGCTGGAGGTAGTCATTGAATCACAATTACTAAATACGACATTGTGCTCACTGCACCTTTCCCCATCCTCGGCACAGAAGAGGGTCTCGGAAGGAGTTCTATTGACCTGTCCACTCTGCCTCGATCAAACTCATTCGGGAACCTTCTGGTCTCTTAGCTCCGAGATACTTGAACCTGGGATCGGCTTTTTGAAACAGAGCTTCCCAGTCTCCTTCTTCGCGCTCCTTTGCATTCATAGCAACCATCATACATATGTCAAGATTCCTGCCCTGTAATCAACTACTGCACCCAGATGATGGCAATAATAGTAGAGAACTTACCTAGAAGCTTTCTCCTCAAACAAATGTCCCGTTCCAGGTGCAGGCAAACAACCATCATTGATCAAGATCTTCGCACCTGGCTTCAGCGCGGGGATTGCAGCCTGAAGGATCTTGACGGATTCATCATCACCCCAATTATGGAAGATCCAGCGATAGAAGTACACATCAGCATCCTTTACCACTTGAGGTGTGAAAAAGTCGTGCTTCTGAAATTGGATGTTCGGTCGCTTGTGCTCGGTTTCCATATCATCTGTTACGTCGATATCCTGGACGATGAGCTTGAGATCTGGGTAGGCATCTGAGATGGCTGAGCTTGCGAATCCGTTCGCACCGCCAACCTGATACTTTCAGCCTCGAAGCCAAAACACAAAATCTCCACTCGTAGCTTACATCAACGACAGTACCTCCACCCAGCTTACCCCAATCATATCCTTCAACTAAAGAATTTGGCTCGTAGCCCTCCCCTGAACTGAACAATTCCATAGCAAGACCAAATCTCTGAATTCGCTCTGGAATCTTCTTGACTTCTTCATAGAGGGAGGTTTGACCAGAATTGTGAAATCCGATCGAAACTCCAGTCTCTCTCTTACTCTCAGAACCAGGCCATTTATCAAGGGCCTCGCAATGATGAGCACCACCAAGCAGAATTGTCTCAGTTTGCAATTCAACCCATGCTGCAGTTCTCGGATCGTTCACGAGAATTTCAGACATTGAGTTGTGCGCAATGAAATCTCTTTCAGGCTCATAAAAGATTCCATTAGAGATGGCATGGCGCATCAATCTGCGCAAAGCTGTCGATTCCAATCCGCACTTGGTCGAGAGATCTGTATATGAGATCTTCTCATCCAGAGGAACGTGTTTCGCTACCGACCAATGCGAGACAGCCTTCAGACTGAGCACATTCAGCCACTGTATGTTGTGGAACATCACACAATCAGCCGGGCTCCCGCTGACAGGGTAAGGGAAATCTCATCGCGTAAGACTTACCTCCCATGCCATATCGCGAATCGTCTGCACCTCCCCAATCAATTTTCGATTCAACGCAGGGATCATATCAATGATCTCAAGTCGTGCCTCCCGCTCAGCCTTGCTCTGCAGGTCGAGCGGTGACTCGAGGGCTTCGCGCAGCGAAGCTGCAAGAGCGACAAGATTTGTTGAAGACATGGTTACGCTGCGTGTACCGTGCAGCAGATCTCGGGGAGATGTCTGTGGGTTGTTTGTAGAATGTTTGTGATCGAGGTGAGATCTCGGAGTCGATGAGATGTAGGTAAGGGGTTTAGGCGGGTGAGCGTCGAATCGAGATTAGGTAGACGGGTCTGATAGGAGAGTTCCCCGGTCATGTATTCCTGTTGCGGACGTGGGGGTGGGGAATGTCTTCACACAATGTAGATGATAGGTCAGCTCGGTAACTTGTCTGCGACATGTCTTTTTCCCTTGAATTCGTCCAGATCGCCAGTTCTTGACCTGATGCTTCACTGTTCCACTTCATTATTCAATTTATCAGTCATTGAACGCCGTGATCATAACTGCTTCGATTGTGCCACATCCATTTAAACAATGCCGTCTCCAAAACCAGACCCTTCGACATCTCCTCTGGCGCCAGGATCACCCATCAATGTTCTGACAACAGACAGTCCCATCGAAGCTGAAGAAGCAAGGGCGGAAGAGGAGGACGATGGATACGACGATGATCAAGTCAGCAACAGCTCTACATCAATCAGCTCCAGTATCCGAAACCATACTTTCGAGGATGGAATTAGATACCACAGGTTTCATGATGGTCAATACGCCTTTCCAAACGATGAGAATGAGCAAAATCGGGATGACATGAAGCATGCAATGACTTTGCTACTGTGCGGCCAGAGACTTCATTTTGCGCCTATTGGAGACAGTCCGCAAAGAATCATCGACCTAGGTAGGTCAATAGACGGCTTTAAGTCTGCCCCACTAACAACTCTTAGGGACCGGGACTGGGATCTGGGCGATCGAAAGTAAGGTTCCCCGGTGGAGTAAGTAAAGTCTAATTTGGCAACGACTAATACTCCACAGTGGCAGATACATATCCATCAGCAGAAGTAGTCGGAATTGATCTGAGTCCTATTCAACCTGCTTGGGTGCCACCGAACCTTCGATTCCTCGTTGACGACCTTGAAGATGAATGGATCTATCCCGAAAACCATTTCGACTATATCCATGTTCGGCATACTCTCCACTCTATCAGGAAGCCAGCTGCGTTAATGGAACGAGCGATGAAGTAAGTACAACAATAATCGCAGAACATGAATTCCATGCTGACGATTAAAGACATACCAAGCCCGGGGGGTGGGTCGAATTCCAAGAACTCCACTACTACCCACACTGTGACGACGAGTCTCTCAATCGACCATATGCGGTGCGTGAATGGCTCGAATATGTGCGTGATGGTGTTGCGAGTTTCGGAAGCGATTTAAATGGCGTGACGAAATTGCGAGCGACGATGGAAGCGGCTGGGTTCATCAACATCGAAGAACAAATCTTGCGCTGCCCCATTGGGACATGGCCGAAGAATAGGACGCTCAAACTTGCCGGCCTGTACTGGAGAACGGCGATCTCTGATGGTCTGATGAGTGTTGCTAAGAGGCCGATGGAGAAAGGACTTGGTTGGACTGTGCCAGAGATTGAGGTGTTTCTTGTGGGTGTGAGGAAAGCGTTGCATGACTCGTCGTTTCATTCCTACATGTAAGTGATGCTAAAGTACCATGTCCCTCCGCTATATGTTATTGACAAGTGCGTTTAGGCCGCTGCATATGTTGTACGGCCAGAAGCCGCCGGAACCTATCACAAGAACTGATTTCCATGATGCCGCGACGGAAGCATGAAGTTCGAAATCCAACTATATCCGATGTCTTCCGGAAAACATCAGATCAAAACCGAGATTCTGACCAAGAAAGGACTCCAATTAATCCTCAACGGAGTAACCAATACTTTTCTCACGGAAATGTCGCGCCAAGTATCAGCAAGCTCCTCAAATCCATCTCAGAAATTGCGGCACCTTCTTCCACCTCCACAACAATCCCCACCCAGCAAAGACCGACGAGAGTCCCGTAAATACAATTAATGGCCCATACATGGTGCCGTATCCAAAACCACCCATCGAGGTCTCGTCGCCACTTTTAAGGAGCGCCACACTAGCAAGGCCACCACTGACATACCCAACACCTCTCGCACCATTCAACAATCCGTACAACATCCCCGTATCAATCGCCTCATTACTCCTCGTAGCTTCGCTTTCTAGCTCATTGATCACACCTCCCCAGGTAGCCGAATACCCACCAGCAAAGAAGCCGAAAGTAATTGAGAAGAGGACCAGCAACGCCATACTTCCCTGTGATGTCAAACCCCAGAACAGGAAAGCTGAAAGCGCAGAGCAGACAGCTGAGATAGATGTCACTGTCGTAGCAGAAAGCGGGAAATGCTTATTGTCGCTTAAATAACCGAAGAAAGCCGATGATGCAATCCCAGGGATATTGAAGAGCGTGAGCAGCAGCGTCGCAGAAGTCTGAGACAAGAGCGTGACCTCGTGTGCGTATGTGTTAAGATATGTCTGCGGAATTCCATATCCAGAGCTCTGTAGGACTATGGCTACAGTGTAGATGTAAATCGTTCGATGGCGGAGGAAGCTCCATGGGATTCTCCTTGCACGAGGTGTACTTCCTGAAAGTGAAGAGGGATGGGCAGGGATCAGGAAAATAGCTAGGATGCTGGATCCTGCTACGATCGCGGCCCAGATTTTCATGGTGGTGCGGAATCCGTATGTGTCGAGCATGTTTCGGATGAGGAAGGGACAAGATGACCCGACGATGTTCTTGCAGCTGAGAACGACGCCATACGCTACGGCGCGATTGCTGTTCGTGAACCATTCGCCGAGAGATAGCGTTGTGGGACTATAAATCAGAGCACAACCCAGAGCTGCAAGGACTCCTTGAGTGGCAATCAAGTGCCAGGTTTGTGTGCTGAATGAGGAGAGTAGGAAGCTCAGTGACGTGAGGATGGTGCCGCAGAGTGCAGCTGTTTGGCGGTATCGAGCCCATCGTTTGGTGAAGAGTGCGAAGAGGAAGGGCATGGATAGATACATGACTCCATTTGTTGTTGTTCCAATGACACCAGTTGCTCCTTGGTTGCCTTTGAATGTCCAATTACTGGTGAAATGTTCCTGGAAGACTCCGTAGCTCATTGCAAAGCCTGTGGGTGTGAGTAGAGCTGAAGTCTCGCAATTATATACTTACCCCATATCGAAAATTGTAGTATTGCTGAGCCTACAAGAACAGATGCTCGCTTTCTCTTAGATCCCAGTTGTCTGGAGTCTGCTTGCTCGAGCATAGAAGCATCGTGTTCCGTGTCTATCACGTGAGACTCTTGCACGTCAACCTCTGGTTGGGAGGCACGCAGAGCGATGCTCTCAGTTCTTGAGGCCATTGTGAGGTTTGGCTTGAAATTGAAGCTTTTCGAGGGACTTGGCTCTAGATAAAAGCCTTGATGAGGACCGCTGTCCGATTGCGGAGAATGTCGACCAATTGAAAAGCGATCGTCAGTGGCAAGCACCCTGTTGAGCTAAATGACGGGTAAGCACGCGAGCATCAAAGGTGGGAACGACAAGTAAATTTCTGATCTCCTGGGTAGAAAATAGACGTCAAAGATTAGCTAATGCTGTTCTTGGGTGAAGTGCCAAATCTTGAAGCCCAACTCGGGCAGAACTTCCATTGGATGGATATTGAATGACTTGGTAACTGATGGTAGAGTTGATGTGTTTTACAGCTTCAAAACCGGAACTTGTTTAATCCAATTAGATCTAAATCATGCCAAGGCATAGTTCCATATGCGCGGTTGTAATGTCTCACCTCGCTTGTCATGTTTTTCTCGAGATCTTGGTGGGGCATTGAGTCCATGATGCCAAAAAAAAAAAATTACTCAAAACTGAAGCCCCCATCGACTTCCTGTATATAACAACAGAGATCAAACATATGGATTAGCAAAAACACTGAAACATTGAATGGCGCTTGCGAGTATAGAATTTGCAGCCTCTCGGGGGGAGCGCTTCAAGGTAGACCCCAAGCGACTATCCTGTTGTTAGAACGCCACTGGATCTCAGAAAATCCCTTACTAATCATGCTACTATTTAAAAGCATTTTACTGTTTCATGTTGCTGGAGAAAGCTATTGTTTCTCAGTTCGTTGCATAGTATAGTGATTTGAGTGTTTGGAAGTTTCAGCCGAGGATCCTCGCTTGAGGTGAAAGACCTTCAAACCTATGGACATATAAAAGAAGCGGGAGAGGGAAAGTCGCGTAATCCAGTGAGCTCTAATTTATGTCGCCATCTCCAATTCGAGGTCGTGTCATTTGACAGGTGCAACGATGTAGCATATCCATGTTTACTCGTAAATAAGCAGACTGACCGGCGCTGTTCCATTCGCCGAGCAACCCATAGGAAAGAGGCACGGGTCACCGGAGATCAGAGAGACGGAACTCGTCAAGGAATATCAGATAGGACAGAGATAGCACTGCCCGTTCAAACCAGAGCCCCAGCATGAAGGTTTTCTTAGACTCAATTATTCAGGCTATGGAGCTAAGCGAGACCCCCTACCCTAAATCATGTGCTGGCGGATGGCGCAGGCTACTTAATCGCCCAGAATAACTAAACGACCATTAATCTCCTCTAGCCAAAGTCAATACCGACCTCGACAGCACCTTCGGCCCTTCACCAAAACCGATGCAAAGCAGAGAAAACGATACTCGCGACATTTCCAACATAGTTATCGTCCCTTCGTCCTCCATATGCTTAGAACGCCAGATAGCAAAGCACATTTGACTCGACTGAGACTGAGCGAGTAAGCATCAACATGCGACTTGCGAACTTCTGTATGCTAGGTTCGGGTGATCAACCGTGGCGATCCTGGGGACGAGCCGCCAAGGTGGCCAGTGCCTATTGCACCCCTGAGCTACCACGATGTGGCTTGCAGCACCATATCTATTTGGGGATCGCAAAAGCCTCCCAAGATGATGCTGTTCATGTTCGAGCACACTTGTAACACACAGACATCTTCAAGTGCGGAAGCTTAGGCAAGATAAAATTTCCCGGCAGGCTAGAGACATCGGACGATGTGCTGGTAGGTGTTGGCATATCTTTAAAGCCAGGGCTCCTCACTTCTCTTTCATCCTATCTCTCTCATGGTTCATGACTACTGAGTTCTTGAACTACCCTTGTGCTGTTTCATTTCTAGTTATTGTACGACACGTTCATTCGTGCTCGACGTTCTTTCGTTTTACCCACACTCGCTCAATTGCAATTATGCTGTTTTCCTCATGGCTACTCAAGACACTCGGTCTCACCCGGGTTGCGAATTCAGCCTGTACATCAAACCTTCTGGTAGATAATTATGCCAATTATCAAAATCACCTCAACTCTCTTGGACAATGGACGAGTGGTGGGTTCTTGTAGACCTGCAAATTACCCCACTAATTTTGAGCCAGATGATGGAACAACAACGAATATCAAAGCTGATGTCGCAAACAAGAAGATCACTTTCACGAGCAAGGCAAATAGTTACTTCTATACGACTTTCAGTTGCCAGCAAGCTACCACCGATCAATACGATGCCGTTACTTTCCCAATCAAAGGCCCAGCCGGCGCAAGTTTCCAGCTCGAGCTGCAGACCTCGACGACATGTTCGGCTTCGACATACAAGAGCTATTATAAATCTTTGACAGGCATCACCGGAGCGACCCAAACGTATACTGTCCCGTTGAGCTCATTTGCTGGTGCAAACCTAAATGCTATCAAGAGTATCCTTTTCGAATCCTTCAGTATCAACGGTCCTTGGGAGATCGGAACGATCCAGCTTGTTTGTGCCAACACCAAACCCACTAGTCTCCCACCAAGCACTTCCACGACCAGTAAACCAGCCACAACCAGAACTTCAGCTCCACCAGGAGCTTGCACAAATATGCTGGTTGATGACTTTGCTTCCCAGTCTCGACTAACATTCCTCTTCTACAATGCGATGCTTCTTCCATCATCCGATGATGGATCTATGGCTCCGGTATCTGGACGAGCTGATACAGGGACTTCAGTGATTGTTGCCAACAACCGTCTTACCCTCACTCCAGCTTCTGGTGGAAACTCTTACTGGTATACTATGCTTGGCTGTTCAAAGACTACTGGAATCTACGGAGGAATTGGCATGACGATCAAGGCACCAAATGGCTTCACGATGGGTGTTGAGTTACAGACTGCGAGAGACTGCTCCAGCAACAATCCAGTTCTGAATGATCTCTTATCAACGGATCTTGGCTGGACTTTTGATGGAACTGAGAAATACTACACTATCCCATTCTCAAAGTTTCCGGGTCTGGATGCGGACCACCTGGTCTCTTTGTTGTTCTCGGGCTTGAGTGGTGCCGTCACAATTGGTCCAATCTCCTTCTATTGTGGGTCAACTGGATCAGCATATCCCATTCCAACTACAGTCCCGGTTGTTGAGCCTACATCTACGATCCCTGTGACAACTGGACCATCAGCGTATGTGATTGATATTTTTACATCTGCCGATACCAACAACCTTGGATTCTACCACGGGGGAGATGACCCAGCTCTCTTCAAGCGAACTGCAGGCAAACTCACGATCAATACCAAAGGCAATGCGGATCTCTCCTACTATACACAGATCTCCAGCGGATGCAGTGATATTCGCTCGTATGACAAGAGCTATGTGCACATTTCGTACACTGGCAGCCCCGCATTCACGATTGCCATGCAACAGCACAATCCAACATGCAACCCAGATATCAATCCCTATCCCTACACCTGGGACTCTGTTGAAGCATCTCGGTACTCCAACAGCGCCAAGACAGACATCTACATTCCAATCTCACACTTCTCCATCAACCGCGCCGTCGTGATTGGGTTCTCTCTCAAAGGTTTCTACACCAGCACCACGACCACGATCACCAAAATCGAGATCGTCAAATCCGTACCATTGGGTTTCCTCGTACCCAGCAAGCTTCCCACCATTCCTCTAGTCTTCGCATGCACACGCCCCAACAGCTTCGCATTCGCCATCGATGACGGCTCACCGGAGTACGCCCAGCGGGTCGTCTCATCCATTGCAGCCGCTGGCATAAAAGTAACATTCTTCACCGTCGGAGCCCCTCTCCTCGACGCCTCCACGAACTTGACAAACGTGTACAAAAACATGCTCAAAGCAGGTCATCAAGTCGCATACCACAGCTACACTCACCCACCACTCGAAGGCCTCCCCTCACTCGCCGCCATCGACTGGGAAATCAAGCAAGACATCGCCGCAGTTTCCAAAACCCTCGGCATCACATCTAAATATTTCCGGCCACCATTCGGCACAGAAGGTGCTCGGATTCGACAACGCCTTGCTGCTACGCTTCCAGGAAGTAAGTTCGTAGCTTGGAGTGTGGATGTGCAGGATTGGTTGTGGGCTGCGACTGATACGCCTGAGAAGCAGCTGGAGAATTTTCAGGCGGATGTGAATAAGGGCGGGAATCTGGTGGTGATGCATTACTTGTATGAGAGTACTGTGAGCTATTTGCCGCAGTTTATTGAGATTGCGAGGAAGACGGGGAAGCAGTTGATGAGGGTTGATCAGTGTTTGGAGGATCCGAATGCGCCGCCTTTGTAGATGCGAGGTGGGAGTCAAGATTGGTGTGAGGGAAAGTTGGAAGACATTGTAATGTATAAACTGATATGTTGCTCAGAATTGAGGACCCTTTTCTATGCGCGGATGTATGCATTAAATATGGGGCTCGTGCCTGTGTCCATGTGATTGTCAAAGTTAAGTCTGTTGTAGAAGTGAGTGTTGCGTCACAGATCAAGCGTAATCATATTTCGGAGTCCGTCAGGTTTCTGTTGTCATCAATTGAAACCAGATCACAGCTACAAATTGAGAGGAAGTACGCGCAAGACAGGTTTGTTGGTCGTCGAAGCGGAACACAGAGCAAACTCGCTTCAAACGTCAACAATTACCCCGCTACCCCATTTTATCTACATTCCTGAGACCCCTAGGTCCTAATCGAGCTCGCCTATTGCTCAGTCCGACGACAATGACGTGTCAGTCCGGAGTTTACTGTTTGACCATGAGACATAGCTGAGCAAGACGCATATACCAGATCAATTACCGTGCCAGAAAAGCACCCTGGAGATCTAGATCACTTATTAAAAATTTGGAGTCAAGAAACTTGAATTATGAAGTATGTTTAACGAGCGTTAAGTTCCTTGTACTTCCAATAGCATCCCCAGCGCCCTCGATTCCAACCCTCTAGCAATGACCCGATCTAAAGATTATGCGTAATGAGCGTTTCGTTCCAATCCGTCCAATAATATCCTGTACCCTATAAATAACCCCTCCCAACAAGAAGTTCGAATAACAACTTCTTAAGAAAAGAAGAAAAAAAAAGCATTATGTTCACCCTTCCTATCCATTTCTAACAGTGTTCCGTACATCAAACAATTTTCTCCGCTCAAGGAACTACACAGCCATCGATTCCACAGCCATGAACCTTTACTTCGACGGTGTCCCTACCGGAGGGATGGCTGGGACTGCCCTTGTTGATGCATTCGCGGGGTACGATTGAAACGATTTTGCCACAGATTGTGCAGCTCGTCTGGATCCAGGAGCACATGATTGGTGTTTCTGAAAAGCTTGTCGATCCAGTGCAGTTTGGCTTCCTTGAATTGATTTAGAGATGTTAATCGGATGAAATGTATTTCTGAGGAGTTTTGAGGAGTTTGATGAATTTGGTAGATATTTCACTTTCGGAATTTTGCAGCATTTTTATACCATTTTCATGTTCTTTGAGGGTACTGACTCGCGTGTGCTTGGGATATTTTGGTTGAAGTTGTCTTTGTTGTGTGAGGCTATGTGAGAATCGGGATAGGCGTATGTCGGGATCAAAATCCTAGGATCAGAAGGGCAAAGCCAAACATGGCAGCTATTTCTTCATTCTCTTTGTTGATGATGAGCGAGTCACCTCAAGTACCCTGAGCGAAACTTGGGATGTGGGTATATTTAGTATGCTGAGCGATGTTTCCTTGTTGTTGAACCCACAACACGAAGAAGTATGCCTGGATTGACAGCTGTCGAGAACACTTCCTTTGTGCCATTTATAAGTTGAAGTCATAGTTAGAGTGACGGCTCATGATAAGGACATTCTATTTGAAAACTGCCTTGACGGGACATAGGTTGCGCTGAGTATGATGAAACATCAAGGAGAGATACCAGGACTGATTTCATTGTTATCAGACGAGAAATCAAACCCTTATCAAAGAAACGAGTATATGCAGGTGTCTTTTTCGGTCTCGCAACCTTGGTATGATTCGTCGGTTGTGGCAGAGCTCGCTTCAGTGGCAGTGTACATTTAGCCGAGCATACTGCAGTGCAGTCACACTGTAGCGATTTGAGTGGGCACAACTGCAGTACCAGGTTAGCAAGGTTGAGGACTATAAAGAGAGTGTACAACGATTGGGTGCTCGTGACTTTGGTATGTTTCCTCTTCTATGGCACAGCTCGCTTCAGTGGCAGTCTACTTTTAGCTAGGCATCCTGCAGCGCAGTCACACTGTGATGATCCTAGGGACGCAATACAGTACCAAGTTAGCAAGGGTAAGGACTACAGTACAAAGAGAATTCGCAACGATTGGGTCCTCGTGGCTATGTTTTTTCGCCAGTGGCACGGCTCGCTTTAGTAGCAGTCTACTTTTAACCAGGCATACTACAGCGGAGCCTGCGGAGAAGTGATCCGAGTGGGACACAAACGCAGTGCCGAGTCAGCAAGGCTATGGTTACAAGCAAGTTTCGCAGCGATTGAGTCTTCAGGGCGTGGTTACAGTGATCTTACATGACTAATTCAAGTTTATGTGATGAGGCTAGACCAACCTCCACTCAGGCATCATATATATTAGAGGAATCGCAATTGCCACGATCCTTTCTCCATCTCCTCAGCATCCTCCTTCGCCAAGCCTTCGATTTACATCGAGCTCGCTTGCCCTCTCCAATACCCCACTCTAATGCCTATGTCATAGCATTGATGATGAAGATATGGGCAGCGACGATCCCTACAGCAACAGATTCGGTTGCAATAGTCATCCCTAATACCTTCGCGTTCATTTTGATGATTCGAATCCACGAAGCACGAGAAAATGTTCGCCAGACGTGCAGCCATGACATGAAGCCGATGTCCTCCACAGTCTGCGATCGGATCGAAGAGTCGAGTTGGACCATGGTGGTGACATCCTCTGCGAGCACTGTAGCAAAGAGAATTAGCATTTATGGAACACGAATAGGCCAAGAGGGCAGATTTTTTTTTGAGGTGGGAAAGTAATAATCGGAAGACGAAAGGTTCTTACTGGTGGCACGTGTTCGAACCAACACAACTTCCACGGGAATCAACAGACAAGCATTGAGCGTAAAATAAGTGATACAAAACATGGATATCACCATGATGCTTCCACCTTTCTCAAATGTTGGTATAACTCCCACGGGATCCACATTTCCGGTTCTCTCGCCGAAGATGAGAAGCGAAATAGTATGGACGACCTGAGTGAGGACAGCCCTGGCAGTCAGGGGTATGGCAGTTGCTTTGAAGATAGTGAAATGACTGGGCAACTTTCTGAACATATCGCCGTCGCGCTGAGAAGTGAGCACAGCGTGGGTCCAGGCTGTTTCGATTTTGGTTGTGGCGAAAGAAGCGATGATCATTGCAGGGAGTACCTGCATATATGGAATTCCCGATATAAACATGATGGCCAAAAGCCAGATAGAGTTGTGTGCGAAGTGCCATCTATATGCTTTCAACATACCGTTGGCTGATGAGCGAATCAAGCGGATTGTAGCGAAGAGGGATGAAGTGATTGGCTTTGAGGGAGTTGAAGGGAGGCCAGCAGTCTCGTCCGGCATGAGTTGCGAAGAAGATGAAGATGACTCGCTGACGGTGTCTGCGATTGTAACATCTTTCGAAGAGCTACCCGCAGTGACCTTTTCCACCTCCGGGCCGTTGGCTTCTTTGACAGCAACGAGTTCATATTCGGGAGGGCTATCAGCTTCGACGATAGCTAGGGTAGAAACAAGCTTGTCGAGAGTATAGACGATCTGTGAACTGTTAGTTACCGAGCTCAGGAATTGACATCCCGTACAAATACGGTAAAGAAGAAGAGGATGCTCACGAAGAAAAAGGCCGGTATCAAGACACAGATGATCAAAAGCCATAGAATTATTGCTCCAGCCATCCCAATCGCAGACGGTTCGTTTCTCTTCGTTATCCCACTCCACGGGATGTTCGAACCCAGTGTGGTGTCTCTTGCTGCGATCAAAGAGTGGAGACCACGTGCAAGGAAAAGAGAAGCCATGTTGAAAAGCCTCAAGCCAAAAACTTGGGCGAAGACTCGGAGTTCAGACAAGTCCAAGAATCGATCCAAGAGAACAAGAAAAAGTGTGGTGGTATGGGATGACTCGGAATATGAGGAGCATCGCGGGCAGGCGCAGTGGATGTTGGTCTGTTGGCTGGCAGCTTGGCGTTCCTATCTGTGCCTAGTTGTGCCGCAACAGCCCCATTTACAGGGTCTGATGCATATAATTCCAGGGGTCTCAGGGCACAAGCGCGCCTAACACGACAGGGGAGTGGATCGCTGAAAAGCGAATCCTTTGAGGCGTATGGCTGAGTTTCGAAACTGATCTGCATCGATAAGGCAATTTCCTCGAAATAGGTGGATTCGAGGGTTTGTACCTGCGATGTAACCACATGTTACATATGAGGTGGACTCGAGAAGAAAAGGGATTGAGAAAAAGCGCATGAAAGTGATAAGAAGCGGAAGCGTAGAATATCGGAGATCATTTTGGACCCCTAATTGTGGAGCTTCAAAGATACCGAGGAGGTAAGCATTTGGAAAAGCTTCTTCAAGCCGCCGAAGCATTGGCAACATCTTATTGCCTGATGTTTACCTTACAACCTCTTACCGAGTCTAAAGTTCCAACTGTCCGACATCCTCCAGAATATTTTGTACATTCTCTCCTCCCACTTGTATAACCCCTCCATCCCTCACACTCCCCACGACAAAGAAATCCCTCACGATAGCCGACCCATCTTTGACTCCAGCATACTGCTCAGGCGTACATGTCTCCGGATTCAAGATATAGCATTTCGGCTCTGGAGCTGTGGGCACTGCGTTCTTGATGTGGAACGTTGATGAGGGACCAATAGTTGTCAAATCGTCTGAAACAGGAAGGATACCGGTAGCAATGTCTTTGTTGAACATGGCGCGCATGAAAATATTGTAGGAAACTTCGGGTTGATACCACGGCACTGAAGTATTTCGATCAGCTCTCGTATGACAAGTCTAGCACTTAGAAGGGAGAGAGAACATACCTTCATGACCCGCCTGGAAAACCCTCGAAAACGAAAAGTTCCCATACTGCCTCACAAACCCACCAACTCCCTCAGATCCCAAGATCGGCGCATATCCCGCATTCTTGAACTCTTTGATTCCAGAGTACTGGATAGCGAGCGAAGCAGTTTCTCCGCCCAGCCAATTACAGGCATAATCGCGATCGCCGTAGACCATATGGACTTTGACACCACTTTCGAGGAGGTAGGAAACTGCTTCCTTTGAGCCGCCACGCTCCCAGTCATGTGTTCCCAAGAAGGCAAAGTAGACTGCTGGGGAGGCTGAGGAGAAGTTTACTGGGACACCGAGGGCTTCGAGGACCCAGGGTTGGGTGAGGTAGCCGAGCATGTCTTGTCGATTGTCAGTTGAGATATAATGATACTGAAGGGGTATGAGACTTACATGGCTCTGGAGTAGGATCTGCGTGAGGATGGGCGATATCGTACCAACCCCACTACAACTGAATCAGCACATGTGTTTCTCTGGCAGCGTGATTGAACTCACAGTGATGTCCTTCGCAACATCCATGATGGTGGCACAATCCTGTGCCACCTCATCGAAACACTTCACTACCGAAGGCACATTGCCTCTCCAGTCTGGATCGGTTTCAACTGCGAGTTTCTGACACCTCAATGTCCTCTCTCTGCAGCCTCCGGGTCTGAACCAACCGCGCATACCCTCTTCATACGTCGTCTTATTGATCAGCTCGAGACCATACGTCTACCTCAAGTCAGCAATCAACATGTCAAGAGTCTACCAGACAACAAACATTATTGTACGCCATCTCAAAATATGCAGGCAACTGCTCGATAGTATCCAACAACCCATTCACAATCCCCAATGTATCAAGGTGCAGATGATGCGTGCCCTTCTCTTTAATCGTCCCATTCGTAATCTTCTCATTCTGTTCTTGGAAGAACTTGAAGAATCCAGGCCCGTAATGCCCGCCATAACTCTCTGTCCACAGACTAATCCTGTCATCATGTGGTTTGTAAGCAGGGAATTCCGTGAACCACGTCTGCGCAAAATGCCACAGCGCATGAGCAGCATGAGTCGTGGAATTTGCTGTTTTGGTAAGTGATTGACTTCCCATGGTACCCGTGAAGAAGGTGTTGTTTTGCCTGGGAATTTCGCCATCAGTGAAATTGACAGCGTGGATGACTTGGTCTTCTGATTCGGCGGCGAGGTTGACGGTCACGTTTGTAGGGACATCGTAGGAAAATCCAACTTGGGCTGGTTGGTCGAGATACAGCATGTTGACTTCGTTGTTCCAGGACCAGGGATTCAGAATCGTGGAATTGGAGTCGGGACCGATGAAGCAGGGTCCGTTCTCTTGGAGAAGGCCCATCAGAGATGAACCTCCAGGACCACCGTTCAGCCAGATTGAGAGAGGGGCATTATGGGGATCTTTCCGGGCTTCGAAGAACCAGAAGAATCTAAAATGTTACGTCAGATCCTGAATATGGAAAATGAAGAGGAAATCTACGTGTTAATTGGATAATCTTGGGATTCTCCATTGATGTCTGACAGCAGCCCGGGTGGAAGATGGACATAACCGCTGTAGCTTTTCACACCTGGTGTTGTCTCGCATAAGCCTGGCTATCTCTGTGTCAATTGAATCCTGATCGGGGCAAATAACAGAATCATACCTTCTTATACGATATTGTCACCCCTTCGTGGTATTTCGACTTCAACGTCTTCACATCCTTCAGCGGTGGCGGGAAATTCGCTAGTACGACTGGCACAGCCAGTAACGCTACAATTGGAACCAACATATCGTTAACAGATAGAACTCACGCCCAAAAATGATGCTAAAAGATGTTTTGTCGACGTTGGTTCAAGCTTCATTAACAATTCCACATTCTTCAGGTGCCTGGACCTAGCATTCCGGGCTAGCCTGCTTATAGCAGGTGTTGGTGATGATTTAAGCCTCTGATCGTTTCAGCACGAATCAACAAATGATAGTTCAGGGTATGCATGCAGCTACTCGTCATCCTGTCAGCATGTAGAAGAGGCGAGTGGATTAAAGTCCACTGGGGAAGCTTCTACCCCACTCTTGGGATCCCCGCCATGACCATCACCAATGATTTTCAGGCAACCTAGGTTGAATGGACATACTGTGATAGTTGACAAAGTCAGATTTTCGATTTCTTTGAAGCATGAAGAAGAGTCGAGGAGGAAAATCAGGGCAATTTACCTTCCAATTTGGTGCACTTTTTACCAATGTAGACCGTCGAGCAGCCTGTATTAACTAGGTACGATCGTATGAAGACCTTGCGCAAGAGAAGACAGTTTCAAATATGATGTCTTTTAGCTTTCTTCTACTTAGAAAAGAAGTGATTGCTAGAACAATATTTATTTCACGCTTTGCTTCGGTCCACTAACGTTATTCGCTGATCCTACTCGGCCTCATCTCGATCTTCCTCCTCCATCGCAGCCAAAAGAAAGCCCAAACTAGAACTAATAACCTTCGGCTCCGACATCTCAAACCCCACCATCTCATCACCACTCCTAATAAACCTCCTCCTCGACTTCCTCACAATACCATTACCAATTGGAGACGAGTAACTCGCATACGTGAGCCCTCCATACTGTCCACACCCCACACTCGTCTTTCCCGCAATCGTTACACACGGCGTATCTTTTCCATCCCCAGCCCCATCCCTATCCTCGCTCTTAAAACTTCCCCCATCAACATAGTAATTCCATTTGTCCACCAGATCTCCGGTCTTCCTATCCCAGAGTAGTTGGACTGAGCTGCACTCGACTTCATGCCAGTATTTTACTGCGTCGTAGAGGAAGCCCATTGTGATACCGTTGGGACGGTGGATGGTAGTGCGGAATTCGAGGGTGGAGTTGCCACGTCTGCTGAGCTGTTGGACGATCTCTAGGGTGTATATGGGTGGTTGGCAAAAGAAGAGCTGCCGCAACTGTTGGGGGTGAGGAGGGGTCTCGGTGTAGTCTGAGAGACGGAGTTCGATGGTTGTTCGACCTCGGCGATCCTTCTCGATGCGTTCTCTGGGATGATGTCTCTTCACAAGGGAGGCCTTAGATGAAGCAGCTTTGCTTGATCCTCCTTTATCTTCATCAGATTCCTCTTCGCTCGTATCTTCGTTGGCAAAGTTCTCCTCATCGGCTTCGTCCTCATATTTTGAAGCCTCGCCGCTCAACCAAAACTCAGCCCATCTACCCATCACCAAATCCGAATACCTCTCCGCATACTCCGCCGATCCTTTCGGTCTCGGACTCATAAACCTCGCAGCTTGGATCTCCACATTCTCGAAAAGACTAGCCCATGTTCTATTGACCAATTTGGCTTTGAGCAATGATGAGTGAGGAAGCTGAGATAGAATGATGATGAGAAGATCTGGAGTCGAGAGAACTTTTTCCTGAGCGCCTGAAGCGGATGCTGGATTAGGATTGATGGGGTCTGAAGCCCCGGTATATGGCTGGGATAGAAAGTTTGGGTATTTGAGAGAGTGGTAGTTTGAACGGTGAAGGCCAGCGAGTTGCCTTCGGGGAGCAACGCCGCCTGTGGATTTGCGAGCTGTTTGTTTTGTTCGGGCCATGGTAGGGCATGGATGATATGAGCTAGAGGATTGGGTAGAAATTTCGACGATTCATGGGAGGATGGAAGGGAGAAACATAGAGTTAGGGATTTGCTTATGAGAAGTCTAGCTGTGCCGTTCGCTTACGAGCCAGGTGGGGGTGGTTGCCAAGCTGTGTCTGCCTAGACTCGGCAAATGTTTACACGAAGAAAATATAGAAGAACTTATCACGATTTTGGTTGCTAAAACAAGGGCGCTCAATGTCAGAGAAGGGTCCGAAGAAGATGACATTCAGTCTCGAAAGAATTTAAACTATCAAAAGGCATGAAAGCGGGAACTGATAGGGAGACTAATTCCTTACAGCTCTGGAACCTACTAAACCAAACTCAGCCCATCTGGCAGTGCACGAGCTGAAACCCTTCTTCAAATGCTCATCCATACCTAGTCTCGCCAATGTAGATATGAGATGCTTGAAAGGAACAATGATAGAAGCACGACTACAGCAAGCCGGCCTCGAAACTAGAGGCAAAAGACAACAAGAAAACTGCCCGACATGAATAAAACCAGCCAAATTCAACACCCTTCCACACAGTATCAACCTCACATGACGCTCTTGAAGATCTCATGGCCTTCCTCCAACTTCCTAATCTGTTCCTCGAGATGCTCGCGGTGATGCTTTGAAGCAGCTGGCTCAGAGGCAAGAGCTTCAATTTGAGCGGGCTCAAGGCTGCTGACAACGACGGGTGAGAAGATCAATTCGAGGCCTCGGACAATGTGGCGCTCAATGACTTGAGTGGTGACGTTAGCGATGAATGTCTTTTGCATGACCTGTGCGTTGTTAGAACATCTATCGAAGTATTTGGGGTAAGTGTAACAAAGGATGGCCATTGGCAGGAAGGTTTAGGAGAATGAGCTACCTTGTAGATTGCGAACAAAGAATCCAATGCTTCTTCGCAGCTGAATCTATTCATGTTGGGATCAATCTTCTTGGTGTAATTTCGAATCGCCTGTGACACATCGATATTTGTCACATTGTTGTGGTGTCTGTCCGTACCGGCAGATGTAGCAGCGTTGACGCTCTGCTCGAAAAGCGCCGTCTCCCTCTGCTGCCGGCGCTTTGCAATGCTATCAGTGTAATAATGGTTGTAATTGATCGGATAGTTCCGCAAATCATCAACCAGCTTCTGCAGCTCCTCGTTGGCCCTGCGATTACGGACTTTTAGTTCCTCCTCAATCTTAAAAGACCAAATTCTGGACTCGACATCTCTGGGAAAATTGTCTCGCAAGAGTTGCTTCAGGAAACGACTGCAAAGTTTTGCTACAGACTCGACGTGTGCAAGCGCAAGTTTGTTCCAAGCTGAGGATTGCTCCCAGAAAAGCTCGCCGATGAGCAGGGGGTTGTAGCTACCGATAAGTTCCCTGCCCCGAGTTCTGTTCATGGCTTTGTCGACCCAGTCAAGAGCTTCCTTCTTCGACAATTTGCGGGGACCAGAAGGTTTTGAATTTGTTGGAGGAGTAGGATGAGTATCGTCATCGAGTTCCTCCTCTCCGGCATCGTCGGACATGTTGACTTGGAATTTGTGACCCTTCAAACGCATTGTCTCTGCGAAAGTCATGTTCAACGATTGGACGACGGCTCTGGTTCTGGCAACTGTGGAAGCAGATTCGAGAGAAAATGTGGGATCGATGTTGTTCTGGAAATACCCACCTTCATAATGCCCATGAACAGCCGCCTTGCAGATTTCGTGAAAATTCAGACTGCTTTGGGACAGGTATACCATGCACTCGGTGGCAGTCGAGCGACGAGTGCCCATTTGGGCGAGATCATTCTTGGTGGTCTGCAGCTGCTCTTCAAGATCCTCGCGAAGTTGCGGGAGTTCTCGCTTGATATGCTCGAAGAGAAGTAGACTCAGACGACGTCTCAACGCCTCGATTCCAACTGTGTCCTTAGGCAATTGCTTGAAGTTCGACTTGCGGAAGAAAGCCTGTTCAGACAAGTTGCGTTCGGCGATGGAGAAGCTAGTCTCCTCGAACTTTCGGTTCTTCAGAACATGCCATCCCAGCTTGAAGAAAATGTCCTCATTCTGTGCAAGACCAATGTATGCAAGCTCAGAGCCTGAGCCAGGCGCGAGTCCATCGGGCTTGGCAATGATACCAAGAGTACGATCTCCATTTGGATCAACATCTCTGACCTTATCGAGGATCTTCTGGTTTGCGTAATCGTTGGTCGCAGACACCACAGCAAGGCAGATGGTTCGGGGCTGCGCAATGTAATAGTCTGTGATCTCTGTAACCATGTCGACGTCGGCTTTGGTGACTCCCTTAGTAGATGTTGCAATGAGACCAGGGATGTCAACAAGCGTAAGCTGTGGCCGCTTGGGTCCACTAATTTCGATGCTGAGAACATCTCGTGCGAAAGCTCGCGGTTGGGAATCCCATTCACCCCCCTTGGAGATACCCATGACAGCCATGGCCAGATCAACGATTCGAGGAAGCTGGCTGAAATCAGTGATGGACTCCTCGAACTTCTTGATCGCTTCCTTCTCAAGAGCTGGTCGCGAGTTATCGGGGTTGACCTTGATGGTGAGCGACTCGGTATTGGCACGTCGAAGACTGATCTCTGTGGCAAAGCGAGTACACAGGTTATCATTTCGAGGGAAGGGAATTTCGGTCAAAGCCTCGAGTACTGAACTCTTGCCTGCCGATTGATCGCCGCAAACAACAAGCTGGGGTAAGGACAAGTTGCCATCGAGACCACACTTTCGGACTTGCACAACCTGATCCAAGATATCAGCAATCACTTCAAGGATGGTATGTATCATTAGCTCCTCACCATATCAAGGATGCGTCTCTGCTCATCAGTTTGCAGATTTTCCAATGAAGAGGTATTGCTAATACCTCCATCTTCCGTACTCATCTCAACGTCTTGGCCGTCAGGGGTCATGACTTCTGCGGGAGTTGCACTTTCTGACATTTTGCAGATTTTTGATTCTTGTTGGCCAGAAAGTGGAAAGCTAAGTGATGCACTCAACTGTTTGTGGCAGATTGAAGAAGTTCGCAGGCAGTGTTCCTTTGCGATGAGAAGAGAGCTGTCAAGTTGAGGGCTGTGGAGACTTTATATGGCTTTCAGGGAGGAGCAGTTCGCTGAAACCCCAGCGATATTGGTTGCCCAGCTGAGAGATGAAGAACACCTGTGCCTGTGCCTGTGCATGTGCCTGTGGCTAAGGCTAGAAAGTTCTGGCAAGCCTAAAGAAGGGCCACCAAGGAGGCCCTCGAGGCATACCAGACAAGGTTTCTGCAAGAAATATGAGTATACACTAGGCTCACTAGCCAATTATTCCAAAATATTCTTTTGAGGGGATCTAAGCCTGACTGCATTGGTGTCAATTCACATCAGTACTGCGACGGCTTCCCGCAGAATTGTGTCCTGACTTCTCATAAAGTGTGATTTCTTTGATACCAACGGGGTTTCTTGTAGGGGTTCTGTTTGCAAGACAGGCACTCACCTCGCCACATCGCATGATGATTTCCTCTCATCTTCTCACCGACAGACAGCCAGGTTCATGAAAGAAAGAAAAATAATGCAATTGGGTATCTTTCCCTTGTAACATCATGTAAAATTCCAAGAAGGAAAATAATACGAAGAAACAACGGTCTCAAATTTGGCCGGACAAGCAGGCGAAGTCGGCCAAAATCCGACCTTCAAAGCCTCAACTGACACTCGCATATGAAAACATGACCAACGCCCAAGGCTGACTTCAGCACACGTCTTGGTGACTCAGAAATCACCTAGGGACTTCCCGCCTTCCCGTCAATTCTTTCTTCATTCGTATATTTGTTTGATTTTCCGTATGATAGATCCCATCAGATCCGATCCAAAGCCATCTAGTCTCGTCTCACCTCAATTTTCCCGGGTACCGGCATATGATGCTGTAATTCAGACTCACGTCCTTCTTATTTATCGTAGATACATTACCGGGTCGTTGCACATACAGCACTTGTGCGGGCCCCTCAAGTCTGTTTCCACAGCCCACGCGGGAGGCTCTGTTTGTTGGTGACATGGACGCACTCGTCAGCTGAAGAGCTGGCGTTGCGACGCAATGCAAATGGAATATCCAATAAGTAGCTGATATTCGGTGAGAGGGTTCTTGATTTAGTCGTTGTTGGTGTTGGATATCTAGTCTTGTCTAGGACAGTATAGCATCCATAAATAAGGTAGGTAGGGGACGGAGAGGGAAGGAAGGAATGGTGGAGGTTAAGTGAGCGCCTGAAATTCGCTTCTGCAGGTACGAAGGTACACTACAACGCGCTCGGTAGGCGAACCTACCTTAGCCCGGCGCTACCTGTCGCTTTGGTTAGGTAGCTGAGGTCCTCTCTATCTCTTTGTTTACATTTACAAGTCAAAATATTCCGACAGTTCAACCACAATCGACGCAACTTCGATCCAGTCTGATTTTCTTGCACCGTGAGATGCCTCAGTCCAGTAGAATCCACACTCATATCCTCCCCCCTCATTCCAAAATCCCATCCATCCATCGCGCGCGGCAGGCGCGCCTACTATCTATCCCCCTTCATATCCATAAGCCACGGATCGGATGCAGCACAGAGAGGGAGGGACATGTAGAATCATGAACCGTACGCCACAGATTTAAACGCCATCATCCCAGGCGCATGTCGAACCAGAACAACGATTACTTCTAACCCTCGTGTCCCGCGGCTTGCCTCCTCACAACAAACTACCTACCTTAAAACTGTACGCTACGCCCCTCCCTCTTCAAAGGAGGGCAAATAATGGATGTATGTTGGTAAGTCTGCTGCTACGTCGTTGGTTGGTATTTGGCGTTGAGAGCAGAGCAGAATTCAAACCTACGTATTGCAGGATTTGAAATAGTATTCTTATATATTGGTGAAGTAAAGGAGTCCAGTGTCTTTAGGGCGATGATTGAGGGAGGGTCTGTTCTTGAAGATGAACGACGGGAGGGAGAGGAATGTTTTGTACCCACCCACCTTATTTGTGGCTTATCACGTGTTGTACCGCTCGATCAACTCGGAGGTTACCTTAACGGAGCGAAATAGGTTAGCCCTTTTTGTAACTGTGTAAGAGGAGGTGGGAACTTTAGATGTGGAATTGAGGATATCAAGAAAGACGATGATGGTGATGATGAAATGGGTATGGAAGTGTCATTTCAATGATATATTGTTAGTCCTTCTGTCTACCTCCCTTTGCCCTGCCCCTCTACCTCCCCTTCCCCTCTCCCTCTTCCCCTTCCTCTTCCCACCCCTCTCAACTCCACCCAACTCAACCCAACGCAACTCCTCTCTTCCTCTTATTCCAACTCATCCACACCCATCCACACCCACCCACGCCCACCTATTCATTCTATCTGCAAGGAAGAAAGACACAAGAAAAGCAAAGCAAAGCGCCGCAAAGCAGTAAAAAGACTCTTCTTGACTAGACGTACAAGGTATAAAGACTGACTGACTGACTGGCTGGCTGTGATAGGTACGAAAGCAGTAGGTGGGGGTGCCAAGAAGAAAGAAATCTGTCTGTCTCTGTCTCTGTCTCTTTCTCTGTCTCTGTCTCTGTCTCTGTCTCTGTGTCTATATATCATCCCAACCTCCTTCTCATTTCTTCGCTCTTTCCATCCTCTCGCATCGCATCGTGTCATCCAATTCATCAAACCCGATCCAATTCGATCCAAGTGAAGTCAAGCGAACATAGTCAATACTCTCATTCTATACCCAATTACACCGAGCACCAAGCACCAAGCCAATCCCAAGCAGTATAATCACAAATCAAAATCAAAACCTAAATCCCATTCCCTTCCTCCCTCCCTCCCTAACCGCCTCAGCAACAACCACAGCACATCACCTCTTCCCAATCCAACTCCTCCCTTTCCCCTCCCTCAAACTATCCACAATCCTACAAGTCCCATGACTCTGACAGACCTTACTCCTCCCCAGATTCTTCCACCTAGGCCCAAACGGTCCATTCACATAATGATACTGTCCCACAAACCGCCACTGCCTCCTATCCCCCAAAGCATAGAACTTATCACCCCAGTGACCACTGAACCACCACCATCCCATGGGCGCGTCGGGAGTGTTGGATGCGGGCTGCAGCGCGGAACGCATGTGTGAGAGGGGGAGGTTGGTGGTACGGAGGCGGGCGTCGAGGGAGGGCTTGAGAGTGTTGGGGTCGGTGGGGGAGAGGGGGTCGATGTCGGTGTAGTTTGTGAGGGGAGTGGATGGGTCGGAGGGAGATGGATCAGAGGGAGAAGGGGAAGGGAAGGATTTGGCGTCGGCGCCGTGAGTGATGGATGTGTTGTAATGATACGCGAGGTAATTCTGCGCTGGGTCCCAGAGAGGTCCGCGGTCTGTGACGTCGGCTAGGAGGCCGAAGGGTAGGATATAAGGATGGCTTCCTGGCTGGGCGTACATTGCGTGACTGCCTAATGCACTGTACAGAACCGGTCGCCCTTCTCTACCCTTTCCTTTGCCTTTCTCGACTGCAGAGTATGAATATGCCAGACCACCGGAATGAGCCGAGAAGAACACTGCCTTCGGAACGCCATTGTGAAAGCGAATGAGAGAGTGTTCCCAATCGCCGATGTGATTCCCAAAGCGGATGTTAAGAACTGTGGTTCCGAGGTTGTAGGAATAGAAGTAGAACCAGTAAGCATCGAGGATACCGGATCCTTTGTCAACAAGGACAAGGATGGCTGGTGCAGGGGAATAGCCGCCTGGTTTTTGCAGAGCAGGAGATCGGGCTCGAAGGGCGTCGCGGTAGGTTTCCTTGGTTTGTTTCTTAGGAGGGACAGACTGGTAGGTTGGTGTGATGGGTGCGGCGACTTTATGCTTGGGACCGTACGGGTCGAACCATGTTTCGAGATCTTCTTCTGAGGGAATAGCACCAGAGGATATTTCTTCCAGAAGAGGTTCTTCCACCTCATCGGAGTCTTCGGGGTCTTCCTCCTCATCATCGTAGGGTATTGGTTTATTGTATGCGCTTCCTAACCAATCTGGCCGCTCCTCTACGTCTTCTTTACTGTGCAAGAAGACGAATGCTCCTTTCCTTCCTTCATTCAACTGGTGGAGGTTGTCGACTGTAGGACGAAATCCAGTGATGTTGAGTTCTGTCAGGTTGGAATATGGCATTACATGTCTGAGATGTTCCCTGATATCTGACGGCCAGAACTGCTCTCCAGAGTAGAGATGTACCAGCGGCGCATGATCCAGTACGTATTGCGGTACTTCTTTCAGAACCCTCGTATCTCCATCCCAATCACCCGGCCGTAACCTCTCTCCGTCACCCGGTATCGTCTCCCACAAATCACGGTCGTCGTCCTCTCCATCCTGCCCCTCCTCCTCCTTCAACACACTCTGCACATCCCTCCCATGCCTCTTCTTGTCCCTCCTTCTATTCCACGGCCGAACCGCAGGATCCGGATGCCAGTGCGCAAGACCACAGAGACCTATCCACCGACACGCCTGTCTGTCTAACCAGTTCTTCGAAGTCGAGATCCAGAAGGCATCTTCTCGTAGCTCGTCGGGTGCGTGTTCGTTTGGATCGAGGTGTTTGTGGAGGGCGGTGAGACCGAACCATGAGAGGATTATGAAAAGGACGGCTAGGCCACCACGACGGAGGTTCTTCATCGATTCGGTATTGATTTGGTTCTCCGCAGATATGTCCTCCCTCACTCCTCGTATATAGTCAAGACCGACCCGTCCGTGTTTGTTGTGTCTGTCCTGTAGCTTCTCTTTACTCCTTATATTTCTATGTTGTTTCCTGCCTCCTCTTCAACCCTCTGCGTCCCAGTGTCAAGGTTGTATATTCCTCTTTGAAGATGTAGGAAGCATGCTCATCGACGCCGGCGGAGAGTTGTATTCGGTATTGTATGTGTCGTCAAGGAGCAGATCTAATCCAGCTCGAACCAGGAATATCCCAAATGCGATTCCCAGTCACAACCAATATTCACACACCGTCCAGCGAACGTGGCATCGACACAGTCGATTTGAGAGTATAGAACGATCCAACCAACCAACAAATGGCAAGGCAGCAAATAGCAACTCGACGGGGAAATCCAGGTTGGAAAGCGCAAAAGGTGGAGGAAAGGGTAGCCCGGCTACAAGTAATCTATGACATGGCTGACTATCCTGTTGTCATGTCTCTCGCAGAGAGGATATAAGTAATGCTGACGCTGATAAATCCGAGTCAAGCGGTGGTCGTCGACTCAAGGCACAGAGAGCTGTGGTACGAACAGGTCGCGAGCCCCGGATGTTCCGGTGTAGGAGCGAATCCCTACCTAGGTACCTGTAAGCGGCATAGTCAGGGTCTTTGAACCAATTGTGAGGCTGTCTGATGGTGATAGTTGGTCGTGATACGCTGTCATAGGTGACCTTGTCCGCGAGTGCCGGGGTAGGGAAAGGGCTGGTTCTGGTTTGGAGGGATCGGAGGCCACAGGCGTCATTGGAAACGTGGTGGTGTTTCCAGCATCCCCGCTTGTCCTGTGGCGGGGGCTTGTTTACTTGTATCACTAGCACAGTCGTATCACGGGCATATCTGATGTTTTCTTTTGTTATGTTTTACTTTCACTTTTGGGCTTCAAAGAACACATCTCTTGGGATACATTGTTCGTCTCTTAATCTACTTGACTTGAGCATCGCATCATGTTTTCATATGCAGAAAGTCCTCTCTTCCACCGACCACGGATCAAAAAGCCGGTGTGCTTACTTTGCCCAGCTGCAGCTGCAGCTGCATGCATCCAGGATTCCAGGTCCTGACCTCATGCAGGGAAGTGCCGATAGGCGGTCTTGGCAGCTTGTCAGGCTCTTATCAGTACGCTAATCCTCAGCCGCTTGTTCCCAAAGTGGAGTCAACCCTGTATTTTAGCTGGTCTGAAAGATACTGTAAGAGTGGTATATTGCAGAACGCGCCGAAGTTCCCGAACCAATCCTCTCAGCCTTTCAAGGAAACACAATGAACTTTCCACCGGAAAGTTTGGTGATACATGTGTTTATACTTGGTAGTTGAACGGCAGATACACGGCATATTCTGGAAGGAAGGATTTCAATTGTGCATCCATCCCATCTTTTACATCAAATATTTCGTATATCTCGTAGGTAAGCTGATCCCGTCATGCACAAGTCGGTGAGCGAGACGCCACTATGAAGTCGAAGGTCTCGACTGGACCCTTCAACATCCAAATCCAGAAAGCCGATTCCATTTGGCTAAGACGGCTCCGCTATCTACTTCAGTCAGCCTCTTTGTCTAGGTAGGTATCTTGTGACTGGACTTTGCATGTGTTGCTTCAATCATGCGGCCGCTTCTTGCTGATTGATCGTTGGGATCAAAGGTGCTCCTTTACACACCTGCTTTTGTAAACCAACTACAACTACGAACTTCTCTGCGGAACTTAAATCCTAGGTAGAGGGAAGAAACAGGATAATGTCACACGACCAGACCTATACCTTCCCAATTGAGTTGCATCTTTCGAAAGGCTCAGAAGGGAAAGGTACGAGAAGTGCAGCCTGATACGGGCAGGCGATGCGGGGTCACAGCGCGGGGTGGATCTTTAAGAGAGGGGTTTATGAAGGGATTCGGAGAAGCAAGGTTTCCGAGCCGAAGAAGCAGGAGTCTTTCTTCAATCAAGTTTCTGTTCTATTGTTCCTTCTGTTTATTTGTGACAATATTTTCTTGCTGCAGTCCATTATTCGGGTTTGAAAAAAGCAATAAAGTAGTGAATTATGAGGATAAGGTGATATAAACTTCCGTTGCTTTGATCATCGTTTCGAGGGAGAGTGTCTCTCCGGTATTAGGAATCTTTCCAAATTGTTAATTTCGGCATAGTATATAATATCCTGTTCAAGCAAAACTTCTTGAAACAAAGAGGATAACGCAAAAGAGATGCAAAAGTCATCGGTTTCTTGACTCATGGTTTTTACAGAATCTCTCGTATTACTTGAAACTTGGATCTATTCCATACGCATTTCTCTACGCATGATTTCTTTCCTCTACCTTCTTCTTGCATGACAAATCCTTTGACCGCGCATCACTAGCAATAGTCAGCAATCTATCAACAGCCACTGATTAATCGACAGCGAGCCCTATCGCTGACAGTAATCATAGCCCTAGCAATACGCTCACCCTATCTCTCGAGAAAATCTATGTTTACACTCACCTATTCTATCCCTACCCACTCCGATCAATCTTTCAATACCCTACTACCTCATACCCACATATCATCGACATCAACATGAGAAGTTTCTCAAAATCACCACGATGCACTTCTAATGCATATCCATGAGCTCTAAGAATATCATGGACTGGTTGGAGGACGTGGGATCCAGTGGTTTGATGGGTATGTGCGTTCAATGAGTTCGTGCCGCGCTATTGACTCTTTGAAATTCAATCAGTTAGCACTGCCGACAGCAATATTCAGAAGTGAATGAAGCCCCAGCCCGTCTTCAGAGTCACTAACGACCTGTGATTACACAATTCATTACCAGCACGTATGCCAATCATATTTTTGGTGGCCTGAGAGAGATTTTTAGGTACATAACTACAATATTGCACATCGCAGCTCTCTGTCCTCGGAGTTCAGGAGAGAAAAAATTGGACGTATGGTGTGTTCGGAGGTAGTGAGACTTCTTCTGGAAACTTATGGCGGTTTGTAGAGAGTGAATTTGATGTTCACGTTATTTTCCATCCGTCCGGAATTTTCACTTACTGCTGATTGGATTTCGTTCAGTCCTCTAGTGTATATTATTGTGAGATATATGGGGGGTTGACAATAGCCAAAGGATCGACAGCACCTTATTCTCTTGAATCTCTTCAAAATAATACAAGCTTTCTCCAGTTCAAACCTCCCTAAGCTATACTTACTCCAGTCCCACAGTGTTTAGTTCTTCCAGGACTGCTGTCTAAGGTCATCTCAGCCGGCTTCTTGATTATTCTCCGCGCGCAACGCACCACTTCTCTCCACCACTGAATCTCTCTATTTCTGTTCCGAATATGCATGCTTAATATTCCTTCCCTCCATAGCTCTTTTATCCTCCCGTCTCCTTATTTCACCACATGCCGCCAAACTCAACGGTATTCACTTTCTCGCCCACCCCAACTTCCCAACAGCCAAACACCATTCCAGTGAAACACTCTTTGCATACCTGCCAGTGAGTTCTCTCTTCAAACTCCCCTATAAAATGGAAGGTTCAGCCCATAATCAAACCACATACTCATCCCCTATCCTTTTGTAAATCGCCACATGACTGGTTGGGACCCTACCAGGTAGATCCCAGTACTTTGCTCATCATTCTCTGTAGCTGTCCAAGGGATATGACTTTTGTGTTCCAACCGCATTCTTCGTTTCTAGAGGCAGAGCTCCGGACTGTCGATGGCTAATTTGCCGTTGCAGATATCTTTATACCTAACACAATGCTAGAATTGACAGTTGAATGAAAGGTGGCAGCGAGACCCTCGTACCTGACAGGCCTACTGGTTTTCTCTCTGGTCTCATTCTCGAAAACCCATTTGAAAGATCGCCTTCCATTCTGCGAAAAGGCCGCCAAAATTTGGTGTGCACTCCTTACGCGGAAGCATGGGGACCTCGAAGGTTTTTTTCTTGGGCCAATAACGCGGTCGTCTCTGCATCTTGGCTTGAACAACACTGATCTTATGCTAGAAGAATGGCAGGAGCTTATATATGCACTTGCCGGCTCATTTACTGGACCGAATTCAATTAATCCGAAACATGTCGATTATCTTGTGAGTCCAGTTGTCCACGCTTGCATTTACAGGCTTTCAATCGTTCCAAGGCAACACCTAGCTATAAATGAGCTCACAACCGTGTAGAGATTTGACCTTGTGGCACCTCTACAAAATGGAAACTGGCACGATATACTTTTCTGAAGGGTATTTGGAAGTGGAGTCTCAAATTTCGCTAGTCATTTTCCAGAAAGATGAAAGCTGAATATCATGTTACTCAGTCAGCATTTCCATGATTCTAGAAGGCAATACGACCCTAAGTTAGATAGTTTTCCTTCCCCATAGTCTCGAAAGATAATGGTTTGATGACGACAAATCTGGGCGTGGCAACAGTCAAGCCGCGCATTTTTGATCAAATAGTGGATATATCTGGAATTCTATGTTTATTTTCTAAACGGCTTATCCTATCAGGAATTGTGAGACTCGACATAGCAAACCGTAGATGGCGTACGAGAGGGGTTTCTTTCTAGCAGGCTCTTTCGGAACTATCCAAACACTTTGTCTAGGTTCAAAGTACTTGCTTCTTCCCAAAGCTCATCCGTGGAGATGAATTTATAGTAAATTTAACCACATCGCCGATTTCTTTCTCGCGCGCAAGCCGGAGATCAAGGTGAATCTTGGTAACACGAGCCGTGCAGTGATCTTCACATGCAAGTCCAGTGTCTATCCTAATTAACCACGAAAGTTAGCCTGGCACATTTCAATTCTAAATCACTATCTCACAGAGCTTTTCAGAGTGCAGGACTGATACTAGATGGAGAGGCCTCTGAGAAAATTCAGGGGCTGATCGGCTCTAAGCGATGTTGACATAAAAGCGCCAAGTGGGGCAACAACGGCAATGGAAGCTTGCTCCGTGGGGTCCTGAGGGGGAGATTGCACATGATAGGCTGAAAACAAAGGACCGAGGTCGAATTTTACACTCTAGCTCTGACATCTCTTTTCTCCTCCCCCAGGCACAGCACTCGATTTGAGGTTAGCTTTGGATCTTGAGCAGGACCAAAGTCGCTACTTCTTAGGGGCTGACGTTTTTTCCTGCAGCTTGTAGCTATTTCAGGATAATGGGATGGAGCAGCCACTCATGTACGACATGGGTAGCAGACTATCGAGCGTAGTTCATCCTGTCTCCCGTGACTAAAAAGCTTCCGTCCGTTAACTAGGTAGTCTATCCAAAGCTTGAATTGACACTAATGACTTGATAGCTTGGTCCCCATCAGTTAGGAACGGACATAAATAAAGTACTTCTTTGACCTAAGTCAACACTTCCAGATAGCAAATTCTCATGGTCACGCTGAGTCGGTAGAGCCCCACCAAAATGCGACAGTTCATTCTTCTACCAGTATTAGCAACTCTTGTGGCTGCCGATGTGATTGCAACATGTGCTCGAGACAATTGTTTGAGAGCCGTCATAGCCAGTGGTGCTAAACCAGGGCCATCGTCAGCTTCGGCAGACTGCTCCTCCTACTTCAAAGGGTAAGCCACTCGCCCCCAAGGCAAATATCCTCAACATCCAAATATTTCAAATACTAATATTACCCCAGAACAACTTCACACGCCGTCCCAACATATGCCTCAGCATGTTCCGGCTCAGCTCGATACACATCAGCATGCTCCTGCATCGGGGTCACCAAAACAACCATCTCCCCCACGTCCACACCCACAACAGACTGCAGTGCATTCTACCTCAAGATCCAAGGCGCCACCAATCCCGACATCGTATACGCCGTCCTCCCCAATGCAGATGATCAATACATCGCATCCTTCACCGGCAACACCGCTGAAGCCGCAAAGTTCACTCTCACTGCCGACGGATCCTTAATCAGCAGCGGGCACATCGCAGACATGGAAAAAGCAACGAATCTGGGAACAGTGTTCTTCCAAACAAATCCTACGGCATCGAATCGTGTGGTGCTTAAATGTACGCGTTCTGCTGCGAATATTCTAAGCTGTACTGGCAATGGGGCTTCGACGAATTTGTTCGAGTTCTGTCCTGGGACTTGTGGGAGGCCGCCGAATACGGCGTTTTGCGGAGGTGTATCGTTGGGGAATTATGCTGATGTTAGATGTGGTAATTTTACATTTGAGACTATTGGGGTGTGTACGGTCTAGTCTTGGGAAGAAAGATAACAAAATGTTATGGGCAATGCTAACCTGTTCTCTCAAGAGAATAGTTGAATCTACACTTTTCAATTCTGCATTCAGCGGTTCAAAATATGAATTTGCGACAGGCAATATTTTCATGATTCATAGTTGTCAAACAAGACAGAACTCTTCCTGCTCCAGTCCCATCTCCATCACCTGACCATCCATAATACCATACACATAACTCTCTCCAACAAGCTCAAACCCATCATCCACCCTCCTCAACACAAATGGCACAATCGCCCCATAAATCATACACACCAGATCCCCAACAGCCGCAAACTCAGGCGCCATCCCAACATACCCTTTCCTCGATATGAACGGCCTAAAATCATACAAGCACTCCATAGCAAGATGATACTTCCTCCAAGCCGTCTTCTTCCCCTCATCAGTATATCCCGACCGCTCCCCAGAATTCCTATCTATAATCTCCAGCAATCCCGCTTGAGCAGCAGGGTCTGCTCGTCGTCGCGTATAATCATGCCATTGCTGATCGGCGCATGGGATCCTCCATAGCGCTTCTTGCCAGAAATTGGAATCGCTTGAGATAGGTGGAGATTTCGTCCGAGCTAGTTGGCAAGCGCCGTGTATTTCGCCGAGGAGGGTGTCTAGGGAGAGGTCAAGAAGGGTAGCTGTTTGTTGGCAGTTTTCGCGTTTCCATGGAGTTCCTACGGTCTCGATTGTGTCGACGATTATTCCTGACATCGTCAACTGTCCCGGTTTGTTGGATGCAGATATCTTGACCTCATTTGTGCCAGAGGCGTTGAAGAGTGGTTCCCAAGGCTGTCCTCGATGTTTATATGATCCTAGTGGTTCAGGTAATGGCATGCTGAAGTCTGGAACCCAGGTGGGAAGGGTTCTATTACTCTTCGATCGAGATCGACACCAGGAGAGGACATCTGTGTAATTGTTCTTCAACAATGCTCTAGCTGCGTCTTCAAATACTTCGTGAACGGCTTTATCATACGCTACATTTATGCCGAGTGACCTCGCATCAGGCGCGACACCTAGCAGGCCAAAAATCCTATCCCTGGGATCTGTAGCGTATGTATATCCCGAGACAAGGCCAAGAAGCTCCAACATTGAAGAATGATAGTCCGGTCTCTGCTTCTGATATCTATTCCGTGATCCAATAAGCCGACTTGGAGCACCGCTTTCATCGTTCTTTATGAACTCCTTGAGCTTTTCCTTCGCCGTTGGATCGACATCCTCTGGGATGGCAGCAAGTCGGTCGACGGTCAGAACTCTGTGTAAGCCGAGGAAAATAAACGCTGCAGCAAATTGAGGAAATGTCAACTTCTTCTTTCCACAAACAATCACGAGTTCGGTCGCCACCGAGAATTCTTGCACGATCCACGTGCGAGTGAAATAGCTTCTTGCGGCCAATGATTTTATCGCCAATTGCAGGAACTCTACCCCGATACTTTTCGATAGGTCTATGAACGGCTGCCTGACAGAGGAGAGCAATCCCTCCGGATCTGGATCCCAAAGCTTGAGCATAGTCTCTCGAGACAACTTCAGCTGACCAGCTTCCATTGCCTCGTCTCCAATTTTCTTCATTCCAGTCATTGCGGCATCACTGTCATCTGAAGCTGGTCCAAGCCAAGCGAAAACAGATGTAGCAGCTTTATAGATCTCCGTCATTCGTTTGACTTGCTCGGTCTTCTCATTGTTGTCTTTCTGGTTTATGCAGATGGCGTCTATCCAGATCATGACTGGCTCATCGGTCTGAATGTGAAGAAGTGCTTCGTGTAAACTGGCTGTAATTTGGAGCGTCTTGTCGTTGACGATAATCTTTTCGAGCTGAGAGACATCGGCCCAGGTGTAGGAAAGAGCAATATAAGGAGGTTTCTCGTCCCAATTGAAGGATGCCAATGAAGTCTGAACGAGATTGGAACTCTCTTGCACGCTAGTCAAGGCTACTCTGGGAGCGGGGAAAAGTGTCAAGAGCCGAATCTGTTTCGTTGGGTCGAAAGGGGTTTTGCTGTACTCAAATGAAGCCATTTGTTCCTTTGTTGACAAGAGTCCGGCTATTATCTTGGCAGAAAATCTTGGTATTGAGGTAATAAATGAAGTTGAAGTCATGCCTCGAGGAAAAGCGTTGCAGAGATTTGAGTTCAGATTTCAGCTTTCAGCTTTCAGCCACGTTTCGGATGGGCGTCTCACAGTTTGTTGTAAGCCGTGTGGATACTTAGTGAATTTTCTTTTCTGCAAATCCATCCGAAAATGATCCTACCTGACTTCGGTGAGATACCGAATCTACCTGAGCAGAAAACGGTATGGGAGGAATGAGGCTGTGCCGGACAAGGACAGCCATGAAGCAACAGAGTCGCGACGAACATGTCGTACTTTGCATCTAGCATATTGAAACCGTGCGCGGAACAGGGGTTCTAATGTTATTCAGGCATTTGAAATTACTGGAGGCGCTGAGGAATCATTCCCTGTCGAGCTTTCTTTTGCTTTGTTTACATCCGTGGTTATTATCCACCTTTCCTCGCTAAAGTTGATTAACTTACCCCGCACCAACCCCACCATCAGAGCTTTGCGGGGTTGGGGTAATCATTTCCTACCAACAGCAATCCTCCAGAAGGTTTGACTCCCCAAGTTTGGTTAATAGAGCCTTGGTAAGCCACTGCTCGAATGCTGTGGACCCAGAAACAATTCCAGGGTAGCTTCCTAGCGATTTGTAGAAATAAAACTCCAGCAATCCAGTAAGACAGACCAGTTTGACCCCACCACATTTCTACAGTCCCTGTGCATCTGTCTTCGAGATACCAACAACTTCGAACACTACCCAATGCTCTCGTCGCCTCCCTAGAGTAAACACATATCACAACGATGGCCCTATCCCAGCTTCTCGATCTCCGCCTCTCATTCTATCTGGGTTTCCTAACCTGTTTCTGCGCAATCATAATCTATCAGATCCGTTCCCGTCAAGTTCCCAAAGGTCTCCGTCGGCCTCCCGGTCCCAGAGGACTTCCTCTCGTCGGAAACACACTTCAATTGGGTCCGCAGCCACAAAAGATATTAAAAGCATGGGCAGACAAATATGGCGAAATCATGCAGGTACAAATCGGATGGGAGAATTGGGTGTACCTGAATTCTCCTGAGGCCGTCAAAGAGATCATCGACAAACAGAGTGCTGTCACTTCTGGTCGCGCACCAATGCCCGTTGGAAACGGCATAATCAGCGGTGGCATGCGGTTCCTGCTCATGGGATATACTCCAACGTGGAGAAAACTCAGAGCAATTGTGCATAAGCTTCTCACGCATAAAGTCTCAGATTTGTACAGACCATCACAGGAGTTCGAAGCAAAGCAACTGCTGTTCGACTTGTTGACAGAGAACACAAATCAGGAGGACTTTTATATGCACATCAGACGGTACTCAACTTCAGTTGTCCTGACGTCAACATACGGGCGAAGAGTTCCAAAATGGGTGCGCATCCTATTTCCTACCTTGTACATCAAAAGTTGTGACGCGAGAATTAATGATTACCATTCAGGACTGCGAAGATGTCAGAGAAATCTACGGTCTTATGAAAGAATTTTCCGATAGCACTGCACCAGGAGCTTTCTTAGCCGACTTGATTCCCCCTCTTGCAAAACTCCCTGTGTTTCTTCAATGGTGGAGACCAAGAGCTTTGAAATACAAGCAGCGACAAGTCAAGATCTGGACCAAGCTCTGGAATAATTTGATGGTACAAATTGATACGAAGTCGGCTCCCGAGTGCTTTGTGAAGCAGTTTGCGGAGACGGATTACAAGAAACAAGACATTGGTGAAGTCCAGGCCGCGTTCGTGGCTGGAACAATGATCGAGGTATGCTCTAACGACGAACTTGAAACTTTCCAACTTTCTAAAACTCGAACTAGGCTGGATCAGAGACTACTTCATCTTCTCTCAATACCGCGATACTGTACCTCGCGGCAAATCCCAACGTCCAAGAGCGAGCCCACGCCGAACTTGACAAAGTAGTCGAGTCTTCGTCCTCACCATCTTTCGAGCACGAAGCTGACCTTCCTTACATCCGCACAATGGTCAAAGAAATTCTACGAATTCGACCAGTCACGAACATCGGAACTCCACACTACACTACAGCTGATGTCATCTACAAAGATTTCTACATCCCCAAAGGCACAATAGTCAGCATCCACCAATACGCGCTTCACATGGACGCTTCTCGATACGAAGATCCATACGCCTTCAAACCCGAACGATACCTTAACCACCCATACAAAGCAGGAGCATACGCCAGCCATCCCGATCCTTATGCACGAGATCATTTTGATTTCGGTGGCGGTAGGAGAATCTGTCCTGGTATGCACCTTGCCGAAAACAGCCTCTATATTACACTGGCGAAGATTCTTTGGGCGTTTAAGATTGAGCCGGGTATGAATCCTGATGGGTCGGTGCAAATTGTGGATACTTCGGATGATGCATATGAATTGGGGGCTAATACTTTGCCAAAACCTTTCAAGGCGCGCTTCATTCCTAGAGATGAGCAGAGAGCGAGAGTTGTGCGTGAGGAGTGGGAGAAGGCTCAGCGGGATGGTTTCTACTTGAGAAACACGAAGGTTGATGCGAATGGGATGGTTACGGGATCCTAAATCATGGGTCTTCTGGGCAACTTACACTCTTTGGCTCCAGTATTTGACATTGAATTGTTGACTAATCGTGGTAGCATCTCCCACAACTGTTGTGCCAACATTTACACTCCATAAGCAGTAGATGTGGATACCTGTGATCAGTCTTGGCTCTTGCAAGTTTGGATATCGGACACATGCAGCCGATTTTAGCATTCAAAGTTATCTACCCCACAGCTGGGGCGAGGAAGTCAGTGGAGGTGGTGGGGTAAATCATTTGGACTTTACCCCGCTACCCCGCCTCAATAAATAGTGCTCGCTAAGAGAAAAGGGGGTTGTCCGGCGCATACGGAGGACGGGGATGTATGCAATATTCGCAGCATATTTCTCACTGATGGAGTAGGCTGTATTGTTGGTCTGCTACTTTCATATGATTACTAACCTGGAGCACCGTTTTCGTTGCTCCTCATCGACATCCCATACCCTAATTGAACAATTTTGACAGTTCAAATTTCCATCACCACTAAATTTCTATCTGGCACATTTCGAACTTAACACATCATGTATAAGCCCGTTGCAATCATCACAGGCGCAGCATCTGGCATCGGCCTCGCCTTAACCAAACACCTCATCGCCAAAGACTGGCTCGTCGTAATGGCCGACATCAACAGCAAGCTCGGCACAGAAGTCTCATCTTCACTTGGCAACTCGGTCCTCTTCGTGGCAACAAACGTCTCTATCTACTCAGAACAAGCCAAAATGTTCTCCAAAGCATTTGAATGGGGTGGTGGACGATTAGATTTTTTTGCAGCTAATGCTGGGATCGCGGGAACTCAGGACTTTTATCAGCAGAACGAGAATTTGGATGAGACTGGTGTGCCGAAAGAGATGGACCTGACGACGCTGAAGGTTGATTTGGATGCTGTTGTGCAAGGTGTTTGGCTGTTTAAGCATTATGCGAGGAGTAATAAGGGGCAGAAGGGTGGGAAGGTGGTCATTACTTCATCGATGGCAGGACTGTAGTGAGTATCCAATTTTGTATCTTTTTCACCCTTAAAAGTTTTGAAGTATTTGCTGATTAGTTCTCAAAAGTCCAATGGAATCCGACCCTCTCTACACAGCAGCTAAGCATGCGCTCGTAGGCTTCACACGAGCCACAGGAGCTCGATTCCATCGCGAAGGCATCACTGTCAATTGCATCTGTCCGGCATTTGTCCCGACTGGTTTGGCACCAGAAGAGGTGCTTGCAAAATTTCCAAAAGAGCATATAACGCCAATGAGTACACTTATTCGAGCATACGACATGTTTTTGGACGATTCAAGTTTATCTGGCAAGGTTGCTGAGACGAGCCTGGATCAGGTGCATTTCCAAGAACCTCCAGAATTCTCTAGTGAGTCTAACCGATGGTTGGCAACGGCGACGAAGGAGCTTTGGGAGTGAGTGAAACAGATGTAGTATAATCACAAAAATCATGAATGAGATATATTGATAATTTTGAGTATTATCTTGATTTTGCCCTCATCATCGAGATTGTTGTCACTGGAAAGGCGTTGCTGGTAAGCGAGACGTGGATCACTGACGTAATTGCTTGGTTCTTGGAAATACGTACAAATTCTCACAGCAACCGCAGATATTTTACAAATCCAGAATACAACCTCTTCTGCACTCAAAATCATGGAACTGCCTTTATCTTTCAGGTTCCAGAATTGGGACATCCGATACAACATTCTGGAATCGAACGAGTCCTTCGAAACCTCTCGCCAAGCAAAATGCGTTGTCTTCGTTCACGGCACACCCTGGTCATCGATTGTCTTCAAGCCTATCATTGAGGTTCTTCTCGCAAGAGAATCATATAAAATCCTCGTATATGACCTCCCAGGCTATGGACAATCTCAAAAATTCGATTCGAATCATACTAACAACGATTCCGAGAACAGCTTTCTTGGCGACACATCCGTGAGGTTCCAAGCCCTTGCTCTATCAGAGCTTCTCAAGCACGTACAGCTAGACGACAAATCATGCAATCCAGCACCAGCAGTGATAGCCCACGACATAGCTGGAACAATAGTCTTGCGCGCTCATCTCTTGCATGACTGCGACTTTGACACCATGATGCTCGTCGACGCCAATTGTGTCTTACCCTGGGGAGATGGCTTCTACAAGCTGGCTCGCTCGGAAGCAAAGACATTCTTGCAGCTACCGCCAGGTATACTCGAAGCAGTCGTTCGAGCCGTGACTAGAAGTGCGGTTCATGATCCCAGAGTTTTGCTTGCGGGGTGGGAAGATTCCCTCGCAAAACCTTGGATCGAAGGCGATGGTGAAGGACAGCGGAGCTTTCTGAGACAAATCGCTCAGGCGAATGATGTCGATGTGGCGGAGATGCTGGATGCTGATTTGTATGGCCGAATGAGATGTGATGTGAAGGTTGTTTGGGGTGAGCAGGATCAGTGGATCCCGCGAGAGAAAGTTGAGGATTTGATAGAGAGGTTGGGAGGCAGATTTAAGGAGAAGGCGTTCATTCCGAATGCAGGTCATTTGGTTATGTTGGATCAGCCTGGAAGGTTTGCGATTGAAGTGTTTGATTGGCTGACGAGGTTTGGCTCGACGAAGAGTCTTGTTCAATCTTGAGCTGGATCGGGAACTTTGTCGTAAGTAGAAAATGAGAGCTCTCTTCCGCCGGTTGAGCTGAGATCGCTCAGGTTGGACCTCAATCACTCTTCTTCCCTGAAACGCAGGCAGGTCGTTAAATAGTGAAATTTTCCGTGTATCGCCCTACACAGGTACTACGGCATTTGATAAACCGGCTCGCCCCCAATTTGTGCAACGTGCGGCTCATGATCCTCCTTCTTCGGCAAAAATTGACCTGCCTCGGCTGCCATGCCACGTTGCTCAACCCTCCTCCTACATTCCTTGCCCGTCACAATCCAATCTTTCTTCAGTGCCAGAAAAAAGAGCGCTCCCAACAACAATGCCATACCAATCGCCGCGCCAGCAATACCCCCAGCAAGCGCACCAGTCGAGTATCCACCACCACTGCTAGCCTTCGCCGCCGACCCAGACCCAGACCCAGACCCTGAACTTTTACCTGGTTGAATGCTTGTATCACAAGACATGTTCGCTGTCAGGCCGCCGTCTTGTTCGTTGAAAATGGAGAAGAAACCGGAGTAGAAAGCTTGGCCGTTCGTGCGGAACTCGATGGTGTAGTTGCAGCCGCTGGTGGGAGCGTTGCTGCGGAATAGGGCACGGAGGTAGGTGTCATCTCTCGCGCGCCAGGAATAGGAGCCATTATTCGGAGTGGATGCTGTTGAGATATTTGAGTTAGTGACGAGTCAGAGTAGAGACTAAATTGAACTGAGCGAAGACTGAAGGGTGAAGGTAACGGTGAAATGAGCTTCCTACCAGTAATGATGTGTGCTAGAGTCAGGTTCTGTGCCTCTCCTTGCTGGAGAGTAATTGTAACATTGCGGTCTCCATTCGAAGTCCATAATATATCCCAATTGGTGTTTGTGACAATGGTGTCTCCTGCTCTTGGTGATACTGGCACCACTGCATCGGCTCGACGCCATATTGAGGATGTGCTGGCTATTGGCGCGATTGCAGCCATTAGAATCAGAGCTTTGAGGAGGTACATCCTGGATTGGTTCCTTCAATTGGGTCGGACGATTTTATTACTTCTGAGCAGTTCAATTGCCGAAACCGAGGAGTGGGTGCGCTGCAGATGTCCCTTGGGTAGCCTTCACTCTCACTTCGAATTCGCGAACATCACATGCCAAGGCTGAGGTCAGAGAAGAGGGATTTCAACAAGAGCGGTGCCTACTATCTATATTTCCAGTGACAAAAGTAGCGAGGGAAGGCTGCGAGATGACCCGTCTTGGAAAACACAATAGCGCGACTGTAGCCCTGTGTGGCGTCCACAGCCCCAACTTGCCAAGGCGATCCTTCGTTTTAGCAATCAACACTCTGTTCGCAGATTGGAGGAAACTGAACCATGATGTCTTTCTAGTTGCTTGAAAGCGAATCATGCATGTCAACAAAGTCTTGTCGTTATTTAAAGCTTCTTGTGCAGATAATCCATGGAATGTACAATGCTTGGCGCAATTCCCCTGGTTGAAAGGTCTTCTTACACGCGGTTTCGCTCTTAAAGGAAGAAAATTTCCGCAATAAAGTCAAGGTTTATCTGATGCTCAAATGCTCGACAAGATTGAGGTAATATATAAGAACTACAAACATCTCTGACTTATAATCTGTGATAGTGTTACTGGACAGATAGTCATCATTCTGCATGCTCGCTAGGAATATCGTAGCCATTCGAAACAAGAAGTGAGATCGTTGGAGATATTAAATGGAGCTGGTCTTCCTGTGGGTAACAATTTTTAGAGCAGTCTTGCAAGTCGTTTGAGCTTATTTACAGTCAGAAGTTCGTCTACATGTGCCCCTGAAATTAGCGAGAGTGGAGGCGCCTTGCGTTCGATCGAGCTGATGGCCAGAACCCAGTTCAACGTCACAGCATTTTTGTTCTGCCGGGTACAACTCATTGTCATTAGACGTAGGAAATTGCTAGACAATCCTAACAAATCGATCATCCCATCCATCATCAGCCATCCCCTCTTCACAAGGTACCTCAGCCATCCCCCGTCGTCTATATTCTCCTTCGTTGCCAGTGGATTCCAAAATTAACGCGTATGCGATAGCAAGCTTCTCGTATTCAGGCCAAAACCCGGGGTAAAGATCGTCGTCTTTGTATCCCGATACACGATATATCTGAAGAAATGAAATGTCCTCCTCGAACTTTCCTTGGTTCTTGCTGGTCCAGTCGTCCGGCCAATGCTCATGGTAATCAAGTTTACAAAGTATATGTGGAGAGTCCGTCATAGGTTCTGCGTAGTGTCTCCTTTTTATCAAATCGCTAAGATCGAACAGCTGACCCTTCATATAGATGAATGGTCTTGAATGCCGAGAAAGCCAATCGGTTGCGGTTTGAAACTTTCCTTCGATGGTTATTGTTCCCGATTTGACCAATCCGTAGACATCACCGTGCGATCCATCAAGATTGATTGCCTTTATCAAAGCTTTGCTGTGGATGGAGGCCGGGGAGGCCGTGATTAATCCTTTCGTCATTGAGCGTGGCCCAGTGCAGTCATCGTACGGCAGATTGACTCTGCTGCGTCTGGGGACAAAAACACTTGCCCAGCTCCAGGAAGGACACTCGATATTCTCGCGTTTTTGGCCAACACCGTTTGAAGTCCACAGTAATCCTACGTGGATATATTCTTTCCACAGTCCAGCTATATAATGATATCCAGTACGTTTCTCGATTTGCTGAGCAATTCCAAACAAGGCAGGCAATCTATCTTGCTCCACACTGAGACTCCTCTCGACATACTCATTCACAATCAGATACCAGTGATCTAGAGCTTTTCTAGACGGAGTATAGCCAAGGTTGGCTGCTAATGGCAGATTCTCAGTCTCCAGTCGAGCGGCTTGGTCAGGAGGCAGCAGAAAGGATTGCTTTAGAGGGGCACCCCAATAATAACCACGGCCATCTTGATTGTTTGGTGCACTTCTCTCACCTTCACTTTTTGTTTCTGTTTGGCATTGCCACAAAAGCTGATCAGCAGCAAAATAGATAGTGCGGGCAGAAAGGAGGTCCTCCTGGAGTGTCCACCCTCTGTCTTGAATGGGTCCGCGGGGATATACATTCAGTGCAGGCCTAAAATACACCACTCCTCCTGTCCTCCGGGACAAACTTTTGTAGGGAACAGGCACGCTAATAGCCGGCCGTTCTCTTCTAAGTATGATGCCCGTATCAGAGTCTGCAGCCACGTCCGCTGCAATTGTGACTGCAGCGAATTGGTAAATGTTTCCCATGAGCGGAAGGTGACCTCGCCAATCCGACTCCAAGTCCTGGATAATACAAAGAGCATCTACCCACAAGTACCGATAGCCAAGCTCTCTCGTAATCGTGATCGCGTCTCGGAAGTTAGCAGGGAGATGAGACAAGGGTAGGCCTTCCAACCTCATGTCAATGTTTGAGCGCAGAGTGGCTGAAGAGATGCCACCTCCCCAGCAGTGAGACAAAGCTACCCAAGGATCTCTCAAAGTGTCATCGATGATAAGTCGTGGATCCTCAGATCCATCGGTGGCGCCGACATCAATGACCCGCGGCGGAAAAACTTTTGATGAATAACGACATCGCGGATGGAACGCAATGCAGTCTTGAATCCACGTTTTGGCCTTGGCGTAGGATCTCGATGACAACTCAGACTCCACTGGCTCTCCTCTAATGAAACCGGATCTGGAAGCTGGATCATCTGAACATGTTAGCCTTTACGATAATATATATACCACGTTGGAGAGATGTTGAAGAGCAATATACCTGGATAGGCGTAAATGTCCAAGCTGGTACTGTAACTTAGTATGCCTGGAGCATAGCCGGGGTTACTCTGATAGAAAAGTATCTTCGAGGTATCATGGCACTGGGGACCATTTCGACCATCCAGGCCACGTGCATAAATCGGACCTGTATTGAGCTCGAAGGTTGTCTCGTTTCCACACAAGGAGAGCCCCTTTTCTCCAACAAGCAAGTGGCATAGTTCACAGCCTGTTTTTGCAGCCTGTTCCAGGCTGGAGACTGATACATGGTGACGGTAACCTTTGGCTTGCGGGCCGTCTCTTCTGAAGGACCAAGAAATCAGCAAGTATAGGATAAGGCTACAGGGCGTCCTCACTTGTGAACCTCATCAACGTCAATTACTCCGGGGTGATAGAAGGGCTCAGCAACAAAGAGTTCATCGATCGATTCACCCAGGCCAATACACGCGTTACAGAGCATGTTTTTGATATCGTTTCTGAATTCTGAGGCAAGGCGAGGTGGTGTGATAGGGATATGGAGGAAGTGGATTGTTGCTGCCTTTAATTACATGTCCGCTGAATCATGCGCTTGCTTGTTACACAGCTAGCCTATTACAGCCACCATCCAACCGTCACACTTGATGCAGAACTCCTCAAGCGCATCGCTAGTAATTATAAGCTATAAGACGAACAATAATAGAGAAAAAAAAAATCAACATGATTATAAACATTCAACATCGTCTCAAACCGGCTGCCCCCCTATTTAGCCGAACCCGGGGTTACTGTACAAAGTTACTTGTAACCTTAAATACCCCGCTACGGCACTTGTTTGTCAACGACATATTCATCAATTTAAACGATCGACTTCAGCCCACTCAGTCCTTTCAACTCGTAAAAAATCTAAACATCGTTCATTACATACCATATCTTGAAATTCCCCAGCAATTACAAACAGCATATCATCGATCCCTAAACGAACCAAAACCAAAACCACGATGCCATCCACCCCACCTTTCACCTCCCTTCCGATCCAGCCGTCTGGCCCTCGAGGTAATGCCTGGGGACTCTTTGGCATCAAGGATGAACTCGGGATGCTCAATCGTCTCACCCCAGAAACAACTCTGTCAGCAACAAAAGAAATAGAACACGGTATTCGAATTGCTACTGACTGGCCAATGAACATGCCCAAAGTGCCCTGCTTCGGCCGCCAGAAGTTCCACCAACACATCTTCCATAAAGTCCCCAGAACAGTCAACGACGATATTCTTACGCTCAATACACAGTCTAGTACGCAATGGGATGGCTTCAGACATTTTGGGTATCAGGATCATAAGGTGTATTTCAATGGGTGTGAGCAAGAGGAAGTGATGAACTCGGAGAGGAATGGAATTCATGGTGAGGACTTCTTCACAACCCTTCTATGCACAGATCATTAATATTTTACTTTAAGTTTGGGTCCAAAATGGCGGCGTAGTGGGACGCGGTATTCTTCTCGACTACGCAGCATGGGCAAAATCCCAAGGCATCACTCCAGCTCTTCTCTCAACCACCGAGATCACCGTCAGCGAACTAGACGCCATCGCCGCATTTCAAAATGTCACATTCCAGCCTGGTGATATACTGTTCATCCACAGCGGCTTCGTGAAATCACTCGAGCGTCTCCCCGAAGAAGAAGCGTCCGCTTATGCAGCCATCAACCCTCCTCCTGCCATCGGCGTCAAGTCGTGTGAAGAGAGTTTGAAATGGATCTGGGAGAAGGAGTTTGCTGCTGTGGCGGGCGACATGCCTGCTTTTGAAGCGCTGCCGTTCCAGAGTAAGACACATTGGATGCATGAGTGGCTTTTGGCGGGGTGGGGAATGCCGATTGGAGAGTTTTTTGATTTGGAGAAGTTAGCGGAAGAATGTGGCAGGTTGAAGAAGTGGACTTTCTTCTTTAGTAGTGTGCCTCTAAATGTAAGTTTGGTCGTTTGTAAAAATGCAGGAGAGTGCTGACTTCATTCAGGTTCCGGGAGGAGTTGCTAGTCCGCCGAATGGTGTGGCTATCTTGTGAAATGTGGAATTGATGATGTGTTTCTTATTTTCAAAGAAATAGATTTGTTGGATAGCTATTGATCTTTCTCCTTCGGGATTCAGACTACCTTGACCTTTAGCTCCGGGAATTCTAGCTTCTCTGGCTCTAACCCATGACAATAACATTCTCCGACCAAGTTATATCGTTTCTCCAACTCACCATCCGTTTCCCTCAACACAATCGAAACTTTCACCCCCTTCACAGCAAACACCCTGTCCCCGATTCTCGCTCCTGGCGGACACAATCCTATCCACCCATCTTCCGCCACAAACATTCTTCTCCCCCCACAATGCCCCTCAATCTTTTGCGTCATATTATCCATCTGCTGCAGAATGTCAAACACACCATCACGCTCTTTGTCAGTTCGTGTTTCTGGTAGTAAGCGAAAATTCTCCAACTGTTCGGCCCAGGAAGTCAGATTATCTTTGCGGCCGGTATTCAATGAATTGTGGAAAGCTTCGATGAGTGATTGACAGTCGGCGTGGGCATATGGATCGCTTGTGTAGTTGGACGTTTTTAGGAATTCTTTGCAGTTTGAGTAGTTCTGATAGAGGTGGTGCATCTCGTCCACGACACCGTTGCTTTCGGTGACTGGCGTGTTGAACAGTGATGGTCCAACTTCTGTGACGGTAGTGACGAAGGTTCCAGTAATCAGGAGCGTGTTGTCATCGCTGATCGTAATATCAGATTTTGGTTCATCGCTGTTGCCCATCTGGACTTTCCAGCGGTAATCAAATGAGTCTTCAACTTTGCAGCAAGTCAGCGATTGTCTCTCCTTCGCCAACCACACAGCCTCCCGTAGCCGGCATAAATATTCTTGTTAAGGAACTCGTCAAAGGAAATTCATCTGAATCAAAAGACTTACTCGGATGCTTAATACGATCATACTTTGGTGCATTCGTCCAATCCGGTACCCACGAAGGAAGGTCGAGCGTTCCCTCTTCCCGACCCGTACGATTCCCAATTCCCGCTAGCCCAAACAACAGTCCCATTGATTTCTTGTCGATAAGTTCCTTCGCAGCAGCCATATACACACTCTCTACACTTGCCTGATAATCGACAGTCAAAGCACTCTTCTTTCCACACAACGACATTAATCCATAAACCTGATCCCTCGGATTCGTCGCTTTGAAATACGTACTTTCCGCCAAAACATGCGTAATCGTGACTTCCTTCGCAAACCCATACTTCTCACTCGGCCATAAATTCTCTCTCAGCTTATCTATCCGCATGATATTATACAAGCTCGAATGCTCTGCATGCCTAATCTGCACGTTATGAAACCACTCAAGCCATAGACGGAAATGCCTCAAGTTATGGATCATTGTGACGGCTGACGCCATGATTCGCCAATCGATGGTTTCATCGCCATATCGGACTTGGACGTGTGGTGAGAGTGCGACTTCTTGGACGACCCAAACGCGGGCGAACCAGGGGTGTTGAAGGAAGGTGATGAGTGCTTGCCACTGGCGGGATTTGGTGGAGGGCGAGAGGAAGGCTTCGTAGAGTTCGTACATAGTTTTTCCACTGCTACGGAGGGGATATTTAAGTATGTTGAATTCGTTGAACGTTGAAATTGTGAGGCGAGCGGTTTCGAAATGATTGCGTGTCTGGTCATCTGGTGGAACGATGCCGTCGAATTGGTAGGGGAGGATACCATCTTTTCTTGCGGCGATAGTGGATTCTGGTAATGGTGACTGCCCTAGGAATACAGTTGTGAAGAGTGCGTTTGAGTAGATCGTATCCATGATAGGTACTTGCTGCTCCTTTTCCTCTTCATTTTCTTGATCGATGCAAATTGCGTCTATCCAGAGCAGCTGTGGGAGAAATTGAGAGCTCAGTGTTGCCAAAACTTCATACACACTCTTCGTAACCATCATTCGGCACCCATCCACCATGATCTCCTCAGTCCTTTCAGGATTTCCCCACGTGTACGAAATTGCTTCGTAGAATAGAAGTCGCATGTATGGTCCATCAACCATGCTTCCCGAAACAGGGCGGAAGCCAAATCGTGGATGGAGGAGCAACAAGCGGATGTGGTCAGGCTTTTGAAGCTTCGAGTATTTGAACATGGGAGGATTTGGATTGCTGAAGCGGAAGAGTTCCCGGAACCAAATGAAGTAGATCGTTGCGTAGTGGATCGACTTGTTGATAAAAGGAGACGGTTCTTTCCAAGCATCAAACACCCATGTGGTCATCTGTAGGACGAGAAAGTTGGTCGAAATACGGCTCATAAGGTCTGGAGTGAAGTATTTATAAATCATGTGGCCCGCCCACCACCAGATATACAGTAGAGCTCTCGTATATTTATTGTCAAACTTTTGACAAGTTTTCGCCACGAGAAGCTCCATTGCGTAGTCCCGCCATCTGAACAAATTCCGATTCCACCTCACCAACCAGGCGATTTGTTGTTGCAAGAACAACTGATAAACTGGATGACCAAAGACCACGAACTCTAACAACATGTTAAAAGCAAGCCTACTCCAGAACCAAGTCGGTAGAAGGGCATCTCCGAGGTCATTGATAGCCGTGTAGATCAAAAACGATGCAATGTTAAGTGTCCAGTGTATGCCATCCACGTTGGTCTCTCCATAAGTTGCAGATCGAGATCGTGCAAGCTCGAACAGAATATGCGTGTACTGTTCTGATTGTAGATACCCACCACCAGATACAAATGCATACCAGTAGATAAGGAGAAGGATGTAGGAGATTCTAAAGAGAAATCCTTGGTAGTAGCGAATGGAAAGGACGGCACTAGCGAGACCGTACCCTACATCACAGCAGTCGCAGTCAGTATAAATCATTCTCTGCTTCTCACAAAAAAACCAGCCTCAAAACGGAGTAGAAGGCAACAAGAATCTTGCTTTCAAACGATATCGACATAACTGGCACGTCATTCAAACATTGCTCGATCAAACTGTACTTACAAGGTACAGAGCCGACACTCGCGATATCGCTCACGCTGACGCTTGAGATGTAACAGAGCAGGCCACCTCCACCGAGGAGGAGATAATGCCACATGATGGAATCTGATATTCACAAAAGAATTGATCAATGTCAAGTATATTCATGATGACAACTTGCATGTATGAGTTACACTTTCGAGTCATAGAATGAAGATGAAAGGTTCTCTGGGGCTGAAATGTGGCTTGCCTTGGCTTGCATCCGTACCGCCCTGGAAATAGACACCGAGAAGCGGATGTGGCACCTCGCCAATCATACACCACCCAAGCCGCCCTAAAGTTGAACAAAAGGGCAGAAGATTGATAAGGCAGAATCTCAAGGCTATTTCTATCTTCATAGCAATGCGACCGAATTTCAAAATGCAATCGTCCCTTTTACAATGTTCCTTCATCAACAGACCGTCAGGTTACATATCTGAATCCCATTCCTCGGGCCTCACCACTGACCTGTTCGGGACTCAACCCTTCCGCCTCAGCCCTCTCCAGTTTCTTATTCTCATGGATGTGAACCAATCTTAATACAAATGCCAAAGCAGCAACGATAAAACAAATTCCAGCCACGGCGGCACCACCAGCTAAATACCTCGGCCCATCAGACTTGGGATACATATACGATCCATATATGGACGCCGTATTGCCAATCATATTACAGATCGCAATGGAAGCAGAACGCTTCACATTTGGCCTGATGAAACTGTTCGCGACCCATGCCACGATGATTTGGTAAGCAGAAACTGCACCCATGGGCATGAGGAACATAGCGAAGAAGCGAGCACCAGTACCAGTTGCACTGATGACGATGATGTTTCCGATGAGAGAAACCATCATTAAGCACATTATATGAATTGATCGATCACCGGACTTGCCAGATGTCCAAGTCACGAAGAGCGAGACGAGGAATGTAGCGAACCATACTGGAGCCGTAAGAAGCAAGGTAGCGATTTTGCCGAAGCCGAGTGTATTGACGATGGTAGGGAAGAAGTATTGGAAGGTTTGGGAGAGAAGCGAGAGATGTTGGAAGATGATGAATATGTAGAGTCGGTAATCTTTGAGTGCAAGTTTCAGGCCGGACATGAGGCCTGTCGCTTTGGCGTCGTCGGATTCTTTTGCGTCATCGACCATGCGCCATTGTGCAAAATGCTGTTCTTCATCAGACAGCCATTTTGCTGTTGCAGGAAAGTCGGGTAAGACGAAGCTGAGGGGTCAGTTGACGTACAAATATGAGAAAGAGGAGACTGACATTGAAGTAAAGGCTACACCGATAGTGATGACTCCTTCAATGATGAAGAGCCATCTCCATCCAGTGATCCCATGCGCTCCATCAAGGTTACCCAAAATCCCAGCAGCAAGTAGCCCACCAAACATGTTCGCTAACGCATTACCAGAATAGACTATTTCATCAGCACAAGAACCAAAAAACGGACAGGAATAATTTACACCAAGATATCCGATGAGCCAACTCTTCTCGAGTGTACCATGAGCTCATGAGCATGATAGCGCCAGGGAAAAATGGCGCCTCAGTCACTCCGAGCATGATTCGACAAGCCAGCAGGCCCCCAAACGATTTAGTACCAGCCTGGGCAGCCGACACAATGCCCCAAAGCGTCATGACAAGTCCTAGATAGATAGACGGGCGCACTCGAGTAATAAGTAGATTGGACGGCAATTGCATCGTTAAATACCCCTGAACCTCATCAGCCAGAGCAGACTCAACAGAACAAAACTTCGACATACAACAAACAGTATACTTGTCGCAAGGTTGAAGTCTGTGCCTGTCATACCCAGATCCGCCTCGAGCGAACCGAGTCGAGCTTGGGCCAGATTCGAACGATCGAGAAAGTTGAGGAGATACATTAAGATTAAGAAGGGAAGAAGCCGAACGTCGACTTTGCGAAGTAGCTTTTTGTTCTGCATGACTTTCCATTGCAAATCTTTGGATGCGAATTCGACGTAGATTTGAAGAGTGGGATCTGTATGACCTTTTGTACCTTCGACCTCGTGGAGGGAGCCTTCTTTCTCCGGGACGGTGGCCATGTTGATTGACGAAACTCTGCTACGACACTGATTAATGTGCTTCTTCGGGTGAGAAGTGTTATTGGATTTGTTACAAAATATTTAGAAATATAGGAGGAGGTGTAGAAAGACTCGTCGAGTTCTTGAACTTTGATACAGTATGACGAAAGCCACTAGTAACATCATATGCGGGGACCCCGCCTCGGATTGACATGACGAGGATCGTCATGAACGCCCACTAGTGAAGGACCATCACCTAGGCACTCTTGCAAAACGGAACATGGCCGAGAATAACGGCATAAACACCGACACATCCTGACCTTCTGATGTGGCAGTCACTATTACATAAAGGAAGAGTCGAGAAAGAATATTGGGGGTGCTGTATAGTCCCCGCTTTGAAGGCTACCGTGTTCTCCGCTGGCGGTATCTATACAGCAGCTCTAACATATCAGACAACAGAACGGGAATACTACATCCGTTGCCCAGTCAGACGTCAGGCGGATCGAACCCGGGCCTGAGACCGCAGGTGTTACTGACAGCGGAGGCACTAAGGATGGCGTCCAAAGACTTATGTCTCATAAACAATTACAATTGCACCTCCATTCGCAGCCTAGGAAATCAAAGTTGTTAAGCTATCCCCCCTGGCCTCGATTCTTCCTTCTGTAGTTTTGTGAGAAGGGCCGAGCCGACTGGTCATGGTAATTGGCAGGATGCTGTATGCTTCTCCGCCTACTCGGGGTCAGCTCTGTCATGTCTATCCAATGGCAGCATTTCACTCCCCACGCTTGCTATCTTGCTCTCTGATAACCAACAGTATCGGACAGAATGACATGTGATCTAAGTCTGGTTGGAATATATAGTGGGAGTAAATCTCCTTCAAGCAAGAAAAAGAAAGAAATAAAACAACGGTCTCAATCAACGGCAAGCCTTCTAGCGTTCCTTCCATCACCTCATTCAGTCAAGTATATCAAAGAAATTACTCCCTTATTGTCCTCGTACATCCTAATTCTAACGAAATAAGGCTTCCTACAATCTGTAACCGGCAAATCCATACCCGCGTACGTAGTACCTGTCCTGTCCAGCTTTTGGAATGTCGCTGATCGAAGCCTGAGAAATATTAAAATTGCACCAACTCTCCGAAGCATATCATCACAGAATATGTCATCAGGACCTGTGAGGATGTAGGAACGGATCGATGCGCTGGTGTCAAAGACAATCACATGGCTCAAAGCACTGTCAACGGAGGAATTTGTCCTAAATGCTGAGGCTTGGGTGAGTTTGGCAAATTTATCTGCTTTATACCTAGCTAACAGATCAGATTCGGATATGAATGTTTGGATCGGGGACGTCAGTAATGGTGTTCTTGCTGCGCATGTCTGCCAAAGTTCACGGCGTTCTGCCTCTCTCGCCTCTTCTATTCTGGAAGAGAACAGCTAGTCTACCCAGTAATTTATAAGTCATCTTTGAAGGCGCGCTTCATTCGCTTTACTCCAAATGTTGAATCGTCTCCATAACCTTTCTCAAGTCTTCTATAATCTCCATTGCAGACTCAAAGCTCCCTGACCAGCACCCGTGGACAACGCCTTTCGGCAAATGAGTTCTTAAAGGAGGAAAGCGGCCAGAACTGTAACGACTTATGATTTCTAATTCGTCGTCATCATCCAAGGAGTTTAGTTCTGGAAATGGTTCGTGGCCTTCTATAATGTAATAGATCGCAGAACCCAGGGCAAAAATATCCGTCTTCTTGTCCGCGTAATTTGGATCGGAACGAGGCATAGATGATTTCACGTTCTCCGATGATCTTCCATCAAGAAGCACTCTTCCGCCAGGTGCTAAATACCTCCCCTGGAAGTCGGCAACTTTAATGTTGAGGGCATTATCGAGAAGTAAGTTGTTGACGTTGATATCACAGTGGAGGACGCTTGACGAGTGAATGTGAGCGATACCCTCAGCAGCTTGCAGTGACCAACTAAGCTTCTGTAGCATGGATGGGTCGTGAAGCTTGAGATACTGGGCCACTGATCCATTCGTGGCATATTCAAGACGGAGGCCATCGTAGGCATTGCCGCCCTTGAAGCTGATAATTCGAGGATGATGTCCGAGGATGGTGTAGATCTGTGCTTCAATAGCAAGGTTCTCTTGTGCTTCAATATCGGGAGTCTGCTTTTTATGCAAGTATTTCTGTTTCGTGATCGATGCGGCCAATACAGTAGTCGAATGACGTGGCAAGAATTTCTGTGACCCCTGGCCGGCAGTGGGCTGTGAACTCAATTGGAGTATCCACGGTCATCGTGAGGGAAAGGCGAATTGGCCCGTGATGATCAAAGACTTGGTAATATCAGCTCATATGTGGGTAAAACAACTGCATGGGTGGATGGATTTCGGATTTTTCAATCTGGTTCCAACAGCCTTGTCAGCCGTAAAGCAGTTGTGCGACCGCTTCGAGTCAAGTGGAAGTGGGGCAGCGTGCCGTACCTTATTTCTATCTTCAAGCGATCTTTTCTCTCCGTTCCCACTCATCTCCATCCAATGGATTCTCTGCTCCAATTCTAGGTATCCAGGATATGGCATGTCCTTTACACCCAGACTAAATTCCTATGGCTGCGGGTGTCGGGTTAGACGCAGCCGCGTCCAATCGAGCCCAATGCGTGGTGGCCCACTGTATTATTTCGCATGGTCCTGTTACGACAATCTCTGAAAGAGCTGGAGCGGTCGAGCACATCATGTCAAATTTTATAACAAATAAGTATTTTCATATTCACTTTCAACCTCTCCGCTTCACAACTATCGTTTCCCAGGCCTTCTTCAACCAACAGTTGTACTTCCTTCACTTCATACGATTTCTTCAAATTCCAACAAGGTAGGCGTTTAGCTGGTCACAGGCTCATCTCGAGGTCTCGGTTTTGTCATCATTGAAGCCGTTCTCAAAAGTGGAGGTCTAATCATGGGTACGTGCCGTAAGCCATCCCAGCTCGACTATCTTGTCGAAACGCACAGCTCCAATGTCTTCCCAATAGCTTTAGATGTCGCCAACTACGAGGAAGTCGTCATCGATGTCAAAGCAGGCCACGAGAAGTTCTGACGGATCGATGTCGTTGTCAACAGTGCTACACCAGCACAGTAGCTATCTAAGACACCGCTATCGAGGGCTTCACGGCTCAAATGGATACCAAATTGTATGGTGTAGTCTATGTCTCCAAAGCAGTTCTTGCCGTCCTTTGTAAGTATGGATCCCGTCATATCTTCCAGATCTCTTCCATTGGCGGTCGAATGGGTACAGCACGCCTCGCAGCAAATCAAAGCGCCAAGGCAGCTGTTGATGTCTTCTCTAACTTCCTATCGAGGGAAGTCTTTAGAAATCAAGCTCACCGTCATGGAATCTGGCGGCATCACGTTTCAATACTGACGGGGCTGGATTTTCCGTGGCCATTCCTCAGACCAATCAGCCGTACGAGCCAAATGTAGATGCGTTTGCCGAAGATCATCTGACAGTCCTCCTGGAACGAACCTTGGCTTCCAGAGAAGATTGCTGAGATTTGTTTGAAGCTCGCTGGGACTGAAGATCCGACTCCAGGATATTGTTTGGGCCGGATGCGATCAAGGATGGGGCAGCGGCGGCGAAAGAGCTTCTTAACTCGGGCAAGAAATGAAAACAGCTTAGCAAGTCTTTCATCTGAATGTTTGGACACATTGTTCAGTGATTGCATACCTACGTAGTCAACCTCGCTCTCAGATGATCAATCAAGTCACATGCATACCTAGTAATCATTTATCTCCCATCACGTGATACTCAGCTTGCCTGAAGCCTGGTTCTTCAGCTGTCTTCTTTCTCATAGCCTTGTGTCCACACGTACTCATCCTCGAAATATTTGTAATTTTAGGGAGCCATGTCTCAATCATTGCCTGTCGAGTACGAATATCAGCCATTACTCGAATCTGACTCTATTCGCGTGTTACAACTTCACCCGTCCACGGACCTCATCTCCTCACCGCAATGCGACCTTATCAGTACAAGACTTTGCGAAATCAAGGAGCCAGAACACTCTTACGCAGCAATTTCCTACGTCTGGGGCGACGAACGAGACAGCCATACCATCTCCATCGGCTCGCATCCATTGACAGTAGGAAGGAACATCCATTCCGCACTCCGTCAGATCCGTCGGCGTGATCGACCGATCAGGCTCTGGGTAGATGCCATCTGTATAAATCAATTCAATTTGACAGAACGCAACCATCAGGTTCAGCACATGCGTGCCATCTATTCTGCCGCGGAGGAGACGATCATCTATCTTGGTGATCAAGATGGAGGGAATACTGGCATCTCGGCATGGAACTTCTTGGAGAGGAACAGCAAGTGGGCTATGAACCAGAACCACGACGTCGATTACTCTATCCCAGCTAGAATGGAACGGAAACTGGAGTTCAGAGGCGATCTTGACGATGTTGAGATAGACGTCTTGGAGCGTCCTTGGTTCAGGAGAGTTTGGGTTTTCCAAGAAGTGGTTGTCTCGCAGAATGTGACGATTCAGTGCGGCAGCAGAAAAATTGCTTGGGACGAATTCTGCCGGATACTCCTTCTAAGCCCCAGATACCACGATCGATATGGCTTCAGTATCGGTAGGAGTGGAAAGATTGATGTCGTTCGCGATATGTTTCACGCTCGGTGCAGCTATCAGGAAGCACATGGGATGGGAAGACGGAGGCCTTCCTGGCACGCGAGAGTTGAGAACTACAAAGGTGGAGACTCTAATATCCTTAACACTTTGTCACGAGCACGTCAATTGGAGGCATTTGATCCGAGAGATAAAATATATGCACTACTTGGCGTATCTAGTGGAGTCGATTTGGATGGTGATCTAATTGCTGTGGATTATCGAAAGTCGTGCTCGCAAGTGTATCTGGAATTCACAAAACACGTCATGGAAACCACTAAGAGCTACGACATTCTAAGTTATCTCGACGACTACTCTACCGTTCAAAGTCATGAAATCAGACACTCTCAAGATTCTCGACTGTTTAGTTCCGTTAAGCTTGACGGGTCACCTGGGGACCACCTGTCACGAGATTACATCGTCGTGAAGCGTGACCCGCAAGGAAGAAAAGTCGAATATCTACCTTCATGGGTTCCTAATTGGGATCGAGGCAATTGGAACATTCCATCTCCTTCGAAGTTCCGTTACACAGGCCGAACAGTACTTAGTAGTCTCGGGCAGGAGACGGATATTCAGACAGTACTACGCAAAGAGATGGTAAGGAGGAGCTGCATGTGGCCCAGTACCAAAATCCTCGCTGCAGTCGGCGTCATTATTGGAGAAGTCGTTGAGCGCGGTCCGAGTATTGCGCTCGTAGGCAATGATGAGCTTCGCTTCCAAGATATAATAGATCGACACCATGATGAACCATCGAGGATGATTGCAGAGCTCATCGTACAATGGCGAAACCTCCTCAATCAAGGCGAACTTACTCTTGAGCTTGGGAACATGCTAGAACGACGGCATCCAAATCCCCTGTACAATATCGCTCGACTCCTCAGTCCCAAACCCAACCCTCCGAGACACTCGGTGGAATATCACCTATTGAAGCGAGGTCGCAAGAGTGTGGCATGGAATGACGACAACAACAAAGCAGTAGCTGTGATTAGAGACCAGAGTTCCATCGTGGAGACTAAACGAGTAGCAGCATATCAACGTTTCGATGCGAGAAGGGAAATTGAATCGGAGGGCCTGGCCTTGGTACCCAGCCGTACAGTCGCAAGTTTGGACGAAAGCAAATACCTCATTGTCTATCTGAGAGGTGCTCGTGTTCCATTTCTTGTTCACCAGATTACGAGACATGTCGATTTAGAGGATAAGCAGAAAGTTAGAGAGGGTCTAAGCTCAACATTTCAGCTTGAGAACTGTACCATGTTCGGCGAGTGTTTGGTGAACGGATTTGATTACATCGCCAGGGACTGCGAACTGACCTTGAAAGCAGCGGAGGCATCGGCGGAACTGAGTTCAGGAGATCTGCCGCCAGCGTGGACCCCATACAGTAATGCGAGAGTCTTTCTCATTTCTTGACGAGTTAGGCCCAAGGTGACCGAGACGGAATTTTTGATGAGCTCAAACATTACAGGGCTGTACGTTGGATTCAGCCTCTCATCATTTCCAGACTCAAGCCATTGACTGTCAGATGCCTAAGACAAATTTAGTCTATCCAACGCATCTGTTGTCTTCATTAATGTCAAATTATATAAATTCACCAAGCAGCAGCCGCATTTCGAGGTGTTCCATATATACTGTCATGGCGGCAGGTCTGGCGAAGTTGAACTGGCGGTGGGTGCATGTTCATATCATATTGACTCGCCACCACTGCTTGTCTCGACTTCGTGTATATCTAAAACTCAACATCCCAAAGTTCTTGTACAGCCAGAATCGACTCCGTATTCGAGGTGGTCTGCAAATATTGTTCAAGTGTTTGTGACAGTCCTACTACGACAGTGGCTTAAGCGAAGTCACTTACCCTCGTTCGCTACCAAAGTTTTGCTGGACGGTCTAGAGCTATAAGGTACCGCTACCATGAAGCCGTTCATCCCACAAATCTCACCCGCCAATTGATTAATTATCTGTCATTGTCGTTTCCCTCATGGCAGGGTTGTGTCCGGCACCGGGGTCCTAGCAACCGCTCTGATTAATGTACTCCTCACCTGTCACTCCTCAATACTTATAACTACCTCTTTGCCCCAACGTCTAGCAAATACTCATCATACGTGTCTTAGACGATGTCACCTGGATCATAACCCTCCTCTCCATCGCATTCTGCGTGAGCTCCTTCGGCAACGGCGCAAACGATGTCTCCAACTCTTATGCCACCACAGTCGCCTCCAGCACGCTGGACATGAAGGAAGCAGGCGCGCTCGCTATATTCACAGAATTTACCGGCGCAGTTGTCTTGGGAGGTGAAGTCACACAGACCATTAAGAGCGGTATCGTCAATGTCACGTACTTTAACGACAATCCCGAAACACTCGTCCTTGCCATGGGATGTGTCGAGTTTGGTAGCGCTGCATGGCTCACGATCGCGACAAGTTTTGGAATTCCGGTGTCAACTACTCAGACTGTGGTTGGATCTCTTGCTGGTGTTGGCTTTGCTTCTGGTGCGCCTGTGAATTGGAGTTGGAAGAAAAAGGGCTTGTCCACGATTGCTGCCGCATGGGTTATTTCACCAGCCAGTGCATGCGTTCTTGCGCTGGTCATAAGCGGCGTGATGGGACTCGCCTTTTTGAGCAGGAAAACCCCGTTCAGGATTGCACTCCATCTTATGCCATGGTGCATTGCTTCGACAGCTACCCTTTTCCCAGTGTTTTTCATTGTGGAATCACTTAGACATAAGTCAGCAGAGGAGTTCGGCGTTAGCAAGATCATCGGCGCAATTCTGGGAACATTCTTCGCGTCCCTTGCACTGTCGTATACTTTTGGCGTACCTTACCACCGACGGTCTTTAATTATCCAAGATCCACGGCTTCGACTTATCCACCTGCCCATGGGGCCGCTTCTTCTCCTCGAGAACCCACCATATTACTTTCCATCTAAAGAGGAAACTTCGCATGCTGGTTCGTTACAGCAACAAACCTCTCAAGATGGATCTCCTTCGTTATCTGTCGTGAAAGATCCGGAGGAGGAAGAGCCACGTCCTATTCCGCTAACACGCATGTCACCTCGACACCATGGTGACCCACCATCAGAGCGAGTGGATCTGTAGGAGGAAATGGTCATGAGTCCTCGAGAAAAGTACCTGGAACCGACAAAAGACTTACCTTTGTACAAGCCAGCTCGTCTGTGGTCATGGATCAAGTACATTCTACTTCGTGGAGTCAATGTAGTCAATAGTTTGCGGCCGTTTGAACGACCCCGTTTTCAGCTTTATAAACTAACGCTAGTTTTATAAGCTAAAAATGAACTACAGTCCGTTTTAATTAGTATAAAACGAACGAAACGAGGTCGTTTTTAAAAACCAAATTTAGAACTATATATAGTATGTGACGCCGCGTAGTATATAGAGTGTGGAGACCTCCCTTTTGCCCCTGGCTGGCTCGGCTACAGCTACAGCTGTCCCCTTTGGGAAGTGCCTCGGCTAGCCCCTTTTCTAGAGTATATAGCTTCGAGAGCCTCCAAGCCTCTCTCTCTTCTGTAGCTTTAGATTCTCAAGAGACGACCTTTGTCTTCATATTCTATTGATTGGCATGTGAGGCAGTACTCCACGTGACGTCCTGCCTTTATAGCACTGGTAGTCACATAGTATAAGAAAATTTCATAAAATTCTTCTAAAGATATTATATAAAAGAAATGTACAATTAATAAAAATCTTATAATTAACTTTTTATTTATATATAGTTTAATCTAAATAATATTTATTAAGTATCTTAAGTTAGAAATATAAATAATTATTAATATACTATTAATTAGACTTCTAATTAAAATAAAAAGTATTTAAAAAGCATATAGAAAGAAAAGAAATAATCTATAAGATATACTAAATTATTTCTTATATAAGATTATTTAATATATTAATATATTCTATAATACTTACCTTATAAAAGGCTAAGATTACACTTTATTAATAATCTTCTATAAAAAATATTAAATAAATCTTTTAAGATACTATAGCGGGGCTACCTGATTTTAGTGTTTAGTGTAGTAAGGGGAAGTCACGTTACTAGTGCAGCTAGCGATAGTACTTAGAGATTCTGAACTATCACTCCTTTATAATATTATTACTAACACACCACTTGGAAATATCACGATAATTACACTCTTTATAGAGATTCTATCTAATCTATTCTCTTTTCCGCCCCTTATTTGACAAATCCTGTATTTCAGATATATGATATCTCGAGATTTAGCCGTTCCGCTTCTTTGTATTAAAGTACTCCTTATGCCTTAAATTGCTACCTCTCTTATTGTGTAGGTGTTCGGGTCGTGGCCCGCTATAATACTATTTATATATATTAAGTAATTAAGTCTTATATTATATATTTTATTCTTATTTATATATTTTTTTTTTAAATATATAAAAAAAATAGATATATTTAAAGGAGATTTAACTAAAAATAAAATTAAAAATAAATTTAGTCCGTTTTAATAAACTAACCCGTTTTTAAAAAACTAATAAAACGAACCTCAGTTTTAACTTCTAATAACGAACTACAGTTAGTTTAAGTCCTTATAAAACGAACTTCAGTTAGTTCCGTTTTTGCTAAAAACGGCAAAACTATTGACTACACTGCGTGGAGTGAACCAGAATTGTGTCACGTTCGAATCTGCTGATGTAAATGCTGCATATAAACATTCCAAGACTCACGATAAGGAAGTCGAGGAGCTATGGAAGCCGCAACTAGTTCTTTCTACAATTTTGATGTCGATTTCCCATGGTTCGAATGACGTTTCCAATGCGGTTGCGCCATGGTGAGTCTTCTCTCGATTTTACTTCTAGGAAAAGACAATTTCTCTCTTACTTCCAATCGTGAGAGTCTTGATATCTGTGGAAATAATACCTGGGTACTCTACCGCAAGACTGGATGCTAATGTCAATATTTGTAATACAGGGCGGGGGCATACGATGCCTGGAAAAGCGGTTCAGCTCGTGAAGATGCTAAGAGTCCTATCTGGATCATCTGTATCGCAGCGCTCTTAATCGGTGCAGGGTTCTGGTTCTGCGGCTACAAAGTCATCCGCTCTCTCGGAAATAAGATCACACACGTCAGTCCTACTCGAGGATTCGCAATAAACATCGCTACCTCGGTGACAGTCCTAGTGGCATCACGATTTGGCATCCCCGTGTCAACCACACAATGTCAACTAGGAGCAACAATCGGCGTCGGATTGAGCTACTTTAATCCGAAAGCTATCAATTGGAAACAAATTGGTTTCATCGTCATCGGCTGGTTCATCACTCTCCCTGTTGCAGGGTTGATTTCTGGGCTGCTAATGGCGATGGCGTTGAATACCCCTCATATGAGAGGTCCGCGATGAGGCCGCAGACGGTGGCACTGTATCACCTATGATATTCTCATGTCAAACGAATTTGACCAATGGGATACCGGGATCCGTCGCACATAATTGTTATTCGGGTACCGATATGGACGTCTCCTTGGGAACGCCTTTGTTCGAAGTGCCGGCGATAAATCCCAGATGGTCACGTTCAGCCTGAATGGAAGGCTGCATTGGGAGGCATCTACAAGAACACCCAAGTTCCCACAGAAAATCCACGAGAACTCCACGACGTCGATATAGAAATAAAATGAAAAGCTCCTTGGTTCTCCTTACTCTCGCGGCGACCAGTGCTGTCGTTGCGCAAGACGGCTTGACGATTGAGGTAATTCGATCTGTTTATTGTACCAGGAAGACCAAGAATGGAGATCTGATTTCGGTCAATTATAACGGGACGCTCACAGATGGAACTTTGTTCGATTCAAGTGAGGCTTGTAATATCTTTCGGACTTGGGACGGATGCTGATCCAATTTCACAGGCTATGCAGGCAGCGCTCCTGAACCATTCGCCTTCACGATTGGCGCCGGAGAAGTCATTAAAGGGTGTGTTCCCATCCCGGGTTTTTGATTTCGATGATCTAACTCTATATGATCCAGATGGGAGTTGGGTCTTTTAGACATGTGCATTGGTGACCAAAGGTATGGTTCCAGTCTCATCCTCACGCTCCAATCCCCATCGAAGCGATTCGCTGGCACCAGCTTTTGTTCAGTATCTAATTATGACCTAGAAAGTTGACTTTGCCACCTGCATTTGGCTATGGAGACCACACTGTTGGACCAATTCCAGCTAACTCAACATTGAGTAAGTTCACTTGCCTTGGTCAAATTTTGCTCGCTAAGACATAAGTAGTATTTTACACGGAGTTGATGGCGATTGGTGGTGGAGCTCGACCTTCGAAATAGCTTTCATGCCAGCTGGCACTAAGCTCCGTGTTTGGAGGCTATTTCTGAGAACGATACTCGGAATTGAGCGATTTTTAATTTGACAGACTTCGACATGGGTGCTTAGCATGAATCATGCGATTGGAAGTCCATGGAATTTAGCTTCGCTTTTTATTGCAACGTGATGGCAATGTTCTCATTAAGCCATGATACGTTGGCATCTGAGCTATGTGCTCTCGCAATATTACATAACTGCAACCAATCATCCCTTCAAAGCTGCCGCTGAATGTGACCAGCCATTAGCGAATACCTTAGCCACTTCCTGACCCAGCAGCATCACTGACGACGCTCTTTGTTCACCATCTGTCGAGAAGATTACTATCAGTCGCAACAATGTCATCAGGTCAACTTGCCTTGGGAACGCAGCTCTGAAAACCCTGTACTCCCCAACATAACCTTTAATCGTGTACGACGAATCAAACCCCAAGTTATTCTTGTAAAAAGGATTGAGATGAACATCCCCATAGTCCAACTTGACACTTTTATCTTTAGTCGAGGACGGCTCCCAATCCCCAGCAATAGAGAAACCAAGTAATTTGGCAGTTCGGACGTCATTCTCCAGCCCCATTTCGCAGCGAGCATGGAGCGAGGGGCGTGGTAGTTCTCGCCAATCCGCTTGCACTCGTTGTCGTACATGAAGGGTTGGACTTCGTTGTTCCAAGAGGGGTGTGATATGTAGTTTATGGTGCACATTATTGCTTGACCGAAATTGGGGAAGCAGGGTTGGAAGTCTTTGTCGCCCAGTTGGATGTACTCAATTCCTTGAGGAGAAACGGATGTGATAGTGGAGGTGTCGGGTGTGGGGTAGCTGATTAGGTTGAGGGGGACGGCGTTTGGCTCTTCGGAGGTGGAAATGGCTGGTGCTGCGATGGCCATGAGTGCCAGCATGAGGAAGTTGAGCATGACTTCGATGCCGATGTACTTCATGTTGAGATTATGTCGAGAACGAGGCTGGTTTATATCGTTAGCACGACTTGCAAACTTGTACCCGCTTTCTCTTTGGGTAGCAGCTTTTTCTTGGAAGAAGATGGAGATGATCAGCTTTAGTGGTCACGCTAACCTTGGGTTAGATTGAATTCGGCTGAAGCTTTCTGTGGTTCGGTCCCAGTTCTTGAGATGTCAGCGCTACGAGAGTCATGCCTGGGCGTTTGAGACTTACTTTAATGGCTCGGTTCTGGGGACGATAGATCTGCTTGGATGTCTGTTTGGAGGTTGACAAAGAGCTTAGACTAAGTTGGGCGGTCGTTTCCATTCCCAGCACGACTATCAGAATATCAGTGACGCCGAGAACAAGTCTGTGATCGCATCCACAACTTACCAGTAATCAGACGCTCTTGAAAAGTCTGCGATTCCAGTACCCTATTCACTCCATGACCGCCGATGTCCTTGGCCGGCTCCTTCCCTTTTCTACTTTGGGACTGGCTCCGAAGAAGCTGATGATTACCTCAATACTCATTTCAGATAACTGATAAGAACCATTTCATTGGAAGGAGCAGAATTGACAAACTTCTTCCTATTATTGATATTGTCCGCAACTCGAGTTCTCTTTGAATCGTCCATGCTATTCAGCACTTTCTTTGTGCTACTAAAAGTAAACGAAGAGGGAGGACATGGTCAAAATGGCAGAGGACTACGATCAATGACTGCAATTAAACCTCGCTCAGTGACGAATATTTCCCCAAGAAGAAATTCATGCTGCAGGTTGTCGTACTGGTTGATCAGCTCATTCTTCGGCCATGATGGTGAGCTGACCCATGCCATCGAAACAGGGACCTAATCCTCGAGACCATGACATTGTTGAGAAGCAAGGTAATTCACTATGGGAGCTAAAAAAGTTCCAATTTTTTTAACCTGCCTGTATCGCAATCACAGACAGTTAGAAAAGCACATAGAAATGCGGAGGAGATAATGTTCTCTGACTACCCGCATTGGGATGGGAAATTGTACGCCGGCCCAGATAGGAATCACTTGATCAACACCACGACTCCTAGCCCCTGTACATTCATTTTATTGAATAATCTCAAAATTTCGGAATTCAAAACCAGTTTTAATATTACTGTCGTCTGGGATTCCTCCAACACAAGCCACAATCCCAATGACTTGGGAAGCGATAAGTGTCCTTGGGGATGATGCAAGCCATGATCTCCATCCAACGTAGGCCGCCCGGAATGTAACAACACATGGCTTATTCCCCACAAACAGAACCAAATGAAAATAGTCTCATTCCGGCTAGCCAGAGACTCGGAAACTGGAGCGAACGTCGAGTTCCCGATCAGGAGATATCCTTCAAGGATTCCGGTCTCCAAAGACGGTAACCATGGTCGGAACAAATTGCGATGCAATAAGAGACACTTGCTGCCACGTAGTCTGTTGAACTGATCTTTGCACCTTGCAGATGTCGTGCAAGGGTACTCAACCAACATGTTGGTGATCACAGCTGCACTCCAGAAGGAGTTGGATATGGAGAATGCAGCTTGGATCCAAGCAATGCGAGCGCCGGTATTGCTTGCGGTTTAGGACTTTCCAGACCTTGCACATTCTCGATACTCTGACTGATAGCTTACAAATTCTAGGAACCAAGATCGCCAAACAACGCTTGCAATTTTTGGCAGTGACTATGACAGGAAGGCAAGAAGCTGAATAATACGACCAATTCCACATGGAATGACAAGAACAAAATAACACCCCGAAAGATCTTCGGAGAATTGGAGCAAGGGAACAACAAATTTCAGAAGAAGCTCGGTAGAGGAGCTGGCAAGGTTGCGCAACAGAAATTACATTTCGCCAGTCCAAACTGCAGCTGAACATTGAATCATTCTTCAAGCCTTCGAAGTTCGAACCCAGGAATGAAAGGTTCTGTTTTTGGGCAAAATTCTGTGAACTTGGCAATAAGACATGGCCAGTGATAGGAAGATGTACGGGTGTTCTTGCGACTGAGTTCTGGATGAATGACCAATATGCAGGGCCAGGGCCATGCAATGCCGTCCAGGTGTTCAAATGCGAAATACGGGGTCCTTTTTCGAGTCAGATTGCATGACGTAGGACATGGAGGAATGAGATTCTGCTCTTGCCCAGGACCGAAGACTGGGATCGAAATCAAGAAATATTTTTGATACGAGTCTTCATTTCAGAGTACCAAGCGACGAAGACTCTCCAAGGAGCAGATAAGCACTTGTCGCAAGCCAATCAGGGCAATCCAGAAAGTTGTACGAGGAAGGCAAAGATGGTCAGACGGACTCATCGAACGTTCATCCCGATGCTCACAGAGAGTTTCGCTCAAGATTTCGACGGACGGTTCACGTTTTCCCAACGTTTTGCTGTTCATCCCTGCATGCAACCAGGTACCTGCGTTTCAGCACCTCAGCTCGATCTGCAGCTACATGGATTGTACAAAGTCAACTTTTTGTGTCTCACGACGATAATCCAGTGAGGTGCCTGAGCCGATCGAAGCTTTGCGGCTTGCGGGGTTCGTACTGGAAATCTCCGACATCACGCTTTACGATGGAGTCACGAACACGCGATATCCATACTATTGGATGATGGCTCGCGCGGTGGACACGACTCCATCGAAGCAGTTCCAACGACCTTGCTAGCCAGGTACAAGTCAGGAACGTTCACAAAAACACTCAACGGACGCCCGTACGCAACGGTCTGGTAGTGCTGGACCAGGTCTGTTCTAGAACTTTACTTGCTGCATACAGGCTTTTCCCTATCAACCAGTCAGAACAATTAGACTCGAAAATACCTTTCTTCGTGGTTTTCGCGATCCCTACCACAGCGAGCCGGTTTTCCGAGAACTAAAATCAGGTTGTTGTTGGCATTGCTGTACCACTATATATCCCCGCACTGATTGGCTCCTACCCCGGAGCAATCCCTCATCCTCTCGTCGATCGATTATTCTTGGTGCAAAGTCAAGTGTGACCGATTATTCCGGACTGCTTTTGACCTCCTCAACGGAGTTTAGTTTCTGTGTTATTTTCGTCCAATAAACACGTTATGGCGCACAATCCTCCTCTTACTAGGCGCGCGACAGCCAAAATATTCGCTTCCCGTGTCCCAAAACAGCATAGGCTCCCCCCTATTTTGAGCGATGACCAGAACGCTGGTTCTTTTTCGCAACTCCCGTGTGCTGGACGTTCGAGGGGCTGCCTTTAATTTCCACTATCGACAAGAGGCCCTCCCTCATGGAATCCTGCCAGTCAGATCGTCGACGCCCCTGCAAACAGCCTGCACAATGTTCCTTGACCACACCTCCCCCATGTGTAGCTTGGCGCGGAACAACAGGACTATTATTTGAACTCGTATCCTCCCCTCTTGGGCCACACCTCTCACGCTTCCCTCAAAAGTCTTTGTCTCCGCTGCTCCAAAGTCATTCTTTGTTCATCCACATACATTCGTTTTCTACAAAGTCACTCGCTTCTACATTTCTATCGTTAAATTCACAGAGATCAAAACATCTATCAACATGCGTACCACATACATGTCTTTGGGAGCTCTTGCTCTCACGCTTGTCAACGCCAACACCTATCCCGACTGTGTAAGTTTCCGCCCTTTTTAAACCAGATAATTCCAGCGACTGACTGGCTTTTGCAGGAACCCGACAACTGTTACAGAAATATGATTGACTCTCGCTTCACTGATACTGTCGCTCCTTTCTGCTTCGGTTACCTCGATGGCTCTATCAAAGACGTCCCATCCGACTACCAGAACTGCGCTGGAGATTCAACTGCTATCAGCTCTGCATGCTCCTGTATCACCTACACAGCCACTCACACTTCAAGCGCCAGTGTCTCATCATCAACCTCGGAATCCACCAGTGCTCCCTATGTTACTACTTCTGAGACCACCTCAAGCTCCTCGGCCGAATACACACCTTCAAGCGAGTCTAGCAAATCCTACGAAGCCACTCCGACACCAAGCAGCTCCTCATACCCACCAGTAGAGACCAGCAAGTCCGAGTACTCGGTGTCCTCGACCAGCTCTGAATACCCAGTTTACACCACTAGCTCTAGCTCTGAGGTATACACCACCTCAACTATCTACGCGATCACTGAGTACACCATCACATCTTGCAAGCCAACCGTGACCAACTGCCCAGCCGGTCCCCACGTCACAACCGAGACGTACGTTCTCACCACCACCGTCTGCCCAGTCGCTTCGGTCCCAACATACACTCCCAAGGAACCAGTCACATCAACCTGCACCTACTACACTACCGAGACCCATGTCTCCAGCACCCACACCTTAACGACCGTGTACCCGACCTCTACCGGGGTTGTCACCATCGTCGTCCCAACCTACCCACCAGGAGAGGTCCCAACCTATTCCACATACGTGCCCGCCCCGGCCCCAACCCCAACTACCCCAGGAACCGTTGTTGTTCCATCTAAGACATCCACCTCATCCGCTCTTGTCGTCACTGCTGCCGCTGGACGTGTTTCCGGTGGTATTGAGATGCTTGCCGGCGCTGCTGCCATCGCTGTTGCGCTCTTGTAAAGAGATCGCATCATTGTTTTGTTTCACTTCGGTTAGGAGGAATGTTATTTGGAAGGTTCGGGTTAAAAAGGGTGGATTGGGGGATATGGATTGGAGTTTGATAATGTAATGAAACGTTTTGTATCTGATAAAAGTACAAATGCAACGAGTTCACACAACAAGCTTACAGTATCAAAGGAGCTATTTTTAAGTGAAGAAATAACGGCTTTTGATTTCGCCTGTCGCATCAGTAAGCAAATGTCTCAAGACAACCTCGGACCTTCTTTCTTACTCTCTACCCAATCCTGCACACATAAACGAATCTTCTTTGACACCTCGCGTTTCCATCTTCACATCTCGTTACACGCCGTCGCCGTCCTCGTCCTCCTCCAATCCCTCGGCGAACAGACCCACTGTAACGCAACCAGCAAGTCTGCAACCGTCACATCCCTGGCCCTGTCACTTTGCGCCACGCAGCGCCACCGTGCTGAACCTTCGTGTTTGTGAAACATCCCGTCTGAACCTTGCCGATAAGAGACACGGGACACGGGACGGGCGATCCACGCGAGAGGGAGGGGGAAGGCATAGGGCTCGGTTAGAACGCCCGAGGGTTTTGGTGGACATGAAATGATGATAATTATTTCATGGTGCCAGGGGAGATGAAATGTAGAGGCTAATTAGAGATACTGAAAATGGATGAAATGCACTGCTTTGCTTCAACGTGGAGAAATTGAGAGTTTCGATTCATGGAATAATGGCTGTTGGATGCTGATTAATGGGGAGGAATGTGAATCTCTGCAGACCGGATTAGGAACTGTTCCATTCTTATTTGGACATCTCTGCTGCAGAGAAACCTCTTTGGGAACTCGAAATTTCCGATTCCGGTCTTCTATTCTTTGTTTCTTTTGCGGTCCAAGATTCTTGTCCCAAATTGTCACTTTCCACTCGCATCCCCCGCTCTGTCTTCGCAGCCTAGCAGCCCGTTTCTTCGCCGTTATCTCCACTTTGTAACATCTATCTCCCTAACGCCAACTGACTTCAATGCGCAAAACGGAAGTCCAGCCGTCTACTCGCGGTATCTGTAGTGTTTCTTCTGTAATCCATTTGTTCCTGCAATTCGCATTAGTCCTAGTACCTTGTCTCTGCTGTTGTAAGTGAATGTGCGGCATACCTCTCGCGTCATAGCCTTCCACTTCTTATCACGAATCCTATTCTTCGTAACATAATACGCCTTTGTGAACAAGAACAGGAATATAACTATGACGTCGATCCCGATCAGGACTCGATTACCGCGTTTGTAGAGCGGCTTGTCGTCTTCGCGATAGATGTTTGCAGAGATGATTCCACCCAGCTGGACGGACACTGCATTCTAGTCAGCGATCATACCTCGGAGAGATGTCCAGGAAGGACCTACTGTTATACAAAGCTGTAGATACACTGCGCGAGTCGACATTGTTCGAATTCTTCGATGCCCATCCCCTGTGTCCCAGATCAGTCAAAATTGTTCCCATTTTGTCGCTTAGCTCAGGGAAGAGAGGGGTAGTGATGCTCACACATTGATCGCATGATAGTAGGGATAACTCAATAACGTCATCGTTAGTGCATAAGTACCCCATACATCTTTCATCAGTCCTGGCCAAGTATACAGAGCTATGAGACAAGGCAGCGTCCAGAGTGGTTGGAATGAGGCGACGATACTGCGTTCGTTAAGTCGCTCGCTTAGCCATGTTATGCCGAGGAGAGTGAAAATATGGAAGACTGAAGCGGGAATTGTAAGGAGATTCGTGTTGAACTGGATCAGGTCAGTAAGAGAGTCAGTAGGCGTGTGAGGGGAACTCACTGTGCTAAATCCTAACTGGCGGAGGTTGAGAGTCAGGTATGTTCCTGGTGGGGTCTCGGGAATGAAGCAAACAAGTCCAAGAGCATAAATCTGTGCCAATAATTAGAAGAGCTTAATTGCGACGAAAAATTCGTACGTACCGGCCATAGATCGTAATCCTTAAGCGCACTCCTGAGTCTTCTCGGGGTAATAGCTTGACGGTTGTGCATATCACCTGTCATGCACCGATCAGTACCTCTCCAATCACACCCGGTCAGCCGAAGTCAACCTACCTTTGCTAGGATCGTCTCGCAACACTCTATTGACAACAATTCCCAGCTCCCGATCTGTAAACCATCCTTTCGGGCGAAACCAAGTCTTGGTTTGTACTGCTGATGCTGGCATTAAGAAGAACGAAGCAACTCCGATGAGAAGTGTCGCGAGACCTTCGAGTAGAAAGAGCCATCTTGTGGATTCTTAGCACTGCCTTAGGAGACAATGATAGGCAAATGAACAGGAATGACTCACCTCCATCCAGCAATACCTCGATGACCCTCAAGGTGGAAAATCCCAAATGCAACGAGTGATGAGATGACACTAGTCACACTCAACGCCGTCCAGAAGAAGCTCAACCTGGTAGGCAATTCTCGGCTCGTATAGAAATATGAGAGCCAAAGAACGAGATCTGGGATGAAACCTCCCTGGAAATCGTTAGTGATGTTCTCAAATACGGGGTGGGGAACTAACCTCAAGCATTCCAATCAAAGCTCTGCAAGCCAAAAAACCAGCTTTGTTCTGCATGGCAGCCTGAGCCATCGCCACAATAGACCAAGCTATCATTTGCATAGGTATCCAACGATCTGGTCCGATCTTCTTGGATATGAGTTGAGATGGAAGTTCTGCCAGGAGGAAAGAGACTTTGAAGACGGTGTTACCGAGATTGAAGTCTTCGCACTTTCAGCAGCTGCATCTTGTCCGGAGTCACCGCGTAATGTTTACCGTTTGTGTTGAGATGAAGATCTTTCAGAAGAGTCCCAGAGACGGCCTGGGAGATATTCCCTCTATCGATTTGAAGACTGAAGAACATTATACAAGCCCACAAACAAACTACCCCGCATCATCAGCACGGTACTCAATCCATCTTCAAACTCTAGAGAAAAACACATACCATGCCAATCCAACCTCCTCACCAACTTCTTCTCCTCCTCCTTCGTCCACGTCAGATCTGCATCAAACGCATGCCGACACTCATACTGTGCCTTCTCATACAAATCAACATAATACGCCTTGACTTCTGGATCTACGAAAATGTTGGTCGAAAGACTGGCATCGTCGTCTTGTGTTGATATCACCCTGCCATCTTTGGTTACAATATTCCCTTTCGCTGTGATTAGAGCAGCTTCTTTGACGATTGCTCCGCCGACTTTATCGGCGACGTCAATTTTGTCATTTGAGCGCTGGGAGACAGAATCCGTGTCATCTTCGATGGTCTTCTTGGAAGACATCGTGACTACTGACTTCGATCAAGGGCAGATTTTTGGGATGGCGCATTTTGATTTGGGGATGAGCTTGCACCCTTATATTGCTGGCGTCCCAAATCCGAGATGCTTTTCTGCAGAGACCCCTCCTTGAGATGGATTGCATCAAGGGAGTGGTAATGGTGTGATGTGAAAATTTCAGCCAAAGCACTACACCAATATTATGTTCATGTCTTCTCCGCGGATCTGCTCCATCAACTTCCAGGCCTAACATCTGTCCAAAGTCCCTGCTCGGAGCGAGCCAAGGACACCGACGTCTGCAACCCAAGCCCTTTCATACTCCGACTGGACGCCAAATCAGCGCCAAATCAGCGCCAATGGATTGCCAATATTGTTTTGTCCGGCACCGTTACCTCTTCTTCACTGCTAAGAAGGGACGAACCGCCTCGTCGCAAGTTCTTCTCCACGTCAAGCACCAACGACGAGCGCCTTTACACTCTTGGCTGATGCTAAGATGTTCATATCCCACTTATCGCACCATGCGAGGGGAAACTTACATCATATGGCCCTGGAAGGGCGATATTATGGAAGTCATGGTAGAATGTGATTGTGGTTGTTGCAATTGGTGGGTCGCTGAAGCCAAGAGCTGGTTCGGAGGGAAGGTTGTTAACTCCTGCTATACTCTACCCCAAACGTCTTTCGAGTTAAAACAAACTCCAAGAAGATTCACAAAAGCCTTCGCTGAGTACTTGGAGCTTAAAATACAAGCTTATAAGTACAATAATGAGCACTTGTTGTCAAGTGTTGTCAAGTGTTGTCAACAACACGTGACTGTGAATTCATGAGAAATTCATGCATCGGAGCACGCCATGTAACTTCACGCAGATCGAACGAAAGTGGGCAAATGCCAAGTGCATACAAAATAATATGTTGACTAAACTGTAAAAACACGAGCCATTGTCTTTGGGGGAATTGAGTGCGAGTGTAACGTTGCGTCCAATATGATTCGTGTTCCTGAAACTGAGCTGACCCTCGCTTCGCACTTGAAAGAAAACACCAACATTACTGTCCCAACTTTGCTTGAACTGAATAGGAATGAAAAACAACAGGATGAATAGTAGGTACGAGAGTTAATGAAACACCAAAAGAGTGTGTAGATAAGCAATAAGATAGATGATTAGACCATCCTACCTTTCTTGAGCTGCGCTGATAATCCCCCAGTATCACTTCTGCGGCTTCCGAAACTCGACCAATCGTCCCCCATCCAACATAGCAATTCTATCCGAGTCCATGATAGTATCCATACGATGAGCAACGGTCAAGACCGTGAAGTCCTTGAACTCTTCCCTGATAATCCTCTGCATCACTTTATCAGTCTCCGCATCAACATTGCTGGTCGCCTCATCCAGGACTAAGATCTTAGCATTCGGTTTGAGCATTGCTGTCGCAAGGCAGAAGATTTGCTGTTGGCCTTGAGATAGAGGATTGGCTATCATGTCAGCGTCAAGACCGCCGCGTGAAGACAGGATGTCCCAAAGTCCAACTTTGGTCAGGGCAGCGACGATGGACTCGTCCGTTGCTGCTGATGTAGGATCGACATTGAGACGAACGGTTCCAGAGAGTATGAACGGTTCTTGAGGGATGGTGACAATGCGGGAGCGGATGGTTTCGCGAGGAATCACATTCAGGTCAATGCCGTCGATGAAAATATTGCCAGATGTAGTGTCGAGAATACGAAGGAGAACGGACAAAAGCGTACTCTTTCCACTTTGGTATTTGTTAGCTCGATTTTTGGGATAGAAACGAGTCAACTTGCCTTCCCGTGCGACCACAGATGCCGATTTTTTCACCCGACTTGATGTTCAGAGAAAGATCGCGAAGTGCGGAAGATGTGCTAGCCACCTTTGTTAGCAAGTCAATATCATTTGGCCATGAAAGATAGCATACCCATAGGACGCTGAAACGTTTCTGAACTCAATAGCACCCGCAGTAGGCCAGTCGTGGCTTGGTATGAACGTTTCCTCTTCCTTGTGCTCAGATGCTGTCTCTTTCTCAAAGCTCTTCAATCTCGCAATCGCGCCTAGGGAAGTTTCCATCTGAGTCCAAAACATCATGAACATGCCGAGGCTGAAGTTGAAGTTCACAATAGAGCTCAGAGAAATGCCAAGGCGTCCACCAGTGGTGGTGCTAGTGAGACTAGTGGCCAGAGCTACGACAATGACTGCCGTAAGCCCAACCAAGAGGAGCAGAACGAGGTTGAACCAGCGTTGAATACAGTACATCAGATAGTGGGGACGTTGAGATTTGTCGAGTAATTCGATATTCTCCCTCAAGAAGTGTTCTTCCCAGCCGAATGCTCGGATTGTTGAAAGGCCCTCGATAGTCTCTGTGAAATGTGTGTACAATGGGCTCTTGCATTCCAGATCTAGGAATCTCATTTGGCGTGACGTTCGAAGGTAGAAACTCTGAAGGAAGTAAACGCAGAGTACGAGTGCTGGGCATGCAAGTGCCATGTAAGTCGATCCGGTAGCGATGAGTCCAAATTGAGCGAGGCACTGGAGGAAGGCTGTCTAGGTCAGCTTGGAATTCTTTTCTTCAAGGATTCATATTCACCTGAGAAACACATTGCTGCTGCCCCAGGTAGACTAGCATCGATGAGGGTCATGTCTTGACTGAATCGGTTCAGCACCAGTCCAGAATCTGTCTCGTCGAAGAATGACTGCGGGGCTCCCATGACGGATGTGAGGAGAATCTTGTGGAGACCAGCACCAGATCTCGGGATGAGTTTCATGTATAGATTACTAGCTTCATCAGCGTGCTGTGTGACGACCAGAGACTCAAACCGCGTCTTACTATAGAAGCCCCGTTGCTGCTGGCAGGGCGACCACCGCAATCGTGACATAGATACCCACGAACAGTCCAATCCCCTGCACGGTGTGATCGGCATACCAGGTGAGCCACAAAGCTATTATTCTGATGAGTTTGGTGAGTGAAGTAGCTATTGACTGTACTCACGAGGAAAATTTGATCCCAAAGTCCAGATTAGGGCAGTCACAACATTCGCCAAAGCGATTTTCCATCCGATGGATTTCAGGTAATAGTTATAAACTGACATATCACCAATTCTTCTCGTCAAATCTGCTGTTTCGTTATCCGAGGCTGTTTTCGCTTTGGCGGTGACTTGACGTTCTTGTTCGTGAGCATCCTGTTGGTCCGCAACTTCATCGAGGGTAGGTGACTGGGGTTGCTCCTGGTTAAGGACTGAGTTTATCATTTCGGAATTCCGACCTCGTAGCTCTTCGAAAGTTCCTTGTTCAATCAGACTGCCTTCAGCTCCCAGAACGAGTATGTTGTCTGCTAATGGAAGATGTTTGACTGCATTTGAATTAGCGACCGCATCGTGAAATCCTTTGATCAGCTTACTGGCATGTGTAGCTAAAACTACAGTGCAACCCAGCTTTTTGATTAGACCAGAGGTGCCAAACAGACGTTCGATAATAAGCGCTTCGGTTATTTCATCGATTGCACTGAGAACATCATCAAGTACAATGACGCTTCTTCTTGCGTATACAGCTCGTGCAAGTGCCTGATCAAATTAACACCACCTCACTAACAAAAGGCCGTTGCATACTAATCGTTGTTTCTGTCCACCACTAAGAGTCACCCCTCGACTTCCGATAATTGTGTCGTGCTGGTCTGGTAGAACCAGCACATCGCGATCGAAAGCGCATGCATGAAGAACCGAGGCGTACCACTGACTGTCGTCCTCGCTATGATTGTCATATCCGGTTACAATCTTGCGAACAGTCGTATTCTGGAGCCATGGTATTTGACTACAGTACGCAGATGTATTGAAGTTCGCGATGATGGACCCGGTTTCGCACTGCAACTCGCCGATGATTGCTTTAAGCAAGGTGGATTTGCCAGATCCCACAACTCCGACAACCATCGTCAAAGATTCTTTGATGACATCAAGATTCAGATTCCGAACAGCCGTTGCAGCTGATTGAGATGGTTTCATCGTGGCATTGCGAAGGGAAAGGACAATATCCGTTGGGTTACTGGCGAAACTCTGAAGCTCAATCCCACGCTCGGTTTGGTGTGCGACTGCAGAAGTTCCGGAATCCTGGATGAGACGCCGATCTTCACATGATTCGGAGAGAAGGAATTTCTGTATCCTTTCCAAGCATCCAGTGGCCATTCCAATCATGGGCAGTGTTTGCAGAAACTCTTCAGCAGGAGATGTAAGGAGTGAAATGATTGACAGCGAGGAGAACGTCTCACTAGTTGACAACCTCTCGGATCCTCTGGCTGCTGCTTGGATGGCAAATATCACGAAGGTCACCATTGGTCCGACTGTGGTGGGCAGGAAAGCTTGAGGTCGTCAGCGAGGTCTTGAACGAGAGCAGTTGCGAGCCTACACAATATCATGCGCCACATTCCCATGACCCTGAATTTCTTCGAGAGATTCAATTCTCTGACTCTCTGTTTCTGGAGCGTTGTCGACAGAACATCGGATAATCCCATCATCTTGACACTTTTCATTGAGCCGAGCATAGAGGATGTCATCCCGACACGAGTCTGGACAGCTGCAATCCAGTCTCTTTGCCTTGGACCAATCAACTTGGTCACCTGGCCAGCACAAAGAGTGGAAACTACATTCATAAGTAGGAATCTACCGAAATGATGAGCATTGGGCAACTCACTGACGACGATGACAATGGGTGCAACGCAGACCCATCCAAGATTTCTGCTAAGCAGGTACAGACCAATCGTAAGTTCAATGACTTGCGCCCATACTTGGCACAGAGCATCGAGACTGAAGGCAAGCTGATCGATATCGCTGCTCATATGAGTCAAAGATGCATCCTTGTCTTGAACATTGGCGTGCTGCTTCAGCGTCTTCGAGAAGATGAGGGACGCCACCGCTCCTCTGAATCCGACCAACACACGATTAACTGCATGTTGGTAGTGCGTGGTGGATATCTGGACTCATCAGATATCTACAAAATACAATTATTGGATCGACTACGGAATGCTCACTGCGATTCCAAGATATATGAGCGCTGCCGCCCCAGTCAATCCATAACCGTCGTTCTTGTTCCGACTTGCAGACGGTTTGGAGACGAAGTTGATAGCGGAGCTGATCAGAAATGGCTGAGAATAATTGAAGCCTATTAAACACAATCGCGGGAAGATGACGGAGAGGAAAGGCCACCTCAAACAGTGAAGGATTGAAACAGCGAGACGAGAATTTCCTCGAGCATGGTCTAGAATTACTTGAGTCAGCGTCATTTCCCCGATGTCCAGGATGTAAGTGCTCACATTTATCCCAAGACTTCTGCATGCGATCTCGAAGTGGTTCAGACAGAAGCGAGGCATCAGTTTGAAACAGATCGTCCAATGTAAGAAGTCTGCGGAATCCAGTTGCAAGGATCGGATTGATCCACCAGAAGAAGCTTCTGCTGAATAGCCCCCCAGTGGTCTCTGGGGAGTAATCATTGTATGGAGCTCTCAGGTATTGGCGTTTGCTACGACTTTCCACGATGAGCAGACAAGCTTTGATGGCCACGCTCACAGTACAAAGGCCAAGAATTGCGGGATCGTCATGTCGAAGGTACAAAGTCCGGACTTGGACGGCATCGAACAAAAGTGTTGACAGGAGATAAATACTAAGTATAAATGATGGTTGGATGGCTCGGCTGTCTTCAAGACCAGAGAGAAGGAGGATTGCGATGGCGGCTGCGAATGACAAAGCTGAGGACGGTAGCGTGGCTCGAGTCACGCGGTTCGATGTCCAGAGTACAAGCAGGCCGAGCTGGACTCCGATGAGGGAGAGACACAAGATCTGTGCAAGTTAGCTGGGTATTGCAATACACACGAGTGCTCTTACTGTTTTGATTGATCGAAATCGTGAAAGTCGAGTTTTGGCGCTGGATCGTAGAAGCGTGACGAGGCGGGGTGGGACGAACAGGAGCAGCAATGCTGCGGGACCAATCGAGAGGATGGTCTGCTCGAACAACAACGTGAAGTCGAATTCTGAACGACATCCTTTCACGACTGGTCCGAAGGCGTTGTCGTTTGATGGCTGGCATAGCGATGCCGTGAATTCGCTTTGGTTCATCATGCGTAGCACTCGACGCGAAGTCGATTGCTGATTTTACTTTATTTATTCGCAAGATGCGATGATATTTCAATTCTTTACAGTCTATCCTAATTTGCAGATGCAACGACTCTTGTTCGTACACAAGAAGTTGTCAAATCCTTTGGAAATGGCAAGATGAGAAGAGGAAAACAAACATTGGAGGGGGGAGTCGAGTACATATACGGAATCGATTAAACCATCATGAGGCTATAAGGCACACACGCATATAGCCGCCTACTCTATTCCCGATTAGGTAAGACTACCTACGATATAGCCCCCTTAGCCCCTATTCCCGCTCTAGCTACTCGCTAAGGCTTTAACTAATAAAAAGCTATATAAAGGCCGCTAGCTTGTCTTCCTATCGGCCTAGTAGCTGAGATTACGCCTCAGCTAGTAGCGTCTTGCTAAACTCAGCTACTTTAAAGAATCAGGTATAGACCGAATTAAGAGCCTTACTTATAACTAGCTTAGCTTTAATATCACGTGTAAGCTCTCTAATATTATAATCGATTTTAACTAATTAATATATAAGATATATATTATAGCTATAATTATTATATTACTAAGTAAACTCTGCCTAATTAGGTTCTTTAATAAAACTAAGGTTAAAAGTAAATAGTATATAATAATATAGTAGCTAGTAGGCTTACGCGAATTAGCACTTATATATACTATTTTCTAGTAGCTTAGACTCGACCCCTAATATAGCTAAAGCTTTAGCCGCACGAATCTCATCTGATAGGAGGCGCTATACCGGAAAAGGAAAGAAAGTAAGCTAAGGGTTCTCTAGTGTATTACTAAGTGTCTTCTTACTCTAATTATATTTTACTTTTCGAGTATATAATAGAATATAAAGGGATTTAGGCCAGATATCACGTGTACTACTAGGCTAAAGATAGCTTAGTTAAGGGTATTTAACCTTTTATATACTATAGCTTCTTCTATAGATAGTTCTATATAGCTCTAGAGATATACTTCCTAGAGGTAGAAACTCGTAATAAAGCAGAGGAGTTAATTATAATTAACTCTACTATCTAATATAAATAGTCTTACTTATTATTATCTAGTCTTTCTTACCTAGCTCTATAAATATACTATATAATAAGCTATATCTTTTAAGAGGTTATAAGCCTTAAGTAGATAAATTAGAATAAGTGAATTAATAAAAGTAAGGCGATCGATTTAAACCTTTTAAAGTAAGAAAAGAGACTAGTCTAAGTAAGAAGAACTAAGAAGCTAAGTAAGAGTGCTAATAATAATAAGTCGAGAAGCTAAGTAAGAAGTACTCTTATAACTAACTAAATAACTTATAAGCTCTAAAGGGAGTCTTATAATAACTATATAACTTATAGACTTTAAAGGAAGCTCTATATAAATATAAGAAGTCGAGTAGTACGCGAAGAAAGCTACTTATAATTATAAAATTAAGTATAGTTTCTATATAACCCTAAGTTAATAATATATTAAAACCTTTCGTTAATTATATATATATAAAAACTATCTAGTTGAAAAGTATTAATTTCCGCGTATTAATAAATATATAAAATAGGAAAAGATAGTAAGTACTTACTAACTTTAAGTAAGAAGTACTATAAGAACTAGTTTTACTACACGAAAGTTAGGATTAAAAGTAAAAGTATCTTCTATATTATTAAAGTAACTAAAACTAAATATATATAAATCCTAAGAGAAAAAGAAAGTAAAGCTAAAGCTACTACTTCTAAGATACTATCTAACTTAAGAGTAAATAAGATTATTATAAGATTTAAGCGACTTAAAGAAATATAAAACCTTAATAAAGTAAAAAAATAAGACTAAGATAATATAAAAGTCTTAGAAATTATACTAGAAGAACTTAATAAAGATAATACTATACTTATTAATAAGTATAAGACTACTTCTACTATTTAGATATAATTAAAGCTAAAGTATAATAAGACTAGCTTATTAACTACTAACTAATATATAATAAGTATTTAAAACTTCACTTTTAATAAGAATATTAGTATTAATAGATTATAGAGTAAGCTAAAGGAGTACTAATAGAAGATTATTATAGTAAATGATATAATAAAGAATATATACCTTAATAAAGTACTTTTCTTAATTCTAACTTTAGCTTTCTAAAAGTAAAGCTAATATACTATTATAGTAAATAGTTTCTTAACTTAATAATCTCTAATAGTTAATAAGAAAGTTAAGATCTTATAAGAAAAGGAATCTTATATATAAGATCTAAAGCTATAAAGTATAAGTAAAGAATAAGTATATATTACTTAGTAATAATATAAGTAAATATACTATTACTTTAACTACTACTCTCGCTAAAATAGTAGTTTATTAGACTATAGTATAACCGGAGTTACTTTAGAATACTACTATTACAGATCTAAAGACTATTTTATTACTAATTATAAGTTTTAAGCTACTAGTAGAGAATACACTAGAAACTTCCGGCTAAAGAAAAAGAAGAGAGAATAAGCTAAGCTAATATATAAGCCTAGATTATAAGTTAAAAATAAGACCTTTTACTCTTAATCTAACTAAAAAGATTACTTTAAGCTTATTAAGAAAAGCTCTTTATCTTATTACTTTAAACGTAAAAGAAAGAGTTATATAATAGTATATAATTTAGATAATAATATATCTAATAAGTCTAACTATATTAGTAAGGATACTTCTTCTAGTAAGAAAGATAATACTACTAAAAAAGTTATACTATCTAAAGAGTTAATCTATAAGAGTATCCCTAAAGACTAAGTAGTTAATATAAGTATAAGTTTATCTATAACTAACTAACTTCACTTATTTAAGGAACTAAGACTTATATCTAAAGTTCGTATCTAAGTTAGGAGAGGGATATTATACTTATATATATATAGAGTTATATTAGTTAAAGTAATAGATAGAACTTCCTGTTTTTTAGATAATATACTTTATATTCCTAAGCTAAGTATAAATTTAGTCTTAATAAAGAAATTATATAAAGGTAGCTATTATAGAACCTTTAATAATAAGAATATTTAGATTACTAAAAAGAATAAAAGAATTCTGAAAGTAAAGTAATCTTATAATCTTTATATTATAAAATATATTTTTAAAGTATTTAATAAGAAGGTAATTAGAACTATTAGAAAAGTTAACTATAGTTAACTTAAAACCCTAAGAGCTCTACTAGCTATTAAACTAGTAAAAGATAACTTAACAGATAATAATATAGCTATTATAAAAGACTTTAAGTAATACCTTAAGTACTACTAACGATTTATATACTTTAGACTTAAAAAGATTCGGAACTTATATAATATAACTATATTAAAAAAGGTAATTAAGATTCCTAAGAATCTAAATATCTATAATATATATACTATTATAAAGATAAAGAACCGGATTCTAAAAGTACTAAGTATATAGCTTACTAAAATCCTTAACTTAGTATAATTTAATATTACTAAACTATTTCTAATATTAATTAGAAGGAACTACTACTTCCTACTAATTATTAATATCTATTCTTACTAAGACTAAGTAATTCTATTAAAAACTAAAAGAGATACTTATTAAGTACTTTAAGATTAGAAAGTTAGTATTAAACTATAATCTAGTAAGAAAGTTAAGTAAGTGAGATTAGATAATATACCTAAGCTACTTAAAGCTACTAACGATTAAAGAACTAAAGACAGAGTACTAGTATAATTAACAACTATTATATCCTTATATTAGAATAGACCTACTAAACGATTAATTTAGACTATAAAATTTAATATATATATAATACTTAAAGATACTTAACTACTACTAGAATTCTAAGATAAAGCTACTAAAGCCGACTTATATATAAGAAACCGGACTATAACTAGACTTATAACTAATAGCGTGAAGACCTACTTAATAAAAGCCTTTATAAGAGAAATACTATCGATTAACTATATCTATAAGTAAAGGAGTAAATACTTCTACTATATAGATAAGAAGATAATACTTATAAATAAGCGGTATAATAAGCTTATTAATCCTAGTAAGATCGGAGTCTTAATAGGATATTCGGAAAATATAATAAAGTACTTCTAAGTATATTCCCTAGGACGTAGATTAATAATCTTATTTAGCTAAGTAATTATTAAAGAAAGTAGCTCCAGAGGAATAGTTAACCTAAGGATTCGAAACTCTCTAATAGGACTATAAGGAACCTCGAATATTACTTTAGATAAGAAAGCTCGAGGTAGACTAAAGGCACTAGAGGAAACTGATCTAATAATTAAAGACTAGTATCGTGTACTATAGGGAGGAGCTTTATATAGTATGAAAGTCTTAATTTATTAAGGTATTCTAGAGCTCCCTTATAAGAGGAAGCTTTAGGAGTTCTAGTTATATAAGTAGCCTCTGGTTGGCTGGAGCGCCTTATGGAGTGCCTCAGGTGCGTCAGGTATATAATATACCCCCTCGCTTAGCTTTATAATAGTAAGTGAAGCGATATAAATAGTATAGATAATACTACCTGAACTATAATAAGAGTTAATACTAACTGATAGCGTTAGGTCTTAAGCGCCTAGTGACTCTAAATATATAAACTAGGTAGGTCCCCTAGAATACTCTTTCCTTAAATAATAACTTTGATATAATATTAGTAAATATAGCTAAAAGCTCTTACGCTACTTATGCCTCGCGCGCTTTTAACCTCGCTACTACTTATGTAGTAAAGAAGAAGACTATAAGTTGTTAATTTAAAGATTCTGATATAGTTAGTGTTATAAGGAATCGTTAGAACTACGCTAATACTTGTAAAATAGGCCTGTGGCCGCTGTAGCTCCCCTGCTGCTACTACTCTACTATTACTACTATTACTATTACTACTACTAGTACTAGTACTAACTCCTGCCTGCCGCCTTATTATAGTAGGGGCTATTTGTGCTATACTTTACGGCTACTGTATTTGTAGTAGTTTATAGGGTGCGCTAGGCGACCCCTATTATAACGAAGAG